TACATTGTCTATCTCAGCACATCCGGCACAACTGGTCAGTATGTCCATGGTCTGCGCCATGGGATACACCAATATGGCTTCTTGGGTTCCAACACGAGTGTCTGCTGCCATAGGACCGGCATGTCGCTTTGGCGAGCTTTGACTGACCACCGACCTCTCGCTTCACAGGAATCCCCAAGACGTGAGTTGTGTGGTCTCTTGTTGCTGCCACCAGCATGTTTTGCTCTAACGCCAGAATACTCGCCGAACAGGTATCCAGTGCCCCATCGGTTTGTTGAGCCGAGCCGCGGAGTCAATGGACTCGAGTACACCGGAAGCGGTGTGCTTCAGGTAATGGTGGTCTTGATGATGCTATTCATATGTATGCACGGCGGTGTATATGGCCGTTGGTGTGCCTGGCGATGGCCAAGGACTGAGCAGTTGCTCTCATGCGGCACCGCCCGCTATTTGGCGTGCTCTCTATGTGGATTGTAGTTGGGCCATCTGACGCTCTTTCTTTCATCCTTAGTCTCCCTCGTTCACCACATCGATGGGTCTTATTTTGGGAATGCTCAATACTCGAGGCTCCCTTTGGTTTACTTGGCCAACCCCAAACCCGCAAGAGAAGGCTCAGGGCATCATCGAGCTGCTGGACGAAGGCATGACGTCGATGTATACGGTAATGCTTGCCTCCCGCGTCGATATCATATTTCACATCTCAACGCCACCGTGACACATTTCCAATGCTCATCGCACTGTACTCCTCAGACCCCTTCACTCTGCAAGCTCATCTTCAAGACTGCTCAATCGAAGAAGAAAACCGTCCAATGGAACAACGTCCTCGTTGTGGGCCTCGGCTCAGAGCTTGTGTCTGCCTCCCTTGTCAGCCAGACGAAGACTCTCTGCCCCAATGCTTTCGTCCACCTCATGTATGGATCCAGCGAGGTCAGTTTCACCGCAAGTCATATCCTATAATTATGCGATTTACGCTCCAGATCGTTGCCCACCAAATCTAATCATTCCGATTCTCCTTCAGACTGGCGTTATCGGCGCCATGTCCGCTTGTATCCTTCCCTCGTCCGCCCCCAGCCCGTCCCAGGTGGTGTACAAACAGCCAAAGCCGAATGTGCGATGTCTCCTCTTTGACGAGGAGGGCAACACTGTTGACCAGAGCGTCTCCAAGAGCGGCATCCTCGTTCTGGCTGTCGACAAGGATGACCCTATCAAGGACCATCCCAACTTCACCACCGCCAATCCGAACGACAAGTTGGCTTCGTTTGGCTTCCTCAGCGACGGCTCGCCCCGTGTCTGCACCATGGACTGGGTCGAAATGACCGGCGAGAGCGAGTTCACTGTCATTGGAAGGTGAGGTCAATGGCTGGGTGTTGCATCTCATTGATGGCGACTGCATATCTGGCATCCCGACGACACATCCCACTCCTGCATCCCGAGTACTCACGCCATTCATTCCCTCACTCCATACCATCACATCATATCATTGCCAACCACAGATTCGGCCAGAAGGTCAAGGTCAACGGCGTCTATGTCGACCTCAATGCCCTCGAGGAAATGGTCAACCAGGACCTCAGCGAGCACGTCGCCGACTGCATCTTCATCCAGACCTCCGAGTTCAAGATCGTGATGCTCTATGTCCCCCAGAAAGGCTCCACCTTCAACGCGACGCCGGGAGAGATCATCCAGATGACCGAAAACCTGTTTGCCCTCAAGAACGTTGCCAAGGTTCCCATTCGCAACTGCCTGGAGCTGGAGGCGTTCCCCTTCAACGACTCGGGCAAGCGCGATCTCAAGAAGCTCAGGCTGTTTGCCGAGAATGTCGAGCAGTACACTGCGTCGGTCGTCTATCCGGCTCTCAGGATCGACAACACTCTCCTGTCCCGCGTCGCTGCCAAGATCTCTCAGATCGGCAGCCAGATCATCGACAACCCCGCCCTCGACGGCCGCAACTACTATATCGGCGGCGTCGGCTTTGACTCGCTGAGTGTCGGCCGCCTGGCCCTCGCCATCAAGGATGAGTTTGATGTCGAGATATCACCGCTGATCCTGCTGTCGAACGGAATGACACCGACTGATGTCGCCCAGCTGGTTGTCGACATCCTCGACGACAAGCCCCTCATTCCCCCGACTGTTGATCTGGCTGCCGAGGCTGCCAAGCTCGACGATGCGAGTGTGGCGGCCGAGGGTCTCCCTCCGTTTGTCTATCCCAAGGACCCTCGCGGCATCGTCCTGACCGGTGCCACTGGCTTCCTCGGTGCCTTCTTGGTCTTTGAGCTGGCACACAAGTTCCCTCGGGCCAAGATCTACTGCCTCGTGCGGGCCCCGACCGAGCAGGTGGCTGTCGAGCGCATCATCAACACGGCTCAGAAGCTGGTCCTCGATCCGAGCCAGAGAGCCTTCCTTGACCACAACCTCAAGTCTCGACTCGTTGGACTGTGCGGCGATCTGTCACAGGACAAGTGGGGGCTCTCGGACGAGCGATGGAAGGAGATCAGCGAGGAGACCGACATGATTGTCCACAACGGCGCCGAGGTCCACTGGCTGTTTGACTATGACAGACTCAAGGGACCCAACGTCCTCAGTACGGCGACGGCCCTGAGACTGGCCACAACCCACCACCTGAAGCCGCTGCATTACATCTCGACCATCGGCACGATCCCGATGGCCAAGAAGGCAGACAAACCGCTCGAGGAGAAGATCTACTCGGCCTGGAACATCTCTGGCGGGTATGGCCAGACCAAGTGGGTCTCTGAGCAGCTGGTCAACAAGGCACGATCAAGGGGAGTGCCGGTGACCATCATTCGCCCAGCTGGCATCGTCGGCGACAGCCAGTACGGAGGTGAGTCGAGTGTGGTGTGATGGAGATGTGGTGTGGTGGAGATGTCTCATTCGTCCCCATGAACTGATCATGAATCGATGGTCTCGATTGTCAAGTGCTACTCATCCACCAACTGACACCAACTGACACCAACTGACACCTTCACACCCTCCATCGCCCCAGTGTCCAACACGGACGACTACATCTGGCGATATGTCAAGGGATGCATCCAGCTCGGTGTTGCTCCCTCGCACGCCACTCTTGTCACGATGACCATGGATCCCGTCGACCATGTCGCCAAGGTGGTTGCCGAGATTGCCGGCTCGGAGGAGTCCCTGTCCAAGTTTGTGTTCCACATCAGCGACTCGGAGCACAGGTGAGGACTGTGTGATGTGGTGTGTTGTGGTGTGGTATGGATGGTGGATTCCGACTCTGATTACTCACTCACTCACTCACTCACTCACTCACTCACGCCGTGCGTACACCCCTCCCTCCCAAAGTGCCCTCACTGAGACCAAGCTGTTCGAGATTGTCAAGGCTTTTGGCTGGACTGTGCTGTTCGAGTCCCGCGAGCAGTTCAAGTTCCTTCTCACCTCCAATCCCTCTGCCGCAAACAACTCGCTGTTCCCGCTCATGCACATCATGATGGACATGTCTGTCAAGCTCGACAACGCCAACACCCGCTCGATCTACCCAACACCCGGTACCTCCACCACGGTGCTCGCCAAGAAGTGTCTCAGCTACCTCTACCACGTCGGCTTCCTCCCCAAGCCCGAGAATCCGTCGAGCGAGCTCAAGGACGAAGAGTATCCCGAAGTCAGCATCTTTGGCCGCACCGGCCGTAACTGAGCTCCGAGGATGCCTCAACTTGAGCAATACCGATCGATTTGCTCTATTTTCATCATGGTGTTTCCAGGGCTGTCGGAAGTACCAAAACCGGTTCATTTTTGTTCATGCACGCTGGGTATTTCCTTGGCAGCGATTTTTAGCTAAGAATCCTCTCCGGCAATCAAAAGCCCAGACCGGCAACCCCTCCGATTCTTTTCTCGGTTACCGTCGTGTGCTTCACTCGATATGACCTACCAGTCTCATCGAGCGTCCGTCTCTTGGCTGCGTGCTCGTCGTTCCCTCCAACGATATGCCTAATAGACATTTGTCAACCGATTGTGATTGCGGGCGTCCTGTGGACAATATATTCAAGAACGACGCTTCTCGCTGCCCTCGTCATTGACGGACCAAAGTCCATTCACCAAATCGCATAACCGCCGATAGTCACTCTTGGCCCCCTCCATTCACCTCTCGTCATCATCGCCGCAATCACCACCTCCACATCAATGCGCGTCTGGACGGAATGGAACCACAAGTCTGCTTTCGCCTGGAGACTGGACTGCGTCCAGGGGTGCCGTCCCGGAGCAGAATTGTGTCCCAGAAGACGAGTCGTTGCGTTAGCTTCGTGGTTGCAATGTCCTATCCACCGATCCGCAATGCAGCAGCTTCGCTAACATGGCCACGGGTCCGGTATCGTCTACACAGCATATCGTCTACACAGCAGACGTGGGCACCCGCCCTCAATTTCTCGGTGTGAGGAGCGGGGCGTCCTCTCTCGTTCACTTGCATAGCAAAAAGGCCTATCCCGGCATGCGGACATGGCGTGGATCGTTGGGCAGAGGCAGCAGTGCAGTGCAGCCCATTACCCATAGATTCCTGCAAGATTTCGCCCCGTGGCGCTTACCTGGAGGAGCAAGCTGGACGAGCAAGCTGGGCGAGCAGTGGGGTGGCTGCTTGTAGGTGGGTGGGTGGATAGCTGTTGGGATGAATCGATCAAGTTATGCAGACAATGCAACTCACACTTCATATGACGACGGATTGTTGATTGACTTCGGGCTCGGTAAGTCTTGTGGCCCAGCATCTTCCCTTCGCGAGCATTATCTCGGTCAGGTTCTGAGGGTATGATCTCAGCCACAAGCGTGAACAGCCATGGTTTTATTTTCATAAAGCATGGCAAGTCCATGTTGAAGCACCCCTAGATGCATTGTGAGCACAGGTTCCTTGTCGGGTCCCGGTTGAAGTTATCCACTGCGATGCCTAGTTCTCACTATCAATATACGCAAATAAGGGAGGATTAGCCAGCAAACGCAATTTCACGCAGCGCCACAGGGAGCAGGCTGCACCAGCACCGCAGCTGTGGCTAGCCGCAGTGTCCCGAGAGTATTGCTTCGATGCTCCCATCAAGTACAAACCACTCAAGGTATTCGTTGGTCTGGTTCTGGACAAAGTCCTCCGAGACAATCTTGAGGCGCTTGGCGTAGTTGGTAACCTTGTTCCAGTCACGCTGGACGTTCTTGAGGTCCTTGCTGTTTGATGGGAATGGGATGTGGCGATGGAAACAGAGTGAGTATGAGCCGCTCCCACCGTATCCAGAGTCGGAGCCGCGGCGGCAATCGGCACGTTGACAAACCTGAAGTAAACCAGAGATCTGGTGAAGATATCGCGGTTGACAGGCGATGCAAGATGGGGCTTCATTTCGCAGTAAATGTTGTAGGCCTTGGTAGGGTCGGTCAGGATGTAGTCGGTGGCGCGCTTGATGGCCTTCATGAAGGCACGAACCTTCTCGGGGTTCTGCTGGATAAAGGTGTCGTTTCCGATGTAGAGCACCGAGCAGAAGCAGCAGCATCCCCTGGCGGACACGATACATGTCAGGAGCTGAAGGCATGTTGCAGCGAGTGTCCGCATGCTTAAAGCGGTGAGAGTTGGGGGGCCAGTGGGAGAAGCGACTCGGGTGGACTTACAGCTGAGCAAGCTCATCAATACGGAGCAGACCAACGTCGTCGCGAGCACGGCCCTCTGCCTCGGACCAGTGCTCGAGCTCAACGCACTGGACGTTCTCCAAGCCAACACCGGCATGGATCACGCCACGCTTGATCGAGTCGGTAACGTTCATTCCGACACGCACAGCGTTGTAGTCGGCCGGGGTCATTCCGAAGTGGGCACAGAGCTGGATCGAGGCATTGTAAAGGTCAGGGCGGCGCACATTGAATGCATCAGCCTTGCTACAACAGCAATCTCACCTCATCGATGATGACTTTGCCAAACTCGCCGACGTAGCTATGGGGTCGATCACGCAAACCGAGACATGACGAATCAGATAGAGTGCTTTGTGTAGATTGCCGTGTGCCGGCGTGCGAGAGGGAGGACAGGCAGAGTGCGACTCACCCGATGTTCTTGCCCTTGAGAGACTGGAAGTCCGTGGTGATGCCGCTGGAGCCCTTGAGGTACACCACACCGGTCAGCGGCTCGTCGAGAAGGGTGCCGATTGAGGTGACATTGTAGCCACGGGCCTTGGCAGCAATTGTGTGGATCATGGCCTGCGGTGTTTTGAAGAGCGATAAGGTGAGGCGTGACGAGCGACGAGTGTGGGGTAAGCAGAGCGATCCCAAACCAGCCAGCGCGGAACTGGCAACAGACTCTTACCTTGCAACCCAGGTCAACCTTGCCAGAGCCAATGAGCTCAGTAACGTCCGAGGGGTCGGCGGGCTCGAGCAGGGCCACACGGATGCCCTCGTCCTGGAAGTAGCCGAGCTTTTGGGCGAGGTAGAGAGGGGCGTGGTACGGGGTGGCGGCCCAGTTGAGGAGGACGGTGATCTTGGGAGAGGACATGGCGAAGAGGGCGAGAGAAACGGGGGGGGGCAGAGGTGGCTCGAGGGGAGATGGGCAGATCGCAGACGCGTGGGGCCAGGCTGGGACAGGGGCCGGACCGGGTATATATGGCCGGGGATGCGCAGCCAGGAGACGGGCCAAGCCACACGGGACCCAATCCGCAGGCCCGCCGGGATCTCGGCGCGTGTGATCTCGGACCAATGCCAGCGCGGGCGCGGGGAGATTGGGGCAACCCGCTGGGTGCTTGTGCTCGCGAGCAGATCCAGATTTGCGTTCTGCCTGGGGGTGGGGGAGCGAGGAGTCGTGGGAAATGGCGGTGCGTGGTCGGCTGGCTGGAACGAGGCAGGGGTCGATGGGGATCAAGGCCCAGCTGCACACCAGGACCATGATGTGCGGTTGGAGAGGGTCTTGATCGAAGGCCCGTGCGAGCATAACCGGGGCCGTTCCCCGACCGATCCATGCCCGAGTGCACCGGCGAATGTCTCCCAGCGGACACATCGAGGAGTTTGGAGAGCTTTGCATCTTTCCGCTGCCAGGATCCGCAGCCGCCCCACAGCCAGGATCCAAACATCCAGGCGGGCTCCTCTTCCGCATCGCCGACTCGATGCTCCGACTTCCCGCTGCGGTGCAGGGCGCATCACAGCAGCATCGCAGCAGCATCACAGCAGCATCACAGCAGCATCACAGCAGCAGCACAGCAGCAGCGGCGGCGGTCCTCGCGGACTCGCCGTTGCCGCTCGATGCCGTCCGGCTGCAGGCCAGGCCACCGTCGCTGTGTCGTCGCCGTCGTTCATAACGCCGACATCAGCTTCCGCCTCATGCGGTCATGTCCGCCCTTGCTGCACCGTCGTATTCTCGCACCGCCTCCGAGGCCGTCTCCCTTGTCTCCCAGCTCTTGCTCGAGTGATTTGCAAGGATGCGTCAACCTGAGCAAACGACGAAAAAAAAAGGAAAGCTGGGAATGCCCTCCTGGAACCAGCCTCGACGATGCTCGGGAGGCGCCGGCTTGATCCCACTCCCATCCGCCCACACACATCCAGGAAAATACATCCGGCACCTATCGTCGTTCGGATGTCACCGTCAACAAGCCTGCAGTCTTGCGACGATCCCAATGAGTACTTGCCGTTCCTCTGCCTGGCTCGATGGTGCTTGGCTGCTTCCCGGACTCGATTGTCTCCCGGATGTGCCCTGTGCGCTTGCTGCTGCCCCATCGTATTTGGCCATCGTGTCAATATGTGCCTTCGACCTTCTCACCGTCTCCTCTGCCGTCCGTTCCCCGCCCGCTCGTGCTTCGTCCAGCGCCCTGACCTCCAAGAATGCCGAGTCCGATAGGCACAGCCTGCTGTCGTCCATATCCATGAGCTCGTCGTGCGCCATGCTCGACGGAAGCCGATCCTCGGATCTGCCGCTTGGCTCGCCCTCGGACTCACTCCGGCGGCCTCCCTCATCGGTGGGGTGCTCCGAGTCCACAGCGAGCACCACGCCGACCCAACCCTTCGACACTATCAGACGAGAGCCCCTTGGCCTGCGCGACCCGCTGCATGGCCCAGCACGGCAGTCCATTTCGGATCGCTCTTCGATTTTCATCCGGACATGCGCAGGCTGCCAAGAGCCCATCTATGACTGGTCCAGTGCATTCGAGATCAATGTGGCCAACAAATGCCACATTATGGTGGGCAAGTGCTTCCACTCCCAATGCTTCAGATGCCACACCTGCAAGCTCCTGTTCGACAACAACAATCCATGGATCCCCTTCAACAACGAAGTGTATTGCGAGACTCACTATCATCAAGTGCAGCCCAACTCGTGCTATTCCTGGTGGGTGCATGCAGGTCATTAACCGTGGCCAGCACCATGACTGTGGGGTCGCCCCCTTGCCGCAACGAGACTCGATACTGAACAGACGCCTCTCCGAACCATGCCTCGTCTGCCTGCCCTGTATCCAGCAAGCTGAACATCGCCGACAACCCCGCACATGCCCTTGGCAAGCTCTGGCATCGCGAGCACCTCCAGTGCGAGGTCTGCCAGATCCCTGTTCCGGACGAGCATTACGAACTCCAGGGCAAGGTCTACTGCGCATCTGACTATGATCGAATCACCGCCGACAGATGCAAAAAGTGTACCGAGATCATCTACGGCGAAATCGCATATGCGATGGGATCCAAGTTTCATCTGCGGTGCTTTGTGTGCAACGCCTGCCAGCTCCCGTTCCGGGGACAGAAGTATTTTGTCTGGAACTCGGAGCCACACTGCAAATCATGCTACTATCGAGCCATCGGTTGCATTTGCAGCAAATGCGAGAAGCCCATTGAAGGTTGGTGGCTCGGCGCCGAGAGGCTGCGCTATGTCTCGATTCCTGTGGGCCTGGGGCTGTGCCAGCTGGTGTCGGCCATGCGTCAGTCCAAGTCAAGCGAGCCAGCACCGAGTGCGTCAGCGGGCTATTCCATGCTGTGCACAAAGTGCATCATTCACGCAGAGGTCCGGTTGGCCAAGTGGCATTCCTTTGGATCTGTGCTGACGCATCCAATCTCTCTCTTTCAGACACATGCGTCGAAATCCCAAAACTCTCAAAGCTGTATCATACCCACTGCTTCACTTGCGACACATGCCACATTCCTCTCTCGGGAGGGTACTACTCCTTCAACGGCAAATCGTACTGCGACCGCGACATTCAGGAAGCCTACTTGCGGGCCAAGCGAGGGTGCTCAGAGCCGATCTTGAAAAAGCTGTCGCTCGACCAGGAGCGACGCCACCTGCGGTCGAGCACGCCGAATCCGGGCTTTTACTGATCACGGCGGCTGTCTCCGCCTCATTTGATTCCGTCGATATGTACCCACCCACGGCGGCGGCATGTTGAGCAACTCCCCCGAGTGCTCCGCTCGTGTCAGTGATTGCATGTCAAGCTATTCTATTTATTGTCCTCCAGCAGCAGGACACCCATATATCATGGTTGAAGAAGCGGGCCGAGCAGTGTTCGTCGATGAAGTCGTTGCTTCGCCGTTGTTGTCGCCAATCATGGCTGTCAAGTGCATCTTGGTTGACTGTCCATGGATCTTGCCCGTTCCACTGGCTTTTGTCAATTCGACGTAAATATGCAAGCACTCGCTTCAATACACTATTCAGAGAAAGTGACTCTGTCCCATCTTTGCAGTGTCCGCATTGCTTCGGACAGCCCGCAGACATGTACAATCGAAACGGACCACCTCGGCAACCACAGGTGAAGTTCATGGCCGGTGTGCGATGCTACGAGACTGCAAGTCGTTTGATCGCTGTCCAAATGCTGGGCAATTCTGCTCCGTTCTGGACATGCAGTTCGAGCGACGAATTGGCTTCTCTGTGGCTGGCTTGATGCTCCAGAGCCAGCCAGCCACACATTGGCTCGTCACATGCCATCGGTCCTGGCTTTGATCGATCGCACATCAATCTCGGATCGGTCTCGAACTGCACTCTCGACCATCTTTGCTTGCGGCCCTGCAGCAGAATCCAGCTGGGCGATACGCAAAGGGCCTCAGAGACAGAGCCGAACACAACTCGTGGCCCGGCAAGCTCGCACCTCGACCATGTCCAAGCGATCTTCACCCGAAACGCTCTCTCCGCCGCCAAGCAGCAAGCAGCCCAAGACCGACAATGGCAGCAGCACGAGCGGCCAAGGTATGCGTCCCTTCGCCACGCAATCGTTTAAGCAGGAAGAGTGTGGTATATACCCGTAAAGATACGAGCGAGGGTCGGCGAGTATCGCATGGTGGAGGGTCAGCGACCAAAAGCAGACGGCACGGCTCCTCGTCAAGCTTCGAGAGCGATTCAGTCGCGAGCCTCTCGTCGGCACCGGCAATCGACTTATCCGGCGAGCTTTGATCGCTGTTGCGGCAGAATCCATGCTCTACTCGCAGCTGCCTCTTTCGTTGCTCAAGAATGACGAATACAAGATCCCGATCGACCCACCGACCACCAAAGCCTTTGTCGACTCGGTGCTCTCGACCACATCAGCCAACAGCAATCAGGTTTACGGCGCCAAGGTGGCAGGCAAAGCTCTGCTCTTTGACAACCCACCCAAGAAATCGGCTCTGGCAGAGCTTGCCCAGACGTCTTCCGGATCCGCAGGCGGGCCGGCAGGTCTTGCGAAACGCAAGCACAGGAGCAAGCACGGCATGTCGGCCCAGAAGCGCCGCGAGCTCGGGATCTTTGACCTCTCGGCCGAGGACAAGAAGGCACTCAAGTTTGCCGACTTTGTGGGGCTGGCCAAGCTGTGGACCGGATATATGGACGAGCTGCTGTCGGAACACCAAGCCGCCGGAAAGGCCCCGGGGAAGCCAAAGACGCAGCGCTGGGGAAGCGATCCCGCCGTTCAAGCCAAATTAGCCAAGGCAGACTATCACGGCTCGGTGCTGACGGGTAGGTGCCTCGGGATCAGCCGAAGCCGAGGATCTCTTCGTCGGCGATATTGTTATCGATGGCTGTCCGGCTCGTGGGTCGGGAGCTGGTTCACGGTGGGTCGGGAGCTGGTTCATGGTGGCTCCGCGCAAGCGACGACATCGTGCCACTACTCTTGGATCCGCCAGAGTCAAACTCAGTCGCTCTTCGGCTCGGCTTATTCATGTGTATTGCTGCTGTTCAACGATCTCGCAGTCGTCAAGTCAAAGTGCCCTTCGTACGTTGGCCTCTCGGGAATCTGCATCAAAGAGACCGAGAACATGTTCTATCTCATCACCAGCAAAGACGAGTACAAGGGTACGCACGAGTGGGAGATGCAGCCATATTCCCAAGATTTAGCGTTGCTGGCGTCTGCAATAGTCGTCCAAATGTCGCAGCGCCAACTCGCCACCGTCGCATGCGAGGCCGTGTCACGCTAACTAGTATCTGCGGATGGGGGCGATCGCTGTTGCAGCCGTGCCCAAAGCAAACAGCATCTTCACCACGAAAATCAAGGACCATGTGTTCTCTCTCTACGGTAACCAGCTCATTGTCAACCCTGCCGAGCGGGCTTCCAAAAAGTTCAAGAGCCGTGTGTCGATCAATTTGTGAGCGGTTACGGCTCGGCATCCTGCCTTCACAGCCAGGCCAGTCCAGGTATCAGGCCTCGCAAGGGCGGCTTCTAAGGATTGGATTCAAGCTAGCTATCCAAACCACTCGGGCAGTGCCTGGTTGGCATTTGCCGGGGGAAAGCTCCGCCTGGATGCTGGCAGGGTGTGGCTCGTCATCCACAGAGGCATCGAGCCTCGCCAAAGGAGCACCATTTGCTGGACTGCGAGCCGCCCACGAATGCGCCTGTTCGATGCAGAGCAAATGGGTGCGTCCTTCCTCTGACGTTGGCTTGTGGCGGCATTTGCGACCTCCCCAATACATCCCAGCCATGCGCCTCAACCGATACCCACGGCCCAAAAGCATGTCCAGCACGCAATATCCGTGTCCTTCTCGTGCCGGATGACTCGCTGTTGCTTGAGGACGCTGATCGCACTCAGGGCGTGATGGTGTATCATGTACGCGCGATATGGTCCCCCCCCCCGCGCTTCATTTTGTGAGAGGTTGCAAAGGCCATCCAAGAAGCGGACAAAGTTCTCATTCCCACGCTCACCGGAAAACAAGAGAGAGGCGTGATGGGTGACTGTATTCCATCAATAGTAAACATGGAGAAATCGGGGTGTGGGTATCCCGCATACACTTCCTTTTTTTGCTGCATTTGTTTTGTTTTTGTTTCCATTCTTCATTCTTCCAAAATTAACCGCTGAAGGGCTTGGCAGGGAGGATGGCACCAGCAGCCTCGCCAAAGCCGATACGGACGTTCTGGCCATCAACAAGGCCCTCGCAGTAGCCTCGCAGGATGATCTCATCGCCGTCTTCCAGGAAGGTGCGGGTCTCGCCCTTGACGTTGACGGGGTTGGCGCCGTTCCAGGTCAGCTCGAGGAAGGAGCCAAACTCGCTCTGGTCCTTGCCGGAGATGGTGCCGGTGCCGCAAAGATCGCCAGTGCGGGCGTTGCAGCCGTTGATGGTGTGGTGGGCGAGCTGCTGCTTGAACGACCAGTACATGTACTTTAGGTTAGACTTGACAATGGTGTGAGCCTCGGTATGGTTGCGGGCTGGAGGAGGGGTGAGAAAAGCAGCGGATATGTCAGCACGAAGGCACTGCTATTGCTGCATGGACGGATTGTACACCAGGGAACCGGATGCAACCCTGATCGAGAGCAGCAACGCAGTCACCAAATCCGGTGATGGGAACAAACGCAGCTGCAGGACTGCGCTACTTACGCTTCCAGTCAACTTCGAGCTTGATGTCGTAGGTGTTCTTGTCCTGGGTGGGGTCCTGGAGATAGGCGACAGGAGCGGGGTCCTGATGGGGCTGGGCAACGCGGAAGGGCTCGAGAGCGTCGAGGGTGACGATCCAGGGAGAGATGGTGGTGCCAAAGTTCTTGCCAAGGAAGGGGCCAAGGGGAACGTACTCATAGGACTGGATATCACGGGCTGTATCAGGCACAGAAACCCACCAGATCGACGAAAACGGGTCAGAACAGTGTGGGTAGGAGAAACTGCATACATCCACGGACCGACTGCGACAGACACATGCGCCATGTGCACCGAAGGCCTCGGTCGCCAAATAGCAGTGGGCGACTTACCACTCCAGTCGTTCATGACGACAACACCAAAAATATGCTCCTCGGCATCCTTGACGCTGATGCGGTCGCCGAGCTTGTTGCCGGTGCCGACAAAGAAGGCCTGGAGATACCCAAGAAAACGACTGTCAGGAGCAGTCAAATGACAATCGACACGGTGAAGCATGAGGGCATGCACGGCACGCACGGCACGATAGACGGGCAGACAACGGTCGGGAAAGAGATGCTGTACCCACCATCTCCAGCTCAATGTCGAGCTTCTTGGAGGCGCCAAACTCGGGGAGCTTGGTGGCCGGGTTCAGGATCTGACCGCAAGGGCGGTGCAGCGGAGTTCCGGAAACGACGACGGAGGACGAGCGACCATGGTAGCCAACGGGAATGTGGACCCTGAGGACGGCAGGAACAACAGATGAGTCAGGCGACCGCAGCTGGTGCTCCACGGGAACGCAGCCGAGCGGGCAAAGGAATCCCGGCATTCCTTGTGACCCGAGAATGCGGGGATTAAGATGATCGAGCCACTCGCTGCCCGGATCCATATTGCCCGAGGGCACTGGATGGAATTGTGCTCACCAGTTGGGCATGAGAGCGTTGTCCTTGCCGCGGAACATGATGCCGACGTTGGTGGCATGCTCCTTGGAGGCGTAAAAGTCGGTGTAGTCTCCGATCTCGGCGGGCAGGTGGTTGGTGACATGGGCAAGAGGGACCAGGATCTTGGCCTGCAGCTCCTGCGATTCGCGGAGGTCGACGACAGGGCCCGAGGCAGCAAGCAGAGCCTGCAGGGTGTGGCGGGCTTCTCTCCAGGCGGGGCGGCCCAGGGCCATGAAGGCATTCAGCGAGGGCTGGATGCGATGAGCAAGAAGACACAGGTATTGGTCAGGCCACGATTGCAGACACGGAGCATCGCATCGATCGCTGCCCACACAGAAACAGCCGAGTATCGCCCGGATCATGGGTAGCGACGCTGCCCGTCCGGATGGAGCCGTAATTGCACTCACCTTGGAGAAGACATCCTTGGCAACGGCCTTGAGGAGAGGGCCATTGAACAGACCGGCCTCGGCAACGGCGCGGAGATCGACAGCATGATCACCGATGACGGTGGCAGGACGGGGAGTAGCCTGGACGCGGGAGAGAGTGTCATGATCAGCGATCGGCCATGACGAGCCATGCTAGCTTGCCCACCGGATCTGCAGACAGACATCTACACATGGTCCAGACGGCATGGCGATGGCACTGCATGGACAGTTGGCTCGCATACAAGGCCGCTTGGGCTCGCATGCAAGTCAACGATGATGCACTTACATCCGAGGCAGTCGAGATGACGCCAAAGGGGATGTTCTGGATGGGGAAGTGCGAGCCGGCAGGGACGTTGACGAAGGACATGTTTGCGATGAGCGATCTGGTCAGCACAGTGGAGAGCAGCAGCTGCGATGGCTTCATAAGCTTCGAGATGGCGGTGTGTGTCGGGGGGCCTGCCGCGGCCGAGGCGGCTTTTGAGCTGCGAGGCCGACAAGGGCACCAGCCGCCCAGCAAGCGCGACGGAGCCAGGGCCGTGTGTGTGTGCGCATGGTGCGCGAGCCCACCCTTCCCGGTTTCGCCTATTCTCTCTCGCCGGGCGCTCTCTCGGCGCGCCGGGTGCGCGCCCTGCGGGGCTCTCGCCGCCGCCTCGCTCCTCGCTGCGCTCTCGTTGCCGCCCTGCCGCTGTGCGACGCTCGGGTGCTGACTCAGCGCGCCTTGCCTCGCTCCGACACAGACGCTGCTGCCACAGACGGGCGAGATCCGATCGGCTTGTCCCTCGAGACCTCCAGATCCGATTGGCTTGTGTCCCATCACCGCCGTTCCCACGGTCGGCGCCGTGTGCCTTGCATACCCGAACGATCGAGCAAGACCAGCGAGTGTCATGATGGAACTCCCGGCGAGTCTCATGGCGCAATTGTCTCGGCGAGTCTCGTGCATCCGACTCAACCCAGCCCAACTCACTCGGGGCCAAGCTGCCTTTGGTACACAGACTCGGTCACTTCGTGTTGGCAGGCACGGCTGCATGCCATCCTCGCCATCACATTCGACAGCGAGCCGGCTGGCTCTCCGCCCGCCAGCTGTCCAGCGTCGATTCCCAGTCCGTCTTTTTGCGGTCGAGCTCCTCGATCTTCTCCCTCATCATCTCTGTCTTGAACCTTTTCCACTCGACCATCTGCAGCCACGTTTCCTGCAGCTCCGCATACGACAGATAGCACCCCGTGGTTTCGGTAATTATCTGCGCCATCATCTGCGGGTTGACCACCCGGCAGAACTCGAGCTTGTTGATCGACACGAGCTCGAGCTGCGTCATGGCCGTGACGGTGGTGTAGGCCGGGGTGACGCCATAGAGGTCCTGCTTCGTTATGGTGCGCTCCACCTCGACGGGATCCACGCCGTTGATCATCGGTGTCTCGTGAACCTTGCCGGGAAAGATAAACTCGGGGAATATCGCGCCGGCATCCAGCTCGCGAATAATCAGCGTTTCCTCCACGACTTGGCCGGGCTCCGGGACCTCGCCGCTGGCCTGGTCGAGTGGGTATCGCTTCATGACTCGCTTGCCGTGGACCATCTTCACAAGGAACTTGACCCGCTTCGAGATTCGCACCCGCCCAGACACAACGACAAAGATGTTTCCGTTCGGCTCGTCCTCGATCAACACCGTCTGGCCGTGGTCGTATGTCTTCTTTTGCGACTTTTGTGCCAGGCTCTTGAGGATGTATTGGTCCGGGTCGTTGAGCTGAAAGAGCGGGATGCTGGAGAGAACATCGACCCGCACTTGGAGCTCCTCTTCGGTGTCGTGCCCGAGCGTGATGCGGATGTAGTCGTCTACCAAGGGATATGCGGACCATTTCAGCCGACACTCACCAGAGTTTGCGTCAGCGCCGACATGGCCTACCTTTGTACACCCGCAGAAACTCCGAGTCCATGGTGCATTGTATCGTGGCTGTCCGGAGTCGGGAGGATCTGTCGTCGCAGGCCAGCTCGCCAAAAGTGCAGCCGGCGTTCAGCATGCGCATGTGCACTCTGCGATCGTCGAGGCCATACTTCCAAACTTCGCACTGCCCGCTCAGGAGAAAGTAAAACGCCGACCCAATGTGGTCTTGTTTGATGATGACGGAGCCCATCGGGTGCATCTCGTAGCCCATGACCTCGATGAAACGGGTTCGCTGCTCGCTGTTGTAGCTCGCGAAAGCCGGCATCCGGTTGATCAGCAGACGCTCGAGCGATTTGAGCTTTTGCGGGTCGCGCATGTAGCAGGGCGATATCAACGTTTGTTGGACCCTCTCTGTCAGTGCCTTGTCGGCCGGAGTCTGGAAGGCCCGCAAGGTCCCAAGCAGACTCATCTGAGTCTTGCGGGCAGGTATGCCATGCGCTTCGTAGTGGCCCAAAGGCGCAAAGACGCTTCGGATCCGGATAAAGGTGATGATGATCCGAATGGCAGACTTCCAGCGAGCTCGCGCGCGCTTGGGATTATGGAGGATGACCGAGCCTGTGTCAAAGTTGGTCATCATCAGCTCGGCCGGCGTGAGAATCGAACGTGGGGCTGGCACATCGGCCCGGCTGACCGACAGAGGTGTGAGTAGATCCGAGTTCAAGGTCGTGGATTTGGTCGATTCGAGCGTACACTTTTGGGTGGCAACAATGTCCTGGCGGATAGGACCCATGCTCTTGGTGGAATAGTGACCAAAGATGCTCTTTCGCTCCGAGCGCTGGCGAATCGCGCTTATGACCTCGACAGTGATGGCTGGTAGCTGGCGCTGCTCAAAGTAAGTCGCGGCCGATTCAGACAGATGGTCGTAGTTTCTTCTGTGGGTGAGCGTGGACGTGAGCGGCTTCAGGATCCTGGAGTGGTCTTTGATGATGTCGCCGGCACGTTCGCGAAGTGGGAAATTAGCAGGGCCGTCGAACAGATGCGGGGACCACCTCTTGTTTGGAGGCTTGTCGAGGGACTTGATGCTTGGGATCGAGCATGGTTTGACCGTGGCTTCGTGAATCTGTTGCGCGGGCCCGGCCGGGTTGAATGGTGGGTCCTTGGGTTTCGGCAAGGCCCGGCTGTGGTCAGCCAAGAGGTTGTCTGCGCGATGCTGCTGTTGATGCGACTGTAGCTGCGGAAGGTGCTGTGGTTGACCGGATGGGTGAGGTTTCTGCTGCGGATTTGGCTGGTTGAGCAGCCGTGCCAGCTGAAAGCGATGATGTGCAGACGGAATACGATGTCGGAGATCAGTGCTGTTCTGCTGAAACCGGTCGTGAAGCCGACCGAGGATGCGCTGACCTCTCCAGTCAGGGCCGACCAGCGGCGGAAGCTTGTCCTGGGGCCGGAGAGGCGATTCGGGCTGTTCGCAGCCGAGATGTGGTGGGCCGGAGAGTGCAAGTAAGCATCGACAACATCGTGAGCAAGGCCATCCAGCGGGTATCATATGTCGGGCAGACAGTGAGGAAGACAGCGACCGACCTGGACACCCATGTCTGGCGAAATCAGATGCTTGAATTGAGGATGACTGCAGTAAAGTGTACTCGAGCCAGAGAAGTACGACGACTAGAATGTGGTTGGCAGCGTGCGATATCGAGACGATGCCACGGCGCCTGGTTGTGACGACGGTGGAGGGCAAGGTCGAGGTGGGGCCGGGGCGCCGCGCACATCCGACGCCCACTGCCTTGCCCAAGATGCCCGCCCGATTCAGCGCGGCGTGGATGTTCCAGAAACAGACCCAGACGGGCTGTCGCACTGCCGTCGCGAGCCGGGGATTCTGGAGAGAGCCAGCGTTCCCGTGTGGGGCACGACTGCCAATCCGGTGGCCATCACAATGACCGAATCGAAGGGACTGTTGTTGGCGAGCCATCATGGCAGCCGTGGTCGCCGTCGCTGGACTCGGAACGCGGGCCTGCTTCCGCCGACAATGGGTGGTGCATTCCGAAGCCAAGCATGCCGAATGTGCCAAGCATGCCGAATGTGCCAAGCATGCCGAAGATGACCCATGTGCTCCGTCGAGCGCAATGTTGGAGCTTTGTGCTGACTGGCTGGCTGACACGGCTGGTTGACTGACTGGCTGGCTGGCCTGCTTGCCCTCTTCTTCATTCCCGCAGACCATGTCGATGTCAAAGAGCCGCGTCTTGGATGGGTGAGATGCAGGTATAGAGAAATGACAGTTCGCCCTGGCCCTGTGGGCACGCGATATCCGCTTGTCCCACCGCCGCGCCACAGCGGCGGTGACGCCATCCAATGGGACAATGGCGAAGTGCGGCGCGGTGAGTCAGCCACCAGCCCTTCTCGCTTCTCTTCTCGCTGTGCGTCTCGCTGCTCGCCATGCACCTCGTCGTTCCTTTCGCAGATCAAAATCCGTCGCCGTCGCATTCCATCGCACTTTCGCCGTCGACCTGATCCATCCTCTGGCTTGATCGAATCAATCCTCCGTCCCGGTCGCTCATGTTCGCTCCGCCGCTCGCAACGGTCTTGGTCGCGCACCTCTTCATGGATCTCGCTGCCGGAGGACCGACACCGACGCCGCCCTCCGTCCGCCGCACGTCACTCACCAATCGCCGTCACGCAGCCTTCCCCACCCGCTGGCCGCCGTCCTGGCGCATGCCCGGACTTCTTTGAGGCGTGCCCCCACTCCCGTCTCGTCCGTCGCTCGCCATCGCCGGCAAAGACCACAACCCACCCCTGCCGCCATCGTCCGCTCAGCCGGTGCCTTGCACACGACGCCTGCATGCCTGCCGACATGGTGCCATCCGACGAGCCAGCCACCATGTCCTCGGCCGCCACCGCCGATATCACCCCGGTCGATCCGCCGTCCCCAAGCCCGCTCGCTCCCCCAACGCCTGGCCCAGCATCCAGCCCATCCATCTATTCCCGCATCGAGTCCATGTTCCCTATCCTCCAATGGCTGCCGCAGTATCGTCTCCAGTATCTCTACCGCGATATCATGGCTGGCATCACCATCGCGGCGCTGATCGTCCCTCAGGTAGGCAGAGTGAGCTCCGCGCGGCTTCCTGGCCGTCTGGCTCCTGTTGGCTGGGGCTCCTCCGAAAGCTTGCTGGCCCAGCACTGTACTCGTCTCTCAATCGCTCTCGCCTCCTCTTTCAACTGCATCGATGACCTCCAGGGCATGGCCTACGCTGGTATGGATCAGGCAACGAGCACTTGTCCTTGAATCCCCCCTCTCCTGCAACGACCTGCGCTAATTTTGGTGCTCTCTCCAGTGATGGCCAACCTGCCTCCCGTCTATGGGCTCTACGCATCGATATTCCCATCATTGATTTACCTCTTTGTCGGCACGACCATATTCATGAGCATCGGTAAGTGCGTCCGGCACACCGCTGTCCCGTTCTCGCGAACGGCAAGCACCTCCGGCTTCCCGAAAGCCCGGAAGCCCCATGCGTCACTGCACAGCAACGGTGGCAACTCTTGGCTAATGCCCGGTCGCTCCGTTTCCCCTCATCCAGGCCCGTTTGCTGTCGTCTCGCTGATGGTTGGAGATGTCGGAGTCAAGGGCTATGAGATTGTGCAGGCGATGCGCAACTCGACCGTGGCCTCCGCCGAACTCGCCCAGCCGCCGGCCTTGTCCGATTCGCCTGTGCTGGTGTCGGTGATTCTGTTCCAGGCCTTTGCCATCGGCGTGGGACTCGTGCTCCTATCCTTTGTGCAGGCGGGCAAGTTCCTTTCCAAGCACATGGTGTCCCTCCCTATGCTCGCCGGCTTTTCGGCTGCGACCTCGCTGATCATCATCACGTCGCAGCTCCGCCAGGCTTTTGGCCTCGTGTTCCCAAAGCAATCGGGCATCTTCAGCCTGCCCATGACCTGGTGGCAGATCATTATCAACAGCCAGACCTTTGATCCGGCGACTTCGCTCGTCTTTGCTGCCTCGGTGGCTCTCATGCTCGGTATCAGCACGTCCGAATCAGCTTTTCGCAAGTGGCTCGCCTCGCGACCGGCTCAACGCACCCACCAAAGCGTTCCCACGGATCCGGAGCAGCCCAAGAACCCTCGCGCCAACGCAACATCGTCGTCCTCACCTGTGGCCCAAAACGCCATCCCAGATGTTCTCGTTACCGTCTTGGCCTTCATCGTCCTCAGCATCGCCATGAAGCTGTCCACTGACTATGGCATCGACGTTGTCGGCCCGATTCCCGCGGGCTTTCCAGCACCAAGGGTTCCCTGGGACAGCCTATCGTTTGCAGAGTGCATGGCAATCCTGGGCGGCTGCTCCGTTGACCTGGTGGCTCTGTCTCTGGTTGCCTTCGTCACAACCTTTTCCATATCGACGACATTCGGCCGCCATCGAGCCACCAAGCCTCTGATTGTCGATCCGATTCCAGTCTCCCCCTCATCGCGCTCGCCGGCTCCATCCTCATCACCCATGATCGCCGCGACGCAGCTTCCATCCGACCCAACACCGACCATCGCCAACGTCCACAAAGCCATCACGAGAGCCAGTCTGGCTGTCCCAGCACGCTACGGCACTGTGCACGTTCCAGGCGATCGCCAGACTCCACGCCAGTCCGAAACCTCTCTGCTGCTGACCGACGGCGAGGACGCGGTGCAACCAAACCAGGAACTCTTTGCCCTTGGGCTCGTCGCTTTGCTGGCCGCATTTGCCTCGTGCTATCTCCCCAGCGGCTCGCTCTCGCGAAGCGCCGTCGTGGCCAACCGCACCGAGGCACAATCCCTGGTGGCTGGCCTTGTGTGCGTGTCGATCGTCATGGTCGTCGTGAACTTCTTGACGGCCTGGTTCGAGGCCCTGCCCATGGCCGTGCTCTCGTCCGTGACCATCGTGGCCCTGTGGAAGGTCGTGCTTACGATTGCCCATGTCAAGACCCTCTGGTACAAGGGTTGGAAAAAGTCCAAGTCGCTCTCGCAAGACTGGACACTGGCAGACTCCCAGAGCATGGCGGTCATGCGACAGTCCCCCTCCGAGATGGACATCCTCGTCGCATCCAAGCGCAGCCCAACCAATCTCCACGGCAATTTCGATCTATCCAACCGCGTAAGCAGCGATGGCAGCCGCAACAGCGACGAAATCGAGGAAGGCGTTGCCTCGCTGCGCCCCACGCACTTTCGAATGACGGTCCATCGTGCCCTTACCTTTGCCTATGCGTACCGCGATGCCGTTGTCTGGACGATGACGTTTGTCTCTGTGGCTGTGTTTGATGCCCGGATCGGTATCGTCGCTGGCATTGTCATCGTGTCGGCCTACAAGCTCATATCCTACTTTGAAGCACGTACCCGTCCTCATTGATAGCCTCAGCCGCAATCACGGGCAGCAAAAGCAAGGCGACTGGCCTCCCCGACATCCGCTACGACAAAACAAGAGCGCATAAACACCCACTCCGATACGTGGGTGAAGTGGGAGATCCTGGCTGAGCCTCTGTTGGCTATTTTTCGAATCCCGAATGCACATGGTTTCCCCCCTGTAGCCAAGAGCACCATCGTTCATCATTCATTGTTCACCATTCATGTCACATTTTGCATCATCATCAAGAAATCTTGGCATCAATGCAGCCCGGAATGGGACCACTGCACGCAAATCTGTCGATCATGGCGATCAGCCCTCGCGCATTCACGACCCACGGCAAACTTGCAATCGACGACAGATGTCACCAACCACAGTCTCACCGTACCGATTCAAGGTCATTGACCAGTGCCATTGTTGGCGGAGTGCCACCCCCATAATTTCAGACTTCAGTATCAAAACATGGGCGTTTCGTTCCTCATCGACAGAGCTTTAGTGATCCTGACAATACACATCCTCGCATAATCCACTGCTCGTGACGTCAAGCCCATCCCTGCGACCGCCCTGATCGCCGCCTGACCCCTCTCTAGGCCCACGCATGACAGTCCTGCACAGCCTACAATTCGTGTGCTGGTCACTAGATGCATAGACGGCGCAGGTCGCAGATGGTCTCGTGGACAGCTTCCTGGACAGCTTCCTGGACAGCTTCCTGGACAGCCTTCACGGCCTGAGTTTCGGTTGTACCGGAGGTTCCGTGGTCGTCGTGCAGCCGTTCCCATGAGTATTGCAGAGTTGCTCTGAGACTTTGGCGCGTTCTTGCAGCCATGTCGTTCACCTGGGCTCGGACGGCGCTTTGCCGGGCTGCAAAGTATATGCGAGTCTTCTCGAGCGAAGATTTGCCGGCACCCGGCGGCGGTGGCAATGACGACGACGACAGCGAAATCGGCAGCGCCGACATCGAGTCGGGCGAGCTCCATGCCGCTTTCTTGACCCGACACAGCAGTTTCTCTGCAGCGGACTGGATGGACTCTCGATGACATTGGTCTGGCAAGCGGTGGTGGTCCTGGCTCGGTGTAGACCCGATGGAACTGGAGCGAGAAAAGACCCGCATCTTGCCTGTCAGGAGCGCCGTCATGCTCGACACCATTCGTCTGTGGTTCTTGCATACTGATGCTGGACTGGCTTCGGACTGGGCTTCGCTGTCGACACCGTTGAGCAAATGGATGTACTGCACACCGGACTTTGGACCCGACCCATCACCTCGAGCCTTTGTATCCGCATTTGCATACGCATTTGCACCTTCATCTTCCTCCGCATTTGCAAGGATCGAACTTGACGCTGGGCTGCGCGGATCATGATGAGTGCTGTTTCCGACACGTGTGTCCGGCAGGGAATGACCTTGAGATTGTGCCGAAATCGATGAGAGTACATGTGGCGTCGATGTAGTCCGCTTGATCGCTCGCTTTGCTTGAACAGTGTCGTCGGAAACTCGTCGGTACGATGGGCGGACTGGTTGCTGTTGGCTTGCGCTTGCGCTTGCACGCATTGCGACACCGTCCAGCGCACGAGAGAGCGCCTGGCAATCACCAGAGTCTTCTGCCAGCCTCTGTTATTTTTTTTTGGTTATAGCAGGGCGAGAGAGTGTGTGTGAACGATGAATGAAACGAAATATGGATGAGATGGAGCATGCAGTGTTGGCATCGGGATAGCGCAGCACACTTTTGTCCCCACTGGCGTCGTGGCTTGCCTTTCTTCCGCCCGCAAGTCGACTGCGGAGGGCAGCCATGCGGTATTTCTGGGCACTGGAAACCGGAGAATCGCACTGCACTGAAATGGGGTTTTGGTTGTGGATAGACGCTTGGGGTTGTGGGAGAGCAGCGGACGGCACTGATCCCTGCACCTTGACCGGAGGAACGTCGGGGCGATGTGGATGGTGGCGACGGACAGGTACATGCCGGTGAGTCAAACAGCCAATCCATTGCCGCAAACTGAATGAGCGAGTCCTTACCCTGGCAGCGACTTTGGCTGGCTGTGCGTTCGCAGGGACGCATGCGCGGGGATGCTTCTGGCCGTCTGGGGCACGTCGGCCATGGATGTGCTCTCTTCCCTTCAGAGGATGGCCTCTGATGCGACTCTCCAGCTCCTCGACCCGGTGCTGGACGGTCTTTTCGAGAGGCGTCTCTCCAAGTATGTAGGGATACTCGTGCATCACCAGCTCTCGAGCCGAGCGGTGGTCGCGCTCCTCTTCCTCGGTCCGGAACAGCCACGATATGTTGACATTACCGAGGTGAAAGTCCTGCGGCGAATGATAGGACGGCGAGCGGGCACGGCGCTCGGCGACTCGATGCAGGAGGATACTCTTCTCAAGCGCGAGATCATGGAAATGCATCTGGCCACGCGATGCCTGTGTCGGGTCATAAGAGCGAGGTCAACAGGCGTAGGAGTGATAGAGTGGAGCAGATGTGGTCTTCCGCATACTGATGACCATTGTGCCCAAGCTCACGGCATCTTTGGCAGTCTGGTCGATTGATGGAATCGCGATCTGCTGTGGCTGGCGAGAATGTGTCGACCACTATCCATCGACGATACCCACGGACACTGACCTGGATGTCCGATACATCTGAATCGTCGTCAAAGTCGACATAGCGTCCCTGCGAATTCTGCAGGTAGCGTCAGAATGTCTGCAGCCCCACCGCCATTACTGCGGCATCCGGAGAACAACAGCCAGCTCGACGAGATGACCGGGGATGATCGGTTTCCGCCAGGCAACTCACTGGAAGCTGGAAGCAAAGTCGCGACGAGAACTCGTCAATGAACACGGGCTTTTCGATCCAGTGGTTGTGCTGGGTGAACTGGAAACGGCCGAGGGACATGCCGTAGCCGGTAAACTGCACGTCGAGACCTTCGAGGTCGCGAATCGCTAACGAAAGCAGATCGCTGCCGCTACTCATGGATGGACTGACACGAGCAACCTGCTCAACTTGGAGGGAGCAAGCGTGGGAGTGGGGGTGAGAGTGAGAATGCGTGGGAGTGAGAGTGAGAATGCGTGGGAGGGAAGCAACTGCAATGATCTCGATCTCGGTCTTGGGTGCGGGCACAGCAGAAATGTCGGTTGGAGACTGGCGAGTCGTGAATCAAGCAATGGAAGAGGGTTGGTTCTGGCGGAGAGTCGATCTGGCTTGGACAAGGCATGGGCCGTGCAAAGCGGGCCAGACGAATCAAGCGCCGTACCCATGATCAGAGTGATTGCACAGAGATGCATAGCGATGCAGGATGAGTCCCGGGCAGCCCGGGTTACCATCGACGACAGCGGCAGCGATGATGAGCGAATGTCTCCTCCCACCCACGGGCGTGTGACACAGATAAGTGTACTAGATTTCAACTTTTTCTCGAAAGAACTGAATTGACAAGCAACAGAGTCGGTGTGTAGATCATTACAGCGCTCCCAGAACGAAATGGGACTCCCTGTTTTTGAGCCAGGACTGTGTTTTTTTCTGTGACCTGAATACACCCACCCACTCATCGCATTCATGGCCAAGCAAGTATGTACAAGGAGACCGGAGTGGTGATTGTCTTTGGGAATGCCTCCTGGAAGCAAGGGGAGGGGTTTGCATCCAGCCCACGGAGACTCCGGTTCGCCAAGTATTTCGAGCAGTTCATCCACTTATGAAGCCAGGAAGGAACTGTCCCGTTTCTTTCTGGACCGACTGTACATGGAGCGTGGGAATGTATGACACTGTACACTTTATTCAGAAAAAAACGGGACAATATAGCCGTTTCCATGAACATGTAGTATGTGCTGTGCTTGCGTCAAGCAAAGCCACAAGAAATAAAACAGATCACTTTGGCAGCCTCCGAGTGAAGACCGCCGGTCGCTCTCCGGTCTCCACAATCGACCTGCATACTGTGATCATGTTGCGCGCCGCGTTGACGTCGCGATTCCACACTGTCCGGCAGCTGGGATTCTTGCAGCTCCTGACAAAGTGGGAATTCGCAACACTGGGCGCATCGAGTCCTTCCAACCGAACTGGCTCCAGGCACTTGGAGCACACTTGCGAGGTGTTGAACTTGTTCGTCGAGGCCACCTTGACGCTTCCATGATGGTGATTGGGACGGCGTCGGTGGTGCTCGAATTGCTCAAAGTACTGAGCAAACCGCTGCCTCCGAGGGCTGGATGCATAGCCCTTGCCCTGTCGCCATGACGCATTGCCAAAGGCGATCACCACATCGGTCCGTATCGGGGCGTGCTTCAGGACGGCCTTGCACATCCTGTCGACGGCCACTTGGCGCCTCTTGTGGCCCGTGAAGCGATGGTGGCGAGCCTTCTTGCCAAGGTGGAAATCGAGCTGCACTCGCAGCTCCGGTCGCAGGACATGAGTGAGATGGACAAGGAAGGCCTCCGAGGACGACACCTTGGGCGAGGGGGTGGTCGACATCCAGGTCTCGATGCTGAGTCGATACTTCATGGTGTTGTGCCACTTGGTGTTGGACGTATGGCCACACATGTGCTGGTAGTGGCCATTGGAGAACGAGACCACCTCGTCTTGGTGGCCCGGTGCTTGGATGACCGTCGTGAAGATGGAGCCGACTCCAGGATCGATGCCAATCCAAGTGGTCCTGTTGGGGTCTGGGTCGCCGATGTGGGCCTGGATGCGCTGCTCGGCAGTCGGAGGAGGCTCGGAGGTCTCGGTGCGATCGGTCCGACGCACAAACTTGACGAGGCCGATGGTGCATCCAATGCCATCGGTGCTGATCTCGTAGTTGAACAGCTTCTTGTTCACGTCCCGCTCTTGGAAGAGGGAACTACGCAGCTTGAAGCAACTGCGCCAGAGACGATCCTGGTTGTTGACACCGTCCTCACCTTCTTCCTTGAGCTTGTCCCAGGTGAGTCCAAGACGATGATCGGTGTCAAGGAGTTGCCAGAGAGTGACCGTGTCGATCTTGACATACTTGGCCGTGGCAGTGCACAGAGGAACTATCGTGCACACGGCCGGAGGAGTGTCGACGGCGAGCTGCTTGAGGGCCCAGTTGATCCTGGATGCCAGCTTGTTGATCTTGGACTTGGTGGTGCCGAGCTCAGACTTGGCGTTGGTGAACCTCTTGTCGTCGGAGGGGATGCCTCTGGCAGTGAGCTCGTCCAGCTTGGCCTGGCGCTGCAGCTCGGTGACTCGGAGGGCGGGCATGTCACAGTCGATCCACTTGTGGACATTGTCGACCATCTTGTCTCGGGCGAGGATTCTCACATGGTGTGAGAGGCGATGGAGGGCCCGGAAGCGGTCCTGGTCGTTGCTGTACCGAAACTCGTCCAGGACGTGGCCAAAGTCTGGATAGAGGAACTCGAGATCGGCCTTGGGTGGAGTCTGCCCTGGTTTCTCGAAGAGCTCGAGACAGGCCTCGATGGCTTCGTGCTTATGCTTGTTGGCTGGGAAGACAGCAGCACAGAAGCGACGAAGGAGTCTCCAGTAGGCCAGGTTGAGGTGGGTCGTGCAGTTGGTGGCATAGGCATTGACAGCCAGGGTGAGAAGCTGACTGTGAGCACCATCAGGCAGACGAGGGGCCGGAGGCAGGTCTGCGTGCCGAGTGGTCTGGTAGTCGCGAAAGGAAGCGACCAGATGCTCGTTGTATTTCTCATTGTCCCTGGTCGGGGAGAGGGCATCGGCCTGGACGATCCTGAAGCATTGGCGAACGAAAGCAGGGGTGGACTTGGAGATGACAGGGACGGGAAGATCCTGCTCGATGCACCGGAGGATATGCAGGTTGAGCAGCCTGGATGCCTCGAACTGGATCTGGGTCATGGCCTCGACGGTGGCCTGGATCTTGTCGCGGAGAGCGGGATTGAGACAACAGCCATCCATCGTCTGCTTGAAGCAGCTGAACTGAGGGGCGGATGACCTTCCATCCACGAGTGGGACGACAGAACTCTTGAGGGGCCGGTATTTGGGACACTTGTTGGTGTTGCAACGTTCGTGATCGGTGCCATCGCACTGGCGACATCGCTTGCTGGTACTCGAGGAAGTAGATGGACCAGGCTCGGTGGGATCGACATCCATTGGATCTGCAGAAGCAGTGGTGGTGAGCGACGGAGCAACAGACGACCAAGCATGCGTGGGATCAGAATACGAACCAGAGACAGGCTCCGACTGTGACTTGGCTTTCTTGGGCCTGGGTGGCCGAGGCTGGCCATCACCGGCACCCTTGCGCTTCGGAGGCATAGGGACAGAGAATGCTGGATGCCTGCCAGTGGTACTGGTCAGAGCAGAGACTTCTCTTTATCGTACAATGGCGCGATGATCCGATCAAGGCGAGATGAGGGAAGAAAGCAGCAGGACGAAGGTGTGGCATTTATACCCGAGAGCAGGAACCCGTCTGCGCGGGCTGGTTGGGGAAGTGACCCTGTTCAAAAATCGCCGAGAGGTTCAAGCCAGGGATGTGAACGCGAAAATGGCGGCTTGATTGGAGGGAACTCAACCCCAGAAGCGCATCGCTCGCTCAATCAGCCGTGGGAAGACATCTGGAAGCACCCTCCGAACGGCAGACGCGAACAGTGCGACCATCCCGACCCTGAGCCCCTCGGACGCATTCAGCGCTACCACCTTCCTGTACTGGTGCTTCACAATCCCAAAGAAGTTCTCGATGGGATTGAAGTCGGGTGAAGCAGGTGGGGTGAAGATCACTGACCATCCTCGGCGATCGATGCAGTCCAGGACAGCCATTGTCTTGTGCATGCTGACATTGTCCATCACAATCACAGAGTCGTCTGGGAAGCTCGCTCGCTCAAAGAACTCGACCATCGAGTGTGTCTTGAATGATGTGGGGATGTACATGCGATGCAGCACACCAGAGTGGTTGATGGCAAATGCAGCCGAGACAGACTTGTGCTTCATGTGATTGCGCTGGCGAAGCGGAGCACCCTTCGGTGAGTATCCGTAGAGAGGGAAAATGGATCTCCTGATCCCCGTCTCATCGACAAAAGCGAATCGTCGTGGGTCGATGGAGCGGACCTGGTCCCTGAACTGTGCCACTCGCTCATCCAGTCGCTTGGACTTGTAGAGGTGTGTTGCCCTCTTGTGTGAGAGACCTGCTCGGTGGATGGCAGTGTGGCAGAGCGAGAGTGAAACTTTCCTCTGGAGGATGGACTCGAGCTTGCACCGCAACACAGGACCAGTCTGGAACGGGTCCTGTTCAATCAGGGTGCGAATGACTGGACATGCCTGCTCGAAGAAAGTGGATCTGCGAGCTGGGACCCGGGATGGGTCATCCAGCTTGCATCCTCGGTGCCATCGATGGATGGTGCTCTTGGATACACTGAATATGGAGGCGACCTTACGCAGGCTATGGATGAGGGCGTAGCATCGCAATGCGGCGGTGCGAAAGTCGGATGTGTGGCGAATGGTCATGGCCAGCGCGCGATAACATTGGGTAACAAAATATTCGATGAATGGTCAAAAACCCGGGTGTCCCGTTTTTTATTGGATTGCCTGTAAAATGGAGCTAGGGAAGGTCGCTCAAGCGAGTCAAGATCTTGGAGCTGTGGATAGCCGTTTCTTGCCAAATACTGTCCAAGCTGACCCCGCATTCGAGCAGAAGAGCACGATTGCTGCCGCCGATGGAGTCGCCTGCTGTTTCACATTTCGTTGCGGAAGCGCCGTCCCCACGGACCAGCATTGGGCAGAGCACCCAACTGCTGGGACCGCTGAGCCCACCACATATTGCGAGTGTGCGACGGCCGCAGTGCCGTGCGGAATCCGCCAAAGGGAATGGGTGGCTGCGGCTGCAGTTGCGGATGTGTATGCGACTCGGCTACCACCGGGTCCGGCAGAACTGTGGCAGGCGGGCGGTAAAAGTGATCGGACGACGGTATTGGTATCGAGATTGGGTTGTTGTCGTGTTCATTGAGACCCTGGAGATCGATGAGGTACTGTGAAATCTCTTCGGCTGTGGGCAGGCGCTGGTCCTGGGGCGACAGGATCTTGGGCTTTTCCTGAGGCAGATACTTTTTCCGGCCTTGGGAAGTGTACTTTGATCGCGAGTTTTGGACGTAGAACCCGGACAGCACAGGTTCACTTGTTTGTTGGCTCTGCTCTTCCAGGGTAGCGCCATTGCCGCCAACAAGTGCACCGTCGCTGGACTCAAAGCTGCTGTCAGGCAGTGGTGTGCTTGAGTGGATTGGTGCAGTGCTGGGAATCTGTTGTTGAGGCAGTGAAAGATCATCGCGACGAATCGGTGCAGCTGTGGACAGAGCTGGCAAGGCGGGAGTGGCATCAGGACCGAGGCGAGGAAGGTAGTCATTCCCACGGATGATCACGCCGGGAACTGCGGGTACCAAGCATGTCGTTCGGAGGCGGCGTTCAGTGGCAGCAGCTGGAGAAACCATGTACTTACTCGTCAAGGCGCACAGGGAGAGGACAACTTCAGGTTTCATTGGGGGCAAGCACAGGTGGGTTGAAGGGAAGAATAGTAATCTGTGCAAAGTCGCTGCAGTGCCTTCAGAGAGTATTACGACTTGGGATGTCGGGCCTGACGATGGGAATGGGTGCGACGATGGTACCGAGAAGGGGAGGGCGGCTGCATCTGGTATTTAACGCCGGGGACGAAGCTCTCGCGACCCTGCGACGGCTCTGGGCGACGACTGAGTCCCATAATGAGATCTGATCAGCGATTGCGAGTCCCAGCCTCCCCCCGCCCCTGCTCAACCAATCACATCGGCGCCGGCCTGTCCTGCAGGCGAGGGCATTCTTGAAGGCAATAATATGCGCACGCGTCCTGGGTCTCTGCAGAATTCTGCGTGATAGGTGCTGGGGAGGCCGAACAACGGACTCCCACAATGCCCATGGCTCAGAAGGCAGTCCTGCGGCCGCAGCATGCTGGCAATGGCGCATTCCGAACGAGCTACATCTTTGTTGGCTGGGCTCGAGAGCGCCTGAATGGACCGAGCACTGCAGGCCATCACAAGGATCGTATGGCAGTCGACAATGGAGTGAATTGACAGTTGCAGGCGGGAGCTGGCGGAAGCTGGTCCGGGGACACCTGCTGCTGCATCCCTTAGATTCGCACATCCTCCTCTGCATACGAGCCCTTTCTCTTCAATCGCTTGCACAGCAGCCGGTGCTGAGTCGGACACGCTGCAAACAGGTGCATGGCCATTGTGAATGATGGACGTATGTGTATTTCCATCCAAAAAAAAAAGGAACGCCCGCTTCATTTGTGAATACTGTGGTTGGAATACAAACTCAATCCAAATGTCAAAACTCCAGTTTTCCGTGCAAAGTACAAGACAGGATGTGGAAAGAACGTGGAGGTACTGATGCATAACGAGGCATCTCGCGCTCTGCCGATGGCGCTGGCGGAGGATTGTACGCTTGATAGAGAGGGGGGCCGAGGATATGTTGTGCGGGAGCTGCAACGTGGGCTGCAGTGGCCAGAAGAAGTATCTGTCCAGTGACTCCATGGCAGCAATGCATGCACGGGTACGCTCAACAGAGTCGATGAGCTGCAAATAGGATGAATGTTGGAGGGGTCGGGTTGCGAGCCAGGGCCGAGAGATGGCAACGATTAGGAGATGGAGGAGCGAAAGGGAATGAAAAAAAAGGAGGGCGAGCAACGAGAAAAAGTATTGGCCATACCAGGCCCGAACCCAGACGCAGCCTCAAGAACTATGAGTGAGGGGCGGGTTGCATAAGGTGCGCGGGTGGCTGCTGCGACGGCTGCGACGGCTGTTGTGGCAGCGACGAGGGCTGAGACGCTTTGGGCGGGTAGCTCGAACCGCTGTCCGGCTGGGGCTGCCCATGCTGCATGACAGGGCGTGCTTTCTGAAACTGCATCATAATCTGTTGCTGGTTCGGGTACTGCGAGTTGTTTGGATTGAGGGGCTGCTGCACGTTGGAGCTGCCAGGGACGCCCGAGTTCAGCTGCTGGATCTGCATTTGCATTTTCTGCTGCTGTTGCTGTTGCTGCAGAGCATAATGGATCTGGAGGGATTGCAGCTGCTGCTGCTGCTGCTGCTGAGTCTTTTGCGATTGCTGGGCATGCATCTGAAACTGCGAGAGTGGCGAGAGATTAAAATGTATGTTTATGAGCAGAGATGTTGCCAAGCAATGGACATCGCGCCGCTATTTCAGCAGTGCCGACTGCGGAAGCAATCCGGGCTGTACTCACTGTCATATCGGCGGACGACGCCGAGGTTGACGACGATGTGGTGGATTCGACAGCGCCCGTGCCGACAGCGGAGGGCTCTTGTTCCTGGGCATCGAGCTCGGCAAGCTCCTTTTGGCTCAGGAAACGGCCGCCGGGCCCGCGCTTTCTTCGCATGGCATGTTTGTGTCGAGACTCGTGGATATAACCTTGCTGCTCGAGGAAGATGCGGAGGCGGAATGCAGCCATCAGTTTGGGCAGGCTGGCTATCGCAGGCCGGCAGTCGCAGACAGAGGGAGAGCTGAGCCATGGCCGTGCCTTACCTTTTCCTTCTTGAATGGTTTGTTGGCAGCCTCGAGTTTGGCGCGGGCCTCTCGCCGTTTCAGAATGCGATGGTATTGCTTGGCATTGACGTAGAGAGGCTCTTCACCGGCACCAGACGCATCTGGCTGGATGGAGGGAGGGGGCGCAACAGGCTGTTGGTGAATATGGAACGGGATTGATGTATGGTCGGGATGGCAAGAGAATTGCAGCAATGCGTCGAGGTCGAGTCGGTGGTTAGGGTTGGAGACAAACCAGTTGATGATGAAGGCGAGAGGGTCAGAGAGGGCAAACTCGGCAGCATATCTGTGGCAGCACATGGCGATACATGGTCGCCGCGAGACATGTGGAGACAGAGGAGGAGCACGAGCAATGCCGGTGATGCTGGCTGCTGGCTGCTGATGATGAGGCACACCGGGCGGCGGTATTCTCGACATCAGTGAGCCAGGCACGCTCCGGGACCAGCGATGGTGGGATGCGATTCGTGACCGTGTGAAGTAGGATAGAACTGGGAAAGAATGGTTTGGTGTATGCAGTCGAGGCAACGTACCGATGGAAGCGGGTTGAAATGCGGAGGGCGGGCGCCGTAGAGCGACGAGTATTCCGGAGGATTGGGCTGCTGAGGGCTGGGGCCGTGGACAGAGTTCTCCATGGTGCAGGACGAGGCTCGTTGGTGAGGGTAGTCGGATCAGAGCGGCTGGGCGGGAAAGGGCCGATTGGCAAGCCAAAAAGAGAGAGAGTGAGGGTGAGCAAGCGAGCGAGAGAAGGCCAGAACGGCAGCCGAGCGTCGCGGCTGGACAGAGATACGAGACGGACGCAGCAAGGCCGGGATGCGAATGCAAGTGTGGATGCGAGACCGGGACTGGCATGGTGATGGTGGTGGTGGTGATGGTGGTGGTGGTGCACAGCGAGAATAGAGGCGATCAGTGCAGCCGAGCGATGCGGCGAGATAGGGCCAGAGGGCAAGCGCGAGCAGAGCAGCGAGCAGCAGCAGAGCAGAGTAGTAGCAGCCTAGCAGCCAGCCTAGCAGCCAGCCTAGCAGCCAGCATAGCCATAGGCGGCGGTAGGTGGGAGGCACACGGGTGGGCGACGGGAGGACAGACACTCACATGGAACCAGGCGACAGGCGGGTGGCCGGAGATGGGCAGGGGTTGGATTCGAAGGCGAAGAGGGAAGAGTTTGGTTGGGCCAGCGGCGGCGACGGCCGCGATTTGATTTGCAGAGCGCGGGGGCCAATAGGCGCCAGTCTGCTGCGTGTGTGTGTGCTGCGTGTGTGTGTGCTGCGTGTGTGTGTGCTGCGTGTGTGCTGCGTGTGTGTGTGTGGTTTGATCTGTGGGTGTGGTCTCTCTCTCTCTCTCTCTCTCTCTCTCTCTCTCTCTCTCTCTCTCTCTCTCTCTCTCTCTCTCTCTGTGCTCCACCATCCAGTCCCTCGCTCCCCTCTCTCGCTCCCCTCTCTCGCTCCCCTCTCTCGCTCCCCTCTCTCGCTCCCCAATCGCTCCGCCCGATCGCCCTCGTCGCGGGGCTTGGCCCGTGCTTTTATACTGCCGCCGCTAAGCCACGGCCTCTGTATTACCCGCGCACCGCCCAATCGCCGTCGCCTCTCCCGCCGCCTTCAAAAGACCCCAAGGCTCTCAATATGGGCTCGCTCGTTTCTTCCCAGCATATCCCGACTATAGCTGGCTCCTCTCGGCCTTCCCACTGCAGCCGCCCCCCCAATCCCTCCACACACTGCGCTCCCACTGCGTTGATACTCTCAGGTATGCGACTTGCCCGGCCACACTCACTCCCCTCCAGCTGCTATCCCACTCCCGCCGCCGATCTACTGCCGCTGCCTTGCCCCATTCTTCCATCGTGTCTGCGCTTGCTGCCGCTCAACCCCCCGGTCTGTCGTATACATACTTTCCCACTCCCGGCCTCTCAGCGTCCTCTGGTGCTGGCCTTCACGCGTTGGCTGCCTGCAACCTTGGACAGCGCCGTTCCCAGGCTCCCTCCAGCCCCCCAAACCGTTCTTTTGGCCTATCCCCCCGTGTCCCCGAGCCCCTCCACGGACAGAGATCTCCTCGACCCTATTTTTTTTTTCCTGCCCTCCGTTCGTCCGACCTCCCTATATCATCCCACCAAAGCCCCTCTCCATGAAAACTGCCTCCCCTCATGGCCACTGAGTCGTGGCATCGCCCCGAATCATGCTGCCGTGTGGGTGCCCAGCTGCCTGCCGCTCCGCTTGCGAGGCCCGTTAGATCTCAGAGCCACACCGCCTCTGCTTCTCGCCTTCGGCTGCGCTGACCTGGCCCTTCATGCTGCTTTATTCTTCTGACCTGTCTCGTCCATATCTCTCGGGCCCAATCCTCCTTCCCACTCCTTAGAAATGCCCAAGGACAAGACCCTGCAGAGCACCAAGCGAACCCAGAAGGCCGGTAAGCGTGCCAAGAAGGACCCCAACGCTCCCAAGCGGCCCCTCTCTGGCTACATGTTCTTTGGAACGGCCACCCGTCCTCAAATCAAGGCAGAGAACCCGACAGCCACCTTTGGTAAGTGACTCACCCGCAACAGCGCAACCGCCCGATCATCTGTCTCCACCACCCGTGGCCATCATCATCGGTCTCTGTCATCTGTTAGCTGTCGCTTACGCGCTCATTCCCTCTCGTGCCCAGGCCAACTCGGCAAGATCCTTGGCGAGCGATGGAAGAACATGTCCGATGCTGAGAAGCAGCCCTGGAACGACAAGGCCATCAAGGACAGACTGCGATGGGAAAAGGAGGTCAAGGAATACAAGGTAATGTCATCGCTGTTGAGATGGGATATGCATCTGTCCTCCGCGTGGTTTCCTGTGTTCTGCATCCCGATACCTCCGCGTGATTAGCATCGGCCGTCGTCTCACCACGCCGTCTCCCCCCCCCATATTGTCTCCAGGCTCGCGGCGGCCAATACGAAGAGGATGACGACGAAAATGCCGACGATGAGTAATCGCCATCACCACTAGCATACCATGACCAACCATGCTCTCCCAACATCCCTCCGCAAGACTCGCCCACGTTGTCACTCTCTCCATCAGACTGCTTGTTTCGCCATTTCCCTTCCCACACCCCTCTGTATGTAGCCCGCAAAGCAGAATCAAAATTGCCAGATAGTACACTACCGGGGAAGCATCCACAGTGCCGAAGAGGGCGGACTAATCTCTCCCTGCTTCTGCCTCCTATTTCACTCCTATCTCCCCCCCCTCCTCCTCCTCCCTTCCATCACCTTCGTCGCATGGCTATTTCCTCGCATGTCTGTGCCCCTCACCTTTGTTTCTGCCACCAGTGCGCGGTGGCAAGGGCAGTCGAGCAAATCCCATCTCCTCCCCGTCTCTGCTGTACAATCCACCATTTGGGGGCGTATGTTTTCAAGACTGTCTGCATCTGGCTGCTTGCTGTACATTTGTTTCGCATGCGCAATACAACCATCGAAAAAAGGCACACATCCTGCTTCCCAGCAACACCAATGCTCCATCCGTACACCTGATTGCCGAAGCGGGAGGGCGCTGGAGAAGTGACGCACCGCCGATCCGTGCTCAGCAGTCCGGGATGGTGCACCACCTGCTGCCAACACTGCTTTCACACCATCCCGATTCCACGCCCTATCGCATCCAAACACCGGCTTTGAGAACACCCGGCGCGATCCTATCCGATCCCATCTCTCACCCGATCCAATCTCATCCGATTCGATCCTATCCCGTCCTATCTGATGACGGCTCCTCCAGCCGAGGCCGAGCAACCTTCTTGAGCGGCCGGATCGTCCGGCGTTCCAGAATGGGGGCTGGAGCCGCTACTCTGGGCCGACCCGGTCCCGAAGCAGCGACAGCGGCCAAAGTGCTTTGGTCATCGCCATTGGAATCGGTGACCATGTCGTCCGGCCCAGCCACAAGGACCATGCCGTTGCGGCGAGCAAACGACTCTGCCATGTCCAAGAGCAGCTGGATACCGAGCGACTGGGCCTTGACGAGCATCTCTCGGACAGTGTCCACATTGAGGCGAGCGACGATGGCCTTGGCGACGGTGAGTCGGAGGTCCTCGATCTGATACTCGGCCGCGAGGCCATACAGCTCCACGAGCAGCGCTATCGGGGTGTGCGACACCTTTGGGACACTGACGCTATAGAGCAGCGGCTTGGCTTGTTGCTGTTGTTGCGGCTGTTGATACTGTGACGGTGGTGGCAGTTGTGACGGCGGTGACTGCAGCGGCTGTTGGTGTTGATACGAATGTTGATAGAGATGCTGATCTGGCCGATCACCTTGACTCAGCGCCCCATCCGCTGGCTCCGGAGGATCAAACTTGTTTTCATACAGGTACTTGAGCAGGGTTTCGAATGATGGCGCGGAGATGGTGCTGGGCAGATGCTGCTGGTACGGCCGCTGCACCGAAGGCGGCGCCTGGCCGAATTGAGTCTGGAAATACTTGCTCTTGGTGGTCAAGACGGAGCTAGGGCCAGCCAAGCGAGTGAGTGAGTGGGCGAGTGAGGTGAGCCGAGGGCCGGTGCCAACCCAAGGCTTGTCCGTCCGAGGAATTATCTTGGCTTGAGACTCGATCTCTCGCTTGTCTAGAGGCCCTTGCCACATCCTTACCTCGCTGGCACCTCCCCCCCCCCTAGAAACAACCAGTTCTGTTTGGCTCACCTATGCAGCATATAGATTTGCGAATCGACCACAAAGACACAGTCGGCCAGCTCGGGGTTGGTCTGCCAGGGAAGATAGCCTGGTCCGGAGGGGTAGCTGGACATGACGAATGGGCGAAACAAGCAGCGGAATCGGGAGGGAGGGATGGGATAGAGGGACGGGATGGGAGCGAAGGAGAAATCTTGGGGCAGTGGCCGGCAAGAGCGGACAGCGTCCAGACAGGCATCAGAGCTGGCTGATTGTGTCAAGACCAAGACACGTGTTCGGCAGCAACAGACGGATCAAATCAGGAGCGGGCGTGGCCGAGATGGCATGCAGAACGGATGATCTATTACGGGGAGGAGTACCAAGCAAGTGGCCGTCGCGACACTATTCTGCGGCAGCATCATGGACTTGGCCGTTGCTGCTATTGCCATCGGCGGATCCCATGCTTGGTGGTCTTCGCACGAGAGAGTGAACAAAAAACAAGTAATCGGGCAACAAGCAGAAACAAGCAGGAAAAAGGGAAAGAGCAGCGGTATAACGATGATGGGAGAAAGCTCCGAGTGTGATCTCGAAGGTGGGCCAGGAGGCAGTAAGATAGTGGTGACAACCATTCGACGCGAGGAAAGGGGAAAACGGCGGAATTGAATGGAATGGAATGGAATCGAGAGTGGAAGGAGCGGAAGCAGGAAAGATGGGAAGATCGGGAGAAGCGGGAGAAGCGGGAGAAGTGGGGTGCAGATCGTAGTGAAACGGAGCTGATGGTGTTTGATCCAAGTGTGCAAAGGCTAGGATTTGCGGCTCACACTTGGATGGCACGAAACGGGTCTGGATGGGGATGGAATGGGACGGAATGTCATGGAATGGGCTGCAATGGGACGGAATGTCATGGATGGGGATGAATGGACGGATGGGTGGGTGTTCACCGGCTGTGACTGAAGTGACCGCCCATGCCCTGCAGACACTTTTCGCAGCGGGCAGCCCTCACCACCTGTCCAGGCGGGGATACGGCCACAAAAGGCTGCATTGGCAAAGACAAGGGCATCGGGAGCATCGGCATCGGTTTTAGATGAGGAATGAGAGACGGGGGGTTAGCCAGCTGGTTCCAGGAGTACTGAGCCCAAAAACGAAGGCAAGGGGGGAGGAAGGACCGACTGCTCACCATGCTGTATTGACTTGCGCCCCATGGAGCCACCGTCTGGCCAAAGCCGACTGGCATATCATAGCTGCCTGCATCACCGGTAGAGACACAGTGCATATCGACGTCGTCGGGCTGGGTGGATGAGTGCGCCGGAGGTACATGGGCAAAGGCCGACGACGGAGCAGCGATGGCTCGCGTGAACTGGATTCCACATCGCTCGCTCTGGAATCGTTTCTGAGGAAACGGGAAAGGTCGCATTAGACGAGGCAGTCGAGGGGGGGGGAGGGCAGCAGCGACAGCGTCGATATTCGTCGCCCGAAGCGATGGTCCCTGGTCTTCGAAACCAAGGGCAGGAAAGAGGCAAGACGGTGCCAGAAGCCAGTTGACAGGCACGACAGGACCCGAGTGCACAAGCACATGAAAGAAGCCGAATGTTGTGGCCAGGCGCCGGCATGTCTTGGATTTGGCCTCGACGTTGCGCCCTTCGGTCCCGCATTATAAGACTGAGTGCCCGGATCCAGAGGGACCGAAGCTGAACAGGCAGCAGCCGGATCGACCCAGCATCAGCATTGATACCATAGCAGCCGTCACAAACTCACCACACCCTCCGAGTGATCATCGAAAGTCTTGCGCTTGGCCGAACGGGAGGGGCTGCCGAGGGCATGCGCGGGGATGGAAGAGCAAGCATGAGCAGTGAGGGCAAACGACATGGCGTTGGGCAACGGACAGACCGACAGACAGACAGGGAGTCAGAGAGTCAGACAGACAGACAGACAGACAGACACAGGAGGGAGAGAAGCAGGGCGCTATCAGCGGAACCAGCGAGTCCTATATTTATACGTGGGCCTTGTTGGGGACGAGGGGAGGGGAAGAAGAGCAAAGGCAGGACAGGAACAGAGTGCGACAGCGAGCCAAGATTGAGGCCGAACGAGGCCGCAGGCGAGGCCGAGGGGCGCAGCTCGGCGAGCGAGAACGCACCGAGGCGAGAGGTCGGAGTTTGCGTCGCCCAGAGAGGAAGTCATTGCTCCTCCTCTGGAAGCCAGGCAGACAGCGAGCGAGTGAACCGGCAGCGGCAGACAGCGGCCGACTGGGCGGACTGGACACGGATGCGGTCTCGGGTTTGGCGGGACTCTGGCAAGATAGGAGTCTCGTAGCCGTGCGCGACTGCGGCCTCGATGGGCAACGATCGGCTTGCGCACAACAACGTGTGTATTTGGGATCCAGAAAGGTGATCGGGGATGTCACGATAAGAGGTCGATGATCTTGCTTGCTCACGGGGGGCACGGAGGCCCCCACACCCAGAGTCGCCGACCAACAGCCGCACCCAGGCTGTGGGGCTGGTCGGTCGGTCGCCCAAGGGTGAGGGCCCGGCGTGCCGCAAGGAATGGAGCGATAACGCGAGGTCATAGATCGAAAGGAAGGGCTGTGGGGAGCTCAAACATCAATGAGGAGAGAATCCAGCCCTTCTTTCACGAGACAGAGAGTGGGAGGGAGGGGAGCAAGCGCAATGCAGTGGGTGGTGGGCGCAAGGCGACTGTTTTTGCCCACAGAGCAGTTTCAGAAACCAAAGCATGGAGTTTGGAAAGGAAGCACATGAAGAGTAGCGAGGCAGCGACAGTAGACACGAATGTGCTCGACACAGAAGGAAGGCAAACAGGGCCGGGCGGGCCACGGCCCTTGGGGTTACAAGAACGACTCGGCCTGGATGCTGCCGTAAATCTGCTCGCAGCACTCCTCGCAGTAGATCCGGTCGTCCACCTCGCGGAAGACGTCGTCGCCGTTGGGGTCGTCGCCGACACGCTTGCCGCAATTCGAGCATCCAAAGCACTCGATGTGGTACTGGATGCCCGAGCTCTCGATGCAGTCGCCGTTGAGGACACCTTGGCAGGCACCGCACCGGGGCTCGTCCGCAGCAGCGTTCAGGGACCGCAGTGTACCCTGACCGGGGTGCGGATAGTGCTCCTCACAGTAGGGCTGGCCTTCATACTCAAAGAACACGCCGTCAGGGAAGTTGATGCCGCAAACCTGGATGGCATTTGGCGATATCGTCAGACCAGCAGCAGCAGCAGCAGCAGCAGCACACGATGCAGTACCTCCATCCAGAGCAGCACCTCTGTCGGGCCATGGCGAGGCACTTGCACGCCCTGGGCGGACAGCAGCCGGGCCCCGTCACTTACCGCACAGCCAAAGCACTCGGTGTGCCAGTCGCGGTCAAACGCTGTCACATAGTCGCCGTCGATGACGGACTGGCAGCGACCACATTTCATCGAGAAGAGATTGTGGTAATCCTTCTCGCAGTAGGCGTAGCCCTCGTGCTCGAGGAATCCGGCTCCGGGCTCAAACGGCTGCTTGCAGTGAGCGCACAGGAAATGCTCGGGATGCCACGTCTTGCCCAAAGCAGTAACGCATTGCTGGTATCCACAGCGGGAAGCGACAAGTTAGCGGCATGTGCGAGCCCAAAGAGGCTATTCACGACCGTGGGCGCTGTTCAAGCCAACACATCCAACAAAGCGCAAGCCCGTAGCTTGGACACAATCTCGGCCGTGTACTCACGTCGTCGATGATGCTGTGGCAGAAGTCGCAGACGGGCATGTCGGCGTTGTCGGTAGCGACCTGATCTTCGTGAACGACGGCGTCTTGCTCCTGGGGAAGGTTGTTGAAGCAGTCTTCGCACACAAAGCCATGGACCTCGTCCTCAGCATATCCCAGGCCGGCAAGGCACTTGCGGCAGGTGTCACACTGGAAGTGCTCCGGGTGCCACGCGCGATCGTCAATCTTGACCATGTCGTCGTTGATGGGCTGATGGCAGGCGATACAGATCGGTGCAGGCTCCATTGGAATGGGAGACTCGCTGGGCAGGCCGAATTCGCCAATGTTGAACGAGACGGTGGGGACGTCCGGCAGCTGGAGCGACTGGCTCGAGAACGAAGACGGCTGGTAGCTCGACTGCTGGTAGTTCGGCTGCTGGTAGCTCGACTGAGAGCCCGAGCGCACGGCCCCAGTCAGCTCGCGTTGCTCCCGCTCCTGGCGCTGCCGCTCGAGCTCTTGTCGCTCCCACTCCTGATGCTCCCGGATCTTGGGATCGACGGGCTCGCTTGGTGCCGACGAGGGCTGGCCCAACTGCACGCTCGGAGACGAGAGCAGTTGCTCGCGTTGCATGCGCTCGGTGGCAGCCTGCTCCTTGAGCTTGCGTTCCTTTTCACGAATCAGGGCCTCTTGCTTTTCCCGGACGAGCTGATCGGTCGCGGCCGACTCCATGGGGGCACCAAAAGTGCTGAGCGAGGGCGAGTAGCCCGAGGCCCGCTGGGCAGCAGCAGAGAGCCCTGGGGGCGCAGGAGGAGGCGGCAGAAGCGGATCTCTGCCAGGCCGCTCGGGGTTGACAAAGCTCTCGTTGCCCTGTCGGCTCTGGGCCACCATACTGTCGTAGGCTTCACGCTGTTGCTTGATGCGAGCGACGCCAGCAACAGAAGTGCCTCGGGGCTTGATGTTGGGCGGCAGGCCGCCAGGCGTCATTGGGGCACTGCCGGGGTACTGCGACACACGGGCATTGGGAATCGAGGACTGGGCCGGCAAAATGGTGGACGCCGGCTCGTTTGCACTCAGCTGCGACTTGGAGGACTTTTTCTTGAGTCCGAAAAAGTTGGCGATGCTCTTGCGTCCAGCGTTGTTGGGCTTGGCGGGTGCCTGCGTCGGGGTCAATTCGCGGACGGAAGGGGTGAAGCCTCCGTTTTGCTGATACTGGGGCTGCTGTTGCTGAAACTGGGGCTGCTGGTTGCCAAACTGCTGGCCCGAGACGGCACCCTGGTCGAACGCGTCCTCATCGTTTTCATCTTCATTCTTCAGGGTGTAGTTCTGGGCGAGTTGGCTCAAAAAGCCACCACCCGGAGGGGCTGGAGCCGAATCCGATGGAGGGGCTGCCGAGTATCCATTCGGAGCCGATCCTGTGGGGGCACCGTACTCGGCCGGTGGCGACACTTGCGGGACAGGCAGCGAGAACTGCTCTTGCAAAAAGCCATAGTTTTGCTGGCTCGCAGATTGTCCCTGCTGAGGCTGCTGGTAGGACTGCTGCTGAGGTTGCTGGTAGGGCTGCTGTTCATACGGGGGTTGCTGCTGCTGATAATATTGCTGCTGCTGAGCATTTTGGGCACTCTGGGCACTCTGTTGATAAGGAGTGGCAAACTGCTGAGAACCAGCGTAGGACAGCTCCTCCTGCTGAAGATAGGGCTGCTGGAACTGCTGAGGCTGCTCGAACTGAGGTGCAGACGAGTAGGGAGCCGAGTAAGTCTGCTGCGGCTGCTGGTAGGGTTGCGAGGTGGACGGGTACGCTTGGTACTGCTGCTGTTGCTGGAAGGGCTGTTGCTGCTGTTGCTGGAAGGGCTGTTGAGGCAGCTGGGATTGCTGGTACTGCTGCTGGGGTTGTTGCTGTCCTGGCAGGGTTGAACCGAGAGGCGCTCCGTACTGAGAAGCACCGTTGTATCCGTACCCCTGCGGCTTGTTGGCATATGGATCAACGGGGGGGTTTGCTGCGGAATAGACACCAATGGGCTTGGCTGAACTCTGCATCGAGGACTGCGAGGTGTTGCTGTTGACTCGGTCGAGGGGTGGATGGCCCGAGAGGCTGTTGGCGCGTTGGAGAGGAGGTTGGTTCGCGCTTGGCTGGGCCGAGCCTATGGGCTTGGAGGAGATGGATGACTGGGAGAGGCTGCTTTGCGACACGTTCGGGTTCTGATAGACTCTGGAGCCGGCATCCGAACCCGGCAGAGGGACGGAAGAGGCGCCAGTTGGCTCGGGCTTGCCCGCTTGGCCGTACAGCTTTTTCTTGCTCTCGACAATCTTTTCAAACTCGGCTTGCTTGCTGGAGCCCTTGGTCTCGGTCGACCTGGGGCCCTGCACAAGAGACGCAATGCGGCAGCAAAAGGAGCAAGTACGTCAGCGCACACATTTGCAAGGAAGACCACCGCTGGAAGGAATGGGACACCCGCAGCAGACAGAGCGACTGCCGGTGGGCTGTGAGGTTTAGCATCGGCGGGGCTGTGCAGACTTGCCTTGTTCAGAGACGGGGGAACAGGCGGAGGAGGATAGTCCTGCTCGGTCTGGTCCAGGGGCACACTGTTTGGGGCGATCGAGAGGGTGCGCTTTGGAGGGGGATCGTCGTTTGCGGCCTGGCCAAAGGGCATCTGGTGGGGCTGGAAGCCCGCAGGGCCTGAGCAGCAACAGCCGCAATGCCATCGACAGGTGGAATGGGGCCGGAGCCACACACACCACACGGAGAACGAGGAGCATGGACATTAGCACCATCCGGTCCACAGATCCACGGACACTGTTGACAACAGCGAATGTGCAGCTGTCTGGCTCAAGAACGGCAACGGGATGTACCTGCTTGGGGTTGCACTGGAGCGGCATATCCAGCAGAGGGAGTCTTGTCGTTGAACGGAGGCCGCGACGGAGTTTGAGGGATATGGAAATCAGGGGCCCGCCGGTCTCGAGGGTCGAATGCAGGATTGCGCAATGGACGGATGGTTAGGAGCAAAATCGCAAATGGCTGGTGCCCCCGATCTCAGGGCACCTATGAAAGGACAGGCCAAACAACAAACAGAGGCGTCAACGACCACGCTGGGGACAGGTACCATTTGGCGGCCCCGACGGAGGACCTGACGGAGGACCCGGCTGTGGAGGGAGAGAGCCGCTGGGGGGCTTTGGCGATGAATAGCCGGCAGGGCGGACGGCATTCGGGGGCGGCCGAAACTTGCCCTGGCCCGGAGGCGGAGGCTTTCTGTAGCTGGGAGGCTTGCTCGAGAGGGGAGGAGGGGGAGGGGTGGAGCCTTTGGTGACATCCAGCTCCTGCAGGAGAGCGTCCAGGTCGTTCATGAGGCAGAGGTAGCGTCGAAGCTACAAAGGGACGGGAAAGGGCAATGGCAGCCGGAGTGGAGGGGAGGAGATCGAGTCAGACGGCAGGAAGAGGCGTGAGGGACAGACCAAGCTGCAATCGGCGGCCTTTGGCTCCACCGGCTCTGCGAATCGGCACTCCCAATTGGCCGGCTCCGCAAGGCGACGCGCCGGCCAGGGCCACCGCCTATATTTGGGGTGCTGTGCGCGCTTGGATCGCACAGAGGAGGCGCCAAGCCACTGTGCGCAGCCTGTACGAGCGACTGCGCACAGTGTCGCGCTGTGTGTGTGAAGGAGGGCTGTGCGACCACGTGCGACCGTGTGCCACGAGCGCGGCAGCACAGCCGGCGCGACACAGACAGCCGCAGCGCGAACTGGCACCCACATCCGGGAGGGCTCGCATCCGGGAGGGCTTGCATCCTGGCCAGCCAGCCTCTGGCCGCATGTCGGGGGACGATCTGATTGGCCATCGACAGTGTCATTCGGCAATTCCAACATCACCGCCAATACCACCTCCACTGCCAGCATCACCGCTGATACCACTGCTGATACCACTGCTGATACCACTGTGAAAATCGCCCCCACCGCCAGCTACAGCCATCAGAGAAGCATAGCCTGCAGTGCCAAGGCCGTCGCCGCCCGAGACTGCTGCTTCTTTCGCGCCCCCAGCCGTCCGCTTCATCCACCCGCGCTGGCCCGATCATCTGCCTTTGCCAGCGACACCTTTGTTGGTGCATTGTTGAACTTGATCGACGCATCCACCCCGCCCAGCGCCAGCTGCAGCTCTCTCGGCGGCCCCTGCAGCCGCACCGACTTCTGCCGCAACACCACGCCGAGTCACCATCAACCCGGACGTCCTTCGTCAGCCTCTGCATCAGCCAAAACAGACCCGGCATCCACCACAACAAGCTCTTTGCGAGTCTGCAACAGGCGGCCCGGCATCCCCTGTCGAACCAGTCGCTATCTGCACGCTGGCATCCCCTCCTCCGCACTCGCTGCATCAGTCATCAGAGCATAACGATCCTTTCGGGTCGGCCGACTGCTCCAGCAGCTTCGCTGTGCCTCTTCGTCCTGCTCTATTGCCGATCAACGTCGTCAAACCATGCCCGCTCTGTCGCCCCGAATCTACGTCGCAACCTTCTTTGGTTACATCTTTATCAGAAAACGGATAGCTCTCTGGGTGCCCGTCGTCAAGGCCTACTGCTTCTACCTATTGGTCCTGATCATGCTCGTCTATCTGCTGTTTGCTCTGTCGAACGTCCATTCGCCCCGCTCATGGTTTGGCCTCAGAGGCAAGACGCAGGCCGGCCCCGCCAATCTTGCCGACCCACCCATGCTTCCCAAGCAGGATGTCGCCAAACCAGTCTCTTTCATACCGTTTGAGTATCACTTTGATGGGGCCACGGACAACCCGACGTTGCGCTTTTGGGTTTCGCAGCTTCAGAACGCACAGCGATATGCCAACGCCCTGGACTACTCTGAAATCGATCCAGACAACTATGCCAGTCTGTTTCCGTCCTATGTTTCTCCGATCAATGTTGGTTCGTCCTTTGCCAATTTGCTCGAATCGCGATGCATGGAGGCCGAAGTGGAAGGTATGTGGTCGGCCCTTGATGCCGACGCCGTCGTTGACATCCTTGAATTCATAGCGCAAGCGCTCTATCGTCCGTGGCACACTACTACACTGTCTTTGCTTCTACACGCATTATGTCATGCAGTCTTCGATGTCGCGTTGTATATCGCCGACTCTGCGAAACGAACGCTGTGCGATCCTCACTTTGCTTCTGCACCACATGGTAGGCTTCACGCCATGTTCTCAGACACCCTACGATCCGATGAGTCTTGAGGTCATCAAGTCTTTCATCAGAACGAATCCCGGCTCCGAGGGACATGTTCTGCCCAACGTACTGGAGCTCAACTTTGATGCTGCAGATCGAACCTCCATTCTTCCGTGGCTTATCCATGAGCTCTCGTTGAATGGTTCGGATAACACCCATGTGGTGTCGGTCAAACCCGAGCCGGACCCAACAAGCTGGCTTGATGATATGCGAGAATTCATGATGTCGCTAGAATCGCCGTCGATTCGGTGGGACGGCCTCTCTGGGTTTGGCAAAGGTACAGATCGATCGCACCTGGATCCAACCCTATGAGATCACGCATGTGTCGGGGGTTGTGATAAGGCAGCCCAGTATTCCTTGAGGCCACAATTCCGCCTCTGCTTCTGCTTCTGCTTCTGCTTCTGCTTCTGCTTCTGCTTCTGCTTCTGCTTCTCCCTTTGTCTCGCCCATCTGTCCCAACTCATTCCCGATCCACATCCACCAGCTTGCGAACAGCTCGATCGCCTTGTTTTGCCTCTGGAGCTGATCTTCATGAATCTGGCGCCGGATGGATTTGCCGACGCGACGACGGTAAAGTGCATTCGTCAACTGTTCGGGGCCTGGACCGACCCCATCCGCCCGACCCTCATCGTGGCCACAACAACAAAGGCAAGCCTGCCTGCCATGATGGCTGTCAAGGAACTGGTCGACGCCGAGTGGCCGTTCCTGGTATTCGATGATCCTCTGCGTGCCTCTGCAACGGTTGTGTGGGCTGCCGTCGCCTGAGGAGGCGAATCTGCTCTGTCGCTGCGGCTTGTTTGCATTCAGCCAAACCCTCCTTGGCAAGCCGATTGATATCTCGTCAGTATCTATGTGTTTTCCTGCCCTTGTGATCATGAAAAATAGGTCATCCGGACAGCTTCGACCGGCGATAATGGCTGGCCGGCCCAATAATCTGCATTTACAACTTTAACAGCAATAAACTTGACGCTTTGGTTTCGTTACAGCGGCCTCGCTGCTATTTGAGCTGCACACGATGGATATGGCAGTCGATGGGCGGCAAGCGCAGTCCGGGACTCTTGAACCTTTCGCATCCGCTGTGATGAGCGATCCTCGACCGCAGGAGTTGGGTGGCCAGTGGATGGACTCGACAATGCTGCAAGAGAGCACCAAGGAGTTGCGGATGTTGCCAACAGACCACTGGCCGCCCCAGCCACTGTCACCGCGTGCACCCAGGCGCCTCATTCCCAGAGGAGCAAGCGTTCCCATTCCCAGCGTTACATTCCGTGTACTCGCCCAGTGTCCCGTCCTCAAAGAGTCACCGCCCTCTTGTTATGGCTTTGGGATCGCTCCAGTCGCGCTGGCAATCAGCCCGGCTCCACCCGAACGTCTGGCCTCTCCGTCAGATATATCTTGGCCGTCGCCCGTTCTCCAACCAGGCCTCGACCCGTTGCTCCTCGACTCCGTTTCTCCTTAGTGCCATCGGTCTGCCATGTTTGCCAGGATGGGCTGTCGCTGGGCTTTTGCCTCTCTCGCCATCTTGATCTGTCTGTTCGCCTCTGGCCATGCTGTCCACCACAACGACCCTGGCTTCGACTTGCAGCCCAAGAACATCTTCATCCTTAGTATGCCAACCTCCGGCCATGCCAATCCGCTGGTTGTCCTCGCCCACGAGCTGGCAAGCCGCGGTCACAACATCACCTTCGTCACCGGCTCTACCTACAACGTCCCCGCATATGCCCGGAACTCAGCTATCCATTTCCACTTCATTCCCGAGACCATGTCCCTCACCCAGCGGTTCGATACGGCATTAACCGAGATGTCGAAACCGTCGGCTGAACCCTTCCTGAAGACACTTGACCTCCTTAACCTCCTGCGAATCGCCATCAAGTCAGTTGGGACACTCGAGTTCCAGATGATTCAGGAGGTTCTCCAGACCACCAAACCCGGTTCGGTAGACCTCGTCATCGGTGGCGTCTTCGTGAGCCCGGTAAGTCTCCCATTCAGCCAGGCTCGAGAGTGGCAGCAAACGGCAAACGACAACCCATCCGCCCGTCACCACTCAACCATATATCGTTGCTGACAGGCTGCCAATGTCCTCAGCCAAGTCCTTGGTGTGCCATGTATTGTTCACTATTTCGTGTACGTCATGGACTTCGTCAAGCCACTGGGCATCTTTGTCTCGAGCCTGACCACCAGCGCCTTGGAGACCGATGCCGAGCCCCACATGAGCGTCCTTACTTCGATTACTGTCATCATCAACCGCATACTGTTCTCCGGTATTTCCAACCTCCGCCTCCGCGAGCGACAGTTCATTTACAACAAAGTTAAGACCGAGTTGGCCCAGTATCTGCCTGCGACCGAGAAGCCAGCCCAGCCCGTTGTCAACCTCATCAGCAATGCCTGGGGATTCCATCCCGCACAGCTCGCTGTCCCGAGCACACGCATGGCCGGTATCTGGGTTCCTGAGGCACAGAGCCTGGATGTTCAGCCCGACCTGAAGCACTGGCTTGATAGTGCCAGCCGCCCTGTCGTCTACGTCTCGACAGGCACCATGGCCCACCCCTCGAACGAGACGCTGCTGGCATTCTACGAGGCATTCAGTGCTACAACCGAGTTCCAGACCCTGTGGTCGCTCAAGAAGGTGTTCCAGAACACCCTGAGGGAACTGCTCGGCGACCAGGAGTGGCCCGAACATGTCCGGATCGAGAACTTCGTGCCGCAGCTTGCCGTGCTCGACCACCCTGCAGTCCAGATCTTTTTCACCCACGGCGGCTGGAACAGCGTCTCCGAGGGTCTTTGGACGGGCACGCCGATGCTTGGAATGCCATTCTTTGGTGGGTATGCCAGCATTGGCACGGAGGCGATCTGAACAGATGGTGCAGGGCCAACTGCATACGGCGCCGTCGCTAACACTCCGCTTCATCCATTACAGGCGACCAACCCTACAACGTTGCAAAATTGGTTCACCTTGGCCTCGGTCTCAAGATCGACAAGAACATCATGAGCTCACCCGACAAGGCTGCTACGATCCAGTTGATCCAGGACAAGCTCCACACCATCCTGCGCGACCCATCCTTCTCAAGCCGCTCCAAACACTTCCAAAAGACATTCCAGGTCATGGGCGGCGTCAAGAAGGGCGCCAACATTGTTGAGGAGATCTTGGCCATCGGCGATACCACTGTCTACAGCTTCTCCGACAACACCAACGCCGTCGTGGCGGCCATGGCCATCCTCGGACTGACCGGTGCTGCCGTAACTTTCGGGATCTACCGACTGGGTGCCTGGGGACTCGGAAGATTGTTCGGGAAGCGCACGCCGTCGATCAAGGCCAAGGCCGAATGAGACCAAGTGAAACCAAGTGAAGTTGAGTGGGACCGACCTCTCAAGTGCCCAGTATTCGACCTCTATCCCCGACCACCATTGTGCTGGCCTCTTAACAATATCAGTGAATATGACCCAATACATCATCGACGTGCCCAGATGGCCGCGGTTACTCCTAAGACCATAGACTCGCAAGTAACGCGTAGCTCAGAGCGAGACACTTGCAGCCCCAAGACCTCCACAATTCTTCTCATGCTTCCCTCCTTCTGTTCCGGTGGTGCGTCAGCCCAGGTCACGGAGTCCAGGGCCGTCAATCCAGATTAGCAATTCTTCGACTTCGCCGCTGCTTGCGCAGATAATACTTGTAGATCTCGGTGGTGACATCCTTGCTGACGATAAAGACACAGCCGCCGATGATGTTGCGGTAGAAGCTGTTGCCCACGTATTTTCGCAGGCCAAGCTCGCCCAGGATACCGCCACAGATGGCAGCACAAACTAGAGCGAGGGCAATTCGAGACAGCCAAGGTCAGCGCGCCTTATCAGAGCAGCCGTGGTCGATACGGCGGATTCGGTCGGCAAGAGTGACGGGGAACTTACTTGGAAGGAGCAGCGCCCCCACGACGACTCGTTGCCCATCTCGTCGTAGCTCGGGCACTGCCTCCTCGGCGGCGGCGTCCTCCTCTGGCTGCTCTGGGTTGGCATCATCCAGTGTCTGTCGCACTCTCTCGGATTGGCTGAGTCGTCGTTGGCTCTTTGTGTCTGGCCTGTGGTGGATCAACTTCAGTATTGACTCGTGGAGATGGTTGTAGAGCAGCCTGTGGTTCGGAGAGCCCAAATATTAGCCACAGTGTCTTATGCTGCGAGATAGCAAACAGACATAGCATGCTCGTGTACTCGTACCTGGCCCATGGCATCAGACAGATCGTTAGGGCCGGAGACGGAGGAAACGTTATGTGAACCCGATCGCTACCGAGGATGACAAACGGCAGCAAGGGCAGAACAGCGTCGGCGCTCTTCCAGCGCGAAGAGACCAGGGCAAACGGAACCAGAGGTAGCCCCACCTGCAGTCACGCCAGAGCCGAGTCAAGATAGAGTGAGATGGCGTGATACTGTCGGCAGAACAGAGCGGCGCCTCTCACACACATCTATGAATTGAATGATCAGTGCGGTATGTGCAGGCAGGCGTATCCTAGCAAGTGGGCAGAGCTACTTACCCAAGTCCTCCAGCCCCATCGCTCGGCACCCAGCACTTCGTCACCGACTTCGGGGCCGCAAACGACCATGACGCAGTACGCTGCCATTCCAGCATATTTGGGCGTGAGAACTCAACTGCCACGGCTCTTTTGCAGACTGGGTTCCACCAGCAGATCCCAGGCGTCTGAAAACGAACAACCGCCACTTCTCCTTGCCCAGCAGCCAGAGGCACTGCGTCTCACCTCCGAATGTCGTCGAGACGGTGTAGAGCGCCACGGATAGCCCAGCCATCGTGATGAATGGAATGGAGCGTTGAATAGCCTGGAGATGCAGATTGGCCGCCCGTTAGGATCCTGTCGCGTCCTATCACAGGAGCAGCAGCGGGGCGGGATATTCACATACTCCGTCAAAAAACTTCATAACGTTCAGCACAGAGCTACTGGGTCTGACACGGCGGAATCCGAGGAAGGCCAGGAAAACGGGATATGCGTGAGAATTGGAGATGCAGTTAATCACAAGTCAGTGGGCTAATCACCAGTAAGCAGACAGTGAGCGATTCTGGTGTCGTCGAAGCCCTTCGACTCCCCGACACATCCAAGAGGGAACAGGCAGCCGCGTGGGCCGCTCGGAAGGCTACGACGCAGTCCAGACACACTCGATGCTCAAAGCTCAAAGCTCAAAGCTCGAGCCAGCGGCTGACAAAGATGGAAGGTGCCGGCGACCACATCGTCTTACTCGCAACTTACTCGACGATCTTGTATGGATGCCCACATGCAGGGCAGCTAACTTGGGTTCGTCGGGTGCCTTGCTTCTCGGCGATCCTGAGCGATGCAACGTCGTCAGTATCCAAGGACAGCGGGCTTCTGCCTCAGCATTCGGTCGCAACTCAGCGCATTCGGTCGCAACCCACCCCCAGGCATCGACAAGCGACGGGCCATGGACGCCCACTCGACATACCACTTGAGGAGACAGGCTTCGTGTGCATACTGGATATTCGTGGCAGCGGTGCGGCCAGATGGTCCGCGATCAGGACAAACGAAAGTGTCGACTGTCGTGAGAAGCGATCGTTGCGGTGGCGAATCGATCAGATGTGGAGCCGGCTCTGCCCACAAGCAGAGTCCGAACATGCAGTTCAAAAAACAATCGACGGGGTCTGCGCTGAACACCCAGGCTCAGGCAGGCAGCACCGGGCAGCATTGGGCAGCGTCTGTCGAGGGATGCCTGTGCCTTCGGCATGAGGCGGCCGATATGGCTTTGCACCACACTGCACCGCACCTTGAGTGACGACTTGCACTTGCATGGGTGTACCCACGATACGGGGGCGCCGCTGTTTTCTTCCGAATCCTCCACGAAACAGATCCAGCAGCGTCGCTCGGGTGGTTCGGTGTCGCCGTTTGGGGTGCCAGCGCCGCTGAGACTCGGAGACGCCGGCATGGTCGGCGACGTCTGTGCATTGGTTTGGGTGGCCGTTGACGAGGACGCAGCCGCCTGTCTGATGCCAATGTCGGTGACCTGTATCAAGGGCCCGAGAGACCAGTTGAAGTTGCTTGCTGCCATCGATGCTCTGGGTCGGGATGCTGCGGTTGGGGCGCGAGGCCAGGTGCGGTGGAAGATGAAAATCGGGGCTGGGGTTTGGGGTCTGGACACATCGGTCATGTGGGTGTCACGTTGGACGCCACAGCCAGTCCAGCCCGGTCTTCTCGCCAGAAACCGACCCCAAGCACGAGCGCAAACTCTGATCCAGGCGCCCTGATGACGGCCCTGGTCTTGGTTTCTTGCCGGGCCATCGTGCTTGGTGATCTAGCACTCCCGAGCTGCTCGCAGCTTGATTCGGCATGGAACTCATCTGCACCAGAGACGGCGAAGGAGAGCCTGGGATGTGTGTCTCACGAACGCACATGCTACACAGACGAACATGCCACATCACATCCAGAGGCCGCACATTCGCACCAATAGAGATCGGGCAACATCAGGCAGCACCAAAGCACCCTGCCGGCCCAAGGATGGCTATATTCACTACAGGAAGACAGCACTCCTCAGAGATCGAAATCGTCATCGTCGTCATCGGAACCGACGCGGCGACGGTTGTACTGCATGATGGATCCAGTGCCGTAGCAATGGTTATCGTGGCCGACATGCGCCGATTTCCAGTCATAGTCGGTGGTGGTGGTGGTGGTGGTGGTGGTGGTGGGGTCGAGGACGGACGATATGGATTCCATCATCGTTAGCACACAGCGGCATTGAGGTCGCCCAAGATAGCCACCTGCTCGCGCTGGGTGTGCGAGGAAACCAGACGCATTACCGTGATTTTCGTTCTGGACTCGCTTTGCTCGGCAATCTGGCCCAGCATCTCGATCAGCTGGTTTTCATCGACCTTGCCGCGGAGCTGGCCCGACTGTGCCTATGGATCCATGGGAGTGAGATCGAGCACAGAGACGAGCCGACTCGAGTGAGCAGTCACTCGATAGGCGCAGGGAAAGCAGGATAGCCGATGGGCGACCAGGGCTGCAGATCAACAGCGGTGGAGCAAGGGTGGTGGGCCGGATACGACCAACTCACCATGCGGATGAGCATATCTTCGACAGCGCGTGCTTTGTCCGCCTTGACTATCGAGATGCGAGACACTAGAGCGCAACGGAAACATGGTGAGCATGCGGTTCTGGTCCTGAGATTCTGGCGGCTCTGCGTCGCCGGCTTGGATGGAAGGGTCCTGCGAGAGCACGGAGCTGCTTGGCGTCAAATCTTACATCGCTCTCGGGCACCGTTGTCAAGGATTTGAACGAGCTGATGGGGAGGGCTGGTCAGGGCTGGGCAAGAGGCTGGGCTAGAGGCCACGAGTCCCTCGGCACAAGTCATTCGACACAAGTCCCGATCTGCAAACCACCACTATGCTGGTCGGCATCGTGCTCACCAGTGTGCGTCGCATCTCTTCCATCTGCCTGCAGGAGACACCGACGGCATTAGATGACATTGCCTGAGCGCCCATCTCTGAGACTGCTCACTCACAGCCGGCCCTATCTCGTCCTCCGCTCGACAAGGGCTATGAAAGTCAGGTCGAGATCCTCAAGCAGCGCGGCTTACTGGGCCTTTTCAGCGTCGCCAGAGCCGCTTCCGCCTCCGGAACCGGATCCAGGCAGGCCAGGGATGGAGGACATTCCTCCGGCCCCCTGGCCGCCCCTCGCGGCCTTCATTTCTTGCAGTCGTCTGGCGCGGATAGCCTGCAGCTCGTCGTCTTCCATGGTGCGTTTTGATGCAGCGAAACAGAGAAGGAAACCGCCGCCCAAGACAACAACAGCCCAACACAACGCCGAGCCGGCTCGAGTGCGGGTCGACCCGGATGGACGTGCCGGCTGCCTGGGCCGGAGTCACACGCAGTTTTCTTCCTGACTGTCCGCTCCGTCCCGCACATCGCCCTGCACATCGCCCTGCCTGCTGTCCTGCCGTCCATCACAGCCATGCTGTCTCCTTTGCGTCCGTGTCGGCGGGCCATGACGATTCTCCATGCACGCCTGTCCCGGCCCATGTCCCCGCTCTCGACTCTTCCTGACGGGCCAGGGCTGGCCGACTTTATCGTTTCGTCCGCACCGCCTCGCAAGGATCCTCCCGCCAGCAACTCGATTGAGCTCCTGGGACTCTCGCTCGATGAAATCCGGCAGATCATCATCGAGAAGGCGCCAAAACTCCTTGCCAACAAGAGCTACCTGCCTCAGCAGATCGTCGATGCTGTTTACAGACAAGGTGCGTCTGGTTGCCTGCTGGAACCGAGCTCATCTGTGTCGTTGTCGATTTGATATTCGCTCGATCCTGCTGGCGGGTGACTCGAGGCCACTGTGATGCTGACACACTTATCGTTTGCTTAGGAGTATGCCAGTTCGACGGCATAACGACGCTATCCAAGCCAACCCGCGAAGCGCTCTCGCAAATCTTCCACATCGACCACATGGACATGCACAAGCAGCTGGTGTCCACTGACGGCACTACCAAATGGCTGCTTGGATACGGCACCGCCGCGAACGTCGAGGCTGTCTTCATTCCAAAGCCCCAACCCGACACCCCAGCGGAAGAAGTCTCGGGAACTGTGTGCATCAGCTCGCAGGTCGGCTGCTCGTTGTCGTGCAGCTTCTGCCACACCGGGACCCAGAAGCTGCTCCGGAACCTGACGGCCGGAGAGATTCTCTCGCAAGGTACGAATATCGAATGCCGACGACCCTAACGCTGCCGAGTGCTCCTGAGGGCAATTGCCCCCCCCCTCTCAGATTCGACCACCGTTCTCATGAACGCAACTCTTGCGCAGTGATGCACTCCATGAGGCAGATTGGCGACTATCCCCTCGCACGAGCCAAGGCCCGGCAGATCAGTAACATCGTTTTGATGGTGAGTGCTCGGGGAGGCAAAGAACGCCGCATCAATGCATCTGCAAGACGGATTCCTGGCTCTCCAAAGGGCCGAGACTGCCGCCCTTCAGGGTGTCCGCGCTGCTCTTGGATCGGTGTGCAGAACCATAGAATGTCGTAACTTTTCACAGACCAGAGTCCGAACCCGCATTCTCCTTACACAATTATTGTGCCATCCACTGGGCGATCAGGGTCAAGGCGAGCCTCTCTACAACTTCCGGGCAGTCTCCAAGGCCGTCAAGCTGATGCAGAGCCAGCTGCGGTTCACCCCCTGGCGCATCACGCTCTCGACCAGCGGTGTCGTGCCGCTCATGGGCAGGATCTCGGAAGACTTGCAGTGTGGCCTGGCGGTCTCTCTTCACGCCGTCACCGACGAGCTGCGGGATGTGCTTGTGCCGATCAACAAAACCTACAACATCACCGACCTCATGAGGGGATGCAACGCGTACCTCGGCGGAATGAAGCAGAACAAGCATCGCCGGATCACATTCGAGTATGTGGCGGCAGCGAATGCACGCGGGTATCTCTGTTGGATCCGATCGGTATCAAGACGTCGTACTGACAGCCCCAGGCCTGGTTCTCGTCCTGTTTGTGTCGCAGATACGTCATGCTCGACGGTGTCAACGACTCCCCCAGCGAAGCCCGACAGCTGGCCCGATTGATTTCCGCATTGCCGGCGCATGTGAATCTGCTGCCGTTCAATCCATGGCCGGGCTCGATCTATCGCACCAGCCCCGACAGGAGGGTCATCGAGTTTGCCGAGATCATTCGGTCCAAGGGCATCCACTGCAACATTCGAACACCCCGCGGGCGGGACATCATGGCTGCTTGGTATGGCTTGCTTGTCGTCTCGATCCGCCGAGCTGCATTTGACGCTGCTGGGCACAGTGTCCTCCACGCAAAGAGGGTATCCACCAAAAGCCTAACTGTATCTACTCTTGCCATGAACTTGGCTTTGGATATGCAATGGGCGATTGCATGGGGCAGCGGTCAACTCCGCAGCTCCGAGGAACTGAAGGCGCGAGCCAAGGAATAACTGGACAAGTCTCAACGCAGCGTGGCTCGATAGAACACTGGTGCTGTCGTGGTCGATACCCATTTTACGTCAGCAGCCTTCGAAGGTGTTCGCTGGCCCCAAAGCGACACGCTCTTCACATGGCAATATAGAGCCAAAGTACCAGAGTTAATAGATAGATATTGATGCATCAGCGTATCCGAGGATCACCCGCAGTCGATTCGCAGCCACGTTTTGTTGAACCGCATGAACATCACTGGGTCTGTTTGGAGGGCTTCGCAACGAGATCGACATGGAACTCTTCTCCGGATATCTCGTTGGAGTTCAAGTAGTCGAGCCAGACCTGGGTCATTAGTATTGCAATCGGTGATGAGTGCTCGTTGCGCAGGCATCGCGAGCTCGAGAGCCAGCAACCGTATCCATGGAGCGCCAACCTTTTGCTGTTCCGAGAGGCGATCGCCGTGGCCCTATGGAACACGAGGGACAGTGGCGTGAGGCTGGATTTGCGCGAACATAGGTATGATCTCAAGCAGTGCGGACCCGATCTTGTCCGTACCTTGACTTCCACAAAGCGAACCGATTTGTTCTCGGTGTTCCAGACGCTGCGCGGTATCCGGTTATGTGTGTCAGCTTACCGAAACTGTTGCAATCGACGAAACGTTGCAGCATCGACATGAACTCACCACAAGTCAGGTAGCCCTGACGAATGAGCCCAGTAGCACTGGGCAAAGAGCAGACACAGACTCGACAGCGGTGTGCTGCCGATACACTGGAGCGATCGACATTTTGGAGTTGTTACCAGCTGCCAGAGACTGCTGGGGCGGGGTCAAACCAGTCCAGTCTGAACATCCCTGGTCCTTCATGTGCACGTACCTCGGCAATCTCGACCAGATCCTGCTTGGTAAAGCTCTGGCGTCATGTTTGGACAAACAGGAGCGGTTCAATCTCAGACAGTGATCCGCCCGAGATCCAAAAGCCGATATTTCCGGTTGCGTTGCTACAAACACCTGCGGCCGAGTAAACCTACGTCCCAGTTGACACCTCGACAGACCGTCTTGGTTGGTCGCTCGCGATCATCGACTGTCTCGATGAGGCTCCGGGCGCCGTCAAGACGTATGAGCTTGACGCGGGAGTCGATGGAGCTCGATCGCGTTGGATAGAAAAACTCAGTTGTCAGGTCCAAGGGAGCGCCTGTGTTGTCCGTCATATGCATTAGAGATGGCCATAAGCACGAATGCATGCTGTTCTGGGCTCACGGATCACAAAATATGGAGCTTACCAACCTTGGTAAGGCGAGATGAACACGCCGATGGGCGAGTCATCGAATATGATGTCCCAGAACAATATCCCGAACTAGAGCGGATGAGAGCAATCGATGCTGGACTTGAGTAGGCTTTAGTTGCCCCATGGACATGCACGAAAGCACACAGCCGCAGTGGAAAGGATGACAATCGCCCCATATCCCGCAAGCGCAGCGGGCCCTTTGTTCTGAGCCCTGCTGTGGGAACATACCAGCGTCGTGATGATGCTGCTCTCCGCGTGGATGCACTTGTATCCACGGTCGACAAAATACTCCATCGCCAACTCTTCCACAGTGACGTGCTCGCCCTTGTTGTTCTCGTACAGGGCTTTTCTCGACTGTTGGCTAAAGACTCTCCGGGCTTGAGAGTGCGATAAGCAAATGCGTTGGTGAGAATGTAGTTTATCAGGTCCAGTCGCTCAATCCATCGGCGTCTTACCAGCGATCCGAGTCACCACGCGGACAGGGCTGTTTTCGAGGTAGTGCAAATGGAGTGACTCTGATTTCTTGAGGGACTTGTGCAGTTTGAAGAGCCTCCGTTGAATCTCGCGCTCGCAGCCTGCGGCACATCAGCACATCAGCACATCAGCACATCAGCACATCGGCACCATCAATGCGAGCGCTGCTCGACCGACCTGTGTTGAGATAGCGGTCGCTGAGGGCTTCCAAGCAGACCTTGTATGCGGCTTCCCTATCCTGCAGATGGTAGTCCAGCACCTTGGCATACTCGGTGAACCACTGTCCGCGGCGAGCTGGTGGATAGCTACAATCAGCTTCCTGCGCCGCACTTGTTAAGGAGTGAATCCAATTCATCTGGTGCATTCTGATTCGTCCGCTGTGCTCGCCGCTGTCCGCCCACGTATTATAGCTTCCACCTCTTGGTTGGAATCTCTCGCTAGCTCAGCCCAGACTTGCCTCGTCGATACGGACACTCGTTCACCAGCTGCGACAGCAACGTGGCAAGATCTTTGAAGCGTCCAAGGCGGCGAAAGAGTTCCACGCCAAGCCCCATGACTCGAGTCAGGATCCAGCCTTGAGAGCCCCCAATGAGCAACATTGGTGAGAAGCGATGCTGTGCGTGCAATCGAACTACCGCACACTGCGCCTTACCGGCGAGAAATGGCCGCAGAGATTGCCATTGCGTACTGCTCGGACGACCATGGGAGCGCACCTGGCAAAAAGATCTGGAACCACGGTGTCCCGATGATGTGTTCGTGCTCTTGATTCTTGAGGAGCGTCTGCCACTCGCCATAGAGAACCATCCACTCAGACAAGAGTGGCGAGTACTGCGCTGTGCTCTCACACCGATGCAGATTCTCGTCCAGATCGCGCTCGGCTTTCAAGTATCGGACATAGAGCTCAAAGTCTTCCCGAGTCGGCCATGTCAGCGAAATCCGGTTGACTGTGTATCGGGCAAAGGTGCGGGCCCGTATCTGCAGATTGGCCAGGATCGAGTTCAACATGAACTTGTCGTCGCGAGGCCACACCGTTATGCGGTCGTGGATGATAAAAAGGCTGTTGACGAGTTGTCGGGCCCAATCGTGCAGCTTGATCAACGGACCTGGATTCAATCCATCATCATGTGGAGCAACGATATCAGATCCTGCTGCTGGGCCCAGTGCCTGTTCTTTCCCGCTCGAGAATCGGCTGTCGAGCCATACCCGTGATGTTCTGGATTTCCTGGATGCATCGCTGCTCCGCATGCGTTGGCGAGTCTGCGTCGATTTCTGCTTTCGCCTCTGTGACTGTGACTGCGTTCTTGGCCGTGGCCCGAGATATCCAGTTCCTCAGGGTTGACTGCGAGTGGATCGACCTGTCCAAGGCTACCCGAAGATCCTGGGCCTTCCATCCACCCCGATTCAAGCGGCGGCGGGAGTTATTAGCTCGAGGAGCCGCCTGCGGTTCCTGCAACTTGCACCTGTGGATGAGCTCTCTCACATACTCGCTGAGCTGTTTTGATCCTGCGGCTTCGCGCAAGTCCGTCGAGTTCATCTTTTGTGAGCAGGCCGAGCCAGTCAAGGAGCGATGATGGTCCTTGGGTGGTTGCAAAAGAGGGCGCTGCACCGCACAGCTCGGCGACAACAGCGTTGCGATCGCAGTCCTCGGACAGACCAAGCCTCGAGAGTCGCTCGTACTTTGGCGTGCGGTTATACATCTTGATGAATAGCCACTTGGCATCGTCTGTGCGGAAGGATATGTGGCGGCCGGCGGATGTTACGATAACGGGGACAGTGGCTCTCGGTGGGGCTTTGGTCCGATTCAGGAGGGATCGGGAGTGGCGGCGGCATGGATCTCGTACCGCTCAGAGATTGGTATGCGTTGATGGCCTGGGTCTGCTCAGGGCCCATCAGATGCGAGTCACTCTCCAGGACAGTCTCGATCACTTTGGCGAGCTGCTCTTGATAGCCCTGGCAAGCGGAGGACTCGAGAATGGGGTCGCTGGCGCTGTCACCGTCCTGGGGCAGTTCTTGGCTCGCACGAACCAGAGCCGGATCTGCTTCCATGAGCTGGCCGCCGCCATCGGCGAGCTCTGTGTCGCTTTCGGCCTCGTCGGGATCGGAGTGATGCTTGGTTCCGCTGTGGTCGCTGCGAAGCTCGCCGTCGGCAGCCGAGCCAGGATCGGCCGAGCTGCAGCTGGGAGCCAGACGCTTGCGAGGGCGGCTGCTGTGCGGGCGAGTTCGCTTGGAAGATGCAGGGCGGGCCGCTTTCCGGCCCGCTGGGAGATCGCGGGGGCTCATGGTGGAAGAGCTTGGCAGATGGAGAGGAGAGGCTGTGGTGGGCTTCGAGGCGACGATTCACAGGACGGCACATGAGCATGGGAAAGCTCGGCACCGCACCGCATCGCATTGCCTTCGTCCGGGGCTCTACTGCATGCCCGTCACCGTCCTGCCTGCCTCTGGCTATATATGCCGCAGCGATCCGGCGGCATCATGCGCTGCCTCGTTCGGGCCGCCCCAGCGAGCCATTGCCCTCCCCATCCCGCAGCCGAGAGCCCGTGGAACTGCTCGTTCCTGGCTGATTGGGCTCGCCTCTGTCAATCATCCCCTGCCGCGATGGTTTTTGTCTGGACAAACCGACCCCCGGACAAGCAATTCCCACAGCCTGCGACGACGCCGTGCCTACCGTTTCCGCTCGGCCCCCCAGCGACCCTGCGGTGTCGCCTCGAGTGCATATTCCATCGGGGCCTTGTGTACTGCCGAGCGTTCTGGCGCTTTTCTCTCCGTCCGTGGCGTTTTCCCAGGGCAGTCCCATTGTCCCAGCCCGCTCAGAGACCTCCCTCCTTCACCCTCCTTCTCCCGCTCCCTTCTACTTCCTCCGCCGCTACGGTCTGCAGAGCAGGTCGGTGAAAACAATCATCCTATACCACCTCCCCCCCCAAAAAAAAAAATGTCGACCGAGACGTTCGTCCACGTCAGCTTCGAGAGCCATCTGGCCGATCAGCAGCGCAAGACACCGCCTTGCTTCTTTGAGCCTTTCACGCTGCTCCTACATGAGGGCAGCACGATTTCGTTTGGCCGCCAGGTCAAGTCGCATCAGCAGCCCCAGACCAACAGAGCCACTCCGGGCGAGAATCTAGGCCCAGTCCCGCCGGTTTTGCATGCTGAGGTCGGGGCACTGCCCAGAAACGCCTTCGAGCAGCAGCACCAACACCAGCAGTATCAGAGTCAGCACCAGCAACAGTCGGCCAATGCTGCGACAACCGGCCCTGGCATCCTCCGCGACGACTTGCAGGACACGGCCCAAAATCAAAATGCGGCTTCGTTCTCGGCCCTGGCTCTATTCACGGCTCCGGCCATCAGTGCGTCGTCGGTTGTATCGGCTCTCTGGGGTAACTTTGCCGACCCCAAGGGCCCCGAGGCCCTGTCGCCTCAGGTCGGCGCTACCAGAGCCGGAGACAGCAGTGCTCGTCCAGACCCAAGCGTCGACCGCACCCAGCGGCTCCCGATAACCACAGCAAACAAACCCCGCACAAGCACAGCCGATCAGCCCGCTGGGAAGCATAGGGTCTGGTTCAAGAGCAAGGTCGTGAGCCGAACGCATGCCGAGATGTGGATCAAGGCCGGACAGGTAATGCAATACTCGCACCCTGGCCCGCATTTGTGCTAGCACCCATAGCGTCGCTCGAGTATGCATCGATGCTGCTGCCACCATCTGCATCGACACCTTCGCGGATGTCGCCGATCAAAGCCGTCGCGACGATCGCCGCCCACGTCATTAATGATCTGGGCTCCGCCATCTATGATCGACACAAGATCTATTTGAAAGACGTTGGAAGCTCCTCCGGCACCTTTCTGAACCGCCTGCGGCTCTCGCCGACGAGCAAGATCAGCCGGCCTTATCCGATCCGCGACGGCGACTTGATCCAGTTCGGCGTGGACTATCAGGGACGGAACGAAGGTGAGGACGAGATGCAATCGTGGTGAACCCCAAGCACATCCACGAGACACACGGCAATCAAGCAGGTCGCATGGCGATCGGGAACATCCACCGAGATCCGCCGCTTCTCGCGCATCCAGCGGGTTGGATCGTGACGCTGGGCTGTTTGCCGATGGCGGTACTTTGATGCCGGTGGTGCTGCCTCGTGGGAGCCTGGTCAGCGTGTGAGAACTGTGTGGCTCGGACAGATCAGTCCACGAACAGCCGCTTGCATGAACTGTGCCTGTGGCGGACACTGATGCGGTAATGCATTCCATCCAGATGTATACAAGTCTGTGCTCATGAAGGTCAGCATCCGTAGCCAGAATGGCAGTCCGCTCGGCAGACTGGACCACCCGATCAAGTAAGTGCCTCCGGAGCAAAACTTGCGACCATTTGCCACCAGTATCCTCCCGCTGCTTGTGCACAGCATCCAGAACATCGTTGATTGACCCGATCGGACTCGGTTCGCTCTGTCCCGACGACCGAAATCTGTCGCAGCCGCTTCCGCGTTGCTCTCGGGGCTCTGCTGGCCGCGACCAACCCCTATGCCGACACCAAAGCCGATACAGCCAAGGCAGAAGCACCTCCGGTCCTCGCGCAGCAGACACACATGGACTGCTGCATCTGTCTCGGCGGCATCGGCCCCTTCCAGGCGCTGTTCCTGGGCCCCTGCTCGCACTGCTTCCACTATAAGTGCATCCGAGTGCTGCTTGCTGAAAACGAGGCTATGTTTCCGTGCCCTGTCTGTCGACAGGTGGCCAACTTGGACGCAAGCGTATCGATGGAGAGCCTGTGCGGTCTAGCGGACGGCAGCGATCTTGACGAAGGGCTCGCCAGCAGCAGCCAACTCAGCCGCGACAAAAGCCAGGAGCCAGAGACTAGCATGGACGGCCACGATGGCCAGATGGGAGCCGCCAGAGTCAACATCCTGGACGAAGGACTGCTGGACTCTCAGCAGGATCCCCTGACCCAGTTCTACACTGACGCTCGGCCTTCGCTACCGCTTACCAGACCAAGCATGTCCTCGGCCTGGACTCGGTCACCAGTCGCGCAAGTGGCTTCTGGCGACGCCCAGGCACCCCGGTGCGAATACGCAGGATACCACGAATCAGATCCTATGGGACATCCGAGACCGATTTCGATTTCGAACCAGGGCTGCCCCTCGGAGCGCAAGCAGCCGCCAGGCATCCGAAACCCGTCCGACTGGAGAAGCCAGTCGAGCCGATACTCGGACGCAGACGAGGGGCTTTGGGCTCCCGAGGCAGCCGGCCAACCGGGCCACGATGGGGAACCGTTCTTGGGCTCGGACGAGTACGGGGAATGCGACCTGAGCCAGACGGATTTCGGATCGACGCACAATCTCGCTGGCGGCCCCTCTCGCCCAGCACACAAATTCAGCATTCTCTAGCGCGCGTGAAGATGTCATCGCCTGGATATATCTGTGTGTGTGTCTGGATGGACTGCTTGCTGATGTGCGATGAATACACTGCGTTGACACAAGCCCGTGCCCAAACATCGAGTCGCGGGGGAGAAGCCGACTGCAGGGAGCAGGCTCATCTGGCCGGCCGGAGCTCCCATGGGAATGACCTTTATTTGGTGTCGGGCTTGGGCATGCACTTCCAGCCTCGCCGATGGAGTTCCTCGGGCAGGTAATACTGGTCGATATCCTGTCCGACATAGTCAGGATTGTACTTGTATCCGTTTCCATATCCCATCTGCTCCATCAGCCGGGTAGGGGCATTGCGAAGATGGAATGGCACCGGATAGCCCTGCTCGGAATCGATGGTTTCTCGCACAAACTGCGAGGGGCAACGGTATGGCCATCAGCGATGCAACTGGAGACACTTCAAAGCCCTAATCGGCTTCACATGGAGCCAAGGCAAGCGTGGACCTACCTTGAGCGCCTTGTACACATCGACGTTTTTGGGTGCCCGCGCAAGGTACTTTGGAAACGTAGGCAAAGGCGGTGGGTTGATAGATAGATAGATAGATAGATAGATAGATAGATAGATAGATAGATAGATAGATAGATAGATAGATAGATAGATAGATAGATAGATGACGGCATCAGCACATACTGAGCACAGCCATCGGCGCAGCGCCCTCGGGTCAGTCTGCTTTTGCCCTTGGCGAGGCAACGGTCCAAAGCGTGGAACAAACTGACAAAATGCCACTTACGGCGGCACAGTGTGCAAGCATCACATCGCACTCGGGCATGCCCACAATCTGGCAAGATTGATATGTTGCAACGGCGAGCGGAAGGGCTTGCGAGTCGCCGAGTCCAATATCCTCTGACGCAATCCGGATCATCCTTCGGGCCACATAGAGCACGTCTTCTCCGGCAAAGATCATCCGACTCAGCCAGTACAGTGCCTGTAAAAGATTCCCAGGACGATTGCCATCGTCAGAGCAGGCGCAAGTTTGGAGCCCCCCAAGTGCCACCGATATGCACAGAGACACAACCAAGTCCAAACAAGATACTGACTGCATCCTCGTCCGAGCCGCGGACACTCTGATGTCGGCACATCGGATCGGATCCGGGGGGGGGCGAAGTATGGAGCCAAAGGCAAGCAAAAGGCGAGTGATAATATATAGAAAGTCAGATAGCCGATCAGTGCAAACCAGATCGGGTTGTTCAGGTGTTGGCTCGAGCGGCGATGGCACGAATGAATCGTGCGGCAGTGTCCCTCCTTCCAGTAAGCGACTAGCCCCGTCGGGCGTGTCGGCAACTTACTTTGTGAAATGCACTGATGAGGTTGTAGTGCTCTTCGCCGTCCTTGTCGTAGAGCATGTGGGTCTTTTGCAGGATCTGCTTGACCTGATCCAGCGTTACCACAACCCTGTTTTGCTTGTAGCCGATGGCTGAGTCGACGACCATCTCGAGCGAGTTGAGTGCAGACCTGGCGTCACCGTCACTGAGGATCGACAGATATCCGATTGCGCTTTCGGGAAGCACGATGGTTTGTGATGCTCCTGGTCTTGCGGTGACAGGCGCCGCCAGATAAGTGCTTGCATGTGCAGCGGCTGGCTCTGGGTCGGAAGTGTCAACGGCATCGTTCGAGTCGGCAGTAAGAACGGGAGTGCCCTTCGTGGCTGTGTCGGCCACATCGACCATGCCAACCGCTGGAATGTCTGTAGCGGCGAGCAGATTCTGGTCAGGGACTGCCTCTTGGCGCAGGCGGCATATCCAGCCTGCCCAGGATCAAAGTCGAGTCATGGGCTTACATGCCGAACGATGCAAGATGCACGATGCAGGATGCACGATACACGATGCAAGATACCGCCTCATGCAATACCATAGGTCATACCGGCCGACTCGGATGGCATGTCCTGGACGATGATAGAAATGTTGGACTTTTCCTCTTTGAGCCGCACAGCCCTCATGATGATGGCCTTCATGGCTTCAGGGTCGATCTTGTTCAGCACAAAAACGCGGCAGCGCGAAAGCAGTGCCGAGTTGATGCGGAACGACGGATTCTCGGTCGTCGCTGCGATAAGAGTAAAGTTGCCCTGGGTTGGTGTGGGTCGGCCTGTCATTAGGACGATGTCAACACAGCCGATTGAAGTCGCTGGCGCCGCAACGATGATCGCAGTGGACACCGGCAGCGAAAATGGACTTGCTCGAGGATGGATACAGCCGCGGTGATGCTGTCGTTTTCGAGTCACGAAAGCGAGGCCGTACCTCTTCGACAGGCTTGAGGAAAAAGTCTTGCTGCAACTTGGTGAATCGATGAACTGTGGCCGCGGCAAGGTGTGGATGGAGTCGCCAAAGACAGTGTCAGCATGCATGATGTACTCGCGAAAGGCCATGACATTGAGCATCTCCGTGTCGCGATCGAGAGGCAGCATGCTGGGGAGCGACTCTTGCAGTGCAGAGGCAGTACGAGGGCCTGGAACGACGTACTCTCGTCCATGAACAGGATGGGTCGCTGGCCCGTCAGATTGGACTGATTCCGGGCTTCTGTGGCGATCTTGCGGACATCGGCGATCGAGTGCGTAGCGCCGCTCATTTCTCGATAGAACGAATTGCCCACGGTCCGGCCTGGAGTAGGTCGGTAGACAGAGCAGGGTGCAAAGCCCACCGACACCGATCCGATCGAGATGGCAGCGCAGAGTCAGAGTGAGAAGACAGACGCATGGTCGAGACGAGACAATGTCGGATGGCTGGCGGCTCTCGGGACAGCGTACCGATGAGTCGGGCAAGCGTCGTTTTGCCACAGCCTGGAGGGCCCCATAGCAAGATGCTGGGCATTCGGCCCGACTGAATGAGCCTCGAAAGTAGGCAGTCATCGCCGACGAGGGACGGCTGGCCGTAGAAGTGGCCGAGGTCGGTTGGGCGAGCCAAGTCGGCCAGCGGCGCATGGCTGGTTCGTGGCTTTTTCTTTGGAGGCAGGGACGCAGGCGGGGTGCGGTCAGGCCGAGCTTCATCGGGAGAAGGCTCCTCTTGATCGACCTCCTGGCTGTCGTATGGCTCGATATCGTGTTGCTGGTGGAGATGGGTCTCTGGTGGCGAGAAAGGTGGCTTGAGCGGTGCTGATGCGGACGAAGCCGATGGAGACAGTGGCGGAACGGACGACGACGGCGACTGGGAAGCCGATGTCAGTTTGCGCTTGGGAGGGGCTTTAGATGGGGGTGGCGAGCCGGGCTTTGGCAGCCAAGATTGCCTTGGAGATCGAGGACCCGACGATGCGGCCGCAGAAGGCTGGACGAACAGCGAGCATTGAGAGTCGAGGTGCTCGTTGATGAGCGCCGAGGGGATGGGCTTATTGCAGCACGGACAGACCACGGGGGCGGACGAGGCCATGGGGGGGGGGTTCTGATATGGACGAACGATGATCGCGGCGACGATCAAGACGGGGGTCGAGACCAAGACGGGATCGAGGCGGATGACACTGCGAGGGCATGGGATGACGGCGCGGCTGTTTGTCAAGACAGGACACCCCGACACAGACATCCCATGAAGGCCATTGGAACATCCAATGCGGGCGACTTTCAACGAGGCAAGAGCACTGGGTCTGCGACACTCGGACGGCCCCGTGGCTTTCCCGCATCATCATGAGCCGAGCCGGGAGTCGTCCGCCCTGTCGTCTGCGTTGCGGGTTCGCCTGGACGGTGAGATAACAACCTGTTTGATATGTCCGCACCGACAGTCCACACCGACAGTCCACACCGACAGTCCATTCTGATAGTCCATTCTGATAATCCACACCGACAATCCACATCGACAATCCACACTGGCTATCGATACCGCCTGTCCACACCGGCGGTCTGCCCTCTTCCGCCGTGTTTGGCCGGATCCCCGTGCGGTGGTGTGCCGTCTGCTGTCCGGGGGATCCGCTCCAGCGAAACCCCGCTCCTCGCTCAGAATGTCCAGGAGGACCGGCGGAGCAACCCGCTGGGTATATCAATCGCCAGCGCCCTCGACTCCTCGGCCACCAGGAGGAAAAAGAGACTTGCTGCTCCGTTGCTTTTACCTCAGGGCCCTTGGGCTTTGCCTGCTGTCGTGCTCCGAACGCCCGCTGCCTACCACAGCCCTCGCTGCCCTGCTGCCTCTGCCTCTGCATCTGCCTCTGCCTCTGCCTCTGCCTCTGCCTCGGTCTCTGTCCGAGCCTCTGCCGCCCCGCATTCCCACCATCCCTTCCTCTGGCAATCTCTCCTGCTTCCTGCCTGCTTCCTGTCTCCAGGCCAGCCCGCCTTCTCGTTCTGTTCCTCGGCGAGCCTCCGCTCACTGCCGGACAAGCCTCCCTCCCTCCTCCTCAAAAAACATTCCGTGTCTGCCTCCTTTGACCCCTCCCCTCATCTCGTTCAGTTCACATCCTGCGCCTCGTCTGCGAGCATCGGCGCCACCCAGTACATATTGGAACTAGTCCCAAGCTGCTACTATCGTTGTCAAGCAGCATAAACCGCCCGCGTTCTCCATCCCGCCCACACCCTGCTACCCAGCTCCTTTCTGCTGATCTCCACAATGAACAAAATCGGATCCTTTGGCACCCAGACGATCCAGCTCTTCCCGAGCGAGGAATATGAATCATATTCCGGGCCAACGACTTTGGAAACACGGCCCGTCGACCAGGACGAACACATTATCTTGGCTAGAAGTACTCTCGTCCGCGAAGGTCCCGTTCTGCTGCGTTCCGAGTGCTTCCCAAAGTCCTACTTCAAGTGGAGCAAGATCAAAATCAAGCTCTACGATAGCTGCCAGATTCAAATCGATGCCTCCAGCATTCCTCTCATCGCCAACAAGACCTTCGACATCGTCAGTGTCCGTATTTCCGACCTCCCGGGTCTCCGCTGCCCCGTTCTCAAGCTGAGTCTGACCGAGTCTCGGTCGTGCGAGCCGCTCGAAGTCTTTCTGCGGCACGGCAAGGCGGGCATGCTGGACGAGTGGTTCCAGTCCTTCAAGCTCGCCAATCTCATCTTCAACCGGACCAAACTTGCCAAAACGTATTACAATGAACTGGACACGCTTCGGGAGAATAGTGAGAAGCTCAGAAGCGATAACCAGCGGCTCGAGGACAAGAACAGAATCCTGGCTGAGCGCGCCGCTGACTCGATGTTCAAGCTCCAGAATATGGCCGGCTGCATGTTCACATCGGAGGAGGTCAACACCATTGTCAAGGTAGCCAGAGCTCATCTCGACCAACGGGATACATGGCAGGGCGTCTGTGGATGATTGCAGATGGATGTGAATGATTTTGAATCACTGTGGATGTATTCGCACTCGCTCTAGCACCCTCTAACTCTGCCAACGACTCATTCTGTTGCTTCTTGGTCGGCGCATTGGTCAACTCTGTAACAAACAATCGACCATCCGACATTTAATACTCCTGAAATGCCGGTCTATCCGCGGAATGTCTTTGAATCGCTCAGGAGCAAATCAGCCAGCTCTACGAACACAACATGCAGCTCCAAAGCATGCTGGATGAATGCATGAACCGAACTATGGTACTCGTGGGTGGCGCTCGGACTCGGGCTGGTCACGGCGAAGCACGGGAATGTTGGTGAAGAGTACAAGGCCCTTTATTCCGAGTGAGCCAAGCAGTTCTGGACGTCGTGCTGAACCGAGATCGTCGCCGCTGGACTCATCATCCGGAATTTGTTATCCTTACGATGTCACAGATGTTTACTTCACCAAAGTTTGATAGCCGATGTGCGAGCCCAAGCCAGTTTGTAAGTTGAAGGGAGCATACCCTGTTCAAGACACATTCGGCCTATAAAGTGATACTCCATCTCGACGAGGCTGCCAAGCTTGCATGACAACGCGGGTCTCGCAGAGGGCACCACTGGACTCGGGCGAGATGAGCACATGGAAGCCGGATGATGCCCATTCGTCTCTACTCTCCTCCGCCTGGGTTTTGCTTGGCCGATGCGCTTGCACTTGTCTGGGTGCCCGCTGATCTCGGGTGATTGCCCGGGACCATTCGGCCATGCACCCGCTGCTGTGCTAACAACTACCGTGTCTGATTCCGATAGGACACCTCCTCTATAGCCACTTCACGACAGCCTTCGCTGACAAGCCTCCAGAGCCCGCAGGTTCCGAGCAGTGTCCAGCCCGAGCTCCGCAAGAGCTTGTTCAACTCTGCGGTAGGTAGCTTGGCAAAATCGAGTGGGAGTTGTCGCAGCAATGTGTGTGGAGCTTGCTTGCGCTCGCTGTGTCCGGCGTCCTAATCTGCTGTCATACTGCACTCTGGTATCGATCCATCGGCAACGTGTCGCTCTCTGCGGATCGTAGCGACTGGATGCTCTCAGCCGCAAGCCAACCAGTCTCGCCCCGAGCAGCCCATCGAGTGGCCACTCCATCGGGGATGCACCGGGAGGACTCGGAGTCATTCCCAACGAGCTCCACCAGCGTCCCGGCTCTCCTCAGATCAAGTCTGGCCCCCGCAAACGAGTTCCCTCGGGTGCATCCGGCGTGCCCATGTTCCGCCAACGCTCCAGTCACTCCAAGCCACCCCCGGAGGATCCCGCCCCACCGCAGCCACGGCCGCGCTCGGGCCTGATCAACGAGATTCCCATGGGCTCCCCGACCATGACGACGGTCTCGGCTCCGAGCGAGGTTGAGAGCGCCGACGGGGGCGCCGTGGTGATCACACAGCAGGGGGCCATCCGCGCCCGCCACCTGCTCGAGGACGACAGCGGCGCGATCCAAACCGGGGACCCTCCGATGCGACTGTTGAGCCAGTCCAGGCCAATCGCGGCTATCTGAGAGCCTTTGCCGCATTCGGCGCTCTGATTGCATCTGTTGGCCGTTGGGCGAATTCGACGCCGTCGCTGCATCCGTTGAACTGGCTGTATTCCCGATCCCCCCCCTCTCTCTCTCTCGTTGTCTCACTCACTCTCTCGTTGTCTCATTGTCTGCCATCGATTCATGATTCCATGTCCAATGCACCACCATGTCCAATGCACTCCATGTCCAACGCCTCCAATCCAGCCAGCCGCGTCGGTGCGCGTCTCGGGCGGCCCCGGCTTGCAGAGATCCGAGGCGCCGCTTACCTAAGCGGCCGGCCGTTTTTCAGCAAATTGGTTTTTTTCTGCCGGTGGCTGGCGCTTGTTCGCGGCCAACAAGCCCTCTGGCACAAGCCTTCCAGGCTCCTGCTGCGCTGGGCTGCGAGAGCATCGGCGGTCTCGACGTGCGGGCTGGCTCCTCCCTGAAAGCACATTTGCGTTTTTTTCTTCGCTTGGCCGCCATCTTCCTGCTCTCGCTTGCTTTCCTCCGTGCTCCTGGGCCTCTGCAGACGCTTCCCGCCGGGCTGTCTTTGTTCTGTCTCCGGCCCCTGCCTGCTCGAGATTGCCGTTTGTCCTCGCTGCCGGGATTCCTGTCTGTGGTTGCTACGTGGCCAAACCAGAAGAGGCCAGAGACCCGCAAAGGCATCCCCTCCCTCGCCGCCTTCTTTCGAGTCCGCATCCGTCCTTGGTCGCCGCTGCCCCTTCTTGCTTGCAGCCTGCGTCCGGTTCCCACGTCCTTCTGTCGACCCTCTGTTGATGGTCCTGTGATAGCTCTCTTGCAGCCCTCGCCACCATCACCACCACCGTCCACGTCCGTCCAGCACAAGCCGTTTCCACCGACGCTTGCCCTTGCCTTTGCCCCTTGCCTTTGCATTCCACACCATTGCTGCTGTCCCTGGCCCTGCAGCGATTCGCCTCTGTGTCTGCTACATCTTGCTCTCTGTTCTTATCGTCCGCCGACTTGCTTGCGGATCTCCTCCCTCCTGCTATTTAAGATAACCCAGAACCCAATCCGCCCACTCGTCCGTTGTGCACCTTTGCTGCCTTCCCTCCCCTTCTCGTGAGCCCCCTGCCGCAATCCCTCCGCTGTCTCTCTGAGCGTCCTCCGTGCCGATCTGCATCCCGCGCCTCTTGTTGAATGCTAAAATTTTCAAGCGCCCTGGACTCTCGAACCTTGCTCTATCCGCGCTGCTAGTGATATCGCTCCAAGCCATCACTACCTCCCCCTCACCACCATTGCGTGACTCTGGCCGCCCAGAATCGCACCTCCGTCCCGCTCGACTGACAAGCCGCATCCATATCGCTGGTGCCCAAGTCTGTTTCGACTCAGTAGCATCGCTACCTCGCCAATTTCGATCTCGATTTCGATCTCAATCTCGATCTCAACCTTGCCTTCGATCCCGGTCTACCTTCCTGCCTGTTCGAGCCTCCAGCGAGTTCGCTCGATCCGACGATTTGCATAGCCGTCCCGACGACGACCCTTCGACATCATGTTTGGCCTCACAGAACACCCCCTCATAAGCCTGAGTCTTACCATCGTCATTGGTGTGGCATGCACCGTCGCCACCGGAGCCGTGGTCACCTATGGTTTCCAATACCTAGTCCAGGACCACAACATCACCCAGGTCCGGAACCAGTTCAAGCGCCAGCAGCGGCGGTTCAAGGACATCCTCAAGCAGATTGAGGAGGACTGCAAGCTGGTCAAGCCTCAACTGGACACGATTCGCCAGAGCATGGTCAAGAAGACCGCCAGCGCCTCGGCCTCGCCCGCAGGCAGCCCCGACTTTGACGAGTGCATCAAGTCCATCCCCTCCAACGCCAACCCAATCCATACCCCTGTGCCCGCAACGAACGACTCGAGCCAAAGGTGAGTCACTGCCATAAGCAAGAGAACGAGGGAGGGGGTCGTGTCAAAGGGCATCCGAGCGACATGGGTGGCACCCATGTGCAACCGGCTGGGGATGCCTGGTGAGTCGAACGGATGCAAGCACGAACCGACGATGAGCATGGATGGGAGAACGAAGGTGCTTGCGTCTGGTCGGCTCCCGTCAGTGCTGCACCAACCGCGAGACGGACAATGTGTGCTTCGGGCTATTGCAGAATCAGTGTCCTAATGCTGTCCATGCCGCTCGTGCTCGCTCGCCTCGCAGTGCCGACAAGACCCCCTCGCCCACCCTGTCAACACATTCAGCCTCGTCCGCCAACGGCTTGTCGACCCCGCAACGAAAGCCCAGCCTGGACTCCAAAGAACGCATCAGTGCCGCGGGCATGGACAAGAAGCTCAAGGAGGTAGATGAGCATCTGCTCCGGTTACTGGAACGCCTGGACAGCGTGCAGATCGGTGTGCTCGAGTCGTTCCTGTCGGGCCAGCCCAGACAGAAGGACACGGCTGCCTTTGGGCTGTTTTCCTCAGCAAAGTCCGAATCGCTCTGCGAGATCGACACCCAGACGAGCGAAATGATGAGGACGTCCATGGACGGCATCCGCTCGCGGAAACGAACACTTGTCAGCAAGGTCCAGGAGCTTGTCGCGGAGCTGGATCTGCTATGCTCCAAGGCCGGCCTGGTAGCTCCGTCGACACGGGTTGTGTAGAAGCAGAAAGAGAGAGAGAGAGAAGACGAAGGAGAAGTAGCTATTTTGTCGCCGTCCCCTGCTCGCTGTTTGTAAATGTTCCATTTCATTCCACTTTACTTTATTTTGCAGCGCTCCCAGAATAAAACGGGGTGTCCCGTTTTGAGCCAGGACAGTTGTGTCCTTCTGGAACCTGAATACACCCACCCACTCATTGCAATCATGGCCAAACAGTGCCCAGTGCCGGGAAGCCAAGCGACTCGAGAAGGTCGGGTATCTTGACGTTGATACACTATGGAGCAGTCCAGGGTCGAGTGGATACACCACACAACGAGATTCCCAACCAGGACGGGAAACAATCACATGGCTTGCCCACCGGAGCCTATGGAAGTTCGACAGACCTGTGTTGCTGGTGCCAGAAAGGAACTGTCCCGTTTCGCTATGAATCGACTCTACTGAACAAACGCAATTCCCCACTTGCCGCTCCACAATTGCCACCATCGCCACCATCAACAACATCATCAGCAGGACCCAGAGCTGCGGCGAAGCGAGTGTGGCAAACCGGGGCGAGCAAGCAGCAAGGGTCACCCGAAATAGCTCTGGCGCCCGTTGGTGCAGCCGCCAAGACAATCTCCCACCCACTTCCCACCACGAGCCAGCGAGCCGGCGAGCCAATGCAACGGCAAGTCGGTGCGATGCACATGGCCGGCTGGTCGGTCGGTCGGGAGGACGGACATGGCCGGACAGGGGGGGAGATGGTGCGGACGATGTGATCTGGCTGGCGGGCGCAGCGAACTGAGCGGGGCGGCTGCTGTTCGAGAGGCTTCTCTCCTCTCTCGTTCTCGGCGCCGATCTCTCCTGGCTCTCGCGCAATCTCGCGCTGCCAGAGTGTGTGTCTCGCCGCGCTCTCTCCTCTGCTGCCACCCTCTCTCGTGCGTCTCGCCGTCCCCTCGCCGCCCCTCGCCCCTCGCCGCAGAAGAAAATCGAGTCGTCTGCGGCCGAGTCCTGTCTGCTTTGGCCTTCGTCTCTCGTTCCCGCCGACTCAAGCATCTCTGTCGCTCCAAAAAGCATCGTCTTTTCCACGCCGCCGTCGAATCTAGCGCACACGCCGTCTCTCCTCTGGACCCTCGAATAACAGTCTGCTTCCGCAATGACCCATCAACAGTGGCTTTTCTCCTACGACGAGTGGGCGCAAGCTCCTTCGATGAGCCAGCTGTCTCTTGGCGACGAGGCCCTCGAGCGAAAGAAGATGTGTGCCTTCATCGACTGCATAGGAAAGCGTCTGCAACTGTAACTATCAGCATTTCATTATTATCATTTCTCATCCATCCGTGCTCCCGACCCACCATGACGCCTCTGCTTCGCTGCATTCCTGACGGCGCAATCGATCGGGCCGGAGGGTCAGGCGACTCTTCAGCCTCCACTCCTCGTCTGCGATCTCGGCGGCTCGACCGTTCACTTGCAGCCTTTCTCTGGAGCATCGCTGTGTTCGCTATCCACAGCTGCATCGTTCACTCCCCTCGCTCCGTGCTGGATGGCATCCGTAGCCCGTTTTGCTGGCGCGGCCCTGTTTTCTGCTGTCGGTGCTGTTGAGGGGGGAGATCGCTGGCCTGGAAGCGATCTCCCGGCAGCCTCCCCCCCCAAAAAAAGCCTCCGTGCTTCGCCGATCCCCCGTGCGCCACCGTTCTGGCTCTCCTATCTGTCGAGCCCGCAAGGGCCGTCCGGTACCCTGCTGAAACCCTCTCACTGAGCCCCTGTCTCTTCCTACCCGTTCCTCCCAGTGATCAGGACGATATCAGAACCGCAAAGGCGCTGGCCCACCGCTTTTACATGAGACACTCCTTCCGCAGCTACAACTACCACGAAGTCGGTGCGACGATTTTGGCTCTGATGGGCAAAGTCGGGTGCGAGTACCGAGGCATCGACCATGTTGCGAAGACGTGTGTCTCTAAAAGGCTGGAGGGCGAGCAGCGGACCAAGGTGATTGTCAACCTGCAGCAACGACGGTGTCTCTGATGCCACTCGCTTATCTGCAGGCCAGATTCTGTGCAGCCCTGGCTCCCCTCCCTCCCCCGTTGTCGAGATCGATTACCGGCTGGCATCGAGTCCATATGTGCGCTCTGCTGTCGCTAAATCTGCCGCCTATTTCCCCTCGTCGCCCGCCAATACGACCGCCGATTCGCCTCCGCGTTCTCCTATCCCACTCGGCCAACTAAATCAACCCGCCGACGACCCGATTCCACTGGACACCGACAGGAAATGGACAAGTGGATCGAGTGTATCATGAGCAAGGAGTTGATCGTACTGGAGAGCCTGGCCTTTGACTTCTCGGTCGAGCATCCCCATTCGTATGCCCTGGACTACGTGAGCAAGCTCTACACACGTATGTGTCCGGTCTTTCCCCCCCATCGATGCCGGCACATCGAGACCATCCACCGACCAATTGAGGCAGGATTGCTGCTTGGCACTGTCGTAGCTGGATGCTCTGTGCCCGCCTCTAACCTGGCGCATCCATGACCGCTGCTCGTACAGATGAGCCGTGCTACGACCAGCTCCTCTCTTGCGCCTTCATGTACTGCGATTGGTGGTAAGGCTGCCGTTCGGTTTGCTCATGAGCGATAGTTTGCACAGATGCGGCGTGCACAACTGGCTGGCTGCACCACCGTCCTCGTCGGACTAGGCTGCGCTGTTCCATCATTGGCCTGAACGCCTATTCCTTGGTTCCGCATGCTCCCTCCCCTGCCTTCATCGTGGCAGTCTGGACACACCCATCGTCACGATCCACACCGCCAAAACCATGGGAATGATCGCGGCCTATGTGGCTGCCGACGCCTATGGACTGAAGTGGCCCTTTGGCAACCTCAAAGATGAGTTCCTGTTCAAAGGTACGGGTCGCTGGGCTGCTGGCTCTTGCGCCCTGGACACCCGGGTCTGCTTGTGCTAAGGATGCAGAGGGATCATCAGCAGCTATACTCAAGCACGACAACCTCTGTTTGTTGTGCGCTCTCAGACGTCAATATGGCGCTGAACCTGCTCCATCATGAGAAAGAGTACAAACGGTTTCTGGACAAGGGCGCCCTCGGGCCCCAGCGCATCAGCCGGCTGGTGACGGAAGAAACCCAGCGCCGAGAGCGCGAAAACGCCCGGTCGTCCTACTACAGCCAGGCGGCGCCGATTTCTCCGCTAAAGTCACCGCAGCCCTCAGGTGCCTCGGTCCCGCCGGCCAAAGAAAAGTCGCAGACGGTCAGCCCCAAATGGCTGCCGACCCCGACGTACGCCCAGGGCAACCAGAAGCCGGCATCGGTGTATTCCCACCATCGGAGCCATGGCGACGCAATCAATGGCTTCAAGGATGCCTCGGAGACAAACGATCAGCCCCCTCCTCCCGGCAGCACCGCCCGTCCGTCCTACATGATGCCGAGCCAAAGCCATGTCTTGCCGCCGACATCGTTGCCCTATCCAGGATCGCAGACCAGCCGACCTGGCTCGTACTGCAAGGCCCGTCCCGCCTATGCCACCCACGGATACCACCCATACAATGTCCAGGCCCGGATACATCCTGCCCGACACACGCCCGTGGGCCACCTGCACCAGCCTCCTCCTCCTGTTGGAGCCCCGCCGGTCCAGCCCCCTCCTCCTCCACCCGTCTCGGTGCTGGAGTCTGATACCCATCGAGCCCTCGAGAATCAAGTCTCTGCGGCGCTGTAATCGGACCATCCCACGCAAGCCCGTCTCGCCTGCGCTCGTTCCAGGCAGCTTCCGGTGGCCTTGCTTTTGTCCCAAGCTTTGGACGGCTCTGCCAGGGACACGCCCATGGCGTCAAGGCAGCCGTCCTCAACCCATTACGCTGCTGCTATTCGCGACATTCTGGCAGCCGCAGCGTTCCAACCACACCCAGGGCCCATCAAGACGACCCATATCGCACAAAATGCAAAAAAAAAAAGAACCATGCCAAACCGAAGGCACACCCCGTGCTTCAACAACTTTGATACAAAACAGCATACAAACCCCCACAAAAAAATTACATCCGGTAGAAGACGGCGTTCTCTTTGTACTTTCAGCCTCTGCCTACGAGCGACTCTGTGGTCTCCGCCACTTGCCGTTGAATTCTTCTCGACCACACTGCCCTCTCTCTCCCCACTCCCTGGCCCGTGGTGCAGACGCTTTCTACCCTCCCCCTGGCTGTCTGCCATGTTGAATACAGATCATTTTTCGAAGCGCATCGAGAAGGCAGGTTTTGGGTGTGGTGAGAACTTTGACTGCTCCATGGGCGTCTCTGGCCCGCGCCTCGCTGTCGTCTCGGCTGCTCTCGTCTGTTCTCGGCAAGAGCGAGACAGGCTTGCCCAGACACTTTCGTCCGTTTCCTCCTCCACTTCATCTCCCCCCCCCCAAACGACCAAGCCGCTCTCTGTCCACCACCGTCCTGGCCCCCCGACATCATGCACAAATTCAATCTGAAGGCAGCCGAGTTTAGTCCCTTTGCGCCACCGGTATCGATGCCGGAGAGCGGCCGCAACGAAGCGCTGGCATACATTGACGACGAGGACAACCGCGATGCTGGCGACGAGCATCGTGAATATCACGACGATAGTGAATACTATGATGATGGTGAATACTATGACGGTGAAGAGTGCCAAGTATACCCCGAAGACGATGAACAAGACGGATACCATGAGGATGATGCAGAAGGCGGGATTGATCCAAGTGGCAAACAAGGCGCCGCCGATATTCATGGCAATCCCAGCGACGACGATGACGATGACGATGACGACCCGACGCTCATGTCCCTGACCTTGATGGAGATGATTCAAACCGTCTTCAGCGACCTGGACGTGGATCGTATCGATGCCATCGTTCGGGACTGCAACTATGGTGAGATGTCTGCTTCTTGGTAGCGTGCTGGCGCTGGATTGCTTCGAATCTCGACTGTCATCCATCATTGCGACCGATGAATCGGCGTCCGATCCCGTACTCTGACCATGGATTCCGACCCCATGCTTGCCCTATGGCACTACTCAACCTGTGGTCAGATATCTCGCAGATTCTTGACCGCCTTTGCGTCGATACTGAGGATCAGAAGACCAGCCAACTGCTGGCCCCATTACCAACACCAGCACCAGCATCAGCACCAACACCAACACCAACACCAACACCAACACCAGCATCAGCTACAGCGGGCTCTCGGACCATCTGCCGGCATTTCCTTGCCGGAGGTTGCTATCGCTCAGATTGCTGGTATTCGCACGATACCCGGGATGTCATCTGCAAGTTTTGGGCCAAAGGCTTCTGCTCCAAGGGCAGCGGTTGCGAGTTTGTCCATGGTGCCGATCTTGCCGGTCGGCTCTCGAACGCTGTTGAGCACAAGTCTGCGGCATCGGCGAGTATCCGGCCAAACCCAAGGCCGACCAGCAAACCATCGGTGCCCATCAACAGCCTCGACGAGTTCCCATCCTTGGGCGGACCGAACAAGTCATCATCTGCCTCTGGGCCTGCAGCTACTTCCAAGCACGTCCGTGCGATTGACCTTCGCACACCGTCCAACTTTGCCGGAGCCGTCGCCAAGGTCCCATCGGTCGCGCCCGCAAATGCCCTGTACGGCACCCAGCCGCTGCCTTCAGTTGCTGCCAAGCCGATCCGGGCCAAGTTTGTGGCCTCGGAACTGACCACATCTCGGGCAAAAGCGCACCAACGACACCGCGCAAGTGGAGGCAGTCGGCTCGATTGGCGGGAGACAGGCGACACCCTGGCGGCCCAATATGACAAGTTCCGCGAAGAAGCAAAGGAAGTCGCCGTGGCCCGTAACAAGCTCTTCCAGCTGTATGTGAATGTGCTTGGCTGAGAGTGGCGAGACGACGCATGCTGCTGCTGCTGCTGCTCGGGGATGCTGCACGGAGCGCTACTTGGAGTGCTGCACGAAGAGGACACAGCCGAGTTCGGCCTGGATTGATGAGCCATGTACCTCCCTCAGTGCCACGCAGGCATATGTATCAGGCAACCGGGGCGCCGCCAAGGCACTGTCCTTGCAAGCACACAAGCTGAATGAGCAGAGTAAGTGTTGGCCGATGGCGAACGACTGGTGGGAGAGTGTGTGCAAGGGCAGGGGAGGAAGGCCGCATGGGCTTTGGTTCAGTGGATCTATTTGTGATGCTTGTCTGATACCCATGTCTACTTCTCGCCAACGCTCTTGCCCTCCGTGCACCGCCGATACCGAATCCATCAGTGGAAGCCCTGAACTGGCAGGCAGCCGAAGCGACCTTCCAGCACCGAAACGAAAGCGACTCTGCCGGAGAGGCTCGATGCACAATCGACTTGCATGGTTTGCATCCGAGCGAAGCTATTCATTTCCTCTCTCAGCGACTCGAGACCCTCAAGCGGGAGATTGCCCGTCGAGGCACGCACCGGACCCTTCAGATCATCACCGGCACCGGCCACCACTCGCAAGGCCGTGAGAAGCTCCGTCCGCTCGTCAAGCGGTTTCTGGTCGAGAACCAGTACCGCTTCTATGAGCGCGGCATGGGTGACGGGCTGGGCGGCATCCTATGCATCGACCTATGACCGCCCGTGGAGAGGAGTCGACTGCCTCGTCCGAGGATATGTGCTGAAGCGCTAGAATACATGGCTCTGGAAGTACGGATTGCAGTGTCTTCGCATCCAGTCTCGTCGCTGGTCCGCAACCGCATACACAATGCCGACCATGTGGAATCAAGAGAGCAGCTTGCGCAAACACCCTCAACTGTTGCGGAGCTGGTTGGAGAAGTGTCTGGACTTGATCGCGCAGTATGTCACTCACAAGGGTCAATATATATTACAGTCGATTCATAGCGAAACGGGACAGTTCCTTCCTGGCTTCAGATGTCTGAAACCCGCTGACTGACTGTAGCCCCCAGCGAGCAAGCCGTGAGATTGTTTCCCGTCCTGGTTGGCAATCGAGTGGCCAGCGCGCGATTGTATTGGGTAGCAAAATATTTGATCAATCGTCAAAAACACGGGTGTCTCGTTTTTTATTGGAATATATATTAAGGTAAGCTAGTTGTGCATATTTTCTGAGGTTCGTTTAGAGAGAGATATAGCAGGCGGCGCCAGGGCGATGAAGGCAGGGTACGAATCGCAGATACGACCCACAGCCAGTCGGAGCCAAGAAGATTAAGCCTGCAGGATGGCCTTGGTTGCGGCGCCAAAGTTGCCGTTGTTGTCGGCATGGGCTGTTGACCAGAACATGATGCCGGCTGGAGGGTGAAGACAGAGGTGGCATATGAGTCCGTGTGTCTTGAGCGATAGACTTGCGACCAACTCGTGCAGCGTCCATAACGACAGGATAAGCGATTCCGATGATACATACCGAAGCGAGAGGAGGCCCCAGCATTGGCACGGATCTCCTTGACAATGTTGGCCACTCCAGCGGGGGCGACATAGCCAGATCCAGCAACCGTCGAGGCAGGCAGGCCGAGGGCGACCTTGAAGCCCTGCTGGGAGGCAAATTGGTCCCACTGGGCATAGTTGAAGCGGGCGTTGATATCAGAGATATCGCCAGACTTGTAGTTGTCAGCCTGAAGAGAGTAGGGCAGATGAAAAGACGCAACAGTGAGCGTTGGCGATCAAAGGGGCACTTGTCCTGCACTCAAATACAGATGACAGCCGCGGATGTTCCTGCTTCGCACAGTGTCCAAGCCAAGAGAGCTCGGGGGTCGGTTCGGATACTTACGCTACACCAGTTCTGGTAGAACTGAGGGGCCACCCAGTCGAACTGGCTGCCGGCATTGGAGAGGGCAGGGCCAACGGAGCTGTCGGGGTAGAAGCACTGCGGAGCAGCGGTGAGGTAGTATTTGCCCTTTGTGGCGCCGGCGGCACGGAAGGCATTGGCAAAGACGTCGTAGTTGGCCGGGGCGTTGTTCTCAATGTCGAGATCGAAGCCGTCGAGGACGGCGGTGCCGAAGGGGCGGGAGGGGTCGTTGACGTTGCCGCCAAAGAAGGTGTTCCACAATCGGTTGGCAAAGTCGGAGGCATCGGCAGCAGAGCCGAGACTGGAAGCGCCGGCATTGGCGCCGCCGGCCGAGAGGATGACGGCAATGTTCTTGGACTGGCAGTACTTGATGTCAGCGGCAGTGGAGCTGATGGGGTGGTCGATGTGGATCTGGGGAACCTGGCCGTGGCCGTACACATCAAGGAAGGCCATCATGATGACGTCGTAGTTGTTCTCATCGCAGGTGTCGCGAAGAGTCTTTTCGCCGTACTGGCCGTTGGCGCCCCAGTAGCCAATGTTGAGCTTGCCCATGCGGCCGCGGACATCGACAGGGGTGTAGTTGCCGGGATTGGGGTTGGGCGAGGCCGACGGAGTCGAGGTAGTGGTGGTTGTGGTGGTTCTGGCAGGGGTGGTGGTAGTAGTAGTGGTAGTAGTAGTGGTAGTAGTAGTGGTGGTGGTGGGCTTTGTAGTGGTGGTGGTCTTGACAGGGGTAGAGGTGGTGGTGGGTCGGGCGGTAGTCGTGGTGGAAGTGGTGGTAACCTTGGGCGAAGCAGCAGTTGTCTGGACCTGCAGATAGAGGCAACAGCAGAATACGAGAACGAGGATCAGTGCCACATCCCAGCGATGCTGGGCCTCAGCCGCCCTCACCCATGGCGGCAGCGATTGTACTCACGGAGGGGAATCCGCAATAGACCGACGATCCGTTTTGGACGCAGACCGTGCCGGCAGAGCAGACAAAGTTGTAGACCGTGCCGCCGGCGCACCACTTGATGTTGGGCGAGACGCCCGAGGCATCGCACGAGTATCCGTCGGTGCAGGTCTGGGCGGAGACCGAGGCCGAGGACAGGGCGGCGAGCAGGAGCGAAACAGGAGCGAGCTTGGAAAGCGACAGCATGGCCGAGGCGACAGAGGGCAGAGGCAGCAGGAAGGGGGAAGAAAGCCGAGAGACGGGCGGACGAGCGAGCTGGAGTGTGCTTCGAAAGGGCCGGGCTCGAGTTCGTCCTTTTATCATCCGGACCAGCACCGTCACGAGATGTACATGGCGGGAGCACCAGGAGTACAGTGCTCAGCATCGTGCCAGCGAGCAGCCTTGTTTGCGGCGAGGTGTGCTTGTGCTTGGGACGCTCGTGTGAGTGGGGACGACTGGTGGGGGCGCCCATGCCGGTGCGGTCTCGCACAGGACGGTCACGTTCGGTGTGCACGTTCCACAGCTCTGCGCAAGGACCCGGGCCTCGCTGGGCAGGTGACCGACCCCGGGACATGTGCCCATGGCGAAGCAAGGACCGGGGGGGTCGCGGTGGCATCCATGGGGATGGGGGATCGCGGCCGACTCGGCCAGCATCGGGAATGGCCAGGACGGGCAAGCCAGAATAGGGTTTGGATCGCGAGGACATGGTCCCGTGCAGTCGTGTGCTGGTGCATCCAGCAGAGCGGTCATCGTCAGGCGACTGCTGCTCGGCTCGCCCTGTCTGCCTGCATCTCGCTCGTGACGATGCTCTTTGCTGGCCGGGAAAGACTGGCCTCCAGGCAGGGCAACCTTGGCCCGGTTTGGTGTGTCGGCAAACGCCAGCCATGGTCGTCGCCGTGCTCTGGTTCAATATATTCAGGGGAGGTGCGATGTACATCAGCTGTGCAAGCGCATGTGGGTGGACAAAGCGGCGCGGGCTTGCGGACGACGCCGGACGAGTGGACTCTGATGCTGTTACGCCTGTAAGATGGCCTTGGTGGCAGCACCAAAGTTGCTGTTGTTGTCGGCGTGGGCCGTCGACCAGAACATGATGCCGGCTGAAGGAGAGCCGGGACATGGTCAGCACGGCCAACACGGTCTGCATGATCTGCATGGTCTGCATGGTCTGCATGGTCTGCATGGTCTGCATGGTCTGCATGGCGCCTCCGGTTGCACACCTGCCCGCCAGCATCACTTACCGAAGCGGGATGACGCCCCGCGTGTTGATCGTATCTCTTTGACGATGGAGGCAACGCTCGCCGGGGGAATGTACCCCGTGCCGGCGACAGTCGAGGCAGCCAGGCCCAGAGCGACCTTGAAGCCCTGGGCTGCGGCAAATTGGTCCCATTGGTCGTAGTTGAAGCGTGCGCCAATGTTGGTGATATCGCCGGCGTGGTAGTTGTCGGGCTGCGAGTTGGACGGCGATGGACGGCGACGGACGTGTCAGTCAGCGAGTGCATTTGATACTCTCCTCCTCCTGGCGGTCGTGGTGTCGCTGCCAAGTGGGCGGATCGTCCTGACTGCGTTTGGATTTGCACTTACGCTGCACCAATTGTTGTAGAACTGCACTGAGATCCAGTCAAACTCGCTCCCGACGCTGGACAGCGTGGGGCCGACAGAGCCGTCGGGATAGAAGCACTGTGGCGCTGCGGTCACATAGTACCTGCCCTTGGCCGCTCCGGCTGCTCGAAAGGAAGTAATGAATGTGTCATAGTAGTTTGGAAGCAGATTCTCGACATCCAAATCGAATCCGTTGAGGACGGCGTCGCCAAAGGGCCTGCTGGGGTTGCTGATGCTTCCTCCATAGTACAGGTTCCAGAGCTTGTCGGCGAAATCGGTGGCATCGGCGGCTGAAGCAAGGCTGGACGCCCCGGCATTGGCACCGCCGGCCGAGAGCAGGATGGCAATGTTCTTGGACTGGCAGTACTTGATGTCAGCGCCGGTGTCGTTGAGGGGGTGGTCGATATGGACTTCAGGGATCTGTCCATGTCCAAAGACATCCAGGAAAGCTGCGCCGAGAGGCATAGGTGAGCGGAAGCGGTGGATACGCATCACAGTGAAAGCATGACGAAACGTGGAGGCAGGTTGGCGAGTGCGTATCGAGAGAACAGCCAGAACAAGGCTGCGAAAGAACGGCCAAGGACCCAGCAGTACCTATAATGATAACGTCGTAGTTGTTCTCGTCGCAAGTGGCTCTGAGGGGTTTTTCGCCAAATGCCGCGCTTCAGGGAGACGAGCCAAGTTTGATGAGTCCCAGGACTCGAGCCAAATAGTCGCATGGCGATGGAAGAATGGGCAACGACTTACTTCGAGCCCCAGTATCCAATGTTAAGGCGACCATATCTTGAAGCCAAATCAACAAAGCCTGCAGGACGACCGGATGGGGACACTGGTGCCGGAGCGGGAGAGGGTGAACTGGAAGAACTGGAAGAACTGGAAGAGCTGGAAGAACTGGAAGAACTGGATGAACTGGATGAACTGGTGGAGGTGGTTGGGCTTGCACCTTGCGTTGTTGTCAGCGCCAGTGTGGTCTGGGTTGGTGGAGGCTGGAGACTTGAGGTGGGCTTTCTCGATCTCCGGGCCCTGGTCCTGGTCCTGGTTCGAGTCCGCAGCGGCGACGATGCAGGAATGGGCGATGAGGTCGTTGGTGCAGGATTTGCTTGGCTGAGGCTCTGCTGAGGATCAGTGGTCGTGGCCGTGGGAGCGATGCCTGGACGATGTGTCGAATCACAGGGTTCATGATGCTCGCCCCGCCGATCGCCCTTGGAAATCCAGATGCTGCTCTGGCCACCGCAGAGTTCCTGGCTGTTGCCGGTGCATGGTGTGTTGCACTGACTCTCGGCGACTCGGCATGCTGGGCCGTGCTCGGAGATGTGGCCGCACAAGCAACTGGATCCGGATTCGAGGCCAAAGTACCTGCCCAGTGCATCAGCGATGTGAGTCCAGCTGCAGTGGCGGACTCGGACCCAAGTCAAGTTCGTTGAAACATGCAGATGCATAAACAGCCGGCAACAGGGTGCGAGGCTCGTCAGCCCAAGACATGCCATGTATCGCATCGGCTTACTCGTAGCCCGAACAGAGATCGGCGCACACAGTGTGTGTGAGATTCGCAAGACCCACAAACGAGGGGCCAACGCCGAGCAACTCGGAGGCCGAGGCGTTGTAGCAACCCGGCTGAAAATCGTGTCCAGAGCGGCGGTCCTCATCGGTTTGTTGGCGGGCAGAGCCCTGGCGATGCTGATCGCGGACCACAAAGGCATGAGCGCCGAGAGCCAGAGAGAGCCAGAGGACGGCAGCCTTCGCGAGGAGCCTTGGTCGGGGCATGGACATGGGTCCTGAGATATGTCTGGAGAACTGAGATGGGCTTGCTCGCTCGCTTGCTTGCTTGCTGAGCCGTCCGATCTCGGGTAGCCGGGCGGGGTATTATAGGACGAGCCGAAGCGCACAAGCCAGCAGCGAGGATGCGGAGGGCAAGAAGCCGGACCCGGACGACCCTCTTTCCTCTTCGCCGAGCTCCATGTCGACGGAGCCTGCACAGAGCCTGCACAGAGGAGAGCGCGGAGGCTGGGTACGCCGGCGATGCCCTGGTGTTGGGCCCTGGCGGAGAAGGACGGGTGCAGCACCAAGTCCCTGGGCGCTGGGAGACACCGTGGCCTGCAGCGGGGCTCTTGCTGCTTGTGGCTCGCTGTGGGAACTGCCGTCGTAAAAGAGGGCCATATGAGGCAAGGCGATTCACTATTACTCTTCATTCACAGGCGCGGCTGCAGGACGAATCGGACCAGCTCGGCAGACAAGAGGATCGCCACAGACATACAGCCGCAAGGGGGGTACAGGGAATTAAGCGGGGCAGCGCGGATTACAGACAGAGGAGGAGGGGCATAGGGAAAGGAGCAAGTCTATGGCGCATGGCGGCGGAGAGGGAAAAGGCGCTCATCGTAACCACAGCTATTCAACAGAAACAGTTTAGGACTGGAGGATGGTCTTGATGGCGCCACCAAAGTTGTTGTTGTTGTCGGCGTGGGCCGTCGACCAGAACATGACACCAGCTGGAAAACGGAGGCGAAAACAAGGGTGCAAAAGTCAGGGCACAGTCTCGGTGGCAGTCATGCGATCAGAGCTGCAAACGACAAAGGCAAGCTGGCTGCAGGATGCTTACCGAAGCGAGAAGAGGCACCAGAGGTAGCACGGATCTCCTTGACAATGTTGGCCACTCCAGCGGGGGCGACATAGCCAGAGGAAGCGGCGACGGTCGAGGCAGCGAGGCCGAGGGCAAGGTCGAAGCCTTCCTGGGCAGCGAGCTGATCCCACTGATCGTAGTTGAAGCGGGCGTTGATGTTGGAGATATCGCCGGCCTGGTAGTTGTCAGCCTGTGGTCGCGAGGGAGGAGGATGATGCAGGGGTGAGTGCGATGCCCACGACGGCCGGATCGGTTTTTGCGGGGAACCGCTGGCGACTCGAACAGCCTGAGCCTCTCGCTGCTACGAATACTTACACTGCACCAGTTGTTGTAGAACTGGACCGAGACCCAGTCGAACTGGCCGCCGACGCTGGAGAGGGTGCTGCCAAGGGAGGCGTCGGGGTAGAAGCACTGCGGAGCAGCGGTGAGGTAGTAGCTGCCCTTGGGGGCAAGGCTGCGGTAGGTGTTGACAAAGTCGGGGTAGTAGCCGTTGGCGCCGTTCTCGATATCGAGATCGAAGCCGTCAAAGACGGCGGTGCCGAAGGGGCGAGTGGGGTCGTTGATGTTGCCACCGAGGAAGGTGTTCCACAACTGGGTAGCAAAGTTGGAGGCATCGGAGCTGGAAGACAAGCTGGATCCACCGGCATTGGCACCACCGGCCGAGAGAATGACGGCAGTGCCGGTGGACTGGCAGTACTGAATGCCGACAGTGGTCTCGTTGAAGGGGTGGTCAAGGTGAACCTGGGGAACCTGGCCATGGCCAAAGGTATCGAGGAAAGCCACAACGATGACATCGTAGTTGTTTTCAGCGCAGGTGGCCTGGAGAGATTTCTCGCCGTACTGGCCGTTGGCACCCCAGTAAGCAATGTTGAGCTTGCCAAGGCGGCTGCGGACGTTGACGGGGGTGTAGTTGCCAGAGACGGGGGTGCTCGAGGGAGTAGAGGTAGTCTTGGTGGTGGTAGTAGTAGTAGTGGTGGTGGTAGGCTTGGTGGTAGTAGTAGTGGTAGTAGTGGTGGGCTTGGTAGTAGTCGTAGTGGTAGTAGTGGTGGTGGTGGGCTTTGTGGTAGTAGTGGTGGTGGTGCTAGACTTGGCGGTGGTGGTGGTAGTGGTGGTGCTAGACTTGGCGGTGGTGGTGGTGGTGGTGGTGGTGGTGGTGGTGCTGGAGGCCGGGCCCTGTTGGAGGAAGAGAACAGTTCATGCGTTGGTGCGGGCTGTGATTCGCGAACGGTTGTCGACGCATGCATGGCTGTGGCCAGGCAGACTTACAGTCGAGAAACCACAGTAGACAGAGCTGCCGCTCTGGATGCACACGGTGCCGGCAGAGCAGGCAAAGTTGTAGACAGCGCCGCTGGCACACCAAGTGTAGTTGGGGCTGCTGCCGGCAGCAGTGCAGTACATGCCGTCGGTCGAGCAGGTCTGGGCAGCGGCCAGCGAGCCGGAAGCGAGCAGCAGGGCGGAAGCGGCGGCGGTCTTTGAGAAGAACATTGTGCAGAAGAGGGCAGTTCTGTTGCTGGTGGATGGGATGAGGGAATGCCGGGGGGCGGACGAAGCTCTATTTATCGGCCAAAGGTCTGGCCCGGGGCCTTTCCTCTTCGTGCCATTCCTTGCGCGCTGCCTGGTGTTCCGTCGGATGCGATTCGTTTGCGATTCGTTTGCGGTTCCTTTGCGATTCCTTTGTGGTTCGCACGAGAGTGCGTTCTGCTTGTGGGCCAGCCGGCCGTGGCAGCTTGTTTGGCGCACTGCCCCATGTTCGTCGCTGCGTTCGCGGCCACTCCGTTATCGCGGGCTCCTGGGCATTCCTGGTGCGCCCTTGCTTCCGTGCTGTTGGGGTGGGGCTCCTTGCTTGGTGGGGAGTGCTCCAGTGTGGCATGCAGACGATGCTGGAGAGAAATCCGAGCGAGACGCGGGATCAGCGCCCAACTCTACCACACCCACCGTATCGATTGCATCAATTGCGTCCATCGCATCGATTGCATCGATTGCATCCACCGCATCCACCGCATCGATTGCGTCCGAGCACTCCTGCCCTGTCGGCTCGTCGATCGCCCTGGTTGCCCGCCCAAGCCCACGTGCCCACGCGCGACAAGGAGCTACTGCGCACTCTGTGCAATGGCGCTGCGGCGCTGCCGGTCCCGTGCGCGCCACATGGCCGCCACGCCTTGCTGGGCAAACGTGACCGGTCACGCGCGCAGCCGCGCTGGGCAGCCACTCCCCCGTTTTGGACGTTCCATGCGCGACGCGTGGGTCGCCTGCTGCCTCCTCCTGGCCAGCACCACCAGCCTGTGCGCACCTCGCTGGCGTCTGTGTCTGCCCGGGCCAGCGCACAGGGTCACAAGCGGGGGGTCGGTCCCGTGCGGGGGTGTCGAACTTTCCTTTGTGGCCGGGGCGAGGGGACCGTCGGCCCGTCCGCGTCCGTGCCGTCTGCCCTGGTCATCTGCCCCACCCAGGCGATTTGCATTTGCCTCGTCTGTTCTCTGCTCCGGCCCCGTCGATCCGCCTTCTGCTGTCGGATCTGTTTGCGCAGATGATCGCTGGTTGAGCTGGCAGCCCGTTTTCCCGCCGTGTATTGGCTCCTCAGCATCCACGATATACATGCGCACGGGAGGTGGCTCTTGCCATGCCGCCGCTCATGGATGTGTCGCGTGGACACACCCGCCTCATCGCTCTGGTCCCGCTGACCCGTTCAATTGCGCTGCTTGGCGGCCCCGAGGACGGCATGTCGATCGGCCTGGTCGTTCCCCACGTTGCCAGAATGCCCTTTGACCCACAGCTATGCAGGCCCGATGAGTGGAGCCAGACCGAGGAGCAAATCGTAAGTATCCATCTCTGTCCCCCACACCCGCGATTCATCTCTGTCCACCACATCCGCGATTCATCGACCCTGCCAAAGCTTCGCGGCAACTCACCCAGATGGCGGGTCGGTGCGACCGGTTGTATATCGAGAGGCAGCTGTCCAGCTCCTTCCACAAGTCGAGGTTGAGCACGGTGCCGTCGCCTTTCCGCTGCCATGCACTCTTTTTCCAACACTCCAGCCAGCCCTGGACGCCGCCAAGGACGTATTGGCTGTCGCTGTAGATTGTGAGCTGCGCCGTTGGCTCCAAATGGGTCTGGGCCGCTTTGAGTACCGTGATGGCTGCTAGCAACTCGGCTCGGTTGTTGGTCTGGTGCTTATCGGGTCCTGGCACTGGTTCGGCGACATTCCTGCAGGATAGGGGTTCAGACGCATGTCAGAATCCCGTTGCTGCCCGTCGGCGGCAAAGCAGGCGATGCCAGATCAAATCACCTACAGTGGATGGTTGGGTCCCCAGTAGACTCCATAGCCGGCCTTGGCACCCGCCTGGCCGTTATTGGAGCACGCCCCGTCGATGTACACGGTGAACTCGGCCGACGGCGGTGGGAGGGCAGCAGGTGCAGGCGATGCAACCGACTTCGACAGGTGGGTTGCATCAGCAGCCGCCGACGAGTTTGCCAGCACAGCCGACTCCGATGCTGCCTCGATCGTTGTTGGGGTGGAGGGTTTCGCCAGTTTGTTCTGCCAAAGTTGTAGCAGCAGGCCGCCGTCAGTTTGAGTATCCATGACCTGGATCGTTCGCAATGCGCCTCCAGACGACATTGAACCTGTATCGAGCGGCATACCTCGGCCGTGCCATCGAGCGCCACATAATCGCCCCATTCTTGGCCCGCTATCGACGGAGCGACTGCTGGGGATTCGGTTTCAGACGGACCAGATCCGAATTCCTGAGACTCATAGTCCATTGTTTCGACCCCTATGGCGACAAAGGGCTGTCAGGCAACGGCGACGGATGACCCCCAAGCCTGTCGATGACACTGTCCGGCTGCGATGCCGGTTGCTTCAAGTCGCGGCATCATTATCTGCCATCGCCTGAGCCTCACCAGCGGGCGAACCAGCATCGTTCTGCTGGGCAAAGATCTTGGCTTCAGCGAGAGACTTGAAAGACTTGTGGATTGCGCCCGGAAACTTGTTGACCTGCTTTAGACAATCGTTCCTGCAGCCAGAGAGCTGGACAGATCAGCGGCGCAATCGGCACGTACCCGTTGATCCAGGCGCCTACAACCTACCAGTTGGTGTATATTCCCGGAACTCGTCCTCGGAGAACGGCATAGTATTTGACCTTGGATGCCTTGCCGCCCTCCATTTCCAAGAGCTCCTCGGGGTCGTCAGACTGCATTGAAGCGGACATGACGTGGGAGGGCCGGTGAGGCGGATACGGAGCTGGCCGCGAATTCCGGGCCGCCGATGCTGATGCCGACGGGGCTTCGGAATATGGCTCGACCAGGGGTGAATACGTCTGCGCCGACGATCTCGCATATCGCTGGTGTGGACTTGGATGGGGATATGGATCGTTGCGAGTCCTGGCTCGTCCCAGAGCTCGATTGCTTGCATGTGTATTCCTGTTCTGGTTCGGCAGAGCAGTGCTGTTGGGCATCTCCATCGACACAGAGACAACTCGCATATCCACCACCGGCGGCTGCGTCTGCTGCCGCGGGACCTTGTGGGCTCTGAGGTGCTTCATTGCCGCTTGCTGGGCGGAGGCGACCAGGGCAAGTCAAGATCGGCTCCAAAGGCGAGGCCGTTGCCTGAGGCTGTCGCGTGGACTGATTTGTCCGTTTCGGGATGCAGCTTTGCATCATCCGGGGCTCATCACTTTCCCGATGCCCCGACAACACCGCTGTCGCTGATGTGGATCTGCGACTGCGACAGAGCCAGCTGCATTATGGGGACTCTTGGATGCACTGGATAAACATGCGTGTGTATTCAGGTTCCAGAAACAGCCGTGCACATACTCAACAACGGGGGAGGATGCTATTCGGCCAACAACAAATCGTCAAAGGCATCGTCATCGAGCACCACCTTGAAGATCTTGGTTTGTCCGCGATTCGGCGTCAGCGCAATCGTCGTGGTGGACTTGGGTCGTGCGCCTGGCTTTGCCGACTTTCGTCGATAGACAGCCCCATGGCTGGTCTGTGCAGCGGGGATGCTATCGACCCGCAAATCGAGTTCATCAATGTCGCAGAATCGGGATGCATTGGCAGGGACTGCGGGTGCGGCATTTGCTCGAGGTCGTGCATCTGCCAGCGGCCTCTTGCTGATCGACAACGCTGCTGGAGAGGGCGATGAGGATCGACCCATGGATCGCAATGACAGCGGCGATGGCGGCGACAGCGACGAAGCGTCCATGAGAGCAGGCACCGTTTCTGCGTGTGGTCGCATGCGGGATGGACGACCGAGGACGCTCGGTTCCGTGGACTTGGCAAGCCTCGTCGGACTGGATGATTGAGCCGCCGTTGATGTCGAGGACTTTGTTTTCCCTCCGGAGCTGGGTTTCGAAGACGCTGCTGGCTCGACGATAGGCTTGTCTGGCCGGACCATGGATGCTGCTGCCGGGCGAGACAGCGAGGGCTTTTTGCGTATTCGGCCAGATTGCGGTTTCAGCCTTGCAAGGGCTGCTGCAGGGGCTCCGCTGGAATCCGGCTCTTTCCTTCGTCTGGAGCTCGAGCTCACAGACCGCAGATCGTCCATCTTTCGCTTGCCGAGCTTGCTCGCTCCGTACCTTGGCAGGACAGACCCGGACACTGTCCCGGCTTGCGGCTGTTCCCTCGACCCCGACATTGGCGTTGACAGGGATGATTGCTTGACGGGCTCCCCGCTGGAAGTGCCTTTGTCGCTACGGCCATTCCGATCGTTGCTGTCGTCGTCAAGACTGCCGTTGCTGTCAGTGTCAAAACTGCTGTCGCTGTCACTGCTCAGACTGCTACTACTGCCGCCATCATTGTCATGGCTGCTGTGACTGCTCGTGAAATCGGTCTTGCCGTCACGCTGCAGCCCGAGAAGCCGCCGTTGGTGGATCTCGGGATTCATCTCCATTCTGTCGCTTGCTATCGGTGTGCTTCGATGCGGCCCTGTCGCTTCCAGGCCGCGAGGGGGTTTCGGTCCTTCGAGGAGCAACGGCGGCCGTCGAGCCGTCGAGGGTGGATCCGGGTATGGTGGCCACCAACGGCTGCGTTCGTTTCCGGTCGGAGCCGATCGATTTCTGGCATATCCAACCGATAGTGGCCTGGGATCCGGCAGAGGCGTGGCATAGCCCAGCATAGAGTCGGGCTGGTCCCGATGCCAGAACGGGAGTTGCCGGGGCTCGGATCGAAATTGCGGTGCGTGTCGGCCAAGGAGATCGCGGGGAACGAGCTCGATAGAGTCAAAGTCTTCATCATCGTCCTCGGCAAAGACCGGAGTCGTTGGGAGGATCAACCGGCGCAGCCCAGGGCTATGCGAGAAATCTGGGAGCCGGCTCGGCCCGCTGCCCAGCCCACGAAACGAAGTCACCGAGGACGCAGTATCGCTGTAGGCCGGCCGGCTGTTTGGCCAACCGAGGGCATCGGCGAGCTCGTTGTCCAGCTCGTCGTCGAGGTCGAGACTGGGCTGCTGTGCCAGGACGCCTGCTCCGCTTTTCAGGCCGCTGGCGAGACGATCGTATCCATAGCCATCGTCGTCACGAAGCTCTCGTATCTGCACTGGGCTGGGGCTGAGTGGGTCGTCCGATTCGTATCCACCAGCATCGTATCCAAGGACGGGCCGGCCGTGGAGGAAAGAGTTGATGTCGTAGTTGTTGCGCGGGGCGGGTGTCCGCAATAGATTGCCAGTCCTCAGCTCAACCGTTTCGTTCAGCAGGTCGACGACATCGTCATCGATCTCGACAGAGTATTTTTCGTAGATGGCGTTCCACGAGCGCTCAAGATTCAGCAACGACGCCATCCGCCGATCCTGCAGCACCCTGTCCTCGGCTGACCCAGGGCTCTCCACAGCGATGCGAGGCCGAAACGATCCCGGCGGCGAGGGGCGGCCCGACGACGATGTAGTTGTGGTAGTTGTTGTTGTGGTGGTGGTGGTTGTTGTGGTCGTCCAGCTGTCTTGCTGTCGCTGGACGACGGTGTTGTAGTTGATGCCAAAGGGCTCCACCGATGAAGGGTGGTGACGAAAGGGCAGCCTGATCATTGCAGGCTAGCGGGTGGTTTGCGGAGGCAGGATGCTATAGTGCGGCTGGCGGGGCTGTGGCCGATGGCAACCCGCTGGGTTCATGGAGATGCGGGCGAGAGGACGGTGCTGCCTTCGCACCAGGGCGCGACCAGCTTTTGCGGCCGCATCCTTTGCATCGGCGCTCTCCCGCCAATCCAGGCCTCCCATCAGACAAGACACGGCGAGATGCGGGATCGTGTAGCGGACGGAGCAAACCAGCTCCAGCTCCAGCTCCAGCTCCAGCTCCAGCTCCACGAACCAGCCGGTGATCCGCCCTCGCTGGCCGCCAAATAAGCCATCGATCCCTCCCATTTCGGCTGGAGAGCGTGGACCTCTGCTATATTGGTCTCCGAGTCCCAAGCCAGCAACGGCATCTGGGCACAGCAACATGAAGGCAGTTGCTCAGACAATCGTCCGCGCCATTAGATCAACTAGGCGGATGCTCGGCCGTCCAGACCGATCTTCCTCGCCGATTACGTCACCATCAGGCGCGGGGCAATGTTCATGGCCATGAGCTCCTGGAAGAGCAGCTTGGAGGCATACGGGATGTGAATCTGCGAGACCTGGGTCTTGTTCTTGCAGGAGCGGCACTCAAAGGTGTTCTTCTTGAGATTGGCGACGGCCATCAGTCCGCAAATGTCGCAGACATGCACTCGGTAGGCATCGGAGGCATCAAATAGACGCTCCTGGGAACAGCAGCGTCGAGCAGCAATCAGCATACCACATCTGACCAAGGAAGGCAGCGCAGCCGCCCTGGAGCCTCCGTGAAGCTCCATCCGCCCAACCAGACCCCGGCGTCCCTAAGGAGCTCACGCACACACTCCAGACACAGTGCAGTGTCCTGCAAGTCCATCCAGTCTGTGCCGAGCGAATGCAGCGACTCACCTTCAGGAATTGAGCGGCGCCGTGGCTGATCATACAGTCTCTCTCCATCTCTCCGAAACGAAGTCCACCATCGCGACTTCTGCCCTCCACGGGCTGGCGGGTCAAGATCTGCACGGGGCCACGGGCGCGCGAGTGGATCTTGTCGTCGACCATGTGCTTGAGCCGCTGGTAGTACGTCGGACCAGTAAAAAACTGGCACGACTGCTTCTTGCCCGTGTGGCCATTGTACAGGACCTCCAGACCGCGCTTCTGGTAGCCTCTGGCAAGCAGCTCCTTGGAGACTCGCTCGACCGTCACGTCGGTGAACGGCGTGGCGTCGCCCTCGACTCCGTTCAGGGTTCCGACCTTGGAGATCAGGCACTCGACCAAGTGACCGATGGTCATGCGCGAGGGAATGGCATGCGGGTTGATCAGCAAGTCCGGAGTAATGCCCTCGCACGTAAAGGGCATGTCTTCTTGTCGATAGGTGATGCCGACGGTACCCTTCTGTCCGTGGCGAGAGGCAAACTTGTCGCCCATCTGTGGGACTCGCACCGAGCGCACCCGGACCTTGACGAACTTGTAACCGTCGTTGTTGGTGGTGATCATGACGCTGTCGATGATGCCAGTCTCTGTGCTCTTGAGAGGCGTAGAAGCATCCCGCTTGGTGTGGGCGATCGTGCGTTGGCCAAGTTCCTGCGACTCCTCATTGATCGGCACGGTCTAGCGCGAGAGGCAGATGCCCGTTAGTCTCACGGTGAGCTATAGATCCAGAGAAAGTAGCAGGGGATATTCCGGCTCGGCAGATACACGCCTTCACATCGCGGCTTGAAACTCTACTTGCGATGTCGGTGCTCATCAAGAGAGCTACAGGCGACTCACCTTGCCGATGATGATGTCCTCGCCCGAGACGCGCACGCCCGGGCAGATCAGACCGTCGTCGTCCAGCTTCTCATAGGTACCATGTCGCAGTCTCAGCGTGGTCTCGCGCGAGGGCTTCTCGAACGTTTCGGTGTTGAGGATGCCAACCTTTTTCTCGTTGTCCAGATACACACGATAGTACATGGACCGGAAAAGCCCGCGATCGATCGAACTCTGGTTCATGATCAAAGAATCTTCCTGGTTGTATCCACTGTAACAGGCGATTGCCACGATGGCGTTTTGGCCGGCAGGCAGCTCTCGGAACTTCAGGTACTCCATCGAGCGGGTGGTGCCCAGGGGCTTTTGAGGATAGAACAGAATGTTTGCCATGGTGTCCATACGGTACTGGTAGTTGGTGAGGTAAATGCCCATGGCCTGCTTGCCCATGGCAGACTGATAGACATTACGAGGCGACTGGCAGCATCCAGGATCGGCGTTAGTGGATTTGCATGCGCGTTCACTCGGGCCACAAGGGCAAGCAGTCCGTGTGGTTGCAGGGAAACTTGCCAAGACGGCCCGCCAGACGAGAACGCTCAGACCAGGCCAACGGACAGCCGCAAACCCCAGAGCATGCGGTACTACCGCAGCAGTCTCACCTGGTTGTGATCGGGGAACGGAATAATGCTGGCGCAAATGCCGAGGATCATACTGGGGTGGATTTCGCAGTGCGTCCAGGTGTCGGTGTAGAGACTGGTGGATTTGAGGCGCGCACTCATTTCAATGACTTTCTCTTCCTCCTGGATGCCGAGAGCATGGCGACGCGAGACCGCCAAGTCCTCGGGGGTCATGCAGATCATGGTTGTCTCCTCTTCCTCGGTGTCGATGTACTCGACGTATCCATCCGACAGGAGCCGTGACCATGTCAACTCGCCGGCCTAGCGAGGATGCAGCAGACACAGCGGATCAGTCGTCGCAACGGATCAACAGACCAATGGACCCACAGACCAGTGGATCAGCATCAGTGCATAGGCAGTCCAAATGGCTCGGTGGTCCAAACGGCTCGATCGCTGGCTCGACCGCTGGCTCGACGGCTACTTCCCGCAGCAATACAGCAGCTACTTACGTCGCTCAGCTCCTGGACGATCGCGCGGGTAAGCATCAGGCGCTGCTTGCCCTCCTCGACAACAAAGAGGGGCCGGGAAATGCGGCCAGCGTCGGTGTAGAGCCGAAGCTCGCGCTCACGGACGTCGCGAACAACCGAGACCTCGGGCTTGACATCCAGTCGTCGTCGGAGGCCCTTGAGCGACGAGGATAACACTTCAGGATCGCGGTGGATGCCAACCCACACGCCGTTGAGGAAGACTTTGGTGGCAGCCGTCATACTGGAGCCGTGCGTTTCTTCGATATTCTCCATTCCCCATTCTTCCAAAAATTCCATAACCGGCTGAGAGGACGAGCCGACCGTTACGTATGACATCAGCGAGAGGTTCTTGACGAGACCACAGGCCTGGCCCTCGGGGGTCTCGGCAGGGCAGACCATACCCCAATGGGTGTTGTGTAGCTGACGCGGTCGGGCCAGCTTGCCTGTCGGGGACACGGTGCGTAGGTCCGACATTGTCTGAAGGGTCAGTTCAGGAATATCCGCAAATGTGCTACAAAGAGCTGCTAGTGGCTCATGCGGCTATACATTCGAGGCTGTCAACTGTGTTCGTACCTGAGCGCTCAATTGGCGTGTTTAGACGACGCAGATGCGACAGCGTCGAGGCGTATGTATAGCGGTTCAGAACCTGGCTGACACCGGCACGGGTGCTCATGAACTTTTTCTGGTCGCCCCAGTTGCCCGTAGCCAGAGAATACTTGAGTCCGCTAGTGATGGTGGAGGGCTTGACGGCAAGGGACATGTTGAATTCCGCACCACTCTCGACGGTCTGTGCATTGCCCGGGGAGGGAGTGGGGAGGGAGGGAGGGGTCGGTTCGTTGGGTGTTAGTTCGTTGGTTACCGATGCTTAGACGGCTGTTTCTATAAACCGACACAGCGCTGACGAGGCCGTGCTTGTAGCGGGTGGATAAGGAGCCGTACACACACGAGTGGAATACATACTTTTTGCAAGTACCGACTGACATCTTTGGTGAGCTTTTTGAAAAGCATTCTGAACAGGCCGGCGAGCAGCGGGCCGGCGAGATCCAGTCGCTTCTTGCCAAAGTGATCACGATCATCGGTCTCACGTCGTTCGAGCGCCGTTAGCAGCAGACGGTGGATCATGTATCCGAAAAAGTATGCCTTGCGCGTCTCGGTGTGGGCCTTGGTTCCAACGTGCGGCAGCATTTCCTTCTGCAGGATGTCGGCGGCGTAGCGGATGCGCCGGTCACGAGTCACACCGACGGTGGTGCCTCTCTTTCCAATGTAATCCAGAGCCACCTCTTTCTCCTGGATGACAAAGGCCTCCTCGATACACGGCTTCAGCAGCTCAAGCATCTGGAAGTCCTCAAAGTCGTAGCAGATGTGCTGCAGGATATCTTGATCTGAGACGATACCGAGGGCACGGAAGACAATGATGATGGGAATGTCGGTCTTGATGTACGGGAGCGAGGTGCGAATGGGCTGGCCTGTCGACTGGGGAGCACAGCGCACAAACGTCAGACTGCTTCTGACTTGGAGCAGATCCGAGCTTCCGACAGCCCGTCATGCTTTCCAGCGCCTCAGTAATCCGCAGTCACGAATCTGAAGGGAAGCCATGCCGCTGCTTCCCGGATATTTTGGCTATCGAAACGCAACCAAAAGACACTGTACAAACAACTTACACCGCGATCACTGCTCTTGGGAGACATCATCTTGAGGAACAAAGAGCTGGCTACCTTCGAGCCCTTTTCAACTTGACTCTTGATCTCGCAGCTGTAGGTGTATGTCGCGGGCTGGGCTTTGGAAAATACGTAGACGCTATTGGATGCCATTCGCTCCTGAGCAATCAGTACTTTCTCGGAGCCGTTGATGACAAAATAGCCACCCTAAAGGCAAATGAAACGGGTCAGGGGCTGTATCGCCGCGGCAATCTGGATGAAAAGAGCGAGGCACTGGGCCAAGTGCTGTTGTGGATCATGCCGATGTTGGGTTCGCCGGACGGGAATCTTGCAGCGCAGTCCGCTGAACAACTGCACAGCCGCTGGAGTACGATGACACACGGGCATCAGTCATTACCATGTCGTAATGGCATTCTCCGACATCGGCCATTTCCTGCTCCTCCAGGTCCGACAAAATGCAGAACTTTGACCGAAGCATCAACGGCACGTTTCCGATAAACTGCTTGATCGGCTCGTGCTCCTGCTCGGGCTCCCATGTCAGTTCTCCAGGCTGGTGCGGGATGGAGTTGTCGAGGGTACGAGTGGACATGCGCATGTCCACGTAGATCGGGGCGTGATACCTGTGCAGTCGGATGCGGCGGATGGTGTCACTATGTGCTCGCCATGCACACCAGCCCTCAGAATCCACCATGATGCAGCAGGACGGTTCGATCTTTACGTGAGGTTGCGCAGACGGGCTTCGTGAGGGTACATGGCGCGGACACTGCCGTCCGCTTCTTGCTGTTGTGGCTTGCTGAGATAGATCTGGCCGAATCGGATGATGTATTGGCGCTGGGAGGGCGAGGGTGGACGGCCGACAAAGGCGTCAGAATACAGGAGCTGAACGCAGCAGAAACCTTTGGTGGGCAAGAGAAGCAGCCAAGGCTGCGACAAGCACACTCCCAAGCCGGTATCACGACCCAGCTGTTCCACTACCGCTTACAGTAACATCGTTCTCGAGACCCGAGTGCTGCTGCGCCTTCTGCAAAACCAGGGTCGAGTTTTCGTCGACAATCTCCTGGAGGGTATTCTCGATAAACTCATCGAACGAGTCCAGCTGCTGCCGAACCAGACCCTTGTCCTCGAAGAATGCCGAGATCACGGCCCAGCAGTCTTCCTGGGTCAGCTCTTCGTCGTCGACCACTGTCGGCATTGGAAACGGGAGGAGGACAAGCCGGGCGATGAGAATGCATGAGGGAGGCCCTGATCACAGCCAGCACAAACTGCCCTCGGACTGCAGCACTTCATGGCGGATTCTGGAGATGTGCCGGGGCAGCCCAGCATCGCAGGTGTGGATACAGGAGATTCGAGCCACACCTCCACAGCCCCGACATCAGCCCTTTGCCATCCCGGCAATAGAACGACCTGGCCTCTCACCAGCCCTCCAAGCCGCTCAAGTCGCACGCTCACGAAAATGAGGGAGAGAGTCACCTTCGTCAGCATATGTTTGGTAAGACATTTTTGGCTATGTGAAGGACGGAACAATGGCAATCGATATGTGCTTTGCGACTAGATCCAGTCGGCGCTGATTGCTCTTCTCTGGGCGATGTGAGGACAGCGGGCCAACGAACGTTCTTGGTGACCTGAGCTCACCACAGCAAACAGCAAACAGCGATCAGGCCGGCGGTGTGCTTGGCGATGCGTCCGAGACGTAAAAGAGCACAGGAGAGTCGCTCACGACACACGGGCGGGAACGACGGGTCACACACAGGCAGAGCGGGGTCGGTCGGCTGGTCGGCGGTCGCCCTGGTCGGCAGGCTTTTCAAGATCTCTTGGCCTGTGGGTCTCGGCCTCGACCAGAATCTCGAGGCATCAAAAGCGGATGCCAGCCAGCAACCAGCCACGCACGTGATAAACCGGGAGCAGCTGGACACACACACACACAATCAGGATTTGCTGGCCCCCATAGCTGCTCGTCTCTGTCACAGTTCCGTGCCGCATGGCAACTGGGAGGCTCTGGCCCTTCCAAGCGAGCTGGCTTCAGCGTTTTTCAGGAATAAAAGTGAAAGCGTCTGTCATCGCTGTTGTCATAACGCTATTATTACATAGAATCTCCGTGGTGGAAGCCTGCCGGATTTCAAGCCATTATGGGACCACCGACAGGCACTTTGATGCTCGGGGTTGTGCGGACATTCTTTGTTCCCACTTTATCACCATATGTTCTGTGTTTGAGGCCCCAGAGCAAAGTTAATCAGACCATCGCATCCACTACTGAGCTTGCACATCGCTCTCAGATTTCAATCCTCACCGTCTTTTTCATGATGCGGATAAAGTCGTCCACTGTAACTTCGCCGTCGGCGTCTCGGTCTGCCTCGTCAATCATCTCCTTCAACTCCGAGTCCAGAAAGTCCTCTCCCAGTCTTGCCACCGTCTGGCGCAGGGAATGGATGCTCAGCTTGCCCTCCCGCAGTCCATCGAACAGGCCAAAGACCTCGGTCATCTCCATTCTCGAGCTCTTCTCTGCCTAACATGAATGAAATGCAGCCCGCAGCCGTGATGAATATGCGAGCGCCTCATGCAATGCAATGCAATGCGGTGTAAGATACTCCCTGCACGCGACCCCAAATGACATCGCACAGAGTCAATATCCAGTCAAATAGCGCTGCAGACAGCCAAGGATGCACGTTCGCCTCAGCACTGATTTCAAACTGCATTTACAGGACACCAAGTCTCACCATCCGTCGCTCGATCAGCTCCAGGAACTCTTTGTACTCGATGGTTCCACTCCCATCCGAGTCAACCTCCTTCATGATGCGCTTCATCTCTTCCCGCGTGGGCTCAAAGCCCAATGCCTTCATGGCAATGCGCCACTCCTTGACGCTAATTGACCCGCTGCCGTCGCTGTCGAAGAGTGAGAACGCTTCCCGGATCTCTGTAACTTGCTCGGGCGAAAGCTCAAACTTCCTCCGTGGAAAGCCGCGCGGATCTCCCGTGTGAATGACGACCATGCCTCCCGCTCCTGGAAGCCGAACTTGCTTTGGTGGGGTCGCAGGCGTTCTGCGGGTGCTTGACTGCCCAGAATCTCCCCCGGCGAGGTTGCTGATCGAGATGTCGGGCAGTACAGGCTTGCTTCCAATATTGCTGACGGACAGATTGCTCGCAGTGAACGGTGGGTTGCCCGAGGCCACGGAGGAGTACGACGTGCCACCAAGAATGGTGTCTGCGAGCTTGGAGGATATCACAGAGCGGCTGTGTTGGAGGGAGCCGGGTCGTCGCACTTTGCTTGATGTTGGCCGAGAAGCGAGGGTGGGTGTGCCCGGCTTGGAGGGCGATTTGATGTCATCGGAGCCTGCATTCTCCTTCGAAGTTGCGTGCTGTGTTTCCCGCTTTTTGAGGGATGCTCTCGGTGCAGTCTCTTGCATATTTGCGCTGGTGCTTCCGAGAACGCAAGGGTGAGAATATTCTCCGACAAAGCCGACCGGCGGCCGGTCTATGTGGCTGCATGGAGGCCAGATTGAGAGACACTTGAATCAGCGAGTGGCCATGTGCCACCCAATGACTGTATCCTCATTCGGGGCACTTCATGGAGCCAGTCCCTCTGCGAATAACCCCAGCACACAAGGAGATCTGACAAAGGCGCATAGCAAAGTTTCCCTCCAGAGACATCTTATAAGGTTTGATAAATCTGTTTTGATCGATGCGGAGAAGGCCCGCCAACAAAGCTGCGGCATAACGATGGTAGAGTCCAATGGCAAAGCAAGCGAACGATGGTGAGGAGCGGGTCGAGTGAGGAGTGGATGGAACAAACAGAGCGAGGAGAGCTGTGAACAACGTTGATTGCGAAGCACTATCATCGGGAGGAGGTGTCGAGGGAGCAGTTTCGATCCTTAATAGCCAGTGCTATCATCTCCCTGGGGGCTGCACTCTAGTGCCCACAGACCACTCCGTAGGGATACTGCTCCACGGCCAGGAGCAGCAGCAAAAACAGGGATTCATGGACTAAAAGTGTATGCGCGTGGCTTGCGAAATGGTGCTCTCGGACGGGCAGTATGGGCACTTGAACTTGGCATTGAGGTTGCCCTTGGTCAGCCGCACCAAGCTTTCCTTGGTCAGGACGTGTCCGCACTGGAGCATCATCGGCGGGTTCTCGGGAGTTGCCTGCTCCTTGGATACGGGGCACACAAAGATGCTATGAAAGCGGTGCTGATCCAGAAGCGGAATCTCCACAGGCAGTTCGCCCTGTTGGGTCCATTCCAGTGCGCGCTCCTTGACGATCGACGACATTTTGATGATTGCTGGGAGTGCGCATGTGCCCACGCTGATGGCGGTGTACAGAGGCGACTCGGACGATAGGCCCAGCAACTGGCAAAAATCACGGGTAAACTGTTGTTGGATGACCGTCCAATGATTAGGATCCAACAGATCTGCATAAGGCGAATTGTGAAGGCGCTTGGCAAAGAGCACTGAACAGCTCAGTCGTTGGATTTCTGAGAGTGGGCCGGCAGCCGACAGTGAGGGAGGATATTCGGAATGACCATAGCAATGAAGATCGCAATACACATTGCGATATTGATATCGAGAGCAGCGCCGATGCCATAGGTCATAAAGGGGAAGTGTCAGCGACACGCACTCAGTGCATTCGTGCCAGATTACCACTGCTCCAGGGCGGAGACAGCAACGACGGCTCAACTTTGTCAGCATGAGCATCAAGCACCGGCTGCGACTCCGTCCCGGTTCAGCGCCAGCCAACCGCGATAAGACAGACGATCCGGCGCGGCCCACCTTTCATGTATCCCTTCGTGAACTTTGGAAAGGTGGCCTTGGCATAGTCCAGGGCCAAGGCCGGCTTTTGGTCAAGCAGGAGCGTGATGAACTGGAGACGACACAGCGAGAACTCGAGATGGCTGCCGATCCTCCAAAGCTCGCTGGAATGGGCGACTGCCCATCGGATGGCAGAGTCCAGCGAGCGCTTTGCCTTGAGGTCCTCCAGAATAGTGAACATCTCGCTGAATTTCTCCTTGAAGGAGTCAAAGCCGTCGCGCGGCATGGCCGACTCATCCAGGAAAGTGTCCAGGACGGCAAACTGGCCCTCGCGAATGAAATGGTTCGCGATGGTCTGGTTGAGCATCCCATATCGCTCGGGACCATCGAGGGCTCGAGGATCCCAAACCGTGTCCAGGTCGAGCTTGAACTTTTTGTCGAGGGCTTTGCTGAACTTGCCGAGGGCCGAGTAGAACTCTTTGTTTTGCTCCGAGAGCTGGGCTGCCGTGCTCTTGGCGCTCTGGGAAAGAAGCTGGGCCTGTTTGGGCAAGACGTGGCTCCCGGGAGTCGCTTGGCTCTGAAGAGCGCTTTTAGTGGCGGTGAGAGTCGATATGAGCGAGTCGATGCTCTGGGTTGCCTCAGAGCGGATGCGCTTCTGACGTTTGGTCAGCTGCTGGTAATCGTTCACCAGAGAATCCATTGGCGGATGATGGGGTGCTTTTGGATGCAAAGCGCGGCAAGGGGGCTGGATCTCAGAGGGGCAAGTGTGTCTCGGCGACGGCGGCAGGGATGGGGATATGTGGAGATGGAGATATAGGGAATGTGGAGACGGAGATGCGAGGGCTTGCGAGGATGCGAGGATGCGAGGATGCCGGACGGTGCTGTGATGTGTCGGAGCCTGTCCGCTGGCGCCTTGTTGGGTCGGAGTATTCCGCCAGCCCTAACCCCGGCATGCCCTTGCCCCACCACCCCTGCGATCCGGGCCACGCGATCGGATGTGCATGATCGGCACCCTGCGGGAGATGTCGACCAGACGCCGCCATGATTGGGTCGGCACTGTGCACGACCAGGACGGCGATTTATCTGTGGGCACAGGTCGGCCGGGAATGGGCGAGGCCGGCTGCCTGCTTGCTTGCTTTCGGCTTCATCTTGCGACTTGAATTGGCTTCGAGCAACACCCCCCCCTGCGTTGCCGTGCTGGCTGCTCGCTCGTCTCCAAACCATGTCTGGCTCAAGCTCTCTCGATCCAAACGGAACACAGACGCCGTGGAACAATGTCCTCAACCAAACCGTCGGCACGCTCGTCGATTCAATGAACAGCACTGCGACCGATGAGGATATTCAGCAAAAATCGCGTCTCTACAACATTGTGCTCTGGGCGCCATTTGTATGCATTCCGCTGATGATTATCGCCGGCCGGCTCATAAACTATGCATATAGAATCTACCAGGCCAAGCGATACGGATATGGTACGTACCGTCCAGCGGCATGGCAGAGCAAAGGAGCGCTTGGTCTTGGTCGCCAGAGGTTTCTGCCGAGTGCGAGAGGGGTGTCGCGGCAGCATCACATTTTCTATAGTCGCCGACACGAGCTGAATCATCTCATGTTCGGCTACTTGCGTCGTGTTCCTCATTGCTGTGATACTCATTCCACGCCGTGCTCCAGATGACGACCTGCTCAGCGACCCGCTTGCCGAGCTCGGATTGAGTTTCCATCGCAACTACAGCAATCTGTCCGGCATCCGCACCATCCGCAAAGAACAGGAACGCATCAAGCGCAAGCAAATGCGGGAGATTCGCAACGCCCCAAAAGCAAGCTCCAGACTACCCCAGTCTCTCGAAAAGTCTATCGCTCCCTTCGAGGCCTATCTGCTTGGGCTGCGCAAGAAGACTCAAAAATCATGGTCGGACAAGTATTCGCCCGAGGCCATCCGCCGCTGGTTCAATAACTCGCGCTACGCTCGCATGTGGATGGTTTTCCAGGTCATTTGCACGATCGCCGCCATCTGCAACTACGTGTTGTTAACATACGCGATTGACAAGACCGAGCGTTACAGCGTCAAGTACTTTGATGTCGCCTTGGCAAGCATCTTCTTGTCCGACTACATACTTTCATTTTATGCTGCCGAGGACCGTCTCAAGTTTTACTTCAATCTGTCGTCTCTCATCGACCTGATTTCGATCATCCCTCCGTTCATATACGTGTTCATGCTCAGCCAAAACGTCTCGGATGAGGAGGCCTCGGCAGATGGACTGTATATTTGGTATCTCGGGCTCCTCCGCATCCTCCGAGCGTCCAGGATCTTGAGGACATATCGACTCCTTTCGTTCTCCGAGACGGAGGAGCGCCGCGAGTTGACCATCCTCGCCCTCACTTTCATCAACTTTGTCTTTCTCTCGGCCTCAGCGATCAACGCATTCGAGACCACCATCACACGGCCGACCCCACCCTCGCTCACGAACTGGCACGACAGCTTGTACTATATCATGGTAGGTTGGCATGCGCCGGATCATCAAGGGAAGGGGTGGGAAGCGCATTAAAATTGAATGGGGAGTGAATGCAGAGTGAATGCAAAGTGAATGAATACAGAGTGAATGCAGAGTGAATGTGAAGCGAGCGAGGGATTATTGTTGTATATGGTGGTCTGCTCGACCCGTTGACGTGCGAACTTGGCTTGGAGCCCGTACTAACCCATCGCCCATATGTCTGTGTCGCCCAGGTGACATTTAGGTGAGTATCATTACAACATTCTTGGGACTTGGGCCGTTCCATATCCTGTGGCAGCAGGCTTCTTCTAATCTGCATCAGCATTGCGGCGGCTTTCCGAAAGAACGACGTTTTGCAGCGCTGGTGATCCAGGACCGCAACCCGGTTTGCTGTCATTAACGCGCCATATATCTTCCGCGCAGTACCATTGGGTTTGGTGACTTGACGCCATCATCGACCTCGTCGAGGGTCTTAGTGATGGTGTTGATCATCTTCGTGATTGTGTTTGTGCCCCTGCAGACAGCCAAGCTCTCGGAAATTTACAATTCGACAAGCGTCTATCAGCGTGCAAAGTACACGAGCAGCGGCTCCCAGCATCGCCACGTCATAATCTCGGGCACAATCACCATCGCCGGTGTTGCTGACTTTTGCCGCGAGTTCTTTGCCCAGGATCCGAGCGGAAATGTTGTCATTCTCACCTGCTCCGAGCCTTCGCTCGAGATGAGACAGATACTGCGCAATCCCTTCTATCGCAATCGAGTCAGCTATCTCAATGGCAGCTCGCTCTCGCTCTTTGATTTGAGAAGGAGCCGTGCAGTCAATGCCACGGGCCTTTTCTTGTTCAATGTCGACCACGAGGCACTCAAAAACAACGACGAGGACGACGAGGTATCGGCAACTCGCGGTGCCGATGCGTCGATTCTGATGAGTGCCCTGGTCGCCAAGAACGCATTTCCCGGTCTGCCTATCTTTGCCCAGGTGCAAGACATCGCCGCCAGAGATCTCTCTGAGCACTGCGGCTGCGACCGTGTGCTCAGCCTTGAAGAGTTCAAGATGACATTACTCTCTCGAACCTGTCTTGTTCCGGGCTTCTTGACGCTTCTGCTCAACTTGATACAGACTTATCAGCCCACGCGAAACGCAGAGATCGGTTGGATGAAGGAATACCACTACGGAGCTATGCACCAGCTACACGCCTTTCGCTGTCCCAAGGGCTTTAGCGGCGTCCCTTTCCGACAGGCTGTTCGTGCGGTCTACGACTCCTTTGGAGTCATTCTGTTTGCTCTGATGCATAGCACCAGCTACAACATCGCCATCAGTCCCAGCGGAGACACGGTACTGCGCGGTGACGACATCATCTTCTGCATTGCCGAGGGCGGCGAGGAGATGATCTTGAGAATCTGCATCCAATTCAAAGAGTCGCTCGACACAAGCACCATAGATAAAAAGGACAAGGCGAAAGACATTGAGGCCGACATAGAGGAGCTCTTCAAGCAGCCCAGCGAAGAGTCGGTCGACAAAGCCACGCAGTCGAACAAGCCCAGCACCGAGACCCATATTGACGAGGAGCCTGTTTCTGATTCCGTCGAAGGCGAAGCTGCTCCAGTGACCTCCAAGATTTGCTTCCGGGACCACATTATACTTTGCGGATCAGTTTCGTCCCGCGGCCTCCGTCACTTTGTGAAGGGGATTCGCTCGAGCAACATTGAAAGCCAGCGCGAGGTCCCTGTGGTATGCATATTGGACAAGATGCCAGATGTTTCCGTCGGCATCTGGAAGGACACCATGGCGACGTTTTCGAATCTCCATTTGGTGGCCGGCACGCCACTCAAGCGAACGAGTCTGGTCGAAGCTAGCATCGAGACGTGTCGCCAGATCGTGATCCTATCGTCAGCGACGACCATCAACTCCCAGGAGGGAGAGAGTGCGAGCCGCACCCTGCCTGATGCAAATGCAATCTTCATAATCAAGATGATCGACAAGGTGAGCTTCCCTGAGCTTTTATGCGATGCGATGCTGATACATTCCATTTTTCGGTCAAACGGGCACTAATAGAATGACACTCCATTCTCCAAACTCGATATGATGGATTCTGATTCCGATGGCCCGGTACTCCGTATTTGGAAACACAAGGAATGGCCCAACACCCCATTCATCGTTGAGCTGGCAAACGGCCAGAACGTCAAGTACTTTACAACCAGAGAGCTTCAGTGGGATGAAAAGTTCCTCCAGATGAAGTTCATCTTGAATAACTGCTCCCTTGGGGTCTCCGATCGTCTGCAGATGTACATGAAACTGAGAACTGAGGGCGTCGAAACGCCGACACTGCTACAGAACTTGATTCAGTTCACCGCCGAGACCAACGCCGATGTTTTGCCCAAGGGTCCCCGTAAAACCCCGAAGCCATCGACACGGCAGGCAAAGCTGTCTCCTACCAAGGACAAGGATATCGAAAAGCTTCCTCTGACGGTTGAGCAGGCCCAACAGGACCACCACAACGACGAGGAGTCGGAGGGTGACCTGGAGGACGAGGACGCATACAAGCCCATTGAGCAAACCGAGTCGCGAAGCGAGGCGCCCCTGACAACGGTTTATCTACAAAAGCTGCTTGAGGAGGCCGAGAGTACCGAATACGGCATCTCACCCTTTCCGGTTTATCACTTTGACAAGTTCTTTGCGGCTGGCATGGTGACGACCTCCCACTTTGCTCACGCGCTGCTGTGCCAGTCGTATTTCCGTCCCTATGTGATCGAGATCCTCAATCAACTCTCGAGCCGCATCATCTCCATGCCTGTTCCGCCGCAGTTCCACCAAAGGCAGTATGTGCAGCTGATGCACTACCTGCTCGATCGCGACTACATCCCGCTGGGCCTCTACCGTGGTGGCGCCAAGGTCTCGCACCACTCAAGCAGTGACCACCTGAACAACGAGCACGACTTTCCGTATGTGTACACAAACTGCAAGGGATTTGATTTGGTAGACACCAACGACACTGTCTTTGTGGTCAAGAATCTGCCATAGTTGATCCCTGGCATTATATACAGTGTTAGAAAGGAGAGACAGGGGCGCTGTGGCATAGGGGAGGTTGGCCTCTGTGTTCGGGTAACGGAATACATGTCCTCGTCAAATCATCCAAAGCCCGTCACCATCCACCGCTCTCTTGGATTCTAATCCTCAGAGCGAATGCACCAGGCAATAAGATAATCAATATGGGTAAAACAGTGTCCATTTTCTCGTTTGAACGCGCAAGTCGTCTAATATTACTGCCATATACAATCGATTGCCGAGCATCCACACTGGCCGCCTCGGAGATGTCCACCACACCCACAGGTTCCAATCGAGGCTGCAGATGGTCACGGCCTGCCCTTTCCACATGTTCACATCACCTCAGTGGACGACATGCCAGCTCAATGACCGAATGAACATCGAGGGCCATCATCAGCCTGGTGGCCCCCAGATGGCGTCAGCCAACACAGTCGACGAGACTTCTCGATGTGAATGACAGCCGGCCACAACCCGCTGGTTTCACTTGTTTGTCCTCGGTCGATTGCAGCGATGCGGGCGAGGGAGAGCACAGTGACGACATGGTCCCCTGCCGCCCGCTGGAAAGTGACCCGATCGCTCTTGTCACTGTTGCCCACACAGAGAAAGGCCGTGTCTTGCTCGTTTGCACAACATGGTTTGGGACTGTCCTTCGTCGGTCTCATTCACCAAACCTTCGTCCGTCTCGGTCACCAAACCTTCGTCCGTCTCGGTCACCAAACCTTCGTCCGTCTCGGTCACCAAACCTTCGTCCGTCTCGGTCACCAAACCTTCGTCCGTCTCGGTCACCAAACCTTCGTCCGTCTCGGTCACCAAACCTTCGTCCGTCTCGGTCACCAAACCTTCGTCCGTCTCGGTCACCAAACCTTCGTCCGTCTCATTCACCAAACCTTCGTCCGTCTCAGTCACCAACGCAACTTGGCGAGGGAGAATGAGTCTCGCTCTTGGCTTTCCGATCTTCTCGATCCCCTGCGTGCACACCAGCACCCAGTTCCCCGTGCTTTGCTGCTCATTGCACCGGACAGCTTTCTTGGCCTTCGTCGCTGTCGTTGTGGCTGTCGGAGGCGTCGTCGATGTTGCTGCTGTGAGCGTGAAAGATGGAGCCATAGAGCAACAGCCTCTGGATCGCAGCAAAGGTCGACGACTGTCGGCGGCGGTAGAGGCGGTGTCCAATAAAGCCGATGTTTTCCGAGCAGATCCGGGATGCTTGGCTCATGAGCGACGAGCTCGGCGGCAGCGCCGGGGTAGTGGTGACGTCGGTTGGCGGGAACTGAGCGGGTGTCGTTTCCGACTCGACCCCATCCGAGGACGAGCCGTGGTCGCCCACCGAGTCCGTGTCCAGCCGCTTCGAGTACTGCAAACAGCAGTTCACGGGAAACAGCTTTGAGGACGGACGGGGCTGCACGTCTCGGTTCAGGTGGGAGTCTGGAAGCCAGCTGCCCGTCGCCAGTCCCGCCTCCTGCTGGGCCGCCTCCAAGGCATCCATGTCCAAGCTCCACAGCCGGTTGTTTGGGTAGATGGGCTCAAAGATCTTGATGGTGCTGTCGATGCCGCTGACGGCTATGACGGGAGCGTGCGGATGGCCCTGGATGACATTGACGACCTCCGAGTCGCCTGCAAGCAGCTGCACGAGCCTGGTGCTCCTCTTGTCCCAGATGAAGGCGTATCCGTCGTCCGATCCCGAGACCACGTATCGATCCGATGCTCCATAAAAGTTGACATCTGGTCAGGACAGGGTTGCGCGAGGCACAGGCCATCAGCGGATATCGTGGGAAACCCCGGTCATCGGCAGATGTCGTGGGAGACCCCAGTCATCGGCAGATGTCGTGGGAGACCCCAGTCATCGGCAGATGTCGTGGGAGACCCCAGTCATCAGCGACACAAGCAACTTGAGGCACGGCCGACGGGAAGCAACCTCCCGGTCGACGAATCGCCTGTCGGCAGCAGGCCAACTTACCCTTGGTCGTCTGTGCAGAGCCAGGCCGATCCCGGTCGAGAAGGAGAGCCGCACATGAGCCATCCGCACGTGAGCCATCCGCACATGAGCCGTCCCATCAAAAGTGCGCATGGCCGTGCGACACAACACATCAATCGATCCTGTCCGCTTACCCGACAACTTTGATGTCCCTGTGGTGGCATCGAGTGGCATCGAGTGGCATCGAGTGGATGTGGCACGATCAGCACATCGCATGGCCCGACACACCATCCCACCGCAGACTCGGCCGCCACATGCCATCGGATCGCCAGAGTCGTCATTCGGTGCCATACCTTGAAGACCCTCGATGGCTTCACGTTGGTCAGATGCGGCCACACCTCTGACGCATCTGGATCGCTCTTGCCAAGCGAGTGCGTGGTCCTCCACATCCCATCGTCGCTATCAGAGTCGTCAGAGTCGTCAGAGCCTTCGGAGGTGTCAGAGCCATTGGGTTCATCGGAGCCTTCGGAGGTGTCAGAGTCGCCAGGGCCGCTGCCTTCAGAGTCCTCGACCATGTCGTCGCTCTCGCCGACCGATTCCATGTCGGCATCGCTCTCGGGCCGCCCGGGCCGCTCAGCCGGCCCCTCAGCGGCCTGTGCTGCTGAAGAGGCATCCGATCCATGTCTCTGCTTCAGACTGCCATGCTCATGCGGCTGCCTTTGCTTGTGCGGACTGCGGCGTCGACTTGCACCTGCACTTGCACCTGCACTTGCACTTGCACTTGCGCTTGCACCTGCACCTGCACTTGCACTTGCACTTGAACCTGCGGCCTCCTCCTGTCCGCTGTGTTGACTGTCGTCCGCACGGAAGGCTCCGATCAGCTCGACCGGTTCCAGAGCCTGGATCCATCGCTGGCCCCAGCGACTCCACAGTTCGATCGATCCTGCGCGCTCAGAGAGCAGGATGCCATCCAAGCACTCGACAAAGGCCTGGCGATCGCCCGAGGTCCTCGCGGGCCATTTGGCTTGGCGAAGCGTTGCCTCGGCATCTTGGAGGCGCTCGATGGTTTGTTCAGAGGTGTCTGTGGTTGAGAAGAGTGCCAGCGCCCACTCGCTGGCTGCTCGCAGCAGATGGCCCATGCATTGATGCTTGCGCTTCTCCAAGGCACAGCGGGACTGCACCAGCGCTTGCTGCAGCAGATGCTCGCGGTGTGCCGCGACGGCAGGATCCTCTTGGCAGTTGAATATCTTGATTCGCTTCAGCGGCGACTCGCCAGAGTGTCTTGGGTCCGAGCTGGCCAGGGCCGCAGCGTCGTCCCGGTTGCTCTGGTTGCTGCTCTGGTTGCCGTCCCGGTTGCTGTTCTGGTTGCCGTCCCGGTTGCCGAGGTCGAGGAACCACCTCAGATAGATCCGGGCACAGTTCCGGTGGCAGCACGCATCGACAACCGGTCGCAGATCCCACAGGGTCCAGACGTCCTTGATGCGGTCAATCTCGAGCAGGGCCTCTTGGTATCGCATCTGCCCCAACAGATCAGCAGCTCGGTCGACCAGGGCCTGGACCTCGACCTGGGCCTTGGCCAGCTGCGCCAGATCCATTCCCTCGCTCATCTCGACCCTGGACTCGTCCGGGCCCGCCCGGGTCTGCAGGCCCGAGCGAATGTCAAACAGATAGACGAGGTCCTGCGAGTAGCTCAGCAGCAGCTCATCGCCCGACTTGGAGAACTGACAGGAGGTGATGTCCGAGTCGTTGCGGATGTTGTCCGAGGTCGCTCGGAAGGTCGCCACGGCTCGCTGCGGCATCCGCAGATCGTGCAGGAAGGCTTCGGGGTGGCCGCCGGCACAGACAATATAGTTGGAGTTGGCCGGGTTGAGCGAGAGGCTGTTGAGATGGATGCCAAAGCTCTGGTAGTCGACAACCACATGGCGACAGGCCGATCTGGGTGTGCACTCGTGCTTGACCCGGACATCGAACTGGCGGACGGTTCCGTCTTCGGAGCATGTCAGTGGACAGTGCGGGGAGTCGTGGTTGACGACCACCCGCTTGACCCTGCTGGTGTGGCATCGATAGACGTTGCGGACGCTTCCTTGCTCGCGATGTGGAGCCAGAGAAATGTCATGGACCCGAACCTGCGAGTCGCCGGCGACGCTCACGACGACCGAGTCTCCGGTTCCAGGGATAAACTTGGCTCCAAAGATATTGGCAGAGTGGCCGGTGTGGAATCGGGTCAGCAACCTGCTGCCGCGCTGGGCAGACGCCGGCTGCATCGGCTGCATCGGCTGCATCGGCTGCATCGGCGTCCGAGCATTCTCTCGCTCAGGCGGCGGCGCCGGCGCCGGGCCGGGCGAGTATTCCCAGAGACAGAGATGCAGGTCGTCGGATCCAGAGATCAGATGCCGGCCCGAGTCTGACCAGGCCAGGGTGTTGACGCAGCCGCGATGGGCTTTGAGGATCTGCGAGAGCGAGAGCTGGGCGAGCAAGAGTGGGCATTCTGTTGTCTGGCGCGAGAACCCCAGCGGATGCATGGGCTCGTGCTCTCGCCGAGAGAGCAGCCGATGGGCCATGGCCGAGACGTTGTTCGTGATGGGCAGATGGGCAGATGGGCAGATGGGCAGATGGGCAGATGGGCAGATGGGCAGATGGGCAGATGGGCAGATGGCAGCAAGAGCTGGCTTCTGGGTCGGCGTGGATCATCAGCACGGCACATGATTTGCTCATCCTGGCGCTGTCCGAGGCTTGTCGCCATCGATGGGAACAGCTGCTGCAAGTGCCTCGGGGAATCCAACGCTGGATCAAGATCTCGCAGATCGAGGGCGAATGCAACGCTGGATCAAGATCTCGCAGGTTCCCATGAGACGGACTGAGCGTCTTGCTGGGCCGAATGAGCCACTCCCAATCCAACAGACCGATGCAGGTCCGCCAGAGATACCAATTGCTTTCCGCGATGCTGTCGGCTGGCGGGCAAGCCTGATGGACCGCTCTCTGACACCTTGAATACGGACAACCCTGCACATGTTTTCCATCCGTTTGCTCCCGTGCAGTCCAGCAACGACGATATCGAGGGCGTGGTAGATTGTTGTCGTGCGATTGATGATGTGAACTAGATCCAGACAAAGCAAAATCGACATGTCCAATTATATGAGCAAGCACTAAATGAACAACTGTGATTTCTCGGCCTGTTGTGTGATGCGCGGAAGCGGGTTGGCTTGTTTTTGTGACTTGCTGAGACACATGTGTTGCCACATCTTCTTGACTCTATTTTGGCCAGATATTCAGTCATATCATATTGGTTCACACATACAGACCAACCACGGAATATCGCCAAGTTTCGAGCCAGAGGCCCAAAGAAGTCTCCAATTTGCCCTCCAGCATGGAATAACTCTCGTTTTACTTGCCTAGCTGCTTGCATCGTGCCGATTTCGACCTTGCGCTCCCAGCTCTTGAGCTTCTTCTGTAGTTCGTACCGCTCAGCCTGCTTGTGGACGTACTCCATGACCTAGATGACACAAGGTATGTTACAATGGATCGACACCCGCGGGCCACTTCCGGACCAGCTTTCTCTCGCAGGGAGCTCCGTCGTCAGTCGCAGAGATGATTATGAAGCGTACATGCGGAACGCGAAACTCTTCGATTTGTTTCTTTAGTGTGTCGTTAATTCGCGTGGCCTTCCGCTTTTCAAAGTTGACGAGCTTGGCTTCAGACCGCAGCTTGTCCAGCAGGTCCCTACGCTGGCTGATTTCCGTTCGAAGCGTCTCAGACTCGGTAGTGATGTTCTGTAGCTTTTTCTGGTTGAGCGAGGAGATATATGCGATAGCAAAGTGATGAGTGTCTTGTTGTTGCACCGGATCAGCGAAGCCAACTGTCGCTCGCTCTTTAGGCAACGATTGCCTCTTATCATATGTGCTCCATCTATAATGGTAGTATTTGTGTACCCCGGCAGTCTCGGCTACCTGCGGGTACTTTGCCTGATGTGTGTGCCGGTTTGCAGCGCACCCGAGCCCGATCGCAGAATGCGCCGCACTTTTCCTGTATGTACCTTGTAAAAGTTCAGAATTTGCACTGTATTTCCAGCCGTCATCTTCAACTTGAGGAGCTCGGCATTTCGTTCCTCGATCTTTGTCAGATACTGTTTGTTTTCGATTTGAAGCTGGTCGAAATCGATCGCATGAAGAACTTCGCCCATTTCTTCTTTCTGCTTGAGCTGAAGATGTAGCTTGTTTTTCTGAACCTTGAGCGTTGCATTCTTGAGGCGCACCTTCTCAATGATTGCATCCTGCAGCATGTGTGTTCATATGATATCGGGGCCGTCCAGGTGTCGGGTAAAAATATTATGTCCGGCTCAGCATGGCTGGCTGTGCTCATCAACGCATTTACACGACGGACACCGTCGCCGCAGCTATTTTGCTGCTCCCATACAGGAAATTGGCCAGAATACAGCGTAGATGGTGGATCGGATCGTTCATACAACCGTACCTTTGCTCGGATTTTGTCCTCGTAGTATCGCAGCACCCGCTCGGCCATAACTTTGCCTGTCCGGGAATTGACTGCCTGCCCGACGATATCACGTTTGTATTCATAGAGGGCTTTCTTGGTGTCGCCAATGCGAATTTCGACCTCCTCCATCTCGGCCTTGTAGCTGTCCAGCACCTTGGCCCACTCCTCCTTCTGCTTCTCGATCTCATCTCGGAGCTCCTCCAGCTCTCGTGTGGCGATCTCCGACTTTTGCTCGGGCGTCAGCAAGAGCCGCTTTTCGATTTCTTTCTGCTTCTCGCCCTTTTTCTTCTTTTGGCGCATCTGCTGCTGCTGCATCCCTCCACCAGCATCCTGGAGTTCCTCGTCAACGGTCCCTGTCGCGCCTGGGCCGCCGTTGCCGGGATTAACTCGGTTCCAGTACGACTCAAATAGCTTGTTTTCGTTCTCCATCATGTCATTTTTGATGATAAGCTCTTCCTTGAGCTTGAGCAGCTCAGAGTCTGCGTAATTATCGAACTCGTAGTCATCCATTGCAGTTAGACGCGAGAGGAGATTGGCCTCGGCTCCTGGCTGAGCCGGCGCGAGGTTCGCAGCGTCCTCCATTTTCCGCTCTCTCGGGGTGGTACTGACGGGCTCAGGAGAATCGGAAGCCTGGGGAGGGGCGTTGGCGCTCTCCGGGCTGTGAGGCTCCGTATGCGACGCAGGCAAGGGCAAGTTTGAGCACGCTCAGTTCCCCGGTCGAACGAGGGTCTGATCGAGCATATATGGACGTCGATTGTTGAGTCCTCCCTCGCTGGCCGAGGATATTGCAGTCCACTCCGTGAGCCACTCCCTGTCCAATCACCCAATCTCCACCACTGAGGCCTCGCCGAGAAATGTGCTACATCGTCTCCGCTTTGACGCAGTGGCTGCACTCAGCATCAGCTAGACCGACCATATTCTGTAGAACCGGGACACATCCATCCATTTGGACATGTAGTCTGTTCCCATTTGAAGTCCAGGGGATCGCCTCGCCGGGCATTAAGCGATGACACCGAGTCGATTTCCGGTCTCCGCAGTCGCCCTGGATTGTGGCATCGCAGTGCAGCGACGGATGGCGCTCATGGGTGCACCGCTTGGCCAAGATGAGTGATGGACGAGTGTGGGTTTACGATGCTGAAGAGCGGTTTACCTGGCTCAGAACAGCATAGGCCTTTCGACGCATTCGGGGTGGCTGCCCATGACGCCCTGCTGGAATATGCTCCGGACTTCCCTGCCAATCGCAACCGGTCACGTCGCAGGTTGCGCCAGGGACGGGAGTGATATTGGTCAGGGCGGCATTCTCACATCAGCCTTGTTTGGGTCGATCCTTGACAGTCGTGAATCAGCCGCGGTGCCTCCTGTTCATCCGGCAGGATCATCCGTTGTTCCGGCCGCGCCTCGTCACGAATGTGACAAATGGCCCCAAGTATATCAGCCCGCGTTCCCGCACCCAGTTCCCGCACCCAGTTCCCGGTCACCACAAGCCCCCTCCCAGTAACGAGCCCCAGCTCACCTTCGTCCACTGCACCAGATTCGGCACATCCACCTCGCTTCAATATCCAACCCGCCCTCCGTCCGTCATGTCCCAGTCCTCGTCTGCCCATCTCGACTCCTCGGCCAAGGTTTTTCTGGTCACCGGCGGCAACAGCGGTATTGGCAAGGGCGCCGTGCTCGAGATTGCCCGATCGCCCAACCATATTGTTGTCATTGCTGCACGAAGCATGGAGAAGAGCAAGCAAGTCTGCCAAGAAATTCAAGCCGCAACGGGCAACAGCCAGGTGTTTGCCATGAAGCTGGAGCTGTCCTCCCTCGACGCAGTCAAGGTGTTTGCCCAAGAGTTCCGCGCCCAGTACCGACGACTCGACGGCCTGATCTGCAATGCCGGCATTGTCCCAACCAAGTACGAGCAAAGCGCCCAGGGCTACGAACTCACCTTTGCCACCAACCATCTGGGCCACTTTCTCCTCATTCAGCTGCTGTCGGATTTACTGACCTCGACCGCTTCGCAACTGGGTCAGCCCACCCGTCTTGTCATCGTCAGCTCCTTCACCATCAACCCCAAGAACATTTCGGCCATGCGCTTCCCCAATCTCGAGGAGACCCTTGATCCCGCCATCTTGGCCGAGCCACCTGCAAGGTTTGACGAAGAGCGGGCATACACCAACTCCAAGCTGCTGAATGCCATCACGGGCTATCGGCTTGCAAGCACCGGGATCCTCAAGAACGTCCTCATATCCGTTTACGATCCCGGATTCGTCCCTACCGATCTTCTGCGCGGCTATTCCAAGACCCGCCAGGTCCTGCTCGGTGTCTTCGTCCATAAACTGCTCAAGTATCTGTGGCCTCGCGTCAGCACAATCGAGCGCAGTGGCGGCTTTATGGCCAAGCTGGTGGTCGAATCCAACGAGTCCGGCAAGTACTATTCGGTCGACCGCGAAGAGGAGTGGGCTGAGAAGGCCAAGGATCCCCGTCTGGCCAAGAATGTGTGGGACCGCTCCCGCGAGATGGTCGCTGCATGGCTCTGAAGCAGTATCCCGCCCCGCCTCCAAATCAATCGACGATCAGGTCCGGCGTGACTTGATGTCGGACCTCGAGCCGGACCCACCATTGCCTGTACCGAGCACGATCTCATCGCCTCCATTTCTATCCATGTTTGCAATACACGGCTGTATTATCCAAAAGTGAGCTGAGCGGAACAAACGAGCGGCATAGTCGTCTTAGACACCCAGCCAGCATCAACACGCGCGGCGGGGCAAAAGGAGCCGGGGGTAGTTACTTGTTGGCGATGAACGGGTGGGCCAGCGCCTCCTTGACGGACAGTCGCTTCTCGGGGTTCAGATTGAGGCACTTGTCCAAAAAGTCAACAAACAGATTGACTAGCTTGTGTTCGTCTTCGGACATCTTGGAGACATCCTCTGAGGCGAGGAGACGGGCACGAAGGTCGCGGGTGGCCTTGGTGATCACCACCTTCTTGACAACATCCTGAAGGCAGCCACGCCATTAGCTCACGAGCCGCCAACAGCGAGAGCGGCCACAGCACCAACACGGCCGCCTGCGCACTCCATCACATCGACACAGCCGCAAAAAGAGCCTGGCGCTTACCTTGCCGCTGATCTTGTCCACTTCGGCTTGCAGGAACGACAGATCCGAGAAATCAAAGTGGTTCTCCGCAAACTTGCCCTTCCGGATCATTTTATGCTGGAACTTGCCCTTCAGATCCATCATCAGGCGCAGCATTTGGTTGTTTGTGCGTCCGGGAAACAGGATCTTGCCCGTGTAGAGCTCATACAACGAGCAACCCACCGACCAGACGTCAATGGCTGGATCGTATGGCACGCCCAAGACTGTGAAACGGCATCGAGGTTAGCAGTCATGGATAGCGTCCCGCAGCCGCTGCAATCATTCACCCACGTTCGATTGCGGTGGACACTCACTGATTTCAGGAGCGCGGTAGAACCGGCTGACGAGATATGGCGTGATTTCGTTCTCGGCGATGTCTGACGCCGAGCCCAAGTCACACAGCTTGAGCACCGTCTTGGACTCGTTCACCAGGATGTTGTCTGGCTTGATGTCGGCGTGCAGAATGTTGCACTTCTTCAGCAGCGAGAGGGCAAAGAACAGCTGTTTGGTGTAGATTTGAACGGCCTTGATGTTGATGCCTACGTCCTTTCCGAATTTCTTGAGTACCTCGCGGAGGTTCATGCTACGGGGACATACGCGAGCAAGCTTTATCAGTACAGGGCGACACAAGGAGCAAGCGAGATGAAACGGCGAGGCGCCCAACCATCGGTGCATCGAGAACGGTGACAGTACCTAAGCGACTCGAACACAAGACACAGATGGCCCTTGTGCTCAAAATGTCGAAGCATGCGGATGACGTGCTTCTTGTCGTCCGGGTCCGATTCCTGCAGCTGATTGAGGATCTTCATCTCACGTTTTCCGGCGCGATACCTGGCGGGACAGGCAGTTGTTAGGAGGGGAGGCTCGGGGGCAGCGACGGTCTGTCACCTACAGTCTCTAAACGCACTGCGAGCAGAGTCGCGCGGGCCTGGCATAGCAATTTGGGTGCTGCGCCGGGACGTCCGCCAACGATGCTTACATTGTGTCGTTGTTGCGAATAATCTTTATAGCAACGTCGCGATCATTGTCTTTCTGGTCTCGGGCCTTGACGACCGTGCTGAAGACGCCTTTGCCGAGGTGACTGTACACGTGGTAGCGCTCGTCCAGAACCTCGCCGAGAATGCTCTCTGTCAAGACAATGAGAACGTCAGTAGTGGGCTGTGTCAGGACCAAGGCCGCTGGCGCCGACCATGTAGCTCCTGGACCAAAGTCCATGCACCCGAGCAAGTCGCTGTGTATATCCATCTGGATAGGGCTTACTGTAGTATCCTTCGTGATCGTCCCAGTTGTCAGTCAGGGCCGGGTTGTTTGCGGTGCGCATCACCGGTGCAGATTCCAGAATATGCGTGGCTCCGTGGTCGTCGAGGATGTCGTGGTCAGCAAACATATCGTCAAGGTCGTTATCGTTCGGAACCTTGCGGTTAACGTTGGCCACAGCCAGCTCGACCACATGGGACTGCCCCTCGTCGTGGTAGTCTGCCGCAAACATGTCTTCGGTATCTCTTGCGGGGGATTGATCCTTTGTGTCGACACCGGCGCTGGCTTCCAGAAGCTGGGCTTTACTCAGCTGGATCGGGGAGGCAGAAACATCCGCAGGCGTACTCCGGCCAGAGGCGGTCTGCAAGTCGTCCAGGACTCGCTGTGCAAAGGACGGCCTGGGGGCTGTGTTGGAATGAAGAGGCACGACGGTGTAAGAGCGCAAAGTGGCAAAGCTTTGATCAACAGCGATTCTCTGCATGTGTATCGGACGAAACGTACGCTCTTTGTCCGACGGAGCCGGCGATGTAGTTGCGACTGTCACAGCAGTTGGACTGGTGGCGGCCGACTCGGTCTTGTATTTGTTCAAGATGGCTTGGCGACGTTTTCTGCGTTCCTCGATCAGACGCTCCTCTTCATCTTCGTTGAAGAACAAGGCTTCGCCGCCATCGCCATCGCCATTGTGGATAGGCGCCATCTCATCCTTTGGCGGAGACGGCAGCTTGATCGGCACCGAGTGAGCAGACTCTGACTTGGATAAGGAGACGGGTTGTGAGGGCTCATTCGCCAGGACGGGTTTGGGGTTGATGTGGCTCTGGGGCTCAGCAGATGGCTCCTTGGTACGGTGCAATGCCGGGGCATCTTTCGACTTGGGCTGTTCCGAGGGGCGACTGCGGTCATGGTCCCGGCGGCGATCGTGGTCACGGTTGCGTTCGTGTTCTCGATCACGGCCATAATCGCGGGACAACCGGCTGTAGTCGCGATCCCGATCGCGGTCGTGATCACGGACTCGGTCGCTGCGATCGTGGCGGGAAGACGAATGACGGGATGAGCCATGGCGGTCGGAGCGGTCAGAGCGGCGCTCGCGGGAGCGAGAACGATCGCGCCGGTCTCGGGGCGGCGACGTCGAGCGGTCTCTTCGACGGGTTCTCGATCGGGATCGCTCTCTGCCGTGGCGCGTCGATGAATGGCGGCTCGAGTGCGAATGTGATGCATGTCGCCTTGGACTCGAGGACGACCGGTCGTCACGTCTTGGCTGGACCAGGTCGTCGTCGTCAGAAGCAGAAGCACTTTTAGCATCCCTTTGCAACGACGAGGAGGACACGCCATCATCGCCGGCCTTATCTACCCGTACGGCCTCACCGTCAGCGCCATAATCCGGGTGATTGTGCCCTCTGTATATCCGTTTGCTCGGAACAGAGGGCGAGATGCTTCGAGATCGACGACGCTTATCGCTCATCGAGGGAGATAAAGAAGTGCCCTTTGCGGCGTCAGTGGAGGCGCTATGGGGAGGAAGAGGATGGGACAGAGCAACACCGGCGTTATTATCAACGTGGACAGAGTGGGTGGAAAGTGAACGAGGAGGCATCGCATTCTCTGTCATTTCATCGTCTTCGGAAATTTCACCTTCTTCGGCCTCATCGGCAGCACGAAGATTCAAAGAGCTATCCTCAATCATGCTGGGTAAATAGGGGAGAGCGGTGGAGGATGTGGTCGATGTGGTTGGTGTGGTGAGGGGAAGCGAACAAAACGAGGACGGAAGAGTCCAAACGAGGGCCAAGGGATGGAGGGCGAGTTGATCAAAGAAAAGGGCTTGCAGGCCTGGTGGAACGGCAGGCTTCGATCCGAGTGTGTCGTGAGAATGGAAGTTGTACGATGGATCGGCGAGGCGGTCTCAGAGAGCGAGATGATCTATCCGAGGCTGCTGTTTGGACTGGCTATCGGAGGGCAGCTCAGGCACGAGGCGAGGGGGGTATGGAGGAGCGATCGTCGCTAATGTCGTTGGTGATGTTGGTGATGTTGGCGACTCTGTTGGCAGACGGGCCCGAAACGAGCTTTAGGTTGCTTGGATACGCAGCGAGCGACGTGGTGGGCGCTCCGCACTGCTGTGAGAGGGGAATCGGATGTCGGCGGTGTCTTGATGGTCGGCGAGAGCAGGGGCAACGGCGGCCACAACGGGCGCACTGGAGTAGCGAGATGGCAAGGAAGGCGATCAGGAACCGGTGCGATCGAGAAACGAGCCGGGAAGCGCTTGCAGTCGGAAACTTGGGCAGGCAATGCTGGCGTCGGTGTGGATGGCGGCGACGATGACGGCGACGATGACGGCGACGATCGGCAGCCCGAAGGCGAGTCGTCGTTGGCTCGCGGCGGCCTGCGGCGCAGCAGTGACGTCAGCAAGGCGGTGGCGACACTGCTGCCACGGAGCGGCAACACGGAACCGACACGGAACCGACACAGACGGACAGGCAGCCGCGGCGTTTGCGGCAAAAGCATTCCGCGAGCAGCACCACTTACGGTCCCTCCTTCTCTCCGTTTTCATTTTCCAGGAAACAGTCTGTTGTCATGGTAATGCCCGCTATCCTATCCAACCATCCGTGCATCCATCCATCCGTGCATCCGTCCGTCCATCCGTCCGTCCACGCATCCATCCATACATCCATCCATACATCCATCCGGCTGTCCCTCGGATAGTCGACTCTGTCGTCCTGCAAGTGGCAGCATTCAGCCTCGGAATCTCGACCCTTTCGGCCAAGCTCTCTGGATTTGATCTGGCCATGCATACGGACTCGCCTGGGATAGCGTCTTGGACAGAAACGGGACTCCTGCTGCTGGTTCGCTGTGGCCTGCAGCCATCGCTCGCTCGATCGCCTCGACTATCTCGACATGGATGGGACGGCGCTCTGGATTTTCATCGATTCTCGTTCGGGCCGAACGACACGATATCTTGAGTGGATCAGTCCACCTAGTTCGGGACCGGCATCAGATGCGACTGGACTGGACGGCATGAGCTTTCCCGATCTCGACCACGGGCAGCATCCGATGCCGACAGCACCGCACAAGCACGCCGCCAGACGGATGGATGGACGGCGGATTGGCAATGCCGGAGCTGATTCTGGAGGGCGCAGCAGACGACAGTCGTTCAGGTCTCTGACTAAAGTTGGGCGATCCGATTCCAGGCCCAGGTTAAAGCCTACGAGTTGCGCAACAAAACCAAGGCTGAGCTGACTCAGGAGCTCGACAGCCTGAAGAAGGAGCTCTCCTCCCTCCGCGTTCAGAAGGTCGCTGGCGGTGCTGCTTCCAAGCTCGCCAAGATGTGAGTATGAGTAGCGGTGACAGCACCGGTTGCAAACTGGATGTCTTGGCTCGACAAATCGGCGCTCACCTCGGCGTTCCGCACGTTTTTCTCCCTGGACAACCGGCCGCCATCAGCTCCGAGACCCGCAAGGCCATTGCCCGTGTCCTCACCGTTATCACCCAGACCCAGCGTGAGCAGCTCCGTCTCTTCTACAAGAACAAGAAGCACCTGCCTCTTGATCTCCGCACCAAGAAGACCCGTGCCATCCGCCGCCGTCTGACCAAGTTCGAGGCCACCCGCAAGACCGTCAGACAGATCAAGAAGGAAACTCACTTCCCTCTCAGAAAGTGAGTGCTCGTGCATAGCTTCGGTCGCTGTGATGTCGTGCGGGGTGGTAACCATCCAGCGACGCAGTGTCCTAACCATCCCACATCGTCACCCGCAGGTACGCTGTCAAGGCCTAAGGTTTTTGATTGCTGTAATACAGACCTTCCAAAAGTAAAGCGGGACGCCCACATTCATGTTTGAGACCCATGATTCGCGAGCAGTGTCCATCGACAGGCGTTGCCTTGAGGTCATCCTATCGCCGCTGTTGCCGCCGGTTGTTGTTGTGAAGGTCGTCTTGGCTGGAGATCCGTGAACCCGTATGTCCATGGTTCCACTGGTTGATCTCCATGAGCGCTGATCGACTTGCCCACGGCGGCCATGTGTTCTTGGCCGAGTTGGTGTTGGAATACTGGAGCCGTGGGTTGGGTGCGTCAAGTCGATCGGCCGCGGTGCGCCATGACATCCACTGCAACATGAACACCCTGACGGCGGAGCTGCTTGAAAAGTGCGAGGAATGGTCAGAACGAAACGGGACGGCAGTCCGCAGGCCATGGGAGGATCGGATCAAACGCACTCGATCGATCTCCTCTGGCTCAGATCGACTGACGTTGATGTTGTGACACTTGTGGTGCGGTGCATGCAGTCGACCATCTGGACAGCTCTGTGGGTTTGGTCTCCAGCCTCCTTGGACACACCCTTTGGTCACGATGGATGAGAGGTGTATTCAGGACCAGAACGTGCCAACAGCCCTGGCTCGGAACAGGATGTCCCGTTTTCTTCTGAATAGAGTGTATGGCCCCGACTTCACTCTCGTGGTTGCGCTGTGCCGGCGCCAGGCCGGGTACACCAGCCCTGCCCCGGTATCAAAACGACGTCGTTTGGGGCGATCCCTGTGTGGCATCCATTTGCCGTCAGCCTGCAGTTTGTCCCTGGTTTCGGGCATGTTGTGCACATCCGTCCTTACCTCTCGAGCATGCGTCGCACACCGCCGATCTACTGTTCGCCGATTCCCTCCTGTCGAGACAGCCAGAGCAGACTGGGCCCAACAGCGTCAGTTCATCCATCCGCCCAGAGCCACAAAGCAACGAGGTCGGACAAACAGCGGGGATGTCAGCGCACGACAACCAGGCCCATGGGCGACGATGGCAACGAAAGCTGATTGCAGACCCGAACGACAACACCGGTCCGAGTCGGAAAGAAAGTAGAATGACAGGCAGTACCTGCTCGGGCACATTGGTCACAGGTTGTCTGCCATCGAGAGAGTGGGTCAGCTTTGTTTGCGGATTGTAACTTGCAGCATCCAGTCCCTTGACCCATACCTTGCGAGCCACGAGGCCGAACTTTTGCTCACAGAGACTGCAGGCATCCTGAAGTGATCGAGCGGCTTGGTTAGTGGAGGCAACGCTCGATCCAACAGACGGCTTCCGATATGCTGTCCTCAGGACCACATTTGATGCGTGATGCATCGATACAGCTACATACCACGATGCTCTTCGAGCCTATGCCCAGGACCGAGTCCGTCAGTCGTCCCAGCCTGCCGCTCCATGAAGCATCGGGGCCGTTGTCGATGACGGGTCTTGCATCGCTTGAAGCAAAGCAGTCTTCACACACTCGAACGGGGCTGTTGCTGCTACTGCTGCTACTGCTACCGCTACCGCTACCGCTACTGTTGTTGTTGATGTTGTAGCCAGAAATCACAGCGAGTTTGCCGGAACATGGATGGCAGACCAAACGACCGCACAGTCGGCAGTGGTGCTAGAGAAACGCAGCAATATGAGCATGCAGCAGGATGAGTGTGCTGCGGGGCGAGCACGCAAATGTTGTCTGTATCGCAAGAGCTCGGGTCAGCCCCATACACCAACGTCGCTCGCGCTGTCGTACCTTGCGATTCCAGAACGAGAACGGCTGAGAGCATCTCATGCAGATGCTCGAGTCGCCATCAGGAACCCACACCGGGGCCGCAATCCAGTGTCCGCTTGTGCCGTCTGTTACCGGTTGCTCGCTCGCCTCGCTCTGCACCACAGTGCGCACCGAGCCCCTGGCCAAACCAGGGTCAATCGACGAGGTTCGTCCAGCTCGTGCATTGATGGCTGCGATCCATTCGTCTCTGTCTTGTGGCGAGTCTAGGCCAGAGCAGCGTGTGATGCATCAGTGGCATAGCAGCAAAGCCATTATCGACTTGGCAGTGACCACGAGACAAACAACGCATACCGCACAGCAGAGTAAATGACTTGTCCGGAGAAATGATGCTGAAGGCCACGGTGCTGTCCAGGTTACCATCTGTCGAAGAAAATGGAGTCCAGCGACCGGGCATCAACAGAGAAATCACCAAATACCCATATCCGTTTGTCACCGCACAGGAGTGCCTCGCCGACAGACACTTGGCCATACCTGTGCTGGATCCGGCCTCGATATCGGGGCTCCTGGCCGTGCAGTACTCCAGATCCAGTCGTCTGTGAAACAAGAGCTGGTCTTCCAGCGGCGTTGGGCTGCCAACATCATCCCCCCGTTCTGTCAGTGGCCGGGCCAAGCGCATCTCCGGTACTGCTTTCTCGGCTGACGATTCTGAATCCCAAGACCTTCCGCTCCCGGCTCATCACGACAGCAGCCAACTTGCCTGGCAAGTATAATGCAGTCCGAAAACAGAAAGATCCTCCTTGGCTGATTGTTTTTGCGGCAGACCTACACATGTCTTGGTCAGCAATCGGCACTGGGCACTATCTGCTCCTCACCCCAGTCTCATCGATCATGACATTGTGCGTAACTGGACCATCTTCACCTTCTGGACGGCTCCGGTTCGGACCAGTGTTCGCCCAGGAATTATCAACTCCTGTGGGCGATCGAGAGAGTCCAAATTGCGATTCAGCATGGCCATTTCACGGCTTCACCTCCAACAGCCAAGCCGGACCGCCATGCACACAAAGTGCTCGCCTGCAACCGAGCGGCTGATGCAGACGACGATGGCGACGTCGACGCCAATGCTGATGCCGCTTCCGACCTCATTGAACCCGATCAGCGACTTTTTGATCTCGAGCATCTTGAGTATCATTTCCGTTTGTCGGATTCGCTCATTGACTCTCGACGCAACTGGGGGAATGGTTACGGAGTCATACACTGCCACGAGAAAGCGCCTTGGTGCACCTTTGATTGAATTGGTCTCGTCTCCGAGGGCCGCCCACCCCGACTTGCCGCCAACGGTCATGTCGCTATCATATATCGTCACGCAGCAGCGGCTCGATACTGTCGATACTTGATCAAGCATCCCGTCGCTCCACCTTCTCGCACATACCGTCGAGTACGATTCCATAAGCCTGCCTGAGCGGCTCGTAGTCGCTGTGCCACTGAGTAGTGTGCTTCAGCAAATCCTGAGGTTTTGGAAGAGGCCCGAATGTGCACAAAGGACGCTTCAGTGATGAATTGCACCATCGGTCGATGAGCTGCCTCGCTCGCCCGCATACTGACCTCAAGAAGCAGCTTGTATCTTGGATGGTGAGACCCGAAGCGTTGCGGTGAATACAATGCATCTCGCTTGCACTAATCGCCGCCACTGGTGCAGTGCATACCTTGGAATCCGCTGCACCGGCATGATCAGAAGAGACGGGAGCGCAAGTCCATGGCACCGCTCGTCCTTGAGTTGTTTCTACACAGAGCAATGCAAGGGTTAGCGGGTCGTGCTCTTAAGTTCTATCTCATCCGCAGAAGAGTGGCTGTCGTTTTGCATGGCTCGGCTCGAGCCTGTCGACGGTCATCAATGGTGGTTGCAGCACCTTGACAAACTCTGAAACGGCGCTGCGTTTCATGTGGTGGGCCAGAACCTGGACGGCCATCCCAAAGTTGGCAACATAGATCGAGTAGAGCTTCAGGAACGGCGCCTGTAGTTGTTCGGGGAGTTAGGCGGCAGAAATCAGAGCCATCAGACCAGTGGGGCTGTCCAGTCCCCTCGCTCCTGTGGATGGGCCTTGTATCTGCTGGAGCGAGCTCGATCCACCAGCGAAGTCTGGGTGGGCGCTCGCTGCGACAATGGCAGGCCATTGACGGAGGCGGACGTATGACCGGTGCAGGGTCAGTTTCGCCACGGCGCTGCGTACCAGATCCAGAAAGATACGACCAAGGCAGGCCGTCTCGAGGGCATCCTTGTTAATCTCAACCTCCTTCTTGATGTTCCGGAAGAGCACCAGATTGACCGAAATCAGCTCGCGAAGGTTTGAAAAGATCTCGTGAATGGCCCTCGTCGAGAGGATCTCCTGCGGGGTATCGACAAGGGCCTCGAGGGGCGTCTGGAAGAGCTGGTAGTGACCGCCGGTATCGATTGTGTTCCGTGTGAAACGCCCGAAGCAGGAAGTGTGTGCAAAAGTTGGGAATCGGTGAGAATCGGTGGGAATCGGTGAGAATCGGTGGGAATCGGTGGGAATCGGTGGGAATCGGTGGGAATCGGTGAGAATCGGTGCAGGAATGGCAAACAACCCCCATGCGCTTGGATAGCGGTAGCCCCTCCTCTTCTCGAAACTAGAATACGCCGGAGCCTTCTTGCGCTCTATTGATGGCAGCTGCCCATACACAGGACGGTGGAAGAGAGGAGACCAAACCCACTTCGTTGACAAGCATCAGGTCGTATGTGTAGCGCTGCTCCGACTCGTGGATTTCGGCGACGATACTCTCGCGCTTCGATGTCCTCGAGGCTCGGGCATCGTCCAGGGGAGCATCTGAAACCAAGAAACATGACGCTGAGCTGGCGCCCCGACCACAGCGCCTTCTGTTCGCCGAGGATACCGAGGCTCTGCGACTCTGTGCAGATCGTCGGTTCCCAGCGTCATATCCGAACCTTTCGTCCGAGTTCGATGCTCCTCTTCGCACAGAGTGTGCTGGGATGCTGTGGCCGTGGCTTCGCTCTGCGAAATCGACATGGGGATGGAGCGGCGGCTGGCGATGCGCTGGTCAGAGTCGGCGAGCGATTCGGGAGCAATTCGGGAGCGATTTCGCAGGCGGCAGCTCTCAGTTCTCTAACCGTTGTGCCAGACATCCCAGGGCGGAGATCCACAGTCGGCGCTCAATGGCAGCGATATCCGGAGACGAACTGATAGGAGCCACCCCAAGCATGAGGATGACGTATTCGTGATTGATGCCTGTGCTCTCCCAGTGCGGCTTCCGAGATGCTGCTCTCTCTGGCTGCTCTCTGCTCATCGTTCCCTCGGTGTCCTGCAGAAGAAGCGGCCACTCTGGCTGTATCATAATCTCCAATGAGTTGGTTGTTCTCTTGGGTGTCCCCACCATAAAAGCTCATCCAAGTTTGCAATTCAGCCACGGCTTGGCAAGATCTGAGCCGAGAGAGTGCTCCATTGTGCTTTTGAACGGGTGTATCCAGAAACAAATCACTTCCAAACAATCGAGTGATTGGGAGAGCGAACGGCGTGCTGATTTCTCGATGTCGACAATCACATTTATCCGATCGCCATCATCTCCCGCGCTAACTACGGTTTGTGTCGTCAAAGCAATCCGGGAATTGCCATGCCGCAAAGTCGGATCGACAGAGTCAACAGGCCGCGCACACTCAAACGGCCGAGGCTAGAGCATCGGCGTGTTGCATGTCACCGAAGAGCCGACGAGATCGCTCGCTCACTCAGCGATTAATCCTGGCGAATTGGGAGCGGGGAGGAAGAGTACTGTCCCCCGTTTCTTGTTTGAAGAATCTGTATAGAGTGCCGGCACAAAACAAAGTGTGAAAAGACTTCACAGCCACTCGAGAAGATCAATATGTGTGGGATGGGAATGGTATGGACGGGAAAGACAAGGGCTTTGTGCAGAGAGACTGAGAAAGAATGGGCTGCAACGGACGACCCGATGTGGAATTAGGTTCTATGGAAAGGGATATGGACTGGGCCACGGACATATATCCCTGAATGGGCAGTTTCGTCAACCCAGGCTAGATCAGATCAGAGATGGTCAGAGGTGATCAAATGGAGTGGAGCTGTTCAAGTGGAGTAGAGCTGATCAAGTGGAGTGGGGCTGATCAAATGGAATAGGGCTGGTCGGTCTTGAGAGGCAGGAGATTGATGACCTCCTCATAGAGTCGCTTGAATGTCCAGATGTCGCCTCGGATGTGCTTGAAGTCGACCAGGTAGAGTTCCTTGAGGTACTTGATCTTTTGGATCTCCACGGAGAACTCAACGTCGTCGGTGAGAGAGGTCAGGAACCGCCGGAGGGCCTGCTGCTGGCTCGCCGTTGTGGCATCGTCTGCAGTGGGAGGAGGTGGCCCAGCGAGACTGTTGCTGGTCGCGTTGCCAATCGCTGCCATCAGGTAGAGGTCGCTGCCGTCAAAGCCGCGATTCCAATTTGGCCCCAGTCGGATGCGGTACTTGAGCTCCTGAACCAGCGAGCTCGGAAAGTTTGCCATGGCTCTTGCTGCCTTGGACGTGCTCAGGACCGCGCGTGCGTCCTCAGGCTTCCGCAGCGAGGGGATGCACTCGCTCGAGTCGGTCGAAGGCATCTGGAGTGTGACATCGTCGCTACGCGCGCGCTCGGCCTTCCAAACAACTTGGATCTTGAACTGATCAAGTTTTCGGGTCTGAATCGACATGCCAAGGTTCTCGAGCGTCGCCGTCAACTCCACCACGGTCTGGGAGGGCGATTTGGTGGTGAGGGCTCGTTTGTCGATGGGCCCGCGGTGGTATCGCAGACGCGCTCGGTCTACATCGGCTCTGGCTGGAGCTGGAGCTGCAGCGCTGACATGTGTCGGCAGCGGCGGCAGGGGCGGGACCGGTGGCTGGCCGTTGACCTTGACCGTGGGCTTCCGTTCGAACAGCGATACTCGTGAAACCGGCAGGGGCAATGTTCCACTCGAGCTCAGCGTCGCCACCGAGTTGTCGCGCTGCAGATCAATGAACGGTTCTGTCATCCGTCCCACAAAAGAGGCATAGGCCGTGAGAAAGCGTCCGCTGAGTATGTTTGAAGGACTAAACGATCTGCAATGCCGCATGTGCATAGTGGCATAGTGGCATAGTGGCATAGTGGCATAGTGGCATAGTGGCGTACCAGTGTCTGACTTTTTGAACCAGCTGAATCGACCCGTGCCCGTTTCGTGTTTCTGGATGATGCTGGTGCAAGAGTAAAAGGGTAAAGGCGTGTGAGGGACAGCACAATGCCCACATGGTGATCCAAGCACGGTCGCATCCAGAGCAGCATCATGTCACAAATATCCATAGTAGTGCGGACCGAGCATCCGCAGCCAATGTAGTCGACACTGACAGCAGCGCCACAGCATATTCGGGCCCGCCAGGCTACCCGAGCCACGGCATCCAGTCGGGCTATCGCTCACCTGAGGAATCGCTGCTTGGGCGTAGTCTCGGTCGAGCCCTGGACACGGCTCTCGCGCTGTGTAGAGGCCCGGCCGAATGTGATGAAGCGTGGCTGAGCTTGGTCGCCTGCTATACGAGCGGATGCACTGCGCTGAACGGTCAGGTTGTTTGATTTTGACCGGTCGAGCTCGTGCTGATCAGGAAGGCTGATGTGTACGCCAGCTTCCTTGGCAATGCTGGGTGTGGGCATGCTCTTGATCGAGATGGGCGTTTCGAGTGTTTGGACGGTGCTCGGAGTCCGGTCGGTCATAGGATGGGAGTTATCGGATGTCGATTTGGGTTTGTCCCCAAAGCTGGAGGCAGTGACGACTCTATCGACCGGTGGCACGGGCGACACCAGCGGCGAGACCGGCGAGATTGCCGCGGCCTGAGGCGTTGCCAGGGATACGGCGGGGAAGGCAGACAAAGCGAGGAGAGCTGGTTAGGAAAGGACCCTTGCTTTGGGCCTTGGAAGCCTGTCCAGGCCTCTACACTATTGCGACGGCCTACTTCGCATACCAGAGCTGTTGGTGACCCTTGGGCAAACATGGACGCGTACTTGGCAAGCCATCTGTGGTTATTACGCATTTGATGGTGAGGCAGCGATCGGTACCGAGGATCATCAACATATCCTCTGAGCGCTCAGCGAGTGGGTTCTCCTCTCGGATGCAACACATGAATGCAGGTATCGCGCCGGACAGCGATGCATCGGGTATAACCAAACACGCCTCGCGAGCGGCCCCCGAGAAGCGAACAAACTCACTTGTGGCCGATGATTTCGTCGATCTTTGCGCGCTTCACCGGATCAGGCACCAGTATCCGACGCATCAGATCCTTGGCGCTCTCGCTCACAAACTCGGGGAAGCGGACCTCGGTCTCCATGATGTAAGCATAGAGCATACCGATGTGGGATCCCTCGGGGTTGTTGGGGTCATCCTCGAAAGGCAGGCACCCACAGATCATGGCATACTGGTTACAGCACAATTGCAGCCAGGAGTCAGTGCATGTCGACGACACGTCGTTGTGGCCACGAGAATATTGCCGATACAGCCGCAGACAGCAATTGAGAAACACTTATGCCGACAATGCACCCGCCCGAACCGAGGCGATTCCATCGACCGATTAATGGCGCAGGACAGCTCACCAGGATGACTCCACAGCTCCAGAGGTCGGCGGCCTCGCCAACATAGGATTCCTGGACAAAGATGGGTGGCGACAGTCAGCTCGCGCACTGCATGACCGTATGGGCCGCATGGGTCGCATGGGCCACATGGATTGGGGCCTGGTTGCGATGGACCGAGAGGACGCCATGACAACAACGCGGTGCCCATGACACGAGCACGAAACATACCCCGCTGACGACGAGTTCCGGGGCGGCATAGCACGGGCTTCCGCATGCTGTGCTCAACAGATTGTTCTCGCGAGCGTTGGTCTGGTTTGCAAACCCAAAGTCGGAGATGATGATGTTTCTGTCTTTGTCCAGCAAGAGATTCTCCTGCACGTTTGCATGCCAGCAGTTGAAGTCAGCGAACAGGCCAGGTCAGTGAGCAGTCCAGAGCATGCAAGGCAGACAGAAGCGGCCACGAACAGCCGAGCTCATGGATGTGGACAGACAACTCGCATGATCCCGAGCGGCAGCAGCATCATTGAAGTACCAGCTTCAGGTCTCGGTGAATGATATGGCGGCCATGGAGATATCGGACACCGCATATCAGCTGGGCAAAGAGCTTGGCGGCTGCAGACTCTCGTAGGCGGCCCCGGGCCAGGATAACGCTGAAGAGCTCCCCGCCTGGCCAGCCGTCAACAGCCACATCGTTATTGAGTGCCACAGCGATTGGGCCAAGAGAATATCAATAAGGGGGGAGAGCCATGTCAGTGCTTGAGATTCCCAGACAAGACAAACATCGACAGGAGACGCAGGCATACGGGGCGGAGAAGCCAGCAAACATCGGAGAGACCGAGGTCTTGGGTATGGCCAGCCCCGCTGTCTCGGAACCCGGCGGGTTGCTCGTGTCGCTCGGATGGCGATGCGGGTTGGATCAGGAACGAGCCGGACCTGCAGCATACTCCATGACCAGGCCAATGTACCGATCGGTTTCAATGACCTCCAGCAGCTTGATGACATAGGGGTGCGACAGCTCCTTCATCACGGCTATCTCTCTGATCAGTTTGGCATGCTGCGTGGCGGTCTTGATGTTCTCCTTCTTGATGAGCTTGATGGCGACCTAGCCAGGGGGCCGGAGGAAAGCGACAGCGCAGAGGATGCCGACAGACAGAACGAGACGAAACAAGAAAGGCACGGCCAGCCAAGCAGATACCAAGGAACATCAATGGATATACCGGGCCCGATCACCCCCGGCTCTCGAGCAGACTCGTCTTTGAGCATGCCGAATGGAATCGGCAACCCACCTCCTTCTTGGTCTCGGCATGGACAGCGTACTTGACCTTTGCGAACTCGCCGACGCCGAGCGTGTGGTAGACCTTGTAGGAGCCAAAGTGGCCGCTCGACTTGGAGGGCGCCGACTGCCCGGCGGCCTGCGAGTCGTCGTCCAGGATATCGGGTACCTCTTGGGACATTGCTTTGCGACGGGAGACCAAGGCCTGGTGGGGAGATGCGCCAGGAGAGAAGCGCTGCTGGCAATATCGGGCTGCTGGGGGGTGGGACGACGAAAAAGCGAGGAAAAAATAAGGGGGGGAAGCCGAGAGCCCTGCCACCGCGGGTCTGGCGCCTGGGGGGCTGTGGTGGAGGGGGTCTTGCTGCTGATGATGTGCTGCTGGTGCGGGAATGTACTGCTGCCGATGCTGTCGCCTCGCTTTGATAATATCTCTGGTGCTGTCTGCTCGCCGGTCTGCGTCTCGCCCGGACAGACAGACAGACCGACCAGCTCGACCCGAGACCAGACCAGACGAGACGAGACGAGATGAGACGAGGGGGGCGTCCCCACCATCGCGGTTGCACATCGCCAGCCCCAACCCAGCCAGAGCCCGACCGAGCCCCGCTCTGGATGGAGCGCTCGCACAACATGTCGGCGGCTTGTTGCCCGCAAGCGGCCTTGTGCAATGCAGGGTTGCAGTGGTGCGCACCACTTTTTGCTTGTGGGAATGGGTGGCGCCCGAGTGCTGGCTGGCTGGAAGGCTGCAAGGGGCAATTCAAGTCTCTGTTCGGCCTGCGACTGGCCCTTGGTACGCTTTGGTACTCTTTGGTACGCTTTGGTGCTCCTCGGTGCTCTTTTAGTACTCTTTGGTGCTCCTCGGTGCTCCTCGGTGCTCTCTGGCCAAGCAAGAACGCAATTCATGCTTTGCCGACTTGGCCAGCCAGCTCGCAAGAGCGGGGGGGGGGAACATCCCAGCCGCCGATTGCCTCAGTCCGTGCAACATGCAGAATCGCCTGTCCGACCCGCCGCCATGTCTTTCCCGTTTGTCGTCTGGCTGCATGTTCGCCTGCTCTCCCGGCTCCTCGATCCATCGACCCTGCGGCTTTCCCTCGCACCTCGATCCATACCATCCGCGACTGCCAACGCCAGCCTCCTACAATGCAACGAGACGAGGTGTGTGGTGTGCATTCCTGTTCGCTCTGCTCTGTCCTGGCAATCAACCGCATCTCCATCGACCGTGTCGGACATGATGTCGGCGGGTCCACCAAAGGCCGTCGAGGAGCGCCGCTCTGTTCTTCCGCCAGCATCACTTGGCGCCGGCCGAGTGCCTGGACGATGCGCTGTTGTGGGAGCTCATGCTGGTGGCTGAGCCCGGGCGGGCGACGCTCTTGATCCGGCCCGATCCAGTAATGTCCGGGTTGCTGCCGTTGCCTTCGTATCCCTGAGCGGGGGTTGCGCTCGGCAGCGAGACCGTCATGGTCTGGCTTGTGCTGGCGCCTCGCTTCGACGCCGGGGGCGGCAGCGTCACCGAGGCTGCACAAGCGCACCGATGAGCATCATCCAGTCCAGGAGAACAGCAAATGGTCGGGGCGATGAGCGGCGGGTCAGCACAGAGAGCAGCGGGTTGGCAAACAGAACTTCGCACATGGCACTCCCACTCATCCACCCATCCACCCACCCATCCACCCGCCAGACCATACCGTTCATGTCCATCGTCTTGATGGCCCGGCCAGAGGAGCTTGGTCGGCTGGTGCTGATGCGTGACGGCAGCCGCATTCCCGTCGAGCTCCTAGAAGAGGAGCGGGACATGCCCTTCACAGATCCTCGATCGTCAGCCACGGATCGGCGGCCGCTGGACGATCCGCTCGACATGCTCATGTCGTCGCCAATGTTGTCTGCCCGAGAGGCCACCCGCGAAAGCACCCGCGACGGTGGCTGGATCTGGTACTCGGCGATGAGCTGCTGGAACCGCAGAGCAACCTCGGGGTACTGCTCCGACAACCTGCCGATCTCGCCCATGACCAGGCTCCCAATGTCCTTGGCGGCCCGGGTCCGAAAGTCCAGCTCGGACTCGGTGGCGTCGGTGGTGTGCTCGGCCTTTCGCAGCTCCTTCGAGAGCTTGCATAGCAGCTTGTAGGCACGGTCTCGCTTCGCCTCTTGTTCCTTGACCTCCTTCAACAGTATAGCCAGCTTATTCTCCATCGCTTGGACGGCCTGCGATCGGTTGGCTTCTTCGCCGCTGACGAGAGAGAGCGAGCGCTCGAGATTGAGCAGGTCCTGCTGCAGATCCTGTATCTCCTGGCGCTTGGTCTTGTACCGTTCCATCGTCGTTTTGTATTGCTACATGAAGCCGCCAGGGAGGTTAAGGAACGCCATTTGTATCGCTCCGGGCAAACGGCGGCATTCGTTCGCATCTCTTGGCACTGAACGAGCATCATATGCCTGTCTCTCGGACTCGAAGCTGCACATGTGCCTCCTGAAATCTCGGCCTTCGCGACGAGCCAACCGAGGCATACCTGCTCAAGCATCTCCTTGTGCTGCACATCGGTGCTGTTCAGCTCGGCCTTGTAGAGGCTGCAGTGCAGTCAATCGTGGGAATGTCGGGAGGGCAGGGAATTGTCGGGTCAATCTATACACAGTGTTGTAGAGGACAGCTGTCGCCGCCATGACCCAAGCTCCAAAGCCATTGCCACAGCGCATGCGCTCGAGAAGGAGTGGTCCGTCGGCTTCGAACCGCCGCGTGGTCTTACTTTGCCCGGTACTCCTCGTTGCGGTCATTCATGAGCTTCAGAGTGTTCTCCAGACCCTTGATCTCCTTCTCCGCCTTTCGGATCTTGGAGTCGAGCTCGTCACCCTCGCGTTGGAGCTCCTCCCGTTCCTGGGCTGCCTTGATGACATAGTAGGCTTGCGAATGCTCCTCCTGGCCCTCCTCTGGCGCAAACTGGGTCATGAGGATCTCATATCGGCGCTTCAGCTTCTCGACCTTGCCGACTCGCTCGCGCAGCTCGGCATTGGCACTGTAGCGCTCCTCCTCAATGTTCTTGGCCCTCAGTCGCAGCATGTCCTTGTGGATGTCGATTTCCTTCTTTCGCTCCTCGAGTGCCAGCTGGAGCTGCACCTGGCGGTTTTCGAGGGTAAAGACCTCGTCGGCGCGGATGTTGAGGAACCCACGCAGCTTGCGCAGCTCCAGCCTGAGGATGTTTTCTTCGACCATCAACTCCTCCTTTTCCGCGGTCTTGGCTGCTAGTTGGTTGCCCTGTTCAGTTGGATAGATTTGTTTGGGGGATCAATGGCATGTCTGCAGACCACAACTACCACAGTTCAAGACAAGAGCCGGGTGCGAAGGAATCGTGTCGAAGCGAGACTGTGGGCATGCGTGTGCAGCATCAACTTATACGCACTGCACTCTCATTGTAAAAGTTGAGCGAGTCAATGGTTTCGAGCACGGATTGCTTCTCTTTCCGGAGGGTCTCGAGTTTGCGCGTCGCTTGACTGTGTATTCCAGCAGGCGGAATAAGACACAACGTCAGCCAGAATGAGATACAACGTCAGCCGGAATGATATTGCAGCCAAAATGAATAGTCTCCACCGGCTAGCGGCTGCTGTGGCTGTATCAAGGTTCAAGTGCGAGGGCACTGACCGCAAGTCGCTTTGAGACTTTTTGAGCTGATTGCTGAGCAAAACCCACTTCTGGGTCTGCTCCTCGAGCTGTGCATTCAAATCCTCAATCTTTTTCAGCAATATCTCCTTCTCCTCGTCCGTGCGATCACCCTGGCAGATATATGCAGTGTCGTCTGTGTCAGAAGTTGTGCCTTGATCGAATACCGTCAGCTGTGCCTCGACCAACGGTTGCCACAGCAGAGGGATATGTGGTGCTGATTCTGTACCTGCGCTCTCCGGACTTTGCGCTCAAGTTGCTGAATCTGGAACTCCTGGGCATAGAGCAGAGCCTGTTGCTTGAGGGCCTCTTGATCGAGCCTGCATCAAGCAAACATCGGCTGAGAACATGGCAAGGCAATGCATCTTCATGGCTCCACAGTCGAGCTGAACCGACTCCCGCCACTCTCTGAAAGCGATAGATGCAAGCGGGGGATGCTCGGTCTCCAGAAGGCATTGTGGACAACGGATGAACCACATGCCCCACCCAGCTTGCTTCAGCGTAGTCTCCAGCGCACTTCGGCTAGCATCCACTTGTGGTGCCTGATATGCTGTGGCTGGCAATATTTGTGGCTGGCACTGGCTCCTCGATCACAAACCCAGAGTCAGTGCTTACTTGTTGATCTTGCTCTGCAGATTCCGAACTGCAGCTTCGCCGCCCGTAATCTCGGCCCGCAGATTCTTCTCCTCTTGCTTCAGACGGAAGAGTTCCTGACTTTTCTTGAACTCTGTGCAGGGCGTTTAGGCCATTCGGCACCCATGAGTGCCTTCGGAAAGAGCTTTCTGCCCCAGGGTGCGCTTATTGGCCACTCTCTGGCATTGCGCATGATATCCTCGACTGCGTGCCGCCTACGTGTCTCTCGCAAGATCTTGAGCTCTCTGTCCAGATTCTTGTTCCTGATTTCTTCTTCTTTCAGGATTTCTTGCAGCTGGAGGCCCAAGAAGATGCGCAATGGATCATTCGTCAACAGGTTTGATCCAGACCGGCACCACGGCCGACAGACCGATGGGACGCGCTCCTGGGTAAACTGATCGCACATTTGACTGAAACCGCGACAGCCGTGAAATGGCCTCGACGACGTACCTGCTTGGACCTCTCCTCCATAGTCATGGTGTCGCTCTGGACATCAGCGAGCTTGCGTTTCATGTTGGATTTGTTGGTCTTTTCTTTCTCGAGCTTGGACTGTCTCTCTTGGAGCTCGGCTTTCAGATCGACAATCTCACCGCGCTTGCTGACGAGGTCCGTGGCAGCTGAGAGAGACAAAGCAGGAAGAAAGAAAAGTGCAAGGTTTGCCATTGACAGAGTGTCCACATGCGAAGATGTAGGAAGAAGCAACTGTGCAGCGTTGGACACGTAACAAAACCGTGCGCAGATGCTGACATGTGTATGCACCGCCGAGACGTGCGCCGGTCAACCAGGGCTCATATGATAAGGGAGAATCAGAATGGCACAGGTCGCGAATCGACGGATGCATGGATGGGCGGACCCACGGATGGGAGGATGCATGGAAAATAGTGCACCTCTCTGCTGGAGTGCCCGTCGTTGAATCTGCGTGTCTGGAGCAATCACTTACTCTTGTTCAGCGTGCTCCTGAGCACTTCAACTTCGTCCTGAAACTGGCTGTACCCGGCATTCTCCTCGGCTAGCTCGAGTCTATGCGCGAACGTGACCATCAGTGTTGACCCTTGGCTACGTCACACGGGATGCCTGTTACAACGGTGATGAATACGAGACTGATTTTTACCGGAACTTGCTGACGTGTCGGTCGCAGTTGGCTATCTTCTTCTCTGTCTCTGTGTTGCTCTGGAGCTGCTGGTCCAGGAAGGTTTGCTTCTCGTCGATTACTGCTTGCTTGGTTTGGATCTCGCTCTACTCCTCGGCCAGAGAATCGATCGGAGAGTTAGTCTTGGCCAGGCGCCTGTGACAATCCAAGCTCGCTATCAAGCGATTCAGAGAGATGAAATTTATGTGCACATCGATGAACTGGAAGATGGGAGGCATCCATGCATGGAAGCGGCACCAATCTCTCTCAAACAAGTGCACGTGAATCGTCTGCACACCCATACAATATGAGCAGGAGTGCGAGCGTGTCCACTGCCACAAGTCGCCGATGGCAATGGGATATGCACCAGATTCCCAATAGTAGCACACAATAAGAACCAACGCTCGCGCCTACCTTGAGCTGCTGGTACTTGTCCTGGGCATCCGCAACGGTTTGGTCGGTGCGCTGCATGTTCTTGATCGACTCTTCCCACTTCTTGATCAGCTCTTGGCGCTCTCGATGGGCCGTCTTGAACTCCTCTGTGGCTTTTTCGAGCTCGATCTGCGCGACTTGAGTTTCAGTGACCTGTCGAGAGGGCGGTACTTGTTCAGTGCGGCTGTTACGGGCAGAACGGCCTGGTCCGCAGCGTAAGTACCGTGTCCACGCTCGCCTCTGAGCCAACGGAACTCGCCTCCTCACCTCGGCACTCAGCGTAGCGTTTTTCTTGTTGACCTCGATGACGAGCTTCTCGATCTGCAGACTCAGGTCCTTGATCTTCAGGTCGTCTTCTTTGGAGTACTTGAGCAGGGCCATGCTGTCCTCTTCCTTCTCGGCCTGAACGCGCAACCACTCGTCTAGCTCGTCTTTCTCGAGCTTAAGCTCAGTCCGAATGGCGTCGATGCGTTCGTTGCCGCGGTAGATGTTGTTCTGGATGGTGCTGAGCTGATGCCACACCGCGAATGTCGGGGTGTTGGAGAGGCGCAACGGATACAAGCCGGTGAGCAGCATCCATGGCCGGCCACATTCGTTCAGGACCAGCGATGGACAAAAGCAAGTCCTTGAGTATGAATGCAAAACCAACATATTGCACCCGCCCAGACAGACCACACCACGATATGGCACGAGCACAAGGAGTGATGCGAACGCACATGGTCCGAAATGTCGGCAATCTCCTTTTCCATGTTCCTGATCTCCAAGGTGAGTCGGCCGCTCTCACGCTCAGCCAGTTGCTTGAGATGGTCCTCGCCCTCGATCTGACGTGTCTTGGCGTCGAACAGGGCCTGGGGCACCGTGCAAAGCACACGGGCGTCAGCATCGGCAACGGCATCAGCAACAGTATCGATGTATCGCGCTTGGCGGCGAAGTGGGACGCCAGTAGTTGCCATCCGATGCAGCGATGGACAAACCTGCGTGTGAGCGAGCTCCTGCCGCACATTCTTCATGTGGCCGGACATGGCATCTGAGCGCGAGACGCTGTCATCGAGTATGGCGAGACAGGAGTTCAACTGTGCCTCTTTGTCTCGAAGCTATGGCCGGTGCGTATTCCCGTTATCAGGTCGCGCATTGCGGCGATGGAAGGAAGTGATGTCACTGGTTCAGTGTCCAGCCGCATTCGCCCTCCCACTGATGGCTCGCTCCTTGCACTCAACGATCCGGCTGACGCGTGTGAATATTGCTCCTCTGGGGCCGAGCTTCCCACCTGCACATGGAGCTGTTTGTTCGAGGCATTTGCGAAAGGCGGCAGCGAGTGCGGATCGGCGTTGGTATCGGCGCTGAGCATCGTGGAAGGACTCTGGGTATGATCAAGGCGCTCGGGGAGTGTGCAGCCAAAGCCGTGCGGTTGGGCTTGCTCCGATGGTTCGCACAGCGCAGCTATGTATCTGGCAGAGAAGGGCCATCGAGGGCATGCTTCCTCCTGGAACTGGAGGGCGGGAGACGAGAATACACGTGACGCGCAACTTGCTTGTGCTGGCGATCGATCCAGCCCAAGCGACCATCGACTCAAGCAGGCATCCAGCAACATCAGCCAGCCCCAGACAGCGCCGCAACACATGTCCCTCTCATTCTCGTCAGTCGTCTTGCCCGTCTGGCACGAGGCGGCCCACTTTCTCTTCATCAAGGACTCGCTCGAAGCCGATGCCTCGTTCCTGTTCCCGCTGCTCATGCAGCTGCTTTTCAAGCCGGCAAATCCAACGGCACCGCTGGGTCCGTCCTCGGCCGAGTCGACGCTGCTCCCGAAGAACGGATCGGTCGTGTTTGTGGGACTATCGCAGATCTTCAATCACTATCTGCTGATCGGGAGGAAGTTGGTGAGTGGCACGACGATCTGCAAGAGCCGGGCGGGCACCGGCAATCCCAAACGGCGGACGCTTAACAGTGCTCTGGCTGGATGGAAAGGGGAGGAGGAGCATATTTGAACCCCATGCTGCCGTCACGATCCCTACCCCGTCATGAACGCATCGGCCGTTGTGCCAAGCTGGCTCATGGAGATTCGGCGCCTGAACAATGTCCGCCGGTGGACTATATTGCTACAGCTCTGGCATCGTTCCAGTACATTTGTGCTGACCACTTGGCATGATCCTGCCGCCATTGCATCCGTGCTCCTTTTCGACTACAGGGCATCAATCTGGCTGCTCTGAAGGAATCCTCAAGGCTCCGCTACATCGATGCCCTGAGCCAGCTGCACTCGCGAGAATCCCCTGACCTCAATGCCGATATACCGCTCGACAAGATCTGCGAGGCGCTCTACAGGATCATCGAGAGCAGCATCACCACGATCGAATCGAATCCAGCAACCCGCTCGACAACCCCGTGCATCTTTGTCGACGACCTCTCGGTGCTGCAGTTCCTGGGTGTTCCCGAGCGGACCCTGGTCGGCTTTGTGCAGGCGTGCAAACGACTGATGCAAGAGGTTGGGCTCACTGGCAGAGCGTCGGGTTGGCAAGTGTGAGGGCAGTAGTAGCAGCAGCATCTCTTGCTCTGCAAGCTTCCGAAGCCGCTCTGCGTCGTCTCGCTGCACCTCAGGTTGACGTCGCTCGGCCCATGGGCTGGCATTTGGAGTGGCAGTGGACGGTAGTCCTGACTCTGCACCATTCCCTCCTCGACCAGAAACGTGGGTTGCTCGCAATCCTGTGCCATGGTGATCCCAGCTTGGGGTCGCCTCTCAGCAGCCAGATCCAGCACCTGGCCGATGCTACGCTTGAGGTGCGGGGCCTCGAGAGCGGGCATTCGCAGGGTGTCCATGGCCAGATCTCGCCCATCAGGAGCCCGTTCTGGATAACATCGGCCCTGGACAGCGGCCGCCCGTTCCCACAGCCGCACGCCGTGCACTACAAGCTGATGGACTCGGGCGTGCAGTTCTTTGCCAAGGGGCTTTCGCAAGGCGTCATTTGATTCCACAGCAACAGCAACAGTAACGGTAACATGCGGACGATCGAGCCCTCGACCCGAGTCGTCTGAATATGGCCGTGCTGAGGATTGCTTCCCAGGATGCGGCTGGCCACGGGCCACACAATACATAGCTGTGGCTTCCCAAGCAGAGCCATAGAGAACAACGGATTCAGCGCGCGGCTTGGCCTATGACGGACAGACTGTCCAACAGTGGCTTTGATGCATCTGGCATCCGAGCGCAGAGCCGCTCATGCAAAGTTGTTGCCCTTGGCGGCATTGTCGATGATGCCCCGTGAGATGATCATGCGCTGGATTTGGCTCGTGCCCTGTCGTCATTAACATGGTCGTGGTAAACCCTGGGTCAGTACGAATGGCGGAGGATCTCGATACCGAGTCCGTTGAATGCACCCGCGCGGACAGATCGGTTACCGATCGGTAGAGTACTCCTAACCGAGGTCTCAGGCTCCACCAGCGAACATCAGGAATCGGCATACCTCGTAAATCATGAAGATCTTGGCATCTCTGTGCGAGACAAGGGAGCGAAGCAGCGGCCGTTAGTGGTGCAGGGAATCGGGGATTCCCACCGACACTCGACAAGAAACCCGGCGGAGAGAACGGCACCGCTCGTTGCAAAGCGGACACTTGCCTCATGAGCTTCTCGACAGGGTACTCTGTGTTGAATCCTGTTGGTTGGAATCGAGCACACATCCGACATGGCAGATGAGAAAGTGATTGGTGCAGCAACTGCATGTGCTGATCCCTGAGTCGGCCAAAGTGCCGACCGTGCGACCCCTTGGACAGATGCCGAGATCGGCTCGATTTTTCCAGCGCAACAGCCAACTCTGTCCCAAACCGCTGCGCCTTACCGTTTCCGCCAAAGATTTGAACAGCATCTGCGGCATTCTTGTTGGCCACCTCGCTGGCAAATGCCTTAGCCATAGCAGCGTACTGGGTGTTCCGTTGGCCATTGTCCTTGAGCGAGGCAGACTTCCAGACCAGCCCGCGGGCAGCCTCGACGCCGATGCCCATGTCGGCCAGCATGAACGCGATGGCCTGATGCTCACAGATCGGCTTGCCCATGGTCTTGCGCTCTGAAAGGAAGCGATGAGATGAGACGGGCACGACGGGCACGACGGATGCGATCAAACGGCGATCCACATGAGAGGGTCGGTACGGGATAGCCATGGAGGATAGCGATCGCTGTGGGGGCGAGTGCATCGCTCATGTCCGCCTGTGTCATGAAACAACCGGAGCTGACTTACCGAGCGAGTACTTGGTGGCCTCATCCAGCGCTCGTCGCGCCAGACCTACAGCGGCAGCGGCAATGAGTGGACGGGTGATATCAAAGGCACCCATGGCGATTTTGAATCCCTGAAAACACGAGGGATGGAGGAATCAGCTGGTTGTGCTGGAGAAAGGATCGTCGCGCTGATTCTGGAGACGGCCTCTACGGTGCATGCAATACTGGCTCTGGGAAGAGGACGACAAGACGACAAGACGACGAAGCGGCCACTCGATCGCACGATATGCAACTGCAAGCCTGTCGCCGGGGCAGGAACTACCTTTCCGACATCGCCGAGGCGGTTTTCGTCAGGGACAACGACATCCTCGAAAGTGACGGCGCGGGTGTCCGAGGCCCGCTGTCCCATGTTGATCTCCTTCTTGCCGAGAGTGATACCGGGCGAGTTGCCATCGACGATGAAGCCCGTGAAGGCCTTGCCGGCACTGGCGCTCGGGTCGGTCTTGGCCAGGACGAAATACCAGTTCGCTTTGCCGCCGTTGGTGATCCACATCTTGCTTCCGTTGATGACCCACGAGTCGCCCTTCTTGACGGCGCGGGTCTGGATGCCGGCAACATCGGATCCGGCGATGGGCTCGGTCACGCAGTAGGCGCACATCAGCGGCTCCTCGATCATGCGACCCAGATACTTTTTCTTCTGGGCGTCGCTTCCGGCCAGGATTACGGGTGCCTCCTGATAGTGGATATCGTGCGGGTTGCAGCAAGAACAGCCGCCATTTCGGCGAGAAGAGCACCCATGAGAACAGGGATCAGTTGGACGATGAGGCGATTACTCGAGGGACGGCTGGCTCTCCCGGGGTGGTGGCCTTGGCCCTCGCTCCTTCCAACATGCAAACGATGGCCCTACCGCGAGTCCGTTGGCTTCGGCAGCCGTCTGGATGCCGGTGCATCCGTAGGCCAGCTCCTCACTGACGATGGCGCACTCAAGCACACCCAACCCGAGACCGCCGTACTCTTGAGGGACATGCAGGTTCAGCAAGCCGACTTCCCAGAGCTTCTTGAGGATTTCGGAGGGATACTCGCCCGTGCGGTCGTGGTGGGCCGCCTTGAGGTGGGTTACATGAGTTTGCATGCCGGGAGCATGTCGAGGAGGCGAATGAGTAGCGAACACCAGCGACATGGTCACAGGAGGATAGGCGCTGCCTCGTGAGGCAGACGGATGCGCCCGGCAGATGGTCATCGACCAAGCGCTCCTACCTTGGGGATGATTTCGTTCAGAGTGAATTTTCTAGCCAGCTCCTGCAGCTCGCGCTGCTCGTCCGAGAGCTGATAGCTGATCTGGCTGGGGCGCGTCGACGAGAACGGGCGAACGGACAGCCGAGCCGAGCGTGCGGTTTGAATGAGGCGGGATGCAAGCGAGCGGGAGCAGAGCATCGAGGCGATGTGGAATGGAAAGAGGGGAGGGGAGGATCGGGTTGAGACGGCAGGCTGTGGCCCTGGGATTCGAGAGGCGAGATGGACGAGGGTGGGGGTGGGGAGGCCAACGACGGCCGACTTGGAAATATGGCGCGGCCGGCATGTGAATGCGATGCCCAGAGCCGATTTGCCTGCCTGGCTTGCACCTGAAATCGGACACATGAGCCGTCGGTTTCCGCATTGATCCACGGCCCGCACCATGCCGCAAGTGTTCGTGCGGAGATGAGATCGATTGGATTGTATTGCACACCACATTTGAGCCCGGTTGAAAAGAATGAGAATGCGCACCAAGAAAGGGCATTTTGCGTTATGCGAAGAATACAGTCAATCCAGAAAAAAACGGGACAGTTCCTTCCTGGCTTCAGATGTCTGAAACCCGCTGACTGACTGTAGGCCCCAGCGAGCAAGCCGTGAGGTTGTTTCCCGTCCTGGTTGGCAATCGAGTGGCCAGCGCGCGATTGTATTGGGTAACAAGACATTTGATCAATCGTCAAAATCACGGGTGTCCCGTTTTTTATTGGTTTGCGAAGAATACCCTTTATTCAGAAAAGAACGGGACAATATAGCCGTTTCCATGAACATGTAGTATGTGCTGTGCTTCGCGTCAAGCAAAGCCACAAGAAATAAAACAGATCACTTTGGCAGCCTCCGAGTGAAGACCGCCGGTCGCTCTCCGATCTCCACAATCGACCTGCATACTGTGATCATGTTGCGCGCCGCATTGACGTCGCGATTCCACACTGTCCGGCAGCTGGGATTCTTGCAGCTCCTGACAAAGTGGGAATTCGCAACACTGGGCGCATCGAGTCCTTCCAACCGAACTGGCTCCAGGCACTTGGAGCACACTTGCGAGGTGTTGAACTCGTTCGTTGAGGCCACCTTGACGCTTCCATGATGGTGATTGGGACGGCGTCGGTGGTGCTCGAATTGCTCAAAGTACCGAGCAAATCGCTGCCTCCGAGGGCTGGATGCGTGGCCCTTGCCTTGCCGCCATGACGCATTGCCAAAGGCAATCACCACATCAGTCCGTATCGGGGCGTGCTTCAGGACGGCCTTGCACATCCTGTCGACGGCCACTTGGCGCCTCTTGTGGCCTGTGAAGCGATGGTGACGGGCCTTCTTGCCAAGGTGGAAGTCGAGCTGCACTCGCAGCTCCGGTCGCAGGACATGGGTGAGATGGACCTTGAAAGCCTCCGAGGACGACACCTTGGGCGAGGGGGTGGTCGACATCCAGGTCTCGATGTCGAGTCGATACTTCATGGTGTTGTGCCACTTGGTGTTGGACGTATGGCCACACATGTGCTGGTAGTGACCATTGGAGAACGAGACCACCTCGTCTTGGTGGCCCGGTGCTTGGATGACCGCAGTGAAGATGGAGCCGACTCCAGGATCGATGCCAATCCAAGTGGTGCGGTTGGGGTCTGGGTCGCCGATGTGGGCCTGGATGCGCTGTTCGGCAGTCGGAGGAGGCTCGATGGTCTCGGTGTGATCGGTTCGAGGCAGAAACTTGACGAGGCCGATGGTGCATCCAATGCCATCGGTGCTGATCTCGTAGTTGAACAGCTTCTTGTTCACGTCCCGCTCTTGGAAGAGGGAACTACGCAGCTTGAAGCAACTGCGCCAGAGACGATCCTGGTTGTTGACACCGTCCTCACCTTCTTCCTTGAGCTTGTCCCTGGTGAGGCCAAGGTGCTGTTCGGTGTCAAGGAGTTGCCAGAGAGTGACCGTGTCAATCTTGACATACTTGGCCCTTGCAGTACAGAGAGGGACCATCGTGCACACGGCCGGAGGAGTGTCGAGAGCGAGCTGCTTGAGTGCCCACTTGATCCTGGATGCCAGCTTGTTGATATTGGCCTTGGTGGTGCCGAGCTCAGACTTGGCCTTGGTGAACCTCTTGTCGTCGGAGGGAATGCCTTGGGTAGTGAGCTCGTCCAGCTTGGCCTGGCGCTGCAGCTCGGTGACTCGGAGGGCGGGCATGTCACAGTCGATCCACTTGTGGACATTGTCGACCATCTTGTCTCGGGCGAGGATTCTCACATGGTGTGAGAGGCGATGGAGGGCCCGGAAGCGGTCCTGGTCGCTGCTGTACCGAAACTCGTCCAGGACGTGGCCAAAGTCGGGATATAGGAACTCGAGATCGGCCTTGGGTGGAGTCTGCCCTGGTTTCTCGAAGAGCTCGAGACAGGCCTCGATGGCTTCGTGCTTGTGCTTGTTGGCTGGGAAGACGGCAGCGCAGAAGCGGCGAAGGAGTCGCCAGTAGGCCAGGTTGAGGTGGGTGGTGCAGTTGGTAGCATAGGCATTGACAGCCAGGGTGAGAAGCTGACTGTGAGCACCATCAGGCAGACGAGGGGCCGGAGGCAGGTCTGCGTGCCGAGTGGTCTGGTAGTCGCGAAAGGAAGCGACCAGATGCTCGTTGTATTTCTTGGTATCCCTGGCCGTCGAGAGGGCATCGGCCTGGACGATCCTGAAGCATTGGCGAACGAAAGCAGGGGTGGACTTGGAGATGACGGGGACGGGAAGATCCTGCTCGATGCACCGGAGGATGTGCAGGTTGAGCAGCCTGGATGCCTCGAACTGGATCTGGGTCATGGCCTCGACGGTGGCCTGGATCTTGTCGCGGAGAGCGGGATTGAGACAACAGCCATCCATCGTCTGCTTGAAGCAGCTGAACTGAGGGGCGGATGACCTTCCATCCACGAGTGGGACGACAGAACTCTTGAGGGGCCGGTATTTGGGACACTTGTTGGTGTTGCAACGTTCGTGATCGGTGCCATCGCACTGGCGACATCGCTTGCCAGTACTCGAGGAAGTAGATGGACCAGGCTCGGTGGGATCGACATCCATTGGATCTGCAGAAGCAGTGGTGGTGAGCGACGGAGCAACAGACGAACAAGCATGCGTGGGGTCAGAATACGAACCAGAGACAGGCTCCGACTGTGACTTGGCTTTCTTGGGCCTGGGTGGCCGAGGCTGGCCATCACCGGCACCCTTGCGCTTCGGAGGCATGGGGGCAGAGGATGCTGGATGCCTGCCAGTGGTACTGGTCAGAACAGAGACTTTTTTTTATCGTACAATGGCGCGATGATCAGATCAAGGCGAGATGAGGGAAGAAAGCAGCAGGACGAAGGTGTGGCATTTATACCCGAGAGCAGGAGCCCGTCTGCGCGGGCTGGTTGGGGAAGTGACCCTGTTCAAAAATCGCCGAGAGGTTCAAGCCAGGGATTTGAGCGTGAAAATGGCGGCGTGATTGGGGAGCTCAACCCCAGAAGCGCATCGCTCGCTCAATCAGCCGTGGGAAGACATCTGGAAGCACCCTCCGAACGGCAGACTCAAACAGGGTCACCATTCCGACTCTGAACCCCTCGGACGCATTCAGCGCTGCTGCCTTCCTGTACTGATGCTTCACAATCCCAAAGAAGTTCTCGATGGGATTGAAGTCGAGTGAGGCAGGTGGGGTGAAGATCACTGACCATCCTCGGCGATCGATGCAGTCCAGGACAGCCATTGTCTTGTGCATGCTGACATTGTCCATCACAACCACAGAGTCGTCTGGGAAGGTCGCTCGCTCAAAGAACTCGACCATCGAGTGTGTCTTGAATGATGTGGGGATGTACATGCGATGCAGCACACCAGAGTGGTTGATGGCAAATGCAGCCGAGACAGACTTGTGTTTCATGTGATTGCGCTGGCGAAGCGGAGCACCCTTCGGTGAGTATCCGTAAAGAGGAAAAATGGATCTCCTGATCCCTGTCTCATCGACAAAAACGAATCGTCGTGGGTCGATGGAGCGGACCTGGTCCCTGAACTGTGCCACTCGCTCATCCAGTCGCTTGGACTTGTAGAGGTGTGTTGCCCTCTTGTGTGAGAGACCTGCTCGGTGGATGGCAGTGTGGCAGAGTGAGAGTGAAACTTTCCTCTGGAGGATGGACTCGAGCTTGCACCGCAACACAGGACCAGTCTGGAACGGGTCCTGTTCAATCAGGGTGCGAATGACTGGACATGCCTGCTCGAAGAAAGTGGATCTGCGAGCTGGGACTCGGGATGGGTCATCCAGCTTGCATCCTCGGTGCCATCGATGGATGGTGCTCTTGGATACACTGAATATGGAGGCGACCTTACGCAGGCTATGGATGAGGGCGTAGCATCGCAATGCGGCGGTGCGAAAGTCGGATGTGTGGCGAATGGTCATGGCCAGCGCGCGATAACATTGGGTAACAAAATATTCGATGAATGGTCAAAAACCCGGGTGTCCCGTTTTATATTGGATCGCCTGTAAAGCGAAACAAAAAATAAACCAAACCCAAACAAAAAGAGTGCCTCCTCCTCCCCCCATGATATTATCGGCAGCATCCCCAGGAGCTTACACCTTCCACGACTCTCGATACCAGTCGAGATGATCGCAATCGACGACCTTGTGCTGCACAGTTCGCATGAACCGCTCGGGGCCGGCCGCCATGACGGCGACATGCAGCTTGCGATCGCGTGCATAGCCGTTCATCTCGTGCAGAGAGCGGCCAATGTCGGGGCGCACGCGAATGACGTTCATCTTGGCGAGGATCGCATAGAGGAGATCTCGCCGAGCCTGCAGCGACGCAAGCGTGGCCGAGGCGCCGCTGGGCTTCTGGACCATGGCGTGGTTAAGCAGGAACCGGCTCACGCGGTTGCTCATCTTTCGCGAGTAGCCGAGGGCCGTGGCCGCAATGTACCCGCCAACGGCGGCAAACAAGGCCGAGAGCACAGGGCTGGCGGCTGGAAGAGAGTACCAGCAGATAAAGTGATCAAGTCCAACGAGCTTGTAGGCGTTGTTGGAGGAGCACAGGGCAAGCTCAGGACCAGTGGGGTTGACGAACACGCCGAGGTACCAGCCGGCAATGCCAAAGATAAAGATGATCAGCACCAGTGCCAGATCAGCCATGCGGGTCTTTTTGGCAAGATTCTTTCTGGGAATCTTGAGGGTGTTGCGGTTCAGAGTGGCGCGGGTGCCGCGGACGAGGGTGGCCAGGTCGTTCTCGTACTTTGTCGTCGATCTGGCGATGGTAGCGTATTCAGGACTCATGTCGCCGGTGATGTGCAGATCGAGGCGCACGCGATTGCCCAGGGGAGAGGCATCGTCAACCATGTCGACGAGGAAGCCCGAGAACGCAAGGACATCGGCCTCATTCTTGACGGTCCAGATCAGCCGAACCTTTCCCGAGGCAGGCCCCGCGGTCATGTAGTGGTAGAGGAACGGCAGGAGAGCAGCCAGGCCGCTGCCGCCCGTCAGCATGAACACACGCTCGTGGAGCAGATACGAGGTGCAGCGAGGGCCAAAGGGGCCGTCGACCTTGATGGGGAGAGTAATGTGCTCGTTTTCCTGCACCATCTTGCCGAGGGCGTTGGTCCACTTGCCACCGGCTTTGATGTACAGGGTCAGACGATCCGGGGTGTCGTGGCAATAGGAGGCGACACTGAAGGCGTGCCAGGCGACGCGCGAGAGCTCGGGGATGCAGATGTTGACCCAGTCTCCAGGAGCGTACGTAGATGCGCCGCGCCACGAGTCTTCGATGGGAATATCGAGCTTGATGATGGTGCTCGACGAAGTTCGCTGTACAAGGGCCATGGTGCGTCGCTTGAAGAAGAGCCGGGGACGCAAGCGGTCGTAGATAAAGTACAGGATCGGGAACATGATGGGATAGGTGGTGACGAGGCCCTTGTGGATGAAGGCAAAGAAGAAGAAAACCACATAGAGCTGGTGGGTCCAGTAGAAAACGCGGTAGTTGCTGCGACGGACCTGCAAATGGCGTGGGATAAAGGTGTTGATGGTGAGCGAGATGTGGTGTCTAAAGACATCGGCCCGAAGGATGAACGGCGGTGTAGTGGGTGGCGGCACATCAAAGCACCAGACGAGGGACAGCACAGCGTTTCCCGGCGATGCCTGAATCTATCCCGAACACAGGCCGAGCCCGGATGGCTCCACTCTTGCACCGATATTCTCACCTTGTACACCGATGTGGCGACCATTCCGACCAGAGCCACCCACGACACCAGGCCGGCGAAATTCCAGTAGCCGTAGTTGGACGACCACGGCAGCATGGTCTTGACAAACTTGCCCTGGACGATGGCGCTGATCAGGAAGAACAGCGAGTGCAGCGTCATCAGCAGAAAGCTGGTATAGCCGAGGCCAATGTGGAAGCGGATGGTCCGATGGTACTGGCCAGCCTCGGTGCCGAGCAGCTTCTTGGAGACAAAGTTCTCGCGGATGGCAAACAGGATGCAGAGACCGGCATCCCAGAGGCCAGCCCAAGCGGCCCAGAGCGAAATGTCCTTGGTCCAGTTGTAAGCGATGGCCAAGGGCGTGAGAGGTGTCGATGACCCTGACTCTGGGTCCATGAGTTCGATGATGATGGGGACGAAGATCCAGGCCAGGTTGCAGGCGACCAACAGCAGAACCACAAGCACCTCGCCGAGCGACCAGGGATTGCCAAAGTACGACGGACGGGGGAGCGAGTTCTTGAGCACCTGCCACTGAGGCTGCCACAGGCTTGCAAGGATGCCCGAGCCGGACTTGGACTTTGGGGCGCGGGGGCGATACAGAGCCTCGGAGATGGAGTTGTCAGCAAGGGCCGTGACAATGCATAGAAGGGCCAGAGGCGAGACGCCAAAGGCGATATAGTAGATGTCCATGGGGCTGAGCTGGTTGGACGAATTGTCGGGGACATTTGCGGGGCTCATGTAGAGCATCCACCCGAGAGGGATCAGGGCGAGCAGGCCGGCGACGACTCGGGACATTGCCGTGGTTGTGGTTGTGGTGTGTTGTTGTGGTTGTGGTGTGTTGTTGTGGTGTGGTTGTGGTTGTGGTGTGGTTGTGGTAAGCGGTCGAGCCTGAGGGAGTGGTGTTTGAGGGAGTAGTGTTTGAGGGAGTGGTGTTTGAGGGAGTGGTGTTTGAGGGAGTGGTGTTTGAGGGAGAAAGATGAGGAGCACAGGAATCGAAGCCAGCCAGCAGCCAAACTCCAGGCAAGACGCAGCAGCCAGCGCAGGACAGGAGGCCGGGAGACGGCGGGCGCCTCCACGGAGGATTATATGCGGCGCGACGGCCCCTTGGCCTTGCCTCTTTTGCGCGCACAGACGACCAAGGGATGGGGTCACGACAACGCTCCTGCGGCGTGGAAAGACCTCGTACGATATCACAGGGCCGGGCCAGAGGGAAAGGCCTTGTCGGCCGGGGACGAGCAAGGGAGCACAGGCAGTCAGGCACACATGAATGCCTTGTGGCCTGCGACGCCTTGCCTCTTTCTGCCGCAAATAGACTGGCCGTCGGCACGGTTGCGCAATGGAAGTGTTTTGCTGCGCGGCCGACACAGGAACTTGCAGGTAAACGACCTGCTGGGGCACTCCTTGCCGATTGGGTGCTGCCGCGGTGCCAGGCTCTTTGGCAACACAGTTGCCGCCCGTGCTCGCTTGTGTTGGCGCTTGTGTTGGTGCTTGTGTTGGCGCTCCGTGCAACGGGACATGGCCAGGAGACACAAGCACCCGGGGGATGGGGACGGCGGCTTGCGGTGAGCAAGTGGGTGTTTTCCCGAGCGAGGGACATGCGGTGGCGGAAGGAGAGTCATCAGGGCCATGAACAGGGCCCAGCGGTCGACGGCGCTGGTCATGGGCGAGTGCAAGTGCAAGTGCAAGTGCAAGTGCAAGTGCAAGTGCAAGTGCAAGTGCAAGTGCAAGTGCGAGTCGGTCCGCCGAACTGCTCCGATGGGTTGTCTCCAATCTTGCTCCTTGCGTCCCTCCGGCGCCGTCGCATCCGTCTCTGCGGTCTTTCCAAATTGTCAGGGTGGTTTGCGTCCTTGATCCGCTGGTTGTGCAGCGCGCTCGGTTCCTTTCCCTTCGCAAATCAACCGGGTCAACCGCCCGTCGGCGATTGGTGTGCTGGACCAGGCGGTTGGTGGGGGAGAGGTCATGCTTCCTTTCCTGTGTCAGGAGGCACCGTTGCCGACCTTTGCCAGCCGAGGGAAGGGAGCATTCCAAGGTGTCTGGCCAGCAGCAGTGTCCCAGCAGCAGCGTCCCAGCGGCTGTCGCTCGCTGCTGCATCGACATCACCATCCGGGTTGTGATCCGTTCGGTATCAACGGCACGCCGCGGTACGTTCTGGACGATTGTATATTGGACACATCTTGCATACATCACATCAAGCAGGGCATCGTCCTCGCTGATACTAGTCGCTCATAGCTGGCCTAAGCCATGGCTGCAAGAGCATGACCGCGGGCCATTCACTGGAACAGGCAAGGCGTCTTGTTCAGCCAGGTGCTGTCGTCCAGGGATTTGACGCAAAAGTCGGCCACGTCGCCGCGGGTGATCATTCCACCGGCCGTGAAGTCAGCAGCCCGGTATATGCCGGTCTTGGGTTTGTCGCGGAGGCCACCGGGACGGCAGATGATGTACTCGAGCTCGGCAGAGGCGTTCTTGACGATGATATCCTCTTGCTTGTTCTTGTCAGCAATCGCGCGACGCAAGAACGTTGTTACGAACAGGTAGGTCAAGGGCCCGAGGTGCTTGATCGAGTCGCCGACACCAAGCGACGTCACTGTGATGGTTCGGATCTTGCGGTCGGGATGGCTTGATTTGGTGTCGGCAAGGGTCTTTTTCAGGCTCGCGATGATGTGCTCTGTTCCAATTGAGCAGATGGACAGCTGGGGCTCAGCAGCTGAGGGGTGTGTGCCTGGTTCGAGAGAAGGTCAAGCGCAAAGATGTTTGAGCGGCGATGCTGGCTGTCATAGCATGCAATCGAAACTCGGAATGAACAAGTGCCGCAGGCAGCGACGGATATCAGTGCAACTGCCCAGCAGGTGATATCGAGAAGGTGCTGGACCAACAGAGCCCACGCACAGCTAGAGAGGGACCGAGTCGCCATATGCTCACGACACCAACCGAGAGTGATCATCACACGGTCAATGCGAGTGTCCTCGAAGACCCGGTCGATGTCTTCGCGTTTCAGGGCATCGCCCTCGATGATGTTGATACGGCTGTCCGTCTCCTCGACGGCCGGAGCCAGGAGACCAAGCAGCTTGGACTTTGACCGCGCCAGCGCAACAATCGAGTGGCCGGCCTCGAGTGCCTGCCTCACAAAGGCGATGCCGGTGGGCCCGGTGGCTCCAAAGACAGCGATGGTGTGAGAAGCCATGAATACGGTGTGAAGATGCCGAGGAAGAGCTTGCACGAGGAAGGGATGACAGCAATATGCAGGACGAGGCGGCTATATAATGCGACGGGGCGGAGGCGGGCTGCAACGGCGAAATGCCACGGCCGGCGGCGGTGGTGCTCGAAGGTCAATATGATGTCTCGGGGCAAAGATCCCAGTCGCTGGTCAGGCGGGTTGTCGGCGCACAACAACAAAGCGGGGATCGGCAGAATCGCTGGGAATCGCGCAATGGCGGAAATACTTGAACTCGGTGTCGACGGGGGAGCCCAGCAGAAGTTGCGAGAAGGAGGGCAGGGAAGTTGCGAGACGGAGAGCAGGCAGAGTTGCGAGAAGGAGGACCGAGTGAGCCAAGGACAGTGCAAATCATCAAGTAGAATATGAAGGAGCCGTGATGGCAGGCTCGCAGAGACACCAGCAAGCCGACGAGTAAAGAGAAACAGACGAGCAAAGTGAAACAGGCGAGCCCAGCAGGTGTTGGAGGTGTGATTTATATAGAGCTCTCGTTGATGATAGTCATTCGAATTACGGACTTGAAATATCCATCCCAGCCGACAGCATCGCGGAAAGCAATTGGTATCTCTGGCGGACCTGCATCGGTCTGTTGGATTGGGAGTGGCTCATTCGGCCCAGCAAGACGCTCAGTCCGTCTCATGGGAACCTGCGAGATCTTGATCCAGCGTTGCATTCGCCCTCGATCTGCGAGATCTTGATCCAGCGTTGGATTCCCCGAGGCACTTGCAGCAGCTGTTCCCATCGATGGCGACAAGCCTCGGACAGCGCCAGGATGAGCAAATCATGTGCCGTGCTGATGATCCACGCCGACCCAGAAGCCAGCTCTTGCTGCCATCTGCCCATCTGCCCATCTGCCCATCTGCCCATCTGCCCATCTGCCCATCTGCCCATCTGCCCATCTGCCCATCACGAACAACGTCTCGGCCATGGCCCATCGGCTGCTCTCTCGGCGAGAGCACGAGCCCATGCATCCGCTGGGGTTCTCGCGCCAGACAACAGAATGCCCACTCTTGCTCGCCCAGCTCTCGCTCTCGCAGATCCTCAAAGCCCATCGCGGCTGCGTCAACACCCTGGCCTGGTCAGACTCGGGCCGGCATCTGATCTCTGGATCCGACGACCTGCATCTCTGTCTCTGGGAATACTCGCCCGGCCCGGCGCCGGCGCCGCCGCCTGAGCGAGAGAATGCTCGGACGCCGATGCAGCCGATGCAGCCGATGCAGCCGATGCAGCCGGCGTCTGCCCAGCGCGGCAGCAGGTTGCTGACCCGATTCCACACCGGCCACTCTGCCAATATCTTTGGAGCCAAGTTTATCCCTGGAACCGGAGACTCGGTCGTCGTGAGCGTCGCCGGCGACTCGCAGGTTCGGGTCCATGACATTTCTCTGGCTCCACATCGCGAGCAAGGAAGCGTCCGCAACGTCTATCGATGCCACACCAGCAGGGTCAAGCGGGTGGTCGTCAACCACGACTCCCCGCACTGTCCACTGACATGCTCCGAAGACGGAACCGTCCGCCAGTTCGATGTCCGGGTCAAGCACGAGTGCACACCCAGATCGGCCTGTCGCCATGTGGTTGTCGACTACCAGAGCTTTGGCATCCATCTCAACAGCCTCTCGCTCAACCCGGCCAACTCCAACTATATTGTCTGTGCCGGCGGCCACCCCGAAGCCTTCCTGCACGATCTGCGGATGCCGCAGCGAGCCGTGGCGACCTTCCGAGCGACCTCGGACAACATCCGCAACGACTCGGACATCACCTCCTGTCAGTTCTCCAAGTCGGGCGATGAGCTGCTGCTGAGCTACTCGCAGGACCTCGTCTATCTGTTTGACATTCGCTCGGGCCTGCAGACCCGGGCGGGCCCGGACGAGTCCAGGGTCGAGATGAGCGAGGGAATGGATCTGGCGCAGCTGGCCAAGGCCCAGGTCGAGGTCCAGGCCCTGGTCGACCGAGCTGCTGATCTGTTGGGGCAGATGCGATACCAAGAGGCCCTGCTCGAGATTGACCGCATCAAGGACGTCTGGACCCTGTGGGATCTGCGACCGGTTGTCGATGCGTGCTGCCACCGGAACTGTGCCCGGATCTATCTGAGGTGGTTCCTCGACCTCGGCAACCGGGACGGCAACCAGAACAGCAACCGGGACGGCAACCAGAGCAGCAACCAGAGCAACCGGGACGACGCTGCGGCCCTGGCCAGCTCGGACCCAAGACACTCTGGCGAGTCGCCGCTGAAGCGAATCAAGATATTCAACTGCCAAGAGGATCCTGCCGTCGCGGCACACCGCGAGCATCTGCTGCAGCAAGCGCTGGTGCAGTCCCGCTGTGCCTTGGAGAAGCGCAAGCATCAATGCATGGGCCATCTGCTGCGAGCAGCCAGCGAGTGGGCGCTGGCACTCTTCTCAACCACAGACACCTCTGAACAAACCATCGAGCGCCTCCAAGATGCCGAGGCAACGCTTCGCCAAGCCAAATGGCCCGCGAGGACCTCGGGCGATCGCCAGGCCTTTGTCGAGTGCTTGGATGGCATCCTGCTCTCTGAGCGCGCAGGATCGATCGAACTGTGGAGTCGCTGGGGCCAGCGATGGATCCAGGCTCTGGAACCGGTCGAGCTGATCGGAGCCTTCCGTGCGGACGACAGTCAACACAGCGGACAGGAGGAGGCCGCAGGTTCAAGTGCAAGTGCAAGTGCAGGTGCAGGTGCAAGCGCAAGTGCAAGTGCAAGTGCAGGTGCAAGTGCAGGTGCAAGTCGACGCCGCAGTCCGCACAAGCAAAGGCAGCCGCATGAGCATGGCAGTCTGAAGCAGAGACATGGATCGGATGCCTCTTCAGCAGCACAGGCCGCTGAGGGGCCGGCTGAGCGGCCCGAGCGGCCCGAGAGCGATGCCGACATGGAATCGGTCGGCGAGAGCGACGACATGGTCGAGGACTCTGAAGGCAGCGGCCCTGGCGACTCTGACACCTCCGAAGGCTCTGACGAACCCAATGGCTCTGACACCTCCGAAGGCTCTGACGACTCTGACGACTCTGATAGCGACGATGGGATGTGGAGGACCACGCACTCGCTTGGCAAGAGCGATCCAGATGCGTCAGAGGTGTGGCCGCATCTGACCAACGTGAAGCCATCGAGGGTCTTCAAGGTATGGCACCGAATGACGACTCTGGCGATCCGATGGCATGTGGCGGCCGAGTCTGCGGTGGGATGGTGTGTCGGGCCATGCGATGTGCTGATCGTGCCACATCCACTCGATGCCACTCGATGCCACTCGATGCCACCACAGGGACATCAAAGTTGTCGGGTAAGCGGACAGGATCGATTGATGTGTTGTGTCGCACGGCCATGCGCACTTTTGATGGGACGGCTCATGTGCGGATGGCTCACGTGCGGATGGCTCATGTGCGGCTCTCCTTCTCGACCGGGATCGGCCTGGCTCTGCACAGACGACCAAGGGTAAGTTGGCCTGCTGCCGACAGGCGATTCGTCGACCGGGAGGTTGCTTCCCGTCGGCCGTGCCTCAAGTTGCTTGTGTCGCTGATGACTGGGGTCTCCCACGACATCTGCCGATGACTGGGGTCTCCCACGACATCTGCCGATGACTGGGGTCTCCCACGACATCTGCCGATGACTGGGGTCTCCCACGACATCTGCCGATGACCGGGGTTTCCCACGATATCCGCTGATGGCCTGTGCCTCGCGCAACCCTGTCCTGACCAGATGTCAACTTTTATGGAGCATCGGATCGATACGTGGTCTCGGGATCGGACGACGGATACGCCTTCATCTGGGACAAGAGGAGCACCAGGCTCGTGCAGCTGCTTGCAGGCGACTCGGAGGTCGTCAATGTCATCCAGGGCCATCCGCACGCTCCCGTCATAGCCGTCAGCGGCATCGACAGCACCATCAAGATCTTTGAGCCCATCTACCCAAACAACCGGCTGTGGAGCTTGGACATGGATGCCTTGGAGGCGGCCCAGCAGGAGGCGGGACTGGCGACGGGCAGCTGGCTTCCAGACTCCCACCTGAACCGAGACGTGCAGCCCCGTCCGTCCTCAAAGCTGTTTCCCGTGAACTGCTGTTTGCAGTACTCGAAGCGGCTGGACACGGACTCGGTGGGCGACCACGGCTCGTCCTCGGATGGGGTCGAGTCGGAAACGACACCCGCTCAGTTCCCGCCAACCGACGTCACCACTACCCCGGCGCTGCCGCCGAGCTCGTCGCTCATGAGCCAAGCATCCCGGATCTGCTCGGAAAACATCGGCTTTATTGGACACCGCCTCTACCGCCGCCGACAGTCGTCGACCTTTGCTGCGATCCAGAGGCTGTTGCTCTATGGCTCCATCTTTCACGCTCACAGCAGCAACATCGACGACGCCTCCGACAGCCACAACGACAGCGACGAAGGCCAAGAAAGCTGTCCGGTGCAATGAGCAGCAAAGCACGGGGAACTGGGTGCTGGTGTGCACGCAGGGGATCGAGAAGATCGGAAAGCCAAGAGCGAGACTCATTCTCCCTCGCCAAGTTGCGTTGGTGACTGAGACGGACGAAGGTTTGGTGAATGAGACGGACGAAGGTTTGGTGACCGAGACGGACGAAGGTTTGGTGACCGAGACGGACGAAGGTTTGGTGACCGAGACGGACGAAGGTTTGGTGACCGAGACGGACGAAGGTTTGGTGACCGAGACGGACGAAGGTTTGGTGACCGAGACGGACGAAGGTTTGGTGACCGAGACGGACGAAGGTTTGGTGACCGAGACGGACGAAGGTTTGGTGACCGAGACGGACGAAGGTTTGGTGACCGAGACGGACGAAGGTTTGGTGACCGAGACGGACGAAGGTTTGGTGAATGAGACCGACGAAGGTTTGGTGAATGAGACCGACGAAGGACAGTCCCAAACCATGTTGTGCAAACGAGCAAGACACGGCCTTTCTCTGTGTGGGCAACAGTGACAAGAGCGATCGGGTCACTTTCCAGCGGGCGGCAGGGGACCATGTCGTCACTGTGCTCTCCTTCGCCCGCATCGCTGCAATCGACCGAGGACAAACAAGTGAAACCAGCGGGTTGTGGCCGGCTGTCATTCACATCGAGAAGTCTCGTCGACTGTGTTGGCTGACGCCATCTGGGGGCCACCAGGCTGATGATGGCCCTCGATGTTCATTCGGTCATTGAGCTGGCATGTCGTCGACTGAGGTGGTGTGAACATGTGGAAAGGGCAGGCCGTGACCATCTGCAGCCTCGATTGGAACCTGTGGGTGTGGTGGAATCACTCGAGACGACTGAAATCCCGCAGATTGTCCACCAGAGAACCCGGTGCGATGCAGGAAGGACTGGATGTCGACAGCGCAATCCACCACCATCTTCATCACCATTCACCATCCACCACACGCAACTCAATGTTGGATCAATCGTGTTCAGTGTCTGGCAGTCCAACAAGACTCGGCCGCAGAACGGAAGGGCAACGAGACGACACTGATCGATCGGTCAGCCCAGCCAGCACAACATCAGTGGCGGCCGGTGCGGGTGAAGGGACGGACATCGGGATACTCCTCGTCCTTGAGCTCGGTCTCCGCCGCCGTGGGCTGGTCGAGATAGGACACCCGATCCAAGTGGAAGAGACTTTTCCTGACGACCAGCTCGGGCGAGGGACACGGCGTCGGGTAGATCGAGCGAGTGTTGGTGTTGTCGACCCTGAAGGACAGGTCCATCAGCATCCGCATGAACGCAAGCAGGGCGTGGTTATCGGGCGATGGGTTGCGCCAGATGACTGTCCTGAACTTTTCGCGAGTGTCCTGCAGGACAGTCCAGCCAGCGGAATCGGCGATCTCAAAGACACGCTTCTCGGTGATGACACTGTGAGTGAGTGAGTGAGTGAGTGAGTGAGTGAGTGAGGGGTGATTGCGATGGCCAACGATGTCCGCCATCAAACATGTCAATCTGCAACCCACTCAATGGCAAGCACAGCATCGACTGACACCCACACACACTCCACTCCACTCACACTCACACTCCACGCACTCCTCACCTGTGCTCCGAGTCGCTGATGTGGAACACAAACTTGGACAGCGCCTCCTCCGAGCTGACAATCTCGGCAATCACCTTGGCAACATGGTCGACTGGATCCATGGTCCAAGTGACGGGACTGGCGTTTGCCGGGCAAATGCCGAGCTTGATGCATCCCTCGATGTATCGCCAGATATAGTCGTCTGTGTTGCACACTGGAGGATGGAGTGAACAGGGTGAGAAACAGTGTCAGTCGATGGATGGGTGCCACTCGACACAATATCATCAACCCATGGCCAAGTCGAGGGAACGAAGGAGGGAATCTCCACCACATCACACATCACACATCACCACGGCTCACCTCCGTATCCGCTGTCGCCAGCAATCATCGCTGGCCGAATGATGGTTGCAGGCACTCCCCTCGATCGTGCCTTGTTGATCAGCTGCTCAGAGGCCCACTTGGTCTGCGAGTAGCCGCCCGACAGGTTCCAGTTGGAGTACATTTTCTCCTCGAGCGGCTTGTCGGAGCCCTTGGCCATGGCAATCGTCCCGATGGTCGAGATGTAGTGCACCACCTTGAGATGGTGCGTCGTGGCCAGCTGCAGCACCGTCACCGTGCTGAGGACGTTTGTTGCCTTGAGCTCGTTGTAGTTGTAGAGCCAGTGCACCTCGGCGGCGTTGTGCACAATCATGTCGGTCTCTTCGCAAATCTCCTTCCATCGCTCGTCCGAGAGTGCCCATCGCTCCTTGGAAACGTCGCCGCGCAGACCAACCCACCGGTCTCGCACGTCATACCACGGATCGTTCTTGTTCCGCGATGCAATCACCAGCCTCGAGGCGTTGGAGTAGGTGCGGAGGAAGGCCAGTTTCTCGGTCTCGGTTCGTGCCAGGCAGTAGATCTTGGCTCGAGGGAACTTGTGTGCCAGCTCAAAGATCAGGAATGCTCCGAGGAAGCTGGTTGCACCCGTCAGGACGATGCCGCGGACCTCCTTGGGATAGACAAACGGAGGGAAACCCTCGGCCGTCACACTCGCATCGTCGAGCTTGGCAGCCTCGGCAGCCAGATCGATTGTCGGCGGAATCACCAGCTTGTCGTCGAGAATGTCGACGACCAGCTGGGCGGCATCCTTGGGACTCATGCTGTTCGACAGCAGGATCATTGGCGAGATCTCGACACCGTACTCCTCCCTGATGGCGAGAGCCAGGCGGCCGATGCTCAGCGAGTCAAAGCCGACGCCGCCAATGTAAAAGTTGCGGCCGTAGAGACCGGGGTTGTCCAGGATCTGGCTGCTGAACTCGGAGATCTTGAAGGCAATCTTGGTCAAGAACGTTCTGGTGACCATGAGGGGCGGGTAATCGACCGCCTGGCCGTACTGCTCGATGTTCTCGGCGATGCGCTTGAGCTTCTTGAGATCGACCTTGCCCGAGTCGTTGAAGGGGAGCTCGTGGAGCCTGAGGCAGTTGTGGATGGGGACCTTGGAGACGTTCAGCAGCAACAACATGTCCTCGACGACTCGGATGATATCGGCCGAGATCAAGTCGGGATTGGATCCTTTCTGAAGGACGTAGAGCAAGATGATCTTCCTCTCGGAGGTGTGGATGAAGTAGCAGTCGGCAATGACCTGGGACAAGTGCTTGTGGACAAGCTCCCTGAGGTAGTTCAGGTCGACATAGACACCGTTGACCTTGATCTTCTGGTCGAATCTGGAGGGTGAGGTGTGAGGTGTGAGGTGTGAGGTGTGAGGTGTGAGGTGTGAGGTGTGAGGTGTGAGGTGTGAGGTGTGAGGTGTGAGGTGTGAGGTGTGAGGTGTGAGGTGTGAGGTGTGAGGTGTGAGGTGTGAGGTGTGAGAATGAGAGTGATAAGTATCCAGCGAGCAAAAGGATCGGAACCAAGAGTGTGGATGGCAGTTCTCATGGATCAAGCACACAATAGTCGCCATACTCACCTTCCAACAACACTGAACTCCTTGTCGCTGACCATCTCGACCCAGTCCATGGTGCAGACTCGGGGCGAGCCATCCACGAGGAAGCCGAAAGTCGACAGCTTGTCGTTGGGATCGGCTTTGAGAAAGTCAGGATGGTCCTTGGCAGGATGCTCGGGATCGACGGCAAAGACCAGGATTCCGCTGTTTGATGATCGTCGGTCGATAATCTCGCCTTTCTCGTCAAAGAGAAGGCAGCGCACGCCAGGTTTGACCAACTTGTAGACCAGCTTCTCTGGAACGGGATTGTCGGCTGGAATCCTCAAGAACGAACCTGCCCCAATAACTCCTGTCTGATGAAGAAACTTCGGTCAATAAATGCCCAGCTCATTGATGATGCAAACCTAGTGACGTGGACTGTACCTCACTCGATCCATAGGCTGACTGGAACTCGGCATTGGGAAAGCTCTCCCTCGTCATGTGGATGACGCTCATAGGCACGTGCTCTGCACCCATCAATATTTTCTTTGCACTCATCCACTTGATGTTCGGGTTCCGGGAAACGGCGGTGTTGATGATCAACTTCATGAAAGAGGGAGTCTGTGGGAGGATGAATGACATCAGCATGTGAACCACATGGCGTTTGTTGTGCCTATTGATCTGATACCCACTAAACCCAGAAAGGCGACGCCGTCATCCAGGATTTGGGCAACGTTCTTTGCTTTCTCAACTGTGTTGAACGTCAATTCGGGAATCCAAACTGATCCTCCAAGATTCAGAGTGCCAAGCAAAAAGCTTAACGGCCCTACAAATGATGGGGTCTGAGAGGAGTCAAATGTCAGTAAACCCCTTTGGGCTCGGATCAATGGGATATTTGATGTCCTGTATCCTAACCTGCAATATCCCGGCGCTGCTCTTCAGCACTCCGATTGAGGTTCGAATTGTGATTGCACCAGTGTGTGGGAACTTGAACCTGCAACAATCAACATCAAGCACAGAAGGATTCAGTCAACGAGTGGTGATGTGATCACTTGTGACTGTGAGAAAGTATCAGGTAGACACAGGATCAGAATCCACAGGATCAGAAGCCACAGGAGAACTCACGACTTGGGGATGCCTGTGGGAGCGACGAGGAACCAGGATGCAGGACGAAGGAGTCGGGTTGTGGGTTGGATGTGCATCGTCAGCGTATCACTTTCCACATTCACCACACTCACCATCTTACTCTACTCACCACTGCACCATCTGCTTTGCTGCTGGACCATCACGCTCAGCCACTCCACATACCGGTTGTTCCAGAGGTGCACTGGATGGCGACATAATCATCAAGGGGTTCACAGACTTCGAGAGACGGGGGTGGGATGCTGTCCAGCACAGGGAACGTGGTGGCATCGACCAGTGTCACTCCAATGGTGCGGCCAGGCTTGCTGTGGTGGTAGAGGATGTACTTGATGAAGTATCTGTTTCGATTGGAGTCAAGGTCGAGTCAGGTTGAGCACAGAGGTCTCTGGGATGTCAATCACCTGAGACACATGTGAGACCAGCACAAGGACAAACCTCTCGCACAGAGTCTTGCGAACAGCGGCAGGGAAGTTGAGAGCGAGGTTGAGTGTTTTCCTGGATGGCAACAAGGTACAGATGAGACTCGATCCTGGTCATGGCATGGACAAAGGCCGGTCATGTCATGCACAGGCAGACTGACCAGACCAGACCAGACCAGACCAGACCAGACCAGAGATACTCACTTGCCCAGCATCCACACAGCAAGCGAGAAGATCACCCAGCTGGCTTCGGCCTCGCAGAAGGTGCCGATGACCTCGTGGTCGTCGTCGTTCCAGCCAGGGAGAGCCTTGAGAGCCTGGGCGACCGAGTACGCCTGCTTCCACACACGGAGATAGCTGAGCCGCTCCGAGATGCCGCTCTCGTAGGTGTTGATTAGGAGGGCATCGGGCTCGTCGCGGGCAGTGTTGACGAGGCACTCGACGGGATGGAGCCAGGGGCCAAAGGGATCGGGCTGAGAAGGGAATGTTGGCTGTTGGGAGACAGGGGTCTGCGAGGAGACATCTCGGTCGTCGACCGGGTCTGCGGACCCTCCAAAACAACAGGAGATGGCCCTGAGCATGCCGGGGTTGGGATGGAAGCGACAAAGGTGCCGATACCAAAGCCAGATGAGGGCAGGGGAGCGAGGAGGGAGCCGAAAGGGCGAAACGAGACAACGACGGCGAGGGGAAAGGGCGAGGGGAGCGCCTTTTGTCGGTCTGGGCAGCCAGGAGATGGCGGCTTGGTCTGGCTGCTTGCCAGATTGCATTGAGCGAGTGCTCGTGCTTCCTCTCGAGCTGCTGAGTCTGCCAGCGTGACCGGCTCTGTGCTTGGGCGGTGGGTCTGGCTGGTTGTCCCTCGATGCTGTGCTGTTGCCTCGCCCAGCAAGCTGCTTGCAAATCCACTGTTCAGCCAGCGAACAGTTCACTCGGTGGGAACACATGGGCAAGTTTGACACCCTTTGTTCGCTGTTTGTGTCTGGCTGGCGGATATTCATTGTGGCCACCACAGCACAAATCGCACCACCCCTCGCCCAGCACAACAACAAACCCCTGTCCTTGGGCCAGATCGCAGAGCTCAGACCAGACCCGGCATGCTCCCTTTGCTGCGGCCGTCGTCGCCTGCTTCCTCTTGGGGGGTTTTTTTTTTTTGCAATGCCCAGAAGCGATTTCTCCTCTCTCCTCTCTCCTACTCTCTCTCGTCATACATCAGACACCGTGTCCAAGAGAAATCTCTCTCGCATCGTATTTTTTGGAAGGGCAGTACTGTGTATTTGCGAGACGATTCAGGAGGGGGGGGAGGGGGAGGGCTGTGAAAAAGGGGAGAGAAAGAGAGAATTGGCTGATGAGGCGGGTTCGCAAACGAGGAAGAGGTGAAGAGAGGAGAATGAAAGAAAGAGGGATGGGGACTATCAATAAAGATAGAGTTCTGGAGAGGGCGCGGAAGTGACGAAAGGAAGATCTGGAAGAAAGTGAGGAGGGGCCGAGGCTGCTGTGTGCTCGCGTGGTCAAGTGTGTCAGGAGTGTGAGGGGCAGGGGAAAGGGCCTTTTGTTGCTGAACCGCCGGGGTACATTGACAGCAACCGCCAGGGGCGCCCTTTGTGGATTAAAGTTGGTGGTGAGTGGGGAGAGGTGTTTCAATGGAGTTCGAGAAATGATATGGCAGTGGGGAGGGGAGGGCAGCTGAGTGTACGAGAGTATGATGAAGGACAGGAAGGGGGAAGGACAGCGGGGGATGAAATGAAGTGTGGTGGAGCGAGGAAGACACGACACCTTCTGGAGCCATGGTAGCTTGCTTGAGAAGCGGGCGCTTGTATGTCCTGACGGCGGATAAGATTACGAGGCGGCACGCGGCACGACAGAGCAGTAAGACAGAGCCAAGAGAAGAAATATGAGTCGTAACACATGAGGCCAAGGAAAAGGAGAAGACCAGGGAGTCGGGCAAGATGGGGGAGTTAGCGAAAGAAATGGCACTTCAATTCTCCCCCTTCCCATCTCGCCTCTCTGTCGCTCGCTGGCCTTCTGCTTCTCGCTCGCTCGCTCGCTTCGGACAAGCACACAGTGTGCCTGTTTCGGTGACGAGCAAGAAAAAGGGGGGATGAAGATACATACGGGTACAACCCAAATGTAAAGAGCGAGGAGTAAATTATACTTTGTTCGAGGAAGGGAAGCAGACCAGAGAAAGGAACCAACATAAGACTACACAGACTGGCTGAGGGGAGGGGGAAATGAGAGCGAAAGTGAGCAAGAGTACGAGGGACGGTGCGCAGAATGGAGGGGGGGGACTCGGCGGCTACTGGAACTATGGCAGAGAAGCACAGAAGGGAGCACAGATGGGAGCAGATGCGATCAACAGGAAAAAAAAACAAGGACAGAACTGCCATCCACCCGCCAAGCGATTCGGAGAGGGGGGGGGAGTTGGGATCGGGTGTCGTCGCCTCGGTCAGCCATTTACACAGTTTGCCTCGCAGATTAGATGGAGAATTCGCCGGGTGACTTGAAGGGGATCTTGGGAATCAGGTCCTGGTAGAGCTTCTTGAAGGCCCAGATGTCACCCTTCATGCGCTTGAACTCGACAACATAGAGGCCATCGAGGTTCTTGATCTTCTGGATCTCGACGTGGAATCGAATGTCTTCCAGCAGCTCGAGGGGAGGATCGATCAGATCGGGAGCGCCCGGGCCGGGACTGATCTGGACAAAGGCCTCCTCGGAGATGCTGGGTCGTGACTTGCCGTCGTAGCCCTTGTTCCAGTTCGAGCCGTGCTGGGCCATGTACTTGATACGTTTGACCAGCGACATTGGCAGCGACGCCAGCACGGCAGCCATCTTGCCAGTGCGGCCGCTGGCAATGATCTTCTCGCGCGTCAGACCCGATTGAGAGGTGCGGCTGGCCTCGACAGACATCTTGGGGGGCACAGCGGGAACAGGTGCGACGGCGGCACGAGGGTTGGCAAAGCGCGTGACCCTGATCTTGGCCTCGCCTTCGCTCGGGGCAACCTCCATACCGAGGTCTTCGAGGACACGGGTGACTTCGACGAGAAGCTGCACGGGATGCTTGGAGGTCATGGCGCGCTGGTCGATGGGGCCGCGGTGGTAGCGGATACGGAGCTTCTGGCCATTATCATAGTGGTATTCAGACGAGTTGTAGAACTCGGAGGCGACGATCGAGGCCGAGATGGACGGGCGACCCAGAGTTTCGACGGGCGCGGCCGAGTTGGCGTTGGCACCAGCCGGATCCTGGTCGATGAAGGCCTTTGCACGGTCTTCGAGAGAAGAGTCTGGAGAACGGCAACCGATGTAAGGACACGCATACAGGAGCGGAGCTCGCGGGAAGTGTGCGTGTGTCCACGATGCTCAGCGCACACAGCCACTCAACTCACCCTCTCTCTTCCTGAACCAGGTGAAGCCGCGGGTGGGGGTGGAGTCGTTCTTTCGGGTTTGCGAGATCTTGCGAACGTCAAAGCTGTGTGGAATCAAGAAACCCGCATCAGGATTCGCTCAATAAACACGACCGATCAAAAGGCACTCAATAGACTGTGAGTCGGACGACCGAGGGCTCAGGGGAGGGGGAAACAACCATACCTCTTGCGTTCGCTTTCCGGGTTGGCATCGAGATGCTTAAGGGCGGGAAGGCGGTGAGTCTGGCCGGCATCGTCGTTGACGTGTCGTCGGCTGACCGAGTGGCTACGCTGGACATCGGGAGTGCGCACAGGCACACGAGGAGCCTCGCCAACCACCGACGCAGACGGGAACGACGGGGGTACCGAGTACACGGAATGATCGAGCGAGATGGTGGGCGACGTCGACTTGGAGGCGGGGCTTCGGCTGCTCGACACGGTGGAGGGGGTGTCGGTGATGCCCAGGCTGGCAAGGGCCTCCTCGACCTTGACGTTCAGGCTCTCACGGCGGGTAGGAACGACCTCCTCGGCGCGGAGATCGAGCTGGGGAGAGAGCGAGGCCACGGGAGCAGGTTCCGGCAGCACAGCGACCGAGGGAGGCGTAATGGGGGCGACGGGGGTCTCGAGGATAACCGGCGCAGGGAACACAGGGATAGCGAGCTCGGTAGGCTGAGGAACCGCAGCATCGGCCATCTCGACGTCCTCGACGGGCATCAAGACCGGGATAGAGGCGTGCATGTCAATGTCGATGGAGCCGTTGTCGATGAGCGGATCGACGACAACAGAGGCTGGCGAGTCAGCCTCAGCCGCCTTTGCAGGAACGGGGATCGCCCCAGGAGTCGGGAGGACAGGTTCGACCTGGTCCAAAGATCTCATTCTCTACATTAACGCAGGTACGAGCGAGTGATGAGTTGGTTTCAGGGGAGGGGTCAGTCGAGTGTGCGTCCACGAAGCATGTTTGCCAACACGACAGAGTATAGCCATGCAGGCTCTGAGTGATGGCATGTGGCGTGGCAGTCTACCAATGTACCTTTTCGTCCTCATCGAACAGATGGGCATAAGGGGCGAGCCAGCTGGCCAAAACGCAAGAGCGAGGGCAAGGTGTCGTCAGGACACAGGCAGGACACGAGCAGGACGTGAGGAGGAAATGGCGAAGCGAGTGCAGCAGCAAGCTGTCCAGCATCCGAGTCTGATCGTTACCGGTGAGCCATGATCTCGGGCATCTTGGCCCTGTACTTGGGATCAGGCACCAGAATGCGGCGCAAAAGGCTTCGGGCGTCCTCCGAGACGTATTCGGGAAAGTCCAGCTGGGTTTCGAGAATGTACTTGTACAGGAGGTTCAGGTTGTCGCCGTCGGGGTTGCTTGGATCGTCGTCAAAGGGAAGGTATCCACAGAGCATAGCATACTGGACGAGTGCAGCAACGGAAAGTGGATCAGCAAGTTGGCTGGACAGAGTGCACGCATCTCCAGCGAGGCGAGCGGACAGACGAGGCTCAAGTTGGACGGCTGCTCACCAAGATGACACCACAACTCCACATGTCAGCAGCTTCACCGACGTATCCCTAAAAGAAGTGGGGCCGTGAGTGGCATATCGAGGCTGCGCGGGATGCGATGCTGGGCAAGAAGCGATGCCTTTGGTCGAAAGCAGCGGCACGAGGGGATGGCAGGGTGTAGGTATACGGAGAGAAACCTACGTCGCTGATGACAAGCTCGGGAGCAGCATAGCAGGGGCTGCCACACGAAGTAACAAGCAGCTGATCCTGGCGGGCATTTGTGCGGTTGGCAAAGCCAAAATCGGTGATGATAATGTTGCGCTGGCTATCAAGCAAAATGTTTTCCTGGTGGAGAACGAGCGCGAGGATGCTCTGTGTGAATAGCCAAGTCGCAGTGAAGCAGAGCCGATCCCGGCAGGGGCCGTGGACAGAGGAACGCCATTTCGTGAGCGAGCACACCCACCAGCTTCAGATCGCGGTGGACAATGTTGCGGCCATGCAAGTATCGGACGCCGCAGATCAGCTGGGCAAAGTAGCGACAGGCATCCTTTTCCTTGAGATAGCGATGCGCCAGAATGTGCTCAAACAGCTCTCCACCTGACAAGGACAAAGACAGTCGAGGTCGGTCAAGACGGTCAGAGAGATGTCGTTGGGCAGAAAGTGATGGAGCCAGGCAGGGGAAGGGAGTAGCAACAAAAGCGGACCGCACACTGACCAGAGGCGTATTCAAGGATCATGCCAATATACTGGTCGGTCTCGATCACTTCAAAGAGCTTAACGACGTTGGGGTGCTCGAGCTCCTCGAGAATGGAGATTTCTCGCATAAGCTTGGCTCGGCGGCTGGGGCTCTCGATTTTATCCTTCTTGATGAGCTTGACAGCGACCTGGCGAAGCGGGTGGGAGCATGAGAATGCGCAGGAGTCGATTGGATCGAACGAGGGACAGGATCACCCAGAGGGCGGTGCGGACTGGAGGGAACGGGGCAGGTGGTCTTACCTCTTTGTTGGTCTGGGTATGGATGGCCAGCTTCACCTTGCCGAACTCGCCCTCACCGACGGTCTGCAGCAGTCGGTAGGGGCCAAAGAGGTTGCGGCTCTTGGATGAGGATTGGTGGCCATGCTGCGAGTGCGAGTGCGAGTGCTGCTGGGGATGCTGCTGGGGGTGCTGCTTTTGGTGTTGGCGGTCGGCCTGGTAGTCAGGCTCGTATCGGTGCTGCTGATGATGGGTCGGTGAGGGATGGTGCGACTGGGAGCGTGCGACGGGGATGTCGCTGGGAGAAGGGGACATGATGCTGGATGTGGAGGGTGTGGTCTGCAAGAGAACGACAGCGGGAGAGAGAGAGAGAGGGAGAGAGGAAGATGGATGTGCTAGATGCAAAGTGCAGGAGCGTCAGAGCAGGGCGCTAAACAGAGACAGGGATCGATGCGGCGGGTCGGTTGCTGGTTGGTTGACGTTCGGGAAAAAGGACAGGAGCAGCGGCGATCCAGCCAGCCGTTGCGGGCCCAAGGGGAGCGAGAACGACGAGGCGGATGAGAGCGGTTGCAATGGATGCCGTTGCAGACAGAAACAAGCGGGTGAGAACGGTTGCAGACGAAAGAGGCCCGGGCCGAAACGAGGCGAAGGATTGGGAAAGGCAGAAGCAGCAGCACACAAACGAGGCGACTGAAGCAACCACCACGGAAGTGGCTGCAGACATACCTCGTTCTGGCCGGCAGGCGGGGACTTGCGACCGACGCCGGACTGGTATGAGGGCAAGGAAGGAAGGGAGCCAGGCGAGAGACAGACGAGGCTGATGGGAGCCAAGACGATCGCGCAAGACGGAGAGGACCCGGGAAAGGACAGGGACCAGCGACGAGACGAAGGACGAGACCAAGGACGGAACGAAGGAGAGCCGGAGGCGACAGGGCCGATCGGCAGCGATTTCGAAGCGCCCGCCCGCTGGCGAAATAAAGCGCCGACATGAATTTGTAAGGGCAAGGGCAGCCATGAGCCGGCGCGACGGGCGCGCACAGCCGGCGGGGAAGGGGGACGCGTCGCGCATTGTGGTGTGCCTGTTGTTTGTGTTGCCGCTGTACAGCATTGTGCTGTGCTTCGTTGTGCTGTGCTTCGTTGTGCTGTGGTGCCACTGTATTGTGGAGGCTGTTGGAGCTGCGTGACTCTTCTGCTGTGTCATTGTCTCCTTCCACAACAGTGCTGCCAACGTCACTCACTCAACTGTCCCACCACCGCCTTGCACTGCGCCGCTCTCTGTGCCACATTCACAATGCCCACACCCGCAGCAGCGACACAACGCAGCACAGCACAGCACAGTGCTGCCTGGCACACCCACTGGTGTCTGTGTTTGCCCTTCGCCCCCCAACAAGCTCGCAGCAACCACATGAACACCCGCGCCCGCGCTCTGTACGTGCGTTGCCTATTTCGGCCTGGACTGTTGCTCACCCCACAAGGCCCCCCCGGCAACAAGTCCCGTGTGGCCCGCTTGCCGCTGCCCACAAGCAAAGTACAGCCGCGCGGTCTTGTGGTCGCCCCCACAGCGGCAAGCCGGGAAAGGCACAGGCCGCCATCCATGCAGCGCAGCGACTGAGCGGGTGTCTGCTGCAGCGGTGCGTGTGACTCGGTGGAGCCAGGCGCACCAACAGAGGCCGGCGTTGTTGGCGGCTTGCTGTCCGAACGCCCGCCCCATCGTCGGGATTGGCAAATGGGGGGTGTTTTGGGGCGCCTGGGATGCGGATGGGTGCAACGAGAGGGGTGCTGGGGATCGGGTGCGATGCGAGGAGGCATCGCGGGTGTTGGCGGGGGGATGGCCGACGGCGAGAGGGGAAATCGACAATGTCTGCGCTCATGACAGAGGCACCATGTCGGAAAACAACGGCATCCTTGGTCGGATGCACGATAACATTTGCCTGGGCGTCTGCTCCATAATACCTCATCGACCAGTGTCGCTCAATCCACCCTCAGAGCTGTCCCGTTTCAATTTGGGCTGTAGCAGAGACCCAAGCTACGCCTGGTCCTTCACGGGGCGGATATCGACCATCTCCTATTCATCTCCTATTCATCTGTCCATTACTTGTCCATTCTTCTGTCCATCGCTTGTCCATTCATCTGTCCATCGCTTGCCCATCGCTTGCCCGTCAGCCAGCACATCCAATCTGCCAGATGCACGACCCGCAGCCTCGTCCTTCGCGCCCTCCGCGACAGCACATGGCACCGGCTGCCTCTGGTTGCCGCCCCCTGGACTCGCCATCGGTCGCTTGCAACGCAGCCGCCGCCTTCCTGCCGTGATCCACCCGGCTTCCTGCAGTGCAGGCATGGACGCAGCGCATGCGGCCTCGATTCACATGCCTTGCGTCGCCCGTCGCGCCGATCCACATCCCGCTCCCTGTGGACAATCTTTGCCTCATTCAAATCGCATGTTTTGTCTTGTCCAGTCCGCATGTCTCCACCGCATGTCTCCACCGCATGTCTCCACCGCATGTCTCCACCGCATGTCTCCACCGCACCTCACCGATATCGCGACCGCCGTGCTGCCATTGCCTCCCAGAGGCAGCTCCATCGCCCGTCCTCGCCGTCGCCAAGCACACCATCCACCAGCCCCGTGCTGGCTTCTCTCTGGCACGGCTGCCGCGTGGCGCCCGCCATGCACCCCCAGCTGACGCCATTGCCGACCCCTGGATACTCGCTCCCTGGTTCTGGCGCAGGGGGCGTGCCTGCATGCCTCAACCCGCAGGAACAGGACAAGCACACCAGCTGCGCAGGCGCTGGAGGAGCACCAACGCGTTGCATCGTCCAAAACGGGTGTCTGTGTGACCACAAGCGCGACTCCTCGGAACGCAAGCGGCGCCGTTGGAACCTTCTGCTCGTTCGACGATCGGGTCAGGCGCGCCGCACGTTTACACTGGCTGGCCGCCTTCGACGCTGATCGGCAGCTGCGATCGGCATGGCAGCCTCCATTTCAGTGCGGTTGCGTCTGCTTGCTCGCTCGCTCTCTGGCTCGCCTTCGCTGCAACCGACAGGTCTTGGCGCATCCATCCCGCCGCATCCCCACTGCATCCTCGCCGCGTCTCCACCCGCCATCTCCCGCTGCCCAGGGATCTTGATAGGGCCGGTGGAACAGCGCACGCCGTTACAGAGGCTGTGACGCTCCTGTGTCCGTGTGCCGCAAGCGCGTGGGTCGACGCGCGTCGGCTGCCTGTGGCTGTGCGGCTCTCGCTCCTCGCCAAGGACGCTCTCGCCCCTCACATAGCGTCTCGCTCGGCGTCTCGCGCAGCTTGTGGGCGCACACAGACTGCGTGCCTCGCTCCTCGCGGTCCCGCGCAGACCCGTCTCTCGGCTGAGTTGAACCGCAACCCTTGCTCGCCATGGCCTTTCGGCGTGCCCTGCCATGTCGCTTGCACTTGGATTGAATTGCTTTTGCATTGCCGTTTGTGTCGCCCTTGAATTGCCGTTGCCATCCAATTGCATTCCCGTTGTCATGCCGCCGAAAAAACCCGCTCCCGGCCCCATTTGCCCAGCCGCCGCTCTCTCGTCGCTGGGGCTTGCGGGTGTTGTACATCTGGGTTGCTGCCGGCCTTTCCTTTCCACGCCGCTCAGACCACATCGTCTCCGGTCCTGTCCCTCTGGCCACCCACTCGCTCTTTCTTGGCCCGACCTTCCGCCGCCTGCACCTGCTCTCGACCATGTTCAAGCCAAGACGGTTCTCCACGCTCCTTCCCTGGTCTCAGATTTGGCAGCGGCTGCCGGCCCTGTGGCTGTTCGCCACCCTGCTGGTGTCTGTCCTTGGGCCCTTCTACACCCCGACGGTTTTCGCCGCCCTCTACCTGCTCCTCAGCTGCGTCTTTACCGCATACACCTTCCGGGTCACCTGGGGTGTCTATGCTGTCTATCGCGGCTGCCGAGCTCACTCCGAGATTGACTGGTACAAGAAGTATCTCGAGGCTCTGGCCTCCAGCGACCCCGAGACTCCCTTCGCCGAGCATGTGTACCATCTCATCATCATCCCCAACTACAAGGAAGAGATGGAGACCTTGGCCGAAACCCTTGGCGTCTTGGCGAGCCATCCTATCGCCCGCGAACACTACAAGGTGCGCTTCCGTCGGTGATGTTGGAGCAGAGTGGCGGCCATCGAGCGCATTATCATCTGGGGGGGGGGTCGCTGTTTTCCTCTGCTCGCATGGCTGTGTTTTTTGTCTCAGCCTCGGATGCCTCGCTTGCCCATGCCGTTGTCGATCTGTTCGTTCCGTTTATCATGCTCGAGTATCTTGTGCACCCGTCTCGCACCCGGTCTTGTGCTCTGTCGCTCGAATGGTCTTTTGCTCAGCTCAGGCTTGTGCTTCGTGTCTCGCACCAACCCACACTACGCTCATTCCGCTGCTTCCCTTCTGGCTCACTCGCCCGTCTCCATATGCATCATTTCGCACCCGCGTCCGTTCACCGATAGATCTGCCTCGCCATGGAAGAGACCGAGGCGGGCTGCGTCACAAAGGCCGAGATCCTCAAGTCGCAATTCTCGGCCTCGTTCCAGGACATTCGCCACACCGTCCATCCCAAAGGCATCGTCGGCGAGTCCCGCGGCAAGTCCAGCAACGTCTCGTGGGCGGCCCGTGAGATGTCGCAGTACCTCCAGGGCGAAAACAACATCGTCGTCACCGTCATGGACGCCGACACCTGCTTTGCCCAGGACTATTTCACCTTCATCATGCAGCGCTTTGCCGCTGCCTCTCGCGACACCCAGCCCTGCATGATGTTTGCCCCATGCATCGTCTTTGATCGGTGAGTCCTGCTCCGGCCAGAGCCTCTGGGAGGAGCCACATCGCCTCCTTTGGCTCCCTGTCGCCGTTGCCAAACCTTGCTTTTGCCCCCACCCACCCACCACCCACCCGCACCAGCCCACGTCCATACCATCGATGGCCTGCGTCTCGGTCCGCACCGCCCCGGCGCAATCGACACTCTGGATCACCACGCCTGTATCCCCACATATCTGTTCCAAGCGCAGGCCCGGCGCTGACACACATCCCGCCCTTGTGTTCTTCCCCCCCCCATGCAGCAACTCCAACGAGATCCCGGCCGTCGTCCGCACCGGCGACAACATCTGGGCCATGTCGGTCATGTCCAATATGTATTCCGGCTCGTCCGTCACCATTCCGTGCTCGGCGTACTCGCTCTCGCTCGACCTCGTCCGGCACGTCGAGTTCTGGGACGTTGGCCCCGAGGGTATCGGCGAGGACATGCACATGTACCTCAAGTGCTTTTTCCTGACCGAGGGTCGTGTCCATGTCGAGCCCGTCTACTCTCCCGCCTCGCAGTGCAACGTTCAAGACTCTAGCACCCTCGCCACCATCCGTGCACGATACACCCAGGCCTCTCGCCATATGTGGGGCGCCCTCGATACCGGCTACACCCTCAACCATGCTTGTCATGCCCTCTTTGAGCCGCAGCATGCCCTGAGGTCCCTCAAGGGCGACCACTTCCTGCACTCGGGCGAGATCCAGGTCCCGCTGCCCAAGCTCTTCCATCTGGTCCACCGCGTCGTCGAGGCCCACGTCCTACTCTACCACACCATGCTCATCACCTTCATCACCTCCCTCACCATCCCGAACGGACCCTCAAGCATCGGCGCCGTGATCATGCCGCTGCTCACCAGCCAAGAGTCGCTCCACCCGTACGTCGAGCTGGCCGTTTTCGTCGGTGGCTACATGCGGTTCTTTTGCGCCATCCCGTTCCTCTGCCAACTCTTTTACTACGAGCGGTACCATCGATGGGTCGGATTTGAGCGCTGGAAGCAGGACGGGCTCCTGCCAGTGTCGCGCCTCGGTCGCCGCACCCAGCTGTCGGCCGAGCGCTCGCTCTGGTATGCCCTGGACTGGCTGACCCTGCCCGTTGTCGGCGCCCTGTTTGCCGTCTTGCCGACGATGCGTGCGCAGATCTGCCATCTGTGGACCAACAACCTCGACTATGTCGTTGCTGGAAAGCCCACCGTTGCTCCGCTCAAGCCCGAGGAAATCCCCATGATCAGCGCCAGTGCTCCGATCGTGTCGATCTCGGGTGCGCGTGCAGAAAGCACCGACGGCAGCGACGACGACTACGACGACGATAATGACGATGACGACAAGGCCTCGACTCGCACCATGGTCGATTCGGCCTTTTCCGAAATCTCGGACGAGCCCTCGTCGCCATAGCCAACAGTGCATTCCTCTGTGTGCGAATCTGATAGATAGATCCAGACTACCATCACAGCCATCGCGACAACCATTGCGACAGCCATCGCCGACTCAATGGCCATAACCACTATCGCCGCCAACGGCACAACCATGCCACCACGAGTCTCTGTCTTTGCCTCCCGTGTATGATACAAACGAGTGCCTTCTTGCGGCGGCGGTGTTCTCGCGTGTTGCGCATCCTCTCGTTCCCATATCCCCGTCTCTTCTCTTCTCTCATCACATCCTCCCCAGCGGTTACAAAAACAAATCGGGGGGAGAGAGAGGAAGTCTGTGCATTTTTCATGGCCGGTGGCTATTCTTGTTGTCTAAGCTGTATTTTCTGGATTCTGAATACACATATTGCCTTTCGTTCCCTTCCGTGCGCAGCCCTGTCGTTGTATGCTGCGGGACCGCCATGTGTACGATCGCTGCGTGTGAGTCGGACATTGAGGAGGCCAAGAAGGAGACGCATGCATCGACGAAGATGGTTCGAGGCAGCGACATGGCTCGGCGGTCCATGGACGAAGATGCGGATGGCACTGTTTTCGCCAGAACACCCCGTGCCTTTCCTGTGCACCTTGTTCTGTGGAAGCAGGCGATGGCCAGCCGAGATCTTGAGACTCCCAGCCCACTTTTGCCTCCATCTCTGTCAAGTGGGTCTGTTGGTTTCAGCCCCCCCCCAGTCCGTGAAGAGAACAGGAACAAAAATGAGAGTCATCATCAAGGGTGGTGTCTGGAAAAACACCGAGGATGAGATCCTGAAGGCGGCCGTGATGAAATACGGCAAGAACCAGTGGGCCCGTATCTCGTCGCTGCTGGTTCGAAAGGTATGAGCGCGCGGATTTTGGAAACCGGAACAGGAGGACATGCGAACTCCCCTCTCGAGGCAGAGGACACGGCACTCTGCAATATTGCAGAAAGAAGCAGAAGCAGTGGATTTGCATTGTCGAGGCAAAGAGAACATCCACGCACTCTTCGTTTTGCCCTTCGCTCTCCTCGTCCACTCAACCGAACTGACCTGGACTGAACCATTCCCTCCCCGACGCCGTGCTCAGACGCCCAAGCAATGCAAGGCCCGCTGGTACGAGTGGCTGGATCCGTCCATCAAAAAGACTGAGTGGTCCAAGGAAGAAGACGAGAAGCTGCTCCATCTTGCCAAGCTGATGCCCACCCAGTGGCGAACCATTGCTCCGATCGTCGGCCGCACCCCGGCCCAGTGTCTGGAGCGATACCAACGCCTGCTGGACGATGCCGAGGCCAAGGAGGCCGGTGTGGTAAGCGAGCGGATCGTGGTGGGCCTGCGAGCCTGGGGAATCGGCGACACGACGGGGGCTCAGTCGCTCCAGCTCGACACTATCAATGGTGGGCTCCAGGCGGCTCCAGGCGGCTCCAGGCGGCTCCAGGCGGCGTCGTGTCTAATGCATCCATGGTTCAAACAGGACGATGTTGGCCCCAGTGGCGATGACGTTCGTCGCCTCCGAACTGGCGAGATTGATCCTGATCCCGAGACCAAGCCTGCTCGTCCCGACCCTGTTGATATGGACGAAGACGGTGCGTATCCACAGCCATTTGTCCCGAAACGAGAGCCGCACAATCATCCGACAGAGCACACCCCCTCCCAACGACATCGCCTGACGGATGGATCGATGGGGCCGCACCGTGCACATCTGCTCCCCCGCTGTTCCCGGGCCACTGATTGACCCCGGACACCGATCTCGACTTTGCAGAGAAGGAGATGCTCTCGGAGGCCCGCGCCCGTCTGGCCAACACCCAGGGCAAGAAGGCCAAGAGAAAGGCTCGTGAGAAGCAGCTCGAGGAGGCTCGCCGTCTGGCCTCCCTCCAGAAGCGTCGCGAACTCAAGGCCGCCGGCATCGAGATGAAGGTCCGCTCCAAGAAGCGCGGCATGGACTACAACGCCGAGATTCCGTTCCACACCAAGGCTCCGGCTGGCTTCTGGGACATCTCGGACGAAGTCGATCGTGAAAAGGCCGTCAGCAAAGACAAGTCCAACATGCTCCTGTCCAAGCTGGAGGGCAAGCGGCGCGCCGAGCAGGAAGAGCACGATCGCAAGCAGGACGCCAAGAAGCAAAAGCGACTCAAGGAGACTGGCGAGTACGTGCCTCCCCAAGCGATCCGTGCCGCCAAAGAGCTCCAGCAAAACAGCCAGCGGCGCCCGCTGTCGCTGCCGGCACCGCAGGTCGGCGAGGGCGAGCTCGAGGAGATCATCAAGATCGGCTATGCCGGAGAGTCGGCCAAGGCCATCGTCGACACCGACGACTCGGTTGCCTCCAAGACGCTGCTCAACGACTACTCGTCGATCCGCGCCGGCACCCCGGTGCGCACTCCGCGCATGACCGCTGCCGTCGATCCGCTCAAGATGCAGGCCCGCAATCTCCGTGCCATGACCGAGTCGCAGACGCCCCTGCTCGGTGGAGAGCTCGCCTTGGAGGGCAGCCTGTCCTTTGACTCGATGACTCCCAAGCGCACCACCGTGCAGACTCCCAACCCACTGGCCGCCCACCTCACGCCCCGTGCCGGAGTCTCGATGACCCCACGCGTGGAAATGACTCCCGGGGGTGCTGCTGCCGTTGCCAAGACGCCGCTGCGCGACCAGATGGGCATCAACACGCCTCTGGGCTCCGAGCATGGCTTTGGCGACTCGTACGGCGGCAAGGCCCGACAGAACCTCATCCGCAAGCAGCTTACCGAGCAGTTTGCCAGCCTGCCCAAGCCTAAGAACGACTTTGAGATTGTCGTGCCCGGCAAGCCCTCCAAGGAAGCGACAGCCGTCAGCACATCCCAGAGCAAGATCGACGAGGACGCCTTTGACATTGCCCAGCGCGAGAAGACCCGCCAAGACGATGAGCGCGAGCGAGCCCTGCGCGGCCGCTCCAAGCCCGTCCAGCGCGACCTCCCTCGCCCCAACGTCGACCCCAGCCAGCTGCTGCCGTCGCTACACAAGTCCGATGCCGACCTCTTGGTGTGCGAAGAGATGAAGCGCATGATCATGTACGACAGCGTCAATTTCCCGTCCGTCGGCCAGGTCGGCACCAACTTTGCGGCTCCTGCCCTCGAGGTCTTTACCGAGGGCGAGCTGTCGCTTGCAGCCCAGCTGATCGCAGAGGAGTTTTCCAAAATCAAGCTGCAGGTCGACGAGCTCATTGGCCGCAACAACGAGCGCTTCGAGAGCGAGCACGAGCGCATCTTGGACGACTACATTCTTGTTCGGCCTGCCCAGGAAGGCTCGAACCCAACGTACCAGAAGATCGACAGCCTCGCCAGCGAAGGCTTGGTCGCGGCATATCAACATGACTTTAAGAATGTCCGCCAACTGATGCAGCACGAAGCCGAGCGAGCACAAAAGATCGAAAAGAAGCTGGGCGTTGTTCTAGGCGGCTACCAGGCCCGCAGTCTCAAGCTCCGCAAGACCCTGGGCGAGACCTGGAACACACTCGAAGGCGTGCAGATCGAGCACGAGTCCTTCCTAAAGCTCAAGACCCATGAGGACATTGGCGGTCCGCTCCGTGTCGAGCAGCTCCGCGACGAGACCGAGGGCCTGGCCAAGCGCGAGCGTGAGATGCAAGAGCAGTACCGCAATCTGCTGCAGGAGCGCGACGAAATCATGGCCCTCATGAAGGACAAGGAACGCCGAGACGTCGAGGAAGAGAGCCGAAAGGAGAAGGAGCGCATCGACAACCTCAAGGCCGACGACACGATCTGGGCTGGATACGAGCAAGAGTAGCCGTCGATGCCAGTCGCAAGAGCTGGTAGCCCGTCGTATCTTTGGCCCCACCAGGCGACCGTTCGCACACGATTCCAAGAATACGGGAGCACGAGAGCCCGACGGCCACCTGCTGCTCCTCAATAAAGTACACTCTGCGCATGGGAAATCTGAGCACCCCCATTCCCGTTTCGACAGCGCAATCCCGTCATAGCCTGCATGCAACAGGCCATAGGCAATCAAAAGGATTGTAGCATTGCAGTGCAGCGACGGATGGATGTGAGTTCAGGAACCAGAGGCGACAGTGCGGTTTGGCGCCATCGCTCGACGGACCCTCCTGCTGGCGCTGCTCTTGGCTCGGAGTGCGAGCAGGATTTTCTGCGGGCTCTCCCACCCAAGTCCAGGCGGGGTCAACATGCCTCCACACATTCGAGCCGTATCCAGACCTCCATCGAGCACTGCATCCCACTCCATAGTCCTGATATCCAGCTTGCCAGGCGGCCAGCTGTCTGGAGGCTATGCTGGGCCCCCCCCCTCCCCGATTGATGCCGCTCTGCCCGGACTGCACCCTATCCGGAGGAGCCCGCCTTTTGTTGGTCTGCACTGGCCCCAGGAGCCTCCGCCGGCTGCGGGATTGCTTCGGCGCCATCCCGCCTGCATCGACACTGTCCCCGCCAACGACACCCACCGTTTCCGCAACCGCTCTCGGCCCGTTCTTTCATTTCTTGTCTTGATCAGGAGTGCATCATCGCCATCGCCATCGCTTCTGCAGAAGATAACTTCCTTCCCCTTCTCCTTCATCCTCGCCACGCATTTGAGTCGTCGCTGTCCGTCGCATTCTCCAGTCATCCAAGGGAAGCCGCCGCCGCCCAACAGCAGACACCATGGCACCCCGATCCAGCCATCAAAGCCATGTCTATGCCGCCGTCTACTCGGGTATTCCCGTGTTTGAGATGATGTCACAAAACGTTGCGGTAATGCGCCGCCGGCTGGACTCGTTCCTGAACGCCACCCAGATCCTCAAGGTTGCTGGCATCGAGAAGGGCAAGCGCACCAAGATCCTTGAGAAGGAGATCATGATCGGCGATCACGAAAAGGTTCAGGGTGGCTATGGAAAGTACCAGGGCACTTGGTATGTACTGCAATGTTGCCGCCGATCTTGGAGAGGCAGGGGTGAGGTGGACACCGGTTTCTGCCCATCCCATTTTCATGAGTACGCGAACTGCCTCATGAAGCCAGCATCGGGCTGCCTTTGTCGGCCAATGGTGTCTGCGATCCCCCTCCCAATGATCCCAGATAGAATGCATTTCTGCCAGACACTCTCCTGTTCTTCTTCCCAGCTGGCTTCTTTGCCGCTTCGTTCCATTCTGCAACCGCTGCTCGCACTCCCGCTGACCATCGACACATCCGTCCGGTCGGTCACTCGCCCATGTCCCCGCAACCTCCGGATTCCCATGATCTTCAACCGACCCAAGGGTGCCATTCGAGCGCGGACTGGCGCTCGCCAAGCAGTACGAGGTCGATCATCTCCTCCAGCCCCTCTTTGAGTTCAACATGGGCCCGGGCAGCGACATCGAGGCCCCGACAAAGGAACAGTTTCTCTCCCAAAACAAGCTCGCCAAGTCCGCTGCCGGCTCGTCCAGCATCATCATCTCATCTCGCCGGCTTTCCAAGCTGAATTCGTCCGCCGGTTCAACGGGCTCGCCCTTCAAGTCCTCATCGGTGCGAGTCTCCCGTGAGCGTCGTGCTGGGCGGTCGGCCCACCGCTCCAGCGACGACGACGAGGATGATGAGGATGAGGACGAAGATGCCGACGACGAGGAGTACGAGGAGCAAGACGACGACGACATCCCGCCGGAAGCTGCTCCATGCTTCCAGGACGAGGAACACGCTGGTCTTGCTGGAAGTGCATACTCGGTCGAGACCGACGATGGTTCCTTGAGCGTCCGTCGGTCTGAGCGAAACATGCTGAAATCTGCGCTGGCATCCAGCGTCGTTGCTGACGAGCCTATCGAGGTCACCCAGGATGTGCAAATGGAATCTGACGACGACCACGAGTCGTCGCCGAGGTCTCCGGGATCGGACGCCCTTCACGCCCGCTGCAGTCCGCTTGCTCCAGCCCGAGACGGCCGCGATGGCGAGCCCGATCTCCTGCCGGCCACCAAGCGCATGCGGATGGAGGACACCAGCGCCTACAGCTACAACGGCTGCAACACCGTCTTCTATCCTCCCGTCCATTCGTTCGAGTATGCCGAGAACAGCATGGAGAACTACCGGGCCATCCTGCTTGCCGGCTTTCTTCACGACGACCCTGGCTTTGTCCCGGAGATCCTGACCAGCCCCGACCCGCTGCCAGGCTTCGATCCCGACGTTATCATCGATGACCAAGGACACTCGGCGCTGCATTGGGCCGCAGCCCTGGCCCGCGTCCCTATCTTGGAGCTGCTTCTGAAGAGAAAGAGTAATCCGCGCCAGGTCAACCACTGCGGCGAGAGCGCCCTTGTCCGGGCAGTGCTCTTCATCAACAACTACGACCACCAAACCTTTGGCGAGGTCCTCGATCTCCTCGAGGAATGCATTCCCCTCGTGGACAAAAAGAAGCGCACGCTGATGCACCACATTGCCAATATCTCCGGATACAAAGGCCGTCGCCAGGCTGCCCGGTACTATATGGAGTGCCTTCTTCACTTTATGGCCGAGAACAGCGCCGACTTTGCTGCCATGGTCGATCTGCAAGACAAGAACGGCGACACGGCGCTCAACATAGCCGCCCGCATGGGCGACCGCAGCCTCGTCGAGCAGCTCCTGAACGTCGGAGCCAACCCGAACATCTCCAACCTGGCGGGACTGAGGCCGGTGGACTTTGGATACAATCTCTCGGCTCCTTTCACACCGCGCTTCGATACCAGCGTGAGTCCTGCGCTCCAATGTGCATTCCCACGCTGCTTGCGGTCACCTTGGCTCTTGGTACCGGACACCGCCTCATCGTGCACGCAAGCTGAACCACACTGCTGCTCCCTGCTCATTCTTGTTCATTTGTAGGGCGGCGCTCAGACAACTCAGCTCCTTGGTAAACGACATCACCAAGACACCGCCCACCAGTCGTCCGACCAGCCCAGCGCCATCCCCGCCTCCACGGGATCTCCCTTTTCAAGCGCCCACAAGACCGACATGACTGGAGCAATACCGCTGGCCATCGTGGATTCATCCGGGATCGGCACGATCGTCAAATACCCGACGCTTCTGTCGTGTGACGAGGTCATGGAGACCGACACATTGGGCTCGACAAGCAACGATAGTGCTGGCTCGGACCAAACTACTGCCCTGCCAGCATTCGCTCCAGCCCATGCTGCCCAGCACGCCAAAGTCGGACAGGAAATTGTGTCGAGTATGTTGAATCTTGCTGCGCCGTAATCGAATCCTCGCATCGTTTGGATGACCGTGGCCTGGTGCCTGTTACTGGCCCTTGCTGCTCGCCCGTGGCATGGTGGACCCACTGCTGGTGCCCATCGCTGGCACAATCGTTGATGGTTACTGACTGCTCGTCCCTGTAGCCGTACAGAGCATGATCGACGCCATGAGCACTACATTTTCGAATGAGCTTGCCTACAAAGAGGAGCTCCTGGCGACCACTCGACAGCAGCTGAGGGACATGGTCAAGGAACTCGCCGAACTGCGGGCCACCAACGAAACACTGCGCCAGCAAGCACTGCAGGTCCCCGAGCTGCTGGAGAGAATCTCCAATCTGACTGCGTGGCTGAAGGAGGCTGCCGACTCCAAATCGGTTGCTTGTACTGACGGTCTCGGCCACTTGGCGGCAACAAGCAGCGCCAACGAAGGCGGCGTCGGCGGTTTGGCGACGGTTGATATCCATTCGGAGATTGCCCAGCTACGCCAGCGACTTGAAATGGTCCAGAAGAGCGAGCAACAGCTTTTATCGGAGCTAGTCGAGCTCAAGTCGTGCTGCAGCCCCAAAAACCCGCCCGTGTCGAGATCCGGCTCCGCAACGGAGGGCTGTGAGACCGTCGCCACAGGCGATAAGGACCACAGAACCAACGCCAAGGGAGCAAACGGTAATGCCAACGCTCGAGTCACGCATACCCAGCAAGAGGAAACAGCGAACCAGGACACGACCATGTTTGCACACGAGCAGGCCGGCGACTACTTCAAGTACAAACGCATCGTTGCCAAGTGCTGCCAGGTCGATTACGACAAAGTCGACAGTCTCCTCCCAGGACTGTTGGCGGCGGTCGAGACGGACCAGCACTGCGAGCCGAGCCAGATGGCCCACTTTCTGGGCTGGATAAAGCAGCTGCGGGCCTCCGAGGAGACAAGCAAGCCGCGCGAGTAGAGATGTTGCTGGTGGGAAGCGGCCGTTCCTGCATTGTTCTGCGGCGCCCTGGGAGGAGCGAAGGACGGGTACAATTCATCCACAAAATGAACCGCACTTGATTCCGAGCAAGAACTGGCCGCTGGAATGACGCTGCGCCGAGGGTGAGCAGAATCGGCGTGCCCATCGGCGTGCCCATCAGCCCGGCAGGAATGGAGCCGTGGTGGCGGGCGGATTGCGCTTGACTCTGGATGGCTGCGTTCTCCTGCCGCATATCTGTTTTGCAGCGCCGAGGGCAAACTGCAGCACAATCCGGTTGTCATCGAATGCCAGGTGTCGATGGCATCGAACATGGACCTGCAGTCGCCTCTGGCCGACAATCGCACGCATCTCCGCGGCCCACCCCGCCCTGCCGTCTGCTCGCCACCCCCACCCTCTGGAAACGTGGCTTCTCAGGCCGCTCTGGTGCTCGGCGTGTTGCTTGCCTGCCCAGGTTGCCGCTGGGCTTCTGCCTCCAAGCCGCCTGGCGTGCTGGCAGCGACCGCGGTTCGATCCGGCGCGCGGTGCCACGGACAATCCACCCAAGGCCTTTTCTTGCCACGGCGACTGCCCCGATGCCGTCCCTGGCCTGTCTCGGTCGCTGTGCACACCTGCCCTCGCTCTTCCCGGTGGCCGTTGGGCTGGTCGGCCGCGCATGTCTTCGGTCAAGGTAAGCAAGTACACCGACGGCACCGTCCTGGCTGGCTGCGAGGAGGGGGCCTGCGTTGCTCCTGTCATCGCGCATGCACCGGTCTGGTCTGGTCCGGTCCTCCTGTCGCACCTCGGGCAGCCAGCATCGCCAGGCCCAGCGGGACCGATTCCTTGGCGGCGGCGGCTGCGGGACTGCCCTGTCGAGCTGCGGTGTGGAGAGCCTTTCTGGCATGCACACCAAGCCGCAAGTCCGAAGGATGGGAGAGGTGCATTGAAGCCGATGCGATTAGCCTTGCGTGTGATGACCGGACGGCAAATTAATTGGAGCGGCTTGCGGGGGGGGGCTTTTTTTTTTCGGTGTCCCAGGTGGTCGTCAGGGTCCGCCCGTTCAACTCCCGCGAAATATCCAAGGCGTGCAAGTGCATCATCAAAATGCAGGGCCCATCAACGGTCATTACAAAACCGCTCAATCCATCGGCATCACCGTCGCTGGAACCATACAAGTCTCAGCAACAGACAGAAGAGTCGCTCATCAAACACTTTACCTTTGACGCCTCGTATTGGTCCTTCGATACCGACCATGCGAACCATGCCAACCAGGAAACCGTCTACCAGGATGTCGGCAAGGAGCTGCTCGAGCACTCGCTCGAAGGCTACAACGTCTGCATATTCGCTTATGGGCAGACAGGCTCCGGCAAGGTAATGTGGCTGGCTCCTCCGCACCTCATCGACGGCTCGATCACTATCTGCGGCGATCATGTCGGCTTGCAGATGCAACGACAGCAGGCTCGGTGGTGCGATATCCTCAAACAGCCCGGGATCGAGGGGGCAGCTCCAGCCCTTCGTTCCGCCTCCTTGGATCGACAAGGCGGCTCGCTGGCCGGGGGGTTTGGGACGCTGCCTTCCGACCTTTGGTGCCATCCACTCCAGCACTATCGCTGCATCGACTCTATCGATTTCACTGCCACTGCAATGCCATCGACACCATCGGTGGTATCGACGCTGCCGGAACTGGGCGATCGTTTTTATCTTCCCCATGTCAACCGCCGCCACCGTCTGACACTTCGTCCTCTTGATCGCCTCCGACTATTCCTCTCAATCTGCAGTCGTACACAATGATGGGATATCAGGACTCGCACGGCATCATCCCGCGCTTCTGCAAGGATCTCTTTGAGCAGATCGAGGCCCGGCAAGACGAGCACAAGTCATTCTCCGTCCAAGTCTCATACATGGAGATCTACAACGAAAAGGTCCGTGATTTGCTCAACCCCAGCAACAAGGGCAATCTGCGGATCCGGGAGCATCCCAGCCTCGGTCCGTACGTCGAAGATCTGAGCAAGATGCTTGTCAACTCGTTCGAAGAGGTGTCGGAGCTCATGGACGAGGGCAACAAGGTTCGTAGATGCTACATCATCAAGCAATCGGTCTGGCATCAACGGTGATGATGACGGTGTCCGTTCCTGATCGGGCGATATCGAGGAACCGGTCCGGGCGATTGATTTGCTCGCTATTTCATTCATCTCTGACACTGCACAACGCCGACCGTCCAGGCCCGCACCGTCGCCGCAACCAACATGAACGAAGTGTCCTCTCGTTCCCATGCCGTCTTTACCCTCAACTTGACCCAAAGACTCACCGAGCCCATGTCCGGACTGCAGTCTGAAACCGTCTCGCGAATCTGCCTCGTTGATCTGGCAGGCTCCGAACGAGCGGACGCTACAGGCGCAACCGGACAGCGCCTCAAAGAAGGCGCCAACATCAACAAGTCGCTCACCACTCTTGGCAAGGTCATCTCGGCGCTTGCTGAAAACAGCTCGTCGCAAGCAGGCAGCTCCTCCACAATCAATTCTCCACATGCGCTCAGCAAGCGGTCCAGCAGCAGCTCGCTCCGCAGCGATGTCTCGCTCGGCCGCAAGGCCAGTATTCTGCGTAAGAGCGACCATCATATCCCGTATCGAGACTCGGTAAGGCGCAATGCAATCAAATGGATTGGAGTTGCGATGAGATCAGCTCCAGCAACCCACCAGTGCCCGCGACCAGGAAACTCTGCAGTGTCTGGACTGGCCCGCCGCTGGGTGCAGCATACTGATCCTCCATGTCTGTCGTCCTGGGACGTATCTGCGTGCACTAGGTGCTCACCTGGCTGCTGAAGGACTGTCTTGGTGGTAACTCCAAGACCGTTATGATCGCAGCCATCTCGCCGGCTGATGTCAGTTACGACGAAACCCTGTCGACTCTCCGGTACGCGGAGCGGGCCAAGAGGATCGTCAATAAGGCTGTAATCAATGAGGACTCGAACGGCAAGCTAATGAAGGAGCTGCAGCGCGAAGTTGAGGTACTGAGAGCCCGCCTGGCTGCGTACGAGAGCGACCTGACCCGCCCCAAGCTCAGTATCCAGATCGACAACAGCCGATCTCAGACCGGCACCGAGACTCCGACCAAAGTCAAGTTCAAGGATGTGCCTGTTTCCGCACCAGCCTTCACGATCGAGGAGGTGGACGAGCCCCAAGAGCCTCGGTCCGAGAGCCGGGCCGAGACTGAGAACACGGACATGAGCACCCTCAAGGACCAGCTCGAGGCGACCGAGAAGCTCATCACCGAGATTACGGAGAGCTACGAAGAGAAGCTGGTAGGCACACACGGCGAGCGCATGCGCCTGCTTTGGTCGGTGTTGCATCGCGCTCGTGCGTCACTCTGCTGTGTGGCTTTGCTAACCATCGCCTTCCGCGCTGCAGAAAAAGACGCAGCTGATCCAGTCCCAGCGGGAAAAGGCCCTCATGGAGATGGGCATTGCGCTGGAGCCCTCCAAGACAATTGGCCTGTATACCCCACAGACGGTTGCCCACTTGCTCAACCTGAACGAAGACCCGCTCATGAACGAGTGCCTGATCTATCACATCCCCAAGGGCGAAACCGTGGTTGGAAGCCAGGAGGGCGCTGACATTCTGCTGAGCAGCGATATGATTCTCCCGCACCACTGCACCTTTGTCAATAACGACGAGGAGAAAAAAGTCTTTGTCATCCCGACCGAGGGCAGCATGGTGATGGTCAACGGCCATCTTGTTTCCGAAAAGTGCCGCCTCAAATCGGGGTTCCGCCTGATCCTCGGCAGCAACCACGTTTTCCGGTTCAACAACCCCGAGGAACTGCGGATGGAGCGCGCCAGCTCGGGGGCAAGTCAGAAGCGGACCTCACATCTGTCCTTTGCGACCTCGCCCGAGAGCGGCGAAGGCTCATCCGCCACCGCCGGCAGCGACGTCATTGACTGGAACTACGCTCAACGCGAGCGCGAGCGCATCAACGGCCCCATGGACGGCTTCCCTGCTGTTGGCAAGGGATCGCTTGTCGTCGGCGACGCATCGGCCCCACATACCCGCGAAAGCTCCGTCAGCCAACCCGAGCAGTCCAGCGAAGCTGAAAGCCATCCCGAAGTCGACAAGCTCATCCATGACATGGAGACCCAGATGTATGCCGTCCGCGAACGCGAGGCCTCGCGGCTCATCGAGGAAAGCATGCGAGTCGGAAAGGAGATCATGCAGATGGAGGATCATCTGCACAAGGAGCAGCAGCGCCTCGAGCAGATCCGATACGAATACGAGAAAGAGCAGACCAAGCGCATGTATCTCGAAAGCGGTCTGGCCACGTCGCCGGAGCCCCCGATCCCCGGTGCCATCACCCAAGGGATCCTGGTCGGTAGCCCCAAGAAGATAGAGACTCTCGGCGCCGCATCGGTAGCACCGACCGACAATGGCGTCAACATCGAAGAGCTCGAGCGCACTCTCCAGATGGAGACTCAGAAAGTCCAGGTGATCGAAGAAGAGCTCAAGATCGAGAAGGAGCGGATGGAGCGACTTCTGGAGATGCAGCGACTGAACTACGAAGCCAAGCTGCGGCGCATTTCGGTCAAGGCCAAGGGCAGCTCGCAGGCCGGATCGACATCGTCACTGTTTTCGCCGCATCACCAGCAGCTTGCCCGCAAGTTCCTGGCGCGCTGGAGGTCGCGAAAGTTCATCAAGCTGGCCGAGGAGATTCTGACCAACACCGTCAAGCTCAAGGAGGCCAATGTCATTGCCCAGGAGCTCCGCAAGCAGGTCATGTTTCAGTTCGTGATCGTTGACAACCACTTCAACGAACCGACGCGCTCGTTTTGGGAGGTACCGACGGGCTCGCGCGGCAACTTGGCCAGGCCGGCTGAGCAGCCCTCCGAGGCAGCCGTATTGGGCGACGCCAAAGCCTTGCAGCCGGACAAGCCGTACCTCGGCGTCCGGGTCATGGACATGCGCAGCGACTCGATCCAGATCTGGCCGTTTTCTACGTTGGCCGAGCGGCTGCCGCAAATGCAGGGTCTCTACAACTTTGGCGACACCTCGTCGCTGCCGACGTTCACACCGCTGCCGACCTTCGAGGATCCCTTCCGCGGCACGGTTCATCCTTACTTTGACTTTCTTGGAGTCGGCTGGGTCTCGGTGAACAACCTCGCATTCGGATTCACCAAGGAGACGGTGTGTCCCATCATTCAGCTGGAAACTGGCGAGACCCTCGGCCGTCTGCGGGTCATCATCAGCCCAATCACTGCCGACAACAACGCGCCCTCACGCAAGCCTGGATACCGCCGCAAGAAGGCCAGGCCCGCGCGCTCGTCCAGCAGGGCAAAGGATAGCACCGATGAGGACGACGACGAGGACGAAAGTGGCAACGAAAGCAGCGACGAGCACGGCAGCGACGACGATGCCGGAAGCGAGTACGACAGCGATGACTTCCAAGACAGCCCGCCGCGTTCGCCGATTTCCCTGGACGAAGGCAAGGAAATCTTGTTTGAAGTCTCGGTCCTGGAGCTCCAGGGCATCTCTGAAACCGAGTACACGCAGCTGCACTGCCAGTTCCGTCTGTCCGAGTTTGGTGCCCAGGAAGACGAGAACCGCAAGAATACCGCGCGCAAGCTCAGCATCGCACAGACGCTCCTTCCACTCGGGTTTGGCGGCGAGGCGGGCGAAGACCAGACCAGCGAGGCACTGCCATCCAGCCAGACGACATTCCAACCAACTGATCGTGTGTATGCCACCGATCCGGCCGTGGACTTTGGCGACACCTGCCAGTTCGACCTGACGCAGTCGGTCAAGATCAAGGTAACGGACCGAGTCAAAGACATCATCGAGCACGGCATGGTGGCCTTTGAGATCTTTGGACGACGATGCCACACGGTGCAGGAACTGGTCGACAACGAGCTTGGCCCCAGCCTCTCCGACTCGGACTCGGACGACGATGGTTCGGTGCACCGGCCGAAGTCAGTCATCTCGCGCACGAACAGCGTCCGTACGGTTCGCACGACGCGCTCGATTCGATCGATGATCAACCTGAACCCCAACGACGACGAGAGCGAGCTCGAGCGACACAGCATCCTGGCCCAGCTGCAGATCCTCGAGCTGTCGCACACGGACGGACGGTTCAAGTATGTCCCCGTCCAAGACGCGGCCGGGTCGATAAACGGGGTCACCGGCGTCTTTTTGATGCGACAGGGCCTTCAGCGTCGGATATCGCTCAGAATCACCCACACCAGCGGCAAAGAGTTCCCTTGGTCGACGATCACCGCCATGTCTGTCGGCAACATCCGTCTGGCGCCGACAAATAAGCTGCAAGAGGCAGCCTCCGGCGACAACAACATGATCTCGCTCAACGTGACGGAGAAGGAGAAGAAACTGGCGATTGTTGCCCGCGATGGGCGGACGGTGCTGGAGGTCGAGTGTCCATGGGACTCGTCGCTGCACGAAAGCGAGCTGCTGAACCGTGTGTCCCGGGGCAAGCGGCTGCTGATCGACGTTTGCTGGACCATGGAGACATCGCTGCTGCAGAGTGGCGAACGCAGTTCAATCGGCCCTGTGCATTTTTCCACAACCGTTGCCCTCCAAATCTACGACCGCGACTTCAAGGTCAAGGCGCTCACGAACGCCCGGTTGATGGGTCTACTCACCGGCACGGGCTTCAACGTCAAGCACATGAATCATATCAACCTGATCTACGTGATTGCACTGCAGAAAGAGCAGGAGCGTAAGCGCCGCGACTGGGCCAAGATGGATACCAGCGGGATTTATGTCCGCGGCGAGGAATGCTTGAACGGCTGGAAACCGGACGGCATCGAGCTGCTGCTGGGATACCAGAAAGCCATCGACCGGGTCCGGTGGCGTCAGGAGGTCGAAATGACTCGCCAGCGACTCGGGATGGATGTCCCAGCTTCATCGACCTCGGGCACGAAGGAGCCCGCAGGCTCACGAAGCGGCGGCGAGGCGGACAAACGCGACCAGATCCTGCTCCTGCGCAAGTGCCTGGAGCTTTGGCGGCGACGATCTACCCGCATGACGACATCCGACCTCGTAAGTGCTCAAATTTGTACGATTGGGAGTTGTAAGGATGAGAGGGAGTGTGCAAGCTGCAAACGGCCAGGTGGGATGTGCCGATTCGAGTATGCCGCCCTGAGGGCCTGTCGACGCAAGTCTCCTTGATGATCCAGACGAGAATAGGGCTCTTGCGGCTATGACGATAACCATGTTATGGCCTGGCTGCTGCATTGAAATCCAGATCCGCCTGTTCAACTGCGACACTCAAGCGCGCCAGAAGTTACCTCGGGCATACAACATTGTGATCCATTGGAAGTCGTCGATTCAGCTGTTCACCGAAACGTATGTTGTCCCTTCGTGCCCTGCATGACATGTCGGTCAAGTGTTGTCAATGTTCCGGTGTGCGCTCTCGCTCTGGTATTGCATACAGGGCGCCGGATCGACTTCCATGTGGCTGATGCCTGCTCTGTCCTTGTGGTCCTGCTTCTTGCACAATGTCCCTCAGCGGCCTGGTCTCCAAGCGCGGCTGGCTGGCCTGTCCCGAGGATCGCGGCGAGAGCTGGGTGAAGCGATGGTTTGTTATCCGTCGGCCGTACATGCATGTCTTTGCCAACAACAACGAGGCCGAGCAGATCTCGACTATCTGTCTGGAGAACGTGACCATCACAGACTCTCCGGATCTGTGGAGCATCCTGCAGGTGCGCATCGCTGCTGTTGCTGCTGTCTATGCACAAATCGGCACTTTACTTGCAGCCGAGGAAGCTCGTCTCCCTTAGAAACGTCATTTTTGCTAACCCTGTGCCATTGCTCATATTATCAGCGACCCAACGTCTTTGCAGTATCGACCAAGTTCCACAACATTTTGCTCCAGGCTCAAACGATCGAAGAAATGGCCGAGTGGATCAACACGATCGATCCGCTGCACAGCGCCGCAATCCTGAGCCGAATTGGACACGCCCGAGACTGAGGCAACATGGGCTCGTCCAGGATCTCACCTACACAGTGTGTTCGTAATAGAATGTTCACAAATGAGGCCTACGTTTAGTGCTTGATTTGGGTGGGAATACAGACAGCCGCATTCATCATCCACAGCGGCCGTCCACGGGGCACAATCAGCGTTGACCCAGACAATTACAGGCAATCCAATAAAAAACGGGACACCCGGGATTTTGACCATTGATCGAATATTTTGTTACCCAAAACCATCGCGCGCTGGCCATGACCATTCGCCACACATCCGACTTTCGCACCGCCGCATTGCGATGCTACGCCCTCATCCATAGCCTGCGTAAGGTCGCCTCCATATTCAGTGTATCCAAGAGCACCATCCATCGATGGCACCGAGGATGCAAGCTGGATGACCCATCCCGGGTCCCAGCTCGCAGATCCACTTTCTTCGAGCAGGCATGTCCAGTCATTCGCACCCTGATTGAACAGGACCCGTTCCAGACTGGTCCTGTGTTGCGATGCAAGCTCGAGTCCATCCTCCAGAGGAAAGTATCACTCTCACTCTGCCACACTGCCATCCACCGAGCAGGTCTCTCACACAAGAGGGCAACACACCTCTACAAGTCCAAGCGACTGGATGAGCGAGTGGCACAGTTCAGGGACCAGGTCCGCTCCATCGACCCGCGGCGATTCGTTTTTGTCGATGAGACAGGGATCAGGAAATCCATTTTTCCTCTTTACGGATACTCACCGAAGGGTGCTCCGCTTCGCCAGCGCAATCACATGAAACACAAGTCTGTCTCGGCTGCATTTGCCATCAACCACTCTGGTGTGCTGCATCGCATGTACATCCCCACATCATTCAAGACACACTCGATGGTCGAGTTCTTTGAGCGAGCGACCTTCCCAGACGACTCTGTGGTTGTGATGGACAATGTCAGCATGCACAAGACAAGGGCTGTCCTGGACTGCATCGAGCGCCGAGGATGGTCAGTGATCTTCACTCCACCTGCTTCACCCGACTTCAATCCCATCGAGAACTTCTTTGGGGTTAAGTCCCCACCGATTTGGGGTTGAGTTCCCATCTTTTTGGGGTTGTCCCTCCAATCACGCCGCCATTTTCACGCTCAAATCCCTGGCTTGAACCTCTCGGCGATTTTTGAACAGGGTCACTTCCCCAACCAGCCCGCACAGACGGGCTCCTGCTCTCGGGTATAAATGCCACACCTTCGTCCTGCTGCTTTCTTCCCTCATCTCGCCTTGATCTGATCATCGCGCCATTGCACGATAAAAAAAAGTCTCTGCTCTGACCAGTACCACTGGCAGGCATCCAGCATCCTCTGCCCCCATGCCTCCGAAGCGCAAGGGTGCCGGTGATGGCCAGCCTCGGCCACCCAGGCCCAAGAAAGCCAAGTCACAGTCGGAGCCTGTCTCTGGTTCGTATTCTGACCCCACACATGCTTGGTCGTCTGTTGCTCCGTCGCTCACCACCACTGCTTCTACAGATCCAATGGATGTCGATCCCACCGAGCCTGGTCCCTCATCTGGTCCTGTCAAGCGATGTCCCAAGTGCGACGGTACCGACCACGAGCGAAGCAACACCAACAGGTGTCCCGAATATCACCCCCTCAAGAGTTCTGTCGTCCCACTCGTGGATGGAAGGTCATCCGCCCCTCAGTTCAGCTGCTTCAAGCAGACGATGGATGGCTGTTGTCTCAATCCCGCTCTCCGCGACAAGATCCAGGCCACCGTCGAGGCCATGACCCAGATCCAGTTCGAGGCATCCAGGCTGCTCAACCTGCACATCCTCCGGTGCATCGAGCAGGATCTTCCCGTCCCCGTCATCTCCAAGACCACCCCTGCTTTCATCCGCCAATGCTTCAAGATCGTCCAGGCCGATGCCCTCTCGCCGACCGGGGACAATGAGAAATACAACGAGCATCTGGTCGCTTCCTTTCGCGACTACCAGACCACTCGGCACGCAGACCTGCCTCCGGCCCCTCGTCTGCCTGATGGTGCTCACAGTCAGCTTCTCACCCTGGCTGTCAATGCCTATGCCACCAACTGCACCACCCACCTCAACCTGGCCTACTGGCGACTCCTTCGCCGCTTCTGCGCTGCCGTCTTCCCAGCCAACAAGCACAAGCACGACGCCATCGAGGCCTGTCTCGAGCTCTTCGAGAAACCAGGGCAGACTCCACCCAAGGCCGATCTCGAGTTCCTCTATCCCGACTTTGGCCACATCCTGGACGAGTTTCGGTACAGCAGCGACCAGGACCGCTTCCGGGCCCTCCATCGCCTCTCACACCATGTGGGAATCCTCGCCCGGGACAAGATGGTCGACAATGTCCACAAGTGGATCGACTGTGACATGCCCGCCCTCCGAGTCACCGAGCTGCAGCGCCAGGCCAAGCTGGACGAGCTCACTACCCAAGGCATTCCCTCCGACGACAAGAGGTTCACCACGGCCAAGTCTGAGCTCGGCACCACCAAGTCCAAGATCAACAAGCTGGCCGCCAGGATCAAGTGGGCCCTCAAGCAGCTCGCTCTCGACACTCCTCCGGCCGTGTGCACGATAGTTCCTCTATGCACTGCCACGGCCAAGTATGTCAAGATTGACACGGTCACTCTCTGGCAACTCCTTGACACCGAACATCGTCTTGGACTCACCCGGGACATGCTCAAGGAAGAAGGTGAGGACGGTGTCAACAACCAGGATCGTCTCTGGCGCAGTTGCTTCAAGCTGCGTAGTTCCCTCTTCCAAGAGCGGGACGTGAACAAGAAGCTGTTCAACTACGAGATCAGCACCGATGGCATTGGATGCACCATCGGCCTCGTCAAGTTTGTGCGTCGAACCGATCGCACCGAGACCTCCGAGCCTCCTCCGACTGCCGAGCAGCGCATCCAGGCCCACATCGGCAGCCCAGACCCCGACAAGACCACTTGGATTGGCATCGATCCTGGAGTCGGCTCCATCTTCACGGCGGTCATCCAAGCACCGGGCCACCAAGACGAGGTGGTCTCATTCTCCAATGGCCACTACCAGCAAATGTGTGGCCACAAGTCCAATACTGAGTGGCACAATATCATGAAGTATCGACTCAGCATCGAGACCTGGATGTCGACCACCCCCTCGCCCAAGGTGCAGTCCTCGGAGGCTTTCAAGGTCCATCTCGCACATGTCCTGCGACCGGAGCTGCGAGTGCAGCTCGATTTCCACCTTGGCAAGAAGGCCCGTCACCATCGATTCACGGGCCACAAGAGGCGCCAAGTGGCCGTCGACAGGATGTGCAAGGCCGTCCTGAAGCACGCCCCGATACGGACCGATGTGGTGATCGCCTTTGGCAATACGTCATGGTGACAGGGCAAGGGCTATGCATCCAGCCCTCGGAGGCAGCGGTTTGCTCGGTACTTTGAGCAATTCGAGCACCACCGACGCCGTCCCAATCACCATCATGGAAGCGTCAAGGTGGCCTCGACGAACGAGTTCAACACCTCGCAAGTGTGCTCCAAGTGCCTGGAGCCAGTTCGGTTGGAAGGACTCGATGCGCCCAGTGTTGCGAATTCCCACTTTGTCAGGAGCTGCAAGAATCCCAGCTGCCGGACAGTGTGGAATCGCGACGTCAATGCGGCGCGCAACATGATCACAGTGTGCAAGTCGATTGTGGAGACCGGAGGGCGACCGGTGGTCTTCACTCGGAGGCTGCCAAAGTGATCTGTTTTATTTATTGTGGCTTTGCTAGACGCGAGCACAGCACATACTACATGTTCATGGAAACGGCTATATTGTCCCGTTTTTTTCTGAATAAAGTGTAGCACCGGCGTTCGCAAACGATGGCGCCATCTTGCCGCTGCCACTCGTCTCGGATGGCGGGATTCTGCTCCCCGCCTTGAGCAACATGACCGCTCCCTGTTACTGGCGACATTCTTCGTGCCCATCACCGCGATGCGAATTGTCAGTCAGGAGCTCTCCGACGAACACATGGCCTTATGGCCGTACGGCGTGCAGCAGCTGGAGACCGCTGTGGCCATTCTGGACCGTTTCAAGAAGTGGAAGAGCATTGTTGAGGTGGGCTGCGATGCCGTCGCCAGCGAAGCTCCCCCTGACGGCGTCGATTCCTGGCGGGTCTCGGCCGAGTGCGGACCGATGCATCGCGCGTTCCAGACCAACCCCCGGTTCTAACGATCGCTTTGCGTGTGTCGGCAGGACTTGGCCGGGTTCTTTTCTGCGATTCAGGGACTGGAGGGCGCCTCGGCCCGCGAGCACCGCCGCCTGTCATCCATCATCGAGTCGATCGAGCCAGTAGAGCATGGTGAGCGCGAAGCAGCCCGTCGCGTCGGACGAGAGCGGCCTCTGTTGGGCATCACTTTCCCACGGCTGTGGAGCCACGCCGCTGCACCGTCACAGTCGTCGTTGTGGTCAGAGTACGGTCCTGACACTTACCGCTGTGTGCTTGTAGATGCAGGTCCAAACATCACAGCCGCTCTACAGGGATCGCTGCGAGCAATGGCGGAGGAGCACAGCATGTGCGAGAAGATCCTGGGCGACAGCATCGCCAAACGGCTGCTGAACATGAAGCACGAGATACTCAAGAATCTTCGGGTACGTTTGCATATATCTTGAGCGCAATGTGCGGGGGTTGAATTTGAGATACCGGCCCGACGAGTATCGGTCTGGCGAAGGAGGATCTGATGGGCGTCGGCATCGTGAGTGTCGACCTGGGAGCATTCACTCGCATTGCAGAGTCTCATGTCCGGGTACCCTCACAGAGATACAAGAACGATCTCGACAAGCAGTTTTCTGTTATCGCCAAGATTAGAAACGAAACGGTGGCATCGATAGCCACACACGAGAAGATCCACCGGGCACAGCTGAACATCACCACAAACGGGCTAGATCCGTGGCTGACGGAGCGCATTCTGTACAGACAGCTGCATGAGATGGTGCAGGCCGAGAACAGATTCCAGGATAACGTCAAGATGCTGATTGCCGAGATCCAGGAGTTTGACCGAACCGTGGTTGTCGAGCTTAAGCGCATCTTTGAGGAGTACTCCCACATCCGCACAAGGGCGCTGACGACGCTGAATGTATGCGAGTGGCGCGGCATAGCAAGGGTGGGAGGCGGCTGCTCTGGCTGGTCCGGTCGATGTTATTCAACGTTGGCTCTGTTTCGGGTGAGCGAGACATATAGCCCAGTGCCTGATTGCTAACAATGCGACGCAAACCGCATCGGTTTCCGCTGGGAATCGATGGGTGCGCGGATGCGATGATCCAGAACCAAATGTGCCAAACCACCACGCTGGTCGAGCAAATCGATCCCACGGCCCCGTTCAAGGGATTCTCGGAGAAGAATTTCAACTTCCTCGAGTCCAGCATCTGGGATCGAGAGCGCAAGATCGACGACTTTCCGTATCTGTCCTCGGAAGTCAAGATTGTCAAACAAGGCATCATGTTTCGGCCCGGCCGGATCGTCAAGACAGCATGGAAGCCCGCGCTGTTTGTCCTGACGGACTCGTCATGGATACACTGCTTCTCTGAGTTCCGACCCGGCGAGAGTTCTGAAAGCCTCGATGCCGAGGAGCAGCGTGCGGTCTATCAGAATCTGACCAAGGCCACGACGCACTTTAGGTACAGCGAGCACGAATGCAAAGGGGTCAGGAGCACGAGCAGAGAGACGAAGGACGTAGGCATAGCCGTGCAGATGTCGATCGGTGGTCGTCTCGATACTGCGGATACTGATGCCTCTCTGGTGCCAACAATACCACCATCGAGCAGCGTGTGTCTCAGCCGCCCAAGAGTCACTGTCCAGAGGGTGGAAAGCAAATCCTCGCTCTCGATCTTTGAACTCGTGGTGCACAAGAAGAGAAAGCCCAAGCATCTCTTTAGCGCCACCGAGTCGGTGATGCGCTACGAAATCAAGGCCAACAACGAAGAGGAGGCAGAAGAGTGGGTGTCTCTGTTGCAGAGGACCATCGAGTAAGTCCGCAAACTCGTGGTTCGTGGGGTGATTTGGCGAGCAGATCTGGTTAGTCGACACGCCGTGGCGGGGACTGACAAAGGGATCGATATGGCCCCCAGGAGTTGCATTCCGGACGGCCCTCCAAAGCCCCTGTTTCGGTCCCCAACGGAGCTGATCGACTTTACCCGCCGTGGCAAGAGCGAGCACCCATTCGAGCACGCCGGCGAAAGCCAAAGAACCATCAATGCCAACATCCCGCCCGCGACAAAAGACGGCCAGCCCAGCGCCGATCCTGTCGACGGCAGCGAGTCGATTTACCACTCGCGGGCATGCACCGAGCTGGCCAATCCCGAGCATGGCGATGACCACATGCTCGGCCTGCGGCAGCTGAAGGCGATCCAGTCGGTGCCAGTGATCTACAGCCACGGCATTGCCGCAGCGGCGAAGGACTGATCTCGCCGTCTGCACGCGGAGGGGTTCGCTGGCCTGCGGCTGTGCCTCAAGCGCAGCGAGCAGGCTATGATGCCGCCCGGGGATTGGCACTCTCGACATTCCGATGCTGTCGATCCGTGCGATGGGGCTGCGGCAAAGCGAAAGAGCGGGTGCGGTGCGGATGCGGTGCATCCGCGGACCGAGCTGCCCTCTCGCACGGCACTCGACCCGCTCAAACGGAGACAGGACACGGCGTATACATAAATTGGTGTTGATTAATCACTGGACTTAATGGCGGCGATCGGCGGCGATCGACGGCCGCACTGCTGCGATGGACTCGGCCGATGTGGTATCGTGGGAAGGACATGTTTTCGCCAAACTCGACTGCGCCCCTGTGCGCAATCGCACAACCTCGATCCGTCCCGGACATCGCGACATGGAGCAACGAGGCCCGCGCAATCGCATTGCCTGCCTTCCTCTTGCCCTCATCTGCCGTCTGCCCAAACCATACCCCCCCCGTCTTCAGCATCTCCATTAGACCAAGAGCGCTTCTCTTGCATCCGCCTGGACCTATTTCCAGACAATCTGTTCCTCGCACCCCCACTCCGTTGACGCCGCTGTTCTCGTCACATCCGCACATCGCCCTACACACCCTCCCATCTCTACACCAGCCATGCGGCTCATCCAGGCCGAGACAGGCGTCATTCTGCCCGCAAAGTCATTCACATCGCTCGACAGGTAGCCCACCGAAAGGCTCTGCGGCCTGAGCGGAGGCCTTGGGTCCGCCTATATCATATTCATCAGCCATCCTGCTCGCGCTGCTTGGGCATGATGCCGGTTCACTCTGGCATCGGCCACAACCACCGGCTCCCGGATCCCTCTTCAGCATCCACCACCCTGCAGAAATCAACTCACCTTTGCCTTTCTCCACCATGAATCCCAGTCTGGACGATGTTCGGTTGGAGATACAGGCCCTGACATCAATACCCTCAAATGCACAAATCCTGCTCACATCCTCGTGCGTCCAGATGAAGCCGGAGATGATGCGGCAGCTCGAAAGCCAGTCCGATAAGGTCTCTTTTGCGTCGTCATTTTTATGTTGCCCTCCAAAATCATATGGCTGGCTAGACTCTGGTCTGGCGTCCGTCACATCGACTTGAGTCGATGCTGGCGTGCTCCGTCCGAGCATGGACTGATTCAGCCGACGATAAAGACTGCTTTGCGCTGTTTGCAAAAGCAGAGCGAGTCCAAATCCTTGCGCACCAGCGGGATGCTTGGAGTCGACGGCATCCTTCTGAAATGCGGGGGGGGGATTCGCATTGTCCGGAGATGCGTGGGTTTGTTGGTCGCCGGGGTCTGAACACTTCCATACGGACATCTGACTCTCCTTCTGGATCATCGATGCACTGGCACCAGCAGGATGAGTTTCTGATATACGTATTCAACCGCCAATTCTTGGATCCTCGAGCATCCGGAAGCTTCCCAAGGATTGCCGAGCAACTCGAAGTCGAGCCCCTCGTCTCTCTCGATGGTAAGATGCCCCTCCTCCATGTACACAAAACCTGGATATTCGTCTGCCGCATCATCGGCCGTCGGCCTGGCGCCCTGCGTCCGAGCCCAGCCGGTTGGTGCGGGGTCGGGGCCTGTCTACTGAACTGTATTCCCTTCGTCCTCTGTTCAACTTGCCCGGTCATCCGTCGGCTCATTCGGGGGTATCCCTGTGTTGGCCCCATGCTCGCGGATCGCCAGTCATCCAAGCGAGCACCCGCCGAGCAACCGATCCATTGCTCGATGCAACGCAGTCTTTCGTGGACGTCTTCAGCTCTCATGTCAAATATGGACTGGTGAGATGCTGCAGTCGCTCTTTCGTTTGGCTGGGCTCCACGTCAATGGCCCTGGGCTCTCTGCTGACTCTGGTCCGCTCCATGGCCGATGCTTTCGAATGCTCTCCCAGGCTGTGTGGCAAGCGGCAGTAAATCACTCGTCGATGTGCGAGCGTCTCCTCATCGGTATGTACAGTTCTCGACCTCGACTGCCGCATGGGGTCCTCCCCCCCCGGCTCTGTCCATGCTCAGGCAGCTGCGTCCGAGCGCATGGGCATTCGGTGCTCCGGCGATCCTGCCATCGATATCACCGATAAAAGCAGATTCAAAGCAGATTCAAAGCAGACTCATTCGATACAATCTGTGCTTTCCTAGAGCAACGAAATCAAGCCGATGCGCTGCGGATCGCCACAACCAATCTACTGGGCCACAGCCGGTATGTTTCAACAGGCGCCCGTCGGCTCTGGCCAGCATCACATTCGTGCGCTGCCGCAGCCTGACGCTTTCGAGCATGTCGCCCGGCTGATGGCTCTATTTTCCACCAGCTCTGTGTCCGAAGCATTTGATCTGTTCTACACGCAGGCCCAGAAGGAACTGGCCAAGCACTCGAATCTGCTGCAAAGGTTGGTAGACATGCACGGGCCGAAGCAGCTCTCACATTCGCAAAGTGGTTTGGGTTTGGTGTGCGAACATTGCAGCAGTGTGCATTCGCAGCGGCGTTGGAGCCTAACGATTCTCGCGGGTACCTTTCAGCTTTCCCAAGGACCTCCAAGCCCTGCATTTGATTCCGATCCACAATGCGTGCATCGTCCGCGAGCCTGCTGTGCCTATGACACCCCCAGCCAGTAAGAACCAGTTCCTCTCGGACTATGTGCCAGAAGATCGACTGCGAGCCTGGGCAGACTCTTGCCGCGAAGCGCACGAGCAGCTTGCGAAGAAGTGCGTTCAGCTCCTGGAAACCGTCAAGAGCATCAAGGAGGGCTCTGAGATTGAGCGACAACAGAATCTGGATGTCGAGTAAGTTGCGTTTGTTTCAGCGGACATGGGTATTGTCGTATAACTTGACGAAGAGCCCTCCATCGTCGCAGCAACAAAGCCAAGCAGAGCCGAGCAGAGCCGAGCAGAGCCAAGGACGACACATATCGCACGCTCTCTGATCCCGGCAATACCATTCCTTTCCTCTTTGATTCGCTGGCTGTCGTCGCCAGCTTCTCCAAGCTCGAGTCTCTCGTCCAGAGTGTCCAGGACCATTTGCGCCGGCTCAACATTCGCCAGGAGGTCCTCGAGCAAGGTGGGTACCAGCTCTGCCCTTGTAGTGATACTTCCATTTGTCGCTGCCGCGTCTCACTCAGGGATTGCCCATGTCAGATTTGCACCGAGTCCAGAGCATCATCGAAGACTCCAGGCGACCCTCGATCTACTCCGAGTCCGACATGTCCACGGCGCTCCAGCATCTCCTCGACATCCATCACAAGGAATACACTCCCGGTATGTTTCTGAGTCGCTGTCCTTGTAAAGATGCCCTTCTGACCCGTCTGTGCTTCTCGTGTGCCCCACAGAAATCGCCGAAGTCGATCGATACATTCGCGAAACAACGATTTACTTTGTCGAGATGAAGGTGCGTATTGGCGGTCGCCTAGATGCTTGTATTGTGCGCAGGATGGCAATCCAAACTGCGAGTCAACGGAATGGTGGCTGCGACAAGATGCTCTATGGTCTGCATGCCACAGTATACTCGCTGCTACGGCACCATCTCAGTTTTGCTCTCTCCACTTTGAATCTCCCAGAAATATCTCACTTCGCAGATCCTGAGCCGCCTTCAGTCCATATCCCGGCTGCAGTCCAGCATTGCCTCCGTCAACCCCATCCTCAATTCGGCGGGGGTCGCGCTGACGGCCAACTCCCAAGCATTCCAGCAACTTTTGCATGTTCATCGCATGCCACCGGCCTGGGGAGCGACCATGGTCGAGATTGTCCGCCGAAAGGAGTATGCCAGGGTCTGTACGGGCGATGCGGCAGCCGATTCGGGCTGCTCTGGAGCTTGACCGCGATGCTTGGCGAAGGTCCAGTACCCGACTCGTCCGTGGCGACAAAGCAGCACAGCGCCTTGACTGCGCTACGCTAGCATGCAAGCGCTCATATAAGTTGCCCGTTATCCAGGTGTTTGTGGCCAAATGCAAGGACATATCAGACATCTTTGTCAAGTTCACAACGCAAGAATCCAAGCGCCGAGAAAACTTCCGCAACGAGATCGTGTGCTATCTCCCAAACGGCTTGATTCAGGGACTGGATGATGCTCCACCCGCCGCAGAGATCGCTGTGCATTCAACCGATGACCACCTGCCAAACATCACCAAGGAGGACATCCGCGAGTTTGAAAAGTTGGTTGCCGGCATCCGCATCAGCGTCGGACCCGGCGAGGGGCTCCTGTCGTCAGGGACGGTGATCGGCGGCCTGGGCTCGGTCGCATCGAGCGCTGCAACGACCATTGGCGGACTCGGCCCTGGCGACTCAATATCCAAGCTGCGGGCCACCATGGTCAAGATGACAAATCAGATCGACGGCATTGCTGGGGAGTTTGAGCGGGTTGTCTGGAAGAGCGGTCTCTGCGAGCGCGGCCGCATGATCGAAGAAGAAAACGCCCGCCTCAAATCGGATCTAGCGTCCATGAGGAGCACAGCCAATCCGCTCATATCGCGCCGCCCCAGCGACTCGCGGTCGTTTGTGCCGTCCTCAACGCCTCCGGGCACGCACCCCATTAGGAACGCCTCCGGGGCATCCGTCTGACAAGCTCGGCGCTGCCCAGACTTCAGCGGCCAATCTCGGCGATCACGACGGCCAGCGCAAGATCCAAGATGAGAAAATCAAGGTGTATGAGGCGCGCATTCGGGAGCTCGAGTTCATTTTGCAGCAGCGGTACTCAAAGAGCAGGCCAGGTGAGCACATGCCCAAGCTGGCTGTTGGGACGGAGTGAACCCGCAATATCTGAAGGCGACCCTCCGGCTTGCGCCCTGTCTTGCGGGCGATGCAGATTGACTGGCTGTGGTTCGATTTGCTGTGGAAGCTTTTCCGCTGACATTCTGTGCGCCCGTACTGCCAACAGACAAATTCGAGGAACAAATGCAGACTATGCAGCGCCAGGTCGAGACACTCCGAGATACGAACGCCGCCCTGGAGCACCGTGTCCGTGAGCAGCAGCAACTCGTGGAAGATCTGAGCGTCGAGCTCGAGGAACACAAGAAGATCTCGCGCCAGGCTGAAAATACTCATGAAGAATGGATTGATTCGCTTGAGAAAGAGCTCGCTGACAGCCGCAAGCAGCTTGACTTGGTAAGACGAGCTGTCTGAGCGATGAAGCCCGCAGCGGGTCTCCCGGGTGCGGCCGCGAAAGGGTCTGGCACGGGGTAATCTACTTTGCTAACATGGATGCGACCATCCATGCACTGCCTAGGCCAACTTCAAACTTGAGGAGCGAGCAAGAGAGTCCGCTCAAAGCGAGGCTATGATTTCATCGCTGAAGAAGGATCTGTACAGGTCGCGGAGCTTCCTTCACGAAATCCACCTCCACCTCATTGCCTGCTCGCGCGCGTTCCACCCGAATCCCAATGCGGAGGAGTCTCCCATCATCTCGTCAGTCGAAAACCAACTGGCGCTCGTGCGGTCGCCAACCGAAGGTACGATTGTGCCAATAATCAACTTTGAGGAAGTGCGGCGAAGACTACGCGAGCTCGAGGACGACATTCGCTGCATGGCACTACAGATGCAGACGGGCGTCAAGCTGGACGAGAGCGCAGACCCGTACCTGGACGAAGATGAGCGAGACGACTCCCAGAGTCAGAGCCAGGTCGCTAGCAGTGCGCTCTTTGATAAGAAAACCAACCTGAGCGAGAGCGGTGTGTCCAAGACCACACAGGTGAGCTGGTTATGCCGCGCGACTGTCCGCAGGCTACTTTGAGATCATGGGCTGTCTTGCTTGCTCACGCATCTGGCATTGATCACTATTCGTCCGGCGACAAGGACACTGCTGGAACGCATCCATGGCAGGAGAGAATTCAGAAGCTGACAGAGGAGCTGAGCAACGTCACCAACGAGCACTCACGGGTAAGCAGCGAATACAGTTCCATCGTCTGGTTGTCCGACGTGATTAACAACCATGGATGCAAACCCCGATTCACACCGCTCACCCACCCATTCATCCCTCAGGCACTGGAGCGAAAGCAAAATGAAGTCAATGATCTCTCTCGGGACTGTGAGGCACACAAAACCCGTGCCCAAGAACTCGGAGAGCAGCTGTCCCAGAGCCTTGAGCAGTATCAGCTGCTCAAGGTTCAAAACGAAGAGCTTCTTTCCAAGACCGAGGATCTCGAAACCAGATTGGCCGAAGCCATTGCCAAATCAGATCGGCAGCGGCAGAAGCTCGAGGCAGAACTGGCCAAACAGCGCGAGCTCCTTGTTCTCCACGAAACAGAGCACGCCGGGGCTCTCACCGTGCTCCAGCACACGATCGACACCCTCGAAGCCGGCCAGACTGCCGATGCAGCCACGATTCAGGGCCATGCTCAGCACATAGCCGCACAGGCAAACGACATCGTCAGTCTCACCAGCGCACTGCGCGAGGCCGAGGCCGAGCTTTCTGAGCTCCGCGATTGCTACGCCGCGGCCGGCAATGAGCTGGCAGTTGTCCAACTGGAGCTCCAGCAGAGGAGCACTGCCGCTGCAGAGAGCCAGTCTGCTCTTGCCAGGATGCATCAGCTCTTGCAGCAAGCCGAGGAGCAACTCAAGGAGCTGAGGAGCCAGAGCGACATTGAGGGGATCAAGTACGCCGAACTCAGCGATGAAGCAAGCCTGCTGCGTGATCGACTGCAGCAACTCGAGATCAGCAAGAACGAAGCGAGCACGGCCAATGACCACCTAACCCAGGCCAACCGGCAGCTGTCAGAACACAGCGAACAGCTCCAGCTCAAGCTACAGAAGCTCGACGAGTCGCTCCGCGGTGCCAAGGGCGAGTCGGCACAGCTGAAGGAGCGTACTGAGGAGCTCCAGTCACAACTCACTGCCTGCCACGATCGAGCCGCTGCCAGCGAAGAGACAGCAGTTGGAATCGCCGATTTCCGTGTGCAGCTTGCCGAGGCGCTGCAGAGACAAGCGCAGCTCGAGGCAACAGAGAAGCAGCTTGGTGCAGCGCTGCAGCTTAGACTGTCTGAGCTTGCGCAGGCACAGAAGGAGCGCGATGCACTGGAAGACGAGCTCGCTCAAGCCAGGGAGCAGATAAGCGCGGCTCAGCTTCAAAAACAAGGCCTCGAGCAGCAGCTGGCGGACATGGAGAGTGAGAGCGCAGCTCTGAGCACCAAGCTCGAGCACGCCGAGTCCTCCACTGCGGCACATGCCACCCAAGTTCAACAGCACAAACAGACCATCGATGGTGTTGCTCAGCAGCTCTCGACTCTCCAGAATCAGACCAGTGTCCTGGAGAAGGAGCTTGCTGAAAGTCAAACTCGTGAGCAGTCTCTGCTTCTCGCGCTTGAGACGCTCCGGCAGGAAATTCAAGCGGCCGGGGCTGCCCGAGAGGAACAGGCCCTCAGTTTGCAGGACCTGACCGCCCGCGTTCAGAGGTGGAAGACGATAGCCGAAGATTGGGCCACTATCTGCCGCAGCGCATCCGAGGCACTCGAGTCGCGCGATCAAGCAATTATGGCTCTGCTGAAGAGCTGCATTCTGGAGAAGCCCTCGCCCGAGAGCGGAATCGATCCCTCGGAAACGGCTTACTGGCGGCAGGTAGTAGATTCCTCGGAGCTCGAGGAGCTAGAAGACCTCAGCGCCTCCTGGGTTGTTGACGACAGTAGCAGCAACTCCTGCGAGATCAGCGTTGGCGATCTAGAAGACGGAAGCGAGCTGATCAAGGCGCTGCCCAAGAAGGTCAAGATCCAAGAAGTCGGTTCCTGGGTGGTGCGCATTGCCGATCGCTTCGATCTCAATCGACTGGTGACGCTCTTTGAAACATACGACCGTCATTTAATGGGCAAGAGAACCGCGGACCCCGAGTCGCGTCCTGCTGTGCGTGAGACCTCCCAGCGCCAACAGAAAATCAGCTTCCAAAAGTAAGCATCGAGGGTGCGCGGACAACAGCCACGATTTACTGACAGCTTTCCTGGAAGCCGGGGTGTTGTGGATCCGACAATCTCTTGGTGCTGGCGGCATCGTAGCTATCCTGCCCATGATATCCCCCTGATCGCGACCAGGTCCCTAACAACTGCGTATCGATGCTCCTGTATCAGCTTCCAAGTTAACGATTTGGTGCTGTTTCTGCCGACCCGGAACCCAAAAGGTGAGGCCCAAAAGACCCCCCCCTTTCGCAGTCCGGATTTGCGTCCTGTTGGCCGTGGCACTGACTTGCCTCGTTTGTCCTGCTTCAACTTTGACTTGTGTCCTCCTACGTCACGGCCACTTTCACCAGCTTGGGCAGCGTTCAACATCAAGTCGCCCAACTACTTCCTGTACTTCCAGAACGAGGACGACTTTGTTGGGGAGATTAGGTATGCGCCTGATGGGGTCTGTGGCTGCCTTGCCTGAGTAGTGCCTGCCCAGACGACGGCTTTCAGCTCGTCAGCAAGTGAGTAGACGGCACTCCCCAGTAGCTAACACGATTCCTTGGATTTGTGCATTTCTTGGGCTGCAGAAACCGCGACTTTATCCTGGCTTGGATCATCAACATCCAGAAGCGAACAGCCAGTGGCAAGGCTGGCGAGCACTCGAACCCGTTCGGTCTTGGTAGCGGCACGCCATTCCATCTCTGCCAAGTTGTGAGGTGGCACGAGCAGCAACAACAGCAGCGTCGCTGATGGCCCTTTCCCTGAGCCTCGTCGACGGCCGCCATCGCCCCAGCTTCTCACGCCACCAGCCATTTTGATCATCCCGACTGCGTACTTGCCCCAGTGCCCAGCACCGCAACTGTCGACGTCTCCTTTACCACACAAAGCTTCGAAGCAATCTATGGATTGATTCCCAACCCATCCCGTATTTTGACCCCCTCCCTCCCTCCCTGCCTCCCTCCCTGCCTGCCTGCTCCGCCTCACTTGCCTCGCCACGCTCTCATCAAATGTCCGCTCAGATTCCCGCCCCAGCGCTTCATATGAAGAAATGTAGCGGCTCGTTTTGTACTCCAGACCAAAGTCTGCCCGCCCACCCCCACCGCGAATGCCGCCATCAGATATGGCCAATATATGTTGTAAGTGTGATGTACAAGCTCCGCATTGTCGAGAAAGGCAAGGGCTCTTGCAGTTTCTATCCGCCCTCTGGCAGTGATGATGTATCGGGTGGTCATCGCAGCAGAGATGCGCATTCAGAATCGAAAAGTAGGAAACGAGAAGGAGTGACGGAGACAGCAAACATCAGAGTGCGACGATTTGCAGAAGGACCAAAAGAAGAGAAGGGCGTGGTATTGAAGTGGCGCAGCGTCGGACAGCGTCGGCTTGATATGTCTATGGCGTAGTGGATGGACATCAGACGGTGGTGGCTCACGCCCGTCGGGCAGAGGACGATTCTTCGCTGTGGTAGTCCGACGAGTGGGCCGACGAGTCAAATCTCAAGACAGCCGGAGCGTCTCCTGCATCCTCGCCGAGCGGCACAATGCCGTCGGACCCATATCGAGCCGATGATTCTTCAAACTGCCCGAGCGATGAAGAGGGAACGCTGGCATCGGCAGGTGGCCGGGTGCGCTTCCTAAGGCGGGCGCTCGGCTGGGGCTGCTCGTGAGACTGCCACTCAAAGTAGTTTTCAGCGGGTGAGCCGTTGTCGACATCGCCGCCGTTGAGGTCGAGCAGCTCCTCCTCAAAGACGGACGGGCGACGCTTGCCCTTATCCTGGCGGGCCACTGGGTCTTCGTGCTGCTCCTCGTCGCTGGCGCTAGTAAGATCTTCGTCGTCCACAACTTCGCCGTCCTCGTCCTTGGTGGACTTGCGGACTACGGCACGGAAGAGCTTCCAAACGATGTAGCCGAAGGTGACTTCCCAGAAGAGAACGACCGAGGTGAAGAGGGCACCGGTGGTGAACCACCAGTTGTACATAAAGAACCGAAGGCCCTGGAAGTGTGCCTCGGCAAAGACCTTGGTCTCGTAGATCTGGACATGTGCGCTGGAGAACGAAACCAGAGCGTGGTGGACAGACTTGACTTTTTCCTAAAGGTTGGGTAACGCACATGAATGAGGACAGTGGCGGGGCAGTGGAGCGTATGACCAGCGAGTTTCGGTGATGCTGGCTCGTTCCATCGGGTAACCGACCAGGCTTCGGACCACCAATGCAGCTACCGGGCCGAAAGATACTGACCTCGCTGGCGATTAGATCGTTCACGAGAACGACCTTGATGTGCTGTGCTTCGTGGTCCCAGTCCACCAGCAGCGAGAACGTCTTGTAAATTGTTCTCATCCAGCGATGGAGGGGAGAGCGGTATCGGATCAGAGCCTATGCCCCCGCGCCCAAGACCAAAGAGACCAGAGCCGTTAGCAGCTGCACGCTTGGCTTCAGCTGAGCAGAGGTGATGCGCAACTTACGGGACGCCGTCCGCGGGCTAGGGTCTGGTTATCGATGTTCTGGAGAGTCATGTCAACCATGAAGTTTCCTGCGTGTCGGCAAAGTGTCAATTTACAGGCGTGGCTTGTTCGGATCCGGAAGGTGGCTGTGGCAGAAGGTTGGACTCGCTCGATGCCGAGAGCAGGCTACTCACCGAGCTTGAGATTGTGGTCGCTGTCAGGGACATAGAACTCGACGCCAAAGTTGTATCTCTGATCAGGGGTCAAGAAGCCCTCTTCGTCGGTTGGATACTGAGGACAGCAACGGACACAGGCTCGTTAGAGGGCGATCGGTAAGCCTCGAAGGGGCCGTTCTGGCAGATGACAGACCCGGACATCCTCCCGATTGCATGAGCAGTACTCAGGATGATAGAGTGCCCACGAGCACATCCGGCCAACTCGGTACTGACCAGATCAGGGTCGATTTCAACAAAGTTCACCCGCGCATGAGGGAAGAATTGCTCGCCGGCGACGCTGGAGGGACACGATTGCCAAGTGAGAGCCAGAGATCAGCTGTGCGCAGGGCGAGCTCGAGAGATACGACAGCATTGAGTCGACTCGTGCCCACAGGATGACTTACGGATACTGCATGTAAGCCGGCACAAAGTGGCCAACTTTGGGAATGTAAAAGTAGTAGAAGGTGCTGTAGATGCCGAGGGCCGAGCCGATGAGGGATCCGTAGAACAGAATAAAGACAATAAAGTTGATGCTGATCTTCTGGGTGCGGGCACCAAAGAGGCCATAGGTGACAAACTCATAGAGTGGGTTGATGAGGAGCTCGCGGATGGGATTGATGACAAAGTACTGGGCCGAGTGTTTCAGGAGCTCCTGGCCAGCGCGGGCCCGGGCAAGCTCGAACAGGTCTTTGGGCGAGGACCACGGCAGGTCGGATTCATCGGCCATCTGGCGAATCTGGCTGATGGACGACCAGGCAAACTGCGGCAGTGTGTCAGAGACAAGGTGGTCGGCGCTCCTGAAGAGCGATTCTCCGCGGCCAGCCATCGACTGGAACAGGTCCGGCAGTTGCTCGACCAGAGCCTGGGGGTCTGGTCCGGCCACCCTGGGTGCGGTGGCGGGCTTCTTCTTGGGGCGTGGCTGCGAAGGAGAAGGCTCCATGGCGATGGGGATGTGTGCTGGAAAAGAGGCTCTTGAGGGTTGCAGTGTCGCCGGGGACTGGCCGGAGACGACCTGTGTGGGTTGCTGGGCGACGATGGCAGGAGCGACGATGGCAGACGACGGCGAGAGGAAACAACGAAGCCAAGCGAGAAGTCAGCGAGGGGGTGCTGCGCTTCCATGTGAAAGCATGTGGATCGAGTGCGGCTGGACTGCGGATCGAGTGTGGTCATGTATTCAGGACCCAGAATGAGCCCCATTCATGGCTCAGAAACGGGTCCTGTTTCTGCTATTTTGTTGAGGGGAGAGGGTGCTGCTTGCGCACATTTGTCTGAGCATATCAGTCCCTCTTGCTGTGCGTAGCGGGGGCAAACTCGCCATCGCTGCTCCGCACTGCAAGTAACGACGCAAGGAGCAGAGCATGGGCAGCCAGCAAGATGCTGCTGCTCAGCTTGGTTGCTGGGTAGACATTCCAGCAGTATTCGATAGCGCCGAGCGTCACGATCCTGGTTGCAGAGGCACCCGTCAAGTCAGCTACTCGGTGCGGATCAACCTGGGTACGATCCATGCAAGACGTAGCGTGCATCGCATGCCCCCGTTAAATGGCCCGGCTCCTCGGATTTCTCGACACGCAGATGTCCGTCTGGAGGATCGATTCCCAAACGGGAGCCATGCCAACGGATCGTCTCGCTCGAGAGTACGCCAAGCGGGATCATACCTGACCACAGTTGGGATTCGGCCTCGCCACAGGAGATATGGGAGCGTAAAGTAGTACCACGAGTAGAACTGATAGTGGAGGCTGCGGGCAAAGACGATGCCGATAAAGTTGCTGGTAAACATCACAAAGATGATATCTACACAGACACGGGCCGGCCAACGAGAGCGGTCCAGCGGGGGTTGAAAGACCAGGCCCCGTAGATGGAGATGGGAACACATTAACACAGATCAGCAATCGGCGACAGGAGCATACGGGCCTCCAACACAGCCTTTTCCTGCTGGCCATGCTGGACGTTACCGGACTCAGCCATGTGCATCAGCCGTCGTGCAATACTCACGATCCGAGGTTAAGACCGCCTTCGCATCCGTGTGCCGCAGCCCCTTGGCAATGACGTTGAAAATACCGCCGTAGGATCTTGCGGATTGGAAAGGGCCCCCGTAAGCAGCGTGCAGGCAAGCCGACGGCGACGATTGATTCGCAATCAGTTTTGTCAGCGGAGAGGACACTTACCGAGTCCAGTTCGTGATCCCAAAGAGCACGAGCAACACCAGATGCAGGCCCAGCAGCAAGGCGGCCCAGTCTTTGCGCAAGAAGGTATCTTCGTCAACGATCTTCCAGTTGACCGTCCATTTGTACATGAACACGCGGCTGAACTCGAATGCCCTGGCAAGATAGTGCTGTGGCTCGTGCAGCAGGAATGGAATTGCCAGGGCAGCTTGGATGGCGATTGCCATGGTAGCCAACAGCACCGAGTTGGCCAGGCCGACAGCTTGGTAGATGATAAGGGCGAATCCAGGAGCAAACAGCAGAACATTCATCTTGACGGAAACGCCCAGACTGTTGGAACATGAGGGGTCAGCCGGAACAACAAAGGCAGGAACAAAATCGGCCATCGCATCGAAAGCCGGTGCCGAGCGAGCAAGCGGGCAAGCCCTTACCTGAACAAGACTGCTGACAACATCCAGCGGCCTCGGAGAAGGGCCAGAACACAGAGATACAGTGGGATCATGGCAACAGGGTCGTTGAAGAGCCTCAGCACATAGATCGAGTGCAGGCGCCGAGAGAGCACCAGGAAAACTGCTGCGAAGGGAGGCACCTGCAGACACACCGTCAGTGGAAGCAGCACCGACAGCGACAGATACAAGCCATATCGTCAAAAGCAGGCCGCCCACAAATGAGCATTGCGGGTGCACTCGGACCTACCACTCGAGATTCTCGGTAGATCATCAGCACCAGAATGACGGAGACGAGATACAGGATCGCAAAGATGTGCTGGGCTGTTTGGATGTCCTCGCCCGACGAGGTGGCCTTGAAGAGGAGTGAGTAGACATAGACGAACCCGGCGGGATATCTGGAGACCAGGAGACAGGCAAGTGAGCCCACCAGATTGACATCCATCGCAGGAGCTCCAGGGGCACGATCACAGAAACAAGCAGGAACCATGCCAGAAATCCAACACTCACACCAGTGGCCCGGTGTCGCCGGCGAGCTTGTAGTAATCATATTCGCCACCGAGGAAGCCACCAACTTCCTGTATATACGCAATCCAATCGATCTCGGTATCTAGAAGAGGGTGCAAGGGGCAACACAGCCAGTGACCCGAGTCGTCAAGGCTCAGTCAAAGCCAGTTCCAAGACAGCGATTGCCGAAGCAGAGCCCAATCGATGCGATGGCCCATGTCACCGGAGCGCAGCGCTTCGTGGTGCACTCTTTGAAAACGAGACCGGTGACGAGGGCATGGAGGAGAGTGCGGATCAGCAGCCAGGAATGAACCCGTACATGGGATCTTGAGAATGATGGCGGCTGTCAGCAGGGCCTCGAAGAGCAGGAGCGGGATCGCCAGGACGTAGAAATAGCTCCAGTCCAGGGCAATCCGCTTTGCCAGCTCGGCGGCCTGCCTGAGCACAGGCACCGGTGCTTGGGATGCAGGTTTGGATGGCGGCATGCCGCAGAGTCGTTTGGGTGAGCTCGAGATGGGGGTTGCAGCCGGGGCAGACAAGAGCAAGCCGCGGATTTCGGTCGCTTGCACTTTTGCAGCGCGCCGCGCTGGCGCTTCATGGCAGAAACAAACCCCATCTCCCAGGCCCGACCGCCCTTGCTTGGACACTCCATGCTTGTTGTGGCTCTCGACAGCATTGCAGTGCCATGAGATGATCCATAGCCAAGGGTCCGGGTTTATCTGTAGGTCGATGCACAACTGTATTGGGCCAACGGCGCCAGCGGACAGCCCGAGAGCTCCAGCCGCCATTCTAGAGAGCGCACTTGAGAATCCACAGTTTGTCGCTGACGACGATGAGGTCTTGGATACTCCGCGGCAAGATGCCCGCCTTGATATCGGCCAAGATCTCGCGCACGGGTCGCATCCGCTCGTATCCAGGAATAGCGGCCAGGACTTGCCATTGGCACCGCCCGGGTTCGGGACCGGCGGATCGCTCACTTGCATCTGCGCCGCCCAAGAAAAGCGACGGGCTCGATGTGATAACGTGGGAATACTGGTCGTAGTCGCTCTGGTCCTTGTGGGTCTCGTTCTTGGAGTAGACCCATCCGTCGCTGAGATAGAGCTCGCCAAAGCGGGAGGCTCCTGTCATGCATGTTGCAACATCCATGTGGACCTTGACTGGAGTAGTTCTTGACTCGAGGTCGTGGAGCGCCCGCAACGCATATCCGCCGGGATAGTTCCGTGAAGAGATGGAGCTCTGCACAGCCGAAAGAACGAGCAGCAGCAGTAGCAGTGCCGCGAATGCAACGACGACGAGACGCTGGATCGTGCGGGAGAGCCACTTGAGCGACTTTGGGATGCCATGGCCCTTCTTCAGCCCCTTGAACAGATCGCTCAGGCCGACGGCCGCAAAGGCATTGAACATGGGAACAACGTAGATGACGAAGCGCCACTCCTTGTGTGGTAGGTTCGAGTACAGCAGCAGGAAGGCCAGCAGCGGCGCCAGCATCGGGCGGAGTCGTCGATTCAGGAGCCCGAATAGGAGGCCAAGTGGATAAGACAGCGGGGCGATCTTGGGCAGCAGCGTCGAAAAATAGGCATGGAACGGCGAGACACCCCACTCGCTCGAGCGGTTGTGGTAGGTGTTGAACAGAAACACCTGGAGCTCCGGCCAGTAAAAGGGTTGGTTCCAGAAGTAGGAGTCGACGGCAACGGTGACCAGCAAACTGAAAGCCACAGCGACGAGCCCGACCGGGATGAGCCTTGCAACAAAGTCGAGGCGCTGAAGGAAGATGACTTCGGCCAACAGGAGCGGGCCCGCAAGGATAACGAGCTCGGAGCGAAAGATCACCGTCGCAACGGTGATCAGCCAGAGCGACCTTGCCATCGATGAAAAGTGGGCGACTACGGCTCGAGCAGGGCGATCCAGGTTGCTTTGGCGAAAGTCCAGCCAGTATGCCATTGCCAGGTTCACGAGTACGAGAGCAAGTATGTTGGGCAGCGTGCGTGATGCCCAAAAGACGAGATGGAACTGCACTGTCGACAGAAGGGCAAAGATCAGTGCAGCACTGTGGCCAAAGTGCGTCGATATGGTCCGCCGCAGCTTGCTCAGTGAGATGGCGACCAAAAGTCCAAGCGTGCCGCGGGTAAGCAGTTGGAGGCCGAACTTGGAGATGGGGAAGCCGAGGATGCGGGCGGCTCCGGCGATGGGCAAGTCGACAGCATATAGGGCCAGCGGGCCCACAAAGGTGCGGGGAACAACGCCGGGGAAGGAGAAATGATCGAACTGGTCGAGGTGCTGGGGCGACCAGATGAGCAGATCGTGTGCGGCCTGCAGATTGAAGGATTCCTCGACCTTTGCAAAGGGCGCCAGCCACAGATGAAGCAGGATGGCGAGGAGCGGGAGCAGATCAACGAGTGCGATGGCCCTGGCCATGGTCGGACGGCAAGTGGTCGATAAACTCGGCGGAGTGAGTGAGGGATGAGCCGAGATGGTAGGTTGAATCGAGAAGGTCGGTTGAATCGAGATGGTAGGTTGAATCGAGATGGTAGGTTGAGTCGAGAGCAAGACCAAGGGCAAGACCAAGGGCAAGACCAAGGGCAAGACCAAGGGCAAGATCGAGCGTACACTATGAAAAAATTTCATGTTAAAAAAATGAGCGAGAACGACAAAACGCGCTCTCGGAGCCACCTCGGTCGGCGAGAAGAGCAGTCTCTGGCGAGAGACCCCCGAGGGAAGGCGAGAAGCCTCTCGCCGTCACACACACACACTTTGCACACACACACACACACTTTGCACACACACACTTTGCACAAGGGAGTCAAACACCTCCCATCGACCATCCCAAGAGGGATGGCAACCCCGAAGTGGACTGCCCAGAATATGGGCGACCCGGCATCCACTGTCGAAATGCACAAGGAACAAGATACTTACAGTCTATCCAGAAAGAAACGGGACACTTCCCCTTTCTGGCTTCAGATATCTGAAGCCCGCTGACTGACTGTAGGCCCAGTGAGCAAGCCGTGAGATTGTTTCCCGTCCTGGTTGGCAATCTCTTTGTTTTTGTTGGTTTGGGAAGCATGGTCTTGAATAAACCCGGCCGATCTCCTGTGGCGATGATCGACTGGCATACCGAGATCATGTTCCTTGAGGCATTGATGTCTCGATCCCACAGCGTATGCCAGCTTGCACAGCTCCGGACAAAGTGTGGTTTCTCGATATCAAGATACTCGGGTGACTCAAGTCGCTTGGCTTCCCGACAATGTGAGCACACCTGGGATGTGTTGAACTCGTTCACCGAGCACACATGGATCTTGGAGACGGATCGGTCTGGTGGTCGTCTCTGGTGGTGGTGGAACTGCTCGAAATACTTGGCAAACCTGAGTCTCCTGGGACTGGATGCGTATCCCTTCCCCTGTTTCCAGGATGCATTCCCAAAGGCAATCACCACTGTCGGTCTCCCTTGGTGCCTGGTCGATGACTTGCTTGCACATCTCGTGGACAGTGCGCTGTCGCTTGCTGTGGAGATCGAGTCGCTTGAATCGCCGTCGCCGGGTCAGGCTGAAGTACAACTGCTTGGCCAGCATGTCTCCATCGAACACATGGCGAATGTATTGCAGGAAGGAAGCCAACCCAGGGATCTTGGGACTTGGTGTGGTGCCCATCCATTGCTGCAGACCAATGATCTTGTGGGTACTCTGGATCCACTTGGTCGCCTGGGTGGTGTCTTTCTCTTGCGGGGAGCCATCTGGCGAGAAAATGGCGACGATGGCTGGTTCTGCCCTTGGGGAAGAAAGAATCTCCTCAAATCCAGCGCATTTTTGGGCTGGCAGAGATACTGCACAGTGGCGTCCTTGATTCAGATCCAGAAACGCATCGCTCGCTCAATCAGTCGTGGGAAGACATCTTGTCAAGGTGAGTCTTGCCTGATAGCCAAACGATCATGTCATCTCGCTGACACACAGCCACGCTTGACTAGGTTTCCAACCAGAGAGATTCAGATGGTGGTGGTTCTTGTCCGCAATCGGAGTGGAGCTTCCAACAATGATACAATTGGTCATTCCTCCACACCAATCGCCCACCACCACCGTCAATCGGCTCAAGGAGATACCAAATGCCGTCGACCGACCATGGCCGGATTCCAACTTTTGCTGCATCTTGGTCTACAGCGTGTATTCATATTCGAGATGAGCAGCCGCGAGGGGGACGGAAAAAATTGATAGTGGTGGTATTTTTGGGACACATCGGCCCTGGTTTCGGGCACCATCCATCCCGGCCAATTCGATCTCCGTCCTCATCCGCTTGCATTCTCGTCCACCTGCATCCCCATCCTCGTTTCCATCCATCTCCATTCCTGAATCGACTGACCCGGTCGCTTGTTTCGGCCGTCCTTTCCCCGCTGTCCTGTTCTGTCTGCCTCATCCGCCCAGCCCACTCGTCAGATCGAGCCACTTGGTGAGTGTCCCCGCTGGAGGATGTGTCGTCCCCCTCCTGACACCCGCAATCACATCTAACTGAACGGCTGCGGGCAATACCAGTCCAAATGGAGATCCCGATCCCAGGTCTACCCGTCGACGAGAAATACCAACGATCTCTCCAGTCCAGAGTCGCTGGCCTCGTTGGGGCGAGGCATTGCAACTTCCCTGGCGCCCAACCCGTCAGCTTTCGGCTCTGCCATATGGACGAGCTACTTTCGGAGAACTATTTCGTCAGCGAAAAGGCCGACGGCATCCGGTACCTGCTCTATTCATCTATCAGCGAATACGGAAATCCAGAGTGCTTCTTGGTAAACAGACGTGCACTCCGTTCCTCAGTACCTGTTCAGCAGCTGTATCCCCGTAACCTCATTCTTGCTCGACTCGACACATCGGCCCACCATCGCTCAGATCGATCGCAACAACCAATACTACCGCCTGGACTCGCGAGGCTTTGTCTTGCCATCAGCTGGAGACGGTCGGTCATTCCAAAACGACACCATCCTGGATGGGGAGCTCGTACTGGATGTGAACGAGGACGACACTGTGAGTCTCTGGGCAGATCTTGCGTTCGGATTGGCCCCATCTGGCACCCAGCCGAAGGTGCCTCAACAACGACCGCCGCTCCCAACGTCCAGCATGTCGTCCTTCGGTCGCTAACACTGCATCGAATTTGCTCGGCTTCTCGCAGACCACCTTGTGGTTTTTGTTGTTCGACTGCATCGTCATCGAGGGCAAGAGCCTCATGCAGCGTCCATTCACCACCAGACTGGGCGTGAGTATTGCCGTGGCCTCCGCAACGGCACTGCGCTGTGATCTCGCCAAGTGACTTGGCTCTGACTCTCATCCTCGGACTCCCTCAGTACCTGAAGGAGAACGTGCTCAAGCCATACAAAGCCTTGGTTGCCCGCGATCGCCAGCTCCAAGAGCATGTCCCCTTCCAGTTTGTATCAAGATCACTGGCGGGCCTGCTCCATGCCACTCGCTAGCAACCAGTTGATGCCAGCATCAACAGCGCCGGAAGTCCTCCATTTCGGTACTGACCAACTTTCCACTATGGCTGATCGGCCGGCAGGATGGACCTGAAGCGACAGGAGTTTTCGTATGGACTGCGTCTGATCTTTGACCAAATCTCGACGCTGCGGCACAAGAACGACGGCCTGATCTTCACATCGTCAGAAGCACCCTATGTCGTCGGCACTTGTGAGAAGATGTGAGTTGGCTCCGAGTGCTACATCTGTGCATCTAAGCGGCGACGGCCTCTTGATACAGGCTATCCTCGATTCCATTATCAACCAAGGCTCAAGTGGAAGCCCGCGAATCAGAATACGGTCGATTTCAAGCTGATGGCCAAGCAGAACGGGGCATATTCGATTGCATTGTGGTACGGAGGCGTCAACGGACACCGCATCTTTGGCCCATTCGAGGTTTCCAATGAATTGAGGGACAGGTATGTATCGACAGCTGGCGGGCCTGCCACTCTGGTGCGAGTGGAACACCGACCATACGAGCTGTGAGTCTCGGCGGGCTTTGGTGAAGGCATCGACGGATCTGGAGTCACGTCCCAGATGAACGCGCGATATCTCTGGGATCGTGATGCTGAATATGGTCTGCCGACTTGTCTATGAATATGGTCTGCCGACTTGTCTACGGCGCGGAACTGCACTCTCCTTCAGCTGGAGCACGAAGGATGTCGACGGAGCCATCGTGGAGTGCAAGTACGACCCCGATTGGCCAGGACGATGGAAATTCGATCGCTTTCGACGCGACAAAGACAAAGCCAACCACATCTCAACATACCACAAGATCATGCAGTCGATCCGTGACAGGGTCGATGCGGACGAGGTGGGCCTGGAGAGACAGTGTCTGAGCAGATGTCGTCGGCCCAGCGGACTTGCGCGGATGCGATTGAGCCCGAGACGATGCTTTCGTGAATCGCTGTGGGTGGATGGAAGCCCTGAGCTCCATAGTCCATATCGCTGACTTCTATTCATCTGCGACCCAACAGCTGATACAGCTCACGCACGAAATTCGCAGATGCTGGAAGCAGCGAGAATCAAGCAAAGGTGCAGCAACCAGGAGGCGGTCTGATTGACCCAGGGGATCGAGCCGCCACAGAACATAGCCTGCGTTACAGACTGTCCCGGATTGTGCAAGCGATGTCCGAAGCAAAGCGAGAGCACCACATTGCTTATTTCATGTTGGCAGTACGATGCGCGATGTCCATACCTCCAGCCACTGACGAGTACGAAATACATGATCATTCGGAAGTCTTTCGAGCGGCCATCCGGATTGATTCCTATCTTCGAAATGGGAGGGGTCGGGACGGCCCAAAGGACACGAAATCGAACGGCGAGCACCCACCAAAGACCCACATCGAGGTTGAGTGACTCGCTCGACTCGGTCATCTTAGTGTCGAAACTCCTCTCCTTGGTAGGAAACTGTCTAAACGATCGAATACATGTTGCACTCAAGATCGTACTCTCCGAACCAACAGCTTGGACCTGAAGCAGTCGCACGACTGGCCCGCTGCAGCCCTACATATCTCAGTGCTGAAGGCAGGATTGAACTGTGGCAGAGCAGAACTGGGCGCTGTCTCGCTTTGTTCCGAACAAGCTGTATATGCCACTACCAGCGTACAATAGTCACCCTCGTCCCATCATCGTATCAATGGCGATTGCCAGAGAGTTCCCCATTCATCGTGAGGCAAAGAAGAAGAAGAAGAAGAAGAAGAAGAAGAAAAGGAACAAGCAAAACCATCATCGTCATCGCAAGAGCCTGCGCTTCAGGCTCTGGGCAAGCATAGGGTGTAGGTCAGGAAGGCAACGAACAAGAGCAGGCGGGCAGCGTCGAGAAAATACAGAGGCGTCGATGGATAGTATCATGCGATCAAAGAAGGAGAAGCGGAGAAAACAGATGAAACAGTATAGAACAGTTGGGGCGGCAGAACCTGGCCAGAGCGAGAACACAGTTGCTGCCACCAGCACCACACAGTATTCGCAGGTCCCAGAGCCACAGCATCTTGGGGGCAGATATGTGCTTGATCCCGTGCGCACGAATATGCGAGGCGCTTGATAATGCGGCTATGATACAAATCCTTTGGTCTCTGGCGAGACCGACGTCCCGTTGATGGCGCTTCCCGGTGATGGGGCAATCAGCTGCCGAGAGAGTTCCTTGAGCGTCTCCAGGCGCGAGTGTCGTTGGGGGAAAAAGGACAGGAAGTGGACGAAGCGCTCGACCTGAGGCAGGAGAGATGTGGTTTGTCAGATCACTCGTCCAGAGGCATATGCGCTGCTCGAACCGTATGTCCCACTGCGGACTTACCCAGGGATAGAGGGTGAGCGGCCACATCGGGGCGCCTCCAGGCTTGATCGATGCGGGAGCAAACTCCTTGAAGACAGCATGACTGAACAGCGAGCTGGGGGCAGTGCAAAGGATCAGTCCATTGAGCTGGTACCAACAGATGGAGAGGTAATACATGCACGCGAGCAGCAACACCAAGGCTGGACATACTGGAAGAGCAGAGCCGCTGCCTGGATGTAGGTGTCGACACCGTTGTTGCGCGAGGCGTAGTGGATGAGCTGGTCCACAATGTAGATGTATCGAAAGAAGACATCGCCAGCTTTTGTCGACAGGCTGGCTCCGTCTTGAGACTGCATCGTGCGCAACAGAGACAGCTGTGTCAGTATGTCGCAGCAGATCCATCTCGCCGCTCGCTAGGGTTGCCGCCCCTTGACGCGGTTCGCCCACAAATCGTCCGCCGATCGTTCAGGTGCTGGCGTATTTACCCGGCCGTCGTCGAGCTCGTGTATCTCCGCACCCGTTGGATTGACCGAGAAGATGTTGAGATTGACATCAATCTCGCGCAAGAAGTGCACAATGTGGCCCTCCAGGACAAGGAAGGAGCGGTTGGATCCGGACGCAAACTGGAGGTTGTGGAACCGCGGGCTGTCAGCTCAGCGAGGGCTATACATCGCCGTGATGCGGCGACTTGACTTGATGTTGACGCCCGAGAAGCATACACCGGCGCCCCCAGTTGCGATCAGCTCGCCCCTAAACATACCTGGAACTCGCCGGCATGGCCGACGCTGAGGCTAATCACAATCCAGTGCTGCTCCGAGGGCCGCAGTCGGTTGTAAATGATGAGGTGCTCCTTCACATACCTCTCCTGGTGGCAATACATGCAGTATGACGTTTCCCGGTGGTTAGACAAGCGATGCACAGCGCCCGTTCGGCATGGCCGTCGCCCGCGCCAGCAGGTATATGGGCGACTCTGGGCGGCAAGTCAATTGCAGACGTATCTCGCTCAAGCCCGCGGGCCCACATCCAGCATAGCTGCAGGCATCCTACCCGGCGAAGGACCTCAGCGTTGCGGGTGATCACATCCTTCATCGGCACGATTCGGACGTTGTGTGTGAATCCACTCGGCAGCGTCCAGGTTCGCCGCTCCTGGCGTGGACCAACAAAGGTCGTCGCGCCGGTTTCTTGTGAGAAAAACTCGAGACCAAAGTACATGGTGTCGTTCATGATCTCGTAGTGCAGCGGATCGGAGAGCAGATTGGTGATGTCCATGTCGGCCATGCAGCTGGACAGCACAATGTTCCATGTGCGTTCTTCGCCCTCGCCGCCCGCGGGCCCTGCCACGGCCTTGCCTTGAAACTGAAACTCGGTGCACGAAACTTGGATCTGTGGGTGGCGACAGAAAAGCCGCAGTGGGACGATGGTTTGGTAGTCCTTGATGAGGCGGCAGTTGACATACACCTCGATATCCTTTACATCAACCACGTCGGCCTCTTGAAGCGTCGGGCGACTCGCCGGTAGCTCGTCCTGGGCCGGGCGGGCCCATAGATACACGCGCGCGCTGCTTTCGGGCTGGATCGTCAGTACCCTGAAGAGCTTGACGTGGGTCCTCGAGAGCGAAAACAGGAGCTCAGTCGCGTCGTCGCAGGTAAGGCTGGACTTGACCGTAAAGTCGAGCGGGATGTTCTCGCGGTTGTAGATCATCATCGAGTAGGCGCTGTAGTGCGAGTCGTAGTACAGATCCTTCATTTCCAACAGCGCTGGGTCACCTTCGGAGCTGGTGATGCGGACGTCAAAAATGTGGTTGTTGAGCTGCTCGGGAGCGCCTATCGCCGGTGCGGCCATCGCTGCGGTGATGGCGGCCGGTCGGCGCACGTTCTGGCGGCCCACCACCTCCATCACCACACGCAGCGTCTTTGTATCTGCAGGATTGTCGATGTTCTCGATGGAGATGTACGAAAAGTACACACCGCGCACAGCGCAAATAAACGTCAGGGTAACGGCGTGGCTGTCGCGATGGAGGCTGCCCGATCCCGAGGCTGGCTTTGGATGCTCGAGAGTGCCTTCGCCGCGACTGATGACCAGCCAAGATCGATCGGCCTCGTTGAGCATCTTGATCCGATAGGAGACGCGGTCGAACGACTGGTTTTCTAAGCCAAGCTTCTTGATGATAGGGTGTCCGCCGGCGTCCTGCTGGCCAAGATTGAGCTCGTAGAGCCCGCCCAGGTCGCCATTGCCGTATTGATACTCGGTAACGCGCTTGCATCCCCGGAGCATGATGTGTCCCATATGGCGCCGGTGCGGCAGGTTGATGTCGGTCATGGACGAGTAGCGCGGTATGGACAGCGACAGAGACAGCGACCGCTCTGGCGCAAATGACGCGCTCGATATGCTGTCCGACTGCCATGAGTTGTCCTCGTCCTCATCTGTTGCTGCCGGCTCCGCACTGCTTTTCACCCCGAGCGAAACCGAGTCCGGACTGGCCATGGGCTGCGAGTCAAAGATTTCCATGTCCTCAAACAGCTCGGACTTGCTGCTCTTCATGAGAACTTCGTGAGGAATCATGAGCGTGCCGGCCGTGTCTTCGACGATGCCCACCAGAACCACCTGCGGGCTCCCAGAGAGCGTGTTGCGGTCTGTGACCACCAGGCGCAGGTCCTCGGAGAGCCCCCCGATTTCTGGATTGACCAGCTCGACGCTGAGAAGGAACCGGCCGCCGGGCTCGACGGTGCCGCACATGTTTTCGTCCAGTGGAGAGATGCGGAGCACATCCGAGCCCAAATGCACCTCCATCGGCAGCTCGAGCTTGACTTGGAAGAGCAGCGGTAGCGTCGGCGAGAGATTGGTGATCGTCACAATGTTTTTCTGAGTCGTCAAGGGGGCCGTCGACCGGGTTGCCACGCTTTCTGGCGGGATTGGTGAGCTGAGCGAGCGTTCGGGCGAGGTGTTGTCTTCGTCCTCCGTATCCGAGGACACGAGGCTCTTGAATTCAAGTCGTCGGTCCGAGAGCGCAAAGGTCTGGGCCTCCACAATAACGCCACGGATCGGGATGGTTTCGGCCAGACGCCGTTTGTTTCCCGAGGCATCGATCTCGTCCTCGATCACGGCCTGGTTCTTGGAGGTCACGCACAGGGTGCCGAATGTAATCCCATCGGGGTTGATCAGCGAGCCCTCTCGTCCCCTGCTGCTGCTAATCCGGGAGTCCTCACGGGCAAAGGCTCGCACACGGACCTCGATGGCACCATGGGGAGCCAGTGATACGGTTCCAACAAGCGGCGAGTTTGAAAACCGCGAAAGGACTTCCAGGCGCACATACTGCGAGATCTCGGGGGTCAGCGAGAACCCAATTTCGAACTTGGCATCTTCGTCCGAAGTGTTGACGATTGTGAACCACGAGTCGCACGGCAGCGAGTTGATCGTCGATGGGTGTGACAGCACAGGCAGGACCAGCTCGCCAACAACCAACCGCTCGAAACGAAGCTCAAACGAGGTCAGGTAGGCTGAAATGTCGACACGGAGGGTGTTGCGAGGATTGTAGGAGTTGACGACGGTGAGTGCCAGCGTCTTGAGCCCCGTGGCCGGCGCCTGGAGCTTTCGCGGCTTGAGCACTGCATGGATCCTGTGGCTTCCGCCAACAGGAATCCTGCGCGCCGTGGACTTGAAGTGCTCTGTGTTCTCGTCTATCGAGACAATTTCGATTGCGTCGGGGGTCTGAAGCTCGTACTGGTACTCAATCTGGCTGAGATTGCGGAGAGTAAACTCGAGAGGGGCGTCTTTCCAGTTGGTAAAGTGCCCAACCTTGCCAACATCGACTGCGAGTGGCTCAACCTCGGCCTCGGAAACAGCATAGCCGCTCCTGAGCTTGATGGCCTTGAGTGAAATGTCCCTTTCGGGATGATGCAGGATGATCAAGCCCGAGTCCTCGATTCTCTTCCCGAGTCGCAGCTGGCCGTATTGCTCCATCGTCAACTTCGTCGGCCTTGGGGCTGTGATGTGGAACGTTGCGGTCTGCTTTGCGTGGAGCAGAAGAATTGGACCAACGACCCGGAAGCGCTGGTTGCCGGCCTGTTCCGTCGACAGCTCGGAGCAATCGGGTATCTGCGGGCCGACCGGGGTCTTGTCAATGACAAAGCCGGACATGTGGCCAACCACCCAGCGGACCTGGACATCGCGGTCGCTTTGTGGGCAGATCTCGATCAGTTCCTCGGACGCGTTGACGATCTCAAACGCCTTTTCGTAGAGCTGGATACCGGCGCCGTGGCTGCATGTTTGAACCACAAACGGACAGGTGCTGGGCGGAGTAAGCTGTGCAACAACGGGGGCACTGCTTTCGGCGGCTGTGAGATAGACATTCTGCCACTCGATATGCGATGCAACCTGGGGGCTGGCAGAGACGCGCACGGGCTTCTTCTTGGACACGATATGGTTCACGCGCACCCACTGGATATCGACAAATAGGCGGATCTCAACCGTGACCACCTGGGCCGTGTTGTTGAGGTTGACAACGGATATTTGCTCGAGAAAGTAGCCATACTTGCGCGGCGTGACCTTGAAGTTGACCTTGTTGCGCCTGCCTGGCTGTGTATCGTCACCGGCTGGAAGCGCCTCGATGGTGCCGGTGTCCTGCTTGATCTCGATCCATTTGTTGGAGCTTTCGACTCGGTATTCGAGTGGCAGTGCCTGAGACAGGTTCGAGACCTCAAAGCAGCCCCGAAAGACCGAGCCCAAACGGAAGGAGCTGCCGAGGTCGATCACGGATTCAGAGACCGACAGAATGGATTGCCCTATGATTGCGGAAAACTTGACCGTCTGCACCATGACATTGACAAGGTCTTGGTTCTCCTTGATGGAAACAGAGAATCGGATGCCGCCAATCAGTCGTCGGCACTCGGATGCGAGCGCGGTCGAGTTGACGGAAGACGGTGTGCCGCTGGGGACCGAGGTGACTTGGCCAGCGGCCTTGTCCCGCTTGCCAATGTTGGGCTGCAGCGCAATGAAGACGCAGGTGCCGCAGTTCTTTCGCAGGAGAAGTTCGTTGACCGGGGTGTCGAGCGACGAGTCGGTGAAGATCAGGCACTGGAAGGCCAGGTTGGAGGCCACAGTCACGTAGATGTCGTCCTCCGATATATTCTCGATCGGCAGCGTCTTGAGACGAGCGTATTTGTTGGCCGGGTCGACATAGCAGTAGCCCAGGTCTAGTTCTCCAGACTGAGCCGATGCCAGCGATGGAAACTTGAGATATGCCGACTCAATGACATGGTAGCTGAAGGTTGCCCGCGCCGTCGCATTCACGGAGGCGCCCTCGGTCGTATCGACCTCTCTAAAGTAGTAAATGTGCTGTTGCCGACCCAGAGCGCCTGGGACGATCCAGGTATCGACGCGGCGGGTTTCACGGGGAGTCAGGGTCACAGTCGACGGATAGCCGACTTGGCTAGTGGCCGGATGAGACTCGGAGATCGCCAGCGTAACAGGCTCGTCCTGCATGTTGGTCAGAGTGAAGTAGCAATCGCGTCGGGCCGAAATCTCGAGCTTGCCGAGCTCAATCAGCGGAAGCTCGACCAGGAACCGAGCAGGGGTAGTGGAAGCCACCACAGTCTTGGTATCGAGGACGACAGCGTCCGCGACGACCTTCTCATCAAAGTGCGGGGTAACTGGTCGCTCCGGCGCCGCCGCGTTATGCGCCCGCGGCAACGGAGAGTGTGGCGCACTCCCAACGCGGCTTTCAAACGGAGATCGTGGTCGTTGGGGATGACTGTGGGGGCTGTCGCTGAGCGGCATGTGGGGCTTTGCGGCAGCACCGCTTGCAAGGCCAGCGCTGTCGTACGACACAATCGCCTTGAACTCGACCTCCTTGACAACATCGGTGTTCTTGTATTCGTGGACATAAATCTTGCCCATACAAATCTCTTGCATTGGCTTGTCGGCACCTGGAATGGCGAAAAGACGGTCAGAGGCGAGCAGAGCATGCGCACTTGTCCAGAACAGAGCCGCCACTAGGATGTGCATGCCGGCCGCCCTCTCCCACACCAATCCCGCACACCGATCCCGCACACCGATCCCGCACACCGATCCCGCACACCGATCCCGCACACCGATCCCGCACATTGATCTCGCACATTGATCTCGCACACCCAAAGGCAGCGCTGCCGAATAGAGCTACCTGAAAACAACATCGACTTGCCCGACGTGAACGGTAGCCGCCCCTGCATCGGCTGGGACGACGCGATCGGAATGGTCCGGAAGTAAACCGAGACTTTCTTGATCGTACGTGGCTCGAGCGAGAAGATCACAGAGTGGTCCGTGCGCCTGAACTTTTGCGAGAGCTGGCCCTGGCTCGAGGCCCCGCCAAGACTCATGATCTCGGAGGAGCGCCGCGAAGTCGATTTGGAGTGGCCCTCAGGAGGCGCTGCAGGGGCATTCCCTGCCGGCGAGCCATCTGTCCGGGGTGGGGCGGAGGGGGTCGCTGAGGAGGCCGCTGGGCTCGCCGACTCTTCCGTGGTCGCTGACTGGGCAGCTTTGGCATCGGACTCGGGCTTTGGCTGCTCCTCGTCGGCGCCGTATTCGTCATCGGCGATGCCAGCCCTCAACTTCTCCAGGCGCGCCATGATCTTCAGCACTTTGTCGGCGCGTCCCTTGCGCTTGTTGATCTTGAGCTTCTGCTCGAGCTGCTCGATCTTCTCCTCGATCTCAGACGAAAGCATGATGAGCTTCTTTGCAGTGCCCTTGGCATCGCCGGTGCCTGCGTCGTCAGCCGCACTTGGGTCGGCCATATCGTCTTGGAGCTCGAGCTGCCCGACGCAGTTTCCGAACTTGAGCTCGTTGGGGTCGCAGCGGACCTCGAAGGTGCGGGTGTGCTTCATGCTGGTGTTGGAGATGACGATGTACTGTACGCTTTGTGCCCTCTCACCGATCGAACAGACGCCAAAGTCGAGCATCAGGGACTGCAGCACAAAGTTGGCCGGGCGGCGGATGCTGGCCTTGACCATGAGGGTCTGGTCGTTTTCGCGGTCCTGGATGTTCTCGATGAGAAGCCGTTCCTGGAAAGGCCCGGCGAGGCTGGGGTCGAACATGAACGTGACCTCCTTCTTGCTGAAGCCACGCAGAACGCCGAGCTTTCCCTCGCCGATGATCAGATCACCCGAGGCAATGCTGCCGCTCTTGTGGATGGAGTAGAGCAGCGGCGCCTCGGATTTGTTGCGCAGGATAATGGTCTTGGTGCGGCGCTCGTTCTTGTCCAAGACGCCAAAGTTGATGTTTTTCTGGCCCAGGTCCATGAGCGAGCGACACAGCGACGAGCGAATCATGAGCTCGCGCACAGGTATCAAACTCTGGTGTCCGCGTAACAGCTGATCGAACTGGGGCTGGTTGACGTTGCTGCGATCGAACTCGACCAGACGCAGGAACAGGCGAGCATCGTGCTTCCTTGGCTTGCCCTATGTGTTTAAGGCGAGTCAATGGCAATATCATGCATCAGGACTATGTCGCTCCGATGGGGACTACACCCCAGCGAGAGTGCATATCCGGCCGCGTCCAAAAGCTCGGAGCTCCAAGCCGCTGCGATCTGAGCCAAGGTCACGGCCTGGTGACGAGGATACACACCTGGATCATCGGCTTGTTCTGTCCAGAGGCTCGGAAAACCACAATGATCAATCGCTCCGACTCGGGTGGGATCTCAATCACCGATACAGGCTGCAGACGCGTGTCGCCGCCCATGTTGTCGATTTCGGCCCGGAGGAGCATCTGCGCACGCACGTACTTTTCCTCGCTCGATGGCTTTGGGAAGAGCGGAGGGTAGGTGCCTGTCATGGCCTCACAGAGCGCTAGAAATCGGTTGATTGGGAGCGCGTTGGTGCCAACTTCATCCATGATGACGCCGTCGTGCTGAATCGAGGACGAGCGATAGCGAACAGGGATCTTATCGTCGCCATCCTCGTGAGCCGGCAATGGCGTCTCGCGCACGCTCGAAACTGGAGTCTTGCCCTTGCTGGAGGTGTCCTCCAGCGAGTCAATGCTATGTGGCGCGTCTGGACGGTCAAACACCGGTGGCTTGATGCGGTCCTCCTCTCCAAAACTTTTCTTCAGAAACTGCAATCGTAGCTGCTTTAGCGACAGGCCGGAGGCAACAGCGCCAGGGTTTTTCTTGCGCGGCGACCGCGGGGGCTGGCGGCTGGCTGGCTGGGCTAGATCAAGGTAGGCTGAGTTGGTCGGCGTCTCGACTTGTGTGTCGACGCCAGGTTTGGGTGTAGTGGGAGTGTGGGTGAGCTGGAAGGAAGATCCAGCCTCGATGGTAGATCGCTTGAGGGTTCGACGGTCGCCAATCGACTCGAGAATCATGGCCTTGCGCTGGTTGGTGACGACCGAGGGCACGGGGGCATCTCTCTGCGCAGGCGTCATCGTGCGCGCGGCCTCGGGATCATCCGCTTTGGTAAAGAGCGATATTTCGTCCGGCATCGATGATGTGATCTCCAGCACGAGCTTTTGTTTGGTGATGTTATCGATAGTAAAGTACCGCACCACGGGCGAGCTGAGCACCACGGCGCCAAAGTCCAGAAAATTGGAGGACGTGGGCGTCAGGATGCGGTAGAAGAGCGAGTGGAAGGTCACGCGGTGCTTGTCGATGTTGGTCGATCGGACGACAACGGTCTTGTCGTCCTCGCGATTCATGCCGTTGACAACAGTGATGTCCTTGCGGTAGTCGGGATTGACCTTGCGCGGATAGATGTCGATCTTGATTTCGACCGACTGATTCGGAGGCACCGGGGTCTCGTTTGGCTGGCAGTTCAGGACCTTGGAAATGAAGCGCAGCTCGACCTTGGTCGGGAGATCGGAGCGATTGAATACCTGGATGGAGGACGACCGCAGGGTGCCGACGTCGGTGTCGCCGAAATTGAGCTCCTTTGGAAAGACCTCGATGAACGATGTGCATGTGCGTGCTTTGCATTGAATCAGCTTTTTCTCGCGGCCGAGGTGTCCGTCCCGTCCGTACGTCAGGGTAATTCGGAAGTTGCGCTTGGCCAGCCGGCCGGCACGAAAATCGACCGTCGCCATGCCCATCTCGGGTTTAAAACAGACTTCAACAGTCCTCTCGGTGCCGGGCTTGAGCTGCATTTCTTCGATCCGAGTAAACTCCTCGCCGTTGACGCCGACGCCCTCGGTGGGTGGGCGGCCGGAGGGTGAAAAGAAAACCCCTCCCTCGCCCTCGCCGAAGCGAAAGCTGCTGCTGCTGCTGCTGTTCATCAGGTCATACAGGTACATGGACGATGAGCCATACAGCAAATCGGCGTCCTTCCACGAGAAGAGCGTGGGAGACGAGGCCCGACTCGAGGTCGAGCTGGGCGGCGCCGAAAACTCAGAGTTGGATGTCGAGGCAAAGGAAAGGTCCCGCAGTCGCTCCAAGAGGATCCGCTCAGACCGCTCTGAGAGTCCCTGTGCGCCGCGCGGTGGTTCGTGCACCGGATAGTCGCTCTTGAGCTGAAACACGACTGACGGGCTGTCGACGGCAAAGGCGATGTCGAGTGGCGACTCGGAGACGTTCCGGAGGACCAGCTTTTGCTTGCACCATTGCCCGGCCAGACACTCGCCAAAGTCCAACGAGTTGCCGCTGCTGACGACCAGGGACTCTTCTCGATGGACATTGCGGACAACGGCGTGGATATGGGCTTGCATGACGTTGTCCGAGTCGTTCAGGTTTTCGATCTGGAGATCATAGTTGAACTCGCCAACTTCCCTTGGGCGGAATGTGACCCGGATGCGGCGATGTGAAAAGGCCGGTATGGGTTTGTCGTCCAGCGGGTCACCGGTATCGTGGTCGCTGAACACTAGCCACGAACTATCCCCACGGCTGGAAAAGTCCTCGGTGTTTAAAATCCAAAAGAGATCGATCTCGGATCGGTTCCAGATAGTAAAGTCCTTGAAGTACGTGCCGTCAATGACGCAGTCCTCAAAGATGATGCCAGTTTCGCCAATGTCTGTCCACAGGACTGAGCGGCAGACGCGAGACCGCAGCTTGATCGTCAGCTAACAGCAGGCGAGAGACCGAGGTCAGAACGGTCAAGGGTCTCGAACACAGTTGCGATTATCAAGCCGTGGCCGATAGTTGGCTTACCTGGTAGTCAGGTACAGACGACGCCTCTTTCCCTTCGACGATCCCAGCACCCTCGAGCTGAGCGGAGGCATCGGCATCGAGTCGAGCCGTGGTGGGGCTCTCCTGTGACTTGCCGTCGTCCAAGAGCTTGCCGCGCACGGACTTTGTCGCAGGCAGTGAGGGGTCGATCTTTTTGGGAGCAATAGGATCCATGTCCAAGGCGAGCCCAGCTTCCTGCTCAAAATGAGCCACGCCCGGGGCGCCCCGGTCAGCCAGGTATCCAAAGAAAAACAGGAGGCCGTTGACCTCGAAAAAGTCAAAGGTTTCGTCTTCGGGGCTGGGTCCAGAGAGCCGCTGGAGATCAAAGGCGTCATCACGCACGGCATCGTCGCCCGGATCGCCACGACCAGCGGCCCTGTTCTTGGACCGAGAATCTGGCAGGAAGGCAATAATGACGTGCTGCGACTGGCTGGCCGGAATATAAACCTCGGTAATGTGGTTGACGTAGTTAAAGAGCTGGTTGAAATGATGGCCGCCCTCGGAGGTGAATGCGCCTATTGTTGAAGCGGCGACTGTGTTGGTTGTCAGGGGAGGGCTGGGAGGACACGAGTCCTCGCCACCAAAGAAAGATTCGGGCGTAGCACATCTTGATGGATCGGCCTGGACGTCCACACCGAGCGACGAAGAAAGGCACTCGAGCGACGTCGAGAACGTCGGTGATAGCTCCGAAAGGCGTGGGGGCGAGCGCTTTCGGTGACGATCCGAGTCGATCTCCAAGAGCGGCGTGCGGCGCTTGATCCGCGATGGTAGGTTTTCGTTGGTAAGCTGAAAGGCGATCTGGGAGCCCATGTTGGAGCGAAGCTTGATGATGAGCGGGCACGGGGTCGTGTTTCGAATCTCGATCCGGCGCAGTGAGTGCAGTCCGTTCATGTACACATTCTCAAACACGATCTTGTGTGGAATCTGAACGATTTCGAATAGAGACTGCGGCCGATAGGGAAGACTCGATGTGGTCGAAGTCGGAGTGTCGGAGCTGAGCACAGGTGTACAGTCCATTGTGGGCGAGGGAGGCAAATCACAAATTACAAATTGCAAATTGCAAATTGCAAATCGCAAATCACAATCACAGACGCAGCTGGATGGAGGACTACAGTTGTCGATGGATTTGGAGGACAGAGTCTAGTATTCTCATTCAAGAGAGCGGATCTTGTTCGGAGGGAATGGTGGCTCGAGACAGAGAAGCGATGATGTGGCAGATGGACGTATGCGGCTTGATGGTTGCAAAGGCAGGGCTGTGACAGACGAGCAAATGAAGGAACTGGGTCAGGACAGCGACATTGGATGTGCGAAGCCGTTAGACACCGGCAGCGGAATTGCATCTTGATCATAAGAGCGCGGACATTGATGGTGTGCCTCAAATGCTACTCCAAATGCTGTTCCAAATGCTGTTCCAAATGCTGTTCCAATACTGCTCCAAATGCTGCCCCGGGTGTTGCCTCGGATGCCACCGTCCAGGGAATGGGAGTGGGTTGCGGGCACCAGCCAGATCCTCGTAGCACTTCACTGATACGATTCCGGGCGCTGCTTGCGGCCGATTTCGGCTATGGATCACTCCGCCCAATACGGGATTATAGCACGATGCCGCGCCGCATGTTCTTGATGCCGCTGCATCAGCGCTGCGACCGAATCTGCCTCGGGTGCGAACCAAGCCCCACTGGCAGACCCTTCTCCAAGGCGCATGAGCACTCGTTTAGTGCTGGCGCTCATTGAGGCTTTCGCATCGGCTTTGTTGCCTGCGTATCACTATTGCCTATATGCCTCCATACTCATCCGGCGCATTGGTCGAGAACCGAATATATCGTGGTTTGCAGCCGAAAGTTGCTTGGCCAAGCCGTGTGGGGTCTGCCGCATGCACTTCCCCCCCCCTCCAACCAGCTGATGCGGATGGCAGAGACAAACAGAGCAGGACGCATGCGGTCGTGATACGCTACCTTGATGCTTTAAATGCAGACGGACGGGGGTCGATATCGACAAACGGGAGTCGCTGGTTCGTTGGTGATGAAAGCCGCGGTGCGGATGCAGCAGCCGACAGCGGACAGATACGGACAAACACAGCGAGCAGGCGGTAGAAAAGCGACACTGCCGACAATCGGCCAGACGGAGTGACAGACGGGCAGAGACAGGCAGAGGCAGAATCCAGCAGCAGCCGGCTCAAGCCGCACGCATGGGGAGGGTCGCAAGGCAGCGATGTCGCAAAGGCCGGGCCTGGTCGAAGAAAAAAAGCACCGAGGCCGCGACCGAGACCGAGACCGCGGCCGAGGCCCACCGAGGCCCACCGAGGACAGACGAGAATTCGGCACTTTCGCCATCAGCATCCAATGCCCGGCCGTATCGCCATCAGCGACCTCGGGCAGATCGAAACCTGCTCCTGGAGTGCAGTACCTGCGGTATCGCAGTACTCGGCTCGGTTGACCCCAGTGCCTGCATCGGCAAGAGACGGCTCCTGCGGCGGCCTCGCCCCGCCGACACCCGAGCCTGCTCTTCCCCTGCTCTGGATCCCCATCGAAAGGGCGAGCCGCACGACCCCCCCAAGTTGTCGAGCGCAGGGGAGACGATTGAGGCATGCAGATATGAATTCGATTGCCAGAACGGAAAGGGTATGTCTTGGAAAACCAAATACCAAGCATCACCTGGCACAGACACATGCGGACGGGCCAAGCCAACAGCAAATCGAGCCCGACCAACGAGAGCACCAAGCCTCGCGAATAAGCCCGTGTGGACTCGTCCTGCTGCTCCTGCTGCTCCTGCTGCTGCTGCTGCTGATGCTGTACCTAAAGGTCGACATGCGACTGAGGGCTGCTGAGCGAGACCATTGCGGCCTCGGCGGCTCGGCGGCTGAATTGCACGGATCCACCATCCGGCTGGGCAGCGGCCTGTGGCTCCATGACCCGCACAAGATCATGGTCCTGGACGACGTAGAACGACATTCGGGACGACACCAAGCTGCTGGATCTGGGCCCCCGCTGGCAGCGTGCGCCTGCAGCTTTGGAATCAACGACGCCTCCGTTGCTGGACAGGCTTGCTGTCCTGCTCGTCGCTTGCAGGGAACGACTGGGCTTGAGAGACCAGCGACGAGGCTGCTTCCGGGCGAGATGGAGGCGCTTGCTCGACAGCATGGGCTCCTGGGCCTGCGGGGTACTTGGGTTGACCGCAAGCGAGCTTGCCGATGCCTGATGTGCAAGACGTCGACGGCGAACTATCGAGACCGCGCCGATCGATATAACAAACGCACCGCCCAGCAGAGCGGCAATGGTGGTGGTGGATGTGCTCGGACCCGAAGGACCGGGTTCTGGCAGCGGCGCGGAACTCGACTGACTGGAGCTGTTTTCGACGTAGATCTGTCCTGGCGCAGGGGTGCTGGCGGAGACAATAGCTGAGGTCGACGAAGGTGAGTCCAGGGAACTGCGATGCTGGGCAGCGACCAGCTCGGGGCTGGCAGTGGGCTCGAGATCGGCTGCTTGGCTACGATCGCTGTCGGCTGGGACCTGGCTATCTTCTTCAGCGACAGCCTCGAAAGAATGTGGAGCAGACGACACAGCGCCGTCGTTCTGGTGGCTGGGGTCGTTGTCGTCGCTGTCGCCTTCGGTGCTCCAGTCAAAGTTTGGATGGGTGGAGTTGCCGTCATCATCGTGATCATCTCCGTCATCATCGTAATCATCGTAATCATCGTAATCATCGTAATCATCGTAATCATCGTGATCATCGTAATCATCGTGATCATCGCGATCATCTCGGCGATCATCGTGATCATCGTAATCATCATGGTAGCCGTTCTTGTCGTCGTAATCGGCATTTCGTTCACCATCATAGCTGTCTCGTTGATCTTCATCATTGCCTTGTGGATCTCTACCATGATCGCGCTGGGCGAAGTGGTCGCTGTCGACATCCGTGGGAATGAAGCGCTTGTCATGTAGCGCAGGTTTGTTGCTGGACAAGCCCAGCTTATCGGAGATTGGGACGGCATGCACATGGAAAGCCGGCAGCTGGCAGAGACACAGCAGCACGGCACACTTGAGAACGGACAGAGCCCGCATGACTGGATCGGACGTGGATAGCAAGTGGTGGGATGGACAACGAACGAGATGCAAGCTCCCAAGACAGAGAGCAGGAATCAGGCCTGCGAACATGCGTATGCAGCAATCGACATGCTGGACCAGAGGAAGAGATTGCTTTTTATTTCACGACCCAAGCCTTCCCGAGACGCAGGGGTCTCGGTCGGCACAGGCGGACCGAGTGTGTCCCAGTGTGCAGATCCGAGCACAGAGCAAGTGAGGGGCAAGAGCGATCGGGAGATGGTCGGGGCCCACGATACCCAAGGCGGCCAGTTGGCCGCTTGGGGAGGGAGTCTCTCCCAACGGAGCAACGCAGAAGAGAAAAGGTGGACCAGGAGCATCCGCCATGGCAGCGATATCTGCGTCCCGGGCGTTGGAAGAACCAGGCCGCTGCCTATCGAACAGCATGCGAAAGCGGAGCGGAGGCGGGCTTTTCTCTTGCACTCGCCGCAGCGGGATGCCTCAAGGCTCATGCAGCATGCTCAGACGAGCCGGGATGTCTCTTGAGGACATATCGTCGCTCAGCGGCGCAGAAGTCGATATTGCGGCGGCTATGCCACAACAATCATGTTTGTGGCCCTATCTTCACAGATTCCATCACTGGGTCTCCATGAGCGATGACCGACATGCCCGCTCGGTTATTGCCCCTGGATGCATTGAGGGAGATATTCAGGATTGTTGCGGCGTCCTTGAACAGCTCAGATGAACGTGAGTGTATTCGCAGTCTAGAGAGCATAGCTGTATCGTCAAGACAGGGGCTGATTCCTTTGCGTTTGCGAGCGTTGTGGCTGAGTCAAACCGACATAACCTCGAGGCCCGCTCCTTCAAAGTGCACCACCATCCTATCAACACGAGCTATCGCTAAAATAGTTTGTCCAGGAGGGCATTGCACAGCTCAACGCCGAGGAACATGGATGCGCTGGCAGGAAACGCCCGGAGCAGCGTCGGCCCCAGGCCTTTGAAGGAGATGCCATAGGTCTGCACCGCCTGGCGAAGATTCAGCGGTCCTTTGGTCAGGGTCCCATGCAACTGGATCTGAGACTTGAGCACATCGACCGGAAAGATGGCCGTCCAGCACGCCATGCCAGCCAGACCTGCAAATGACATCCGTAGAGCAGTCCCAGGATCAATCCTTGTGTGGCTGCAGAGGTACTATCCCTCCATCGGACCAATGTCGCATGTATCGGAGGCTGCAAGATGCACATGGCTTGGCGACAGCATACCGCAGGGCGGCACTTACCTCCAGCAAGCAACACAATGCCCGGATTGACCTTGCCCTTGGTCGAATCTGTGTGGGTGTATGACTCGAACATGCGCTTGATGCCTTCGTATGCAGCGAAATACACAAAGTTACCGGGCACATCCCGCAGTAGAGTCATGCCGGTACCGCGGAAGAACGTTCGAATGCCGCCATTCTGGTAGAGCTGCCTGATCAAATTGTTCATAGATCGGGTTTGGGTTTCGGCAGCAATGTTCTCTGTCCGTGACAGCCGGCTCTCTTGCATCTGTAGCAGGATCTTGATGCGTTCCGCCGGGCCTGTGGTCAACACCAACGTCACAGAAAGCAGAATTGTCGGTTCCTTCGTCCAATCTGAACCCACAACGACGCTGCATTTGCGTCTGCCTTGTGCTCAGTGCTGGCTTCGGGGAGGGTTCTCGCCTTTTCAAGAGGTGCTGGAGCGAGCCCACTCACCCAAAAGCAACGAGGTTGGCACCGCTGCGATCGATCCGGCGATTCCGATTTGTGTCAGCGAAAGAGAATCCAACAGCTCCGCGTTGGTGTTGGTGCTGCTGGTGGAGGCATGTCGCTGGGGACCAAGCAGCTGGAGCATCGCAACTTGACCGACATAGTATCCTAGCACCAAGCAAGAATACCGAGGCGTCAGCCGAACGATCAGGCAAGCGCTCAGACCTGTGCACATGGGAGCTGATTGAGTTGGCGAGGGCCGAGCGTGCTTACCCCAGAAACAGAGTGCCAGGACGGGCTGTCCATCGTCGTGGTTGCAGCATTCGTCGTTGCCGCCACAGGGCCGGCATCGAATCGGCGGGGAGTCGGCCAATATCACCGAGAGGCGAGTCGTCAGGTTGCGGGCATCTGCCTCCACGCAGCCGATACCGCATGGACCAATGCCACAGCTGCACGGCGTTGTCGGCTCGAATCGCCAGGGATTTGCACCGATAGCATCCGAGAACGCTGCCCTCGGTCCTTCACGATATCTGGCTCCTGATACAGCGACGAGGACGACTTACCGGAGTACCATAGAGCACAGGCACGGCGCCTCGATAGAGGCCGATGAGGCCGTCACTTTTGACGATGGATCGGGCGACCGAGAGGGCTGATGACGATGCTGCGTCTGATTTCAGCTGCATGCGAACCTGTCGGTCCAAAGGAGTCAGCCAGGCCTCGTTTTAGCACATGCCTAGCGAGCGATTCATGCGAGCCCGCTTAATACGACGCAGTCCTGGTACTCGATATCGGTGTGCCCATCCACGGGATTGTCAAATCCATCGAATCGATGCGCACCGCAACCCGGTGTGCGGCGCATTGCAGACTCCTACCTTTACGAGATCAAAGGGATGGCTGGCCGCGACCTACAAAATGCGCCGATACACTCGTGAATTGCAGCTCTCATCCGCATGGACGCCCCACGCACTCGCATTGCATCGCCTTTCGGTACAGCGGGCTCCTGCGGCGATCCAGAGGGCCACAGCAGCCCGTGCATCGTTAATCGCCGAGCTGGCCAAGCCAGGCTCCGGGTTCGCGGTCGACTCAGCGCGGCAGATCCTGCGCGAATCGAGAGCCAACAGCGGCCGACAACCAGGAACGCACCATCGTTACGCCGCCGGCAGCACCCGATATGAACGACTTGAGGCCATTGTGCGATTTCTGGTTGTCGTCATGGGCCATGGCGTGCAGGCAGACGGATCCAGAGTGTTCAGGGCAAGCAGCGGCGGCAGGCCGGCTTTGGTGCTGATCGGGATTGCTGTGGCGAGGCGCCGTGGTTCGAGCCGGCAAGCCAGCCAGCCAGCGGCACGCGCCACGCTGCCCCGTGGGACTGTGGCGCGGGATGCACCCCTGCAAACCAAACGAGACGATGATGCTGGGCAAGCGTGCGGCTGGCTCAGAAGCGGATGGGTGCGCTGTATTTGGAATGGTAAGCAGGGCGCGAAGCATGGCAGAGACAGTAATCCCAGCGTCGATTGTCGCAATGCTGTGTGAGTTGGCCAGCGAATCAGCCCTCGCTGTGTGTTTCGAATGCAACTCGGACTTCGGCTCTGGATGCTCCACGATGGTTGTTTGGCCGCAAAACCCTATGTATCCTCTAATACGACCGCGGACGCACTGCAAATGCGACACTGAGGCAATCACAGACGCAGCCATGTTTGGCTTGTTGGCACCGATAAAAACCACCCCGAGCCCCGCGGCAGCTTCGAGGAACCACTGCATCGCCCACTCCATCTTGCCACCCCGGCTCGCCTCAAGATGATGCTCAAGATCGCGCTCCTGGCTCTCGCTGCTGTTCACGTTGCAATGGCCACGCAGATCGTCATCACCACGTATCCAACGGGATATGGTCCGCTGCAGAACAACTATCGAATCAGCGATGCAGACTACAAGAAATGGCTGCTCTTCTCGGTCAGCACCGACTTGCCGGACAAAGATGGCACGGGCGCCGATATCTCTGTCGAGTAAGCTATTGTGGATGGGCCAATTGGCCATGTATCTACAGCGGGAATGCCGACCTGTGGAGTGGCGCATTTTCACTCAGTCTCTCATTTTGCAGGTTGGATATTGTTCCTGCCACAGCTGCCGGTCAGGTTGTTGGATCGGCACTGCCAATTATGTTCTCATCGACCGCACTGCTCCGCACCAACAAGATTGCCTATCCCCTCCCCGACACAACTCTGCCGGGTACTTATGTGATCCGAGCTCGCTCAACGGCAACAGGCAATATCCCTGCTGTCACGGCAGTCTCGTCGTCCGTCAACTTTGTCGTTTATGCAGCCAACTGTGTGTCCTCAAAGTTCTCCATCCCGACGGATGTCACTGGCGTTCCAACCACAAGCACCCGTGCCGGGGCAGTTTGCAGTTCGCGAGTGGCCGATATCACCTGTGCGGACGACGGCACCGAAGTGGCCACACTCCTCAATCTATGCCTCAGCGGCGTCAACTCGGCTTGGGTCAACTCTCACTACTCCATCAGCAACATCTCTAGTGCCCCAAGTAGCCTCTCGTTTTCGTCCACTCGAGTTTTGGGTCAGCCGGCTGCGAACGTATCTCTGGCGACGGTTTGTCAGGGTACCTATCAGTAGTCTGGCTGCCTCATTGGGTGGGTCTGCAGCAAGGTTTTTGTACGATCGCACACCTCAATTCCATCGGACATTGCTCACAAATAAAGCGTGATTCTCTGGATGCCGACGCGAATGGCTACTAACCCTTGGCACAAGCCCATGCATCTGCTCATATCAAATGCTGATAAATGCATGCATATCCGAGAAACGACTGCAAATATGGGTCGGGGCTGCTCAGTGGCTCAATTCATGAGACGATGCGCTGTGCCCGGGTGAACAAATGAACATTACGCTCCACGCTCTCCGTGAGGATGGTCAAGAATACCAAGCCATCGGACAAAGAGTGCTGCACACCCTTGCGACATGATCGTTCGGTCGTCTGAGCCTCTTTGAGTGCCCGAGAAGCACGCCCCGTCCGCGACAACTCAGGTCATGTATGTGATCAGTTGTGACGCATCCACTCAGGTTGCGAGGCACAGCGGCAGCCCGTTGTGGAATTCCATTCTTGTGCACCGAAGCGCAACTCAGTCACCAATCGCAAGTGTTCGATCGAATGCAAGTCGCAGCCATCTGCAGCGAGCTGTTCTTGTACCGCGCCCGAGCCCGCATATTCCAGGAACGAATCTTCCAAGCTCGAATATTCTACCGGACGACCACAGCAGAAAATCCTCAAACCTCGAGCCGTCCGGTAACCTTGACCGCTCGCTATTGTCAGGTCGGCAGGAGAGGAGTGGGTCCTGCACACCCAAGGCTCATCGGGCGCGAATCAGGGCTCGTACTTGGAGTTCCAGAAACACATCCCCGGAACACCCAGAGAAAGGTCGCTTCTCCTACTTAAGCCGAGCGCTTCCAATGTGCCCTTCCTGGCTTCGAGGTCAACGCAAACAAACATCAGAGCTATCTCTGCCGGTCATCTCTGAGCTCGCTCCGAAACGCTCTGCTGCATCCCTTCGCGAACCTTATTTCCGGTTGGTAGATTGTATGCGGTGCCCTCACGGCGGTCACTGACCACGGTGCCACCTCGGTTTCGCTGAACTGAGCATGTAGACAGAGTTTGATACTAAGCGACTCTGTTTGTCCCTCCTCATGCTCCCTGGCCCATAGCCATGCACTACAAGCTTGCCCTCGAGGCCGCCTTTGTGTGGTTTCTCATGGTCGGCGTCTGGGCCGCACCGTTTGAGATGAAATATGAGCCCCGTGCGGCCGCCGTCAGCGTCTGGTACAGTCAAGTTGGATACGGGCCTATGGGCGACACCTTCCGCATTGCACCAACGGACTCGAACAAGGTCAACGTCACCAGTGATCCTCGATACCTGCTCTTCACCATCGACACGAACCTGCCCGACGTCAATCCAAGCACTGGCCAGCCCAATACTTTTGAGTAGGTTCGGCACTGCATCTCCTTCGCAGCAGTCACTGTCCAAGTATTGCTTCCTTCTGCATGCTGAAGTGATTCATGCGATGATCCTTGAAGCCTCTGCGGAGGTGTTTGGATTCATGTGCGGTCATGGCCCAGCCTAATCGGATCTTGCCCTTCGACAGCATCACCATCGTCGGGGTCAACAACGGCGCGAGTTTGAAGGTCTTCCCGAGCCCACAACCCAACTCCCTCATCCGTGCCAAGAGCATCGGTCTCTACTTCCCCTACGGCACTGTTCCCGGCGACTACTACATCCAGGTCGTCAGCTCCAGCGGCGCCAGTGCCCGCACCGCTCGCACCTTCAGGGTGGTCACCTTCAATCCCGCCTGCTGGTCCACCAACTTCAATATTCCCACAGACTACAACGGCAACCCGATCTCTTCGGCCAAGAGTCAAGCTCCTTGCGACAACAACCTTGCTGATATTTTGACTCAGGCCGACAATACCGAGGCCACCAATTTGCTCTATTCGTGCATTGGTGATGGCGGCCGTGCCTGGATCAACTCCCACAATCCCGACGGTCGCTACTCGAGCGCCTGTTCGCCTCCCTGCGATGTCTCGATTTCTGTCGATGCTACCTCGCAGACCTACACTACATTCACGAGCCCGGCCGGACAGTTGTCTTTGCCTGCCATCTGCCGCTAATATGTCGCAGAGCGATTGCAATAATCTTGAAATGGATAGCCAGCGCCAGTGCATCCGGATGGCGTCGGACTTGTGCATACCCTTTGCGAGAATCCACCGCATTGGTGTCAGCAGCCGCGGAGATATCAACCATAATTTTCCCTTAATTATAAAGAATAATCTTGGTCCCAGTGCATGCGTCGTGCTGTGAGGAGGAGCCTGGCTGGCGACGGACTGCCTGCACGAGCAGCTGCTCTCTTACTCGGCCACCGGAGATGCGTGCTCGATTCATCCGGATATGCGCTGATCTCGATCCCGGTCTTGGTTTCGGAAGGGCCATGACAAACAGACCAAGGGCGGGCTGACGAGCGCGGGTCTGTTCGGTTCCTGCGCCGCGCCTGCTCTCGCCTCATCTCACCACCCAGCAACAACCAGCGCTCGCTCGTCCGTCCGTCTGCGGCTAGGCCACCGAAGCGTATCTGCAGCACAGCGAATCTATCCGAGCGATATCTTCCTCCTCCAGTCACCCAAGCAAAATCGCCATGCAGCCACAGGGAGCATCACAGCACCAGCAGCCCCACAACGGCGCTGCCGAAGTCGTTCTTGCCTCCGCTGGATACGATCACACAATTCGGTTCTGGGAGGCCTTGAGCGGCATCTGTCTGAGGACCATCCCACACCCCGATTCGGTATGGTTGCTCTCGAGCCCGTTATCTGTCCATCCGTCAGGTCGATTGCTCCAGGCGGAGCAGTCTTTGTTGCTGGAGTCTGCCATTGGGCTGCAGTGTGCGGGAGACCCACAGCTAGAGCCGGCTGTCGTCACCAGGAATTGCGACTGCCACCCAAGAGCCGCTCTGGAGTTGAGGCACATCGAATATGGACTCTGATCTTCAAGAAATTGGTTGTTGACCCGTATCCTGGCTATTCCTCTTGCCCCCCCTGCCTCCAATGCGCCTTGCGTCTGCCCTTGCGAATCGCATCATGAACTCTGCGATCGATACGGCGACATCTTCGACTGGTACAATTGTCTTTTTTGACTCTAGCAAGTGAATCGTCTGGCCATCTCGCACGACAAGAGGCTCCTCGGCGCCGCCGGTATGTCTGATCCCGCATTGAGCCGGCAGAGCCTTGAGCGCCGCTGGATACGAGCTAGTCTGGACCACACCACGCCCTCCCATCAACCAAAGATGATGAACTCCCGGAAACGATGGACCGAGTCCAACAGGACAGGGCAGTCTTTTCTGATCATCCGGGTTTGAATCTTACCTGCGCCCCTGCCTCTCTGCAACCAGGCAACCCCCACGTCCGGCTCTACGACGTGCAGGCAAACAACCCCAACGCAGTAAGGCAACTGTGACTCTCTCATTTTCAGGCGACTGCCTATGTCTGATCCTGCTGCTCTTGCCGCTATTCCTGCTCTTACTGTTGTTGCTGTTTCTGTTGCTCGCTGTTCTGCGCTCGCACCCTGCCGGGGCCTTGCCTTTGTCAAAGATCACCAGCTTCGATGGCCACACCGGCAACATCACCTCCATCGCCTTCCAGTCGGCCGGCCGCTGGGTTGTCACCGGCTCCGAAGACGGCACCATCAAGATCTGGGATGTTCGGTAGGGCGGCTTTATGCTTTCGAGGGGATGCATCGGCTGCTGCTGCGAGTCGGTATCTGCCCAAGCTTCTGGCTAACCTGTGGTACCGCGATGTACTTTCCTCCACCCACGAATCCGCCTCTGCGCACCACGCCACCTTTGATTACCTGCTTGTTTCCAATGCTTGGATGTCGTACTGTCCCCCTGGAACGTTGGTGCTTGCGCATGATGTGACCAGAGCCCCTGGTGTCCAGCGCAACTACACGCTCTCATGTGCGGTCAACGATGTGATCATCCACCCCAACCAGGGCGAGCTCATCTCATGCGACCAGAGCGGACACATCAAGATATGGGATCTGGGCGAAAACGCATGCAGCCACGAGTTGGTGAGTCTCGGACCAAGTAGCATCGATGGCTGAGCGGCTCCGTGGCCGACTTGGTACAGTGCGATGATGGATGTGTCTTTGCAGGCGATGGGGCAAGGGCGGATCGAAGCAAAAATTGGCATAGCCCACTTTCCGTGCTTGATTTATTGTCTCGATCGACATCCGCGCCTGAACATGTGAACTGCATATCCGATGGCGTGTTACTTCGTTTCCGCACACTGCTCACTCATGCTTTCATGCTCCTCATCCTACCGAATGATCAAGATGCCTGAGGAAGATATCCCTGCGCGCTCGGTGACTATGGCCTCCGATGGATCAATGTTGATCGCAGCCAACAACAAGGTGAGGAAGCGCGAGAGACGATGGATCGATTGCAGCGTCTATGGTCGCCCTTCACGGCCTTGACAACACGTTTATGGCTTTGCACAGCCATGAACTGCGCTCCGATTGTGCTGGCCATTGCGACTGCACCGCTGTTGCTACTCGCTAACCCACATGCGTTTGTTGTTGTAGGGCAACATCTATGCCTGGAAGATGAAGAACAAGGGCGACATGTCCGAGATGGGCCAGCCGGTGCAGATACCTGCACACAAAAAGTTCATCACCAAGTGCCTCCTCAGTCCCGACACGAGGTGAGATAACTCGGCGGGCATCGGCGCTGCGTGCATTGCGGTTGCTGATCATGGTAATCCGCTGCTGTCTAGGTCGCTTGCAACGTGCTCAGCCGATCATACCGTGGCCCTCTGGGACACAAATCACCTCGAAGCTGGCGCCAAAGAGCCCTCCAAGACCCTAAAGGGGCACGGCCGATGGGTCTGGGATTGCGCCTTCTCGGCCGACTCGGCCTACCTCGTCACAGGTAACGAATACCAACCCGGCGCACTCGGTGCCGCCAAGTTTGCGATGGCGTGGAACCATTCGACGACTGACTCGGTGTATGCATGCATGCTGTTGCCGTTCCACCGCCATCCAGGGTCATCGGACCATTCTGCGCGTCTGTGGGATCTCACCACAGGCGAGACGATCCGCCACTACAACGGCCACCAGAAAGCTGTCGTTTGCATCGCCCTGCACGATGTGAGCCTATAACCACTCGGTGGGATAGAGCGCGAGTCGGGCACAGCGCATGACTACATTGGCCTCAGTCTCAGGTGTATGGCAGAGCAGGCAGGACGACGGCACCGAGTATATTCCTATCGAGCACCCGAGTTTATGTCAACCGGGAATCGTCGTATTTTGTGCATGTGAGGGGAGGGGAGAGCAGCCTCTCAGTTCCATGCAAGGCCGCCGCGCGAGAACTCCAAAACCTGTATCAAGCCCGGGCAGAGAGTCAGAACAAGGATTCAGTAGGGGCCGTAGAGCGACGGCCCACCTCAACCATTTGACGCACCACTCGCCGGCTTTGGATGCGAGACTCACCGTCTTGGGGTCGAGGAAGGCGAGCCAGTCAGAGTGGGAGGTCGGCAGCAAGCCCATCGAGGAGCATTTCCAGACACCCATGCCGAGCATCGCAATGTTGCAGAGGATATAGAAAAGCTTGGGAAGCAAGAGGGGGTCCTTGATGAGCTTCTGGACAGCGGCAAGACCCTTCGCCGGGGTGGTAGACGTGTTGATCTCATATCGCTCGAAGGCTGGGCAAAAGTAAGACCGATGGTCAGTGCAAGACTCGTCGTGCGGGCCATATCGAACACCATGGGATCGACGACATGCTCGCCGATTGGGTTCACGGGCCAGATCACAGGCAAGCCCGGCGAGCGTGCTCCACAAAACGAACCTTGGTTGATGGTCGTGAAGGCCTTGAGGGAATTCCAAAACAGCATCGCGGTAATCATGACGGAGAAGATCTGGACTGAGTTGCCGGACATGTAGAGCATGATTGCGTTCATCGGGATGCCCTTGGCGACGCCCATGGCCAGATCAAAGGCTTTCTGGAGATGGGAGAGCGAGCGGACACAGCATTTGTTTCGCATTGGCCGACATGATTAATGATAGCGAATAGAGACGCAGCGAGTTAAGGTTGGGTAGGGCCACAAATGCTCTGCACGAAACACTCGGGGATGCCGATAGCTGGCTTTCGATCGGGCTGGTCTCAGCAGATGTTGCACGGTTGAAAAGTAGAAAAAATAGATTGAGGTGCCGCGAGGTGGAGGAATCGCTGGACACGTACCTTGACTTTGAGCAAGTTGATCTCGTTCTCCTCAACGGCAGGGGCATCTCGCTTCTGTCGATTCGCGATGATAGGAAGCAGGGATACCGTTAGAAACTGGTCGTGAGAGGCTCGCGGCTCTTGCATCTGCAATTCAAGGCATCTGCGTCCAAGGCATTGATATCCTTATGCTTGCCCCCTTTGGCGCACACGCCAAGAGATGGGGGAGTCGTGGTCGCTGGTCGTCGGCGGATTGATCACGATGTCAGGGAGGAAGAGCAAGATGGCGGGGAGGCTGGGCCTCGACCAGACCGCCTTGAGGCTTACCGAGGACTTGTGCGATTCCACCTCCAGCGAGAATCCTGGGGGATTCAGCTTGCCGGACTGATGCTTCCTGGAAGACGGATGCGATGGGTCAGCCAGCCGCAACGCAACCGCAACCGCGGCAGAAGCAACGTCAGCACGGCACCGCTGGTGAGGGCGGCCGCTTACACTCCCTCTCGCTGCTTACGAGGAGCTGTCCAGGGACGAGGCGTCGAGCTTCCACTTTGCCGATGTGCTGACCATGATCGCTGCTTGTTCTGATGGCTGCTGGGCGGATGCGGCGACAGATGGAGGACGGGTGTTGGCCAGGGCAAGAGTAGCGCAGCCACACACACACGCGCGGCTGCAGCCGGATCCAGCCGTCTGGATCCAGCCGGGCTGCTGACTTTGAATTGACGTCCGCCCGCCGCGACAGAACCGTCGCTGCCTTTCGTCCGCCAGCCGTCCGCCTGCAAGATCCGCCTGTTTGCCTCATATCCATCCCCAGCCTGCAATATCCTGCGCTCGTCTCTGCGTTCGGTCCGAGTATAGTCTTGGCCTCAATCTATCGCCTATCGCCTCCTGCATATCGACATCCCTCTCGACGAGGCCCATCCCGCCCCATCCCGCCCCAGCGACAATATCGGCTGCATCGACATGAACCGTCTCAGCAACATCGAGAGCCAAATGGAGACCCTGCCTTCGGTCCCTCATCCGCTTTTGGAGCCTTCGCAGACGCCTTATCCGCCCATGGACCCGCAGCATCACTGGCGGCCGCTTGCTCCGTCCGCGCCGCGGCCTCCAGAGCCAACCCTTCTCGGCGGCGTCCCCGGTGGTGCGTCGAGCTCGCAGCCGCCCGGTATCCAGACCGTCGACGTAGAGCTCAATGTAAATATGGGAACAAGATGCAAATTGAGCGGGCGAGCATAGCTGTGGCTGCAGGTTGCTTGAGGAGATACCTCAGCCTGCTTTCCGTTCCACCGACAACAAGCGGCTCTCGCGACTTCACTGTGCTGCGGCGTATCGGCCTGATATCAGCGGTGCTTCCACAGGACACACGTTCTCTAACCCGCTCTCCGTTCTTGCCTGCCCGAAACAGGAGTCTTCGCTCTACATCGAGCCAAGCGAGCGGTTCTATCAGGACTTTCTGTTCTCGTTCTTCTACCTTTTGTGTCTGGCCTTCATGTTCAGCATGGGTATCCAGTCCCTGTCTACTCCCTTGGTGAGGCTAACATTGGCGCTCTGTCTCTTGGCATAATTTCAGAGCATCGGACACGGCTTACTTCCCAGCACGCCCCTTGTCGTGATCATAGCCTGTCACTGCCGCCATGACCCGGATTAACACTTTGCTGCCTCCAGCCGTCGCCTATGCATGGCACGATTCTCGGCAACACCATTTACGGGACCCTTCGTCAAAGCTCAGGTTGGATTACTGGCGGCTTGTGGGCTGCCAGAATGCGTGCTCCTCGCTGGCCACGATACAATCCCAGACATCAACCACAAACTGACACATGGCTGCCTGTATGCGTTACAGATCTTCTTCTTTCGGCCTGCGCCACGGCGATACTGATAGGAGTGTGCTGGCTCTACTTCCTCAAAAGTTTTGTTCGAGTACGTTTGCGCCCATGTGCCACGGGGGTTTGTTACCAGAGTTGGGGTTCATGCTGCTGCACCTAGCTTAGCTATCCGCCTTTGCCCACTTGATCGAGCCATTGACGCATTGTTTCCGTATGTCGCCAGCCGATTTTTCTCTTCAGTCTGTACATCACCCCGCTTGCATGCATTGTTATGTCCTTGTCGATTTTTACAAACACCCTGGCTGCCAAAGCCCAGCCGAGCACTGTGTATGTCCCCGAGTACGATTGGTAAGTCGCTCACTCATGCTGGCGATCCAGTGACAAGTCCATCGCCACCAACTGCACCCATGGTCATCAGTGTCAACACACCAGATTCACACCAGGTTGGTACCTCCGCCAACTACTCTTTAGGATGATTGCTCTGGCCATCAGCTTCTTCATCGGCGGCATCGGCCTTGGCAGCTTCAATCTCACCAAGCGGCGCCAAATCGAGCAGACGATTCACGTCATGGAGGTATTTGGCGTCGATGCAGCGGTGCCGGAGAGAATGTTCGAGGCTTGTCGTTCTGGCCTCAGCAAACACGAGCGAGGCTCATTCACCTATACTCACGAGTGGGCTCGTTCGCTGCGCCTTAGCTTTCGTGCATGATCCTCAAGAACAATCCAAGTCTCTTTGGGCTCGGGCTGATCGTGCTGTTGAGCAACATGACGTTCAGCATTCTGTGGCTCACGTTTTTCGTGCGCCAGTATCTCAACAGCACCGTCGCGGAGAATCGATGGACGCTGGCCCCAGGATCGTACTACACGATCCTCTACTTTGTATTCATGTATCTGTGGACCGTCGCGATCCTCAACAACATCGAGCGAGCCACGATCGGCGGTGTTGTTGGGGAATGGTATTTCAAAAAGTAAGCGCGGCCCTGCGTTATGAACAGCCGCTTTGCATGGTGGAAATGCAGCTTGATGCTCGCTGTCGCATGGATGCGCTACTGACTACCGCATCCAACCGCAATCATTCCAGAGATCCCGACTTTGTTATGAGCGAAGACAACACCATCAAGAATCTCAAGTGCTCACTCACCAAATCGTTCGGATCAGTGGCGCTCGCTGGGTTGATCATGTCGACAGTTCAATTTCTGAAGCTGATGGTTCGATACATACGAAAGGCAAGGTCATTGTGATGTGTTTGCATTGGAGTCGAGTGAATGGCGTGTCGAGAGACTCGCCGGAGTAGTAGCTTTCGCATAATGGGGGGGGGCCAATATCCAAAGCCAGTTGACTGATGCAATCTTGCCTATGGTGCTGAATCTTGCTTTAACAGCAATCCAGACACAGCAGTTGGTCCATAATGGGCTTGCTGGATGTCTGCTTGTCCTGCGTCGGAGGCTTTGTGGACTTGCTCTCGTCATACACCCTGGTCCACATTGGATTCTCGGGCGACTCCTTTATGGCCTCGTCGCGCTACTGCACGCAGCTCTTCCGTCGCAATCTCGTCATAGGACTTGCGTCGTCTCTGTTTGCCAAGTTGATTGTCAAAGGCGGCACACTCCTCATCTCGACGGGCGCTGCAAGTTATGTCTTTTTCGAGGTCACATCGCGACAGCGGCGGCAAGACTCGGATCGCTCTGATACGCCGCAAGGCGGTGCGGCGGCGGTGGCTGCATCTGTGACCTGGCTGTTCGTCTGGTACTTTTTGGAAACCATCGGGCACGTTTTCCAGAACACGTAAGTCTTGAGGGGAAGCCCAGGAGAATGCTGCTTTTTGGGCACTACAAGAGACTGCTCCATTTAACGATGTCTGCCGTTGGCCCACAGCGTCGATGCTACGTTCATCTGCTACATCATCGATCTCGACACGAACCAATGCCACCAGGAATCGGCCCACAAGGTGTTCAAAGACTCTCCCAACTGAGGGATTTCCTGGCCTGTCTGCTGTGCCCTAATCAGCGACCCTGCCCTTGCGATCCTGGAAGGGGCTCTGTTGAGCTATCAGCAAAGCACCATCTTTCACATGAATATCAGTACAATCCGCAATCCAATCCTCAGATGGAGCCGCGATATAAGTCTCGAAGTGAACCGCAAGATGGGCCACAAGATGAACCGAAGGGGTATCGCTGGGGTGTCGCCAGTGCCCATGCACGGCTTGTCATCACCAGTCAATCGCTGTTTTGAGTCGCGCTTGCCATACCCGACCACACCGCAACCATCTTGATTGGGGGGCGGTTCGAAGAATATTGCCTGTCCAAGCTATTGCTGAACTTGTGTGACTTGTGACCACGTTGACGTCCCAAGTTCTCCCATATCCCAAAGTGGGGAATAAAGCTGTCTCGTCCCTCTGTGGTCGAGCATGCACAGTGCCTATGCGGACGGCTGCTTGTTCGCGGGCTGGCGGACCACTTCCGGAACCCACCGCGGGCTGCCGATGCTCATGAGCGCGGCATCAATGGTGGCTGGATGCACGACAGAACACTCTCTCCAGAATCCCGTGCTGCGCTCGTTCAATTCTGCCAAAAAAGGCAGCTGCTGATGCGCAGTCGCTCGCGACTCCGCCCTGGTTTCGTCCAGGATTTGCTGGGGAGGATCGGCCACGGCTGCTCTTGCCTCCACATTCTGCTGGACGAGCAACCGGCTCTGATCGGCTGCGACCTGGTACCTCATCAAGACCCGCACGGGATCCGCCCCTCCCTCTTTCTTCGTCTGCAAAGCGACCCAGGCTTGCCCTGATTTTGCTGAGTCGGCAGCCAGATCGACAGCCCCGCTGGCTGCAACCCGTATCCGCTTCCTGCTGGCACAGACCACCTGCAGCGACATGACCGTGGATCCGCACCTCCAGCACATCGACAGCCTCCTGAGTGACGAGGGCGCCATTGCAAGTATTGCCTCTGGCTGTCCTTGGAGCCTAACGCCGTGGTGGCCAAGTAGCAGCGGTCGTGTGGTTCCCGTTCTGGCGAGCTCGCCTGGGATTGGCGCCGGCAGCGTTTTGCATGGTTATTGAGTCGTTGTTACCGAGCAGCGGCCTCGAGTGCTGCCTGCTGCAATCAGTCACATCTGTATGTATACTAATGACCCTTGGATCTAATCTGGCTAGGTTACTTGCAAGTCGCTCTCGCGCAGCCTCAATGTCCCCGTAAACGAATCCAAGACGTAGGGAGCCAAAATGTTCTGCACTGCAGCAGCCGCATGCACCTTTCTCTCAGAAGAGCCACAAACGGCAATGAGCGGAAATCCGATCAAAGACGGTGCCGGTGTTGCGGTCAGGATCTATCACCGCGAGAAGTGGCCTTCATTTATGCACCTGATAACGAATCCGACGGGCTTCCATGTTCCCAACACAGACTCCTTGAGAATTACCGGCGCCAATCGCCAGGAGTTCATGCCATCTACTTTATCAGCGGCAAAACCAATCAAGGGGCGGAGATTGTGGCCAAGTTTGCGGCGCAGGAGCACTTGGAAGGTGAGCAACGCATAGTCGCATGCCGTTTGCCCCATGTCGCACGCATGCCACACAACGAGCTATCCAGAAACTCGGGATCGAATGCGAGCCGAGAGACTTTCGATCAGTGAAAGCAGGGACAGGCGCTCTGGATCCGCGTACATTCAGCTCACATGCCACATGCGATGTGAATCCGCATTGGTACAATCCTTGTTCGGTTGCAGAAATCACAAGGCAGCTCGAACACTCCAGCTACTATGTCTATAGCTTACAGACGCACGCTCCAAAGGTGTGTGCCGCTCGATTTGACTGATGGTAGAGCGTGAAATACAAGCACAGGCCGGATTCGCTTGGTCGGGTTGACTGAGCAAGATGCAGACTTCTCTGAAGCGAGGCCGAGGCGATCTGACAAAGGGCATGCTTTCCATCCGCCACCAGGATACCGAGGCCATGTTCGCCACGGATTATCAAGTCCAAGCTGCCGATGACCTCTCCAACGTCAGGTAGCAATGGGCTGCTTGACTCTCAGCATCGTGGACAGACCTCCAAAGCCCAGCATGTGCTGCAGAGCTTGCAGTTTCTCTGACCGAGCCCGATCTCTGCACCGACAAAATAGCCATTTCCGAGCAATCAAGTCTGCAACCGTGGAGTTTAATTTCAAGCGAATGGGTGGCTCGTCTGCAGCGCAGGCCGCTTCCAGCGACACTGTTCCGAAACCAGTCGCTGTCCAGCCCAAGGCAAAACCAGAACCTGAGCCCGGCCGCGCTACCGTTGCTCCTAAGACAGTCGAGAAGCCCGTCCCGGCCAACAACGAAAAGTCAAAGTATGACTGTCTTGCACTCGGTTGCTCGCCCGTGCTCGTCGATCTGTGCGTGTATAGTGCAGGTGTTTGATCGATAGTGACTGTGTACTTCCCCCACTCTTGGTTGCTCAGCAAACACTTGACGACCTCGGACAAGCGGCAGGCGTTTTTGAACTCGTTTGTCAAGAAGGAAGCCGCTCGACCCAAATCGGCACCCGAAAACTCTGCCACCAAGGACACTCCATTTGCATCCAAATTGACCTCGGCGGTCCAGGCGAGCGAACCGGATGCAGTCGCAAACCAAGCTACCGAGCCCGGGCGATCTAACGGCCGCTCTGAGCGTCCGCATCAGAGTGGATCGAAAACTAGCAGTCCGATACAACCAGCAGCCAAGGCGGCGCCCAAATCGGTCGCCCGCAGAGTAGAGCCAGAGGTGCGCTCCGAAGTATCGATAGCGCAAGAAAAGATCCTGAGCGATCTGATGGATGACGATGAAGATGAAGATGGCAACGAGGACGACATGGCGGCTGCAGACCCGAACGAGGTGCGTGACCTGATGAATCCACGGTACAATTCCATGATAGAACCGGACAAAGATATCGAATTGGCAGACCTAGACTCACAGCCATTCCTCTGTCGCTGCTTGCTTTGTGTCTCACTTGCTGCCTGACGATGTCATGGTGATCCAGCTGTCTGAGCCACAGGCCAAGCGAGCCCGACTCCAAACCGGTGAGGCATCCGCGACTGCTGCACCCAGACCCATTTAGCTTTTGGCTGCGTCGAGTGTTGCTGTGTCAGGCATTGCATTTTTCTGTCGAAATTGTTTGCCAGCCTCCGAGCGTTTTGGGGCTGCTAGGCGAGTTTCCAGGCAATCTCATGTTTCTGACCACCGATCGATTTGGCCTGCCATACGCCCCCGTTACCTCGTCTACCGCTGGTGGTCCCAGCAACCTCTGTGATATCCGACGAGGGCGCCGGCTCGCCATCTGCAGGTGTCCGGCGTGTCCGCAAGCGCCGACAGAAGAAGGTTACCAAGACGTTTCAGGAGGGAAAATATCTTGGTAATAGTCTTGGCACGGCATGGTCGCAAGAGTGAATAGAGGCAGATGGTGTGATTCGGGGCCAATACGCTGGTACGCTGCCTCACGCCCCTCGTCGCTGACAGTGACTCGAGATGTTGTCGAATGGGAGTCCTACTCCGAGGATGAGGCTGAGCCCTTGCCCGCCAAGCCCATACAGCCGCAATTGCCTCGACAGCAGTCGGCCGATTCAGAGCCCGCAGAAGCCGACACCAAGGGCAAGAAGAAGAAGCAAAGCCGAACGCAGATGGCCGGGCAGCAGTCTCTGCTCAGCTTCTTCTCGAAGAAGTAGCGGTTTGTGCATGGCCGCCGAGCAGACAGGGCAAATCCGCCACGAGCAGCCGTGGGCTGATCTCTTGGCCATGGTCGCTAGCGCTAGCACCGGTACTGGGCAGCAATACATCTGCTGTGCTATTTCGAACACTGCTGCTCCGTCTCGTCAGGTTGTTGTCAGTGAGTCGCATGTTGACCGGCATGCCACTTCCTTCTGCGGCTCTATCACCCCGGACCAAGCGAGCGCAGAGGACGCCGATGTAACGGCCCAGATCGCTTCCAGGTTGCTATGGTGGGCTGGTGCGTGGCGAATTGGCGGGAAGATTACCAGATCGTTGCTCTGCCGGGACATGGAAGCAAACACAGCAGCGCCATTTTTTCCCGCGCCGGCGCACTCGTCGACACCTGGAGGGAGTCCGAGGGCGGCCGCGCCTTCTGCATTTCATCCAGTGCACATCCATTAGGCTGTGGGCCACAGAAGAAGTGCACCACCACCACCGCCGCCGCCGCCGTCATCTCCTCCCCGCGAGGAACAGCGCAAAACCTTGCTCCGGGCCGGGAGGAGGAGGAGGAGGATCTTGCAGAAACAAGCAAAAGGCGGGATGCGCGCCAAAACTGCAGGGCGCGAGAAGGCGGGCAATCGGTTGGAAACGAATCTGCGGGACGGCCAGGAGTGGGCCAAGGCTCGGTTGCGGAATATAAAGAACGGGCTCGGCCGGGGCTTCCATGGCCGGCACTGCGACCACCAGACGATCCAGCGCGTGCTCTTAGGATTCTTCTCCCTCACCCCCGACTCGCCCAAGCGTACACTGCGATCCGTCCCTAAAAAGCTCCGAAACGAGAGGTAGGACCTGGGCACGGCGCACCGCGGAAACTGCATCGATGTTGGCGAGAAAGCCCGCTGCGACCTTGCCTGACGGATGGATTAACACAAGAAGCCCGCGGCTGGGATACTTGTTCCCACCGCTCGTCCCTGACCATTCTCACCCGCCCCGTCGTTTGCCATTCCGATCCGAATCCATTCTCCCAGCCAAACCACCAAACCACCAACCCGCCCCTCTCGCCCCTTCCCGACCAACCAACCTCCTCTACCATGCGTTTCGCCGCCGTTGCAGTCCTTCTCTGCCTTGCCCTCTCGGCCGTCGCCGAGCCCAGCAAGCCCCACGAGTCCCACAGCACCCATGTCAGCGCACAGGTCTCCAAGTCGGAGCATCACCACACCCCTGCTCCCACCAGTCATAAAGTCGGCGAGGCCAATCCCAGCCCCAAGCCCCATCCTCGCAGCAAGCGTGCCGTTGCTAAGCACCCTCATCCTGCCTCGAAGCAGCACCAGGGGGGCCACCATGAGACCAAGTCCGTTCACACTCCCACCCACACTCACCAGGGCAAGCCCCACCACACTTCGAAGCATCAGGGCAAGCCCCACCACACTTCGAAGCATCAGGGCAAGCCCCACCACACTTCCAAGCCTCAGGGAAAACCTCACCACACTTCCAAGCCTCAGGGCAAGCCTCACCACACTTCCAAGCCTCAGGGCAAGCCTCACCACACTTCCAAGCCTCAGGGCAAGCCTCACCACACTTCGAAGCACCAGGGCGGCGCCCCGCACACCCACCCTATGGCCACCCCGGCTCACTCTGCCAAGCACCAGGGCCACCCCAAGGAGTCGCACAAACCCGCTCCCACCCACCATGCGTAAATACCATGACACAACGCAACTCGACGGTTGGCGGGAATGCCGGGTCTGATCTAAATTGGACCGATGCCCGACTCTCTACCTCGATCCTCTGTCGAAATGTTTAGTAGAATAGCCTTCATTGTGGTTCAGTGTTGTTATCTTTTCACTCTTACTTTTTGGCGAAATGCTCTTCTTACATATGTACCTACTCAGCCCAATATCGAACCGGGATAATCCCAAACTGAGACCCGCAGCCGAATTTCTCTGATTTTCCCGAATACAACCCGTCTCTCTTTGGCGGCCATCCTTTCTCGCAGCCTCGGGTGACGGCCGGAACTGGCTCAATCGGTACTGCGGCGATGATCTGCCTCGCTGTTGCAACCAAAAGCTATATGTATTGGGCTCTGAGGACGATCAACGGTTTACTGGCCCGCCGCAGGATACTTTGCGCGATCCGCATCTTGTCGATTGCGAATATCGGCAAGCCGGTGGCGGAGCAACAGGGCCCACCAGCGTCTGCGCGGCGAAGAAGGGATCGGGAAGGGAGCAATAGCTGCGAGCTTGGCACTCCTCTCGGCTCGGAACACAGCGACACGAAGGTCTGCGGAAGACCCAAAGACACCAAGCATCCAGGGCCCTGGTCGCCAGGCGGCCACAAAGAAGATGGATAGAGGTGAGGGAGCGTTCGAGGTAAACCGCAAAAACAGGATCCTCTGGCCAAAACTGCAGCCAGCAGGACAAGGCGGGGTCGTATGGTGCTAAAGATCTGCCTTGATTGCAGCGGGATAGGGTATCGTAGATCGATCTTCGGCCAAGGGACCACATCGCAGGATTGGCTAGCCATGCACGACAGATGGGCGGGACAGAATGTAGCAACAGTCGGCCTCCTTCTCGACATCATCGGAAGGCAGCTGGATCTGCTTCTGGAAAGGAGGTGTTGGAAAGGCAGCGCTGATTATGACGACGACCCCGATAATCAGGAATACGAATGTAAGTGTTGCAGCGGGTGAGGTACTGGCTTGGCTCTGTGGGCCTAAGACTTTACGGGCCAGGGAGATGGCGAGGGTTGAGGATAGGAGAGATTGCGTGAGGATATGGCTCTAGACAATAGCTACGACCGGGGGATGGACAGCATCTGTGGCTGGATGATTTCGGCAGCAATAGCATCAAGAAGTATGGGCGAACGGATCCAGTCATGAACAGGACAGCCCGAGAAATGTACACGATACTACAGACAGCGAAAGCCAGCGCAGGCGACTTGCTGCGCAGAGGATCCTGAACGGAGCCGCAGAGATGCGATGCAGACAGCCTACTTGTTCTGTTCGACCCGGTGATGGGAACGTCGCTGCCGCTTGGATCTTTGCATGCGTTGTGCAGGAAGCAGCTTCTGCTGCTCACCACTCCGTCCTCGTTCAGGGGCCGGGGCACCTGTGGCAGCGGAGCGGCAAGCACCCCCAGGGCAAACGATACCAGGGCGACGATCCAGGGACGCATCGGAACAGGGCTGAGGGGCAGCATGCCAGGCGCTCGTCAGAAGGCGAGTCCAGCAGCAGATGCAGGAGCAAGCGCAGACACAGAAGAGGATGCAGCAGGAGCAGGACGACAATGAGGCCGGGCCAACAGCGGACACGAAGGCGGCTGGGCTGGGGATGCGCGGCCGTCACACGGGCGGGCTGGGTGCACCGACGTGTGTGTGTGGCCGTGCGTGCCACCGTGGCGGTGCAGCGGCGTTACACGGACGACGCGCTGCGCAGTGTGCCGCACCACAAGGGCACTGTCACTTGGGAACACACACACGCACACCAATGTTGCACAGCGCCACCGCATCGCACAGGGCGCTGCGGCCCCTTGCTGACTGTCACCGCTCTCTGGTCTTGTGCTCGCGCTTGAGCAAGCCCGCTGCGCAGCACATCGCCGCCGATGTGGCGACTCGTCCATGATCAGCAACTCGACTCGGGATATCCCACGCTGCCACTCGACACCACCCAACACCACTCAACACCGCAAGCACCGTCGGCTGTGGAGGCACAGGTCCCAGAGCCCTTGGCGGCTCGGGCGGCTCGGATGCACATCCACAGAGCGACCAGGTTAGCGGCCAACAACGGTTTGTTTGTCCGAAACAGCAATGACTCCCGCTGTGCTTTGGATGTGCCGCCTGGAGTTCTCATGCGCCAGGGCCGCTCGCTCGTCCATGAGTGGCTTCTCATGGCCGGATGCCGCGATTGCCGCCTGCTCTTCCGCTCAGCCCCAAACCAGCCAGCCAGCCCGCTCGGATCAGCTCCCACCGGTATCATTCCGCGGGAAACCGATAGCCACCGCCGCCGCGTTCTGCACTCCAAAATGCTCCAAGCTGTTTCCACAGCGACGACTGGATGATGGCTATCGGAGAGCACCGCGACAGCCCGCCATCGAGCTTGCAGCCTGGCTGCGAGCACTGATGTGGTCGGCGTATATATGGGCGGCTCCTCCCACCGCCCTCGCCATCGTTAGTCGCGGTCCATCAAAGCCTTCCTACAACCATCACCCACCACTATTGCTCCAGCCTCCCATGCTTCGCCGTGACGACCTCAATGTGTTCGACTTTTCAAAGATTGCCGAAGTCTTTGAGGAATACGGCTACACTCTCGAGCGGCAGCACAACATTCGCAAAGCGATCAAACGGGTTATCAGCATACAACGTCTTGTGGGCCACGAAATCGAGGAGTTTCGAGAAAAGGTCTACGACTCCTTCAATAGAGGCATCAACCAGAAAATGGATACCCTTCAGTTCCTCAAGCACCTCTGTGATCTCTATCGGTTCGACACTCGCCACCTGAACAACTCCATCACTGCGTATACCAAATTTATCAAGTCCAAGAACATCTACATCTACGACTTTGTCGAGGGAAAGTACGTTACCTACAGCCAGAAGGAGTTGAGCGCCCTCATCCGCAAGAATCCCTATCCACTCGGGAGCGCGAAAAACCAAAGGCTGCAGTGCCTCCTCAAGACCGCCTTCTAGCCAGGCTCCGTTGTTACCGAGTACGCTTGGTGCGGCGGCTGATACGACAGCGAGGATTGCCCACTGGGTGTCTGCATCAGCTTCAGTTTGTTCTTGTTTTGCTAAAGATGGGCTTGTAGCCGTGGGACTTGGCTTCCACCGAGCCAAACGTTTGTCAGTGATGGCCGTGCTCCATGATGTGTGGCTTGTGCGTGGGCAATACAGCATCTCCACAGCCCAAGCGAATCGCACCGTCCCCAAGAGATGGCCCCTCGCTGGCCGCATCCCGGCTCGGCGCCGATGAGAGCATCAGCCATGGTTGGCAGAAGCCGAAAGGACAGTCTATCCAGAAAAAAAAAACGGGACAGTCACTTTCCGGCTTCAGATGTCTGAACCCCGCTGACTGACTGTAGGCCCCAGTGAGCAAGCCGTGAGATTGTTTCCCGTCTTGGTTGGCGATCGAGTGGTTTTGGTTGGTTTGGGAAGCATGGTCTTGAATACACCCGGCCGATCTCCTGTGGCGATGATCGACTGGCATACCGAGATCATGTTCCTTGAGGCATTGATGTCTCGATCCCGCAACGTATGGCAGCTTGCACAGCTCCGGACAAAGTGGGGTTTCTCGATATCAATATGGTGCTGTGCTTGGCCATGAATCCGATGAGCGGGTGAGTGTATTCAGGTTCCAGAACAAAAACACAGTCCTGGTTAAAAACGGGGTGTCCCATTTCATTTTGGAATCGCTGCATCTCCGCCTGCCTCGCCACCCGCCAGCCACACCGCCCGTGACCCAGTCCGTACATTGCATCGCCACCTCGAGCTATAAAACGGCTCCCGCCTGCTCTGCCTTTGCCCCTCGTTTTCGCTCGCTCGCTCGTTTCGCATCTGCTCTCATGGACAACATCGATCTCGCTGCCGGTGGCCTGTACAAGCGCAAGGGCGGCGGCGCTGTTGTCGTCGTCTCGCATCCGCCTCCACCGCCCGCACGGGTCGTTGTGGTGTCGCATCCGCCTCCGCCTCCGAGAGTCGTTGTGGTTTCGCACCCGCCGCCGCCCTCGAATGTCGTCGTCGTTTCGCATGCTCCTCCTCCTCCAGGATTCGTTGGTATGCCCTTCGCACGGCTGCACATGCATCTTTGCGCTGGCACAATGCTTGAGCCGCCACGATCGGCCCTACACCGATTGCTCGTCCCTGCTGCTGACCAACCCACCGCACCCCGTACTTGACAATGCCGTAGTCATCTCAAGCTCTCCTGGATGCTCTGGTTGCATCGGAAACTCGTCTCTGACTGTTGTCGGTCTGGCCGTTATCGCTGGCTGCATCATCGGCGTGGCTGTCATTGCCTACTGCGTCTACCGCTCCTGCACCCGAAAGCGCGGCTTCCAAAAGCTGTGATCAGCCCACAGACGAACCCATTTTCCTGTTCATTGTATTTTTTTTTGCGTTCCTGCGAAGGGCCAGACCTTTCGGACGACTCACCATCCGCACAAATCTCGTCCACCCGCCTTGGTGTGGACCGGTAACCCACGAATAGCAGAGTAAGCAAGCGCCATCAAGTCCGCAAGGGGGGATACCAGGGCACCTGAGCGAATAAACGACGCAGCTGCACTGGTTTGTAGGTCTTGATTGTTCCACTTGGGCTTGTCTTCCTGGGTGTTGTCTGATCGGGTGTGGCCGCTGCTGCTCGGAGCCATGTCCCTCCATGTCCAGCTGGAACGATGGTGGGGCCTCCAGCGATGCATCTTGGGTAAGACCTCTGGAAGGGCCTAGACAAGTCAAGGCACCCACGAGGGCAATGAAGCGGCTCTCATAGGGGGGGGGCAACAGACAAACCTGGCCAGTCGCTGAAGAAGATGCTCTTGGACAGGACACTTGCCCATGAGTGTATTGGCCGGCGATCCGGCCGCAAAGTGATCCGAGGGTAAAAGGACACAACATCTCGAGTGGAAAGAGAAGGCCCATGACAATGCGGGCTCGATCAACCAGACCGTTGCAGTAGGGCCAACCAGACATGGGTTCCCTGTGGGGCAAGATACCCGGAGTGTTCATGAAGCTGATAGAGGGTGTTGCTGGATACTGTGTCAGTCAGACGCCGAGACGTGCTGATTCGCGATGCTGAAGGCAGGCCCGCAACTCGAACGAGCCGCAGATGAACTTGCGATCAACACGGAAGCAGGCGACGACGGCCGCAGCAAAGGGAGCATGCCGGGTCTGGTCTGAGCTCTGCGATCTGGCCCAAGGACAGGGGTTTGTTGTTGTGCTGGGCGAGGGGTGGTGCGATTTGTGCTGTGGTGGCCACAATGAATATCCGCCAGCCAGACACAAACAGCGAACAAAGGGTGTCAAACTTGCCCATGTGTTCCCACCGAGTGAACTGTTCGCTGGCTGAACAGTGGATTTGCAAGCAGCTTGCTGGGCGAGGCAACAGCACAGCATCGAGGGACAACCAGCCAGACCCACCGCCCAAGCACAGAGCCGGTCACGCTGGCAGACTCAGCAGCTCGAGAGGAAGCACGAGCACTCGCTCAATGCAATCTGGCAAGCAGCCAGACCAAGCCGCCATCTCCTGGCTGCCCAGACCGACAAAAGGCGCTCCCCTCGCCCTTTCCCCTCGCCGTCGTTGTCTCGTTTCGCCCTTTCGGCTCCCTCCTCGCTCCCCTGCCCTCATCTGGCTTTGGTATCGGCACCTTTGTCGCTTCCATCCCAACCCCGGCATGCTCAGGGCCATCTCCTGTTGTTTTGGAGGGTCCGCAGACCCGGTCGACGACCGAGATGTCTCCTCGCAGACCCCTGTCTCCCAACAGCCAACATTCCCTTCTCAGCCCGATCCCTTTGGCCCCTGGCTCCATCCCGTCGAGTGCCTCGTCAACACTGCCCGCGACGAGCCCGATGCCCTCCTAATCAACACCTACGAGAGCGGCATCTCGGAGCGGCTCAGCTATCTCCGTGTGTGGAAGCAGGCGTACTCGGTCGCCCAGGCTCTCAAGGCTCTCCCTGGCTGGAACGACGACGACCACGAGGTCATCGGCACCTTCTGCGAGGCCGAAGCCAGCTGGGTGATCTTCTCGCTTGCTGTGTGGATGCTGGGCAAGTGAGTATCTCTGGTCTGGTCTGGTCTGGTCTGGTCTGGTCTGGTCAGTCTGCCTGTGCATGACATGACCGGCCTTTGTCCATGCCATGACCAGGATCGAGTCTCATCTGTCCCTTGTTGCCACCCAGGAAAACACTCAACCTCGCTCTCAACTTCCCTGCCGCTGTTCGCAAGGCTCTGTGCGAGAGGTTTGTCCTTGTGCTGGTCTCGCATGTGTCTCAGGAGATTGACATCCCAGAGACCTCTGTGCTCAACCTGACTCGACCTTGACTCCAATCGATGCAGACACTCCATCAAGTACATCCTCTACCACCACACCAAGCCTGGCCGCACCATTGGAGTGACATTGGTCGATGCCACCACGTTCCCTGTGCTGGACAACGTCCCACCCCCGTCTCTCGAAGTCTGTGAGCCCCTTGATGATTATGTCACCATCCAGTGCACCTCTGGAACAACCGGTATGTGGGGTGGTCGAGCGTGATGGTCCAGCAGCAAAGCAGATGGTGCAGTGGTGAGTAGAGTAAGATGGTGAGTGTGGTGAATGTGGAAAGTGATACGCTGACGATGCACATCCAACCCACAACCCGACTCCTTCGTCCTGCATCCTGGCTCCTCGTCGCTCTCACAGGCATCCCCAAGTCGTGAGTTCCCTGTGGTTTCTGATCCTGTGTCGCACCTGATGCTGTGTCGCGCCTGATGCTTGTTCACATTCACAAGTGATCACATCACCACTCGTTGACTGAATCCTTCTGTGCTTGATGTTGATTGTTGCAGGTTCAAGTTCCCACACACTGGTGCAATCACAATTCGAACCTCAATCGGAGTGCTGAAGAGCAGCGCCGGGATATTGCAGGTTAGGATACAGGACATCAAATATCCCATTGATCCGAGCTCAAAGTGGGTTTACTGACATTTGACTCCTCTCAGACCCCAGCATTCGTGGCAACATTTAGTATTTTGCTCAGTGCACTGAATCTTGGAGGATCCGTGTGGATTCCCGAATTGACGTTCAACACAGTTGAGAAAGCAAAGAACGTTGCCCAAATCCTGGATGACGGCGTCGCCTACGTGATTCTGGTAAGCAACAGACATTCCAGCGTATAATGAAGCATATCGCCCACACTAATGATATCATTCTTTCACAGACTCCTTCATTCATGAAGCTCGTTATCGGCACCGCCACTTCATTGAACTCGGACGTCAAGTGGATGAAGACAAAGCGAGTGCTGCTTGGCGCAGAGTACGTGCCAATGAGCGTCATCCGAATGTCGAAGGAAAGGTTCCCAAACACCGAGATTCAGTCAGCCTATGGATCGAGTGAGGTACAGTCCACGTCACTAGGTTTGCATCATCAATGAGCTGGGCATTTATTGACCGAAGTTTCTTCATCAGACAGGAGTTATTGGGGCACATTCATTTTTGAGGATCCCGGCCGATAATCCCGTTCCAGAGAAGTTGGTCTACAAGTTGGCCAAACCTGGCGTGCGCTGCCTTCTCTTTGACGAGAAAGGCGAGATTATCGATCCACGGTACTCCAGCAGCGGAATCCTGGTCTTTGCCGTCGATCCCGAGCATCCTGCCAAGGACCATCCGAGCTTTGTCAACGCCGATCCCAACGACAAGCTGTCGACTTTCGGCTTCCTCGTGGATGGCTCGCCCCGAGTCTGCACCATGGACTGGGTCGAGATGGTCAGCGACAAGGAGTTCAGTGTCGTTGGAAGGTGAGTATGGCGACTATTGTGTGCTTGATCCATGAGAACTGCCATCCACACTCTTGGTTCCGATCCTTTTGCTCGCTGGATACTTATCACTCTCATTCTCACACCTCACACCTCACACCTCACACCTCACACCTCACCCTCCAGATTCGACCAGAAGATCAAGGTCAACGGTGTCTATGTCGACCTGAACTACCTCAGGGAGCTTGTCCACAAGCACTTGTCCCAGGTCATTGCCGACTGCTACTTCATCCACACCTCCGAGAGGAAGATCATCTTGCTCTACGTCCTTCAGAAAGGATCCAATCCCGACTTGATCTCGGCCGATATCATTCGAGTCGTCGAGGACATGTTGTTGCTGCTGAACGTCTCCAAGGTCCCCATCCACAACTGCCTCAGGCTCCACGAGCTCCCCTTCAACGACTCGGGCAAGGTCGATCTCAAGAAGCTTAAGCGCATCGCCGAGAACATCGAGCAGTACGGCCAGGCGGTCGATTACCCGCCCCTCATGGTCACCAGAACGTTCTTGACCAAGATTGCCTTCAAGATCTCCGAGTTCAGCAGCCAGATCCTGGACAACCCCGGTCTCTACGGCCGCAACTTTTACATTGGCGGTGTCGGCTTTGACTCGCTGAGCATCGGCCGCCTGGCTCTCGCCATCAGGGAGGAGTACGGTGTCGAGATCTCGCCAATGATCCTGCTGTCGAACAGCATGAGTCCCAAGGATGCCGCCCAGCTGGTCGTCGACATTCTCGACGACAAGCTGGTGATTCCGCCGACAATCGATCTGGCTGCCGAGGCTGCCAAGCTCGACGATGCGAGTGTGACGGCCGAGGGTTTCCCTCCGTTTGTCTATCCCAAGGAGGTCCGCGGCATCGTCCTGACGGGTGCAACCAGCTTCCTCGGAGCATTCCTGATCTTTGAGCTGGCACACAAGTTCCCTCGGGCCAAGATCTACTGCCTGGCACGAACCGAGACCGAGAAACTGGCCTTCCTCCGCACCTACTCCAACGCCTCGAGGCTGGTGATTGCATCGCGGAACAAGAACGATCCGTGGTATGACGTGCGAGACCGGTGGGTTGGTCTGCGCGGCGACGTTTCCAAGGAGCGATGGGCACTCTCGGACGAGCGATGGAAGGAGATTTGCGAAGAGACCGACATGATTGTGCACAACGCCGCCGAGGTGCACTGGCTCTACAACTACAACGAGCTCAAGGCAACAAACGTCCTCAGCACGGTGACGGTGCTGCAGCTGGCCACGACGCACCATCTCAAGGTGGTGCACTACATCTCGACCATCGGGACGATTGCCATGGCCAAGGGCTCCGACAAGCCGCTCGAGGAGAAAATGTACTCCAACTGGAACCTGTCGGGCGGCTACTCGCAGACCAAGTGGGTCTCTGAGCAGCTGATCAACAAGGCACGATCGAGGGGAGTGCCTGCAACCATCATTCGGCCAGCGATGATTGCTGGCGACAGCGGATACGGAGGTGAGCCGTGGTGGTGTGGTGGTATGGTGATGTGTAATGTGGTGGTGTGTGATGTGGTGGTGTGGTGGTGTGGTGATGTGGTGATGTGGTGATGTGGTGATGTGTGATGTGGTGGTGTGTGATGTGGTGGTGTGTGATGTGGTGGAGATTCCCTCCTTCGTTCCCTCGACTTGACCATGGGTTGATGATCTTGTTTGTCAAGCGACACCCATCCATCGACCGACACTGTTTCTCACCCTGTTCACTCCATCCTCCAGTGTGCAACACAGACGACTATATCTGGCGATACATCGAGGGATGCATCAAGCTCGGCATTTGCCCGGCAAACGCCAGTCCCGTCACTTGGACCATGGATCCAGTCGACCATGTTGCCAAGGTGATTGCCGAGATTGTCAGCTCGGAGGAGGCGCTGTCCAAGTTTGTGTTCCACATCAGCGACTCGGAGCACAGGTGAGGAGTGCGTGGAGTGTGAGTGTGAGTGGAGTGTGGGTGTCAGTCGATGCTGTGCTTGGTATTGAGTGGGTCGCAGATGGACATGTTTGATGGCGGACATCGTTGGCCATCGCAACCACCCCTCACTCACTCACTCACTCACTCACTCACTCACTCACTCACTCACTCACTCACTCACTCACTCACTCACTCACAGTGTCATCACCGAGAAGCGTGTCTTTGAGATCGCCGATTCCGCTGGCTGGACTGTCCTGCAGGACACTCGCGAAAAGTTCAGGACAGTCATCTGGCGCAACCCATCGCCCGATAACCACGCCCTGCTTGCGTTCATGCGGATGCTGATGGACCTGTCCTTCAGGGTCGACAACACCAACACTCGCTCGATCTACCCGACGCCGTGTCCCTCGCCCGAGTTGGTCGTCAGGAAGAGTCTCTTCCACTTGGATCGGGTGTCCTATCTCGACCAGCCCACGGCGGCGGAGACCGAGCTCAAGGACGAGGAGTATCCCGATGTCCGTCCCTTCACCCGCACCGGCCGCCACTGATGTTGTGCTGGCTGGGCTGACCGATCGATCAGTGTCGTCTCGCTGCCCTTCCGTTCTGCGGCCGAGTCTTGTTGGACTGCCAGACACTGAACACGATTGATCCAACATTGAGATGTGGGCGGTGGTAGATTGCACTGTAATCCCAAAATTATCAAGAGTACAGGAATTGTGATGCCACTCAAGTGATGGGTGAGAGTGTATTTGTTCACACAAGCTTGTCAAGTACATAAAACACAGCTGCATGTTTGGGCACTGTTCCTTCGGCGAGGGCTTGCTTGTTCCTCGCTACCATTCCTTGCGCTGGACACTTCCAGCGCCGTTCCTGTTTCGAATCAAGGGCGGCCTGCCGTTACAGAAGTAGACGCTGCCCTGACCGTCCTTGTTGTCGATAACGACCTTTCCAAATCCATTCAGGTAGACATCACCACTGCCGTTGATGGACGCAAAGTGCAGTTCGTCTTGGCCAACATTTTCGGCATAGAGGCGGAGAGTACCGTTTCCGTCCTTGTGGATATCGTGAGCAGTCGAGAAGGTCAGCTCGCTGTCGCCGTCGCCGTTGAAGCTGTGGCCCATTTTCAAATGTTGCTTTCGAGTAACGAGGATACCGAGACAAAAGCTTGATGCGAGGGATGGGCTTGCTTGGGGCCTGGCCTGGAGGGCCCAGCTTTTATAGCCCAGAGAATGATAGGATTGCGACTCGAGATACCCTTCCAAGTCGGTATACCGGCCCCCTTCCGGTATCTCTGCGGTATGTGGATGGTCATCTGGGTATCAGCCCGGATAGTCCGTGCCTTGTCGTCGCCCGCTATGTGCATGCTGAACCGCCGTCCTGTCGAATTGATACCCATTCTGATCGCCCAACAGCAAACATGGTAGTCAGCCATTGTCCCTCGGTGGAAATTGAACGGAGCCACCCGACTGCTGGTCGATCTCCGTTTGCCAGCGATGGCTATGCTGCTGGTCATGCTCCCCATCGGTCCGGCAACCATCCGGTCGGCATGATCGTACCAATGTCCCGCCAACACCTCGTCCCGATTGGCGCGCCGGGCTCTGCTGTTCATCTGCTCGCAAACCCAAACACATCTGCGGCCCTGCCGACCACGAGCGGCCGAAGATGACCAAAAGGACTCGGGATGCACTGCCGCCGCCTTGCCCTGGCGCCGACCCCCTCTCACCACCGAGCTCGGGCGATCGACAACGGCTGACCCGCTCGAAGCGTCTGCGACTCAAACAAGAGTCTGGAGACCATGCCGCCGACAAGTAAGCTCTTGCAACCTTTGCTACGACAGTCCTTTTGGAGGAAGATCCGCCCACGCCCGACGGCTCGACTGACCGGCTTGTTTCCTGCTGCAGCATCCGCGCCGACGATGCAGGCAATCTCTCGGCGGGTCAGGCCAATCCTATCAATGTCTCCATGACCCAACCTGGCTCTCGCACGCTCAAGGATGCTGGATCGACCATGCTCGCTGATGGCATCGTGCCGCCACAGCATCGGGATTCTCCGCCCCCCAGCCGCTCGGAAACAGCTGTGCGGGAAGAAAGGTCTCTCGATTCCCTGCAAGACAAAACCGCCGGCGTCGAAGACGGCCCGCTTGGCAGCCCAACACCCTTGCCTCGCTCTTCAGATTCGGCTAGTCCGGATCCGTTCCAGGATCCTGGAGGGTCAGATCCATTCGAGGATCCCTCGAGCTCCAGTATCTATGGCAGTCCTGTCAGCTCGGCGGCAGGCTCGCCAGGCTCGAATCCAATAGACGACCCCGCCTTCAGCACCGATTTATTGGGTCTAGATGTATCGTTCGAGGCCCTCGACACCCTAAATCCAGATCCGTTCGGACGGCCAAGGTCGGCCGAGTTCGAGCGGGCCATTGCAAGGCCGGACGATTTGCTGTTCCAGGTCGTCGAGGAAATCATATCTTTGCCGATCGGCGGCCCGAGCGACGCAAGTCTCAACGAACACCATCACTCATTCACGCTGCTGGAGGACTGGAAATCAAAGCTGTGAGTATCGCCGGCGACAATGCGAAGACCGCGCGCCGACATCGATTGTCTCGCCGATTCGCTTCGACAACAGGCGCCATCGTTTTGTTCACTGGGTGCAGTCCAAGGGCTCCGTCACGACAACGTCATCACCACAGCTTCCTTATTTGCACTATATTGCATCGATGACAGAAACCCACATGGTCGGCCGCAGATAGAATCGGTGTACGCTAGCGAGTATATGCTTCACCTGCTGGCATATTCCAACAACTGGGGCGGCTTCGAACCCCCGCTCAGCGACCAGATAGAGCAAGCCGAAGTCGATCTGGTGTCTGACGAGCAACTGTTTATCGAACACCTGTTTTTGGATGGCAACGAAGTCGACGTGCGCAAGGTTGGGCCCCAACGACGGCGATGTGCACTTGATTATTTGCCTGTTCATCTACATGTTGCCCGACAGAGCACTTCCGACCGACACTAACACGAATCTCGGCATTCCAACACAACAGCACTATTGCACCAATCCAGGCTCGACTCCGTACTACGACCTGACGACCTATCTCGTTGGTATGAACCAGCCGGCTATGACCACCGTGCATAACTTGGTGATCTACGCATCCCGCAACGCAACCGAAGGCGGTTGGCTGGTTCTGCAGCTGGTCAAAAAGCTGCCCGCCGATGAGCTGCTCTGTCGTATCTATGGACAGTACATGAATCGCCGCGGCATCACTGGTAAGTGGCCAAGTCAGTCCCGCCTGGCTCTGCGACGAATCTAGATATGAACGCCAACCAGCTTCCGATGTGCGTAGTCAGTCTGCCCTGCATTGCTGAGCGAGGTTGCGTCTGGCTCTCAGCTGCATCGTCACGCAACTCATTTCTGTGTCTCATGCGAATAATCTTTGCACCCAAGGTTTGTACCAAGAACACGAACTAGCTGCCGAAGCCCGCCTCCCCGTCTACCTCGATGCTTTGGATAACTTGGTCGCATCCGATCTCGATGGTGAGCATGGTTGGGTTCAGCATTGCGCGATGGTGTGACTGACAGACACTTCTGCGACCGTGTTGAATATGAAGACTGGCCGAGTCACATCGCTTCAGATACGCTCCAATCAAAGTGATGCATAGACAAAAGCTAAAGGAGAGACCGAAGTAGTTCGTGGGTTGCTGGTACTCGCTACTGAGTTCGTCCTCTCTTTGATCGCGCATGCAACAGGACCTCTTATCCCCGCTGGAGCGAGCAATGGAGCCGAGCCGGGCTCTGGAGATGCACTGTTGGCTGGTGTCGAGACGGTTTCGCTCCGCTGTCCATTTTCCATGACCCGGATGGAGCACCCGGGCAAGAGCACTCTGTGCAAGCATAAGGGCTCCTTTGATTTGCTGGTACGATCCATACCTCTGCCGACGACCTGCCCAGAACTGATCACCCCGGCATCGCTGCTCCTCGGACACGTTTCTGGCGCAGAGCATTGACGAGCGCCCTTTCCTCGGAGCCGACTCGCTCCACATGCGCGCGCTGTGGGCAAATACAGCCTCATTCGAATCTGAAACAGCGTCCTTTCTCTTACGTCAGAATCTCTTGCGGATGAGCATCGGCGACTGCCGATGGAAGTGTCCAGTCTGCCGCAATCCCATCACGCTCGAGGTAAGTCCCGACCCAGGACTGTTATGGGCTAGCAACGCCACTTGTATCGATCACATTCGAAACCTGGCGGACGCGGTTGGTCCTGTAGGATTTGTGATTCGAGCGATGCAGGACGCCGTGCTCATCGCCACGGCTCCCTTCTGAATATCCTTGGTGGCTCAGTCCCTCGAACCCTGTCTTTGGACACGCAAGCTTCTCATCATTATCGACAGCGACGCCTCTACCAAAGGATTGTCTCAAGTATCTATCAACCCCGATGGATCGGTGTGTCTTCTGGATTAACTGGGGGGCGCTTTGGGAAGCCATCTTGGTCCTGTCAAGAACAAATTGTCCGTAATCTGCTCCACCTCAGATCATACACTATGCCAGACACCCGATCAGTGCGTCCAAGGATATCCAAATGACTGGTGTCATTTATGCTGTATCAAGGAGCTGAAGTAATAAACTCATTCCATTTTATTCCCTGAAGGCACGAGAGCACAGAGGAAATGGCGACCGATATGGTTTCCCGTTCCGTTTTGGACATGCAGTAAACATGTGGATCTGGGCGGAGCGCCACCAACGACGTCGACTGTCTGCGTGCTGGTTAGGAGGTCACGGCCGTGGGCAAGAGGTTTCGGAAGGCTTCGCTGATGACCTCCTCCTCATCATCATTTGCCTCAACCTCGTCCTTGGGCTGCAGTCCCAGGATGCCTCCGATAAACTCGGGGGCCGTAAAGAGGTCGGGGAGCTGCCCGTCGTAGTCAGTGTTCATGAGCAGAGCATTCATGGCCACCTCAAAATCCTCCATCGACATGGGTTCGCCTGTGCACGAGAAGTCGGTGGATATATGAGCTTTATCAAAGAGCAAAGAGCGAGGCACGAGCAATCACTGCAGATGGAAACCAGCTGCATGTCTTCCATCTCCCTCCCCTTCCTTCCGATCCACTCTACTCACCATACTGTTGCAAAAGAGCCATGAGCGCAAACTTGGACATCTTTTCGGTCGGCCCGAGTTTGGGAGTCGGACCGCTAGGCGCGGGCTCGCCCGGCTCAAGACGGTGGGCCACAGCCAGAGCGGATTCGATTTGGGCAAAAGTGTGATCTGCGACCGGCCGGTGATTGATGTAGACTGCAGCACAAAATAGGGTGGAGAACGAGAGACACACTGGATTAGTCGCTGTGTCGACAATACGAGACAGTACGAGACAATACGAGACTATGCGGTAAGGGATTCACCAGCCGCTGGCGCAGTGCGAATTTGATGCCACGCAGCAGCCTAGAGCCCAAGCACCGCCGCACATTCAAATCCCAGAGCCAGACAGAGCCGATCTGGCCACCACGTCCGGTTGTGATCCTCGAGGAGGGGGAGTCAAAGTGGGCACTGATACTAACGCTTGATCAGGTCCTCAAACGTAATGTCATTTTTGATTGGGCCCGACCCAGAGAGCCCAGAGTATCGGATCTCGTTCAGCATGTCGTCGATCTCGAGCGACGACGGATAATAGCCCATCGCTTGCATGATCGACGGGACCTCACTGATCTTGACATTCTCATCAATGACTCGGTCTTTGGTGTTGTCCTCTCCTTGGCTGTGTTTGAGGCAATGCGTTCGCCCGTTGCAGGGGCGGCAGTTTGCAATGGGTTTGTAGTTAGGTTGAATTGGGTTCGGTTGGGTTGCGCACCACCCTTCCCCAGGATCATCCTCAGCATGGGCACATCAACAATGTGCCGACCGCAGACTAGCAAATGTTCCCTCTCGCCGTGACCCCAGTATTGCGGTTCTGCGACCGACGAACCTTCGAAGCTGGGCATAGTAGAAATAGTCTTCCATTTCCTTGTAGATGGCTCCTCCGATGCCTTGGCCGCTTGGGTCGAGCAGGTTCAGGAAGGGCTCGAGGTTTCTTCCACCCATAATTACCTGAGACTCGAGAACAGATGCGTCCATGCTCCACATGTAGACAGTGGCATCTTCTCCGCCAGAAGTGAAGATAAAGTTTCCATCATAGGAGCAGCAGATATTGGAGATCTACCATTGACCCCGCCACAGTCGCCCCAGTTTTGAAGCCGAGTCAGTGGCCAGACGCGACATGCTACAGAGGCAGAGTATGGCATGAACCCAGGTGTGCCCCAAGAGGGCAGAAACCAACCTCTCCGGGATGCCCGACAACACCCATGGAGCGGAATGGATTGCCATCGAGGGGAAACTTGATGACCCCAATGATCTGTCGAGTAAGACCGAACACGCATCAATCGCCAAGCTCCAGAGGCAGCAGTGCTTGGCAAGCAGCTCAGACCGGGGTATGCCATCGCTTACCTTTTCTTGCGCTGCAAACGCCATATACTTGCAAGCCCCATCGTCGCCCTGATACAATGGCAGCAAACTATAGCACCCTCAGCGAATCACCGAGCCGAGTTACTTTATCGCCGCGACTTCAGTTTGTCCGTCCGACCCGTTTCTTTGCCGCAGTCACTCAACATGGGCAAAAATAATGCTATGTGCATTCGCAGACGAAACAGCATCGAGCGGCTACAACGTCATACCTGGATACCGGACCGGCATACGTGGGGCCGAGACTGGTCTGGCGGCAGAGTTGGGTCGTGGAGTTGTAGTACTTGAACTTGTAGTCCGAGTCGACGGTCAGTATGAACTGCTCGGCGCCCTCTTGGCTGGGCTTTGGGCCCAGTGTGACCGCCAGTGGTCGACTGGCTTGTTCAATTCGCTTGATGGACTGGAGGCATTGCAGGTGAACAGATGGGTGAACAAATGGAGTCAGCGAGTGAACAGCGCCAAAGATTGGGTCCGCTTTGGATGGAAACCAATGTAGAGCACGTGAGTGTGTAGTACTTTATCGGGACTGTCGAGCAAGGGCCCGAATTACCAGTCCCAGTGTTTCATACGTCGCCGGCTCACTCACCTTTAGAGGCAGCCCAGCCGTGATGGAGGCCCCGTCCAGATCGTACTCGACGACATGTCTATCTTTGGAGAACGACAGCAGCCGCGTCTTGTTGGTCTCCGATGATGGGAGGAAGATCAAACCTGGGAGCAAGCACGGGCATGGTAAGCCAGGTGATCGGAGCTGGAAATGATCCGTGGCAACATGCAAATCCGAGCAGCAAATCGAATCACCGATTCACCGGGCTACCGAGCGCTTGCGATGCTCACCAATGACTTGCTTGAAATGAGAGCGACACTTTCCAATATAGCTCCAGCGTGAACCGGTTTCTCCGCCGGGCAACACCAGGCTCTCATACTTGAACACAATCACGGCGTGGCTTCCGTCCGCCGCGGCCATGTACAAGCCACAGTCCGAAAACTGGATCATGATTATAGGCGAGGCAGAGACCTTGAAGCCCAGTTGAGCACGGGGCAGGGGTGGAAGCGTTTCCGACTCGTCTGCGGCGCTTGCTGGGATTGCAGGCTCGGACCTTGAGCTGGAGTTGAGATCTTCGAGATCGTCGCTTCGGATGATGCGAATGGTGCCCTTGTTGAATCCGATTCCTGTGCATGCACAGCCATATCCGGATCAGCAGTAGCATCGCATTCGGCGCCAAGCCTGGGAAGAGTCATGTTTTGGTGCTGGAGCATTGCCACAAGTACGGAGAGAGTTTCAGCGATGTTTTCACGATTACCTACCCATGATCTCGCCATTCTTGGAAAATGACACGGCTTCGATCTTGGAAGGCTCCAGCACTTCGTGCTTGGGCTTGCCATGTCCATAGTTCTGCGTCTTTGTATCGGCCGAAGGAGCTTCGAATTGCTTGGAAATGGTCACCTTCTTGGTCAAGTAGTTCCACACTTGGACGAGTCCTGGGAGAATGGCCCGCGTCGGATCAGCAATCGAATGTACCGGCACCGCCTCTTCGTCGACGGCCAGGGGCTCAAACAAGCGAGCGCACCCAACACGCAATTCTCGACGCTCACCGCTGTGCCCCGACATGGCTATCAGAGGCTTTGTTGGATGCGCGGCCAAAGCGGTAACCCTCTTAGGCTGGGTTTCCAAGATCACAGACGAGTTTGGAATCTGAAGGATAGGATGGCCAAAGAGCATCAATGAATCATAACGGATACATCTGCTCCCCTGCGCATTGTCGCCCGAACTGAAAGTGGCGGCGCCTCTGGCCCAGCGAGCCATGCGTGCGGGGCAATTGCCGGAAGGTAACTGCCGGACGTTAGTGCAAGTAGACAGATACCTACACCCAACTCGACCTTTCCGTCGTTCTTTTGGGAACTCGAAGCAAGCACATTCTTGGAGAGCAGCAGAACCTTGCCACTGCGGGTGGAAACAACCAACTCTGGGATATCCATGTCTTCGCAGATGGCTGTGTTGTTGAGGCGGCAGGTGCTCAGTCGTGTGCCCAGGACAAATTTGCCAATCGGCGAGCCATGACATTTCTCTGGCTGGCAGGGGCCTCACCTTCACGCGGCAATGTATCACTCGGAGTCGGTGAAGTGAACGACACCGAGGTGACAGGTCCGGCTCGAAGCTTCTCGAACCACAGCATCAGGCGAAACTGGCAACAATGTGATAGGCCACCGAATGTCGTTCAGTGACTCACGATTGGCGATGGCATCTGAGGCTGGAGAAAGCGGCGACCCGATACCCCTACGAGCTTCGAGGATCGGAACTGGTGTGCCTCCACTCGTGACCCTGACCTGGTTGTCGTAGATCTTGAGGAAGCCGTCTTCTCCACCGGTCACGACGTACTTGCCATGGACCGAGGTGACAAAGTTGATAGGTCCGCTGTGCAGTCTGTTGGTGGGCAAGCATCATGAATCCGTGTCGGTGAGCAGAGCGATGGGTAACCCCACGAGCCTGCCGAGACTCGTGGGCTATCGCTTTGCCTCGCTGCTGACTGTCTTGCTACCGACTATGTTGCTGCTCTGTTGGTCGCACGGACTTATCGTCCCACTGCCACGTTGCCTATCACTACATCATAGCGATGCTCCAAATCGCAACATCGGCTCACCTCATGTACTTGATGGCTGCTTTTTCGCCTCGGTCGAGTTTGACGCTGAGGTTGTTGAGCGACCGATCCGACCAGATGATGACGTCGCCATCTAGTGTGGCAGAGAGCGACTGCCCACCCGTGAGGATAAAGGTCGAATAGGTGAATCCGGTCGGCTTGTGCTTGAAATCCCTGGTGAAGGCATGAGCGCTATCAGTGGAAGGCGAGTATGGGCTGCGGGAACAGCACCAGAGCTGGTGGGATCGACATGCGTCGATGATATCATGGAGGCGCTGCACTCCAACGGCAGCCATGAGTGATCGTACTTGGACGAGAATACCGGCTTGAGCTGCTTGATGCCGGAATCGGCCGACCACGTGAAAAAGTTGACGGTGTGGTGGCCGTTGGTGATGATCTCGCCAGGGTCTTCTGGATTGATATTGAGGACCCTCTGGATAGCCGGATGGGGCACGAGATCAGCATTTGGCCGAAGAGCCCGCAGCCGGGATGGCCATGATCTTTACCTGTGGCTCTCCATCGATTACAAAGCTCAGGAGCGGCTCGTTGCTCTCTGTCGTCCAATTCCAGATGGCAAGCGTCTGCTTCTCGGGCTCTGAGAGGCAAGCCAGGGTGTGCAGGTCGCGATCAGTAACCAACAAACCTGGCACCCGCAGCGAGCCGGCTTGGCGAACAGTCGCGGGGCTGAATCCAAGTTTGCAAGGATGCGCAATGATACCTACCGTTTCCAAGAGTGATGATATATCTCGAATCCTGGGTGAACGCAATATCGACCACGCCGTTTTGGTGGGGATCAAATATGGTCTTGATGGGAAGTGCACTGGACATGTTTCTGCTGGAGCTGGGTGGTAGGGGCTTTCCGGTCGAAGGAGCCATGGCAGGGTCGGTATCCTCAGCACCCGTGTCCGGATACAGATCCCAGACGATCATCATGGCGTTGGAGCCGGTGTCGGCGGTGACGATCCAGCGTTTGTTGGGCGAGACGCGCGAGCATGAGATTTGGTTGCTCTGCGGAGCCAGGACCAGCGGGCATCCAGGAGGCCACAGGTGTATGAGCGAGTGTTAGCGCAAAGGCAGAGGCCAGAACCATGGGCCGAAGGCTGGTCCGACGAGCCCGCACATGTCAAGATTAAGCGAGCCTTACATGTCCCTGCAGAATCTGCTGCTGCTGCGTGCCCCAGTTGTGCAAAATGCCGCAGTGACTGGAAGTGTAGAAGAGCAGCTGCGGAGGAGGACAGTGTTCAGAGCGGATGGCATCGTATGGCATCGCATGGCAGATTGCTGGCCCGTGACGCGCGGATGGTCGAGCCCATGATGCTTGGCGAGCCAAGGACCACGGCGAGGGCGACTCACCTTGTCGAACCGGTCCGAGAGGTTCACGACGCCTCCGGGAATGCTATGGTTGAGGCCAAAAGTCCAACCGACATTCTGGGTCGGGAGCAAGAATCGCGTTGACCCGCGGCAGCAACGGGAATCAGGGTGTGGGTCTGAGGTGGAAGCGCGGCGAGGAGCAGCAGGCCGGGGACGGAATGCGTCGGGTCTTACCAGCACGTTGTGGAGCATGGTTGGTGGTCGGCGAGAGGAAGAGCGCAAATACCCTGAGACGCTGTTACCGAGACAAAGACGGCGATGCGGAGGATTCTGCAGGGGTGCTTGATGATGCTGGCCGATCATGGCGCTGGACGCGGGCCGTGATTGGGCTGGCTGCTGGCGGGAGGCGGTGCGCTGTGATTTGAATGATTACAGGCAATCCAATAAAAAACGGGACACCCGGGTTTTTGACCATTGATCGAATATTTTGTTACCCAATGTTATCGCGCGCTGGCCATGACCATTCGCCACACATCCGACTTTCGCACCGCCGCATTGCGATGCTACGCCCTCATCCATAGCCTGCGTAAGGTCGCCTCCATATTCAGTGTATCCAAGAGCACCATCCATCGATGGCACCGAGGATGCAAGCTGGATGACCCATCCCGGGTCCCAGCTCGCAGATCCACTTTCTTCGAGCAGGCATGTCCAGTCATTCGCACCCTGATTGAACAGGACCCGTTCCAGACTGGTCCTGTGCTGCGGTGCAAGCTCGAGTCCATCCTCCAGAGGAAAGTATCACTCTCACTCTGCCACACTGCCATCCACCGAGCAGGTCTCTCACACAAGAGGGCAACACACCTCTACAAGTCCAAGCGACTGGATGAGCGAGTGGCACAGTTCAGGGACCAAGTCCACTCCATCGACCCACGACGACTCGTTTTTGTCGATGAGACAGGGATCAGGAGATCCATTTTCCCTCTTTACGGATACTCACCGAAGGGTGCTCCGCTTCGCCAGCGCAATCACATGAAGCACAAGTCTGTCTCGGCTGCATTTGCCATCAACCACTCTGGTGTGCTGCATCGAGCGCCGAGGATGGTCAGTGATCTTCACCCCACCTGCCTCACTCGACTTCAATCCCATCGAGAACTTCTTTGGGGTTGAGTCCCCACCGATTTGGGGTTGAGTTCCCTCCAATCAAGCCGCCGTTCTCACGTTCACATCCCTGGCTTGAACCTCTCGGCGATTTTTGAACAGGGTCGCTTCCCAACCAACCCGCAAAGACGGGTTCCTGCTCTCGGGTATAAATGCCACACCTTCGTCCTGCTGCTTTCTTCCCTCATCTCGCCTTGATCTGATCATCGCGCTATTGTACGATAAAAAAAAGTCTCTGCTCTGACCAGTACCACTGGCAGGCATCCAGCATCCTCTGCCCCCATGCCTCCGAAGCGTAAGGGTGCCGGTGATGGCCAGCCTCGGCCACCCAGGCCCAAGAAAGCCAAGTCACAGTCGGAGCCTGTCTCTGGTTCGTCTTCTGACCCCACGCATGCTTGGTCGTCTGTTGCTCCGTCGCTCACCACCACTGCTTCTGCAGATCCAATGGATGTCGATCCCACCGAACCTGGTCCATCTACTTCCTCGAGTACTGGCAAGCGATGTCGCCAGTGCGACGGTACCGATCACGAGCGAAGCAACACCAACAAGTGTCCCAAATACCGGCCCCTCAAGAGTTCTGTCGTCCCACTCGTGGATGGAAGGTCATCCGCCCCTCAGTTCAGCTGCTTCAAGCAGACGATGGATGGCTGTTGTCTCAATCCCGCTCTCCGCGACAAGATCCAGGCCACCGTCGAGGCCATGACCCAGATCCAGTTCGAGGCATCCAGGCTGCTCAACCTGCACATCCTCCGGTGCATCGAGCAGGATCTTCCCGTCCCCGTCATCTCCAAGGCCACCCCTGCTTTCATCCGCCAATGCTTCAGGATCGTCCAGGCCGATGCGCTCTCCCCGACCGGGGACAATGAGAAATACAACGAGCAGTTGGTTGATTCCTTTGGCGACTACCAGACCACTCGGCACGCAGACCTGCCTCCGGCCCCTCGTCTGCCTGATGGTGCTCACAGTCAGCTTCTCACACTGGCTGTCAATGCCTATGCCACCAACTGCACCACCCACCTCGACCTGGCCTACTGGCGACTCCTTCGCCGCTTCTGCGCTGCCGTCTTCCCAGCCAACAAGCATAAGCATGAAGCCATCGAGGCCTGTCTTGAGCTCTTCGAGAAACCAGGGCCGACTCCACCCAAGGCCGATCTCGAGTTCCTCTATCCAGACTTTGGCCACGTCCTGGACGAGTTTCGGTACAACAACGACCAGGACCGCTTCCGGGCCCTCCATCGCCTCTCACACCATGTGGGAATCCTCGCCCGAGACAAGATGGTCGACGATGTCCACAAGTGGATCGACTGTGACATGCCCGCCCTCCGAGTCACCGAGCTGCAGCGCCAGGCCAAGCTGGACGAGCTCACTACCCAAGGCATTCCCTCCGACGACAAGAGGTTCACCAACGCCAAGTCTGAGCTCGGCACCACCAAGTCCAAGATCAACAAGCTGGCCGCCAGGATCAACTGGGCACTCAAGCAGCTCGCCGTCGACACTCCTCCGGCCGTGTGCACGATGGTTCCTCTATGCACTGCCACGGCCAAATACATCAAGATCGACACGGCCACCCTCTGGGATCTCCTTGGTCCAAAGAAGCGCCTTGGACTCACCCGGGACAAGCTCAAGGAAGAAGGTGATGACGGCATCAACAACCAGGATCGTCTCTGGCGCAGTTGCTTCAAGCTGCGTAGTTCCCTCTTCCAAGAGCGGGTCAGGGACAAGAAGCTGTTCAACTACGAGATCAGCACCGATGGCATTGGATGCACCATCGGCCTCGTCAAGTTTGTGCGTCGAACCGATCGCACCGAGACCATCGAGCCTCCTCCGGCTGCCGAGCAGCGTATCCAGGCCCACATCGGCGACCCAGACCCCAACCGCACCACTTGGATTGGCATCGATCCTGGAGTCGGCTCCATCTTCACGGCAGTCATCCAAGCACCGGGCCACCAAGACGAGGTGGTCTCATTCTCCAATGGCCACTACCAGCACATGTGTGGCCATACGTCCAACACCAAGTGGCACAACACCATGAAGTATCGACTCAGCATCGAGACCTGGATGTCGACCACTCCCTCGCCCAAGGTGTCGTCCTCGGAGGCCTTCAAGATCCATCTCACCCATGTCCTGCGACCGGAGCTGCGAGTGCAGCTCGGCTTCCGCCTTGGCAAGAAGGCCCGTCACCATCGCTTCACGGGCCACAAGAGGCGCCAAGTGGCCGTTGACAGGATGTGCAAGGCCGTCCTGAAGCACGCCCCGATACGGACCGATGTGGTGATCGCCTTTGGCAATGCATCATGGCGACAGGGCAAGGGCTATGCATCCAGCCCTCGGAGGCAGCGGTTTGCTCAGTACTTTGAGCAATTCGAGCACCACCGCCGCCGTCCCAATCACCATTATGGAAGCGTCAAGGTGGCCTCGACGAACGAGTTCAACACCTCGCAAGTGTGCTCCAAGTGCCTGGAGCCAGTTCGGTTGGAAGGACTCGATGCGCCCAGTGTTGCGAATTCCCACTTTGTCAGGAGCTGCAAGAATCCCAGCTGCCGGACAGTGTGGAATCGCGAAGTCAATGCGGCGCGCAACATGATCACAGTATGCAGGTCGATTGTGGAGATCGGAGAGCGACCAGCGGTCTTCACTCGGAGGCTGCCAAAGTGATCTGTTTTATTTCTTGTGGCTTTGCTTGACGCAAGCACAGCACATACTACATGTTCATGGAAACGGCTATATTGTCCCGTTTTTTTCTGAATAAAGTGTAATGGCGATGTGCTGCTGGATGTAGACTGCATCTACTTCCCCCCCCCACACAACCCGATAGGACCCGGGCTTGGCAAAGCCAAGGAAATTCGGTGGACTTGCACAGGACGTGGGTGTACCGACCCACCACGCAGCCAGCGGCCAAGATGGACACAGACGCGGCCGCGACGGACACAGAGCCTTGCCCCCCAGGAGCGTGTTGCCTTTTTGGGGACATGCGCCCAACCACGGTCGAGGTGGCGATCCTGGTGCCATGGGGCAATCCACCATCGCCCAGAAGGTACAAAAGCGACGGTGGTGAGCGGTCCGAGCGACGGGAGCATCGCCCTTGGCTGTCCGTCCGCAACGGAGGAAAGCGAGAGCTCAAGCAGAGGCAGAGGCAGAGGCAGAAGCAAGATCCCGCTGCCCCCCCCAATCGTCCCAGATCGAGCATACCCTGTCTCGGTCGCAGCACCAGCATCGACAGAACCAGCATCACCAGTACCGACAGAACCAGCAGCATCCACAGCATGTCCAAGCCAAGCACAGAGGTCGATCCCGCCAAGAAGACGCCGCTCCTCGTTCAGAGAGACCACTCTGAGGACGGAGCGCCCATCCCCCCCGTCAACCGACTGTCTCATCGCACGACCACCAGAAAGAGCGCGCACGGCAGCCATTTGTTCTCCAACTTCGAGGTAAGCCAGCCATGTGATTGCTTGTCCAAGCGGGCCAGCAGAGTGTCTCCCCAACGGAGATCCTCTTCGCTTTTTCATGCTGCCGGGCACCTTACTGACCACCCACCCGCACCGCTGCCGTCCGTGCAGACGATCGACTTTGAGGAGCCAGACGGTGAACTTGTCCGTCGGCACTATCAGGAGCAAACCGTGACGGTAAGTACGATAGCGCGGCTATATCAAGCATCAGCGCGGCTATATCAAGCATCAGCGCGTCTGAGAGACTCATTCTCGATCTGTCTCCCTCGATCAGACCCGGCTCATCGCCAGTATCTGCTCCTATGGTAAGTGCAAAACACACACCCCCACGACGCTGTGGATCGAGGCCGCCGGTCTATTGTGTTGACTTTTGCTTCGTGGTGCTCGCTGCTGCTGGCTCTGACCGCCGTTGCCGTGCTTCCAGTGTTGGCTTTCATCCTCGCCGTAGTAATCTCGCTGGTCTTTGCCGGTCTGTCGGTCGCCACCGAGAAGATTGGCGACTGGCGCATCGAGCTCTACGAGAACCTCTTTGAAGAAAACCAAAAAGTCAATGCCTTCCTGGTGGCGCTGGGCACATCACTCCTGTTTGCTGTCATCCCATCGATTTGCATTATCAACTTTGCGGTTAGTTTGGTCCAACGCTGGCAGCTGGTAGCTGAGTGATGCCTGGCAATGGCGCATGGCAATGGCGCATGTCGATGGCCTGGATGCCATGTCTCGCCAGTGTCCAATCTGCCTTCGGTCATGCTGGTTTCTGTTGCGCATGATACTGACGCCCAGTCTATCCCTGATATCGTGCCGATCCCGTTCACCAGCCCGACGCCATCGGCTCCGGCATGACTCAGGTCATTGCCTTCCTGAACGGCGCCGCCGTTCTCTCCGGAGTAACATGGCGAACAGTTCTTGGCAAGTGCATTGGCGTCGTTGGCCTGGTGTGCTCCGGCCTGTACTCTGGCATCGACGGTCCCATGGCCAAGATCGGCTCCTCGATTGCCATCATCTCGACCGAGGCCATTCAGTACATTCCCTTTATCCGCCGACCCTTCTACGGCGAGCGAGAGTCGCTCAGTAAGATGGACGACGAAGACAGCACCGAGTCGGTCGGTGCAACCAACCTGTTCAATGTGCTTGAGCACAAGAATCTCCGCCTGTTTGCGACCCTGGGTGCCGCCGCCTCGATCGCGGCCATCTTCCGTGCCCCTGTCGGCGGCGCCGTCTTTGCCCTCGAGGAGGCCACTAGTTTCTGGGATCCGCATCTCATGACTCGCACAGTCTTCACCACCACCACCGCTTTCATGGTTGTGTCGGCCGTGCTGCTTGGAAGCGGAGTGAACCTCCTCGACCGCCTGTTCGGAGGCATTGCGCTCCTGTTTCCGGTAGGCCCGACTTTGCAGCAATGGCTCCGAGCGTAGAGATGGCAGCCACCGATGGGTCAATGGTGATTCTATTTGCCTGGTACTGTTGGATAAATCGTGTACTAACACTGCCATCACGGCTTGCCCTTTCGACAATGCCTCGCTCTCCACCTTTGTCCAGACCGACATCTCCTGCACCCAGAACTTCAACGGCTTCCATTTGCTCTCGTTTGTCGTCATCGCCGTTCTTGCTGCTGGCGCCGGCATTCTCCACAACTATTTGCTATCCTTTGTCCAGCTCGCCCGAAAGCGCACCCTCATCGACCGCGACATGAAGCACCCCAGCATCCTCAACAAGCTTTGGCGCATCCTGGAGGTTGTCGTCGTTTGCGTCATCACGATGCTCTTGGTAGTGCTGGTGCCCATGGCCTCTGAGCAGGTCGATACATGCTCGCCGCTCTTCAACACCGTCAAGCACGCCCTCACTGCCGCGCCCGTGTGTGTTGACTTTGGAAACAGCAGCTCTCTCTGTGATAGAAGCCAGTTTGTGAATTGCTACAACCAGATCCAAGACGTCTGTCTGCCGACGGCGCTCGACGAGACCCTGACCGAGAATGTGCTGCTGTCGTACCAGATTCTCTACGATAACCAGTGCAGCTCGCAGAGGACCCTGACGACCCGCTCCGTGTTCCTCTCCAGCCTGTCCGAGGCTGCCAACACCACAACCCCCACTCCCGCCAACGGCACCAGCCCTGCTCCGCCTGCTCCACCTGCCCAGAACAGTACTGTGCGCTACCTCAGCAACGTCGTCTACAGCGGAACGAGCGACTTTCTGCAAAACGGAGTCAACGCCACCTTCTTTGCCGACATGGGTCTCAAGGTCGAAGTGCTCCCGGCGGGCACCTCGGCGCTCGCCAAGCGCTCTGAAAGCGTCTCGTCCACCAGCACCAGCACCAACGTTCCGATCAGCGGCGTTTGCTACTGGGAGCTCCGCTCGCTCTTCTGGACAACGCCCGAGAAGCAGCTCAAGCTTCTGCTACTGCGTGGAGTGAACGGCGTCTGGAGCTGGAAGACCCTCGTGATCTTTGCGCTCCTCTACTGGTTCCTGAGCACCCTGACGTACTACATTGCGCTCCCGACGGATGTCGTCGTGCCCAACCTCATCATCGGTGCGGCTCTCGGACGCTTGGCCGGTGTATTTGTCGACTACATCGGCAGTAAGCTGGGCCTGTTTGTGCAAGATCCGGGCTTCTACGCCCTGCTGGCCATGGCCGCCTTCTGGGCCTCGACTTCGCGCCTGGTCCTCACCGTCACGGTAATTGCGTTCGAACTCACGGGCGACTACGTCGCTGTCCCGGCTCTGATTCTGGTGACCTGGCTCAGTGCCTGGATCTCGTCCGGCGGCGTGGGCGAGTCGATCTACCACACCGAGATGGAGAACAACGAGGTGCCGTTCCTGCCCCACGAGCCCTACCACCTGTTGCGAACCAAGAAAACCCGAGACATCATGACCCGCAAGGTCTGCTGTGTGGAAGAAAACATGAAGCTGGATAGCCTGAATAGGTTTGTGAATGAGCCGCACCTCGGCTTCCCCGTCGTGCAGTACTACGACATTGACCGCGACGCCGACGGACACATCGACTCGGAGAAGCTTCCCAAGCCCATCGGCTTTGTTCGCCGCGACCGTCTGAGGGCTGCCCGGGATGCCTTTGTGAACGAAGAGGGCGATTTGGACCGCCTGATTTCGGTAGGTTGCAGCCCCCCGCCCCTCATCACACATATGCGATTGCTGGCTCTTGTCGAGCAGCAGCTGCTGAGGTGCCAAACGGGTCTGTGTCTCCAGGGCTAATCCGTCTCGCTCGCTCACTTGCCTATCTGCTGGACATGGCTGTAGCTGCGACCCATCATGAACACATCCCCCTTTGTTGTCAACGAGTCCACATCGGCATCCAAGGTATTCACCATCTTCCGACAGCTAGGTCTTCGTCAGATCCTGGTTGTCGACAACGAGGGCTTCATGGTGGGCCTGGTGACCCGCGAAGACTTGCTGCGGCCCAAGGTCGAGCGAGAAGAGGAAGAGCGCAAGAAGAACCCAGGGCTCATTGGCATCATCGATGCCCTGCCTGGTGCCGAGGAGCAGCATCGCAACGAGAGCCGTGCCGAGAGTCGCAGCCAGAGCCGTCCGGTCAGTCCGGCCAGCACCGTCAAGGATCTCGATTCGCATGTCGAGCAGAGAGTTTGAAGCACATGGCACTGTCCATCCTTTCTGTTGTCTGGGCGTATCAAGTTTGTGTGGCTCTGAATTGGAGACTATCATTACATCTATATATATCCTACCCCAGCGGCTGACCGACCGGACGATCAAAAAAGGCTCCCCGGTATCTGTGCCCGTGGCGTCATGTCAATTCCGTCTGGCTTTGTCGCAGCAGTCGAGTGCTTGGCTTCTCGGGATGACTCCGGTGGATCGGATATGGTGGACTTTATTGGATCGCGAGGGCGTCCGATCCACATCAGGTTGCTGGGGGGGGGCATGTTGAATGAGAAATGCAGGTGTGGCTGAAACGAGTATTGCTGGTGTGGCTGTGATCACGCATGGATCAGTATGGGTGGTGGCGGCCGGACGATGACTTGCGCACTCGTGATGATGATGACGACGATATCGGAGGACGGGATGAAGGTGCAGACGCTTCTTTCTTGCCATCGATCTGACTCAACTTGCGTTCGAGAGCCGCGATCTTGGCGTCGACGCTGCCGGTGGTAGCGATGCCAATTAGTACTGGGCAAAGCAGCACTGCGTGGGTGCCATTATCGACGAGAGATCGCACCTCGTGTTGGTCATCCTGGGCTGCAACTTGGGATTGATGTACTCTGGCCGAACACCGGCTTGGAGCTTGTGGTTCAACGTTCCAGGGCCGAAATCGGTTTTCTGATCAAGGTCATCGAGATGAGCATGAAGGCGCGCACGGAATCACAGAGAGAGACAGGATCGAGAGAGAGACTGAAGCAATCAAGGAAGAGTTGATCGGGCGCCTGCTTGCGGTGTCGGCGCTCACCTTTTGCTCGTGCGAGTATGACACCACCAGCGTCCGTCCGCTTACGATCTTGCCTTTCATGACGCTCAGCGCCTTGGCTGCATCCTGTGTCGTTCATGAATCGGTCAGCCCGCTGGATCTGGTGCTGAGAGAGCAGTGACTTTGTCCAATGCCGTCGGAGGGCAGCCACTCGTAGATGCAGCCCGTAAACCCGAGCGCACCAGATCAAACGTCCAGCCGTCATCCAATCGTCGTCTGGCGGCCATTCGACGGCAGTTCCAGAGCCACTTTCGACGCACCTCCTTCTGGATAAACTCTAGAAAACAGTATCCTCGCGGCTGGCCCTTCTTAGGGCCGACCTTGTACCAAAGGTAGTCGATCCGGGCGATGGGCCCGAACCGCTCAAACATTTTGATCAGCTTGAACTCGGTGATGGATGGGTCCAAGTTGCCGATATAGAGCCGAGACTCCACTGTCTCGGGTTTCTGGATTGGATTGGATCCGACCGATGCCGCAAGACAAGATAGGCTATGATCAGCAACGCATGCAGGCCAGATGCTGAATTCGATCGAGTCGGATCGGATCGGATCGGGGGCGGCTGTTCGATTGACGGAAAGCTGGCGCTGGGCGGGTGCGAGCCAGTCCTGGCGTCGTCGAGACGAAATACCTGCTGCTGATCATCGGGTGTTGGCTCCACAGGAGCAGGATTCTGAAGATCGACCAGAAGGCGTCAGCGGACATGATTCGGTGCAAATGAAGCGACGGCAGCTATCAGCGATTAGCAACGGGCAAGATATCCAAGCATAACCCGCCATGAGCAGGACGACATCGGCCGAAACTGGCCGAGGAGCAGCGTACTTTCGACGGATCGATGGGCTGGCTCATTCTCAGGGGTTTGAGCCGGATGTGCGATCCTGCTTTGGATGGGTTGGCAATCGGGCGTCCAGGCAGCTGGTGAAGCGGGTTGGGGACAGACTGGGCCTGTGAGAGGCAAGATCAAGGAAGAGCAGCAGCCGGTCGAGGCAGTGGAGGTGCGGCAGCTTTGTGGGAGCCTCCTCCACAACGCTCGGCGACAATGGACAGACTCTCGGTGGCAAGCTCAGGAAGAGTATCTGGCCATACCGAACAGTCTATTGTCGCCGTCTGCAGCGTGCGGCCATCAATTTCCAGCTGGCTGATCTGAGTACCGCTGGGGTTGCCCCACGACAATGCATCGGGCTCTGCAAACACATCCCTCCACCGGCGCTTGATTACTGGCTCGGTTGACCAAGGGCTCAATCCCACCCAGAGCCTCCCGAAGCAGCCCCCTCCAAAGGCCACATCGAATGCCTGTCCCGGTCATCTCGAGCGGCGTGCTGGGCTGATTGGTAGATTCACACACAAGCGATCCAGTCCCTACACAAAGAACCTGCTCCAGCCGACGAACCATTCGTCCGAGGAGCAGAGGACTGTGTCTGGCCCAGACTCTACAGCAGGCGTTCAAAAATGCCTGCCAAAGCGGGCAGCAGCAGCCAGTGAGAGTTTCTCCCTCTGGAGCCGACTGCAAATATATTGCCCGTCGTTTTGAGGTTTGAGAACTTGTCGCCGATGCTCGCTTTGAGCGGCCGTTCTCCACTGAAACAGACAGACAGGTAGAGTACTTTTCACCGCGCCGATATCGTCGCTGCTCCATCCGTCTCGCAGTGTTCGTTGGCGGCCGAGAGGGCCACTCCAGGACGCTACTTTCCAGCGTCCCAAGCATCGGGCATTTATCGGTGCCTCCTACCTAACACCCTTGCCAACGCCTTTGGATGCGTGCTGCCGTTGCGAACCACTGGGTCGGCGTATCGCCTCTATCCTGCAGAGCCAAGTAAGATATCAAGTAAGTGCGCTGCCGCTGCCGCCGCTGCGCCAGCCACCGACAGCCGTGCAGTGTGGTCGTGTGAGCATCGGGTGCAGTCCATGTCCGCGTAATATTAGCGAGTCGTTATCAGTGGAGCACCCAGCCGCATGCCGACGACGACATCGCGAATGACCCGTCACCATCGCTGCGCTTCTCTTGAGCGGACGGAGGGTGGAGAGAAATATTGCAAGGATTGCTTCACCCATCATTGACGCTGCATCCTCCTCGTGGTGAATCTTGCTGCGTCCATCGCCCATCCGCAGAAGCGCTTCAGCGAGCCTTTCACCACCACAACCATGGAGTGCTACGAAAAGATCGGGCCTATTGGCGAAGGGACCTATGGAATCGTCATGAAGTGCCGCCACAGGGACACGGGGCAGATCGTGGCTATCAAAAAGTTCAAGGAAAGCGAAGACGACCTGCAGATCCGGAAAACGGCTCTGCGAGAAGTCCGCATGCTCAAGGTGAGCGGACGAGCTGTGGGCGTCCAGACGAGGGAGAAGGACCATAAGACCCACGATGCAGTTTGTGAGGGCAGTCAATATTGCAGTCTCTCGTCGGGTGGCACCCAAGCAACATCAGCTCATCGTGCGAAACGGTCCAGTCCGCCCGGCTGCGGCTCTGCTGCGATCGTCCCGAGCCATCCATGATGCACGGCCTGTCCCGAAACGTCGTCACTCTTGGCCGCAAGCGTGCTCGACTGATTTTCGTTCCGCTTCGTTCATGTATGCAATCTGCTGCGGGCTGCAAAACTCCCTTGCCCTCCCCCGCCGACACAAATGGTGGTCCCGCAGCAACTCAAAAACGAAAACATTGTGAATCTACTGGAAGTCTTTCGGAGAAAGGGGAAGCTCTACCTGGTCTTTGAGCATGTCGACCACACAATACTCGAGGATCTGGATCGAAATCCACACGGCTTGAGTGACGACCGATCGCTGGGGTTGGTTCGGAAGTGCATGTGGCAGTTGCTGAAGGCGATGGAATATCTCCACTCTCACAACGTAAGCTACTGGCCGAGAAACGAGGCTCGACCCCGCGGGACCAGCATTGGCGACCTCTGTTGCACTGGCTGCATTCGCTGGATAGTTGATACGTACGGCATGCATCCCGAAAGCTCGCTGCCAGCTCACCTGTAATATTGGATCGCATATCGCTCACTCGTATCCCCCCGGCAACTGTGGCTATGGCCAAATATGCGTCGTTATCCACTGGTCGCGCCAATCCTCACCAGGTCATCCACAGAGACATCAAGCCCGAGGTAGAGTATGCGGATGGGGGTTGGATGCCGGTGCCGCAGACACGCGGACGGGGTATTCACATCTGCTTCATGTCGCGCTGTCGCCAGAACATCCTGGTTTCGTCGCTTGGAGTCGTCAAGCTCTGCGACTTTGGCTTTGCGCGGACTCTGGGTAAGCATTCAGAGAGCTCGAATATGCGCGTTTTGGTGAAATGGGCATCGGCTGCTCGGTCCAGCGGGGCGGGATGTGTATCCGGTCGAACGAGCGTACTGACAATGATATTACTCCTGCGACGCTGTCACCCTGATTCATTTCGCTGTCACCCTCCAGCCGGTCCGGGGGCCAAGTACACCGACTACGTTGCCACGCGCTGGTATCGTGCTCCAGAATTGTTGGTTGGAGACACCGAATACGGCAAGGCGGTGGATGTCTGGGCAACGGGCTGCATCTTTGCCGAGATTCTGACGGGGCAGCCGCTGTTCCCAGGCGACACAGACCTCGACCAGCTCTATCGTATCATGAAGTGCCTCGGTGAGGAGCAGCGTGATGGAGGCCCCGTGGGTTTGCATACGGTGTGATCGAAGCTTAACTAGCTCGCAGCATCATCCCAATATCAATTCGTTTCTGGCGGCCATTCCCACACTCATCCGCGCCGTCTTTGGCACAGGTCCGCTTACAAAACGCCACATGGAAATCTTTCTGAGAAACCCGCTGTTTGTGGGTGTGCGACTTCCCGAGATCACCAAGATCACTCCGCTGGAGACCCGTCTGCCCCATGTCTCGCCCGATGCGCTGCAGTGGCTACATGTACGTTGCTCCTTCTCGGCCTGAAGCAAGTTTGTTCGATGAGATCGCGCGCAAAAGGCCCAGGGACAGACCGGTCGGTGATACATCATATATATGCCACTGACTTTCAATTTCGTAAATCGCCGGATGCACTGGCACCTGACAACTCTCAAACTTGACTCACGCCATACGGCGTCCGATCACAACACTTCCGCAACCTCCGCCCAACATCGCGCCAACACTTGACTGTGCGTGCCGGCTGATTACCGTTGTGCGATAATTTCGGCTCGGTCACCGGCCCCTTCGAATGCATGCCCGGTCGGACTCTTCAGCAATGCCTGATCTATGATCCAGACCAGCGATCGACGACAAAGCAGTTGATGGCACACCCATACTTCCAGTCCGATGGATTTGCCGAGCGGTTTGAAGTCGAACTCCGACACTGGATTGATATGGAGAAGGAGAAAGAATTGACCGAACGCAACAAGCGAAAAAAGGCCAAAAAGGTGAGTCCTGGTCGGCATCGTTGCAACGATGGCGATGGCCTTTGCTGCTGCTATTGCGGCCATCGCGTTAGTTGGATTGCATGCGCTATGCCAGCCATATGGGTTGGTTTTATCATCTATCAAACTGGAAGAAAGAGCAGCCTGGGCAAGGCGGCCGCAGTTGCGATCATTGACGGATTTGAAGAATATCGAGCTGATACCTGCTTGCACACACACGGCTCTTTCTCAGGGGTCAAATCCGAGTCACCACGACTCGACCCGACAGCTGCAGTCGAGACGGGACTCCCGAGACGCACGCCTGCCCCTGGAGGATATCGAGAACAACAAGCGGTATGCTGAAGACGAAAAGTACGTCCCGTACTGTCATTGACGGGCGACTGCTCTTGGCTTGGCTGTCCTTGTCCACTGTGGAAGCTGCAGTCGTGTCCGCCTACCATGACTAAACAATCAAACATGGGTGGGAAACGCCTGTGGGCAATGTTTCAGATTCGCCGGCAACGCATCGTCCATACCGCCTATTCACGGCACCACCAAGGCGACCTCGCACAGCTTCTCCAATGCCAACGCCGCCAACTCGAGCCTCATCGGAAACGGCATGGTTGGCGTCGGCGGCGTTGGCGGTCAGGGGATCATGGGAGCCAGCGGCAGCTACAGCACCAGCATCACCATCAGCGGCGGTAGCGTTTCGTCGACCGTGACCGGCGGGGGACTCATGAAAGGCATGATGCCCACGACTGCCGGCGGAGGTGGCGGCGGAGCCAACACCAAGAAGGGCCAGCCGCCCGTATCGTTCCCCAAGATTGCCACTTCTGGATTTGGAAACCAAGGCGGAGGCGGCGGTGGTGGTGGGGGCGGAATGCTTGTCAAAGGAGGTGGAATCGGGGGCGGCGTTGGAGGAATGTCGGGATACGGCGCGATGAGCAACAACAGCTCGAACGAGTGAACGACTCTCGCCCGCGCCTGCGCTCGTGGACGCCCATTGAATCAACCGCAGGGTTTGTGCAGACCTTCCAGCCCATATCCAAATGCAAGCCAACTGGGACGTCCATAGAAGCGGGAGCCGGAGCAGCCTCGACCATGTACAAGACTCGACTGGACAAGGCGGGAAGCAAACCTCTGTCGCATGGAAGATGTGGATCGCTGTTGCCGGGGCTGTCGCTCGAGAAGAGCAGAGTCCGGCCGGCGAGTGGGGCGCATTGCTGATTTTGTTTCTGTTCGAAACACATTGCCGGTGTCCTCAATACAGGAGAGGTCCGGATCCCGCATGCGAATGGCCGCCTGCTGTGATGCGAGGCTGGGAACCGCTGGGTGAATGTGCACAATCCAGCACTTGCCAGGCAGCTGGGGCTGCTCTGGTTTGGAGGCCTTTGCTGATGAATCTCCTGGATCTTCGTGGATGATACAGAACACGTCTGCGCTTGGTGCCAGGGAATGCACTCTTGTCTACATCGGCAATTGCATTAGCTCCATAAGCTTCGAGAGCGTCAACTTGAATACAACTGGTCGATCGCCTGTGACGATGATAATCGGGTAGCATTGAGGTTGCGATGCACAGGTGTGATGTATGTGTTCGACCCTCCGGAAAGCTCCCGTGGTTTCTCGACATCAAGACGCTCCGCCTTCTCGAGTCGCCCGGCCTTCATGAACTCTGAGCATACCGTCTGACCATGACGGGCGCGATTCATGGAATGTATTCAGGACACACAAAAAAAGACCGACAGCTCCGGCTCAAAACAGGCATCCCGTTTCGTTTTAGATGCGCTTTAGTATCTAGTTCTGTGGGCGAGGGCAAGAGGCACATGCACCGGTTCAAATCTATCGGGTGGCTGTGACTACGACTGAGCTTCGGACGTGAGTGAGAAACAGGCATTACAGCATGCTGTCGGCAGCGATGGTGCCGATCAGAGCCTCCAGGACAGTGCTCAGAGATGAGCAGTAGCAAAATAGACGGTCAGCGACGCTACCAGGGCGACAAAGAAGCCGGGGACGGTGGATCGTCCTGAGCTGGGGAGCGACAGAAGGCCTGTCGGGGTGGGGCCGAGGACGCTGCCGACCGTGGATGAGCCGCAGTTGTTGGCAATGTTGATGATGCCACCGCGGATGGCCAGGGCGGTGGTGTTGATGCCCGAATAGTCGCACAGGTAGTTGTTTTGGGTGATGGTGACGGCAGGGCCGTTGAGGGTGGAGCTCTTGAGGGCAGCGATAGAAGTCAGCTGGCTGTTGCTGGAGATGGTGAGGTTGGAGATGGTGGGGACGACGAGGCCATCGAGGGTGCTGACACTCATGGAGCTGATGGTAACGGCGACACCCGAGGTGCCCGGAACGGCAGCCAGTGGCGGGAAGGCCTTGAAGGACGCCACCGTGCTCAGGCTGGAGAGTGTGAAGTTGACGGTGGTGATGTTGGCCGGCAGACCTGTAAAGTCGCTGATGAGGGGCAGATCCCCAAGGAAGAACGAGTTACCGATGGTCTTGAGGTTTTGAAGACCATCCAGGCTGCTGAGGGCAGGGTTGCGATAGATCGAGAGGCCAAAGGCTGCAAGGGAGACACGGTGTTAGTATGGGAGGATAGGTCGCTCTGGTATGGCCACGGGAGCGTGCGGAGCGATTTATCCACGGACTATCGAGGCGGAGCGGAGCGGCGCTGCAGGGTGAGGGCAAGCAAGAGGGTCCGAGGCAGGGACTTGGGGGGGGGACATGGCGGGCACCCAAGGGGCGAAGGGCTGCTCGTAAGGTGTGCTGAAAGGATGGCCGGTACGTACGATACTGGGCGGAGCCGTTGGGGTTGATGTAGTTCAGGAACTTGAGCGACGAGATCGACTTGAGCACGGGCAAGTCGTAGATGAAGATGCCGCCGGTGACCACTTGGACAGCGAGTCCGTCGAGGGCGGCCATACTCGGGTTTGAGTGGATAAAGAACTTGTCGCCGATGCTCTGGAGCGACGAAAGCCCCTGGAGATTAAAGAGCTTGGTGTTGGTGATCTCGACGGCGAGTTGGACAGAGGTCAGCGAATGGAGAGGCGACAGGTCGCTGACATCCGAGCCGTTGATGGAGACAGAGCCCAGGAACTGGGTGCAGTTGGCATACTGGGCGAGGGCGCTCTGGGAGCTGATGATGGTCCTGGGGACACCAAGAGGCGGATGAGAAGATGGAAGAGAAGACGGAAGAGAAGACGGATGAGGGCACAATACATCCGGGTGCAGCAGAGGAGTAAAGTAGCAGCAGAGTAGCAGCAGCTCGAAAGACGGACAAGTCGACGGCCGAGCCAACAGTTGGTCGCTGGAAGAGCCAGCGCAGCGGGAGGACGGAGTTGCCGAGCAATTGCCGAGCGATTGCCGAGCGATTGTCGGGCGATTGTCGGGCAGAGGCTTACCAGTTGCCAGCCGAACCGCAGCTGAGCGAGTGAGCCCAGCCCAGACAGCCGAGCAGAACGACGAGTCGGAGCAGCAGAGTGTCCATCGGGTGCGGGCAGCAGGAGGAGCGAGATGGATCCAGAGCAGACGAAAGCCAGGGCGCAGGAGCAGCGACGAAGAAAATGCTGGGCGGCAAACAAGGGCGGGTGGAGGATGCGTCGCGAGTGGCGGAGGGGAGCAAGGTTTGCGACGATCGACAGAACCGCCGACAGCACCGCAGAAGACACCGCCGACAGCACCGCCGACAGAGCCAGGGGTGCTTTCTGGGCACACGGTGTATCGTCCCGCTGCAGTGCCGATGCACCGGTGCTCTGCGGCATCGGCGTGCCGCTCCTTTGGGTCTCTCGGTCGGGCCTCTCAGCTGGGTCGCCGCCGTCACCGCAAAGCACTGCACCGGCCGCGGCTCCCCATTGGCCGGCGCTTGTCCCGCCACCTGTTCTGTGGCGCCGGCCGTGTGTCGCGCCGTTCTGTGCCAGCTGCGCACCGCTTTCCTTTTGCGGCGCATGGCCGACTGCGATGACCCACCGCACGTGACCTGCTATCGGCGGATATATCTTTGCCTGGCAGGCCTTGGCCGTTCCGCAACCCACTTGCAACTCGTCAACTCGCAGCCCATCGACTTGCAACCCGCTTGCGACTCATCGATCCGCAGCCTCCCACGCACCATGTCCAAGCACATCTCCAACGCCTTTGCCGCCGCCAAGGCCCAGAGTGAGTTGATCGTCCGTCGCAAGCGATCGCCTCGGATCCCGCTGCTGTCCGCTTGCTCCCCAACTCGCTTGACCCGCCCGGCTCGCCTGCTCACCCGATCTGCGCTTCTGTCCGCAGACCGCCCCGCCTTTGTCACCTACGTGACCGCCGGCTATCCCGACCCCTCCACCACGGTTGACACGCTGCTGGCTCTCCAGCGCGGCGGTGCCGATGTCATCGAGCTTGGCGTGCCCTTTTCCGATCCCATGGCCGACGGCCCCACGATCCAGGAAGCCAGCTTTGTAAGAACACCAGTCTCGCGGCGGCACCACTCCGCTTGGCGTAACAGCCTCGCTTCGTGGCACCTTCCTCCTTCGTTGCTCACACGCCTCCTCCTCCTCCTGTCCGTCCCAAGGTCGCCCTGGAGCACAATGTCGATATTCCCATGTGCCTCTCGTTTGTGCGTGAGGCTCGCCAGAAGGGCTTGACCGTCCCCGTCGTCTTCATGGGCTACTACAACCCCTTCCTGAACTACGGTGACGTCAGGCTCATGAAGGAGTGCCAGGAGGTCGGTGTCGATGGCTTCATCATCGTCGATCTTCCTCCTGAGGAGTCGCTCCGCTTCCGCAACCTCTGCTGCGACTACGGGTATGTGCGTCGCAACGGCTAGTCGGCGACCTGCCATGACCGAGAGTAGATCGCGTGTGCCAAAGCCGACCCCGGCACCACTGGCCGAGCTGTTTATTTGAGATGCAGCCCCATGGTCACGGCAGCCGTTGCCTAACAATGTCTGTCTGCATCTCTCTGTTGCTTCTGCAGCCTGAGCTACGTCCCTCTGATCGCTCCCTCGACCACCGAAGCCCGCATCAAGCACCTGGTCAGCATCGCCGACAGCTTCATCTATGTCGTCAGCGCTCTTGGTGTCACTGGCGTCCGTGCCACTGTCAACACCGCTCTCCCGACCATCATCTCCCGCATCCGCAGCCAGAGCGACGTTCCGCTTGCCGTCGGCTTTGGTGTTGCCACCCGCGAGCACTTTGAGCTCGTCGGCCAGATGGCCGAGGGTGTCGTCATCGGCTCCAAGATTATCAACGTGCTCAAGACCTCTGGTGAGCGGTGACTCCCTGCTACCATGCGCGGCGACGATGCGTCGTCATCACGATGCGAGAGTCGTGATCGCGGAGACAGCGATCGCATTCGGCCGTGTGTCCTCAGCTCGACTCACTCGGCTGTACGGCTCCTTTCCACTAAACAGAAAAATCGGAGCGTGCCGCCAAGACCCAGGAGTATGCCTCGTACATCACCGGTCGTCAGGATGTTCCCCGTAAGTGTCACTGTCCAGCAGCGCTGCGATCCCCCGCGACCTTGCTGCAGCTGTCAGTTGTGTGGCAGTGGTTGAAGGCCGCTAGCCCCTGGCTTCCACCTGCAAACCCAAGGATTCGGCAGCAATATTCACCCATGCACCGGTCTTGTTCTCCAGCCCCCACCCGTGACGCCGCCAGCGGCTCTGGCTCCAAGAGCATCAAGGTAGCTTCTGCGCCTGTATCGTGCTCGTTCTGGCTGATCATCCACCTTTCCCACGATGCTAACTCCCACAACCGCCTCCAGACCGAGTTCCTTGCCAACGAGCATGTCGTTGCCGACCGCTTCGGCGACTTTGGTGGCCAATACGCCCCCGAAGCCCTCGTGAACTGTCTCCAGGAAATCGAAGCGGTAATCCATCCACTCGTGTCCATGGCACTGCGCACCAGCTGGCCAGCCCTCCGCTTGCGCTAATACTAATGCTGATGCCATGTGGTCGCTGACGCCCACAGGAGTACGCCAAGGCTGTCAAGGACCCTGAATTCTGGAAGGAGTTCCAGTCGTACTACTCGTACATCGGCCGCCCCTCCCCCCTCACCTTTGCCAAGCGTCTGACTGACCAGTGCGGTGCGTGTTTGTCATCGCAAGAGTGCAGGGATGTACAGATGCGGGCGTCGCCGTCACTTGGGTACAAGCCTCCTCTTCCGTGGCTAACCTCGTTTCGCCAATCAAATCCTCGCCGCTTTCACAGGCGGTGCTCGCATCTGGCTCAAGCGCGAGGATCTGAACCACACCGGCTCCCATAAGATCAACAATGCCCTCGGCCAGGTCCTGCTCGCTCTGCGCCTCGGCAAGAAGCGCATCATTGCCGAGACCGGCGCCGGTCAGCACGGTGTCGCCACGGCCACCGTCTGCGCCAAGTTTGGTCTTGACTGTACCATCTACATGGGCGCCGAGGACGTTCGTCGCCAGGCGCTCAACGTCTTCCGTATCCGCCTTCTCGGCGCCAAGGTCATCCCTGTCGACTCGGGCTCCCGCACCCTCAAGGATGCCATCAACGAGGCCATGCGCGACTGGGTTACCAACGTCGAAACCACCCACTACCTGATTGGCTCTGCCATCGGCCCCCACCCCTTCCCCACGATTGTGCGCGAGTTCCAGTCCGTCATCGGTCGCGAGACCCGCCAGCAGCTCCTGGAGCGTCAGGGCAAGCTCCCCGATGCTGTCGTGGCCTGTGTCGGCGGTGGCTCCAACGCCATCGGCATGTTCATGCCTTTTGCCGAGGACAAGAGCGTCCGTCTGATTGGTGTCGAAGCTGCTGGTGATGGTAAGTGCACCTGGCTGCATTATTGGCACTCGTACCCTCGACTGCTCGGAGCGACTGGCCACAGTCGACAGGCTCACCGACCTCTGTCCGCCCCCCACCAGGTATCGACACTCCCCACCACTCTGCCACCTTGAGCTGCGGCCGCCCCGGTGTTCTCCACGGAACCCGGACCTACCTCCTCCAGGACGACAACGGACAGATTATCGGCACCCACAGCATCAGTGCTGTAAGTATGGTGGACCTGCACAGACCATGGGTGTCTAGCCTTCGCTGGAACGCAGCAGCGGCAGCAATGTTAGTGCGCTGACGTTCATGGTTATAACTTTGTTTCCATAGGGTCTTGATTATCCTGGTGTCGGCCCCGAGCACGCCTGGCTCAAGGACTCGCAGCGCGCCGAGTACGTCTCGGCCACCGATGCCCAGGCCCTCATTGGGTTCCGCTCGCTTTCGCAGCTCGAGGGCATCATCCCGGCCCTCGAGACCTCGCATGCCGTCTACCAGATCATGGAAGTCGCCAAGACCCTCAGCAAGGACCAGGACATTGTCCTCTGCCTCAGTGGTCGTGGCGACAAGGACGTCATCTCCGTGGCCGAGGCTCTCCCCAAGCTCGGCGATCAGATCGGATGGTACGTTGATGCAAGGTGTCAATCTCGCCGCGACGGGGTGCAGCGATGAATGACAGTGTCGATGTTTCCAACGCCTTGGTACCTGCCTCCGAATGACGACTAACAGGCTTGTGTCCTCTGTTTCAATCGAATGAACCGACTCGGTGCCGTGGCTGCTCTCCCTCCCTCCCTCCCGCCCAATCTCACACCATGATCGGCCGAAATCGTCTTGACTGCTGCAAACTCGCAGGGACCTCCGCTTCGAAGGCGATGCCAGCGCCATGCAGCCCAAGACCCACTAAGCTGCTGCTGCTTACAGCGTTTCCAAAATGAAATGAGACACCCCCCCGTTTTCAACCAGGACTGTGTTTTTTTCTGGAACCTGAATACACACCCAATACAATCGCGCGCTGGCCATGACCGTTCAGTGATTTGAATCAAGGACGCCATTGTGGGAATCGCTTCCAGCTCAAGATGCGCTGGATGAGCACCACACCAAGTCCCAAGATCCCTGGTTGGCTCCCTTCCTGCAATACATTCGCCATGTGTTCGATGGAGACATGCTGGAGAAACAGCTGTACTTCAGCCTGACCCGGCGACGGCGATTCAAGCGACTCGATCTCCACGGCAAGCGACAGCGCACCGTCCACGAGATGTGCAAGCAGGTCATCGACCAGGCACCAAAGGAGACCGAGGTGGAGATTGCCTTTGGGAATGCATCCTGGAAACAGGGGAAGGGATATGCATCCAGTCCCAGGAGACTCAGGTTTGCCAAGTATTTCGAGCAATTCCACCACCACCAGAGACGACCACCAGACCGACCCGTCTCCAAGATCCATGTGTGCTCGGTGAACGAGTTTAACACATCCCAGGTATGCTCACATTGTCGGGAAACCAAGCGACTCGATTCACCCGAGTATCTTGATATCGATTCACCGTGGAACTGTCCAGAGAGTCGAGTGGATGCACCCCACTCCCACATCGACACATAAATACCAGTCGATCATCGCCACAGGAGATCGACCGAGCACATCGTCGCAACGTTAGGGTTGGGGTTGCGGCGGACTTTTTTTTTTTTTTCTGCTCGCGCGTTTTGCATCGCTTTCCTGTTCGCATCGCTTTCCTGTTTGCATCGCTTGTCCAAACCCACCATCCGAATCGCCCGTCAATATGGTCCAAGCCAGCAACACCAAGCAGGCCCACTCGCTCGTATTCTGCTCAGAGTGCGGGTTCCTGCTCGATCCACCCGCGGCCAACGAAAAGTCGATCAACTGCGATGCTTGCGGCCATCTTATCAATGCTGACGGTCAGTTGCAAGCACGGCCGTCCCTTTATCCTCCCCTCCTCCTTTCGCGGCTATACATCGTCGGGACTGGAGTTGCAGCTCTCGGACGTCTATGCAATCGAGCTATATTGTCAATACGCTGCTCTCCCGCGACATACGATGCTGTGTGCGAGCCTGCGTCCTGATCATCGGCTTATACCTATGCTATCCATGGACGGTGTACCTCTTGGCTCTGGGTCGCCAGTGTTCGAGTCTATCGAGGTTGTTACAAATAGCAGCGTCAAGGCATTCACCGAACGGCCCAAGTTCTATGGCATGGAGGATCAGGACTCGGATGCGGTTGCCCATCTGAAGGATGGTGCTACGGTATGTTGCGTATCCGTCGTCCGCTTCATACAGCGACGCTTGTCCGACGACTGAGCTCGGCCGAGACGAAGGGTGCGGTCAGGCGGTATCGTTCGAGTTGATTTAAGGCCGATGCAGCTGTGGATGTGTGGAGACTCCCTAAGCCCCGTCAAGTCGAATCCTGGATTGAGTCGATGGATCTGCTGGCCGTGCTCAAGCCGAGGATCAATGGCACTTGTTCAAGACAATGAGAGCATCCCTTTGCGGCAGCGACGTCGAATCTCTCGATATCACCGGCACCCAGTGCGATCGTGTCTTCATGACAACCGAATATGCGGGCTACTCTGTTTGGCTCGCCCTCCCCTATTGTTCCTCACGATAGAGCGCCATTACTTACTTTCCCCCCCCCTGCTTGCGTCCCTGCACCGACAACGTCACCTCTGAACCATGGCCTCGATCGGTGAAACAGATCAAGGAGAAGTGCCCCAAATGCGATGCGCCCGAGATGGTATTCCACACGGCCCAGCTTCGATCGGCTGATGAAGGCCAAACCATCTTCTACAGCTGTATAAAATGCGGGTGAGTCTGGAAGGAGCTCGGCTGGGCTTTGCCTTTGACAAAATGCTCTGCCGCCCCTCAATGCAGCTTCCTTGTAGCTGCACTGGAGGTTACTGTGTGGCTTTCCTGCGATCGTTCATCGCAGCTGGCTTGGCTACCCCGCCGCAAAGCTTGCTCTGCAGCAGCGCTCATGCATCTTTCTCAATCTTGTTTCCAGCTACAAGTATCGCGTCAACAGCTAGAGTTTTTTACCGTCGTCCAAATGCACGGACTTGATGCCTGCGAGTCGACTTGTACGCCATGTACTATGCTCCACACTCCCCGCTCCATCCCGGCCGCTGTCTCCATATTCTATTGGGCCGATCCCCCGAGCCCCGGTGTGCTCCGGAGCATATTAGACCCTCCATACACAAACATGACTTGCCTTGCAACTGTGCTGTTGTGCCGTTGGCATCCCATGTCCGCCTACTCGTCGTGCTGACAGCCCTATGTCACATAATATCCTCGAGTGCGGCGTGATGTGGGCAGAGATCGCCGGCCGAAATGGGTCTAACCCCAGACCAGCATGGCCTTGAGCATTGCATCGAGACAGTTCTGGTTGCTGGCTGCGGGCCATGCCAACGCCGATCGGCAGAGCCCATGCTGGTCCTCATTTGCCATCAGCAGTTGTACCGTCTCTTTAAACTGTGTCTGTTGAGCGCAAATTATGGCTAAGGACAGCTCCTTGAATGCCAGATCCAGATCCCATGGAGCCAGTCCGGGCCTCTACACTTTATTCAGAAAAAAACGGGACAATATAGCCGTTTCCATGAACATGTAGTATGTGCTGTGCTTGCGTCTAGCAAAGCCACAAGAAATAAAACAGATCACTTTGGCAGCCTCCGAGTGAAGACCGCTGGTCGCTCTCCGATCTCTACAATCGACCTGCACACTGCGATCATGTTGCGCGCCGCATTGACGTCGCGATTCCACACTGTCCGGCAGCTGGGATTCTTGCAGCTCCTGACAAAGTGGGAATTCGCAACACTGGGCGCATCGAGTCCTTCCAACCGAACTGGCTCCAGGCACTTGGAGCACACTTGCGAGGTGTTGAACTCGTTCGTCGAGGCCACCTTGACGCTTCCATGATGGTGATTGGGACGGCGTCGGTGGTGCTCGAATTGCTCAAAGTACCGAGCAAACCGCTGCCTCCGAGGGCTGGATGCATAGCCCTTGCCCTGTCGCCATGACGCATTGCCAAAGGCGATCACCACATCGGTCCGTATCGGGGCGTGCTTCAGGACGGCCTTGCACATCCTGTCGACGGCCACTTGGCGCCTCTTGTAGCCCGTGAAGCGATGGTGACGGGCCTTCTTGCCAAGGTGGAAGTCGAGCTGCACTCGCAGCTCCGGTCGCAGGACATGGGTGAGATGGACCTTGAAAGCCTCCGAGGACGACACCTTGGGCGAGGGGGTGGTCGACATCCAGGTCTCGATGCTGAGTCGATACTTCATGATATTGTGCCACTTGGTGTTGGACGTATGGCCACACATGTGCTGGTAGTGGCCATTGGAGAATGAGACCACCTCGTCTTGGTGGCCCGGTGCTTGGATGACCGCCGTGAAGATGGAGCCGACTCCAGGATCGATGCCAATCCAAGTGGTGCGATCGGGGTCTGGGTTGCCGATGTGGGCCTGGATGCGCTGCTCGGCAGTCGGAGGAGGCTCGGAGGTCTCGGTGTGATCGGTTCGACGCACAAACTTGACGAGACCGATGGTGCATCCAATGCCATCGGTGCTGATCTCGTAGTTGAACAGCTTCTTGTTCACGTCCCGCTCTTGGAAGAGGGAACTACGCAGCTTGAAGCAACTGCGCCAGAGACGATCCTGGTTGTTGATGCCGTCATCACCTTCTTCCTTGAGCTTGTCCCGGGTGAGTCCAAGGCGCTTCTTTGGACCAAGGAGATCCCAGAGGGTGGCCGTGTCGATCTTGATGTATTTGGCCGTGGCAGTGCATAGAGGAACCATCGTGCACACGGCCGGAGGAGTGTCGACGGCGAGCTGCTTGAGTGCCCAGTTGATCCTGGATGCCAGCTGGTTGATCTTGGACTTGGTGGTGCCGAGCTCAGACTTGGCCGTGGTGAACCTCTTGTCGTCGGAGGGAATGCCTTGGGTAGTGAGCTCGTCCAGCTTGGCCTGGCGCTGCAGCTCGGTGACTCGGAGGGCGGGCATGTCACAGTCGATCCACTTGTGGACATTGTCGACCATCTTGTCTCGGGCGAGGATTCTCACATGGTGTGAGAGGCGATGAAGGGCCCGGAAGCGGTCCTGGTCGTTGCTGTACCGAAACTCGTCCAGGACGTGGCCAAAGTCGGGATAGAGGAACTCGAGATCGGCCTTGGGTGGAGTCGAGTCTGGTTTCTCGAAGAGCTCGAGACAGGCCTCGATGGCTTCGTGCTTGTGCTTGTTGGCTGGGAAGACGGCAGCGCAGAAGCGGCGAAGGAGTCGCCAGTATGCCAGATTGAGGTGGGTGGTGCAGTTGGTGGCATAGGCATTGACAGCGAGAGTGAGAAGCTGACTGTGAGCACCATCAGGCAGACGAGGGGCCGGAGGCAGGTCTGCGTGCCGAGTGGTCTGGTAGTCGCGAAAGGAAGCGACCAGATGCTCGTTGTATTTCTCATTGTCCCCGGTCGGGGAGAGCGCATCGGCCTGGACGATCCTGAAGCATTGGCGAACGAAAGCAGGGGTGGACTTGGAGATGACGGGGATGGGAAGATCCTGCTCGATGCACCGGAGGATGTGCAGGTTGAGCAGCCTGGATGCCTCGAACTGGATCTGGGTCATGGCCTCGACGGTGGCCTGGATCTTGTCGCGGAGAGCGGGATTGAGACAACAGCCATCCATGGTCTGCTTGAAGCAGCTGAACTGAGGGGCGGATGACCTTCCATCCACGAGTGGGACGACAGAACTCTTGAGGGGCCGGTATTCGGAACACTTGCTAGTGTTGCAGCGTTCGTGATCGGTGCCATCGCACTTGGGACATCGCTTGCTGGTACTCGAGGAAGTAGATGGACCAGGCTCGGTGGGATCGACATCCATTGGATCTGCAGAAGCAGTGGTGGTGAGCGACGGAGCAACAGACGACCAAGCATGCGTGGGGTCAGAAGACGAACCAGAGACAGGCTCCGACTGTGACTTGGCTTTCTTGGGCCTGGGTGGCCGAGGCTGGCCATCACCGGCACCCTTACGCTTCGGAGGCATGGGGGCAGAGGATGCTGGATGCCTGCCAGTGGTACTGGTCAGAGCAGAGACTTTTTTTTATCGTACAATAGCGCGATGATCAGATCAAGGCGAGATGAGGGAAGAAAGCAGCAGGACGAAGGTGTGGCATTTATACCCGAGAGCAGGAACCCGTCTTTGCGGGTTGGTTGGGAAGCGACCCTGTTCAAAAATCGCCGAGAGGTTCAAGCCAGGGATGTGAACGCGAAAATGGCGGCTTGATTGGAGGGAACTCAACCCCAAATCGGTGGGGACTCAACCCCAAAGAAGTTCTCGATGGGATTGAAGTCGAGTGAGGCAGGTGGGGTGAAGATCACTGACCATCCTCGGCGCTCGATGCAGCACACCAGAGTGGTTGATGGCAAATGCAGCCGAGACAGACTTGTGCTTCATGTGATTGCGCTGGCGAAGCGGAGCACCCTTCGGTGAGTATCCGTAAAGAGGGAAAATGGATCTCCTGATCCCTGTCTCATCGACAAAAACGAGTCGTCGTGGGTCGATGGAGTGGACTTGGTCCCTGAACTGTGCCACTCGCTCATCCAGTCGCTTGGACTTGTAGAGGTGTGTTGCCCTCTTGTGTGAGAGACCTGCTCGCTGGATGGCAGTGTGGCAGAGTGAGAGTGATACTTTCCTCTGGAGGATGGACTCGAGCTTGCATCGCAACACAGGACCAGTCTGGAACGGATCCTGTTCAATCAGGGTGCGAATGACTGGACATGCCTGCTCGAAGAAAGTGGATCTGCGAGCTGGGACCCGGGATGGGTCATCCAGCTTGCATCCTCGGTGCCATCGATGGATGGTGCTCTTGGATACACTGAATATGGAGGCGACCTTACGCAGGCTATGGATGAGGGCGTAGCATCGCAATGCGGCGGTGCGAAAGTCGGATGTGTGGCGAATGGTCATGGCCAGCGCGCGATAACATTGGGTAACAAAATATTCGATGAATGGTCAAACCCTGGGTGTCCCGTTTTTTATTGGATTGCCTGTAATCTGGTCAAGCGATATTGCTCTTTGCCTTTCGCCTTCCTCCTCACCCAGGGGAAATGACTAAAGCCTTTCCAAAATGAAATGGGACACCCCCGTTTTGAGCTATGACTGTATTTTTTCTGGAACCTGAATACACCCATCCACTCATCGCATTCATGGCCAAGCACAGCACCATCTTGATATCGAGATATCATTGAGCTGTCCAGAGAGTCGAGTGGATGCACCACACTCACACATCGAGACATCAATGCCTCAAGGAACATGATCTCGGTATGCCAGTCGATCGTCGCCACAGGAGATCGACCGAGTGTATTCAAGACTGTGCTTCCCAAACCAACCAAAACCACTCGATTGCCAACCAGGACGGGAAACAATCTCACGGCCTGCCCGCTGGGGCCTACAGTCAGTCAGCGGGGTTCAGACATCTGAAGCCAGGAAGGAACTGTCCCGTTCTTTCTGGATGGCCTCTAATTCTGGTCGCTCAAATTGCGCTGTGGCCCTGCGGTCGACGTCTCAACACGAGTACCAATCGACGTCATTCAGCCAGCCAGATAGCCAATCAACATCATTCGATCCACGCAAGTCCCGTTTCAAAAATGAGTTCGCTGAATCGTCGCTCCTCCACGCACATCTCCTGGCCGGGTTTCCCACGCATCCCACACCCACGCATCCATCCATCGATTCATCCGCGCATCCACCCATTCGCTCCAGGCATAGAATCTATCTCACGGCTGCGATACAACCATGGCAGCCGTCACTGGAGCCGTCGGTCTGCAGATGCCTGTAATCCCGTTCCATGCCGGCTCTTGAACTCGCGGGCATGGCTTGCTCTCGTCCTGTGCGGCCATACTCCAGTGTTGGCCCTTCAGGAGATCGATGAGTGTTGTGCCGACGATGTTGCAATTTTAACACGATACCGTCTTGGCACTCATTCACTTGCCCAAAGGTCGGCGATGGGTCTCGGAAGCCCAAATCCAAGGCGCCGCATCACCTTCCAAAGCTGCCAGGTACCTGACTGCCCTTGGACGTCGTTTTGACGACCAGGGGCTGAGAGTCGGCGCTCTATCGCGGCACCACATCGCTCACCGTGCTTCTCCATTTGTCGGATTCCCGCTGGAGTCTCCCCCCGTGCCAAAATCCTCAAGCTACCCGAAATCACCCGAGCACGGAGGTCAAGCGAGTCTGACGACATGGAAAGCGACGGAGGCGTTCCTGAGATACGGCCCCGATCGGCCGAGTCCTCCCCCACCTCCGAGGCAAACTCGAAGGAGCCCAAGCGCAACCCCTTCCACATGCCCTCGGATGTGGAGGTCTTTGCGATGCGTGAGGAGGAGCGAAAGACAAAGCAGATGGTAGGAAAATGAGAGTATGGAGCCAAGGAGGTAGACGGAGAGTGCACATCCGGCCTGCTCTCTCAGTAAACGTCGGGATGCAAGCGCCAATCGCCCCATACTCATACTCGCTCGCTCAAAGGCAAAGGAGAAAATGAAGCACATGAAGATATACGAAAAGAATGTGGTTCAGCGCAAAAACTTCAAGGACTTGCTCGCCGAAGAAGATGACGACATTGAGTTCTACGACAAGCTCAGGAAGCGGGACTCTGACAAGATTCTCACCAACCGGCAGACGCGAGGTAAAGGAGGGCCGAAATGATAGCGCGAGCTCGGCTTGGATGGGACCAGCTGCTCTGGCGGATGTCTATTGAATCGATATGAGATCAGTGCGCCATTGATGATTCGCGGTTCAGCGGTGCAGCAACACTGTTGGCCTCACTAACGCTGCGCGCCACTGTCGCTGGAAGCCGAGCGCAACTTTGGTAAGGAGAACCTGCACGATTTTATCGCCAAGAAGCGCGAGATGTTTCTTGTGCAGTACGCCCTCGGGGTCAAGCGAGAAGAGATGCGAAAGCTGGAGGAGATTGCCCAAACGGAGGAACAGAAGCTGCTGGACGACGAGAAGGCGCTGGAAGAAGATGCAGCCAAGTTTGATGCCTTTCTCAAAGAAAACGACAAAAACTCTGTCGAGGCGATCAAAAAGTACGCATGATTGAACGTGCGAGCAGTCGATGATGAGCCAGAGGATTGGCTTGCGTGGATGCACTTGGCTATGTCGACTTGGATGGATGCTACCGTGCATGTTTCTTCAGTATGGGAGAAGAGGACTTGGCTGTTTTGATGTGACTGAATAGTCGCAGTCACCCGATCGTGTGCCGCGCTGTTCTTCCATTAACACCGCGCCTGCCCTGCTCCATCCCAACAGAGCCGAACTCGAGACCAAGGCCAAACTCGAAAAAATCCAAGAGATCAAGAAGCTGAACGTTCAGATCATGACAATCCGCAGCGACATGTCCAAGAACGAGGATCAGCTCAAGGACCTGCAGCGATACAAGCAGTTCCTCGACAAGGTGACACCACCCGAGTTTTTTGAGGAGAAGCAGAAGAAGGTATGCCGTTGCTTTCTCAACCATGCATGCATATACATGTGGCGCATTCTGCCACTCAAGGAAGTGTTCGTATGGCTGTGCGAGAGCGCATGCGCTCTCAAGGTGTGAACTGACCCAAAGCCTCGACGGATGCGCCTGCTATAGAAAGAAGCCCTCAAACGCAAGGGACAAGGTCGGTCAGAATACGCAGTGCTGGCTGCAGCTTTCATGTGCTATGAGCGGGTGTGTTGGCAGCGCAGATCTTTGCTGACCTGTGCTTGCTTGAAGCAGGGAAGAGCCTCAAGGCTACGGGCGATGCTGAGAAACGAGGTGGCCCACACCGAGGCAAAACTCCAGTCAAAGCCACACCCAACCGCAAGCCGACAACCGCCGCCTCGCAGCGAGAGGAGGAGGATGCAGACGACGCCAATGCCGACGGTGACGAGGAAGAGGAGCTCTGGAACGATGACGAAGAGGCGCTGCTGTTCTTCAAAAACGCCCAACAGCTCCTCGACATCTTTGCGGAGCTGGAGGAAAACAACCTCGCCTTGATCCAGAACTGTCAAGAAACAGAAGAAGCGCTCGAGGAGCTCCGACAAAAGATTGTCGAGACCGAGATTCGCATGTCAGTTGAGCCCTTTTGTTCACGGCACTTGCTGGTCAAGCAGAGGGTCTCGGGTCGGTCCTGATGTTCACCAAGCGCCTGCTTGCTTGGATAACCCGCCACACAGGGAGGAAGAGACGCAGAGCCTGAAGCAGCAGATTGAGTTCCTGAACGCAGCCATCTCCCGCGAAGAGGACAAGGCCAGCTCACTCGAGGAGCGCTCAAAGTAACGTCGTGGTGGCTGTGCCTGGGGTCGTGGGAATGTGCTCGTATGTGATGGGTGAGAGACCGCAGCCCGAACTGATACGGATCTGCTCCATTTGCACCGGAACTGTTGCCTCAACCCCACGCTCCATGGCACTTGCGGCGTCTCCAGGCTCTTTTCGTCTGGGGCCGTCGGTGGCGAGTCGCAAGAGAAGCTGCTCGATGAGCTGAATCACAAGGTCAAGGACGTTTACCGCAAGTGCATCGGCGACAACGACGCCAACTTGAGCACACTGCAGATGCTGACCAACCTCGAGAACAGGCTGGAGCAGCTCTTTGAGATGATCGAGATGATGCCTCCCGAGAAAGTCGAGCAAGCTGAAAAGGTTGGCATTGGCGTGCGGGTGGGACTGATGTTCGACGAGCTATCGCTGTAGCCACACACGCTCTGGACGATGGACACTGGCGTTGAGCGGCGCTGGCACTTCCTTCTGATCTAATCAGGCCTGGTCTTTAGATGAAAGACAAGGAGCGAAGACAGCGGCTGCGAGAGGAAAAAATGGACGCACAGAGGATCCTGCAGGAAGAGCGAGTCCAGCGGGCTCTCGAACGTGCGCGAGCACCGGTGAAGAAGAAGGTGAGTTTGACACATTTGCTTCCAACCGAGGACCACTGTATGCGGCCAAGCGATTCAGCCTCATCGGACCTTGTGTACTACTTTATACTTCACTAGACAGGCAAGCCCGTTGTCTTTCGCTCGGCACCGCCGCAGAAGAAGAAGAAGAAGGAAGAAGATACAAAGAAGAAGGAAGAAGGTCGGTACCGATCTTCTGGCGACGATCGCTGGTGCTGCCAGTGGATTCGGATATGTCTCTTACTGGCAAGGACTGAGTCTCCCAGCCAGACGCCGGGCTGATATCGGCCGTATTCCTCGACTCACTGTTCATCGTCTCGTTACTTTCCGCTGCATAATGTGCTCTGCAACTATCGTCATCGGGGCGGCCGCACTCGCAAATCCGTGCCGCTGGTCGCAGAGGATATGGAGTACTATTGGACATGATGGGCCATCGGCACCGATACAGCAGGGCTCACGGCTGGATCGGCAGCAGTGGCAGCATCCCGGCCTCGCCTGGATGTGCAGGAGCCGGTGGATTGTGTGCAAGAGCGGGCCTGTTGCTTGGAGATCTGGATGCTGGTCTGCGTTTCATGTGGTCTGTGGCTGCCCACCCCGAATACCCATGCACAATCGGCCATGCGCAACCGCCCTGCAATATCATGATGTTTGATCCCGTCCTACGGAAGAGGAGAGAGGCCGATCTGGGCGACTCGGTGGCCGCAGGCACAGGATCTGCTGCATCTCGATGGCCGTCTGGGCCGGCACCCGCCAAACCCAAGTGCAATCAGAGGCGGTCTTGTGGCTGGAATGCTGCTGGCCCTGCCGCCGGGCTTCCTCACTTCGGCCTCAGCTTGCCCGCCATCTTCAGCTCTTCCATCTATCCATCCGCCTCAAGCACCTCGCTGCAACACACCTCGCCGCGCCGCACCGCACCCATGAACGATCTCTCCCAGCTTGGAGGCAAGGTCCGAAAGTCGGCCTCGCCGACCACGACCACGCCAAAGCTCCATCGATTTACGGGGCCGTCTAGAGGCCGAATGCCCTGGTTCGGCAAACACGGCAAGCCTGTCGAGCCCTTCATCATCGGCATCGGCGGCGGTAGCGCCAGCGGCAAGACGAGCGTCGCGGCCCGCATCATCAAGGAGATGGGAGTGCCCTGGGTGGTGCTGCTCTCGATGGACTCGTTCTACAAGCCCCTCACGCCCGAGCAGATCGAGGCATCCCATCGCAAGTGAGTGTCGCAGAGCTCACCCTCGCGACTATCTGCAAGCCCAGCGGGCTCTGTGGCTCTATCGCATGGGTCGACAGGCGGCTTGGATCGCTGACACTCTCGCCGCATCCTTCCGTACGCTGCTGTTCACCTCTCGAACGACACCATCGCCATCGCCATCGCCATCGCGCCAAACGGGATGCCATCGGTTGCGGCCATGTTGTGCATCCGCAAGCGAATACAATTTTGATCATCCGAGTAAGTGTGAGCCTACGAACGGCACAGGCTCACGAGCAGCTGCGCCGTTGGCCTATAGCCATCGCTCCAAGCTCGGACTGCTTTTCTGGCTGTTGGTTGCTGGCTGTAGAGATGGCTGTAGAGATGGCTATCGAAGATGACGCTGATTCACGCATGATGCGCGCTCGCCAGCGTCCTTCGATTATGAATCGTTGTTCAATGTGCTCGACTGCCTCAAGCGCGGCGTCAAGTGCAACGTGCCCATCTACGATTTCAAGACCCATTCCAGGTGCGCCCACGATGCGAATCCGCACCGAGGAGCAGAGTCTGCATCTGGTGTCGGGTGTGGGGTTTGGTGATAACGACGTGCTGACGCCGATTGCACAGGCTCCCGCAAACCAAGACCGTGTACGGAGCCAATGTGGTCATATTCGAGGGCATCTTTGCTCTCTACGACAGGAGCGTCCGCGAGCTCATGGACCTCAAGCTCTTTGTCGATACAGACGCCGATATTCGCTTGGCGCGACGATGTATGCTGCCTGCCGACTGCATATCCATGTCACTTGTCTCGGCCGTCGCGGTGCCTTCCTTTTGTCGTGCTCGCAGAAGCACTTGGGTCTCCTGCTCCAAGAGTACCGTCGGATGCCCCGCGACTAATCAAGCCGACGCATCATGTCTTGTCTCCCGCTTCGGTCGGTGCCTTGCTGGATCTACAGTGAAACGAGATGTTGCCGAGCGTGCCCGAGACATCCGTGGTGTCCTCAGCCAGTACATGAAGTTCGTCAAGCCCGCCTTTGAAGAGTACATATATCCAACCATGAAATACGCAGACAGTACGTTGTGGGTGCACCGTTTGTCATAAACGCCTTCATCCGCCGCTGTCGACGTTTTTCCGGATGCCGCTGGTTTCCAAATGCCGGCACTGACCTTTGCTCTTGTCTGGTTGATTCAGTTATTATCCCGCGAGGGCTTGATAACACCGGTATGTGATTCCCCTAGGGTCAGCAACCAACAAGGGCCAGCAACCCGCAAGGGTCAGCAACCCACCCTGCTTCAGTCCTGGTGCACATGGCGAGTCCCATGGCTTACGATGCAATATTCCCCAGCGGCAATCGACGTGATCGTCAAACATGTGATGAGGCGACTAAGCGAGCGTGGCCTCTCTCTGAGACACGAGTTGGCCAACATTGACTGCTCGAAGGGCCTGCCCCAGTCGCTGATTGTGCTGGAGTCGACTCCCGAGCTCAAGGTGCCGTCACTGCGCTTGCTGGCTATGCTCCGTTCATCGTGCTCGCCGGCCATCCCCCGTTTATTGCGGATCACAAAGCCCGGTATTAACCAAGGCGCTGATATCCCTACTTTCTAATACCACTCGTTTGGTCGAACACCTGGACGGGCATGGCAATCGCTGGTCAGGCGATTCACACCATCATCCGTGACGAGACCACAAACCGAAACGATCTGATATTCTTCTCCGAGCGAATCTCGAGGCTGCTCATCGAAAGGTACGGTAAACTGACGTCTTTCCACGCCACTTGGCAAACATCAATTGGGCGCTGACTTTTATTGCGGTACAGAGCGCTGGCTGAATTGCCTGCTGAGGATATTACCGTCACCACTCCAACGGGACACACGTACAAGGGCACCAAACTGACCACCAAGGTACGTTTCGTCAGAGCCGGCATATGCCAAAGGTTCAGGAGCCGACGTGATTGTAGGGCCTTCACATTGGTCGGGGCGGACCCAAGTGCTAATAGAGGCAATCCTAACTCGACGCGATCAGGTGTGCGGCGTTTCCATCATCCGTGCTGGAAGCACAATGGAGAACAGCCTGCGACAGGTGGTCAAGGACATTCCTCTGGGCAAGGTCTTGATCCAGACCGATCCGTCGACGGGCGAACCGCAGCTCCACTTTTGCAAGCTTCCAGACGACATCACCGAGCGAACTGTCCTTGTCACCGATGCGACGATCGCCACAGGCGCAGCCGCGCTGATGGCCATCCGTGTACTGCTGGATCACAACGTGCCTGAGGAGCAGATCATTTTCATGTCGCTGATCACGGCGCCGCAGGGTGTGATTGCCATCCACCAAGCATTCCCCAAGGTCAAGGTGGTCGTCAGCGAGGTGGACCAGGGTCTCACCGAGGACTACTACATTGAGCCTGGATGCGGCAACTTTGCTGGTGAGTCCTGGCCCGTCGCTTGAGGGTGTACGGACCGACACTCAGACAAGACGAGCGTGGGACAAAGCGCTCCCGGCAGTGGCAAGGATCGATGCTGTACTTGGTGGCATGGGTCTTATTCTAACCATAATCAATTGCTGTATGGATACAGATCGATATTTTGGAACCTCTAGCGACTAGACACCATGATAGGTCTCCCCACAGGCAAATGCCAATGATTGAGATACAGGATTATGTTGGCGTAAGGAAAACCTGATGCCGATTCCTTCGTTTATCCTTCGACAACAACTCGCGCTGTGCAGTAGTAGCCTGAAACGAGCCGTCCCGAAAACAGCTAGTTGACACGGGTGGCTGTGGAGACGCCCTATGATCATATATACGATTGCGCTCAAATACTCGAGTGGATTGAGATGTCGTATCACCACTCGGTCTGTTGCGTCAGCTTGTGCTTCGGTGTGCTTGAGGTTGGAGGGTTGTTCTTATCAGAGGGTGCTGTCTGGAGCAAATGGCTGCGATCCTTTGTCAGCCCTGTGATTCATATGGTCAACGTCCCATCGAATCAACTCCCGTATGTGGCTCTGCACCTCGTTCAGAAACAATGGGCACATCGTCCCGTTCCGATAAAGCATGGCGTAGTTCGATCATACCATGCATTTGGCCAACAATAACCCAGTGGGTCGAATGATCTCCATCAGTATCGTTCATGGGTCAGTCAAAGCGTCCAGTACCCATCGACCAGTTACCTCGGCGAGTCCATCGCAGCCGTGCGTGCGCCGATCAACACGATTCAATGCCCACACGCAATCTGCGTGTCCATGTCCCAATCGGCAGATCGGCAAAACCGGGCTGAGCCCCCGAGCGCTCCCGGTTGTTCCGCGGACTGAAAGGCGGCGATGGGCGTTGTCTGGCTCGAAACCTCTTCTCGCTCCGATCGCTCCTCCTGCCACGGCCAACATGGCTTCGTTCCGGTTTTGCTCAGAATGGTTGGATACTGCAGCATGCGCTACACTGGTTGCTCATACCGCTATTGGAGGGCAGGCGGTGCTCTGTCGGTTGGGCTCCTGGATCTTCAAGCAACGCCGGCTGGGGCAGAGATCGCAAGAAATGCCTTGGGTGCCCGATACTGCGATCGCCCGACACAGCTTCCACGCAGGCCCCCTTCTCCAGCCCGCTCGGACTGCTGCTGACCCACTCCCAGCCTGACACCGATCCGCTGCTGACCGGCTCGTTGTCCACAGCAACAACATGCTATACCCGAAGGAGGATCACCACAACCGCATCCTCCTCTTTGCCTGCCGCAATTGCAACCATGAAGAGGGCGGCGACAATCCGTGTGTCTATCGCCATGTCCTGTCCAACACGGCCATGTAGGCATCCCGCCCGAGAAGTAGCTGTGGGCGGTGGCCTCATTGTATTTGCCGGCTATGGGCCTGCATCTCTGGACGTGAATCTCTGGACCTGCCTCTCTGGGATCTCCGGGGGCCTGTATATGCACTTCAAGCTGCATGCAGCCTGAGCCCAAGAATAGGAGGCACGACTCTCGGAGCGGATTATCATCGAGACCGGCATACTCACCATCTATCTACTTGGATTGGACCCACAGGGACCTGACGATGCAGCACGCCGATCTCTACAACGACCCCACCTATCCCCGTGCCAACAAGACTTGCCCGCAGTGCGGATACAACCAGGCTGTCTTTTTCATGTCTCGGGCAAAGCGAGCTGATGTGTCCATGAAGGTAAGGCTCATTGGCGATCGGGGTAGAGCACTGCCGCCACAAATGGGTGAATCTGGACAGATCGTGGCTGCGTCTTCTTTGGCCGACGTCTTGGCTAACTGAACTCGGTGCGATCGCCTGTTTGTTCTGGCGCTGTGTGCTGCTCCTCAGCTGTACTTTGCATGCTGCAGTCCCGACTGCGGCCATCGCTGGACCGACGTCACAGGCGGTGCAAAATGAACAGGACACGCCGGATGCATGTTTGGTGGGGATATGTTTCGGCGTGTGTTCAATACACGATCCACCGCCTGCAATGGGTGTATATTGCACGATTCAATGCCCAGCACAGCGGCGCAAATCGGGGACGCTGGACTCACTGTGGCGCAGGGTCCGGCGCTCACATGACCGCGGCGGTGCTTGGTCGTTCTCCTCGCCATCACCTTCATTCGAGCTGCCCTCTCCAGCCATCTTCGCCAGCCATCTCCCCAGCCGTTGCGCATCAGACAGCCCGAGCCCACCATGGCAGACAGCGACTCCCTCGCCCGGACATCGAGGATATTCTTGCAGGCTCTGATTTCGTCGCCATTCATCAACGACAGTCGGATCAAGCACATACACCGAATCGCCTGTGAGCGAGGCGGGTACTCGCCGGACTCGTGGACCAACTTTCTGCACCATGTCGCCGAGCAGCTCTTGATTGTGGATATGGCGCTCAAGTCGGTGCAGAACCCGTTGACGGGCGAGGTCTTCTGGGCTCTGGTACGCTTCTTGGATCAGCTGGACTCGAGCATATGAGCGCCAGAGGCATCCGATCCAACATCGATCGCGGCGAGGCCCGTTGCAACGGCAGATCCGCTCTGCTTCGGTCTCCAGCTGCAGCTTCCTCCAGAGCCGATCGATTCATGGCACACAGCTAACTGAGTCGGGTTGTCGATGGATTCACAGACGAACATCAACGGTGACGACATTGCCGAAATGGCTACCGACCTGACATTTGCGGAAGTCTCCTTCTTCAAGCACATGGTATGGGGCAGCCTTGGCTGGAGATCCCAGGCATCTTGGTCGTTGCTATCGCATGTATGGTTGCTGCCATACACCCGACCCAATCCTGTGTCTCCACTAAAGCTCTGGCTGACAGTCCATCAGTGCGATCGGGCCTTGACTGACATTCGCTTCGACCCCGCTCAGGTCGAGCAGATCATGGTTACCGAAGACGAGACCTTTGAGGTATCATCGATGAAATGCCTCGCCGACTGCACACGACTGAAGCATCCGATTGCAAAGAAGGAGGCGCAGCGCTTGCTCGACAGCTGGGTCGAGCAAGGCTGGCTCCAACTCAAGTAAGACGACTGTGCTGGAGGAGCAGAGGACTCGACCCGGCTCGCCATGGACAGATACATTCGCCTGGTTGGACACACAGCTCATGCCTCTACCCTGACCGACACTATCAATTTCATCGCACCGTTCGATCGGATTGTCCTGTTGGACTCTTGCTGATCGGCCTGCATCGATAGCAACGGCCGCTATTCGCTTGGTCTGCGGTCGCTGATGGAGCTCGAGAGCTATCTCAAGGCCGAGTTTCGAGATTATGTTGCGGAGTGCTTCTTTTGTAAAAAGATTGCAACGATCCAGGTGAGGCCACTCTCGTGCAGCAACGCTGCCTGGCAGGGCCTCGATGATGGGATGCTGACAAGTTTGCACCGCAACTCGCATGCTGAACCAGGTCGAGCATTGCTCGACCGAGGGCTGCAATCTCCGTGGCCATGCAATCTGCTGCGAGCGATACTACACAAGACGGGCCGAGAAGCAGTGTCCGGAATGCAATTCGCCTTGGCGCCCTGTCGCAGCGACGCCATCGACGGTGTCGGCCTCTGGCCCAGTCCGGTCGCAGCGACAGCGCCGTCAGGACGACCGAGACGGCGACGAGGAGGACGAGATCATCGGCGAATCTCAAGCTGTAGACTATGCTGAGACACGGCGCTCAAAGCGAGCGAAGCCGCTCCCATCGAAATTCGTCAAGGACGAGAATGGCGACGATGAAGATGGCGGTTCCGACGCCGAGGGCAGCCAGCATGCGAATCGAACCGATGCCTCGAACGACGAGGATGCGGGCCCGTCTCGACGGGACCCGATGGCCTATCGCAACTATGGCTCTCGTCCAAGCCGGCGCATCGACAATTCGCAGCGGTAGTCGCGCTGAAGCCGTATCGCATCGGCACCACAGCTGGATCAACTGTAACAGCCCATCGAGGGAAATGGTGCAACAATGCGCTCTGAGCTGCTCCAGGGCCCAGCGCTGATGCCATTGCCACCCGGCTTTCAATAAAAAATAGGCGATCCCAGCGATCTGAGCGATGCGAGCAACACAATGCAGGGCTGAGAGGCCAAGCACCCTTTCCCAAACAGGAAAGATTGTGGCCCAAACGAGATTGCTTTCCGTCTTGGTGTGCTGCGCATGGCGCTGATCACTTTTCTGCCCTGTCCAACCAGCACGTCCTCGCTTGCTGCTCCTCTGGGCAGGGCATTCTGCCGTCATCTGTGCTCGCTCGCTCGCTCGCGAATCCTGGTATTGCCAGCGACAGTCTTCGGCCGCACAGCGCTCGGCCTGCACTGACATCCCACACATAGAGAGCGGGCCGAATTGACTGCGGCACACAACGCATCCCCAATAGCCTCCGTGCCGTCATCCGCCGCCCGCTTTTGATCCAGCCGTGCTTGCGCTTCATCTTTCCTGGAGGCATTGCCATACCATGAGCGACGGTCTGTGGCTTCGGGTGAGCGAAGCTCACGAAAAACATACGAGATCGCCTTCGATCGACCAGCTTCGCAATGGTAATGCTTCGTGTGCCAATGTCTGGTGTCTCCGCCGGATGCTGACGGCAAGAGCCTTGCTTCCGGACCCATCGCCAGTGAAGATGTGGGCAATCGCTGCGATGCTGACGGAATCCCTTCTGCTCTTCGAATCGCCTTTGGGCAGAGTTTATTGCTCTCACTTGCCAGTATTGGGCTGAATGTCTCGACCCGGACCGGCACATCTTGCATACCACTCCGGACATGTCGGTCGAGATCCTCGCTCTGTTCACCTTTCCCGAAAACAAGCACATCGACATCCCAAAGGACATCATCCGCAAGCAGATCTCCTCGTGTCTCCCGTGTATGGAGTCGTACCATGCGGCGAAGCAGTCCTTTGCAGGAAAATATGGCTCGATCTACTCGCCGGCGGCCCTCATGGCCTTTTCACAAGCCCTGGATCGATGGGACCTGTCTCGACTGGCCGAGAGTCTAACCAAGTATGGGCCGCTGGCTGTCTCAGGATCTCGTCTGTCGATTTCGCCTCGAGTCATCTATCGCACGGAAATCATCACGAGCGCCATCGTTCAGGGTTGCGCCTGTTCGTTCTGCCCCCGACCATCATCTCCGCGTGCCAGAGCCAATGTCCTCTGCCATTCCGGCTCATTCTCCATATCACTCCGTCTTTCTCTTTCCCTGGTATCCCACCGCGGCGGCTCTGCGTCTAGGTTTATTGACGAAGTCTCCAAGGACCCGACTCAAACCAAAGCCGTTCGACAGAAGAGCATCTTTGTGTTTCTGGAGCTCTTGGACCATCCAGGTTCGGCAGCGACGAGGACGCACTCTCTGGACCCCAAACATGATCGCAATGCATGGGCAGGGTGATATGTTGGGGGAGGGGAGGATTCATTTATCGAGAGCCATGTTACAGCCTGTTATCTTACGCCTCCTTCGCTGTGGTGCCATTCGTCGGGCAGAGCTGCTTCGATTCTCGTCGATCGGCCATTTATTCGCTCAGCTCGTATTGAAGACCCAAGCCAACTCCACCCTGACTCTGCGAGAGCGACTGCTTCCAGGTACCGTCGATGCAAACCTGCTGTTCCGTGATCGTTCTCCCGAGGGACCAGGTGGCTCCGGTCCAACCAGCTTGGACGCTAAATCTCGGCCGGCTCTGTTCAGGCATCCTGGTGTTGGCCATCCACCGCAATCCGGATATTCGGTCGTGGATCTTGAAGGTGATAGCAAAGGCAGCTATTAAAGTCGATGTCTCAGATGTCAAGGTTCTCGAGCCTGCCTTCCGGATCTTCTTCTCGCCGGTCATCAGCTTCCCCGCAGCATCGGAATACCTGGTGCATTCGAACAAGGGCGAGGTGTGGAAACCTCTGGCCGAGCTGTTGAGGCTATTCACACCTGCGGCTCTCGACGAGGGCCTGCTGATACCTTTCCCGGAGCTGGATCGTTTCTGCTGCAACGCCCTTCTTGATCTCGATGGAGGCCCATTTTGGGGGATCTTTCTATCCTTTGCACGGATGCTCAGCCTCAGCCAGCGAGGTTTCTGGCGCCGACCATCGTTCGACGTATCGCCCGCCGCTGTCTTCCGGCGGATTACAAGCCACCCAGACTTTGTTGCGTATCTGAAGACTCCCGCCAAAGACACGAATGAGGCGGCCTCGGAGTCTGCCTTCCGAGCCAATCTGGAATGGGTTGCGGCCCTTGTGGACCAGTCCTCTCTGGCCTCACGCTTGAGCCTGTTGGAAGAAATGCCAGCATTCCTCTACGGATACCACGACTGGACGCCGGCGGCTCGCAGGGCCTTCTCTCCACTCGCCGCTTCGATTTGGACGAGGCTTATACAATCGCATCAGCGGGGCGCGGTTCATGATAGGATCCTGTCGGCCCTGTGTCCGGTTCTTGTCGATTTCCCGGTCCCGGCTTCGATACGACCGGGCCTCATTCAACACATCCAAGACTGCTGGATGGCACATGCCCATCGAGTCGTGTCCGCCATGGATCAGCTCTGCCAAGCCGAATCGGCCACGATCGGTGAAGGAGCCATGCCCGACATGCTAATGGCGTCCTGGATCGTCGTCGTTGGGAAGATGGAGCCTTATCTGCAACGGGTCGTGCTCGATGTCATCCTCAGCCAAGGCGTGGTGGTGCTGTGCCCGATCGATCTCGGGGGGCTCTCGCCTGATCTGCACCCAGACATGGTGGCCGAGCTCAACGAGGTGAACAACTGGGTCTCGGATCTGCATTCTATCGTCTCTACGATCCTGGCGTCGCGCCTGGCTCAGCCAGAGACCGTCAAGATGCTGGCCGACATGCTCCAAACAAACATCATCAAGCTTGTTGTTTCTGGATCGCCCGAGGTCTCGGTACTGGCAACCAAGGTGCTTCTGAAAGTAACGGGCTGCTCCAGGTACGACTTGGCTTGCAATTGGCACGATCCCCCTCCCTTCACCAAACCCAGGCTTCTGCCAGAGACCAAGGTCTGATCGCCATAACGCATTCCTGTTTCCAGCCTCGAGGACGCCATTGCAAAGTACATCCGCGACGACCCCGATGTCTTTTTAGCAACAATGGACTCGACGCGGGATCAGATCATGGTGCATCTCATCGATGTACACTCGAACGACTCCGTGCTGGTTCTGCGCAAAATCATGCTGGTGTTCCTGCAGTTCCAAAAGTTCGCTCTTGGTCGGACAGGTGCATCAGGCTACATCTCGTTCGTGTGCCAGAGCAGTTGGCCGCTGGTCTGCAAGGCCCTATCGTCGGCCACTCAGTTGGCCAAACTCCCCAGCACCAACCCAGACGAGGTCATTGCGCTCCTGGCCTTGACTTTCGAGCACGTGCGGTCTCTGTTTAGCGACCGTGTGCTCTCGACAATCACGGACTCGAGCCAGTACCAGAGCTCATTTGAAGATACGGTGGAGCTGACGATCAAGTGGCTGCGAGCTTTTGACGAAGCGACAAAGAATCGCGCCTTTGAGACGCTCATGGTGTAAGTGACGGTGAAAGCAGCCCATCATTCATCATTTGCACGAACACATGTTCTCCGATCTACTCGAATACCAAGCTCCAGCCGCCTTGGTTTGCCTGCGGTGCTGGGTCGTTGCTGATTCATCTGAGTTATTGCATCCGCTCTTCCATGAAGGCTCTTGAGAAGAGCGCCTGATGTGCGCCTGCTGATTCCCAAGCGGTTGATCGATCTGATCTCGGCCTATGCCTATCAAGTACGCAAGTCGCAGCTTACAGAGCGCGAGCGCGAAGAGCTCATGCGATGGATCGATGACTACCAGATCAAGCACATCAACACTGCGATGGAGAACTTTTTCGACGATGACGAAATCATGCACTGGCTGGACCAGAATCCAGACATGGGGATCCCCTCCGGAAGCGGGGGAGCCACTCCGGTAGAGCTCGGCAGCCCCATCAGCGACGAAGTGAAAGTGGAGTCATCGATACCTGCCCCGAGGAAGAGCCTCGGCTTCGAAGGTCGCGTGATTGTCTTGGACGATGTCGAGCCGATAAAGTCTCCGCCTGTGGTGAACCTTGCTTCTCCAAAGTCGCCGTCTTCGAAAGAGATCGGCTCGTCCTCTCGGAACGCCTGGCCTAAGAGCAAGCAGTCACCTCAGAATCGCGTCCAGAAGATCCTTGTCCCCGACAGGGCTGTTGTGGACCTTACAAGCACCTCCAAGTCATCGGTGATGCAGTCTCGTGCGACAGCAGCAAAGCCTGTGGAGCCCGCGGCAAAGTCTCCGCTACCAATACACCGAGCAGCCGTTTCTCCGGGATCAGGCAGCCTATTCCAGAATCTGGCAAAGTCGAGCCAGGTAGCGCCCAATATCATCCTGAAGAAGCCTATGGTCGCCAAACCAGCCCTTCCGAAGCCCTCTGCAAACTTGTCCAAGCTTCAGCAGCTCCGAAAGGAGATCATTGCCAGCGAGTCGAGAACGGGGGCATTCGTACCGAATCGTGGTCAGCCTCGCCGTCCCCCTGTCATCGGCTCGGCACCCCTGCGACCCGCGCGCGTGGCTCCCGAAAATCGAAGTGGAATGGTCCTTGGCGGCTCCGATTCCGAAGACGACAGCGGTCTGCGCGATCTCGCAGCAGATCTTGTTCCGAAAACGGGGTCCGTTCAGAAGCGCTCGATTCAGATGCTGGACTATGGCGTTGGCGTCTCGGGAAAGCGGCCCCGCGGCCGCTTGATCAACGAGCCCACGACTGCCAAGGACGAGCCTCTGCGTGACATCAACCAGCTCCATCGACTCATCCTTGAGTGGAGTTTGAACCTCTCTGATGAAATCCCTCCGAACTTCAAGTTCAACTTGACCAACGTTCCCAGCACTTTCCGCAACGTCGAAGAGTACGCCGCGACTTTTGAGCCGCTACTCGTGCTAGAATGCTGGCAGAAGCTGATGAAGGCCAAAGAGGAGCTGAACATGGACGATACCACGGAGCTCACTATCAAGGGTGTCCAGGCAATCAACGACTTTCATGGTAAGCTGAATGCGTGAATGCGTGAATGCGTGAATGCGTGAATGCGTGAATGCGTGAATGCGCTGCTCGACTTCGACATCCGCCAATGACCCTGACCCACGAGCTGTGAAATCGCAGACATATCGTTCGCTATCTCGTCGGATATGGCTCGTCAGCGCGACCTTTCCGAGTCCGATCTCATCCAAATCTCCGAAAGCCGGGCCGCTGATGGTGGCCAAATCGCGATTCTGGGCATCATCCGCTCGATGCAGTTCAGAAAGAACGAATGCAGCCTCGTTTGTCGCGTGTACCTTGCCAAGCGCTACAACTATATTCCAAGAATGAACGTCGGCTCGGTTTGGAGGGCCCTCAGAATCTTTGCCTTGACCCCGGTCGAGCGCGAGTATGCGGCCATGATTCTGCTGTCGTCATGCTCGCTTCTCCCTCAGATTCTCCAGCCTCAAAAGGCACCCAAGCCGACGTTTTCTCGAGGGCAAGTGGATGACATCATCAAGACGTACAACGTCAATCCTCCACAGGCCGAAGCAATCTTGGCTGCCCAACACCAAACCACAGGCTTCACACTGATTCAAGGTGGCTGGCTGGCTTGGCTGTCGCTGTGTGTGCGGGTTCGACGGACTGTGCGGGTTTCCTTTGCACGCAGCATGTGATGGACACAGCACTAAACTGGCTATGGTTGTATTCGCAACAACAGGTCCACCCGGAACAGGTACATTCGTCGCTGAGAAACAGTCTCCAACGTGTCGATGTGCATGATATACATTTGACGAGCTGCCTTGTGTTGCATCTAACAAGCATCGCTCTGCCTATCTGACCTGCAGGCAAGACCCAGACCATCCTTGGAATCATCGCCTCGCTTCTCAGTCCAAAGAATGTGATCGCAGTTCCAGTGGCAGATCGCAGCAAGTCAGTCGAGGCATCGTCCACAAAGGCAACAGCCAACAAGCGCAGGCTTCTCTGCTGTGCGCCATCCAATGCTGCCTGTGATGAAATCGTCCGCAGAGTCAAGACGGGCATCCCCCTTGGCAATGGCACGATATTTCGACCCAAGGTTGTGCGAATCGGAAAACCTGAGGTGATCCACGAGGTCGCCAAGGAGGTCTCCCTGGTAAGCAATGAGGCTGTGGTGCCGTTTTGAGTAGCGTGGTCCTGCTGCGCCGTGCGGTGATAAACGGGCTCTGCGATACACACTGCGCGCTTGCTGAAGCCAAATTGCATTCATTGCAGGATACCCTCGTAGAAAAGCAGCTGAAAGGTCAGGATGTCAAGGCCGAGTACGACCTTACCCAAGACGAGTCCTTGGCTCAGAAAGAAAGCATTCTTCGTGAAAAGATCAGGGCCCTGAGCGACAAGCGAGACGCACAGCGACGGGAAATGAGCGAGTCCCGAGGAGACGGATCGGACCAAACAGTCAGGGAAATGTCGCAGAAGATCCAGGAAATTGGGCGAGAACTTGATGCCATCCGAAGCCAGCGTCAGAATGCGATCAAAAACATGGACCAGGCGCGGCACCGTGCCCGAGCGAAGGTCGTCTGGGACGCAGATGTCGTGTGAGTTTCGGCGATGTATTTGTTCGCGCCGCTCCTGCAGCATTCTACTCTATCGACGAGCAGTGCCGCCACAGCGCCCGAGATGGGATGGGATGGGATGGGATGGGATGGGGTGCCGCCCTCCTTCCTCGGGCCATCTGGGCATCTGGGACTTTTTTCTCAACCCACCTCTGTCACTTCGTTCAGGTTCTGCACTCTCACTTCGGCCGGCCATGAGCTTCTGGGGTCAATCCAAGATCTTGTATTCCCGACGGTTGGTGATCTCGCTCGCCGATGGCGCCTGGTTACCATGTCCTCCTAATGACTCCAAATATTCTCCTAACACACGTGCCTCAGGTTATCATTGACGAGGCGTGCCAATCTGTAGAACTCCAGACGCTCATCCCGCTTCGGTTTGGGGTCCGAAAATGCATCATGGTTGGAGGTGGGTGCCGCAGTGACTCCTCGAGCTCTGCCCCGACTTTTTGCAGTGGCATCCCTCGGCCACGCACCGATCGCTGAACGTGAATGTTGCACTAACATGGATCTGCCGACACAGATCCCAACCAACTGCCCCCTACGGTCGTGTCGCAGGTCGCGCAGAGCTATTCATACGAGCGGTCTCTCTTCCAGAGAATCATGGAGTGCTCACGAGACTCTGTTCACTTGCTCAGGTAATGATCCTATTTAGCTGGCTACGAGTGCGTCTGTGAGCGGCGGACACGATGGCGATGCTGATCTGCAGTCATTGACCGTGCGCGCCTCGCAGCATCCAATATCGCATGCACCCAGAGATATCGGCATTCCCGAGTCTGTTTTTCTACGACTCGGCGCTCAAGGACGCCGATGGCATGGCTGAGAAGTGCTCGGCCCCATGGCACACAAACCCGAGCTTTCCGCCATACTGTTTCATGGATGTGCACAGCGGCCGCGAAGAGCAAAGCCGTGGATTCTCACTGTTCAACATGGAGGAAGTTGGCGTTTGCGTCAATCTTGTTGATTACCTCTGCCGCTCATACCCAAAGCTGAAGGTGAGTGACCACATGCACCACGGGTTCGTTCGTGCAAATCGGTCTGCTGAGGTCACTGTCGAGTCACGACCTTCCCTAATCTCACCCGGCGATCTGCATCATGTCCACACGATATTATCCAGTTTGCTGGGAAAATCGGCGGTGAGTCCAACGCCAAGGTGGCCTCGCTGCAGGCGCTCCATAAGGTTGCGGATGTGCCTTTGCCAACAGACCGAAGCACTGACATCTAGATGAACCCCCCCTTCTCAGTTATCACCCCATACAAGCGACAGATGCGAGAATTGAGATCAGAATTCATGCGACGATTTGGCTCGGCCGTTCTAAAGTACATTGATGTCAACACGGTGAGTAGCTGGGATCCCTGTTGATGGCGTGGTCTCTTGACCGACTGTCTGACCCGAGCATTGCCCATGGCCATTAGATCGATGGGTTCCAGGGCCAAGAGAAGGAAATCATCGTCCTTTCCTGCGTCCGAGCGAGTCAAGGTAAGCCATCCCGTGCGCAAAACGAACCTCTGTGCTGGCTCACAGCATCTGACAAGCCCAATTGCGTGTACATCTATCCAGACAAGGGAATCGGCTTCCTGGGAGACGTCCGCCGCATGGTAAGTGAATCGCCCAGCAGCATGTGCCTGCGTAGACCGCATTGAGTTCACTGACACCACAATTCTTGTTCAGAACGTTGCATTTACTCGTGCGCAAAAGTCACTCTTCATCGTTGGCAATTCGGAATCACTGCTTGGCAATCCAACATGGAAAGCCCTCGTGGTGGATGCAGAGCGCCGCAAAGTGTCGTTCAAGGTCAGTTGGTGATGCGCAAGCGCAAGAATATCAGGGTGGATACAACTAGGAAACTGGCCCCTCCTCCATATTAACGATATCGTCGGCGATACCCACGCCGTCACAGGTCAGCCGCAGCAGCTTCCCGCTGAGCGGACCCATGTCGACCAATTTGGTTGATGCTTCTGCAGCATCTGCGCCGAGGGCCAGCACTTCAAACAAACCTCGCAACCAGGGCCACCGAGACGACAGCCGCCAGAAGGCGCCCCCGAAGGTTGTGAAGGCAAGCACGGCTGGCCAAGGCAGCAAAGATGGCGCAGGATCACGACCAAGTCATCGTGGCGACAGCTCGGTCTCGGGCGAAAGGTCAACCCCCGCAGCGCCGCCGCAAAGTGCCGACCGGCTCGAGGAGCGAAAGAAGCGTGCGCCCAAAGCAGAAGACCAAGGAGCACCGAGCCGCAAGGGCCAGCCCAGCAGCGATCAGCCGGAGAGCCGGGGATCGAGCAGGCCAAGAGAGCGAGGACTCAACGAAGGCAAGCAGGCGGAGCGCGAGAAAGCGCCGTCCAGGGAAAGCGACTCAACCAAGGAACGCAGCCGTTTGGGCGATCGTCCTCGAGAAACAGGCGGCGGGCCCTCTGGAAATCGCTCTGACAGCCACGCAAGGCGCCCGGATGACGCTCGGAGCCATACCACCGACCGCTCTCGGGAGCCGAGCCGCAACAGCGATCGCGACAGAAGCAAATTCGGGGACCGAGATTCATCCCATCGGCCCAGCAGCGATCCAGCCCGAGCCCATACGAGCCCGTCAGAAGGATCCGCGGCCCGGCCTGCAAACGACAAGAGAAAGATATCCGACCGGCTTGGTGAACCAGTGCCGCCCAAGGAGTGGCACAAGAAGCCGAAGCACAGGTGATTTCGGGGCTGTGGCGGGTGTCCCCAAGGAGATCAACACCGATGGCGTGCCCAGTGGGCCATTCACTGCAAATACAAGCCGGATGCGTCCGCTGTAAAGGGGCAGTCTTGTTGCAAGCAGCGCCAGCTGCAGCACAAACAGGCCGGTCGATTCGTCGGCCGGACCCTTGTCGCTGCTGCAGAAGCACCTGGGCCACAGGCAGGGTTTGATGTTCGCACTTTCAGTACAGAGCGAGCGGGTGGGCGGCCAGCGTTGAGCTGGAATCGCTGCTCCATGAGAAGTGCGGTCGGGACCAGGCTGATCGCAGCGCGGATCAGGGCCATGCTGAGGACACGTTTCTCCGACAAACAGCGGAACCTCACGATCTCGCAGCGTCCCAGCGGCAGCGACACGGGCTCGCTGGGAGGATCCGAGATCGCGAGATCCCGACAGACATCGAAGATCGGATGGGCCAGGCCGCGATCTGATTTGGCGACGCCGCGCGCAGGCGTTGATCACGTGAGTCGGTGCTGCGCCACGGTCTGTCCAGGCTGCCCAACTCGGTTCGGGCAGAGCACTGCAGCAAGAGCCGTGGCGGTGGTGGTGGGGGAGCTGCGTCCGATCTGATCTCAAACCTGCCGATCGGGAATGGTCCTGGCGGCGTTGGCTCCCCCACCCTCGACAGAGCATCACATCCCCGCCAGGGCATTCAAGCCCCAGCGACTCTCTATCCTCATCGATTCGCCAGCTGTCCCCGTCGCTCATATCGACGGATCGACTTGCAATCGCAGCCCAGCAGCCAGCGCATCGGCACCCCCAAGTCTCCTCATACGCATTTGTCCATGTTCGTCCAGCGCAGCCGCCCGTGGGTCTGGGCCTTTCTCGCCCCGCTCCTCTGTCTGTTTCTTTCCGGTCACGCAGCAAGTCTCAGCAGCCCCAGTTTCGACCTGGCGCCGAAAAACATCGTCATCGTGTCCGTGCCTGCATCCGGGCATGCCAATCCCTTGGTCGTCCTCGCCTATGAGCTTGCAGACCGCGGCCACAACGTAACCTTTGTCACCAGCGTCAGCTACAATATCCTCGAATATGCCCGCAACTCGACCATCCACTTCCACCGCTTTGTGGAATCCCTCCCGTTCAGCGAAAACATCAACGAGGTTGCCAAACTCCAATCAACGGACGGAGGGTTTGTCACCAGAGTCATGGCACACACGAAGGCTGTCGGGCTCGCTGCCCGGGTGATGACTCCGTACCAGTATGATATCATCAAGGAAGTTGTGACAACCGTCAAGCCCGGCACAGTCGACTTGATCATTGGCGATGTCTTTTCGGCACAGGTAAGGCGGCAGGGACTGGTTTTGTTGTGCTTGCCGCTCCATCGTCGACCCTGAACGTCTCCATCACGGCATTCATCCTGTCCTCGGCTTGCCTACTAACCCAGGCAGCAGATATCCTCAGCCAAGTGCTCGGAACCTTGTGTATCTGCCACTATTTTTCGATCACCACGACTTACTACAATCCCCGCAATGTGTTTGTCGAGAACCTCTACTTGACTATATACGACGGCGGCGCCGATCCTGTCATGACGACAATGTCGGTTCTGAAGCGTCTTCCGGGAAAGGCATTCTTGCAGTTTGTCAGTGGCCTTCGGCTGAAGGCCCGTCGTCAGCTCTACGAGAAAGCAAAGGCCGAGCTCGCCCAGTATCTGCCTGCGACCGAGAAGCCGGCCCAGCCCATTATCAGTCTCGTCAGCAATGCCTGGGGATTCCATCCCGCACAGCTCGCTGTCCCAAGCACACGCATGGCCGGCATCTGGGTTCCTGAGGCACAGAGCCTGGATGTTCAGCCCGACCTGAAGCACTGGCTCGACGGCGCCAGCCGCCCTGTAGTCTACGTCTCGACCGGCACTGTCGCCCACCCCTCGAACGAGACGCTGCTGGCATTCTACGAGGCATTCAGTGCCGCGACCGAGTTCCAGACCCTGTGGTCGCTCAAGAAGGTGTTCCAGAACAACCTGAGGGAACTGCTCGGCGACCAGGAGTGGCCCGAACATGTCCGGATCGAGAGCTTCGTGCCGCAGCTTGCCGTGCTTGACCACCCCGCAGTCCAGATCTTTTTCACCCACGGCGGCTGGAACAGCGTCTCCGAGGGTCTCTGGACGGGCACGCCGATGCTTGGAATGCCATTCTTTGGTGGGTATGCCAGCATTGGCACGGAGGTAATCTGAACAGATGGTGCGGGACCAACTGCATACGACGCCGCTGCTAACACTCCGCTTCATCCATCACAGGCGACCAAACTTACAATGTGGCTCAAACGGTTCGTCTTGGCCTCGGCCTCATGATTGACAAGAACATCATGAGCTCACCCGACAAGGCTGCCACGATCCAGTTGATCCAGGACAAGCTCCACACCATCCTGCGCGACCCATCCTTCTCAAGCCGCTCCAAACACTTCCAAAAGACATTCCAGGTCATGGGCGGCGTCAAGAAGGGCGCCAACATTGTTGAGGAGATCCTGGCCATCGGCGATACCACTGTCTACAGCTTCCCCGACAACACCAACGCCGTCATGGCGGCCATGGCCATCCTCGGACTGGTCGGTGCTGCCGTGACTTTCGGGATCTACCGACTGGGCGCCTGGGGACTCGGACGACTGCTCAAGAAGCGCACGCCATCGGCCAAGGCCAAGGCCGAGTGAAACCGAGTGAACCCAAGTGAGGCTGAGTGGGACCGACCTCTCAAGTGCCCGAGCAGGCCACTAACCCTTGACCGCTCCGGCCCAGATCCTTTGCCTCTGAGCAATAAAATACACAGTCCACAGCCAGGTGATGCTCTGATGAGCAACTGCACAAAGTTGGCCAGAGAGCGCTGGGCCCCTGGATCATGATGCGGATGATTTGTCCGTTTGGGACTTGCTCATGTACAGAGATAGCGCCATACCTGTCTCGTTCGCCACCGACTTGGCCTCCATCCCACCAGCATCGACAGAGACCCCGCGTCGTCGGAGGCTCCTGCCCCCGAGCCTCGTCGTTGGCGAACCCGCCAGACCCTCTGCATCGCAATGATACGCTCGGTGTGCCTCGCCCAGGCAGTTCGTTCTCCGTGATGCATGTGAATTCATCCATCACGTGTGTCCGTCGCCACGTGAATTGGCATGCCTTGCGGAATCATCCGGCATCTTTTATAGTGATCCTTCGCCCCCGCAACCCAGCCGCTTTCTGCAACCAGGACGGTCTCCAACATCGCCCGTCGCGCATTATCGATTGACAGCATTGCGTTTGATCGAAAGCTCCCAAAGCCCCCCCCCACTACAACAGAACCCCCCCCCCCACCAGCCCTCGCCGTCGCTGAACCGCCATGTCTGCTCAATCCGTCTTCACGCGTCAGGACGTCGCTGCCCACAACAGTGCCTCGTCCGCCTGGATCGTCATCGACTCGCTCGTCTACGACATCACAAAGTTTGCTGCAATCCACCCTGGTGGAGAGGGGATTTTGCTGGCTCTGGCCGGAAAGGACGTGACAGGTCTGTGCCGTCGCCATGATCCGCCCCTGTCACCGCGCCAGTGCTGACGAGGGTCGGTCGGTCGGTCGGTTGGTTGGTCGGTCGGTCGGTTGGTCGGTCGGTCGGCTCCAACATGCTCCCGGGGATTGCATGCTCCGTTGCTGACAATCGCCGTCGATTCAGATGACTTCTTTGCTCTGCACAAGGTTTCGGTGTTGCAGAAGTATGGCCCCAAGGTAGGCATCACGCAAAGCCCATGTCCACACATATGCGTCGTGACAGTGGAGCTGGACTCACCAGTGTTGCTTTCCGTTGTGCCCAGCTCATCGTCGGCAAGATTGCCGACAGCGAGTACTCGGCGATCCTGGAGATGGTAAGACCCATCGATCTTGTGTCTTCATCAAATCGGCTGCTGCATCTGCGATCATGGCGAAGCACTGACGGAGCCGCTCTTGGGAACCATGTGCGGCGCTCGATTAGGCCAAACCAGGCACTATCAGCAAAGTCCCTTACAGCGAGCCAAGCTATCTTCAGGGCCTCAAGACGCCCTACTACAAGTAAGCATCGCGACCCATTTCATGCTCAGCATGGGCTTCCTGGCTTGTTGTTGTTGGCCCTCTGGCTCGCTCTGATCGCCCGCCTCACTCCGGCTGCAGACCCACCCACGAGGCCTTCCGAGCTGCCGTTCGAAAGTTTGTCGAAGAGGAGCTGATTCCCGATGCACAGACCCTCGATGAGCAAGGAGTAGGTGCAATACGTTGATTCTTGCGGCTCTCATCGCACTTGTGCAGCGGCAGCCTCACGGCCCGGAGACCTGCGTCTGCACCGTCTGCACCGTCTGGCCGTCGTCCAAGTGTCTTCGATTCGGTCTAGCTGACGACCTTGCTTCATTCCCTCCGGCGGCCTACGATTCGGCTCGCAGAAATATCCATCCATCGAAACATTCCGGAAGATGGGCCAGTTTGGGCTCCTCGCCGCCCGCATGGGCCCCGGCCCACATCTGCAGCTCGTCTCTCTCCCCAGCGGCGTTCGCGCCGAAGAGTTTGACTATTTCCACGAAATGATTGCTCACGAAGAAATTGCCCGTCTCGGCTTCCCCGGCTATCTCGACGGTCTCGCGACCGGCATGGTCATTGGCCTGCCGCCCGTCCTGATCTTTGGCGCCAAGAAGCACCCGCAAGTCATTCGGGATGTGCTCTCGGGCAACAAGCGCATTTGTCTTGCCATCACGGAGCCCACCGCCGGCAGCGATGTTGCCCAGATCTCGACGACTGCGGTCAAGTCCCCGTGCGGCAAGTACTATATTGTCAACGGTGTCAAGAAATGGATCACCAACGGTACGTGAAGGCGAGGCTGTGAGCCGGGGACGGGCTTGCAGTCATCGACACTCGTCGACAGTCATCAACAGCATCGGTAGCATCGGCAACCATCGGCAGTCATCGGCAATGGCTCGTTGCTGGTGCTGATGATGTGGGCTCGCAAAGTCTGTGTATGTTTGGCCCGCTTCTGACTGTTCGCTGGCTCATGCTCATGCAGGCGGCTTTAGCGACTACTTTACGACTGCCGTTCGCACTGGCGGTCCCGGCATGTCCGGCATCTCTGTGCTCCTGATTCCCCGCACCGAGGGCGTCGAAACCAAGGCCATCAAGACCTCGTATTCGCCCAGCGCCGGCACCGCCTATGTTGTGTTTGAGAACGTCAAGGTCCCGGTCGAGAACCTGCTCGGCAAGGAGAACCAGGGCTTCCAGGTGATCATGCACAACTTTAACCACGAGCGCTGGTTCATCATCTGCGGCCTCGTTCGCTCGGCCCGCATGTGCATCGAAGAGTCCTTCAAGTGGGCCCACCAGCGCAATGTCTTTGGAAAGAAGCTGATTGAGCAGCCTGTTATCCGCCAAAAGTTTGCTGGAATGGTGAGTGTCTTGAGCCAACCCAAGTGCCCACCAATGGAGGAGACGTGAAGAGGAGTGTGAGCCCTGTGGGGACCGCAAGAGAGCTGGTGGCTTCAGTGCTTGCGGGGTCGATTCCGACGCTCGATTGGGCGGGGAATGCGAGAAACCAGGCACACCACAACCAATCTGCATCTCACCACTGCCCTCACAGTTTGCCCAAGTCGAGGGTCTCCAGAACTGGCTCGAGAACATTACCTTCCAGATGAACCAGATGAGCTACAAGGAACAGAGCGTCAAGCTCGCCGGCCCGATCGCCCTCCTCAAGTTCCAGACCACCCGTGTGTCCACCCACATTTCGGACGAATGCTGCCAGATCTTTGGCGGACGAGCCATCACCAAGACCGGCATGGGAAGCAAGGTCGAGTCCTTCCAAAGGTGCGATAGATAAGCCCAGACTGCCTGCGTGCCTTGCTTCATGAGCCGCGGGGGTGCTCGCATATGCTGTGCTTATCTTGCCGTTCATCCGGGCTCGCGTTCGGATCCGATACTGATCGTGCTTCTCGACTCGTATCTTCGACCTGGCACCCCCGCCCTGCCCTTCACTGTATGCGATCCGAACGGATCGCTTGCTGACGTTGCAGAACCTTCAAATTTGGATCGTAAGTTTGGTTTGGTTGAATGTGTGAGCCAACGCCCCAGGAGAGGAGGGAACCCAGAGTGCCCGAAACAGCACTAACATTTGCGTGCCTGGGTCGTTTCCGATCTTGCAGCATCCTCGGTGGCTCCGAAGAGATCATGGCAGACCTCGGCATCCGACAGGCCATCGTAAGTCTGCTTGGCGATCTTCGTCATCACCCAGTCCGCCAGCTTATCCGTCTGATCCTCTGGAATGCTCATTCACCCCCGCTCTTACTCTGTCGCAGAGGGAAATGCCCGCCTATGCCAAGCTGTAAAGCGGCGATTGATGGCGCGAAACAAATGGCGGCAGCATCCTGGAAGATGCTGTCTCCTCCGGGGTTCAGTCGATGTGTATATCTGCAAATATGCAATGGTGGATGTAGCGTCGCTGGCAACTCCTGCTAACGAGGGTTGTGCGAGTGGATGGCACGCCATATCATAAACGAGCTGCGACTCTCTTCCTTCTCCCTCTTGCATCCCCTCCTCCCGACAAAGCACAATCGGCGGCCCAGCACTGGCGGGCATTGTCCCAGAGCGATCGAGTGCAGATCTTCAATAAATCCACATTATCAAGGGACGCTTGTCCTTGGCGCTGGGGAGCATGGCGGAGGGCGGATAGTGCGACCACCACGATCCAAGCGAACGGTGCCGGATTATGGTGCCCCACGACCCACGGTCGAGAAAGTGTCGGGCAGTGCCGATCTCGGTAAAGTATGAGTCGATTGCTGTATTGAGATCGCTGTTCCAGGGAGAGAAAAAGGGCCAAGCGCAAAATATCCTGTGGCCAACGACATCCGTCATATCATCACCACGCGCGCACCGTCGATGCAGCTGCTCACTGCTGCTTGGCGATCTCGGCAGCCAGCTGAGTCTTGAGCTCCTTGAGCTGAACAAGGTCATCGCCAATGTCGGCCTTGTCAGCCTTCTTCTGGCGGATGGAGTCTCCGGTTTCCTTGATCTTGGCTTCGAGATCGATGATGGCGGGGGTCTTTTCGATGCCAGCAGGGGCCTCGTTGGGCAGGGCGGGGGCCACACTGGCCTTCTTCTTCTTATCAGCGGCCTTCTTGGCGGAAGACGAGGTGGCGGCGGCGTTGGTCTCGCTAGGGACCTGCTTGCCAGCATACTTTTCTCGGAGGGCGCTTTCCTGGTCCTTCTCGATGCGCTTGAAGAGGTATTCGGGAGAGCCAATCGTGTGGCCGGCAAGGATCTCGTCGGCCTGCCAGTCGTCCAGGATCCGGCGAGAGGGGGTGTTGAGCTGTCTAAAGATCGATTCGGAGGTGTCGGGCATGTACGGGTACGCGAGCGAGCCCAGCAGATAAACCAGGTTGGCGGCGACGGCGACGACAGTGTCGCAGCGGCTGCGTGCGTTCAAGAACAGGCTGTTGTCGATCTTGTTGCTCTGGAGATATTCGTTGCCGAGGGCCGAGATGTCCATGAGGACCTTCAGGGCATGGCGGATCTTGACCGACTCCAGAGCTTCGATGTACTCGGCCACTTTCTGGTTGACGCTCTCGATCAGCTTGACCTCGGGAGCCTCCGTTGTCGTGAAAGCAGGAATCACCGAGTCGTACTTTGCGCCAATGAACTTGACCACCCGGTTGACAAAGTTGCCGAAATTGGCCAGCAGCTCGTTGTTGTTGGCCATGGCAAAGGACTCCCAGGTGAACTGCGAGTCGTTGCTCTCGGGCCGGTTGCTGAGGAGATAGTATCGCCAGACAGAGGGTGGGATGCCAGAGTCCATGACGTTGTTGCCAAAGACGCCGACGCCGCGCGACTTTGAGAATTTGCCGCCCTCGTACTGGAGATACTCTGTTTGGCAGAGGAGTTGCGTGCGCAAGGCAGGTCACGGTGGAGGTGAGGTACATCGAGTGAAGAACTCGGCGTCAGTTGATACGACGACCATGCAGGCATGTCAGTGCAGTCACCGATGCCAGCACTCCAGGTCTGTGGCGCGAATGCCGTGTGATGCTGTGTTGCTACTCACCGGTGGTGCTCAGATGGTGGAGCATAGTCCAGGGCTCGCCCGTGCCGAGCAGCGAGCAAGGGAAAATGACGGTGTGGAAGGGGACATTGTCTTTGCCCATGAACTGATAGAGCTGCACATGTTCAGGGTTCTTCCACCACTGCTCCCAGTCCTTGGTGTAGTTGGCAGTGATGGATGGGTATCTGGGAGATTCAGCACCAAGGGGGAAGGGCGAGTCAGCGAGAAGGTTCGTGGGATACAGCGCACGGCAAAGAACTAGACAGCATGCAACATGCACCATGAGGGGCAGTGAGCTCGTGACCGGCAGCATACCCGATCGGGGCATCGAACCAGACGTAAAAGACCTTCTTCTCGTAGCCTTCACGCGGAACAGCCGTTCCCCACTTCAAGTCGCGGGTGATGCAGCGCGGCCTCAGACCCTCGCGAAGCCAGCCGTTGGTGATGGTACAGCTGTTGGTGGACCACTTGCCTGAGCATGAAGCGATGCGGCAAAAAGACTCGGTCAGCGCCTTTGGCCCGAACTGCATATCGGCGTGCGAGTGTTGCCGGCGTGCGAGTGTTGCCGGCGTGCGAGTGTTGCCGGCGTCATAGGCGGCAGACACATGCAGACACATGCAAGAACATGCGGGAACATGCGAGCGCGCAACACTACCGCATATGGTGCACGCCCGGACGGTGATGTGATCGTGATCCAGGTATCATCGCCCACTCACCCTTCACGCTCGATTCCTGAACCCAGTCCTCGCATTTGGACTGGAGCTTCTCGAGGTTAATGAACAGATGCTTCGAGGTCTTGATGACGGGCGTAGCGTTGTCGAGGATACAGTGAGGATCCTTGAGCTCGGTGGCATTGAGCAATTTGCCGCATCCGTCACACTGGTCGCCTCGGGCGCCAACGTATCCACACAGCGGACACGTTCCTTCGACGTATCGGTCAGCCAGGAACCTGGTGGACAGAGCCCGTTAGTGCAGGTCGAGCATTGGACGAGTGGGTGGCAGAAGTTGCCAGATCAGCCGCGGCCTTGATACAAAAGCAAGCACACTTACGAGCTGTGTTTCTCGCAGTACAACTGGGTCATGGTGTCTTCGAGAATATAGCCATTCTTATCGATTCTGTTGAAAATATCCTGGGAGATGCTGTATGTCCACAACACAACCCAAGCGTCAGAGGCGCCGGCAATAACGAGTGCAGGGAGCACAGCCATACCAGTGCAATCAAACAGAGAGCACGTACGTAGTCTGCTGATCGGTGGTGGTGCGGCCAAAGTGGTCAAAGTCGATCTTGAACCACTCGTAGACGGACTTGTGGATGGCGTGGTACTTGTCGCAGAGGGCCTTGGGCGTGGTCTTTTCTTCCAGGGCCTTGGTCTCGGTAGCGGTGCCGTATTCGTCAGTACCGCAGATGTAGAGCGTGTTGTATCCACGAATGCGGCAGAATCTGTGACAGCGAGAAGCACGGTAAGTCTCGAGTCTTTGATTTTGCCTCGGATTGGATTGAACTGCCTCGGACTGGACTAGATTGGACGGGGTTGGATTGGATTGGAGCCAGCCAACAGCAAAGTGTAGGGGACGTATGATTTGTTCATTGTTATGGAGAGGAGCAGATTCTGACCTGGCGTAAACGTCGGCACTCAGAACACAGCCGATAATGTTGCCCAAGTGCGGAACGTTGTTGACGTAAGGAAGGGCACTGGTGATGAGGATGTTGCGTTCATTGGGCTTGGGCAGACTGTGAGGTCGGTAGGTTGATGGGCGGGCCGACGGAACAGAAGTGACGGTATCGAGAATGAGCGGCGGATCAGACCAGATCATATCGTCAGCGATTGACATGGTTGACATAATCGACATGGCCGATGCGTCGATGAGATCAACACAGTCAACGTGACTCGTGTGGCCAGCAAGTGACCCACATGAGCGTCCTCGAATTGGTAACAGCATCCCGGCTCATGGTCAAAGTCCTTCCTCATATCAACACCTACACTGTCCGGGTGTGGTGATCCAGCGTGATGTGGATGCCGGCCTTGGTCTTGACAGGGCCAGCGGCGGCAGATCTCGCCTTGGAGTCAACAGCCGCAGTAGTGCTCGCAGGAACCTGGTGCAAACACGGACAGAAAAGGAGGTCCAAGTCAATCCGACGGCGACGGGAGCGGCTGGAGATGAATCACCAGACGGATCGACTGTGCCTGTGGCGATGGGACATGTTTGCGAAAGCCGCTGCGACAAAGGCTCGTACCGATGTCAGGGCAGCATGATGCTTCTTTTCCAGGGTCTGGAACCAGATCGAAAGTTGGGGATACGGCGCGTACTGCTTGGTGTCAGCGCCAAAGATGGAGTAGACCGACGCAAAGACAACAAGATCGGCGGCCGCGGATCCAAGCGAGGCTTTGTGGCTGACGAGATAAGTTTGCAAATGCTTGAGCTCGGGCGATTTCGCTGTGGCAACGGGCTGGCTGCCAGCGAGGGGCTGGAGCTTGGTGCGCTCCCACTCAAGCCACGACAGGGTCGCTGTTTGCTGCTCGGTCGAGAAGCTGGAGAATCCAAGCAGGTAGCTGGTGGCCCAGATTGCAATAGAGCACGGCAAGTTGTCGAGAGGCAGAGCACGACATATTGTCGAGACGCAAAGAGCCACCCCGAAGAAGCATGGATGCAGAGGTTAGAGCGAGTCGAGCGACTGATCAGGGCTGCGAGTCTCTTCACCAGAGAGGCGCTGGTGGGACTGATCAGACCACCGACAGGATCGACAAGTTTGCAGCGGGAGAGAACCGGCAAAACATTGTCGATCCGGAGATGACAGGGCGCGATAGGTACCAGACAACGGCATTGGCATCAAATAAGACATGGTCAGGGTCGATCTGCAGCAGACAGCCCGATCCGATGGGGGCGGCAGTGTCGAGGTCTGAGATGGCAAGGGGCTGGCCGACGGCAGCGGCAGCCAAGGAGCACTTGAGCCGGTCGCCGGGCAGGGCCAAGGACGAGAATGCAAGGGAAAGGGCTTTGCCCTTGGAGGGTTGCTGGGGAGCCATGGCGATCGCGAGGTTTGTAAGAGGCAGGTGTGCTCGACGGGGAACAGACGCCAGCCGGCGGTGATATACCAGGGAACGAGATGTCGGAGAGCGATGGTTGCTGGGAAGGACGGTCGTTGGCCTGGTCGCAACGGACCACGAAAAAAAGGCGATCGGACATGCGTGGCAATAGGGATTCCGTGGCGTGGTGCGCAGCACAATGACGCGAGCACAGCCACAGGGGACGGAGGGTGTGGGAAGTGGTGGGAAAGTATGGTGGAGTGTGGGAAAGTATGATGGGTGGTGGTGCAGCAGGGCGAGGCGAGACAGGTGCGGGACAGCCAGGAAGTAAGTCGCTCGGGATGATATATACGCACGCCTGGCGATATTGCCCAGCGCCGCAGTCATTGCATATGCCTCGGAGGGATGCACTTGATGGTATCGACGACAGCATCGACTGCAGCATCGACGACAGCATCGACAACGGTATCGACGACAGCATCGACGACGGTATCGACAGCGGCGCACCCAAAGGCGCAGATCTTTCCCGGTGCCCCACAGCGCTCGGACTCTGGCCCTTTGACTCGGCGCGGCAAACATTTGGTCTGATGGATGCGGCAGGCTGAGGAAACGAATCGATTGAATCGATTCAGGGAATGCAATAGACCGCAATAGACCGCAATAGACCGCAATAGACCGCAGTGAGCCGCAGTGAACCGCAATAGACCGCACACCTTCACCACCCGACACGCTCGATCGAACAAACAGTAGATTCGCACCCAATACAACTCCAATACAACTCCAATACAACTCCAATACAATTCCCACACAAATCTCAATACAAATCGCAATCCAACGCCATTTGATACACCCACAGCACTCGCCCTGTCCGCCGACATCGCCCGGCGCCCCCACGGCCGCACCGGCGTCTCCCTCCCCCCGCCCCGTTTGGCGCTCGGCGGCGCCGCTTGGCCCGTGCCCTCGGCACGGCGCGTCGCTCGCCCGCAGCGCGTCCCAAGGCGCCCCCGCCTGGGCGTTTGGCGGCGCCATGCTCCAGCCATGGCCGGCTGTCCTGCCGCGTCTCGCCCTCACAAGGCCCGTGTCTCTTGGTCGCCCTGGTCGCCTCGGTCGCCTTGGTCGTCCTGATGGTCGACATATAAGCGCTGCCCGCCCGCGGCGCTGTCGGTCTCGCCATCACCACCCGCCTCAGTCGTCTGCCGGCCGCCTGCCTCCCTGCTCTCGATCGCCCTGCCCACCTCTCCTCCCTCCAGAACCCCCGAATCCGCTTTGTCGCCATGAAGTTCACTCTCATTCCCTCGGTCGCCCTCCTCGTCTCGGGACTCACTGCCGTCATGGCCCGGCCTGATGCCGCTGTAAGGATCTCGGCATCATCTCCAAACAGCTCGCGGACCCGGTGCAACTCACAGCTTAGTACCTGGCACGCTTGTACAGCCAAGACTCCCTTCCACATCCACTAACCCGTCTCCGTCTCCCTGACCAAACCACCGCCCCCATACAGCCTCTCTGCGATGTCAACGGCGCTGGCGCCAAGATCTCTGCCTCGCCCATGGGTGCCAATGCCCGCGATCTCAAGGCCGCCAACGTCTACAGCTTTGCCGTCGATAAGAGCCAGTACAGCTCGGGCGATAAGATCCAAGTCAAGATGAGCGGCTCCGAGTCCTTCAAGGGCTTCCTGCTCTACGCCCAGGGCACTGCTGACCCCACTAAGCGTGTCGGCTCCTTCAACATCCCCTCCGGCTTCCAGTCCAACATGGCCAACTGCCCCACCTCGGTCGAGCCCAACGCCGCCCTCACCCACACCACCGGAAAGCTGTACAATGCCGAGCAGATGTTCGACTTTACTGCCCCCGACGCCTCCACAGGCGATATCTGCTTCAACGCCATCGTGATGCAGAAGCAGCAGGACGGCAAGTTTGCCTGGGGCATCTACACCAACTTTGCCTGTGTCAAGGCCAGCAACAGCGCTGTTGCCCAGAACGGCGCTTCCACTCCCTGCACCGCCGAGATGGTAAGCTAAGCGTCCCTGTCTTTTGCCCAGCCGTGGCCCTGGCAATTGACTGACTGCTCCCTCGGTCTCTTCGACAACTAACTCGTGCTCGTGTCCTGCCTTCCAGACTGCCACTTCCCAGGTCGTTGCCACTGCCACCGCTGCCTGCGCGACTGTCACCAGCACCGTCACCGTCACTATGACCGAGCCTGCCAAGACCATGGTTCGCAAGTGCCGCCCGAAGCAGACCAACGGCTGGACCACCAAGGGATCCTGGCCCAGCACCAAGACCTGGAAACAGCCTGAGTACGGCCAGCCCACCCCCACCCAGACTTGGGGCTCGGGTAACTCGTACTACAGCAACAACAACAACAACAACAACCATAACAACAACAACATGGGTGATGACTTTGACTACGACTACATCATCTAAGCCCGGTCTGGTCCAGCCGAGTTTGTCTGCATCGCCCTTGTGAGACGCTCTCCAGTCCTGTTTTCTTCCATCCTCCCTCCGACCCCGCTCTGCTCAGGAGCAAGACTCTCCTGCCCACGAGTGGTGTCGCTCCACCTTCTTCCCAAAGCCTCCCATGAGCTCCCTCTGCTCGCTTCTCTCATTACTTGCACTTTGTAAATTATAGTCTGGTCAGCTGGTTGCTGCTTTCTTTGTCGCCTGCCTTTCATACACTTTTTTTTTTCTCCCTCTCTTCCCTTGGACACTTCCCTTCAGCCCTCTCACCCCTGATCTCCCTCCTTCCACACCTCGCTCGATCATCCCACAGCCAGCCTTTGGCTTCTCCCTTCCCTTCCCAAACTCTCCCTCGCATCATAATGCAATATGTAAACCCCGATAATCGAATAGCACACACAAGTGTCTTGAGAATCGACCAATATCGAGAGAGGGGCGAGTGTGGAAATGAGAGTGTTTCAATCCTCCCCCTCCCTCCGTCATTTTGTGGGCAATATCGCCCAGCAACTACGAAGATGATTCGGAGTGATTTCATGGGCGTATTTGCTCTACTTGGACGACAGCATCTCGCGAATCGCCCGGCCGGCATCTGCCGTCTCATTCTCCCTCCACCACTGCCACGACTTGTGATCGCCAATGTCACTGAATGGATCCTCGCCTTCGCTGTTCTCCTCCATCACGACGCCAAAGTCGAGGTCAACGTCCGGGGGCAGACGACTTGGCAGAAATGGCCGAGCATGGCCGGCGACGACCAGGGACTTGTGGAACTTTTGCAGGTCCGACTTGCACTTGTTGGTGCCGATGATGTACACGGGTTTCCTGAGCCAGGGCAAAGGAGTGATAAGCACAAATATGGCAGGGCCCAGCCAAAGCGAGAGACAGAGCGCCCGACTGAAGCGATACATGCTCCGTTTGATCGCCCGCCCGCTCCTCTTCAATCAGTCCTCGCTGCCCCTCGGAAGCAGCAAGACTGAGGGAGGCGCTTTGTTGCTCACCTGCACATGAGGGCTTCCGAGGTCATCATCATCTACACCAGCCGCAGTCACAGCACCGGTGCAATAACATCGCATCCCCCCCCCGCAAGAGAATCAGTAGCTTGATCGAGCAATCTCCGGGACAACAAACTCGAGGGCAAGACTCACCGAATCAGCAGTGACCGCGATATGAGTCGCTCGGGCCAGCATCGTTTCGTACGGATTCTCGCCGGTGCCGTCCCAGAGGTACACTCTCTCGCTGTCCTGGACGCTGGAGATCCAAACCGACCAGAGATGCGTCAGCAAAAGCAGCACAAATCCAAGCGCGACCGAGTCTGCAGCAGCAGCAACAACAGCAGAAAGGGCCATGATAGACCAGGGCGTGTGGATGCAGATGCGATTACCTCTCTGCCCACTGGCGGATGGCTCCCCTCACGGTCTCGGGTGTCTTGCGAGTAAATGTCATTGCGATACGAGCATTGTGGACCCTGTAGAGTCGCTGACGAGCCCGGATATCCACAAACAGCGGCAGTGGAAATGTCAGTCCACAGCCGACACAAGCCCAACAGTTCTCTCGCGGGCGTTACGGCTCGATGTCCATCAAAAAAGCCATTCTATGCAACATACATCGAGTTGCTGGACGAGTCGCCGAGTCTCGTCCGAAAACCAAGTAAAGTTGCTGCCAAGGGAACCGAGAGGAAGGTCAATTGCTTGCTCGCTAATAAGGTCACAGTCCGCCAGACCCAAAGCGATCGGGGGCTACTGGTTGCATATCGTTCAATGCCATGGAACTTGGATTGACGGCAAGTGGCGAGCCAGATCATTCTGTGGCATCGATAACAGCACGAATACAACCGGGTGCGAGTAGGTTGCTCGCTCCTCACATGTTGTGCATTGCTGAGATCAGAACAGCAAAGATGGGCGACTCCTTGTCTGGCAAGTAGAAAGCGGCCGGCAAGACAGACTCATTCCGTGCGGCTTGCTCCAGGGCCTCGGATGTGATTCCGTTCAAACAGAGCTGTTGGAGAATGAATGAGTGAGTGTTGGCACCGGATGCAAGCCCAAAACACAATCAGCACTGACCAATCCTCTCGTTGGTTTTAGATGGGCTGGCAGTTGCCTGTTTTTTTCTCTTTCTCCTCTGCTCAAGCAAAAGCCACCTCGTACCTTGGTGCCAATAACAGAGCCCGATCTCGACAGATTCGACGACAGTGCTGCGAAGTGAACATGGCTCAACAGTCAGCCAGGAATCGCAAACGGCGCAGTTTCAGAAGCAAGCGGGCGGTGTCGACACAGCCATGGTTCGCACCAAGCAGCGGCCACAGGTGCTTCTGGATCACCAGGGCATCATAGACCTCCATGTTGACAAACGGCTGCTGGAGATGAACTGGGAAAATGAAGGCACAACGAGATACGGTCGTGGTGGTGGAGCGAGGCCAAATGTGCGATCAGCATCAGTCCCGAATCCATCCTGACACACCGACAACATCCCGTCCTTTGCGTTCCACCAAAGTTTGATGCTGCGAGATCACTGCTGCGTACTGGCTTTGGTTGCTCCGCGGGAAGCCGCCTTGACTTGCAGAGCAGCCAGGGTCGTTGACGGGCACGACGAGATCACATAGTCCGGGAGCGGCTCCGAGAGAACATCGTTCGAGGGTGACTCGAGATACCACGGCAGGGGTTGGAGCTGCCTCACTGCAGGACGGAGACGAAGGATGTCAAATCCAGACGATCCGGCGACGGAAGTGAGAGCGAATATGCGACGATTGAGGACGAGAGCCCATCGTCGCTGCAAGCGCACAGGAGCAAGTCAAATCCCTCAGACAATCGCAGACATGCACATGGCGGCGTGGCTTACACTTGTCAAACTGCTCGGACTTTTCGAGTTTGTTGGTGCGTCGGTCCATGATGATCTTTTGAAATACTGGGTAGAGCCAGCTGATGCCTGCCGGCCCAAGCGATATTCAGAGAGACGCAATGTGAGACCAGATGGCCAGATGACCAGATGACCAAATGACCAAATGGCAAAACCCAAATCAAGATCATCGGGCCGTCTGTGGACTCAAGGGCTCTCCGGAAGGAGGGGCGGCCTCGAGAAGGGCGAGTGATGCAGGCTCTCCAAATACGCAGCGGTAAGCGGAGGATGAAGCCCACAGCAGTGCCTACGTTTGGAAGGCACAATATTCTTCTTGATGGGCTTTCCGAGCTGGCCGATCGTGGCCAGGGCCATCGCTTGCTTGTCTCCGGCGACGTCTCCGGCCGATATGATCCACACGGTCGGCGCGCTCGATGTCGAGAGCGTTCGGGAGTGTGATTTCAGGAGAAATGCCAGGCTCCGTCCAGGCATTTGCCCAGCAAAACAGCAACGACCGATCATGAGGTGCAGCTGGCGGATCGAAATCGAGCGACGAGTCCAAGATCGGCGGCTGGGAGGCGGACCGATGGATGTTGGCTGGCGGCACAAAAGGCGATGCCGGTGCAGATCGAGAGAGATCTATTGATATCCACGAGCGTCGAGTCGGCGGTCGGCGGTCGGCGGTCGGTGGAGTGTTGATGTTGATGTGAGCGAAGGAGATCGCGGCCGCGAAGATTTGGTTTTGATCTTGGCGCTGTGTCACCAGGCCTCGAGAATCCACCGAGGCTCGTGAATTGGTTCTTATATCATGAATACACATTATATTCAGAAACAAACGGGGCATCTTCCCATTCCATATGTCAGTGTATTATATGGCCTTGGTCTGAGCGGTTTGCAATGAAACAGATCACCTCCGAGTGGATTCAACGGCCATGGTACTCTTGGGCGCACTGAAGAGAGTGGCAACAATGCGTAGACGCTGTAGGTTAGCGAGTAGAATGGCAGTGCAGCGATGCGGAACACGAGAGCGATGTGTTTTGACCATGGTAACGATAAACAGGCGTGTGTATTCAGGAACCGAAATCAACAATCCTGACTCAAAATAGGGTGTCCTTTTTCGATATTCGAACGGCGGATCGAGGGGGTGCAGTGGGAGGAAGAGATTCAACACAAGAAGGGTGAGTTGAGGAATCACTGGATGGTGCATCTGCTATCCAATTTGGCGAGTTTCTCATTGGCGATTGTGAGGCCCTTGTCGGCGGCCTTTTGATACCGATTTCGATTCCATGATCGATTCCGTGTTCGATGAATGTGGCAGTGTATGTGGCAGTATATGTACAACAACGAATCCAGCCAGCAAACCGGACGGATCGAGCCAGTCTTGTGTGTGTGTGTGCTCGATGGCCAGGGTATGGCTTGCCAGTGTTTGGCCTGCTTATCCACAACTCGTCTGTCTCCTGTCCATCGCCATCATCCGCTTGCTTCCGATCCTGTCTCCGCCAACATGGCCAGCATGATCGAGCCTGCTTCAACCACGACATCATCTGCCGCTCAGCAAAACCAAGCCGAGTTATTTGTGAAGTCCAGCGATATTTCTGGGGCGGGAACGAGCCTGCCAATAATCGATCCAATCCAAACACCATTCAGCCTCAACCCAGACATCTTCACAATCATCTGCTACAACGACGGTTTCCAACTCGCACTCGACCTAAACACCATCAAGACCCTCCTCCGGGTGTGCAGGCACGCCCAAGCTCTCCTGAGCTCCAAGCTGCCTCGCTTTCACAATTGGTGCCAGAATGCAGGACTGTGCCATTCAGACGGACAGTTGCAGATCGGCCTCACACCCAGCGACCAGATCGCCCTCTCGCTGCATTGCGAATACGAAGGCATAGCCGACCGATCCTGGCTCACCGCTCAAGCCGAACAGGGCAGTATTGCTGCATCATATTTCCTGGCAAGGATCCTCCAAGTCGATCTCGACAGCCAGCAGTCTGAGAACAAGCCCAAGCAGGAGGCCATCGAGCAACGAATCATCCAATATCTGGAGAAGGCTGCCCAAGCTGACCACATGATGGCACAGTTCCACCTGGCCGAGTGCTATCGCAACGAAGTCGGCGTCGGCAAAGACCACACCAAGGCCGTCGAGCTGTATCGTAGTCTTGCAGATCGTGGGATTCCTCAGGCCCAAGTCGTCCTCGGTGGATGCTACGAGAATGGCGAAGGTGTCGATCAAGACTTTAACGCTGCCATCGAGTGGTATTCCAAGGCTGCAGATCAGGGAAGCGAAGACGGCCGTCTCCATATTGTGTTCCTCCGTGGATGGTTCTCGCTCATCGGCCATGGTGTCGAACAGAGCGATGTCGATGCCTTCAACCACTTGCAGGAAGTGAGCTCCAAGTCCACCGATCCGGTCATCAAACCGATTGCCATGCACATGGTTGGATGGATGCACTACCTTGGCCGGGGCACCGTGCGCGACGAGCCAATGGGTGTCAAGATCATCCGAGAGAACAGATCGAATGAGTTCCCACTTGGAGAGGACGAATGTCTTGCATCCTCGTACTGGGTTGCCAACGCCAACTCGCCCGCAGCCCGCAAATTCTTCGAGTTATGCAAGCTGGGATCGAACCGGGACTGGCTATGCAGACATCTCATGGCTGTGTGTCTGGTCCATGGATTCGGAACCGCAGTGAACGGAAAGAGAGCGGCAATCATCTTTGAGCAACTCGCCAAGGACGGTCACAGCGACAGCCAGTTCTGGATCGGAATGTGCTACGATGACGGTGATGGAGTATTGCAGGACAAAGAAAAGGCATTCGAGTGGTTCAGCAAGTCTGCCGAACAAGACAACTCGTATGGGCAGTGGAGGATTGGGTATTGCTACTATGATGGAAATGGAGTCACCGAGGACCGCACCAAGGCAATCGAGTGGTTCCGCAAGTCGGCCCAGCAGGGCAATCGTTACGGACAAGATTATCTCGGGGATTGCTTCCAATATGGCTGGGTGTCCCTCGAGACATCGACACCGCCGTCTTTTGGCTCCGCAAGGCCACCGACCAGGGTCTCCAAGTTTCCATCGACAGCCTCAAGTCCCTCGGCAAGTGGCCCTGATCACCTAGTCCCACTCCCGAACAACAAAATCGCATCACTGAACATACAAGCAGAGTAGCCAAGCATATCGCACCGCCCTCACCCATCCCAAACAACACGATACCAAAGAGTGGACTTGCAGAGTGATTCCGATAAAGCGACAATGGCCGAGTGGTGTTGTATTTGATACTCAATACATCCAATACATCCCATATACTCGACAACGACAATTTGATATTCACAATCGATACTCGTTCTGCAACCATAGATACTCGAAAGACTCAATACGATCCAGACTATCCCTCGCCACATGGTACTTGAGAAAGCAGGCAGCAAGCCACCAGCCTGGCTCGCAGACCACTGGCTTTGAGCAGGCATGTCTAGTCATTCATACCCTCATTGAACATGGTCTCGGTATGCCAATCTATCATTGCAATCGAGGATCAACTGGGTGTGCTCAAGATCATACTCCTGAAACTAACCAGGGCACCGGATCGCCAACCAGAACTGGAAACAATCGCACGACCTGCCCATCGGGGCAACAGATCGTTGTGAGGGACACGCAGGGACACACTGTCCCGTTTTATTTCTGGAACAACTGTATGGATGCGAAATCAGAACCAAAAAATTTCCAAGTCGCCGCTTGAGCCGAAGAGCCGCATTACCAGCAAGCCACACGCAGCGACGCACGGTAACGCCCAGCACCATCATCAAAGTATCACCGACACAGCCATCATCAGTAACGCAACAAAGGTGAGGAGATCGGACCAACTCCCCTGGACGCAAGGAAGCAAACAAAGGAGAAGCAGCTCGAAAGGGGGCATTCTAGTGGAAAAAGTAGGGACTCTTCGTGACGAGGCCGAGATCAAAGTTACCCTTCTTGGGCAGCGGCGGGAAGCTGACCCGTCGCCAGGTCATGTAGACAGCACCGGCCTTGCGAGACCGCAGTGGCTTGCCGCTGTGGGTGGCGATGATCTGGTTGAGCAGATTGCGTTGCTCCAGAGTGCTGATCGAGAGCTTGTAGGGCACCCAGTTTGCCTTGTAGCGTTCCGTCAGCTCCTCCCGGAGGCGGCCCATGATGTCTTGCGAATGCAGATGCACAAACGACTTGCGCAGGATCCGCGCGAGCTCGGGGACGGTAGAGGCATGTGTCCAGTACGAGTCGTGCACGGCTGCAAACGTAATGCCGCTGGTCTGGCAGCCGATGGCGCTGAGCATCATGTGCGAGGCGTCGAGAGAGTGAATAAAGTTGGGCGGGAAGGCGTTGGACTGCTTGCGCGAGTTGATTTCGGCGTCGCTCGAAAAGTCCTTGATGGTGACTGTTTGGAGCTCGGTGCGGATCTGCAATGGCGACAGCGACAGTGTCAGTACAGACAGTACTCAGTCATCAACAGCCGAATCGAATCGGCGTTGGATGTGTATCCGCAAAAGTTCATGTGCATGCTGGCTCCACTTGATTCCCAGACTCACCGTTTTCTCGCGGTAGTTGCGATAGGGCTGAACGATCGGCAGGCCGAGCGGCGAGGTCCAGATAACAGGAGAGTTCCGCAAGACTTCCTTCTTGCTCGACTTTTTGCGGCTAGGGGTCGGGGCGATCAGCTCGCTGCCATCGCTCGGAGCGGCGCTGGCGACATGCTTCTGCGAAGACGAAGCCGTGGCCGCCTCGTCAAGGGCACAGTCCAGCAGGCTATCCTCGGTCGCTTCGGGCTCGCTCAGAACAGTGCCATGATCTTCCTGCGGATTGGGCAGCTCAAACTCCTTCCAGTGCTTCCAGATGTCCTCGGCAATCTTCTGCTCCATCGGCAGCACAGAGTCAGGATGCACGCTCTTGCAGATCACCAGGGCAGCGTTGTTGAGCCAGTGCTGGAGGAGCCGCGCGCCTTCGAACATGACGCCCAAACTGGCAAAGATCTGGCGGGTGATGTACAGCGACACGGCCTTGAATTGGGCCGAGTCTAGGATCTTGTCGTAGCCGGCCTCCTTCATACGGCTCTGAACCTGCAGGCGCGCGCCTAGGAAGGTGACGCCGTAGGTGTTGGTCATGACCGTCTGCTTGACGAGCTTGCGATTGACTTTGCCGTTCATGAACACAGCCTCGGGTATTTCTTTGGCGGCATCCTCAGCAACGAGTCGGCTGACAATGTCGGCAACACCGCTATAAACATCCTGCGGCTTTTCGCTCGGCAGCAAATTGACCTGCTTGGCACCCATCTCGTCGCCGCCGAGGGCAGCGTAGTGCTGCAGGCCGTTGCAGGATCCATCTTGGTGGATGGGCAGTCGGCTCATGTACTTTGTGGGTTCAGGCGAGCGCAATGCGCGGGTCAGCTCGCAACAGGCAGCGAGCAGCTGAAACGGATCTTCGCCGATCCACCAGCGCTTGCCCTGGTTCGGCACAAAACAGGCAGGAATGAGTACGAGTAGTGTCTGCCGAGCCTACACTTGCGATACCAAAGCACTGCAAACCCGGAAAATACACCCATATCCGACCCGTACCGTCAGAGGGTTGTCAAACGAGTCAAAGATGTTCTCGAGATTCGACTCGGTAAATTTGATGCGGTCTTCAAAGGAGATCCTGCAAACAAAGAGCGACCGTGTGCGTGGTCAGATCATTGGCAGAACGAGACACCGGATGCAGCCGCATTGAGACCGGCGCCGCCATCGCGACCGAGTCCTTGCGCGACCAAACAGGAACAAGACGCGGAGATACGCACTTGTCGGCACCGGCCAGCGTTGCTATCTGGATCTTGAGCCACTTCAAGCCCTCCTCGCCGAGGGGCTTGGCCTCGTCAAACATCAGCAGACCACGACACAGATCGTTCCCCATGTGGTTCAGCAGCGGAGGGATCGGATACGCGCGGCCGCGGAAATCGAGGTTGTGAGGGAAGTAGATGCTCATGCCAGCGTACTGCAGAAGTTGGTCACCAAATCGAGTCAGTGATTAGCTGCATGCGGCGTTGAGGGGATGGCTACTGGATAAGACTCGCGGACGATGCGCCGACGCAAGCGAGCCTGTTGCGGTGCCATCGGTGCCAAATGGTCCACTTACAGCTTTGGCAATCTCGATTTTGTAGTTGGTGTCGCACCGCTGGGAATGCAGCGATGCTACCACGTTCTTCCACTTGTGGTGCTCGGCCTGATACTTTTTCTTGACGTCGGGATTGATATCCATGTCCTTTGGAGCGGCGGGCTCGAGCGGCTTGGCAAGGGGCGGGATGTTGCCGATGGACTCGCCCGAGTTCCAGACGTCAATGACGACCTTGAGGACGTCGTTGTTGATGCGCCAGGGTATCGCTCCCAGAATGTCGAGACAGCGCATGATCTCGTCAATGTACTTGTTATCATCGGCCTTGCGGAGGTATTCTTGCATCGTCGGGAAGTGCGAAATGCGCACGGCGGTGTTGGACTGGTGGAGATAGCCGCCAGACTTCCACGTCAGCCATGGACGGGGCGGAACCAGCATCGGCATCAAGCGCGGCTGGAAGACAGGCGCCTCGCGCGACAGAATCTCCTTAAGCTCCTCGTGCGGGGAGATTTTGCCAATGCTAACGGGGTTGTTGTCGATGAAGACTACAATCGATTTGTGGACAAACGCAGGCTCGAGGATTTTGCTGCAGATTTTGGGAGCGCCGACGGTATCGCGCGAGCAACAGAAGGGACAGCAAACGCACATTCACAGAACACGTCAGTACGGATCCGCACATGATGGCAAGAGCGCGGCCGTGCACGATTCAGTCGACAGCCAATAGGCATTTGCGCAATCACGATCGGCGGGTCGCAAACACATACACCATCTTCCGGGGGTTGTTGGGATCGACCTTGGAGGTCTGGATCTTGGCTGTCTTCAGGAACAGCGTGACGAGCGTGCCGCCGATCTTGACGAGCGAGGTGGTGGGCCAGTGGATCTCCCAGTCGTTGCCGACACTCCGCTCGACAACGTTGGTCTCGGAGAGAGTTTTGCGGCCTTCTACATCGAGAAGAGCACCGCTCTGATGGAGCTCGTGGACCTTCTGTGAAATTTCCGCTCGCTTCTTGTAGATCTAGATGAGGGAGGTGAACAGTGGGCGACACATCAGTGGTCTGAATGGACCGCAAGTAACCGTGCACTTTCAGGACAAGCGATCGATCCGGAATGCCAAAAGTGTACGGGAACATGGCCAAGAAGCACATGCCAAAAAGTACGAGGCTCAACTGTGTGCGAGCCCCTCAGTCCTTCTCGCTCTCCCAGCAAGAGCGTCTCCAAGAGTGACTCTGAGAGCGACTCTGAGAGCGACTCCAAGACCAGGAGACCTACATTTTGCTTCTGCTTGCTGCTGAGCTTCTTGAACTTGAGCTTGGCTTCGCGGTTGACATTCTTGCCGATCTCAGACATGATCTCGGTCACGCGGTGATCCCACGCCGACTCGTAGATGTGCTCGTCCTCGCGACTCTTCTCTGGCGAGCGAATGACGTGGCTGGGCTTGATGAACTCGGTAATGGTGATGCGAGCCAGTTGCTCGGGCGTCAAATGCTTCATGAATGCCCGGTGGTCAAAGCTCTTTGTGGGCTTGAGCATGTCCAGCTCGTCGCGGATGGCTTCTGTCAGGGTTTTGAACCATTCCGAGATCATCTTGGAGGGCAGGGCGTTGAGAAAGCGGATGGGGGCCGGCAGTCGCTCCTGCGCAAGGGTGCGCGCCTCAGAGGCGGCCTGGAACGAAAACTCCTCGATTTGCTCTTGGATTTGATACAGGTCCCGCTTTTCCTTGCGAGCCGTCTCGATGTTGGAGAGGGTCTTGCGCAGCAGCTGAACGCCGATCGACTGGGTCGAAATCAGCTCGGGCAGAACGGGCCGCTCGTGTTCATCGGGCTTCTCACGCTTGGTGGGATTCTCGGGCTGTGCCGGGCTGGCCAAGGCAAGGCTGTCGAGAGCGTCGTCCAGAATACTGTCGACACTCTTGACGGAGCGCGCTGCTGTGGTCTTGGCGATGAGCTCGTCCAGCGCCGTCAGCAAAAGATCGTCCGGGCGCGAGCCCTGGATGGACTTGCCCATGTCGACGGCAATCTTCTCGACCGTGGTGCGGTGCTCGGGGTCGAGAAACACATCGGTCCGGACAATGTCGTCGAGGGTGTAGTTTTGGGCTTCGGCATCGATGATAACGGCCTTGGCCGACTCGGCGTTGGCGTGCTTGATCAGATGATGGTAAATCAGCAGAGCAAAGGTGTGGGCATTGGGTGACACGCCGTACGCCTTGAAGCGCTGGTACCAGTCCTGCACCTGCCCCAGGTTGCCCTCGGGCGAGTCCCAGATGTAGGCCTCCAGGAACGAATTGAACATGTGGGTGCTGGCGCATTTTTTCATGTCGGACCAGTTGGTCTTCCAGCAGCGGTGGAAGATGGTCTCGGCCTCGACATAGGAGCCGGATTTGATCAAGACATCCATGAGAGCCATCTGCTCCTCAAAGTCGTAAAAGTGCTTGGAGCGCACCTCGGGCTTGATGTCGATGTTATCCCACTTGCTCCGCTGGAAGATGTCGGTGTAGGAAAGCGACGACTCGAGCGACTGCTCCATCGGGCTCTGGTTCTTCCGCGCCGCGGTTGTGAGTTTCGGAAACAGCTCTTGGTTAAAGTCAGAGTGCGCGTACGAGTGGTGGTCCATGGGGGTGTGGTCGGCGAGCGATGTGGGTGAGGGCTTGACAGAATATCGGTGGCTCTGAAAGACGACATGCAGTGGCGGGAACAGGCCCGAGCGCAGGCGGGCGTGTGACGTGTGTGGGGCAAGCAGATAGACTGCCGCAGATTTGGATCGCTTGAATGCAGGGATCATCTTGGCGATGCAACCGTTGCGGGAAAGGTGGTAGGCGCAGAGCCGCAGGCAGAAGAGGCACGAGAAGGCAAGTGGGAGAGGAGCAACAGCCGATCTGGGGGGTGGCAGCTGCAGCGGACGAGGGAGCGGCAGCAACAAACTGGTTCAGTACAGCTGAAATGCGAGAGAGCTGAGCGAATCGAGACGAGCCCGATTATGGTTGCGGCGACAGAGCAGCCACCGGTATGCTCAGAGCGCAGACGACAGTGAACGATTGTCCCGCGGGAACCGCACCAACACTCACCAATCCGCCGAGCGACAGAGGATCTTGCTGAACAGATGGAGAGTGCGAAGCTGTCCTTGGTCTCGCGGCAGAGACTGGAGGCAGCGACGGCGGATCGTCGGCGGCGATGGATGTGATGGGGGTGATGGAGGTGGTGGATGACGGCGAGCAGCGATCCAAAGGCGAGAGAGCCAGAAAAAAAAAAAAGTCGGAGTGACAGCGAATCGACGTTTGAGCCGGGCTTGTCCCACCGTGTGTGTGTGCGCCTCTCGGCCGTCATTGTCGCTGTGGCGGTTTGTGCTCATGGGCGATCTCGCCACGCTCTCTGCTGCGCCTCGGCGGCATCTCGGCACAGCGAGAAGGGCCTTCTCATGGCCGGTGACACAGGCGCTGCCGCCTGGTGGCTGGCCACCATCTGCCCCGGTTCTCAGATCTTGGATGCACATGAGCGAATGCACAAGGTATCTGGACACTGGCGGTCGCAGCCAGGATCAGGCCACACAAGACTCTATATTGTAAGCTGCCGTCTTGTCATATGGTACAGCGCGGTTTGATCGGGCATCTGGCCCAAGTGCAGCAGCCAAAGTGCACAGCGGCCCGAACCCACCCGCCTCAGATCTTGAAGCCCTCGCTCTTGATCACCTCATCGACAATCTCGGTGAGCGTCATGCCCTTGCGCTCCAGCATAAACACCTGGTCCAACAGGTACCGCATCCGTATCTGCGTCTGTACGCCTCGTTCGCCCCGCAGCGGCGGTGCTTCGGCCAGGTTGCTCTCGCTGCTTCCGCCAGAGGCATCAGCCTCGTCAGTCCTGCGTCGCCGGGCTCGCTCCAGTCCACGCACGAGGTCTTCTTTCTTGGCGGCGCTGCCGATGCCGAACTGCAGCCGTCGGCCCGCGGCATCGCTCGCGTTGGTTTGTGACGATTGCGAGTACTGTCCGAGCGAGAGGTCACTCTTGAAGGGCAGTCGGCCACCGCAGCTGGCGTCGTAGGCAGTCACAAACTCTGCATACGGGATATAGAGGCTCTCGGTCGTGCTGTTGCGACTGCCGACGACACTGCCTCGGCTGACACTGGTACTGTTGCTGTTGCTGCCACCGCTACCGTCTTCAACCAGCTCCAGGATGTTTTCCATGAGCTCGCTTTCAACATCGATGCACAGCGGCAGCGGGTTCTCGTAGTAGGCCAGTCGCTTGCGTCCGGTTTTCTGGAAGAACAAGAGCTTCTTGCCAAAGTTGGTGCCCGTCACCCGGAAGGTTGCTCGGCTGCTTGTCTGGAAGGTCAGCGTCGGCGGATCGCACACCAGGTCGGTGCCGCGCAGCTGGATCTGAAGGTCCGGATCGGCGCTCGGAATCGTTACGGATATGGCCGCGCTCGGCTTTCTCAGGACGAGCCGATGTGGCAGCATGCCTTCACTGGGGCCCGCCGACTTGGCCGGCCACGATGCGTCGAGCGCGCCGCTGCTTGGTGCGCCGCTGGCTCCGCTCACGACACCAAGCCGGATGATCATCTTGGCGGCAATGTCGCTTGGGGTCTGCGCCAGCTGCTGCTGGAGCTGCGTCATGCTGTCAAGCAGCGAGACCACGATCTTGACGGCCTCGCCAAAGTCAAAGTTGACCAGGTCCTTGTTGGCCTGCTTCCACTTCAAGATGAAGGGCGGCGCAATCACCTCGGGTGAGATCGCCAGAGTCTCGACCACCATCCGGAAGGCATCGCTGATGCTCACGCCCTTAAGGGGATACAGGCCGATGAACGCGCCCAGGATCTCCATGCGGTTTGGGCCAAGCAGATACCGCGCCTTGTCATCAGCTGCTGCTCCCGGAAAGGTGTGAAGCCAGCGCGCAATGTCCGAGAGCTTGCACGAGAGCATGCTGGACAGCACCAGCGACGTAATGTGCGTGTCGATCTCGCACAGGAGCCCCATGCCTAGCGGATCCTTCAACGACGACAGAGACAGCACCGAGTCGCGCTTGAAACCTTGCTCCAAACTGAGCCAGTTGACGGCCTTGATGTCGTCCAGGGCCATAAGATCCACAACTTGGTACAGAGTCTCGCCGGGCTTGCTCTGTGACGACCCCGAGGCTGCGTTGGAGGGCGTCTCGACGTTGATCTTGCCGCTGTTGCTGCGTGAAAGCGTGCGTGAGGATCGCCGCGACTCGGGGCCGACCTCCTTGGCGATGACGAAGAGGTCGTCAAACAGCAGCAGCAGTCGCTCGCGGATCTTGTTCTTCTTTCCCTTGACCTGGTAGACCATGCCCTTGAAATGAACATGGTCGCGCTCGCGCTGGCTCTGGGTGTCGAGGCGGCTGGACGAACGGCCTGGCGATGGCGCCCCGACCACAATACCTCGCGCCGACGCTCCGTCCGTCATGCTCGCGCTTGCGCCTGGGTGCATCGGCACCGGAACAGGGACCGGCTGCGCCGGCATAGGCGGCGGCACGGGTACCTTTGAAGGCACAAACACATCGGAGATGTAGCCCTCGGACCCAGGAGCGGCAGCATCCGCAGGACCGTGTCCAGACGGGTTGGCCACCATCAATGCCAGCGCGAGCAGCTTCTTATCGTCCGAATGCGACACCGATGTAGCCCGGGGCGGCATCTTGATGCGCTTGAGCGAGAGTTGGTTGACGACGGCGCGACCGGCACCGCCAATACCTGAACCAGAGCCTGAGCCGGAGCCTGAGCCTGAGCTGGAACTGGCAACCTCTGGGTATGCAGCCGCTGCTGCGTTGCCGCTGGCGGCGTCTTCAGGATCGATGGGTGCAGGCGTGGGCGAGAGCACCCGAGAAGCGCTGCCGCTACCGGAACCGCTGTTGGCCCGCTGCAGGGTCGTGCCCGAGTTCACGAGAACGACATTGGCCCGTTGCAGAGTCTTGGGCATCTCGACAGGCGGCTCTGGGGGCGCGGTCGAGCTGGGGTTGGACGAATGGCTGCCCCGCGAATTGCTGCGATTCAGCCCTGAGACAGGCGCGGGAAGCGTGGATTGCATCAGGGTGTCGGACGACTTGACGAGTCGGAGGGCATTGCCGGAGGTGGTGGACGGCGTCGACGATGCGTTGGTGGCCGGTGACTTTTTGATCGTCGCAAAGAGACGGCCGATGGTAGACTGGAAGTTGCCCGCGGGCTCAGAGTCATTGGTGGGCATCGCGGAGAGAGCATTGATGGCAGCGATATCGAACGGAATCGGGTTGGTGAACAAGGGCTTTGGATTGCCCACCAGGGACGGCCATACCTTTGGGAGGCTGTGTGCGCTCGATGACGCTGCGGCAGCAGTGGCGGCAGAAGCAGCAGCAGAAGCAGTGGTTGGTCCGAGAGCTTCTTTCTTGGAGTAAACCGTGCGGCTTGAGGAACGAACAGGGAAGATGGGCTGTCCGTCGGGCCCCACCATCGGCTGGGCTTTGAATTTGAGGTCGCCCGAACTTGACTTGCGCAGACCCCGCTTGACGGCGTCGCCAGACTCGGAAAAGAAGCGAAACCAGCGGATCTCCTGGCCCTTGCGCGAGGTTTGGAAGAGCTTGGCGCCTACGGCGGCATCTCCGCTGTCGCCGCTCTGCAGCGTGTCGTGGATCACGATGCTGCTATCGCTGTTGCGGCGCTGGTGCTTTGCTAGGCTGAGAATCGACGGCTGCATGTGCAGCACAGGCGCAATCTGCAGCTCGCCAGGGATGCCGTCCAGGTCCTCGGCCGTCCACGGGCGCTTGGTGGGAGACAGCGGCGATATGACGAAAAGATCGTCGAGGTGGGCGGACGGCCGCGCGACGTGGGTGAGAAGCGACAGGTGGGACTCCCGATTGAGGAGGAAGCGCTCGCCGGATTGGCCGAACGGATCGGGCAGAGGCTCGGATGGGCCTGGACGGAAGCATCGGGCAACGAAAGCGTGAGAAACAGCGTACAACCAAAAGAGACGACAGAAGCTTGGCGACTATGACTGCGACAACTCGAGCAGCAGCATCCAGCCAGGTTCGGAAACAGACCTGATGACCTTCGACCCGAGTGGCGACCGGACGACTTGGACCCACTGTTGCTGCAACGCGGTCGCTCCGAGTCGCTGTCGGCTTCCGACTGCGACTCCTCCGTCGCCTCGGTGATGGGCTCAAGGGTACTGCCTCGGTTTCGGTCCGGAGGGACAGTGAGAGACTCGCGGTCCTTGCGAGATGACCTTCGGCTCGGAGGGCTCTCGCCTCTGGCAAGCTGGGTAGCCAGGAGCTGGGAGGCGGTGGGCAAATCCGACAGGGTCGATGCCGGTGCCTCGGTGCTGACCGTGTGACCTCGTCGCAGAGTGAGAAACGAGACTGCCTCGGACCGGATCTGGTGCGCCGAGCGCATATCGGAGTCGGGCAAGGGTGGCACACCGGTAGTGGTTGTCGAAGCGCCAGCCGTTGCTGGCCGGCTCAGGGACAGGAACTGGACCGCCTTGGCTCGCAGAGCGCGGGTATTGGCTTCAGGAGCCTCCGGCTGGGTCGCTGGCTGGATTGCTGGCTGACTTGCTGGCTGGTTTGCTGGTTGGCTTGTTGGCTGGGCCTGTGACTGGGCTTGTTGGCGGTTGAGGTTGTTTTTGTGGATTTGGGCGACGACCTTGCGCTCAAACGTGGTTTCTCCAGCGTTGGCAAACTCGCGGTCGAGAAGCAGCTCCTCTTCCTTCCGCCGCAGCATGGCCGAGATGCGCTCGTACGGATACCGCGACAGCGTCATCGAGCCCGGCGCAGATATCGATCGTGGTCGGGTGGCGAAAGCGCTGGCGTCGATTTCTCCCCAGGAGCTGTAGTCGTCCCGCTCCCAAATCTCTGGCGGTGTAGCGGCATTGTTGCCGGCGACAAAGGGCGAGGACGGCGAAAGCGTTGACTGAACCGAGAGGCTGCTTTCGGGATCGGAAAGGCTTGGAGACGAGGCCGGCGACTGGCTGGAAGATCCGCGAATGTCCCTGACGGCCGGATGGACTGGGATGGAAGCGAGCGGCGGACTGGGAGCATCGGCGCCTCGCTCGGCGCCTCGCTTCTTGAGAAATCCGATGGCGGCGGATCGAGAATCCATGTTGGCGATTGCGTAGCTTTACTCTGGAATAAAGCGATGAAAAGTGGCAGTGGAATTGCAGCAGCTAGGGCAGGAGAGATGTCAGTGGACAGACACGACAGAGGCGACCTGGTGAGGAAGGCGAATGGGATGAGAAAAACTAGTCCAAAGACCAGGGCTGCAAAACGGACATTCGCTGGCTGTCCATACTCCTTGCAGGGCGCGACCAGACATTCAGTTGTATCCACAGGTACAAGCACGGAGCAACATACTTGGACTGAACGTGCTTGCACCAGGGCGAGTTCCGGGTGCGGATGTCAAGCCGGGGTGTTGGACTGGCGGTGGAGATACGGACCGGACTTGGGTATGAAATGACTGTGAGAGCCGCCTTGGGCAGCAGGTGGCAGCACTGACACGAGGGCCGAATTTCAGTGCCGGCGATGGACCTGGGACAGTCGATAGAGTCGTGTGTTCGATGACGAAGTGCCAGCGCAGGTGGACAGAGGGTCGCCAGGAGGAGCCAGGGAAGGCGACGCAGAGCCACAGAGAGACAGGGCGAGGCAGATACAGGCTGCAACAGGAAGGCACGGAGAGGCAGCAGCGACATCCAGCGACAATGCAGCCTGCAGATGAGCAAGCGGAAGAGCGAGCCGATGGGCGAGCCGATGGGCGAGCCGATGGGCGAGCTGATGGGCGAGCTGATGCACAAACAAGCAGACGGAATCCAAAGGACATTCGCGGCCAACGGCACAAATCCGGGGTGCTTTGGCGACCCAGCCAGGCTCGATCCAGGCTGCATCCAGGCTGCATCCAGCGGCTGCTGCGCCACAGACGCGTCCGTGCGACGAGGCGCGACACCGCCTTCTGCACAGAACGCGGGCGGCGCTGCGCGGGGGCGGTGCCGAGCGCGCTGTCTGTGTGTGCGGCCAAGCCGTGCGCCGCGGGACAGACAGGGCGGCTTGGCGGCACACACAGACAGCGCAGGCCACACACACACCTGGCTCGAGCCACCCAAGCCGGCTGCAACCGCCGGGCTTTGCCTCCCCCCACCCGCCTGTCTTGTCCCTCGTCCTTCTCGTCCTTCTCTCCCCCCTCATCTTCCTGGCTTTGACCCGTCCGTCCTGCGCAATGTCCCAGTCCCAGTCCTCCCAGCAAGCCTCCTCCTCCTCTTCCGCTCCGGCCACCGAGGCGAGCCCCCTGCTGAGCGTGCCCTCGGGCGGCAAGCACCACAAGCGCCACGTCTCCTACTCGGACTATGCAAAGTCCTTCCTCACCACCCACCATGCCACCCAGATCCGCGTCGACATCTCCTCCAACGTGGTGCGGTACCGCTACATCGACGCTGTCGCCTACAAGGGCTCCGTCATCCCAAAGATCTTGATTCCCGCCACCATCGTCACCGTCTGGTCGTTGCTGTGGACGGTGCTCTACGAGGTCTATGAAATCACCTGGTTTGCCATCCCGCCGCAGCTCATCAGCATCCTCGGTGTCGTCATGGGTCTGCTGCTGGTCTTCCGCAACAACACCTCTTACGACCGGTAGGTTGGGTGCCAAGGCGTCCGTTCAAGCAGAGATGGAGTGACAGGCTTTGGCTCGCTGCTGCCACGCTGCTGCCACGCTGCCGCCATGCTGCCGCCCCTGCCATGCTGTCGCTCGTGTCCTGACCGCTCGCTTCGGCGCCATCCCTATCTCTGCATCGCCTCCACACGGCCTCTGCTTTCACAGATACTGGGAGGGCTGCCGCACATGGAGCTCCATCCGAACCCAGATCCGCAACATGGCCCGTATCATCTGGATCGGTGTTGCCGCCAAGGACGGCCAGCAGGAGGCGGTCTTCCGTCTCAAGAAGGGCGCCATGAACCTGCTCATGGCCTTTGCCTCATCCACCAAGCACTTCCTCCGCAACGAGCTGGACTACAAATACAGCGACCTCGCCCCGCTCATCGTCCACCTCCCCGACTACCACCCCTCCAACCCCAACCCTCCCGAGCTGGTCAACCTGCCCATCGAGATCTCGTTCCACCTGAGCTCGTTCATCTCGTACTGCAAGGAGCACGGTAAGCCGCGCCGCCTCGGTTGCTGATGGTTGAGCTGCTGCATGTCCTACTGGCCTGGTTGACTGGTGGTCCTGTTACGCGGCTGATGGGAGCTCCGTCCGCTGCACACCGATATCGGCGCCGTTACTGATCCGATACCCTCGCATCTGCATCCCTGCCGCCCCCGCCCTGCTCGGTCGCATCCCTCATCGAAACAACGCCACCCGCCTGCACATGCAGATCTGATCGACGGCGCTCAGCAGGGCGCCCTTAACAGCGGCCTCGCCAGCATCGTCGACTCTCTGGCCGTTTTCGAGCGTATCCGCAATACCCCGATCCCCGTCGCTTACAGCATCCACTTGAAGCAGACCCTGGTTCTCTACATCCTCTCGCTCCCCTTCCAGATCGTCGCTCCCCTCGGCTGGGCCACCATCCCCGTTACCTTCATGGCGGCCTTCACCCTCCTCGGCATGGAGTCCATCGGTGGCGAGATCGAGAACCCCTTTGGCTACGACGAGAACGACCTCCCTCTCGACGAGTACTGCACCACCGTCCGCGAGGAGCTCAACCGCATCATGACCCGCCCCACCGAGTACTCGCCCGATTCGTGGAAGGTTCCTTACGAGGACGAGATTGTTCGCCAGTCGACCATGTCTCTCAGCAAGGCTACCATCGAGAGGGCCAAGGCCATCATCGAGCGCAAGGAGAGCATCCGCGGCGAGAAGCTGGCGGCCCGGGTCAAGTTTGGCCAGGATTCGTCCTCGTCCTCGTCCTCGTCGACTGCTGTCTAAGACGCCAACGCTGTCGTTCCCTGTCAAGAGTCTTGCACTCAGCTTTGCCCAACCTCGCTTGGGCCTCGGCTCGTATCCGACACTTTTAGTTCCGTGGCGTGGGCCAAGGTCCTGCAGTCGCGGTCGTTAGTATCCCCCCCCCTAAATTGGCTTGCTTCTTGGATCGTTGTCTTTCGCAGTTGGCTGCATATTTGGACTGCCTATGGTTATGCAGTGTGATGGGCTGTGCAGCGTGTTGGGAAAAGCAGTGGGACGTTGTCTCGTTCGTTCAAAACACGCCATAGTCGGATCATATCGGCCAACGGTCCATTGGGTCGGTTCATCCGTGACTCCAGGGTCTCTGCAGTCGATGTCTCATCGGCCATCCGCGTTGGGGTGTTCTGTAAAAGTTTATGATCGGAAAAGTGTGCTGGGTGACATCACCCCGCTCGCATCACGAACCTGTGACATCACCACCCGTCCGAATTGTGTGCGGTTGGTTTGCGATTCCATCTGCGTCTCGCCCGATACCCAACGCCGAAACCAAGCGTCCGTCACTCAGCGTCCACAATCGACGATGCTCCCCATCGCCAGCGCAGAACCGCCTGGGCACCTATTTTCATCCATTGCTGCCACCGTATCCCCACGCAACTGCCGCAGAGCATACTCTTGGACATCCTGATGGTCAAGCCGCCGACCAAGAAGACCAACCTCTCGGCCGAAAAGGACGACGCTGTTCCCAACATGCGCGAGGCAGCCAAGCCGCCAGCCGACAATCGAGCCAAGCTCACCAAACGCCGGTCGACCCAAAACCGGCGCCCTTCCACTGTCCGTGAGGAGAAGGAAGCCAGTCGGGCCGGATATGTCTCGATCGACCCGAACCTGGTCATCGCCACGGGGATGAGCCCGGCAGAGCTGCAGGAGCTCATCGAGATCTTTTGGCTCGTGGACCTGGACCACGGCGGAACAATCGACATGGACGAGCTCGAGACCTTGATGACGACGCTCGGCTTACGGGTCTCCAAGGTATGAAAGGACTGCACCAGGAGGGACCAGAGGACACGGCACATGGCACATGGCATATGGCGCATGGCACATGGTATATGGCGCATGGACAGCCAGCCCGCTCGAATACCGACAGATCCGAGCCGCTCGCGTTGCCCATGTCGCCGATGCTGACCCCTCCACGAACGAACGAACGACATTGGTCCAGAACGAAATCGAAGCCCTCATGTCGGAGATCGACAGTGGCGAAGAAATCGATTTCGAGTGTGAGCAAATGGCCCTGCCACCACCATCCCGGCTGCCGCCATCTCTGCCCGCTTGCTCAGTGGCACTCCTGACGTTCTCTGCCTGCACCGCCAGCCTTCGTCAAAGCCATGTCGCGCAAAGTCCAGCTCTCCATGAAGGACGACAGCCTGATGCGGGCATTCCGAGTGTTTGCGTAAGTCGCCAGCCAGAGCTGCTCTGGATGCAGTCGACCTGCAGTCGATCTGCAGTCGAGACAAATCTTGATGACAGAGCAGCCGGCCGATGCCGTGGTGCGGACCGCATCCTCTACCCAGCATCACTTTGGCCCGGTATCGATCCAAAACTCGGATACCAGCAATGACATCTGTGCTTGCCATCCTCTCTCCCCACCTGTGCTTGTCATCCTCTCTCCCCACCTGCACTTGCATTACGCCAGCCCGCTCGATCGAGCCAACAATCGTGGACGAGAGGTTCACGAGGGCATGATATCCGTCAAGACAACGATCGATATCCTGACCGACTTTGGCGACGAGAACAAGCGACTCACTCGCGAGGAGGCCGAGGATCTGGTCATGCAGGCAAGTCCACCCGAGAGAGCACAGAGGCGGCTTTGGCTGTGGGATCGACGCCATTGCCCGGTCGCCTGTGTTGTCGTTCGGCTGACCATCTCCCACCCATCGCGGGACTGCGTGCAGGTGGTCCATGACATCCAGTCCGGGTTTTATGACTACAAGGCGCTGATCCAGATGTATACCGAGAAGCCGATCCAGGCCGGGGTGGCGGGCGCGGGGCCGGGACAGGGAATCCCCACGACAGCAACGACGCCGCCGACGTAACGGCGCCCAAGCCGAAATAGATCGACCTGGATACGCCGAGCATCGCTGCCGTACCATGATGACGAGCGAGTGGCGGGAGCCTGGGTTGTGTGCATCTTGGATAAACTCAGCGAGCCGATGGTATGAGGACATGGCACTAGACACTGCGTCCCAACGGCGAGATGCCAGCACACCGCAGCCGAAGCCATAACGCTCGGGAGCAACGACCATGGCGTTCCCACGCTCGTTCTTCGCTTCTCGCTCCCCCTCCCCACGAACCCACACCCGCCCACCCGCTGGCGCAGTGTCGGTGTTGCTGCACCAAGGAGCCAGTGTCGTCTGAATAGCTGCCAATACCGTGGGCCTCACCCGCACGGTATCGCACGACTGCATCGGGCCAATCGACGGTCGCGAATGTCTCAGGAAACAAAGCCAGCAGCAGCTCACCCGCAGTAAAGACCGGAGCGCACAGAGATAGCGGCTTCCGCCTATAAGACTGGCTGGTGCTCGCAGCTCCGAGACGCAAGCGCAACCACCCTCGGCCAAGGGGCTGGTGGTTCAAGGGCGGTGGGCAGGGTGGCGGGGGACAGGTGCAACAGCCTCCTTGCCGGCCTGATCGCACAGACAGACAAGCGCAGCGAACTTCGGGCGCCTCTCCCGGCCGACTGCAAGGGATGTCCTTGACCAGCCAGCGACATGGGCAACCACCATGCACCGACCGCGCCAAGTGCGCTGCATCGGCGGGTGTTACTCGCCAGCCAGCAACCCACCGGGGCCATCGCCTGTCTGCTCGTCTTCTGGACAAGCACTCCGTCCGCCAGCACTCCTCCTGCCGAGCTGCTGCCTATCGATTGGGCAGTCTCGCCTGTCCCCCCCTCGACTGCTTTCTCCCCCCCTCATCATCTCGGGCCTGTGTCCCGCGGTTCTCCAGCCCAGACCCGCTCTCGGCCGCGCGCATCCACTTGCTGTTCTCTCGAGCTCCGGTATCGCACCATGTCAGGTAGCTGGACCTATGCGGGCTGCTATGCCTCGTTCGTCTGGAATACCCCGGCGCTGGATACGTCCAAGTACTCCAATGACGAGCAGGGGTGCATCCGGGCATGCAGCACATTTGCCTACGCTGCCATCGGCTGGGTCTATCCGTCGTCGTCTCTGAAGTGCAACGAGGCCGTGTGCGTCTGTCTCAGCAATCTCTCGGCCGGAGCCAAGTGGGCCGACTCCTACTGCGACGTCAAGTGCAGCACTGGCTCGTCCTGCGGTTCCTGTCTTGGCAGCTGGGGCGTGAACACCTGGAGTGTCTATCAGGTAAGATTGGAAGCCAGGGCCAGAGCCCCCAGGGACTTGCCAGCCTCGTCGTTTGAACGCTCTGTCACTTGTTCCGAACGACCTGCGTGGTGCTTGCTCCAGAGATGGATGTGCTTCGCTTACTTGCTCGCTTGCTTGCATACTTGCTTGCACGAGACATGTCGGCTTGGCCAGAGACATGTCGGCTTGACCCGAGATCTTGTCGCTCAACATATCCCATCTTTGATTTTGACAACAGGCACCGAGTTCACCGCCATCGCCTCCTCCTCCTCCTCCACCACCACCACCACCACCTTCCCCTTCATCCACATCCTCGCCCGCACCGCCGGTACCCTCTCCTCCTGTGGGCCCGTCGGCGACAGCACCCTCAAATGCACCCCAGCCGCTTCCATCAACTCCAGCACCCTCTACTGCTTCCACAGCGGCTGTTCGTGGCCAGACATCGGTGTCCTCGCAAATTGCGTCGCTCCATGCCCCGGCCGGATCAACCATGGCGGTCGTCAGCGGAACAACCACTATGATACTCGCGACCACGACGTCCGCAGGCGCCTCTGACACCAGCAATGCTGTCCAAACCAACTACAACCTGTGGATGATCCTGTTCATCGCCACCATATCGCTGTGCTTGCTCGTCTTGATCCTGTTCTTTGCCGCTCGGCGATGCCTTGCTCGTAGTAAGCAGAGCCACGACCTCCCTCCAGGTGCGGCTCCAGTGGCTGTCATGCGCTTTGAGCCCCGACGGAACTTTTCCATCGACATGGTCCCATTGACCCAGGCGGGCGATCTCGGGCTCTCGCCGGCAGCCTCGACGGCTTCCATTGGCCTCCACGACAGCCGCGCCCATATCAGCAGCGACCACCCCCCAACCACCCAGGCGGTCGCTCTTCCGTTGCCGGTGCGGGGCATGACACCGCCACCGGTCTACGATATGATCCAGCGGATCGAGGCGGCGGCTTACCGAGAATACCCGACAGCGGGCACGCTGGAGAGATTGCATGCCTCGGAGCCTCGACCGACAAACGTCTTTGTCGCATGCCGGCCTTTCACCGCTTCCGAGGACGACGAGCTGAGCCTGAACGCCGGAGACCTCGTCGAGATCAGGTGAGTGCTGGCGGAGTGCTATCATGCCGGGCTGCAAGACGTATCTCGATACTAACCTGGGATCGCTGCGCTCATATGACAGCCAAACCTATGACGACGGCTGGGCGCATGGAAAGAGTCTGGCCACAGGTCGATCCGGCATCTTCCCGATCCAGCTGGTTGTCTCGCTCTCGCCCAGTTCCAAGATCTATGAAGCCACCTTTGGTGCCCCGGCCACCTCATGAGCCCACAAGAGAGAGCACTCTTCGCTGCATGCTCAGGCGACACGACATACCTGGTGGCTGCAGCAGCAGCAGCAGCAATTGCAGTAGTAGCAACGGCTGGCTGTCGGCCTTACGTCTTGCTTCGCCAGTCGGTTCTTCTGTCTCTTACCATCCATCCTCCATCAATGATCCTCACCCTGGCTGCATTTGCTCTGCCGGTCCAATCTATCCATTAGTCTGTCTGTCTATCTATGTAAACCATTGGCCCGATTGTTTGAGCAGACCTCCACCGGGTTGCATGGGGTGGCCAAGATATGAAACATAGTTACCGCTATCGCCACTGACATATCGCCGTTCTTGGCGGCGTGTGCCTTTTGGAACCACTTGAGAGCGCTTCGCCTGCAACTGCCGACGACAGCACAGGCCGGGCCATGTTGGACGGCACCGCCCGCGGCGAGGTAATCTGGGCTCGGCGGCTACCATATATACCCCCATCCCCAAGAGCCAGCATATAAGGGGGGGGATGGGGACAGGCCATGTGGGTCGCTCTGCCAGATCGCAGCGATGCATTCCCACGATGCATCGGCGCCTGTCGGCGCTGGCCAATGGCTGCTGGTGCCAGTCGACGCAGCGCAAGGCCCACCCACTCCCCCCCATCGCCGCGAAGGCCAGATCGCAGATCGCGCCCGCCAGCCTCCCCACCCACTCCTGGTCCCCACGAAACTCTGCCCTTGTCGTCGCCCCGTTTGCGCTCACAATCCTCTGGCCGAGGCGCTTGCGGGCGTATGAAGATGCATAGGAAAATGGGAAAGGGCGCAAGGCAGAGGCTGCACAAGCGATGACGGAGGCTGCTCTGGCAAAGCCGATGTGCATGCAAATCGGCGCTCTGCAGCCGCCTCGCCGGTGCCTGGGCGAGCCCCGCCTGCCCTGCTCCTCCCCCTCGCTTCGTCCTTCGTTGGCTTCTGCTGCGGGCATCTCGCCTGGCCATGATCGTTGTCGTCGTTGCCGTCGTCGCCACCATCCTCAAGCTCTCCTGCACCAAGAATGTCCCTCACCGGCTGGACCTATGCTGGCTGTTACTCAAGCATGTGGTGGACCCGCACCCCACTCGATACCTCGCAGTACTCAATCTCGATCGAGGGCTGCATCAGCCAGTGTGCCTCGTCCAACCCGGGCTATGTCGCTGTCGGCTGGGCCTATGCCTCTGGGACGCAAAACTGCAATACCCTGATGTGTTCGTGTCTGCCCAATCTGTCGCAAAGCACCAAGTGGGCGGCTTCCTCCTGCAACCAGTTCTGCTCCGGCAATGAGCTGTGTGGGTCCTGTCTCGAGGGCACGGCCGGCAACAATCCTTGGTCGGTCTACCAGGTACGAACAAGTCCGCAATGCAATGCATTGCCATGCAGTCTTGTGCACGATTGGGTCCGGCACGCAGTGTTGCCGAGTCGCCGGCTCTGCGCAACTGTTATCCAGGGACATGTCTTGCCTGTCATGTCACGATCGCCAAGGCAACTACTTCCCAACCATCTTCTCACCCAACCATCTCACACAACACCCAGATTATCGGCGGCATCAGTCCACCACCTCCCCCTCCGCCGCCTCCACCTCCTTCTCCTCCCTCTCCTCCGCCTCCTCCTCCACCACCACCGCCGCCCCCTGCTCCTCCAGCATCCAACGGTCCGCCGCCGGTCTCGGCGACTCAGAACACCAACAATGCTCCTTCTCCCACCTCAGCCTCTGCATCGGGCTCAGTCACCAATGTCCCAAGCATCACCGCCGGTCCAGCAACGTCCGGCACAGTCTCGCCGAACATGACCGTCGTCACTGTTGTCATCTCTGGCTCGCCCGTGTTCATCACCACCCTCCTGCCCAATCCAACATCAGGACCAGTCGCTCCAAGCACCTCTGGGACAGGGCCAAACACAGTGATCATTGTCCTCGCTGTCGCCATACCGTGCGTCTTGATCATTGGCATCCTGCTTGCCGTCCTGGTGTACAAGTCAAGGAAGGGCCGTCTGACAAAGGCAGGGGCATCTGGGAGCATCGGCGGCACTGGCCGATTCGGCGAACGCAATCCGCAGCTGCGGGGCCAGTACCAGCCCGACGACGTCGAAGTTCTCCCCTTGACCGATATCCCGTGGCCATCGTCGACCGTGAGCACCTCTGGCGCACGGCTGTCCGAGAGCTCCAACGGCCCGGGCCTGGCAACGCCGATAGTGCCCGCCTCCAGTTCGGCTCTGCCCTCAACGAACTATTCGGTTCGCACCATGTCACCGCCACCGCAGTATGAGCATATCACCAGCGCAGCCTTGGCAGCCACAGGAAGCGACACCACCGGCGAATCGAATCCGCAGCGCGAGCTCTTCGTCGTCAGCGTGCCCTACCGGGCAATGGAGGAGGACGAAATGACAATGGAGCTCGGAAATGTGATTGAAATCACGTAAGCCCATGCCCGGCCAACCCTCTCTGCGCCTGCAATGTCCAGCGGATGGAGCGCGGCAGGGCATGTGTGGGAACGAGCCACCAATCTGTTGGACTCACACCTCCTCCCCATTCTCACATTTGCAGCGAGAGCTTCCCGGACGGCTGGGCAGCCGGCGTCAACAAGAGCACAGGCAAAACAGGCATCTTTCCCCTCAACCGGATCGTCTCGGTCGCGCCCGAGTCCAAACTCTATGAAGCCATGGGGGATTCTCGCCTTGCATCATAAGTTGTCCCGATGGATTGTACCTTCAACCATGTCTATCGCATTGCCGAGGCGCTACCACATCTTTAGGAACAAACAGAGATTCGGAATCGTGGAGACACCACCACCGATGTTGCAAGGGTCGACCTGCATGCCAAATCGTCCTCCTCAACTCCGCCAATATCGCTGTCAGGACTGCGATGCACCCGCTACATCCATGGGTCACGCCGTCGATAGGCAGCGCTCTTGGACGCACTGACGATGGCGGTTACCACGCGCAGGCTGTGTATTGAGTGTAGCGCCGAGGATTCTGATGAAGGCAGCGTTCTTGTGCATATTTAATAGACACGTATGTCTTCGAGATCCGCTATTACAGTTTGTTGAGAGCGAAGCGGGACAGTGGCGTCTCCAAGCATCCTTTACATCAACTGCTGGTTGTCTGTTTGAGGGGGGGGGAGACATAGTCTTGAATACATCTGGTCGAACTCTTGTGGCATAGATCGAACGAGTCGCTCGGCGTGTGTTCTTGGCCTTGGAGCATCTCTGGCGATGGATGGGTGTATTCAGGATCCAGACCATGACGGCACACCAAGCCCATAAACAGAGTATTCCGCTTCGATGCACTGTAATATCGACGTCGGCCTCAGCGCGGAGAGGTGCCCCGTCACTTCTTGCAGGACTTGTACAGGTACCAGCGATGTACTGTTGGCAGCACATTATAATCTCATCTGCCAGCTATCGCTCTTCTCGGATGATGCGGTTGTGCTCGTTCAGCTGCTGGGTTGTTGGGAAGCCCACGTCCCAGAATCTTCAATTCCACCAGAGCAGGGAGGGGTGCAAGCCATCAGAATCGAGATGTTGAGAGGAGGAAGTCGCATGAAATCGAACTCTGGTTGCCGATGCTTCGATGGTGGATCACAAAGTGAGGGCGCCATCGACAGTGGGTGGAATTCACTCACCCCGGGGGAGATGTCGGCGGAGGCTGATACAGGTATTTGTGCCGAGACACCTTGTTCAACTGTTGTTTGTCGTGACCAACCTCCTTAAAGTACTATAACATCATCAAATACAGTATGAGGTCGTCTGGGTCATCCAGCGAGCATCCAGCGGGCATCCAGCGGACATCGAGTGCAGACGCTGTTCATACCAGATGGCAGTTGTGGCAGTCCGTGCCATGCAGACAGCTCCGGTCCTCCTTCTTTCGAAACACTTGCTTGTACTTGTAAGCCACATCCGGCCGTCGCCAGCCCTCCACTCGCTCGTCTTCCTTGGCAGACGTAACGGCGGCAGCAGATGCTGGTTTATCGCTCTTGATCCGACCGGTGGTGCTGCTTGCCTGCCCATCTTTACTACCGCCTCCATCCTTGGAACCAGCGTCGTTCCTGGCGCCACTTTCCGTCTTTCGAACGCTGGGCTCTCGGCGGCCGTTCTCGTCGTTTGTTAAGAGGACATGGTTTGGGTTTGGCCTTGGGCCACTCTCCGGCGCCTTGGCTTCCAGGATTGAGTCGGATTTCGCCCGCTTCAGCATTTTGCGTGTGGATAGGCTGGGCGACGGAAGAGGCTCCATGTCGTCTCCCAGCCACTCGGGCGAGCGGGTTTGTGCGGCCGCCGACGTCATATTCTCCGCGCCTTGTTCTTCCATCACAGAATATTCCTCCAAGCGAGAGTTGGGACGCTTCAGTGCGCCCTTGGTCGTCTGGTGGTCATGATGCTTCTTGAGCATCGATATCGGTCTGCGCGTGAGATCGACAGATACCGTGCTTTCAACTAACGGCAATTTAGACTTGCCGAGACCGGGACCCGCCCGTCCTCTGGCGAGTGGGGTCTCCTTGACGAGGATCCGCGGCGGACGGACGTTGGATATCGGCGTTTCGAGCATTGCAGATTCCTGGGCCGGCTGCTGCAGTCGCTGTGGCCGTTTCGGCCGCGCTGGTGTCTCAAACGCCAGAACAACGTCGTCATTCAGTTCCTCGTCGTCCCCGTCATCGTTGCAGTGAATATCTGCGTCTTTGCCTTGGTCGTTCAGAGCGCTTTTGACTTTGCTCTCTCCTTGGTGCGCGTTGCTGCTCTCGTCTTGATCATCTGAGATGCTCTCATCCAATTCCACTTGGGCGGGCACATCCTCGCTCCGGCTCTTGTCCGCGACGATTTGCCTTGGCTTAATCGGGAAAGGGAACAGATCCTCGATGTAGTCCAGCATCGAGCTACGAATCGCTCGCGAGCTCTGGGAGGCTGGCGTACCTTCGAGCTCCGGCGAACTTGACGGATCACGGCTACGGGGTGCACGATGTTGTGGCGATAAGATGCGACTCTTGCTTCGACCACCAGCTTCTGGTTGAAAGAACAAAGCCATGTCGTCCTGACTACCACGGCGATCGCCATGGCCGCCACCGTTTGGATCATGCCCATGCTCGCCGCGACGATGGCTGTCGTCTGTGTCATTGGCTTCCCTGTCGCCAGCATCGCTGTCTTCCTTGTCTGTATCAATGACGATGACGGACTGCCGCCGCTCCGATGGTGTCGGCGGCATTCTGCGCGGCGTTGGCATGGACGAGAGTTCGGGCGAGGTTGGTGTGGATGCTGCCAGCGGCCGCGGCGGAATCGGGCTGGACAGACTGTGGAGAAAGAGCGTCAGACGACATGAGCGATAGCCTTCATACAGGATGCCATTCTGCACAAACCGCGGGCCGGATGTCCGTCCGCGATATTACCGTTGGCGTGTATTCGGGGTTGGGATGGCAGATCGGCTTGTCTGGTGGGTACGGGAGAGGCCAACATGAACAAGATTAGACCATGGTCGCCAATCAAGTGCTACAGCGATGGAGTAGACGATACGAGCAACAGAGCAGAGGCTCGACAGACACTCACTCCTGCGGGCGACCGGGCCCTGGGCGCTTGCTGCAGTCCATCGGCATCTGTGTCAGCCAGAGCGCTGTCGAGACCTTGGAGCAGCCCGGAGTGGGACGACAGCACAGCGTCGAGGGTAATCCACGGCGTATCTTTCCAGGCCTTGGCAAGCGATCTAAGCAGCGGATTCCACCTCCCGGCCAAGGGTTCATCGTTGCTGGGTTCGTTCGCCGACTCGGCACCGCGAGGTTTGTCGTCGCTGCCGCTGTCGTTGGTTGTGCGGGTTTCGTCAGGGCTGATCTGTGGGGTTTGCTGACCATGGCATTGGCGACACTGATAGCCGCGGCGCTGTCTAGGTGCATCATCGTCGGCCACGTCATCGAAGGCCTCGGCTTGCGAGTGGATGGTCATGTATTTGCCCTCAAGCTGGGAGATGCGCACGAGCGCCGTCTGGTAGCTGCGGGAGAGGTCGCCAAAGGGGTTAATGGCTCCCTGAAAGCCAACGAAGCACCATGCTGCCAAATGGATTGCTCAGCGTCCTGCATGCAACTACGGCCGAGGCCCCGAGACCTGCAACTGAAGAACGAGCAACTGAAGAACCGGCACGGCTCGGGCAGAGGCCACTTACGATCGACGCAAGGTCAACAGCTCCTCCTGCAACGAATCGCGCTCTTCGATGATGTGTGCGGCATGTCGCTCTACTGCCTCTCGCACGGCTGCGGCGACGGGCCGAACGTGGTATTGAGTGTGGTATTGGGCGTGGTATTGGGCGTGCATAGATGCATTTCAGAGGCGGGAGGTTTAGAGCCGATGAATGGGCACGACGGAAACGCTGGGAGCTCTGTCCAGGCCGGGGATCGGGATGCAAAGACAAGGATGCTGGCCAAGGGAGCCACTGGGCAGCCTGCATGATGGCAGCTGACCTCGGTTGACCTCGTCGACGTGGGCTAGGTGCAGGCTCTGCAGGGCAGAGCGAAACGACATGGCGGGCGAGGGCGATCGGAAGCAGAGGCGGCCAAGAGCAAATGCTCGAAAGGACCATGTTTGGCGCGGTTGGAGCAGCGCAGTCGTCCCCAACCCACACAAGCACAACCACACGAATGCTCACGATGCTCACGCTGGATGTTGGGGGTGACTCGGGACGGAGAAGCACAGATCCAGCGATCGAGCAGCGATGAGTCCTGACCAGCGCGCGGTGCGTTGGGGGCAAGCCGGGATCTCTCTTTTATTGTTGCATTCCTCAATAGAACTGCGATACGCAGAAGAGCGGTGCAGGGATGGCCACGAAAGACGGCGTGTCGCAAGGGAAGGACAGCAGAGGCATGTTGCAAAAGGAAGCGAGCGAGATAGTGAGTAATCGTATCCAGACTGCGTGTGCCGGACACCCTCGCAGGGCTACTTGCCTCGTTGAAATTCACTCTGAAGTTCAGGAACTTGAGGTTCGAATCCGGATAGGCCGAGAGCGAGGCGAGCAGGTCTTTGAGCTCGTCCTGGATACAACACAGCAAAAGTGCGTTGCCGATCAATAAACTGGGCCAATCGACCTACTGGGGCAGCTCTGCGGGATCTCGTTTCTGCGGGACTGGGCGCCACACATACCCTGAAGGCTTTGGATACGCCGCTGATCATCGACCGTATCTTCTCGAGCTTTTCAGGGTCCAGAACAGCGACATCGCTGGTGTGATCGCCCGAGGCAAGGCCAATCGACTTCTATGTTGGGCACGAGAAAGGGTGCATACAGATATTCCCTCAGAGTGAGCAGGGAGGGACGCAGTTGCGTGGCTCAAGACGGATGCGCACGCCTATACGGATGGAGAGATACAGCAACCATCCGCGCATTGGGATCGCTGCACCCACCTCGAGTCTTTGCCTGTACTTTGTCTTTTCGTTGTCACTCCTCAGCCGCAGAGCGATCATGCAGTAGTCATGCAGTGCATCCTGTGCGAAAGTGGATGTTGGGCAGGGAAAGTTGACCGCGGAGGTCAGCACCAGCACCAGCACCAGCACCAGCACCAGCACCAGCACCAGCACCAGCACCAGCAGGCCCACCTGCACTTGCTTGAACTTGAGAATGATTTCAAACAGCTTCAGGAACCGACTTGAGATCGACACTTGCGACGGGCCCGGCTGAGCATCCAAATCAAGTCACAGCATTCGGTTAGGACCCAGACATAATATACCAGCATCGAAACGAAGCCAACCGGAGGAGAGCGAGGGTCCGGGCGAGAGACTTTGTCCGCTGTCAAGCCAAACAATCGATCCTGATTCTCAGCGCAAACTCACCATCGTGGCCAAGAAAGACTTGGTCAAGATGTTGTTTAGATACCGTATGTGTGCCGTGATGAGTTGGTCCAGGTCGCCAGGCTTGGACTTGATGAACCCATAGAGCTCGTCCCAGGAGCACTCGAGAACCTGATCGCGGTGGTCACGGACCCGTGAGGCACAACATCGGCAGACACATGAGTGGCTTGCCACACGACGCAGCGCTGCCGCTGGATCTGTACTCACCTCAAACTGCATGTAGTACTGCAACTGCTGAATGAAATGGATCATTTCGCCCCAGACAACGTGACACGTGTGCACGTCCTTTCGTACATCTGCCATGGAGAGAAGTGGGGCGGGTAAGTACGAGCGTCTGGAGGGATTCGGATATCTCATGCACGCGGCAGTAGACCAAGGAAAGGATCGCTCCAAGACTGGGACAGCTACCTTCCAGCCGCCGGAAGCTATTCGCCGTCTGCATGTGCCGGGTCCATGTTGTCGAAAGCACATGCTCAATGCGCTTGAGCCGCCAGAGGAACGAAAACAGCTTGAGATAGGTCATCATGGCGTCCGGGTTCAGGATGGTGTTGAGCGGCGGATCGACATAGTAGTCCAACGTGAAGACATCCCATCCGGTGTCGCCCTCAGACATCTGCGGGATTGAGGCGAGGGAGAGTCAGTGCAAGGCCAAGCGGCCGGGCGGACGAGCTTCGCACAGCGACTGCTACATTCACAGAGGCATTTCGGTGCATACCTCGAGCAAGCGAACATCCAGACGCCGAACGATATCCGGGTGGTCGTACTGTGCATTTGATGCTCGAATGGCGGCCTCCAGGGTCGCCGTGATGTTGTGTTTGAATGTGAGCGCGGCCGATTTCGAGAGGCTTGGCCTGCCGACCGTCAAGAAACCCAACCCTGGTCAGACAGAGGGTTGCTGCAAAGCTGCAGAACGCCGCGAGACCCGCACACCGCATGCACACACGGCCCAACGTACCCAAGCGTATCCATGAGGTACTGCACAAAATCGCCTTGGCCAAGGAGCAGGTATCGCTTGAGCGCCATCAGGTGCTCAATCAGCTTGAACTTTCCAAACAGAGAGTCGAGTAGGTACTGGCTGGTCAGGGTGTATCCCGTGTCGATGGTGGCCTCCAGCGAGCTGTAGTCGTCGAAACTGAGTCCTGCAGCACCCGCAACGGCATGTCAGAGAGCAGCAAAAGCCGAGACCACAGCGTCCATTTCACCCACTCACGGAGTCGGCAATCAGCGCCGGCAGCCTACCCTTTTGGTTCGATGATTCTTTGCTCCGCCGAACCACAAACGACTCGTCGCCGCAGTCAAACCGGATAAAGTTGATGGACTTTCCAATGAGCAGTATCTGCACGGACGAATGCCATGGCCGTTAACGACCGCCAGCTGAGGTTTCGAAGCGATACAGCTCCAAGTTGCATCCACGGAGAGCTCGGACGAATTACCTTCTTTGCCACAGCCGAGTTGATGAATGCCGGCACCATCTCCAGACGAATGCTGTACTTTGTGCGCCAGTGGTTCTCGTGGTCCACCAGGTCCGGTGACGAAAACGCAATGAAGAACTCTTCGTACGGATCCTCGAGCTCGCCCTCATAGATCCAGCGCTTCAGCATGTCATAGAAGGGCTTGGTCACCTGTTGAGTGAGTGCCAGAGCATGCAAAGGCAAGGCCGTGGTGAGCGCTGTGATGTCGCCATTACCAGAGGAGCATAGTTGCAGTCAAGGAGCATACCTACCTTCACCAACAACGACTGGATAAACGATTTGACGAGTGGGTCGCCATGGTTGTTGTAGTTGTGGATCTGTGATATCAGAGCACCGCCGCGGTGTCCTGAAGCCGATGAAACCTCATTCAGAATCTCGGTTGCCCAAACGAGATCCAGTGCAGCACTCGACCAAGGGCGTGATGCAGACCTCGAACGGCATCGATCAGGACATTCAGTACTCTGAGGCGCTGCAGAGGGTCGTGCGTCCAGACACAAAGGCGCTTGAGAGTCAGCCCCTTGCCCAGGAATCTGGCCGGGTCGCCTGGTTCCTGAAGCTGAGCCTCGATGACAGCCACAAATCGATAGTAATCGGTGATCTCGCTTTGCAGGGCCGATGCAAAGCTCTGCAATGCAAGGAGTGTGGGTCAAAGCCGTGTGAGTCGATAAAGCATCGGCGATCAGCCGAAGCAGCCCGTATCCAGGGAGTCGCGAGATAAGGGTATTCACAGGGAACCGTGCAGGCGTAAGCCAGCAGCAAAACTGCGCCGTTTAAGGAATAGGCAATCGCCCATGGCCATAGAAAACGCAGAGGAAACGTCGACAAGCACGACCTCGCATGCGATCGAGATCACAGAAGGAGCAAGTAGAAGCGGCAGCAATCCAAGCCATGGTCGACTGAGGCCGAGATTCGCACCTGGCAGATCAGACCTTGCGAGGGGTCGCGCTGGGACTCTTGGACAAACAGGCCGATCTTGCGGTAGAGCAGTCCCATCTCGCTGAGCTTGGCGAGAAGGCCACGGACGGGGTTGGAAATGTTGGCGGAGGGATCAACCACATAGGCGTCGTGTTCAGCCCGGTAGTGGATGTATCGGCCGTCGATGCCCTGGAATACAAAGACAATGTCTCGCAGCAGATGAGCCTCGGGTACGGGAGTGTCGTCGTCAGCGTAGTAGCTGTTGAGGAGTTGCATCTTGGACAGCATCCGGTCGGACGCCGAGGTGTGCTCGACACTTGGAACGGGCTCGAAACTCGACAAGCTTTCAGCAACCTTCTCCTCGACCAAGTCTCGGTGCTGGCGGATACTGGAGGACAAAATCTACCCAGTAGAATGGCGAAGCAGCAGGTACGTTGTGAGGAGATGCATCGAAGACTACAAACAGCCGGACAATGACACTGATGTATCCGTCATTGGTTGCCCACATACCTGCGAAAGTCCGGGCGATGCCAGACTAGCCTCACTCTGGTCTCCGACGGCCATGAGAAAGTACAGGATCTCGAAGCGCCGCTTGAGGGCATGCTGTAGGTTGAGGCAGGCAGACCAGAATGGTCAGAGAACAGCCCCAAGAGCGATCCGACGACGGCGATCCGAGCTCGGTAAGGCGGCAGCGACAATACCTTGGTGCAGAGGCTCGCATGGAGCCGAGAAAACTGCAGAGCCGAGTCTGAGTTGCCGGCCTTGCGGAGGACTGGAGCAAGCCCAAATATCGCATTGCCGACAGCGACAGTGCAGATCGTCGAGTCCGGTGGCATGGATCCGCCCAGTGCGAAGAATCATGGTGAGTTGGTTGGAGCGCTGCTGCATTTGCCCATGCCGTCGGAACTGCCACGTCCCTGGGCCGTCCATACGGTGTCTATTATACTCCCGTCGATCCAACAAGGCTGTATGCCCTGAACAGACAACGATCGATCGCGGAGGCGAGAGTCAAGGGAATCGAAAGACATACGCTTCTTCTTGATCATCGAGACGACGTGGTGTTCATCGCGGGCCATGGTGCTCATGCGGCTTCAGACACCATTCAGAAAAGCAGAGAGTAAGAGGGCAGAAAACAAGAAACATCCAAGAGCTGGAGCAGCACCCGAGTCCCCCTCCACACGACGATCGCGAGCTGGCGGATCGAGTCTACCTGGAGAGGATCTGGAGGGCGGATCCACAGAGCTCCTGGATCTCGCCTTCGGTCTTGATCCCAGCTGCATGCCAGAGAGTACGGCGGCAGGAAAGACGGATTAGCGAGCACGGCGGCGCCAGAGGGCGGCGATGTGGGCAGCAAGTGCATTTGGCAAGCGCTGCGTACCTGGATCAGCCGTGTGCTGAACGAGCGATCTGACATTTGCAGCCACGGCCGAGGACGACGACGAGAGCATCGACGGCGGCAGCACCGACGCAGGCGAGGCCAGACGGGACTGCGGCTGATCCTGACCAAGCATCGAACGCATAAACGGAGACGATACGGGCTCGGCGGCGTCGCCAGTCGGATGGGAGCCGGGGTGGTGGTGGGCTGGGCAGCAGCTTGGGTTTGCGATCGAGCGAGAGGATGCTGGGTCGGTGCTGGCGGCGTTGCCTGCACCAGGAGCCGGGCGCCAACGAAATGGGCCCTGCCTGGATCGCACCCGCCCATCTCGCCCCTGCATCACGATGAGCTCCGTATCCATCGAAGCCCTCGGCTCCGTCGTCAAGCATCAGCTCGACTCTGTCTCGGACGAGCTGCGGGAGATCAGTCTGCAGGTGAGCCGGCCTTTCAGCGTCCCCGCCGAGTCAAGGCTGCCTTTGGGGGTTTCTGCCAGCATCCAATACTACCCCCAGACACACATCTCGCCCCAGATGCATGTCGCCCACAGCTAATACATGCCACTGGCCTGGCCCGTCTGGCCGTCCCGCGCAGATCCATGCCCGTCCCGAACTTGCCTATGAGGAGGTCTTTGCTCACGAGCTGCTGACGGACTATCTCGAGCGAAAGGGCTTTCGGGTCGTCCGACAGGCGTGCGGACTCAAGACCGCTTTCGTCGCCGAGTACACCTCTGCAGCCGCCCAGAATGCCCCAGCGTCAAGCAAGGTCGCTACTGTCGGCTTTCTCTCCGAGTATGTCCAAGTTGCCAACTGCGCTGATCAGCAGCCGTCCTATGACAGACAATACCTATCGCTGAGCCGATGCCCTATCGAACGAGCTTTCCTCGCCTCTGCGATAATCACTGACCAAAACACCCACCCCCGCACTGCCCCTTCCAGATTCGATGCTCTGCCCAAGATCGGGTATGTCGAGACATGCGCATCGATGATGCATAGGCTGGCAAGCAACGGCGCGCAGACTGGCAAGCAGTGCGTTCGTCATCGACTAACACTGCAACCGAACCAACTCTCGGCCTGGTGGCAATCTGTCGAAATCGGACACCAAGACATGCATGCGGCCACAATCTGTAGGTGTCAATCGCTATCATCTTGTTCTCGACTCAGTTCTTGCTTGACGCATGGGTCCTCATGCTCGACGACACTGCTGTCTCGGTCGTGGTACTCTTGGGTGCTCTGCTCCTGGCTTGTCCGAGCGGGCGACGCTTTGGCGGACCTCGGCCTGCGTGGAGGATGGGCTGCTCCCACGATCGAGACATTGGGAAGCAAGTGCTCCCCACGGCCCAGGGCCATGGTCTCGCCGGGGTGTGCGCTGATGACCCCTCACTCCGACAACACTCGCTCGCCAGGATTGCTATCTGCGGAGTCGCAGCGGCCCTTGGATTCAAGGCGGCCGTCGACAAGTTTGGAATTGCAGCCCACCTGAAGGTGTTTGGGTCGCCGGCTGAGGAAACCACTGGTGGAAAGATCCATATGATCAAGGCCGGCGCCTTTGAGAATGTCGACCTGGCCCTCATGGCTCATCCCGGCAACGCGTATGTGACTGGCACGGACGATGGGACAAATCGCTGGTTTGGCTTTGGCGCTGGGAACCCTCCCCCGATCCTGGTCTCGTTGGGGGGAGGAGTGCACGCTCGGGCATCCATTCGGGCTTTTGCTAACGGCAGTCGCGACGACATGTCGATGCAGCGACTTTGTCTATGCTCAGTACTTGGCCTTGCAGGGCCTGCATGTCAGCTACCACGGCAAGTCTTCCCACGCCGCGGCCGCTCCCTGGGACGGCGTCAACGCCCTGGATGCCGTAGTGATGGCCTACAACTCGATCTCGATGCTGAGGTAAGCCGCACAGCGGTCAATGTCTGCAACTTGGTGGGGCACTACCGTCGAGGCGGCCCGTGGTTGCTCATCGCTCCGTCATCTGCGTATCCCAAAGACAACAGAGCCTGCCCACCAACCGAGTCCATGGCATCATCACCAACGGCGGAGCTGCTCCAAACAGTAAGCTGGCGCAGTGGGAGTGTCAGCGGCGGCAAGTCGATGACAGAGCTGCAGGCGTATGTCCTGGCCGATGCACCATGTCGTGCAAGACGGTATCAGCGCCCTTACCTCGTTGCTGCCATCCCAGCCATCCCCGACTTTGCCTCGTCGATCTACTACATCCGGTCTCAGCGACTCGCGCAGCTGAACGAGCTCAAGGCCAAGATCTTGGGCTGTCTCGAGGGAGCCGCAGCTGCAACCGGAGCCAGGCTTTCGCTCGAAGAGGAAGCGGCATTTGCCGACGTCCGACAAAACGAAGTGCTGGCGCGGCTCTACGACCGACACATTCGCTCCCTTGGGGCCACGATCGCCATGGACCGCAACAAGCAAGAAGAAATGCCCAAGGGCTCGACCGACATGGGCAATGTGACCCATGTGGTGCCTGGTACGCAGATAAAGTCGGATTACGATCGACGTAGAGGCTACGATGCCGATCCGGGTCTGGAGTAGCCTGTCATACGACTGCGACTCGGTGTGCTGCGATTTGCTATCTCCTCAGTCTCTCTCACACGGCCTCTGGACCTCGATCCCATTCCAGGCATCCATCCAATCTTTGACATTGGCTGCAATTCGGACATCCACACCGAAGACTTTCGCGAAGCAGCCAAGAGCCAGCTTGCCCACGAGCGCACCCTGCGGTGCGCTGCGGCCCTGTCGCTTGTCGGGCTCGAATGTGCGACGGACGCCCAGCTCCTGGCAGAGGCTACGGCCGATTTTGCCAGCAAGTAAAGCGATGCCAAGGCTGCGGTGCAACAACCGGGCCGGCTGGATCAAGGCACAGGATCAAGTGGCATCAAGTTATTGTCGCGGCATTCCCGTCTCGATGTGAATGGATCGCAGCTCCTGCTATCATTACGGCAATACATTGACACAATAGCACCTATCCGGAGACTGAAACAACGACAAAAACAGTGGCTCCATGATACGCTTCTCGAGGACAGCAGCGGCAGGGCAACATGAACAACAGCGGCAGTCGCTGTGGCCCTGCGTGGGGCGCAGCACAAGACATCCCATCTCGAGCAAGGGTCGGTGCTGTTGCTGTGCGGCTGCGAGGCTTTGAGTTGCAGCCATGGCAACGGCGGCAGAAACGACAGCGACAGCACCATCGACAGCTGAAGGAGCTAGGATTCTTTCAGGCCAGGCTCACATTGCTCTGGAAGGCCTCTTCAACCAGCGAGTCGACAATGTTCTCCTCGACTTCGCTCAGAATACTTTCGCGGTCAGTGTCGTAGGCCCAGGCAGCCGAATCGCTGGCCACGGGGAGCACAGACTCGCCGGCGGCTTGGCCGACTTCGTCCGCAGGGCGAGATAGGTCGACAACAGGAGCAAAATGGCGCGTTCGACACAGCAGCAACGACACCATGCCAAGAGTAAAGAAGCCGCCAATGATAAAGAAGATGAGGTTGGGCATGGTCCTGACGCTGGTCGAGTAGACGTAGCCGTAAAAGATGGGCGAGATGATCTTGGCAAGCTGGTCAATCAGCTCGAGGGCAGAGAAGAGGCGGGCTTGGTTGTCGGACGAAGTTGATCTCGAAAGCAGGCTGCGAGCAGTCGGACCCGCGACGATGCCAAAAGCATCAAACATGGCGACTGGATCACGGTGCGCCCAGCACGGCAGATCAAGACGGAGTTGGCGAATCAGTACGCTGCTCAGGTCAACGGGAAGGGGGGGGGAGAGGCTCACAGCTGGAGGCTACAGGCAGCAGCTGAACAAACATCGAGGCGCCGACTGGCTGATGGAATTGCAACCTGGAAGAACTACGCTTGTTCAGGCACTCACCGGCATAGAGCATCCAGCTCTCGGTTGCAAGACCAATCAGGGTGTAGCCCACAGCGAGCAACAGCAAGGCGATCTGGATGATTGTGATCTCGACGCGGATGCGAGTCAGCAGCGTTTTGCCCGTCGCAAACTTCTTCATCACGACGGGAAGCACCAGCGACATGTAGAAAATGCGGGCGAAGGATGCCACAAAGAGGAAGGTGCCGACTTGCAGAGAGTCCCAGCCAAAGCGCAGGTTGGTGTAGAGAACCAATCCGAAGGAGGATCCGCCCGTGGCCATGGCCATGCAAAAGTACATGAGCGCGACCAGGGTGCGAGAGCGGTTACTGCCCTCGCCGGCAAAGATGAGCACCGTCTGGTAGAAGGCTTCGCGGTAGTCGGCAAAGGAGGACAGCGTTGGCTTCTTGAGGCGGGCCGAAGTCGACCGGAACGAGTCGGCGGTCGAGCCACGCGGCGCAGAGGAGGACGATGCGGAAGGCTCGACCTGGTTAAGCAGGGACTCGGAGTCCGCCGACTCGACTGGCTCCAGCCTGGATGTCTTCTTGAGCGACTCGGGCAGAAACAGCAAGATGTACAACAGCACGATGCTGTCGAGCACCAACATCGTATAGAAGACATAGACCACTTCGATCTGCCAATCAGCAACGGAACAGGAGCGAGGGAGTCCTGTGTGAGTGCTTCCGTCTGGCACGGCGATCGCCATGGCTGAAGAAAGGCGAATGGCGGCGGCTCGGTCACCACCAAGGCCGAGCTGGCCGCAGAGATAACAGGGCTGCTGCCACCAGAGATGGGAGAAATGCCACAGCGGTGCCGGTGATACAGCACAGGAAACACCGACGGCCGAGTCGAGTCCATACCTTGGCAATGGCACCGCCGAGCAGGGGACCAATCATGAAGCCAAAGAAGATAATGGCCTCCATCAGGGTGAACTTTGTGGTTCGCTTCTCCTCCGGGGCAATGTCGGCAATGTACGCGTGCGAGATCATGACCAGGACCGACCACGAGCCACAGAGACCCGTGAAGATGCGGGCAACGACAAGCAGCCACAGACTTGCGTTGGTCAGGGCAATGAAGATCAGGGTGGAGGTGCCGACGAGGGCCTGAAGTCGTGATTGCGATCGCAGTGCGAGGTGAGCTACGCAGCTATGGCAGCAAGTTTGGCGGATACAGAGAAATCGACTCATGCAGCAAGATCAGCGTCCGGCGTCGGATTGCAAAGACATGCGGTCGCTGATCAACTGCCGGACGATACTTACGCCCACAAGCGGAACGGCCATGACGTACTTGCGTCCAAAGAGGTCTGAGAAGGCACCCAGGGCCGGCACGGAGAAGAACGCAGGAATGGCCAGGGCGATCTGGAGGAGGGTGGTCCAGCGAGCCACGATGGCCTGAAGGATGAAGCATGTCGCGGAAGGGAGCACAGGATCGTCAACACCAATGAACTCAGGGTGTCAATCGGGCCATGGCTGTGCCGGGAACGAATACGGAATGGTCGCGACAGCGTTGCCGAAGGGCGGGGGCGAGCGACAGAGACACGGCCAGATGGGCTGCCACTGTTGGCACTGTTGCCGGGGGTCTGCTCCTGGTGCAGCGGCGATGGCGATGGGAATGGCAACAACAACAATAACAACAACAGCGGTGGCTGTGGTCGCTGGCGTACCTGGACCTCTGGAGTTTTGCATTTGTTGAGGTCGGGCAGAGCAGCCGAGTTGCCGTCGGCGAAGAAGGCGCTAATGCCGGTGTCTTGGCAGACGATGAGGATGATGAAGAACTGCAGCGGTACGATCGCCATGGTCACCGAGAGGATGTGCAGGAACAGAGGCGGCACCAGGGTCTTCATTCTCGGCCGCCTCCACCACGGAAGCGGCTTTGGAGCGACGGCGTCGGCAGCGCCGGCCGAGAACAGCAGCGGCGACGATTCAGTCGACATGATAAGGGTGCGGGATCGAGAGCACAGGCCGACGACGACGGGGACAGCAGGGATTATTTATTCGGCGAGTTGGAGACGGAGACGAAGACAGGACGGGGGCAGAAGGAAGCGGGCTGGACGACACTGCAAATGGCGGCGAGGGGGTTGTGCGAGCGGGGCTCGTGGGAGGAGACCGCCTTGTGGGTTGTTTGTTGGCAGTGGGGAGTTTGCAGGGCAGTGCCGTGGCCGGTCGACGCAGTTGCTGTTGGTTGTTACTGGTTGTTACTGGTTGTTACTGGTTGTTACTGGTTGTTACTGGTTGTTGCTGGTTGTTACGAGTTGTTGCGGGTTGTTACGAGTTGTTACTGGCTGTTGCTTGCTGAAGCTGTGAGTGCTCGTCGGCGAGGTCGATCCAAGCTGTCGCCGTTCGATGCAGTCCACCCGGTCCTCCCAGCCAACCCGCGCGTCGTCGCCCATTTGTCAGCCCCGCCTCAGGGTCACCCGCTCATGCTCCATGGCCACGAGTTTATATCGCAAGTATATGACAGGCCTTCTGGCTGCTGTGGGAAGCGAGCCGTCCGATCACCCCATTCGCAGCAGCACTTGCACCACCACGCCATGTTCCCAGCCCCCCCCCCGGCCACGCCGCGTGGGTTGCCCTGCAAACGAGAAAGGCACACAGCCCCGCCAAGGCACATCGATCACACCAACGACGCAGCAATCTCGTCGAGCTTGGCGGCCAGCTTGACAACATCGTCCTTGGGGCACTGTGTGCCTGCCAGAGTCAGATGCTGGACAGCTTCCTGGCGGTCTGTTTCCGGGTCAGCCCAGCCAGAGAAAAGTGCAGATCGCATCGTCAGCACCGTCAGCACCGTCAGCATCACCAGCATCGCCCACCACGGCCAAACGTCGTGGCCAAACGCCGTGGCCAAACGCCGTGGTCGAATGCCATGCCATTCGGATCGAGAGCCGCCGCAAGCCCGGACCGCCCGTGGAGCCATTGTCCGCTCGCCCCGCAGCCCGCAACACATACCAAAGATGAATGCTCCGCTGCGGATGGATAGGGCGCTCTTTGCACACGCTGCCCAGACGATCGAGTCGGCGCCCTGTTCCGGCGTCCTCAGGTTGTCGCCCACGTACTTGTTGAGGCTGGGGAGAGACTTGTCTACGCCTGGAGTAGATGACTATCGGAGCAGTGCATATCGTCATTTTCGTTAGCCCCGTCGCAGACATGCTCGGACACCGCGAATGCCACTCGCCCCTCATCCGAGCCCGCTCAACCAGGGCTGGTGTGGCCTACCCATCCTGTCGATCAAAGAGCGGGAGCAGGTTAGTTTCTCTGGACCGCCCCGAATGCAGCGCCAAACGCAGCACCAAGGGCACAAAGCCGCAAGCCTACCAGGATGCATCGAAAAGAAGTGGATCTTGGGATGGCGCTCGGCCCAGAGCTCGGTCAGCTCGACTTGCGCACGCTGCAGCCATCACAGAGACCGGAAAATATGGGAGTCGTAAGGGATCATGTCAAGTCCAGTCAACGGGCGGGTGCGATCGAGACACGGCTGGCCAGCTGCATCACACCGGCTCGGAGTACGCTCTCGCAAGATCAGCAACGAACCTTATCGTACGCATAGGCAAGTACGCCGTTCCACTTTTCGGCCATGCGCTCGAATTGCAGATCCGTGATGTCGAGCCGGGCATTGTACATGCCACCGGAGGAAACAGTAACCTGACCGCACCCAACGCAACCGACAGCGACAAGGGCTGTTAGACTCTGCATGTGCCAGGATCACCAGCGCCCGAGCTGCATCTCGGTCGAACATGGTGCATACCACGCGCGAGCCTGGGGTCTTCTCGAGGGTGGGAATCAGGAGCTGGGTCAGGTAGTATGTCCCCAAAGTATTGGTGGCGAAGCTTCCATCGAGCTTATCGGGAGTGACGGTCTTTTCGGTAAACAGGGCTCCGGCGTTGTTGACCTGGAGCAACCGGCGGCAGCGGGAAGACGATGAGAACCGATGCCACTCCAGACGGCGTGTCATGTTGGGCTCACGGCCAACGCTCAGGCCATCCATCCAGCCGCCAGCCGCAACCACGGCCCCTGCTTACCAGCACATGCAGCTGGGCACCATCGCCCTTGGATCTCAGAAAGGTGGAAACAAACTCCTTGATCATGGCCGGGCGGCTGATGTCGACGACGTGAAGGTGGATGTTCTGGTTCTTGGACTGCTCTATGAGCTCGGTCCGGGCGGAGGCTCCAAGGTTCGGGCTTCGACAGAGGATATGCAACTCGGCGCCTGGATTCCGATGGTTCGAATAAGCAACGAGTACAGATGCAGGCGGCAGCAGATTGTGCATCGCGCTTTCCCAAGATCTAGCATACCGCGCTTGGCGAGCTCCAGAGCAGTGACCTTGCCGAGGCCCGAGTTGGCTCCTGTGACAATCATGACTTTGCCCGACAAATCGACTGGATTTCGGCGGCATTGGCCACGAAAGCGACTGCGAGTTAGTTCCGAATGAGGCTGCGGCATCGCAGCAGAGGGCCTCCTGGATGCCGTGGCTCGGCGGCTGGCACTGGTAATCCTCCCCAGCGCATCGGACAGGCACCATTGAGATCGTTGGGATCGAAGGACTTGCTCGCGCGGAGAAAGCCGGCCTTGGTGAAGGCCTGGTAGCCCCAAAGGGTGAACATCGAGCTTCTCAGCAGCAGCGACATGGTTTGCAGAGACGGGGCAGATGCAATTTGCAGCGCGGTGATGGGCAAGCAGAAGCCAAGATATCGGGATTCGCTGCGGGGGAAACGACGCAGGGCGGAGAATCAGAGAATTTCCGTCAGTTTGCCCGCCAGAAGAACCGCACTCGAACCGGCGTGGCGCTGTAGTCACCACGTGTCTGGCGGCTGTCCATATTTGGTGCTTGGGTGCAGTTTCGGCTTCGGCTTGGATTCCCTGCGATCGTTCATCGGTCCATCGTCCATCGGTTTATTGGTCCATCGGTCCAGGTCGCCACCATGTCCGACATGGACGTCGTCGTTGGACTGGCTGGCCTCATCCGCCAGTATCCCGACGGAGCTTTGAACGAACTTCTCCAAGAGGTCCATGCCCTGCTTCGAACAATCGACGGCCTCGAGGACAACACAAGTGCATGGAAATGTCTCGCCATCTCCTCCTACAACTCCCTCCGGACGCTCGCTGGATTGCTGAAGAGCACCCAAGACCTTGCAAGTCAACTAGCGGATCTCCGGCAAGTTTATGGACAAGCCCGCCGGCAAGTTTCCGACCTCCAGCGCCACCACAAGGTGCAGCGGCTTCTCGAAGGCCCGGCCGCCCGCCAGAACATCCAGGATCTCTGCCAGCAGCTTGGCAACCATTTCAAGGGTGCGGTTCGCTTGCTCTCTGCCGATGAATTTGTGGAGTTTGATACTCTGGCCATTCGACAGGCTATCGTCAGCGACGACGCCGAAGAAAATGCCAAGCTTGCCATGGTATCAAATCTGCTTCAAGCCGATGATACCCATGTCTTTGATCACTTGGGCATCACTCAGAATCTGCCAGAGACGGAGATCTACCACGTCACCGCATTTCTCCTCGCAGTACCCAGGAACCGCAACGTATCAAAGACGCGGGCCGACAAAGTTGCCACTCCACTGCTCGAAATGCTGCGGAACCATTCAAGCACCGCCCGGTCCCTCAAATCGGAGCCTTGGCGCATATTGTCGAGCGACATTAGTGACTACTCGCACGCTCCTCTATTTCGCGGAGGCTTCGGAGAGATCTACAGGGCCACGTACTGCGGTCTCAGCGTTGCTGTTAAACAGCTTTTTGCACACCACGATCGTCGAGAGATCGAGTCCTTTCGGAATGAGGTCAACATCATGTATCGGCTGAGACACCCCCACGTCCTCCCCCTAACGGGGGCCTGCGACTTCGCCGAGAAACCCTTCACCGTAACCCCGTTTATGGAGAATGGTTCGCTGTATGACTACATTGTGAATGCGGATGAACCACGGCTTTTGGACGAGAAGCTCAAGCACATGTACCAAGTGGCCAGTGGTATCGACTACCTCCACAACGGCAATATCATACACGGAAATATGGGGCCCCGTAACGTTCTGATCAATGACCAATTCGAGGCTGTAGTTTTCGGATTTGGAACTCCTCATTCTAACAGGCACACATCGGCATCCGTGATTCGCGTCCAAGCTGAAACCTTCAGCTCGACGATTCACTACATTGCCCCAGAGATGCTCGACGATGATGATCCTAGTGGTGCCTCCAAAAAGACCGACGCCTACGCCTTTGGCGTCATGTTCTACGAAGTGCTCGGCGATTGCAAGCCAGTGTGGACAACCAAAGACGGCCAACCCATGAGAACGCGAGCAATCGAGTCCTGCATAATGAGGGGCAGAAGACCTGAGCGGTTTGATGGCATTCCTGACGACATTTGGTCTCTGATCGAGCGCTGCTGGCACCAAGATCCAGCACAGCGACCAACATTCGATGAGATCGTCCAGTTCCTGGCGCCTTACAAAGGCCTCGCCAACACCAGGGTTCCAACCCCCATGCCAATACTATCTTCCGAGAATGACCAAGCGTCGTTGAAGACAGACTCGGACCAAGACGATCCTCCAAACGACGAATCGCCCCTCTTTGCCATCGCTGCCATCAAGGGTGTCCCCAAGCACACTCTCAACAGAGCCAAGCAAGGGGATGCTGTGGCCACTCTTGCGGTAGCCAACATCATCACCGACAAGGATATCCCCGACACACATCTCGAGTGGCGAGTCGCCATCCAGCTGTATCTCACTCTCGCCGAAGCCTCCAACGTTGAGGCACACTTTCACTTGGGCTGGATCAGCTTCCTTGGCCTCGGTGTCCCCAAGAGTGATGTCGATGCCGTCCGGTATTGGCAGTTTGTTAACAGTGCGATCAAGGACGATCACTCCGTTCTCAGAAGGCTCTCGGGTGCGCTGCTCAAGTGGTGCGTTGGCCTGCGCCGCGGAGCTACCGAGCCGGCTGAAAACTGGAACCAGCTTCCATGGAGTGGCCCAGGAGACTCGCCACTCCACCACAAGTTTTACCGTTGGTGTGTCCTCGGTGCCGAACGAGATTGGCTCTGCCGAATCCTCCTTGCCGAGTGCTGTCGCTGGGGCACCGGCACTCAGACGAACGAGCGTGTCATGGCCGGCATTTACGAGCAGCTCAACAGCGACGGATACATCGTGAACGACATATTCTCCAGTCTTCCCGAAGCGCCAGGACCCATCCCCGACTCGGACGCCTTGGAAGGAGGGGACCACGACTCTGACAAGCGACAGATATGGCGCATTCCTGCGAACGCCGTCACCAACTGGTCCCGCGAGCCCATCGCCGAGGGTGGCTTTGGAAAAGTGTATTCGGCATCGTACTATGGGCGCGAGGTAGCTGTCAAGCAGCTGCTGTGCGATGCAAGTGCGATGGAGCGCCGGAATCTGCACCAGGAGATCGAGGTCTGGCACAGTCTCAAGCACGACAACATCCTGCCGCTCCTCGGCGCCTGCGACACCGTCACCAAGCCTTTCATGGTCTCGCCATTCATGAAGAACGGCACCTTGCGTCGCTTTGTGGCCAGAGTGGACAGCCCTGTTCCGCTCAAAGAAAAGCTCAGGATCGTGCGACAAGTTGCCTCTGGCATGAGCTATCTCCATGGCAAGAACATTGTCCACGGCGACCTCAAGCCAGCCAACGTCCTGCTGGACTCGGACTATCGCGCGGTGATCTCGGACTTTGGTATGTCCTATGTCAAGCACGCATCAAGCTCGAGCAAAAGAATTGGCGACGCCAAGAACGCAGGAGGTACACTCCACTACATGGCCCCCGAGATGATTGACGAAAATGATCCCCATGGGTCCTCCAAGGAAACCGACGTCTATGCCTTTGGTCTGCTGCTCTGCGAGGTGTTCAACAACGGACGCCTATGGATGACCGGCGATGGAAAACAGCGCATGCGTGATGAAATCGTTCGACTCCACATTCAAAACGGCCGGAGACCCAGGAATCTGTGCAACATCCCGGGCGAGCTCTGGGAGCTGATCAAAGAGTGCTGGCATCAGGCACCCAGCCAGAGACCCAAGTTTGACGGCATTTTGGATAGACTCGAGTCACTCGATCTACCAGAAGTCCCTGCCGATATCTCACCGGCACTGCAGAGTGCTTCGGCATCCAGCGGACCCTCAGCCGACAGAACGTTGGCGGATGGACGCAGCAATGTCCCTTTGGAGGAGTTCATCCACAGCGGATCTGTGTCTGGGTTCTTCATCGCGCTGCTGAAGGAGCACGATCCCAAAGCGCTGCAGGACTCCATCGACACCCTCAGTCAAAGCTCCAGCAAGCCTGATTCGGAGTGGAAGAAGGCGGTCGACCTCCACAGAATGTTGACAAGCACATCCGATCTGGTTGCATACTTTGACCGAGGCTGGATCTACTTCCTCGGTCTTGGCGACCAGCAGGACGACGTGTCTGCCTTTCTCCATTGGCAGCAAGTGTTTGTTCAGATCTACGACCACCATTCGATCCTCAAGTCTCTTGCCGGGATACTCCTGAAGTGGTGCTGGGCCACCGGGCGAGGAACACGACAAAGCTGGAAGATGTGGAATGAGTTGCCATCGAAGTGTCCGGCAACTCGCCCCTCCAGATCAGGTTCTACAACTGGAGCGAGAAAGGAGCCGAGAGCGACTGGTTTTGCAAGTTGGTTTTGGCGCTCTGTCACCTGCACGCCATCGGCACCAAGGCAAATTATCGACGTGCGATGTCGCTGATCGAGGAACTGGCCAACCAAGGCCACTCTGTGGCTCAAGTCCTTCTTGGAGAGCGCTACCAGTTCCAAGGTGGTCTAAACGTCCATACCGCCGTTGCTTGGTTCAGAAAGGCTGCTGAGCAAGGCAACGCCTGGGGAGCCTGGCATTTGGGTGTTTGCTATCAGTCTGGCTGGGGAGTCGATGGTGACTTTGAGGTTGCCGCCATGTGGTATCGCAGATCGGCCAGCTGGGGCTTTCCCAACCCCGCACCTCACTCGTAGATTGAATATATGCAAGATGGAGATACTGCATTCCTTGACTTTCGAGCCACAAACACATACATGCGGCTCTATTGTCTCCGATGAAATCAAGAATGCCCTCATTTTGAGATGCGAGAATGCCACCTTCATGGTTGCTTGGCTGCTTCCATGTTCAGTGATGATGTGGTTGCTGGAAACGAAAATCAGGGTCAGGGCCACTCGCCAAGATTCCTGAGGTGGTTGATGGCACCATCGAGACCCTGGTCGGTGGACTTGCGGTACCAAAAGACGGCAGTGTCGATGTTCTGGGAGACACCAACTCCTAATCGGTAGCAGTTGCCGAGATTGCGCTGGCCGTATCGATTGCCCTCCTCGGCCGACTTGCGGAGCCACTCGAATGCCTTGGTGTAGTTCCTAAATACTCCATTACCATAGTAGTAGCACTCTCCGATCCAGTTCTGACTGTCGCTGCGTCCTTCGTTGGCGAGCTGCTCAAAGATGCCGGCTGCCTTGGTCCGGTTGATCGCAGCTCCGAATCCATGGAACACACATACAGCCATAAGATGTCTGCACAGCCAGTCCCGATCCGATCCTAGCTGGCGCAGCTCGAAGAAATTGCAGATCGCGGGGGGAATCGGAGTTGATATAATACCACTCGGATGCAAGACATTCGGCATCTCCAAGCTTGAACCCATCCGATCTGTTCTCCCGGATGATCTTGATACCCTTTTGTACGTCACGCACGGTGCCCCGGCCAAGGTAGTGCATCCAGCCAACCATGTGGGTGGCGATGGGTTTGTGCATTGTGTTGGTGGACATGGTGCTGGCTTCCTGCCAGTGATTGAAGGCGTCTTGATCGTTCTGTTCGACACCATGGTCGATGAACGAGAGCCAGCCACGGAGGAACACAATATGGAGTCGACCTTCTTCACTGCCTTGGTCTGCGGCCTTGGCATACCACTCGATGGCCGAGGCAAAGGATCGATCGACACCTTCGCCGCCCTCATAGCGACGACCAAGAACGACGTGAGCTTGAGGGATTCCACGATCTGCAAGATTGCGGTACAGCTCAGCAGCCTTGGTGTGATCTTGATTGACAACATGGCCATTGTGATGGCATCCAGCCAGATAGGGCTACAGAAAGGACTGATACAGGGATCGGTGCTGAGCCCACTCATGTTCAGCGCCTTCATCGACGATCTGCCAGGACCGAATGGTGGACAGGACAAGAGAAGCAGCATCCAACATGGCCAAGATGGGCCTGACCCTTGGGAACCTCACAGCCAAGACACTGACGATTGCATACCGCACATTCCTGCGGCCAATGATGGAATACGGCCCGCCCTCGACGCCATCCCAACGAACGAACAGAAGCGGCTCCACCGGACACAAACGTTCTGCCTGAGCTTGCTTGTACGCCCACTGCAGGGTGCCGCATGGTACCGATGGCCCGTTGAACACCCCCGAATTAATACAGCGAGCAAAATAGATGCACAAGCGCCTCGTGTGATTTTTTGAGACTTCCAAACAATATGTCGTGTCATTTGCCACCACAAGAGACATTGAGGCGTTCGGAAATGAACGCGCTCGTTCAAATGATGAAACATCGAAACCACTTGCGTTGGTTCCCTAGCCGAGGCTTGTGTGAGAATTCGACATCCAACGGTGCGACCCGACGGGATTGCTTACGATTCCTGCCTCGAATATCGGCAATACATTTTGTCACTTCTTTGATATCCTTGTGTTTTGGATTATTGAGTGTGGCTGTCCAAATGTCCAGAGCTTCCTGGTACAAGTTGAGTGCATCGGCGTATTCACCCTGAGCATTGGACACGTCACCCAGATTTTTGAGGGTGGTGGCAATCATGGGATGCTTCCGAACTTTGTAGATATGCATGGAGATACTCAAGGCTTCCTTGAGCATGCTTTGTGATTCGGAGAGCTGGCCTTGCAAATACTTGAGTTTGCCATACTCGTTCAAGGTCCGGGCGACCTTTTCATGCTGGCGAGTATTGAATGTCTTGACATAAATGTCTAGTGCCTCAAGGTAGCATACTTCGGCTTGTTCATAATTATTTCTAGATCGAGCGACACCACCAAGACGAAGGATCGTTAAGGCGACTTCGGGATGTGCTCGTGTGCCATAGACTTTGGTCTTGATATTGAGTGCCTCCTGGTAGTATTTGAGGGCGGTGCCGTAGTTGCCTTGGGAATCGGAAATATAACCGAGGCAATGAATCGTGGAGGCAACTGAGGGGTGTTCTCGTGTGCCATAGATCTTGATGGAGATGTCGAGTGCTTCCTGATAGTACTTGAGGGCAGCCTGGTAGTTTCCTTGGTACTCGGCGATACTCCCTATGTTGTGAATTGTGGTGGCAACTTCAGGATGCTCCCGTGTGCCAAAGACTTTGGTTTCGATCTCTAACGCTTCCTGGTAGTATTTGAGGGCGGCCTCGTAGTTTCCTTGAGAAGAAGCGATATTGCCCAGACATTCTATCGTAGTGGCTACTTCGGGGTGTTCTCGTGTGCCATAGATTTTGATTTCGATCTCTAACGCATCTCGGTAGTATTTGAGGGCAGCCTCGTAGTTGCCTTGAGACTCGGCGATATTACCCATCTGGTGGATCGTAGTGGCGACATCGGGATGCTCCCGTGTGCCAAAGACTTTGGTTTCGATCTCTAACGCTTCCTGGTAGTATTTGAGGGCAGCCTGGTAGTTTCCTTGGGAATCGGCGATATTGCCCATCTGGTGGATCGTAGTGGCGACATCGGGATGCTCCCGTGTGCCAAAGACTTTGGTTTCGATCTCTAACGCTTCCTGGTAGTATTTGAGGGCGGCCTCGTAGTTTCCTTGAGAAGAAGCGATATTGCCCAGACATTCTATCGTGGCGGCGACCGAGGGGTGTTCTCGTGTGCCATAGATCTTGATGGAGATGTCGAGTGCTTCCTGATAGTACTTGAGGGCAGCCTGGTAGTTTCCTTGGTACTCGGCGATACTCCCTATGTTGTGAATTGTGGTGGCAACTTCAGGATGCTCCCGTGTGCCAAAGACTTTGGTTTCGATCTCTAACGCTTCCTGGTAGTATTTGAGGGCGGCCTCGTAGTTTCCTTGAGAAGAAGCGATATTGCCCAGACATTCTATCGTAGTGGCTACTTCGGGGTGTTCTCGTGTGCCATAGATTTTGGTTTCGATCTCTAACGCATCTCGGTAGTATTTGAGGGCAGCCTCGTAGTTGCCTTGAGACTCGGCGATATTACCCATCTGGTGGATCGTAGTGGCGACATCGGGATGCTCTCGTGTGCCAGAGACTTTGGTTTTGATATCGAGTGCCTCCTGGTAGTACTTGAGGGCAACCTCGTAGTTGCCCAAGGAGGAGGCGACATCACCAAGACATCCAAGCACCGCTGCAATGTCTTTGTGTTCCCTCGTTCCATGAATCTGTAGACGAATGTTAAATACCTCGTGGTAGAGTCTCTCAGCCTCCTTGTATTTTCCCTGTGCCGAGAGGATGTATCCTGTATCTTCAAGAGTCTCGGCAATATCGAGATGGATACGTGTCCCATGGGTCTCGAGTTGTTGCTTCAGTGCTCGATCGTAATATTCCTTGGCAGCAACATAGCGTCCTCGTTCGCGTGACACAAGACCCATGTGATGCAGAATGAGCGCAGCCTGTGGATGGCTTGTATGTCCTTCAATCGAAGTGAGAATTCGAAGGGCACGATTAAGTGAATCCTCGGCCGGATCCAAGTGGCCCAGCCGGCGATGATTGTCGCCGAGGTGGTTCAGGATCCCAACGATTTCAATATGTTCTTCGGTGCCGAAGTACTGCACAGCCCGCTTGAAATGGGTCTCAAATCGATCACTTGCAGCCCCAAACCAGCCTCTCTCCTCGGCAAGCTCTCCCTGTCGAGTGGCGAGTCTGACATGTTCGAGCTTGGTGTATCCTTCGGCAAAGACATGATCAGTGAACTTGTCGACATGCTTAGAGTATACGTGTGCTTTGATATCAATTGACTTGGTTAACTCGATTAGCGACTTGCAGGTAGCATCTTCGATTCCTTCGACATTCAGTTCATCGTGTGCCTGGACATACTCTCGAGCCACAAGCTGAGTGAGCAAGTGCGTCGAGTACCGTCCCTCGTTTCCACTTCGGAGAAGACCACTCTGGACCACCATTTTGATCAGAGCCGTCACTGTGGACAAGCCACTGGTCAGTTCCATGTACTGACACCATTGATTGCCCTTTGATCCACTCAACTCACCTTCGGTCTTGAGATCCATCTTCTGTGCAATCTCCTTGATCAACTCGAACTGGATGTTGGTCGGCGCCACCAGACTGACTGCACCGAACAGCCTGGCTGCCTCGATACCCTCATCTCCTCGCTTCATCAGCGAGTCCAGCGACAGATCCACAATGACCTTGAGTGATGACCGCGTGTCGTCCTCGCCCTCCTGCTCCTCGAGGACCTTGGAGAACAGCCGATCGATCTCGGACAACGGCACCTCATTGTTCTCGTAGAACGTCATGAATGTCTGGATGACGAGTGGATATCCACTGATCTTGGCCACGATGCTGTCGAGGGACTTCTTGGCCTCGTCCGACACAAGTCTCTGGACAATCATTGGCGATGTCGACAGGATATAGTCGAGAGTGATAGAGTCATTCCAGTTGCCGAGACGGAGTGGGTCATGTCGGTAACCAGGGATCTTGGCCTTGAGTGCAATGGCGAATGCACCAGGAGGCAGCGAGGCCATCCGAGTCGTCACCACCACATCGCCGCTGAACCAGAGTGACTTGGAGTGCTCAAATACAGAGTCGACCACGCTGATGTCATCGACATTGTCGAGCACCAGGAGATAGCTGTGGGTGTTGGCGAGGAACTTGGAGGCATGCTTCTTGACCTTCTCTGGTTCGACACCATCAAACATCGCGCACAGCCCATCGAGGGCAGTCGACTCGGTCGAGCAGTTGAGCCAGAAGACCTGGCTGTACTGCGATACGACACCGATGGTCTCGTCTTGGAAGGCCTCGAGCTCACCATGGTTGCTCACATTCAGAGTTCCCATCATGAAGTGGAGAATCTGGAGGGCCAGGACGGACTTGCCCATACCACCCATGCCAGAGATGACGGCACGGCCAGTCAGGGTGAGCTGCTTGAGCAGGATGTCGAGGCGAATGGGATCGACTCGGAACTTGGAGTCACAAAAGTATTTGCGATGGATGGCCGTAATGGGTTCCATGTTGGGAGGGATGGGATGGACGAGGTTGAGGAGGCGGTAGACTCGCTTGTACATCTGGTCAGGGCGGAACCCAAACATATGGATGTCGGACAATCCCTTCAGGACGGCTCGAAGGGTGTCGAACTTGGAATCAACAGGGATGATAACATGATATGGCCGGCAATCGGCCCACACTTCCTTCTCACCATCCTTTACGAGGCTGGATACGCAGAGGGGCATCACCGAGATGTCGACTCCTGAGTCAACGAGGTCGAGGGCGGTCTTGATCTCAAGCAGAACGTTGTCCTCCTCGCCAGAGATGGCTTTCTGAATCATGGACTCGAGCGATGCGCGGCTGATCACAGCGACAAAGACTCTACATCGAGTTAGAGCGCAGAGGAAATCGTCCCTCCAATTCTCTGCGTCTCGCAGACAGCTGGAATCGTGGAAGACTGCGAGGGGTTCGCCATATCGACGCTGCCCAGTAGTCGCCAGCATATTCTTAAGGGACTGGACGGTGGTATTATCGGTGGCGACCCGATACGAGAGGAACAGGTCGTGGTCAGGACGACCGTGGACATTGCAGTGATAGGGCTGGTTGCTGGCGTTGGCCTGCATGATACGACGGGTCTCTTGTGGATATCAAAATTTGAGCGAGGGGATGGAACAAGCGGCGAAAGGGGCGGCTGGTCTGGTCTTGCTTTTGAAGGGATTCTTGTCCACTAAATAGAAGATAACACACGCAATCCAATCATGCCCTAGAGCCACAGAGAAGCAACGGAGGATGCATCATTCAACCCTGATCATGATTGGGAAACCTTATGGCTGTGATCCAGCTTTCCTGTCTATTGTTTACGATTGTTGTATTGATTCAAGACAATCGGCCATCAGTATCTTGGGGAGCCAGTGTAGGGCGAACGAGAGCAACGTGTATACTGTATTCAGGGGGAAATGGGACACCTGCCCACAACCCATTTGCCAGCGTAGTATGCGATGGCATGCGTCTAACTATGCCATACGAAATATAACAGGTCACTTTGGCAGCCTCCGAGTGAACACCACCGGTCGCAGTGCAGCGATGCGGAAATCGAGGGTGCCGTGTTTGACCATGATTGCAATGAGTGGGTGGGTGTATTCAGGTCACAGAAACAAACCCTGTCATGACTCAAACGGGGTGTCCCATTTCATTTTGGAAACGTGTAATCCTGTCGCGGTTCTCGCCGGCTCTCCAGCACACTGTGGATAAGGTTGAGTTTGTCATGGTCAAATCAATCGGTGATGCTCTGGGGGTTAACCGTAATTGTGTGGGTTCAGTTCTACTGGCTTCATGGTATTTTAAGTCGCCATAGTCAACTTTATTCAAGAAGACAAGCCATCAGGTCCAACAGGTTGGTACCCCGGCAAGTTGAGTACACAGGCAAGCCTATTTACTCCTGTTGCAGCTTAGTGCTGCCTCAGCTGCCCACAAGGTCTGAGACCAAGCGGGTGAACACATTTTCAAGCAGTTCCCACAAGGGAACAGCAGGATCGAGAGGTGGTCGGGGTGGTGGAGTGGCAAGTGCTGGCACTATACTACGCTGTGATGAGGGTGCAGAGCGAGACTGCTGGGGTGGGACTACACTGAGTGTGGGAGTGGGTGCTGGTGCTGGGTGTGTACCAAGTGCGAATGCTCGGAAGGCAGTGCGGGGAGCGGGTACATGAGCAGCAAGCGATCCAAGTGCGGGAGGTGTGCGAGTGCGAACGGGAGTGCGATCGAAACTGAGCAGGTCCAGCAGCTTGTCCACTGGTCCCACTCCGGCTATACCACTTTCCACCCGTTCGCCGTCGATGGAGTGCTCATCTGCCGCCCATCGTCGACATCAACGGCTTCAGGATGCCCTGACCCTCGAAGGGCTCCCGAAGCAGCAAGCGGTGGTACTCAGACGAGCACAGATGCACTGTCTGACCCGGCTCTTCGCAGTGTTGCGGAACACATCCTACGGAGCGATGCATCTCGGATGCGGACTCATCACCTGCTCAATCCGGGCGTTGAGACTCCAACCGAGAGGGAAAGAAATGGCTGTCGGCTCTCTTTTCATTCGCTCTATTTTCAACCTTTCCTGAGATATCAAACTGCCAGTGCCGACCACGCGCCGATGGCTTTCAATTCGGAATCGAAACTCTCTTGTATCCATCTCCACCTGCCGCCAACCCCAACACCCAAACAAAGGACGGGCTTGCCACAGCTGCCCGATGGACGGACGCTGGATGGACGGATGGACGGATGAATGGATGGGATGGCTTTGGCCTCATCGTCGTCGCCCTCATCTTCGCCCTCATCGTCGCACTCATCGTCGCCCTAATCGTGGCCTTCACCCCACTATCGTCGGCACTCTCCTCAGCGATGAGACGTCCGGCTTTGGTGTGCCTGGCCGTCTCGTTGCTGACGGCGGCTGCAGCGCTCGCTGCATTCCTATGGGCAAGACTCCACCCAGGTCAGCGTTCAGTCAGCTCTGCTTCCTGCCTCAGCCTCGACATCGGCTCCAACCCTGACTGCGATACCAATGTCGCTTGCATCACTCGTTTCTTTTCGACCAGCTCCCCCGGCCCGCAGTTCTACCCTTCGGCTGTCGACGAATGTGTCGAGCGTCGTTGCCGGCGGATTTGTCCCCATCTTCTGGACCGGCGCTGATTCCCGAAGCTCAAACGACTGGATCGGCTTCTTCGGCAGCCTCCCTATCACCCAGGGCACCCTGATGAGCGAGCTTTGGCAGTTTACCCACGGCGGCATCGACCCGCTGGACCAGCCATCACCGACCAACGGCTCTGTCTTTGTGCGTGCTCCGGCTTTGCCAGGGATTTACTCGGCCTTCTACTGCCTCAACAGCTCTTTCACCTGCGTCGCATGGATGGACATTCAGGTTGTCCCGCCGTCGCCGACGTGCCGACCGCCTGGAGACACAGCATCCTCCATCAAGCACACCATCGTCGTCATATCCGAGAATCACTCCTTCGACAGCTACTTTGGGCTCTACTGCCAGGCCCCCTTTGGAAGTGCGCCCAACTGCACCGCCGGCAGAAGCTGCTGCGAAACCGCCCTGGGGCCAGTCGCAGCCCCGCCAGTCTTTCTCAACGACTCCACCAACCTGGCCTTCGATCCCTGCCATACAAACGAGTGCGAGACTTGTGCCATGAACGGCGGCATGATGAATCGCTATCTGTCGTCCGGGGGATGCCCGGGCTCCGACAATCGAACCTATGCTCTGGCTGACGGCTCGGCGACAGGCGGCTCCAAGTACTGGCAGTGGGCCCAGCAGTATGCCATGGCCGACCGCTTTTTCCAGTCGTCGCCGGGGGCATCGGGCCAGTCCGACATGTTCTTTGCCCGCGGCACTTGGGTCTTCGACGACAACGAGGTCGATCCTCCAGGGGCGCCCTGTGCTTCCTTCACAAGAGCGTACTATGAACCCACGATCGCCGATTTACTGCTGGGATGCGGTGTCTCGTTCACGTTCTATGCCGAGGGATACGACCAGAGCCGGTCGTCAGGCCGGTGCTGGCCCAACTACTACGACCCGGGGGACGACCCTTTCCAGTACTATCCAAGCCTGACGGGCTCGCCGAACGCCAGCGTCATCTTCCGGGATCTACAAGATTTGTTCGGCGACATTGCGGGACAGACACTACCTGCTGTCTCCTTCGTCAAGCCTCTCGGTATCCACTCGGAGCATCCTGGGTCGTCGACCATCTCGGCGGGCGAGGCGTTCAACGAAGCCATCATCGACGCCGTGCTTGCTTCTCCGACATATCGCAACTGTACGCTGGTTATCCTGGTCCCCGATGAGTCCGGGGGCTTTCGAGACGGTGTGGCTCCTCCGCCGACCAATCCGATTGATCATCGGCCGTACGGGCCACGCACTCCCTTCGTTGTCATTGGATACGCCGCCAAGCAGAATTACGTCTCGCACGAGCAGCTTGAACCGGCCAGCATCATTCGGTTCCTCGAGAGCAACTATCTCGGCGACCCTGAGCCTGGGCAGCTCATGACACGGGATGTCATTGCCAACAACATTGGGTCGCTACTCGATGCGAACAAAACACGGTTCCGCTTTCGTTAGGCGACCATAGAGAGACCTGACCTGTGGTGCATGAGTGCCAACGAATGATGCCGAATGGTTGCTGCGGCAGTCTCCAAAGGACTCAACATTTGGATATGCCCATGGCACGGCACCCCAAGGCAACCCGTACAATGCAACATGATGAAAATACTGCATTTGACAGATGTGCGGCTGGCGACAACCGGGGCCAACTCAAAGCCGCTGGATACTAATGCCGTCGATAGACTGGACCCCTGTGCTCGTTGAATAGACATGTATATATTCAGAAGCTGCCACCATGTGCACCTTCATAATCCGTTGCCAACATGGTGTCCGAATACACTCAACAGGACGTCCCTCAAACAAGGCATTCCGGTCCAGCTGTTGTGGGTGCCGGATTTCAGTATAGATATGACTTTGAGGCCAGTTCCAGATTGTTTCCTTTGAGTCGACCGAATCGGCCTCATTCCGAGTTTGGCACGGAAGCAGCAAACTCGCGGATCATGTCAAAGGCACCGTCGACATGGGCCATCTCGGTATGGGGGCTGCCTGGAACGAATCGGATCACGTATTGATCGCGGAGCTTGGTGCTGGTGATGAAGATCCGGCGGGTGGCATTGGCTTGGTTGTAGACCCACTCGGTACGGCGGTTACGCTCCTCGAGAGTGGGGGCATCGACCTGGAAGGTCACCAGCGCAAAACTGCGGGGGGTGACGACCCTGAAGAGGGATTCGGCGCGAAGACGACTCTCAAAGTGGGCAGCTTGATCGCAATGCTGTACAAGAATGCCGAGCGAACCAGGAGAGTCAGATTATCCGGGAGCAGGACTCGGCCATGGACATGCAACCGAGCGATGGTGCGTCAGTGCATCGCTCGACTGGTCCTTACCTTGCGGATGTGGGCACGGATGCCCTGGGCGCCATAAGTTCGCAGGACGAACCAGAGCTTGAGCGAGCGGAATCGACGGCCAAGGGGGAGTTGCCAGTCCTTGTAGTCCGTCACCAGCCCCGACTCGGTCTCCTTATTGCGCAGATAGGCTGGGGTAAGGCTCAGGGCATCAAGGAGGTAGCGTCTGTGCTTGACCCTGGAGCCCATGACGGGCCATCAAACCAGAGGGCGGCTCGCTGTCAGTCTCGAGCCGGGTATTCGAGATGGAATGCATCTCTCCAAATCTTCCTTTGGATAGACAGTAACCAGGACAATCTGCTGTGGCACTCGCCATCTGATGCTGTCTGGTATCGTCTCAAGCCGATCGTTCGGCACAGCGACATGGCACTCACCACAACAGCGAGCAGTCAAAGTTGGTCAGCATCCACTTGTGGGCGTTCATGCAGAACGAGTCGGACCTGTCAACACCAGCCCCATGGTGCCGATACTCTTCGCACATGAGTGCAGGGCCGGCCCAGGCCGCGTCGATGTGGACCCAGACATCGGTTCCAACAACAGCCTCGACAATCTCTGGAATGTGATCGACTGTGCCGGAACTGGTGGTGCCGATGGTGGCGTGGATGAAGAACGGCACCAGCCCTGCCTTGAGGTCTTCCTCGATCTGGGCACGCACAATGGCCCCAGACAGAGCAAAGTCGGCGTCGACATCGAGGACCTTGCATTGCACGCCGATGATCATGGACGCCTTGAGGCCGCAAGAGTGGGACTGTGGAGCGGATGACATTGATGCACAGCACGTCAGCTAACATGGATACACTTGCGCATGATGGCCTTGGTCGACGAAAGAAGGATGGCCACCGGATGCGCCTCATGGGTCTGGCAATGGACGGCTGCATACGGCTGTGGCATGCACGGCATTTCCCCTGCCATCCGGCCCATAGCCAAAGCCAAAGCCAAAGCCAAAGCCAAAGCCAAAGCCAAAGCCAAAGCCAAAGCCAAAGCCAAAGCCAAAGCCAAAGCCAAAGCCAAAGCCAAAGCCAAAGCCAAAGCCAAAGCCAAAGCCAAGTGAACCAGCGTTCTTGCCAGCATTACCTGCGAGGACACATAGGCGACGAGCTTTCGCTCGTCGAGTCCCTCGGATCGCAGCATGGCCCTCTTCTTGGCCGCAAGCATGGCGACCACGACAGCCTCGGAAGCGCTGCCCTGGATCACGCCGCCTCCCTCGCTCTCCGACAGGAACCCGTCGTCGAGTCCGATCAGCTTGGCCATCCAATCCAAGGTGATTGTCTCGAGCTCGGTGCACGAAGGCGACGCCATCCAGTTGAATCTGGCCAGTCCAATGGCAAACAAAAAAGAGGGTCAGATCAGAGGCTCGAGAGATCAAGTGGCTGAAGGCGACAGAGCCCTTGGACAGTTTGCTGACATACCCGATGCCGTTGAGCATATCCGAGTACATGTCACCGATGATGCCGGGAAAGGACGAGTTGGCCGGGAAGAACCCGAAAAAGTTGGGGCTTTGCCAGTGCGTGACGCCTGGACGGTGTCGTTACCGGCAATTCCGGTGGTCAGAATCTTGAACTGGATCTTGAACTGGATCTGGAATCTGGATCTGGACCAGACTGGCCAGGGGGGGGGGCTGCATTCGATACAGCAAAGAAGGACAGGCAAACGAGCTCACTCACCCGGGATGATCTTGCTCTCAAAGTCCTGCTGGATGGCATCCCAAGACTCGCCCTCTGTGAGTGGCAGAGCAGAGCGATTGTCGGAAATACGTGACAAGAAACACCTGGGCACCCTGGCTCAACCAAGGAGGAGCGGATTGATGCAGGCCGCGCTGCACTGGTGTGCTCGGGCGACATCACGACAGGCGACGAGGGTTCTCGCATATCCACGCACCTTCGGGTGCCTCTGCGGGCAAGAGGCTCTTCAGAAATCCAGGCTGGACGGTCGGTTGAACTGGCGAGGATGTGAGTGGGCCTGAATCAGTCAGCCGCGCCGGCGACGTTGCTGGAGGACAGGCTCACCGTTGTGGTTTGCGAGTTCCTGCTCGTAGTAACGGGCGATTCGCTCGACGGCCTCGTGGCCTCTCTTGCGGAATTCGTTGACGTCCATTGTTGCGGGCACGGCTGGGATGAGCGATGTGTGCTGAGGAGGGCGAGCGCCTGGGTGGAGATGCTTTTTGACGAAGGCAGGTGGGGAGTGCCAACGGATACAGCGCCAGACCCGGGGCATGGACTAGCCGAATGGGCCACCCCTTGCACCGATTTCTGCACAGCCCAAACAACGATCCAGCCATACAACGATCCATCCATAAAATGATCCAGCCCAAACAACCCAAAACAAGGCGAGGCAGAATGGGAGGCCAGTGTGTCCCTTGGATCTGGGACCTGAATGTACACCATGCGACCCGCTCGGCCTGACCATTATGGTGCCGATGAGCCACGAAGACGGCCAGATGGCCGAAATGCATGTTGTGTCTCGGGACTGAGCTGTCGCGTTCCGTTCTGAACAGGTAGTGCTCTGAACAAGTAGTATTCTGAACAGGTAGTGCTCCGGGCATATTCGTCTCGGAGAAGCGCGGGCCAACGCTTTTGGCTGCAGGCACTCACAGTCCCAATCGCTTGGTCACGTCCCGTGTCATGCAGTATCTCGGATCGACGGGCTTGAGATCGGGATAGCCCAGTAGCGACAGGCCAGCAAGGCCAAAGACGGTGTGGAAGACGTCGGCCATGTCGCCAGGTCGATCTGCAATCCCGCCGGCTTCGTCGTCCTATGAAAGAGGGGCGGAAGGTGGAAGGATGCGAGTACTTGTCTTGGTCATCAAATCAGAACCAACTCTTCGCCCTTGACCCCGCATAGGTCTCGGCGTTGCTGTGGGTGTGGACAGCGGGCTCAACGATGGTCCTACCTGTGCTCCCAGGATAAATTCAATGAGCTTCTCATGATCGATCCAGTGGAGTCGGTCCAGCATGGCCAAGGAGGACAGAACCCACCAAGAGTAGCAAACCTGGACAGAACATCGATCGCGCAGTTTGAGCATCACCGATCGGCACAGACCCCATGCCGGTCGATGGAGCTCCTCGGGTGTCTCCCTCTCTTGGCTGATGCCGCGCTCATTGTCGTCGACGCAGAAACATGCCACTTACGTCCTCCTTCTTCTCGGGTCTACCGTTCAGTCCTCCGTTGCTCAACTGCCGCTCGCAGAGCCACCAACCCAGTTTGTCAATGTCGACTGTGTCGAGCCGGTTGACAATCGACAGAGCACCAACGCAGCAGAAAACTGTGCGAGAGATGAATAAACGTTTCCTGGTCAGTCATTTGATGGCATTATCGTCATTATCGTCATTATCGTCATTATCGTCATTATCGTCATCACCATGCCCTATATGGGCCTCGGCCCCGATCCCGACAGCTGTATCGCCGCGGATCCACGGAGGGGGGGGGGTATCGATCGGCAGCGCGGACGCCGTCCAAGCTTGCTTCCGTTCAACCTGACGACAACGATGCTTACTCTGACCCGAGTGCGATTCGGCACCCGGCACGCTTCCGTATCCGCCATCAAAGTTCTTGCACCGGTTGATGTACTCGACGGCCTTGTCGACGTCGATCTGGTCGAGGCTCGAGAGGATCGACATGCACGATATGGCAACGTAGACAAATCGAGTGTCGACCTCGCCGTAGATATCGCCGCAGAAGGCACCGGACTCTGGGTCCTGGAGATTCTTGACGACTGCGTGGAGTTGAGGGTTGCAGCGGCATCAGCAGTGGCATCACCGTGGCATCATCATTGGCATCGGCATTGACATCGATAGTGTGGACGGATGAATATCAAGCAAGCAGCTCGTGCGCATCCAAGGACCGTCTTCAATCTACATATCGCATCGCCACGCTGTTCAGGGGGGGGGGAAAGTGCGGGTGGACCCAAGGCTTACAGTCTACGACCCGGGCGCTGTCGATTCGATCAAGCGAGTCCAAGGTGGCCAGGATCTGGACGGCGCTGAGGGTGTAGAGCAGATGGGGATCGTGGCCGACGTTGCCGCTGAATCCGCCTAGATTTGGAGGGGCAGTGAGAGAGGGGAGAGGGAATGAAGGAGTGAAGGAATGAAGGAATGAATGAAGGAATGAAGGCAATCCGCAGGTGGATCTGCCATTGAGCAGGGATCGGGACTGCATGCCGATGGCGCTGTCGATGGCGTTGTCGATCCCGGCAGGGCTGCAAATATCCAACGCATACCGTTGGAGTGCTGGCATGCAAGGATGAAGGTAATCACGTCTTCCTTCTCAAAGACATCCAGTCTGCCGAGGAGATCGAGGGCGGTCAAGCCCCAGTAGACGCCATTGAGCTTCAAGTGGCTGGTGAGGTGGTATTCGAGGCTGTCCTTTTTCTGTTGGCGATATGCGGGGCCGAGACCAAAGGCCGGGCCGGTGGTCAGTCAGCAAGGCGGAGCGACGAAAGTGGATACTCGGAGGATTGTGGAAGGACCGACAGCGTCGAGGCAGCCAGCACCGGCGACGGTTGCGATCGAGGGCCATGAGGACGTGGAAGGGGGGAATCGACGCCTACGTTGTCCAGCGACCGGATGAACTCGACGTGGAGATTCCGCAGGAGCTGGGGCTTGGTTGAGGCCATGGCGGATTGCGGGATACGAGTGAGATGACGGTGAGCAATGGAGCCAGAGCGAATCACAAAGTCTGGCGGCTTTGATCGGCGCGAGCCAGGGCCACCCCAATCAGCGAGGCTCGCCTCAACCGCACAGACGACGGACGGCCTGCGACCCGAAGCCGCTCAGGACCATCCTCCAAACACCCGAGGACGCTCTGTCTTTCAGCGCCCAGAAGCAGGACCGTCGCTTGCTGCAGCGCCGATTCTCGCCAAGGACACGTCAGAGACAGACCCTTGGTCCTTCGCGATCACCAGAACAGCTCGTCGCCTCATAACGACCACGCGATACACAATGTCGGCGAACGTGCGCATCCATCCCTCCGTAGAGGCCAAGCCAACGCCGTCGGATCCTTATGACGAGTCCATCTACGCACTGGTCAAGCCCGCACCAACCGTCCCAGCCATGTACCGCTCCAAGTTTGCTCAGTCGGTGCGGGCGGATCTGAAGGCCTCTCGCACTCCTACCAAGCCGGCGGGCGGCTCCAGAGTGCCGATGCAGGGCTTGGGCAAGGTCATGAGCCCGCTCAACTCGTCGCATGGCTCGGCGTCAGGTAAAAGTGCCGGCAAGACAGACGTGAGAATGACGGCAAGGCTTGGCGAGGTGGCTCGAGAAGTGTCAAGGGGCGGATCAACGAGCGGTTTGGATCGAGGATGAGGGATGGATTCCATCATCCATGCGTGACAGATGGACAAATCGTTACGCCGGGAACCCGTGCTCACGCCAACACATCCCATTGCAGACATGATGCCCGGTCGCAAGGGTTCTCCAACAGCGCCTGTCAATGCAGCCCATCCGTCCCAGGGCACGGTCCCATGCTCCTCGACAGGCCTGTATTTTGCCACTGGGAGAAGCCAGCCGACAGCGCCGACCAAAACGGTTCGCGGCCGGAAAGGCAAGAAAGCATCGCTGCGACAGCCCGTCCCGACTCGACTTGGTAAGGGGAATGTGCAGACGAGCCGGTGCAATCGGGGCGATAGTATAACCGATCGAGGACTGACGAGTGCACACCTGTTTGGCGACACTCCAACCCGAATCCCGCCTGTCAGAGATGCTGGATGTCGGGGCCGACGACGACATCATCGGGAGTGCATCCGACGAGGCTCATGACGGCAGAGAGCGAGGATCGGCCATCCGGAGCAAGCCAGGAGCAGTCCGCAAGACGACACCAGCGACGACCCGATCGTTGGCAGGCCAGCCACCAGCACCAAAGCACGAGCTGGCCGGCACCATCTCTGTCAACGAACGGGGCGAGAAGCTGGTGCTGCTGACGGAGCAGGAGCGACTGCAGAAGCTCTCTGAGCTCCAGGCCTTCCACTCGCAGCTCGAACGGGACTATTCGCGGATGCCGATCGTGGTGGACACGTTCTCACAGAAACGCAGGTGGGCAAGCACGGACCGGGATATAGCCGCACGTGGGAACAGCATGCCGATGGACGCAGGACCCGGCAATGGATGCGGCTGATGGTGCGGCTGATGGTGCGGCTGGTGGTGCGGGGGCAGGAGGCGACGCAATGAGAAGCGAGAGGGTCGGGTGGCGAGCATCTGTGTTTGATGCCATGGGAGTCGCCCCAAAACCACGTTGATGACATGCCGCCTCGTGCATCCCGCACGGCTTCCATTATGCAGGAAGCAGAAGCTGGAAGATGACCTGCGGCAGGTCGAGTCCATGATCAGCAAGATGAGCCACAAGAGTGTCATCGAGGCCCGATAGGGGCAGGCAGCGATGCGTTTGCGGACCCAGGCCGGCCGATGCACAGACATCCGTGCTCGGTGCCGGGGACAAATTTGAGCGGACCATGGGCCCACGGGGGGAGGCGACGCTGTCGACAACGAGCAAGCGATGCCCAGGTGACTGCCGGACAACGACCGGGCAGCGACAGAGTGATGGCCAGGAGATATCTGCTGCGACTGAGCGACAACCCAAATGCAGGAGTCTCGACCACGGCCTGGCCCGCATGTCCCTCGTGGCGGTGCCGCCAGGCTTTGGGTTCCTGGCGCGGACACAACGTGACGGTGGAGCTCAGCCCCGACCACAGGGCAACGCGGCACAACAAGTCCCAGATCAGCCGGCGGCGCAACACCAGAGGCGGCCGCGGTGACAGAGGTGCGACATTAGCGACGCGGCGGACATGGGCGGTGCAGGCCAGCGGACATGGGCGGTGCGACCCCGGCAACAACGCCCAATATCGGCGCAATCTCGCCGCTGGCAGCGATGCACCAATCGACGATGCAGGCGCTGTGGCGGGGCAGGTGGCGCCGTGACTCGGCTTGGAGAGCGGCCACGGGAAGCACAAGCGGGTGGGACATCTATCCCGATCGGCGGCGTCGCTCCAGCCCAGGCGCAAGGGGCCGCGACGGAGAGCGCGACCTTCCCGCCTTGCCTGTCTGGGCCGCAGAGGTTGGACAGGAGCCGTGAGCACGGCGCAACAAGGCGACGCACGCACAGGCCCCCCCTCGAGCGCCACTGCAACCCCGGTGGAGGAGGGTTATGGCTGAATGCCTGTGGCGGCTGAGTGATGCAGGGGGTGTAAGAGAGAGAGAGAGAGAGAGAGAGAGAGAGAGGGGGCGTGCGAGACAGACCTGCCGCAATCGACGAGCGCGGGAGTGCAGCCGGCCGGGCAATTGTTGAGCAATAACTCCGGCGGTGGCGGCAGGCCAGCGCGCGGACACGGCGGCACGGTGACTCACGGTGCTCGCTACGGGCGAGAGCGATTCACCCGTGGCCAATGGGAAGCCGCGCCGCGCACGCCGCCAGCACGGTCATCGGGCACCCGCCAGCCCGTGACTCTGGCGCCCCGAGCGAGCGCGGCGCCGACGGGCGCACAGGGCCGTCATGGGGTCCGCCCCTTGGGCGATCGGCGCTGCGGAGCACAAGACCGCCATGGGCTGTATTCTGTGCGCGGCGGCGTGGGTCCCTTATGTGCCTGTTCGGGCCGCGGATTGGTTGGCGGCGCGCTGCAACAAGCGGGGCACGGCAGCCAATCACGGCAGGTGCATCGGTGGTGACTCACTGCTTTGGCTGTCCTGGCAAGGACCCTGCACCGCGACAAAGGCGTGGACCTGGCGTGGACTTGACGCACTTGGGCGGCCTTTTGCAGCCAGGTCCACGCCATGCTGGGAGGGTCTGGCGGTGTTGGCTGTCACGGTGCAGCAGGCTTGGGACGACGCAAGGCCGATTCGCAAGGTCGATTCGCACGGTCGATTCGCAAGGTCGATCTGCTCCTTGCCCGTTGATGAACACGACGCCGCTTGCGCAACGACGTGCAGAGCGCCGCGCGTCCAGGGCAGGGTGCGGTGCGATGCAATGTATGGAGGGCGTGCGACGCCTCCGGTGGGACGGATCGGCAAGGGGACATGTGTGGCAGGATGGAATTGCCAGGAGACAGGCGTGTGCGGAACGGCAGCAACGAAGTGGCGTGCGGGATCGGTGTGCAGGAATTGCAAGAATTGCTTGAATTGCAAGGCAAGCATCGGCATCGCGGCGGCATCCAAGTAGTTCTGCCGGCAGTCCGGATGGTGCTGTGGGCGATGCTATGGACGATGCTATGGACAGTGATGTGTGTTGCGGCGACCATGTCAAATATGCGACAAGTTGTCCATGCCAAAATGCTATAAACCGCGCATATCCTTGCTCATCGTCGCAGCCTCTTGGTGGAACCGCCGTCCTTCCTTTGGCCCGTGGGTAGACAGCTTGGAGCACGGAGCGAGCCCAGCCATGCCGTCCCCATCCATCCCCATCCATCTCCATCCCGCCTGGCCCATCTCGCCAGGCCCTTGCTGGGCGCGCCGGGCTTTACTGGACTCGCTGGTCCGCCCGCGCTGGTTCCCCAATCGATGCTGGTCCTGGCCCTGGCTGTCGAGTCTGTCATGGTCTGGGGGGGGAGAGCGGATCCTGCCCAAGACGGCGACGACAGACTGGATAAGCCTCTCGCCGGGCCATGCCGCAAAAGCCTCCCACCGGCGACGCACACGCCAAGGGGGGTATGTGCCTGTCGCCCAGCCCCGCCAGTCCGTCCGCGCGGCGACACCATGGGCCGCGGGCTCGGCAGAGGAGCGGGGCCGCCGTCGCTCTGGGAGGAAAAGTGCATCTCCGGGCCAGTTTCACTTCCTCAGAGATGCCAGTCTATTCTCAAGCACGATGTGACAGTCTGTTCTCGGGCGCGAGACCCTTGGGTCGAGGACATGCAACCCCTCGCTCGGATCAGACGCAGAGTCTTCCAGGGGGGGGGACATGCGGTCTCCCCCCCCCCAAGCGATAACAAGGCAAGCCAAGGTGCATCCTCGCCGACAAAGCTTCGTGGCGGCCTCGACAGGTGGTTCCCCCTCGCTGGCCTGCTCAGCCGCCTTCCTCGGCGCATCCACTGCCTGCCTGGTGGTGCGCAACAGGCCGGGTCGGGCGGTACTGGTCATGCGCAGGGCACAGCGCCGGTGTGTGCGACGTTGCGGTAGCCCTCATCAAAGCCAATTCGAGAGCCACAAAGGCCACCGGCATCCAGAGCCCAGCCGAGGTGTCCAAAAGGTTGGGCGCACCGCACAGCAGAGCGTCGCCGAAAGTCTAAAGACTAACCTTGGTGTCGGTTGCCGGTCTGTTGCCGGTCTGTTGCCAGCAGTGCTGCACTTTTAACGACCTTTTAACGACCTTTTAACGACCATCGCATCTCCATCGCTCACATCCATCGCACATCTCCATCGCATCTCCATCGCTCACATCCATCGCACACCCGTCCACCGGCCTTCACGCAGACGCTCTCTGGCTGCTGTGAAAATCGCCTGTTGCTCCTGCTCGGCCCATCTCGCGGCGCCCATCAGCTGAGCTGCGTGGTCCCTCTTGGTTTGTTTGCGCCGACAACAAAGGCCATCGCCGACACCCTTGGCTCTTGCTGCTTGTGCTGTCCAGGCTGAAGCTTCTTCTCGCCGCTGCCCCTGGACAATTGCAGGCCAGTCCAGGCAATTGCAGGCAATTGCAGGCAAGTAACCGTCATTGTTCGGCGCACTGCTCCCTTGGCCTTGCCTTCCCCCCCCCGCCCAACAAGGCTAAGCGCCGCTGCCACAGCCGCCCACAGACCCTTGCCAGCAAGCGCTGTCCGGCCCCTTTCAGGCCCGCGGCCACCATCCACGCAAGGATCATTTCGTCCTCTTGGCCGTCCGCGCTGCCGCACGCCAGCAAAGGTAACCACAGCGGGTGCCGCGCGGGGATCGCAGGCAGCTGAGGCCGGCTTTGTCGGGGGGGCGTGCGTCCTTCCTGGCCAGTGCCGCTTGGCCTGGGCCGGCTATATAGATCGAGAAATGGCTGGGCTGCTCCATGAGCCCGCTGCCCCCCCCCTGCTCCCCCCCCCACTCCACTTTGCCCGACTCCACGCCGGGTTTCTCTCTTCGGCTCTGCCTCTGTTCTTTCCTTTGAGGTCCTGTTTGCTGGGGCGCAAGAGTCTCCCGTGGACAACCCTTCCCTCGCTGTTGGTCTGCTCTGATCTCCCGCCTGGACTCCTAACTCGCCCAACCGCCGTCGCCTCCAAAAAAAAAAAAGGCCTTCCTCCAACTTTTGTCTCCTGAACCCAAAAAGCAGCTTGCTCGCGCCGGTACTGCCGCCCCGCAACGCCCATAGACGCCTGTCGCCAGTTGCCCCGTAGCCCGTAGCCCGGATAGCCACCGCCGCGACATCTCCCACGGTCCTCAAGCCAGAGACCAACGGCCCTGTACTTGCTGCCTGGACCCGTACCCTCAGTTGCTCAGCCAGACTTGGTCTGCATCTATCCGTCGCTGCTCCTCGGCTCTGTCTACCACCACCCTCGGCCTGTCCTGTTCTCACCAAGGACGCCCCGGCCGATAACCCCCCAGCCCAGGACACACCAGCCCCCCAGGACCCAGCAACTTTCCCTCTTTCGCCCCCTCGCCGTGTCTTCTCGCTTCATCCCCCCCCCTTTCGGAACTAGCCTGAGCCTCCCTCGCTACTCATGACCATGCATCCCCAGCCCCAGAATCCTCCCGAGGACTCCTCTGCGACCCTCGAGGAACGCGAAGCCGCCCCCAACAAACCCTTTGCCTGCCCGCATCCTGGCTGCAAGCGCTTCTTCACCCGCCGCTTCAACCTGCGTTCCCATCTGCTGGTGCACTCGGCCCAACGTCCGTACGCCTGCGAGTTTTGTGCCGTTGCCTTTCGGCGCAAGCACGATCTGCAACGGCACATCCGCAGCATCCACACCCATGTACGCCCCTACACATGCCAAAAGTGCGGCCTCGGCTTTGCTCGCTCCGATGCCCTGAAGCGTCACATCGAAACCGAATACCACGAAAACTCGGCCATGGCTGGTGCCGCTCCTCACGCCCTGGCCCAATACGACATGCGAGCCGCTCACTCGCCCTCGCCCTCGCCATCGGCCTCCCCTGACGCCTCCTTTGCCGACGTCGCGGCCCAAGCTCCCCACCCGCATCGCTCGAGTGACTCGCCCGAGTTTGTGCCAAGCTCTCCTTACATGGACATGGACTACACCGACGGCGACCGCTCGCCCGAGGCCGCCTCGGTGCCCCGGCGCTACTCGGTTGCTGGATATCCGCCGTCGAGCTCGGTCGGCCAGGCGCATCATCATCCTCCTCCTCCTCCTCCTCCCTCGGGCTCCTCCGTGTTGCACCCGGGCCTGCACCATGACCTGGCGCCCTTTGGCGAGTCCCACCAAGGCCCGCGGGCACACCGGGCCTATTCGGCGCCATCCTCCGAATCCACCGAGTCTCTCTTCAGGCGCGGCTCGGCCCGCCGCATGCGGCCGCATCAGCGCTATCACCACCAAGACGGTCCTGCCACTCCCGTCCTCCAGCGACGCGAGTCCGATTCGCTCTATGAGCGCTACCGGGTATCGCCATACTCCAGGGCCGACGCCTCTATCTCGACGTTGGCCACTTCGCCTCGGCGCTCCAGCGACTCGTCGCCATGGCCGCCAGCCCAAGACCCCTATTCCGCAAACCCGTCTGCCCCACACTCTGTCTCGCCGTACCCCCCGCACTCGTCGCCGCCATTTGTCCATCTGCCTCATCGTGGCCGACCGCCGGCGTTTCCCCGCACCACGGTTGATCCTCGGCTGGTCGACCACGACCGGAACTACTCGCCCCGCAGCCACCACGCGCCGCCGCTGCCGCCATCGTCATCGTCATCGTCATCGTCGTTCCCACGGCCCTCGGCGTCCAGCTACGACCCCATGTCGAGCCCGGCTCCTCCAGCTCCTCCGGCGCATGCTGCAGCGTCGTATCCTCCCGCTCCTTACCCTGGATACGGGCGTCCCTCGGACTCTCGCGGCGAATATCCGACAGCCGATCCCGAGTACAGGCCGCACTCGTACCCGCAGTATGAGGCACCACGAAGGCCCCTGTCCCTCTCTGGCCCTTGCGAGGGGCCAGAGTCGTCGTCCTCGCTTCTGAGCCGCGGCAGTCTGTCTATCCAGAGCCTGCTGTCATAGAATGACCGGACTCCCGCCTCGAGGCTCGCCAGAGCCAATCTCCATCTTTTCTCGATTATGATGGTCTCAACCAGTCCCTTATCGATTTGCCACTTCCTGTTCCATAGTATGGCTACCAGTATCTTTCCCCTATCTTGGATGACGGGACTGGGCATGCGGCTCTCCATTGTCTTTTGCTATTCAGCCTGAGTCGCCTCTGTACCTGGATCTCTACTTTTCTCTCTCTCTCTCTCTCTCTCTCTCTCTCTCTCTCTCTCTCTCTCTCTCTCTCTCTCTCTCTCTCTCTCTCTCTCTCCTTCTGCTTTCGTCGGGATGCCGAGCCTCCTGAACTTCTGAGACTCGCAATCTATTGTGCTCTTTTTTTGTCGTTTCTTCCCTGGTTCTTGAATACATACGCCCTTCTCAATGGCCATCTGTCGAATGCCAATTACAGGCAATCCAATAAAAAACGGGACACCCAGGGTTTTGACCATTGATCAAATATTTTGTTACCCAATGTTATCGCGGGCTGGCCATGACCATTCGCCACACATCCGACTTTCGCACCGCCGCATTGCGATGCTACGCCCTCATCCATAGCCTGCGTAAGGTCGCCTCCATATTCAGTGTATCCAAGAGCACCATCCATCGATGGCACCGAGGATGCAAGCTGGATGACCCATCCCGGGTCCCAGCTCGCAGATCCACTTTCTTCGAGCAGGCATGTCCAGTCATTCGCACCCTGATTGAACAGGACCCGTTCCAGACTGGTCCTGTGTTGCGGTGCAAGCTCGAGTCCATCCTCCAGAGGAAAGTATCACTCTCACTCTGCCACACTGCCATCCAGCGAGCAGGTCTCTCTCACAAGAGAGCAACACACCTCTACAAGTCCAAGCGACTGGATGAGCGAGTGGCACAGTTCAGGGACCAGGTCCGCTCCATCGACCCACGACGATTCGTTTTTGTCGATGAGACAGGGATCAGGAGATCCATTTTCCCTCTTTACGGATACTCACCGAAGGGTGCTCCGCTTCGCTAGCGCAATCACATGAAACACAAGTCTGTCTCGGCTGCATTTGCCATCAACCACTCTGGTGTGCTGCATCGCATGTACTAAGGGCTATGCATCCAGCCCGAGGAGGCAGCGGTTTGCTCGGTACTTTGAGCAATTCGAGCACCACCGACGCCGTCCCAATCACCATCATGGAAGCGTCAAGGTAGTCTCGACGAACGAGTTCAACACCTCGCAAGTGTGCTCCAAGTGCCTGGAGCCCTCTCGGCTGGGGGATCTGAAAGCGCCCAATGTCGCGAATTCCCACTTTGTCAGGAGCTGCAAGAATCCCAGCTGCCGGACAGTGTGGAATCGCGACGTCAATGCGGCGCGCAACATGATCACAGTATGCAGGTCGATTGTGGAGACCGGAGAGCGACCGGCGATCTTCACTCGGAGGCTGCCAAAGTGATCTGTTTTATTTCTTGTGGCTTTGCTTGACGCAAGCACAGCACATACTACATGTTCATGGAAACGGCTATATTGTCCCGTTTTTTTCTGAATAAAGTGTATACAGTCCGTGCAGGCTCGATGCTGTGGTTCGATCGACAGAATGTCTCGGACCAATCAGCATCGGCGTGGCTGTCCCACCAACTTTTTTTTTTCTCCCTCCCATTCGTCTCCTCCCTCCGCTCTCCTTTCGGGTTCTTCCTGGCTCGCATTTCGGATCACAGCCCCAGAATCGACTGTCCGTCCAAGCTCGACCCAGCGACTCCTGCCTTGCCGCCTCCCGCATCCAGTCGTGACGACTGGCATTCAGAGACGACCCCACCCCCCCCCAACTGACACAAACAGGACAGGATCATCCTTTCCACACTCAATCATGTCCAGCAAGGTCTCGAGCGCAAAGGGCAAGCGCGGCGCCAAGAAGAGCGGCCAGAAGCACCAAAACACCTTTGCCTTCACCGTCAGCAAGCACTCGTACATCCAGCAAAAGATCGCAGCGGCTCCCATCAGCGGTCTCTGTCGGCACTGCGTCGAGATCCTTCAATGGAGGTGTGTGTCTCTCTATAGTGCATGCATACGTCAACGCATCCGTACATGCATACATACGTGCATTGGCATAGGCATACGTTGCGATCGCATCACTGGCGACGTCGATGCTGCCACTGTTGTTGATTCTGATGGCCATTCATCGCCGCTGACAGAAAGCGCATGAACAAGTACAAGCCCCTGACTCAGCCCAAGAAGTGGTACGTCCATTATGCCTCGATCCACAATCCCATCTGGCTCAGCCTCAACTGTGGTCGGGGACTGTGCATGGCCCTCCCATCGTTGGCAATCCCTTCCACCCTCGACAATCCCTCCCCTGCCTTGGCAAAATCGCTGACCCCATCACCGTCGAATGAACTGACATCTCTTCCTTCCATCAGCGTCAAGTGCAACCAAAAATCCGTCACTGAGGCCTATCACATCATCTGCAACAAGTGCGCGGCCGATAAGAAAGTCTGTGCAAAGTGCCAGCAGTCGCAGGAGATTGTCAACGAGTAAGGCATACACTCCCCCCCCATTCCAGGACCTTTTTTTCTGCTTGCAGATGCTGACAGATTGAGAGAGGGTCAGATGAATGAATGAATTAATAGTGGGATGGATGAGAGGAATGGGAACATACACAGGAATCGCAGAATGAAGGCGATACCATGTCTCTCAACCAAACAATCCCACTCACTCACTCACTCACTCACTTATTAACTCATAACGTCGCTCTTTCGTTGTTCCTTCATCAGCAATGCGCCCACTCCACAGGAGATCCTCAAGTCCCAGCAAGACCACGATCGTCTGCTGGGCAGTATGAACGAGCGCCAGCGCCGTTCGTACATGCGCAAGATCGAGCGTGGCGACGAGGACGGCGCCAACAAGATTTCCCAGACCGCCGCCAACGCCCAGAGCGACGACGACTTTGATCTCGACGACTTTGACGGCATGGACGACGACTTTGACGATGATGGGGGCGATGGCCTGGACGAGGATGAAGATGATATTGAAGACGAAGACGAGGAAGCTTGATGCATCCCGGTCGAGAAGAAGAAGAAGAGTGTGGCAGAGCAATCCGCCAGGCTCACGGCTCACAGCTCTAGCTCTCGCTCGCATCGGCGCCATCTCGGCTCTTCGGCTGGTGCACACGGCTCAGGACTGGCGGTGCGCAGACATACATCTCTCGGCTGCATCGCCTGTGGATATTGTAGATACTGGAGTGTACGTGTGTGCATTGGCCCTCCTTTTTTGTTTGAGGCGGGGAGCGATCCGGATCTGGCTGGGGCAGAAGTGACAGCGATACCAACCACTCGCTTCTGCCCATTGTCTGTTTCCGCGGGTTTACCAGCTTGCCATTTGCCCAAAGGGTTGGAAATCTCCCCCCCCCATTTCCTCCCATCGTGTGTTGAATGAAGGGCAAGCCGACCCAAAGCAAAAATGCATACTCGAATCCAAGAGATCAAATGTCGTTGCGATTCCGCCAATTTCATATGTATATTTAATCGCGATGTCCCAGCCGCTTTCCATAGCCTGACTGGCCGGTCCAGAGCCGCCAAACGGTGCCAAAGCCAACGATGGACAGCACCGAGAGGGCCCACCCGAGCTTGACCGCAAAGAAGGCCACGGGAATGTGCCACGGGTCGAACGATCTCGGGGGTCGGGACATCAGGAAGAGGGCCGTGAAGACGACCGAGTCGTAAAAGACGCAAAGGACCGAGTGCGTGAGCTGCACCAGCACGAGGATGGCGTGGCCGGTGATGAACTTGATGAGCCGGATCGAGAACGCAGAGTAGGCGTTGGTTTTGTTGAGCATGTACGCCTGCACGATCAGCAGCGGTGCCATGAGGCCGACAAAGAGGGTGAGGATGTGTGCAATCCATGGTTTCTGGCCGATGGGCAATACTGAGAAGCCGGTCTGGCGAGGAGCACCATCGATTGACAGGCAGGGAGGGCGCCGTCCCGGTGGAGCACGTTCGGGGATTGTTGGTTGTTGGTTGTTGGTTGTTGGTTGTTGGTTGTTGGTTGTTGGTTGTTGGTTGTTGTTGGCCACGACATCGAGCCAGACGCCGATGCAATCGTGCGAGTATGGGTGCGCGAGCGTGGTGAGTAAAGCAGATTTTGAGGATGGTTCAGTGCCGGAGAGGGTAGCCGAGGATCCGGTAGGAAGCAAGTGGGCAGTCGCATACAAGCTCGGGTCAATCGCATACAAGCTCGGGCCAGGACGTATCTGCACGGCCTCGACAGCACCCAAAAAGGACGTACCATGTCTTTGTGGACAAAGTAGGCGTATTCCAGCCAGAGGTATCCGAGATCCGTCAGGAAGGTGATCATGCAGAGCGAGATCATGGGCCCCACCCACCACTTGCGCTCCGCCGACGACACCCCCGAGATGTCCAGCTTTTCTTCGACCAGGTTGCGGGCCGTCGCGACGACATCCTTGGCGGCTTTGACCGCGGCCACGTTCAGCGACGAAAACGAGCCAAAAGGGGAGGCTGAACCTGAGTTGGGCGAGTGAGGATGAGAGACGGGCGATTGCTGGCCGTGCTGCCGCCTGGTGCAACTTGTCCCATCTTCCAGCGAACCTCGGCTGCGATGGTACAGGTCGGGAGGCGCGGGATCATCCACCCTTGATGCCCGTGCAAAAATCAAACCCACAGCCCGCGAGGAGGCTGTTGCGACTGCATTGCCCTTCGATTCACGGAAAGCATACACACCTCCATAGAGCAGGTACTCCTCGCCCAGAACGTCGGCCGCCTGGAAGATGCCGATGCCCTGTAACCGAGACGACAGGTCCACCAGATCTTCCTGGGTCTTGAGCTGCCGGGAGTTGAGATACCGCTGCTTTATCGACTGGAGCAAGGGCTCTGTCGACAGTGTCCAGGTTCAGCCGGGGGGAGGGTGGATAGCCAGTGGCCGGGAGATGGCGATAGAGGAGAAAAGAACAGAGGATGAGTTTGGCGGAGGAAGTGGGCTTGGCTTGGCTTGGGATGCCGCCGCTGGCCCGATTCTGGCGGGTCCAACCGATCGGAGGAAAGTATGCGCCAATCGACTCGAATGGGCGCGGCACATTCTTTTGCCGTTTCTCTGCTCGCCTCTGTCCGGGCATCCGAGCTGGGTCCAGTGGCAGATTGCCTCGTTTGTCCTCGAAACGCAGCCAGGATGGCCCCTCCCTTTGGGCCAGCCACACTTGCAAACCAGTCGCTGGCAGCTTACCAAACTTGATGAAGGCATAGGGCCGCACGACTTGGGCAATCATCTGTTCGGGAGTCAAGCCGTGGTTCGAGGGCAGTGCCGAGGCCGAGTCCAGGAACGACTTGATGGTCTCGCACAGGTACGCAAAGGCCAGCAGACGAGGGTAAGCCTTGTCGGCGATGCAGATGAACACGATGCCATCTTCGCAGATGTAGCTATCGGAGGCGACGCGGTGGGCCACAGGTGCAGGTGCAGGTGCAATGGAAGTTGAAGTCGCAACGAAGGAACGATGCAGGGGGCGTTAGCAACAGGCAACCGCAATGATGCATGGCCAAGGGAGAGCGAAATTGCATCCAGACAGACATGTTGCAGTCGGTGACATGGTGGCGGGCCGGCAACGATGCGACGGGTATCCAGGGCGGAGCAAAGAGCTCCTTGAGCAGAGTATGAGGAAACACAGCGCATTCGCCTCCTCATGCGATGCCGCAGACAGGGCTTAACTGGAAGGTGAACTGGCCGGCGGCGACGGATCCTTTCGAGGGCAGGGAGCTCGAGTGCACAACCGAGGAGTTATCCAGGGGCGAGATGCGATGGATGAGCTGCTTGGCCCACTTCTTGTGGGTCTCGATGAGCAGCTCGTCGGCCTGCGATTCCATAGTCGCCACCAGGGGCAGGGCGTCCGAGGCCCGGGCAATCAACGTGAACCGGATCATGGCGAGGATAGGCCGGGGGGGGCTGATGGGATCGTTGGAGGGGCGACGGCGAAGGCTGGCCGTGGAAGCCGCGAAAGAGAGCAAAGGCCGAGGCGCGACACAGAGTTCCGTGGCAGCAGGCGCATTCGAACCGGGCTGGCGAGTTTGGCTGGATGTCGAATCGGGCGGAAATCGACTCGGGTGCGATTGGCTGTGGGATGGGCACCGATGTGGTTGGGAGTGTGGGCGGGGAGGGGTGCAGGTATCGCCGACGATGCCGGTGCGGTCTGGATGCGGTTAGGATGCGAGGCGGACGGGCAGCAGGACGTGCGGTGGACTGCATGAGGCAGTGCGGTGTGCAGGAAAGCCTGGTGCATATGCATCGCCAAAGGTGCGATCTGCCAGGCCGACTCACACACAGGGCGATCAGTTACGATGCACTTCGGCCATGAGAGACATGCCAGACATGCCGGACATGGCGTTGCTGCTCGCCAAACAGCACATCAGGGCAGCTGGCAGCGCAAACAGGCCCACCCGTGACTTGCCGAATCCCGCCAACGACCGGGGACTGTGATCCAAATAATCAAATACAAGCACCTTGCCCGCTCATGCGACATGTAGCCATGGCATCAGGCCGGCCAGGCAGCAGCAGCAACTCGGTGTGCTGGAAACGCATGGCATTACACCTGGACCGCCACCGAGCTGCGTGCGCTTGCGCTTCCTCCCAGCAGCTCGCCCCACCCGTCGTCATCTGCCCGGGCCATGACCCGAACCGCATGGGTGAGTCCGTCATTGGTGCGCCATGCCGGGATGGCCGGTGGCCTGCGACCGCCGCCACATCCTGGTGTGTTCCGACAGAAGGCAGAGTGGATTGGAGGGCGTCGCACAGGGCATATGGGCATCGGGGAGGCGGTCATTGGGCCTTGGCGGCTCCGTGTGGACGAGGAGGAACAGGCGAGCAGCCGGGGCATCCAGCAGCAAAACCGATCTGGTTCTCCGAGCAGCAGGACACCTGCAAGCAGACCGGCCCTCTGCCGCCAGCAGCAGCACCCGCAGCGGCAGCAGGGCCAGAGACATGGCGGCTGCAGATGGGCGCTATGCTCGCTTTCCTGTCCATGGACAGCGGGCCATTACATTTTGCGATCTGGGTCGCACCAGACCGGGCACGAAGCCGAGCAGACGAGACGGGCACCAGCAAAGGCAGCCGTGTCGGGGCGACAATTTGCCCAAAAAAGGGATCATTCGCTGGCTGTGGTGGTTGTGGTTGTGGTTGTGGTGGTTGTGGTGGTTGTGGTGGTGGTGGTGGTGGGCGAGGACCGGGCAGTGATTTGCGAGCCCAGCCCAGGCCGAATCGCACACGGCCGCAGCAGCAGCAGAAACCGGCAGGAGCCAGAGGCATTGGCGACAAACCCCCACCAGCCAGCGGCAGTATCGGCACATCCAGCCAGCACCGGATGTCTCTGTCCCGCAATAATGCCGAGAGATCCACCGCGCAGCATGACGGGATCCATCGGCCGTCGGCGCTCTCGCCAGGCGCATCTCGCGCGGAGCGAGAGCACAGCACCAGCACACCACCGGCACAGAGCCCGCAGTCGCGCAGCAGCCGCGGCGAGAAGCGAGGCCGCCAGCGAGACCGCCAGCGAGGCCGCGCGCGCCACACACACACCATCCCGTCACAGACGTCAAAAAAAGTCGACACGGCCGTCACAGGCCGTCAGACCCAATAAAAGCCGCGGCCTGCTCGTCTTCTGCTCTTCCTCCTCCTCTTGCCTTTGCTCCTGGCCTTGTTTCTGGTCTTGCCTCTGGTCTTCTCCCTCGGTCTGGTCTGGTCCTGCCATTGCTCCCCAAGCATTGGCCCCCTGCCGATCCGCTTCCCCGCTGCCCTCTGCGTCTGCCTTGTCGTCCATCCCCTCTCCCGCTTCCTGCTCTGCCGGCCCTCGCTGCCCAGCATGCTCTCGCCGGATCAGGTAAAGCCTTCCTCCCTATCGAGCCCGCGCCCTGCCGCCGTCTTGCCTTGTCTTGCCTTCTCGGTCTCCTAGTGATTCCAAGTCACTGCTACGGGGCGACCTCGGCCAACTCCATCAAGCTTCGATCTCCCCGTGCCTGCTGTTTGCCTCTGCTGGGAACCACTTGCTGCCTCCCGCCGCGGGAGCGGAGGATTGGCCCCGTGCCTGCTGTCCTCTCTCTCACCGGTTGGGCCTTGTCCTGGCCCTGGCTGGCCTGCTCCTGCTTCGGGCGCCGCCAGTCCCTGTCACCGTCGGGCCCCACCGTTTGATCTATTTCTCGCGTGCTTTGCTTCTCGTCAGCACGCCGAGGCTTTCAGCCCGCTTTGCTCTATCTTTCTCGACCTCCCTGTCGATCTGGTCTGTTACTGCCCGCTCCCTTTCCTTGCCAGCGCCTCGCAATCCGCGCTGGTATTGATCTTGGGGCCGTCTGCCCACTGTTGGCTCGTTGTAGTCTCGTTGCTGGCTCCACGGCGATCCGCTCTGGCTCCAATCCCCTCCCCGTTTTGGCCTGCTTCGTTGCATCATTCCATTGGCCCTTGCTGTTCTGCGTCCCCTGCTTCCTCGTGCATCCGGCTGGTCCTGCTTTCTTCTGGCCGCTCGCCGACCCGCTTCTTATCCCACTCGCTCTGATCTGGCGCCCGCCCCCACCTCCCCACTAGGTCGATTCTATTAGCTCCGTTTCTATGCATGTCTTGGGCCACCCCGAGGCATCGTCGGCCACATCCGTGCCCTCCCTCCCCGTCCCTCACTTTCCTCCTGCTATGGGCGTCTCGCCTCTCGACGTTGCCCAGCATTCTGCGATCCTCGGTGTCCTCAATACCGCCAGCAGCCAGATCGAGCTGGCCTCTGTCCAAATGCCCGGCCAGCCCGCCGCCGCCCATGGACCGACCCCCGCCAAGTCCGTTGCCCAGGCAAAGCCAATCCAGTGGGTCAACTTTGATCCCGGAAGCAGCAAAGGCAAGGCCCGTCGCCGCACTACTCCCGAGCAGCTGAATGTCCTCGAGGACTCGTACAAGCGCAACAACAAGCCCAACCTAAACGAGCGCCAGAAACTGGCCCACGACTTGCAGCTGACCGTCCGCGAAGTCCAGGTGTGTGGTTCCAGAACCGCCGAGCCAAGGACAAGAAGGCCTCCAACACCTCGGCCCAGAGCCTCGGTGGGAGCGACTCGAAGGAATCGACTCCCTTCAGCTGTGCGTCCTCGGATATCTCAGAATACGTTCCCCCCTCGCCCGCTGCCCTCACAACACCGGCCGTGCCATCGTCCTTCACTCCCACGATCCACGACATCACCACTCGGTCGTCCGGTCATGGCGCTGCCGGCCTTCAGGGCACCGCACTCTCGCCTGCAGCGACCGCATCGCTGCTCAAGCGGCTGACCTCGGTCTCAGCGGCTGGTACCAGCCTGTCGCCGCCTCCCGATTCCACAGTAGCCCTGCTCGCTGCCTCCTCCGCTGCTGCCGCCCTGGCCGCTTCATCGGTACTGGCATCGACATCGCCAGCATTGGCATCAGCATCGCCGGTATCTCTCCCGACGCCTCTGCTCACTCCCACACCGGCACCTGCCTCGGTCTACGTCGGTTCGTTTGTTTCGGTCCTTCCCCAGCGCCCAGCCAACATGGAGCCTGCCGCCGCCGCCGGTGTGTGTGCACTGAGTACCCGCCCGAACCCAGACTTCAGCCAGACTCCCAAAAAGAACCGCCGGTCACCCCCACATTTGCTCCAGCTGGCCCAGGTGGCTGAGCTTCCCATGAGTCCACTGCAGTTGATGACGCCACTGAGCCAGGAGGCATCTTCGCCCGTCGATGACATTGCCGGCCTCGCGTCGCGCGAGCTGAATCTGCATCCCTCCGAGTCCCCTCTGTCGACAGAGCTGTCTCAAGCCGCCGAGCTCGATGGCAATGTAGCTGTCAAGTGCGAGCCTCCAGCCGAGCCCGCCGAGCCCGTGTTGCCCCTTCCAGTCAAGCGCCTGAGCGCACCCAAGAGCCGCAAGTCGGCCACAGAGATATCAAAGCGGCTTACGACCCGCTCCAGCGGAGCCAAAAAGGCTGGCAGCAAGCTTGCCAAGCCGCAACGCAGCTCCTCGGACGAGTGTAGCACCGATCTTGGCTGCAGCACCGACGGCGCTGGCTCCACTGCTGCGACGGCCGACGACGGCAACATGCACGAGACTAAGGCGTCCATCGAAAAGTTTACCCAGCTGGTCGAGGGACTGCACTCGTCCATCATCAAAGGCGCCACCGCTGTGCCGGATCCGCTGTATTCCAGAGCGAATATTGCCACCGAGTTCGAAATCTCTCTGGGCCAAGGTAACCGCTGCTTCCGGCTCGCAGTCCACTGGGCTGCATGGTGGCTACCCGTCGACCCTTGGTTCGTCCAGTGTGCATCATCGCCTCAAAAGCAGCTGCTAACCCCGCTCCATATTGGCCGTTTTGTTGTCTGCCGCCACCAGATCATGCTGAGCACAATCTGCTCACAAGCAGCGACGCTGTGTGGCTGCCTTCCACAGAGATTTCGGAGCGCCACAGCCAAAACAGGCTTTTGGACTACTCGGCCCCGGGCACTCCTGGCGAGGGCGAATATGCCCCCAACTCGTCGCTGGCGTCCCGGTCTTCGTCGCCTATCGCCGACGATTCCTTCGACGCCAGCCAAGTCTCCAGCATCGAGTCGATTCCCGGCCTCAACGACTTCCTGTCCAGCCCCGAAGAGCAGGGCCTGCTGGCGGCTGCCAAGCTCTTTGACTCGGAGCCCCCGCTGCCCGCCAAAGGCATGCAGCTTCACATGCCGGACGATTTTGACTATCGTCCGCCCCAGCCGCGCGACTTTAGCGTTGTCCAGCGCAACAACGGATCAGTTCAGCGGTCTGGCCTGGCCGCCGTCCGGCTTTCCTTCCGCCACATCACCCCACCCAACCGGCGATCCTCGCCGTCCTCGGAACCGCTGTCGCCGCTGACCAGCTCGCCGCCCGTCCCCGATCTACCGCCAGTCGATACAGACAAGCTCTTTGTGTACCGCTGGCCAGCGATCTGCTAGCGCACAACGACGTCGCTGCTGGGTATTATCTTATCGGCGCAACTCTGCTTCTGAATGGCGCCGTCCGATCACTGCTGCAGAATCGAATCTCTGAGGCCACACACACCTTGCTCTCATCATCCCCCCTCCATCAAGCACGCCTCCGACTTGGATCCGCGATTCTGCTCGGCCTCTTGCTCGCTCCCTGTTGCGAGACGATCCTCGACAGAGCTCCCGTCGTCCCGGACGTTTATTGGCGCCCTGCACCACCGAGGATGGCACGAGCAGAGTCATGGACCTGGGTTGACCCAGAGCTGCTTGCACTTGCTGTATTTTCCCAGTTCCACTCAGGGCCCGGAATCTTCCCCCCCCCTTCCGCACCCAAGACGGGCTGGAGTTTTGAAATCTGTCTGTGTATATTCTTTTCTTTTTTTTTTCTGTTCGTGCCCACAATACAAATGTCGGTGCAGCCATCTGCACCCTGTGTAACTCGATTCTCGAACGGCGCGATGAGGCTGGAGGACGTCGGGGTTGATGTGGTTGGACTGGCTGTGGCGCGGGTCGGTGTGACTGTCACATGACCCGGGCGAACAAGCGAGCCAGGTCCGTCGCATGCGAAGTTGCAGTGTTCTGACGGCGATCGCACTGTCAACGATCGCGCTGCCGACGATCCCACTGCCAAGCCAGCCCGTCGCAGGGCAGACGCATCGATGGACAATCCGCCATACTCGAAGCCTGACTGGGGCCACTACCTCGTCGATACGATCAAGCAGGTCAGTGCCGGTGGCCTCATCGGCGTGCCGCGCTGTTCACCGTGCCTCCAAAGATCGGCCAGGACATGCCAGATATTCCATGATCTGCACGGAGATGCACGGATACGCACGGATATTCCATGATCTGCACGGAGATGCACGCATACACCATCATATGCTTGTCTGCTCCACTTACCCCCATCCCTCTGCTTCTGGGTCACAGATCTCCGAGTTCACCTCGAGCGCACACTCGCTATCGCCAGCAGATCTCGAGTCCTTCAAGCAAGTCGTTGCTGCAGTTCTCTCACGCCTCTTTGAGGAGATACGGCAGTCACCCACCGGAGGTGCGTTGCTCTCGTTGGTGTTCGATCGCTGGACGACGCTTCTTCGGAAGCGCACGGCCTTTCTGGACTCGATGGGCCTCACCCGCGTGAGGTTGGGCAGCATGTCGTCGAGGCAGTATCTCCCAGAACAGCACAGATCAAGCTGACTGTGCCGCCATTTCCTTGCAGTCAACGCACCTTCCATCGCCTCGCTTACGGCTGCCCGAGTTGCTTTCTCGTTCATCCCGGCGTTGCTCAGGGAGATTCCCGAAATCTTTTGCATCAACACGGCTCCGGCCCTGAGCCAGATCCCAACCCAGTCCGTCACCAAGTTCCTGACATCGCTTCCCCTCAACCTCGACTCTCTCATCAACGACATCAAGCACGATTGGGGCCAGCAGCTCCAGTTTGCTTCCCAGCGTTTCACCGAGTGGCTGATTGTCGAGATCCTTTCGCTGCTGTCGAGCGTTGCCCACATTGCGACCATCCGCGACCAGCTGGCCGAGTCTCTCGTGGTGCTGTTGCGGCATGAGCGCAGGCGAGAGCCACCGTTCATGTATCAGTACCAGCAGCTTCTGACCGATATCGTGTACTTTATACAAGGTAACCCTTGGTGCCCACATGTCGCTGCTGATTGTTGGCCTTCGTCTCGCCCTGACTGTGTGTTCTGGGTTCATTCCGCAGATATTGTCCAAGCATCAGCCATCAAGCGATATCCACTTGAACTCAAGTTTTCTGCGTTCAAGGCCAACTATAAACCATCGGTAGCTCACATGGTAAGCACGGTATCGTGCGAGACTCGCAGTTTTGTCTCTCTGCTTTGGCGGACGACCATGGCTCATCCGCCTCTGTCTGGGTTCGTTCGTCCAGATTCTCGTCGCCACCGAGGAAGATGCCTTTTGCACGACTATCGTTTTGCTCAAAATCATGACCAAGATGGTGGCCAAGGCTTCCAAGGACACAGTCATACCCCCCAAGGCGATTTCAACCGTGCTGGCGCTCTGTCTCAGCAGGCTCTGCGACGCCGAGGTTCTTTCGGTATGACTGCTTGCTGTCGCCCAATGGACTTGCTTTTGGATCCCTGCTCGTCCAGATCGATGCCGACTAACCTTCAGTACATGATCCCGTCCAGACCAGTGTCGCCCTGGCCGATGAGCTATTCCGAAGCCCGAACCAGTACTATTCAAAGTACGATGTCTCCGACCTTGTCGTCACTGTTCTGGGACAGCTCTGCACATACCTCCAGGATCCCAGTGGCACGACATCCGATGACGAATCCGCCATGGTCGTGTGTTCTGATCTACAGCTCGCGAATCGCACGGCAATCGAGACGGCGTACTCGGCGCTGCTGCAGACCATCGTCAGCCGCTATCGCGCCACCCCGGATTTTTTCCCGATCCTGGATGTTGCCCACATCGCTGTGAAGCTCATCCAGCCGGCAACGTTCGCCACAATCAGCGACCCCGCGCTGAAGGTACCGAATCGAGCTGAGCCGCATCCAAGTGATAGGCAGAGGGTGGCTGCTTCCGCTTCGGCGCTCCTCTGGCGCAGATCACTTCTAACACTGCATCGGACCTTTGCTATGACAGAGGGGGCTATTAGAACTTGCCTCGGTATCACTCAAGATCCAGTCGACAGAGTCATCGATACTGGATGCGCTCATGGATTACTCGACCGCCCAAGATATCCACGGTGCGGCCGTGTCCTGTATCGATGCCATATTTGTACGTTCACAGACGCCGATCGCCATTGAATGTGCCTGGGGAGAGTCAAATATGCGCTTGCGCCGTGCCTAATTTGCTCCAAGCTGGATCCAACGCCTACTGATCACGATCTGCTCGCTGGCTGGATCAGGAATATGCCGGAAACCAGTCGCTCGGGACTCTCTGGACAAGTAGAAAGAGAAAGACGTTTGACGAAGCAGACGAATCAAGGTAGGAAGTGTGTATGGTGATGATGTATATGATGATGTGTATGATGGTGCGTGAGGCAGTGCATGTCATCGTGTGAAGGTGCGTGTGATGGTGCGAGGAAGTGCTATTGCCATCTGCCTACACCGATTCCTGGCCACTCAATGCGTGTCCGCCCGCCCTTGGCTCAGTTTTCTTGTCGAGCGACTTGTTCAGATTGCCATTGAGGAGCTGCATCAGATCTTCAAAGTCCAGGTACTGCAGACGCTGAGTCCCAAGGAGGACCGACGTGGTGACTCGCTCACGCCGCAGCCAGGCATTTCATCCTGTGCGCCGGGCCTGCTCATGGAGAAGGCGTTTGCTGGTATGGGGTTGCAGTTGCCCTCCCCTCCGCTCTGATCGATGTATCATCTGCTGATCGGAACGCTCGTAAATTGCCCCCCCCCCGCCCAGGACCATGTTGGTGCAAATCGTCTCTGTTCCATCTATTCGGTCCTGCGCACCCTCTCGCGCAAGTATGGCTTTGCCTTTTCTGACAGCTCCTTTGAATCGCTGATTGAAAACCTTGCTCTCGATTGGCTGGGCGAGCGATCCCGCAACAACAGCCATGCCGTTGATGTAAGCATCGTCGTCGACACGATCCTTGTTGCTGTGGCTTATAAGACATCGGTGCTAACGGGTTGCTTTGACAGCACTACTATGTTGCAATGTGCCAAGTGGTTTCGCTGCTCTCGATCCAAGGTTCGATATTCTTGTTTGTTGGGCACGTCTTCGAGATCTCCGTGTCCCTGACTTTTTGGTGCCCGCTCGGATCCAGATCCCAGCCTCTCTTGTATTCCAAACTGCCGTCCACTCATCACAGTCTTGCTTGCAAGTCCATGGGCTCCGAGTTGTGAATCGATCGACGAGTTTGAATGTAGAGCTGCAGAGCGGTTCCAGGAGGCAATCGTACTGGTCAAGAATGCCATGGCTCAGCGAAATGGTGGCTCGCGATGCCTGGACGTCTTGCTGAAGCTGTCGCCGCATCTTTCGGCAAACTGCCCCGATTTGATCCAGAATGCGCTCCTGGCGTGTTCGACCATCGCACTTGACGAGCTCACAGCCTTCTGCATCAACACGTCGCTCTCGGGAGACTATCCGACCAGTCTCCGGATCGAGGCTTGGAAGTTGGTGCCTCAGATAGCAAGCTACATTTCCTCGTGGCATCAGAACAAGCCCGAGAGCCTCATCGCGCGATTGCAGTGAGTCATTGTTGGCTCCGCAGCAGTACAAGATTTGCAATCGGTTTGTTTAACGATGTTTTGGTCTGTCGTCGTGATCCAGGGTTACCGAAGCCGATCCTCCCGAGATCCTCGAAGCCGCTGCCTGCTTCGTGGGATTTGTATCCTGTGCTCAGTCAGCATCGCTGGAGCATCGACTCCCGAATATGGAGCCCGTGTGCTGTGTTTGCGACCAAGCCAACAGGAACCCAACCAGCCGAGACCCAGCCGGTGATGACAGTGCCCGTCGCGTGTCCGTCGCTGTGATGAGCCGATTCATGTTTCTTGGAAGCTGCGAACTTGGATACTCCAATATCGCAACTCAGTTCCTCAAGTTGTCACTTCCGAGGGTCCTGGCCCACTGCTGCTCGGCGGATCTCGTGATTGCCGACTCGACGATCGCCAGAAACATCATCTTTCCTGGGATGGAAAGCGATGCACGGACGTTGCGCCTCGCCGCAGGGTACGCTTGCTTTGGTTTGCCTCCTTCATATCGACCGAAGCATTCCCGCTGCGAGCAGCTGTGATTGGCCGAGGCTCGCGGACAAAGCCAGCCCATAGCTCATATCAGTCCCTTCTTCGCCTGTACCTCATTTGCCCGACAGCAATCTGCTGTCGTTTTTCTTGGATGAAGCCCGAATCAGCCCGAGCGAACTCGAAGCCAACATTGAGCACATCGGCAATTCCTTTGATGATCTTGTTGCGTCCAATCTGCCCGATCGTATCGAGACGCTCATCCACACCCTTGGCAAGCTGGCCGAGTAAGTTGTCAGTGCGTTCTAGCAACTGCGGTCTGACCCCCATGTTTCCGTTTCTGAGCCCTCGCCTCCTCTGTGATTCTACCATAATAGGCGAGCCAATGAGGCGGTCCTCTACATGACACTCAGTCGGCTTGTATTGCTGCTGGGGACCGAGAATCTGATCAACAAGGGTGTGGTGATTTGCAAGGTAGGCGCATCTGACCTTGGGGGTGTGGCACTGTGTGGATAGTTCCAGTGTTGGTCGCTGTGGCCGGATCCCCTTCGTTGCGTGAGCCCTGTGTTGGTAGTGTCCGACCGCGATGCTCATCCGCTCCATTTCCGTATTGCACGCCATCAGCTGGAAGAAGTGCGTCAGCGGCGATCGACCACCATGCAGAAGCTGTTCGAGCCATTCCTGGCCCGGGTCGGAGACTCGCTTATCCAAAATATTGCAGCGGACCCCGTGTCCCTCCGCGAGTTTGCTCAGATCCTGGATATGTCCCAAAGAGACCTGTGTGTCAAGGCCCTCAAGCTGGCTCTACCCGCGCTGGTCATACAGCAAAATTCCGAAGGCATCCGTGCACTGGCGCGTATTCTCCGATGCGAAAGCGTGCAGGCCATGTGCATCGACGAGCTGCACAACATTCTCGCCGGGGCTTTGCTTTCCGACAAATCGAATGAGGCACTCGATTTTCTTCGCTGTCACATCTTTGACGCCAAGAAAATCACCATCGTCAAGATGTTCCGAAGCTGCAACCAAGCGCTGGTCGTTGAGCTCTCCATCGAGCTTGGGGACCCGCAGGAGGAAGTCCGGTCCAAGGTGCGTGTCCGACGGTGGATCCGGCGTAGATTATGCTTCAGCCGCAAACACATGTCTGACCCGCGTCAACTGAATACCCATTGCAATGCATCTCACGCTGCACTCTGACATGTCCGAACACGGAAATGGCGATGGCTTGATGTACGGTCTGCCTGCGCTGGCTCCGATCCATCGTGCACCGCCCGCTCTCCCTGCTTCTATGCTCGCTACAGGCCCGGAGTGCACTGCAGGACGTGTATATCAACTCATTCGACGACCAAGCCGACCCGAGCCAAGTGCTGGCCTTGATACTCAGCCAGTATTTTTTCGGTATCATCACCTCGATCAACCACGGCATCACAAGGGCAGATACAGACATCAAATATGCGATCAAGCTTGTGCGTTCATTCGAAGAGGTCATTCGCATCATCGGCTACGGCATTTACACCAAGTCTGCACAGGTCCTGGCTACCCTGCAAACCATAACCGAGATGCCAAACCTACGATGCCATGCGCTGTCGTGTTGGAGCACCTTCATCAAGGCGCAGGATGCCAAGCCACAGGGCGTCAAGAACCTCAAGCCCATCCTGGGCCAGATTGTCGCCGTTCTCTTGAGGAACTACTCCGAATACACCGAAGGCGAGAAGCAGCAGATTGTCGAGATTATGAAGTACCTCATTGTTGATCTTGGCAAGTCTCTCACGGATGAAATCCAAGAGCTCTACCTGCTTCCGGCCACGCCCGAGTTTGACTTTCTCAACCAGCATCGGCTCCAGATGTTCGATTCGATCGACGGACTGGCGCAAAACCTAACCCAGACCATCAATGGCATCAGACAGGAAAACTCGGCAATTGTCTACCAGGCGCTGTTGAAGCTCAGAGTCGTGCTCCTCGACAATCGCGAGACAATCCACACGCAAATCATGGCCGAGAGCATCGAGCCCATCTTGAACGACACCATCAAGACCCTCCTCGACACCTGCCGACGGTACAACGGCACAGAGGAGGAGATCCAGATCCTGTCGTGCGAGTGTCTGGGCATCATAGGCGCCGTCGATCCTGGCCGGGTTGATATTCCCATGGCCAGTGACCCCACAGTCGTGATCGAGAACTTTTACAACCAGGAGGAGTGCCACCGCTTCGCGTGCGACTTTATCGAGCACTTTCTTGCGCCGGCGATCCGCTCCATGGGCAGCAGCAGCGCGCAGAGCTACTTCTCTTGCACGTTGCAGGAGCTCCTCATGTTCTGCGGATTCACTGCCCAGCTCGTGGATGCCAGCGCCGATAGAGTAGCGGAAGGGTCCAGCAAGGCGCTGCGGAAGCGCTGGGATGCCTTCCCGGGACACATGACGCCGATTCTGAGACAATTGCTCGGAACACACTGGAAAATCACCACCGGCACGACTTCAGCGCCGGCCCATCCAGTTTATCCATCCAGCGCCTCCTTCCAGGAATGGGTGTCCACCTGGGCGCTGAGTCTTGTGGGTCAGGTCAACGGCAATAACGCCAAGAGCTTCTTTGGCAACTGTCGAAACGTCATCAAACCTGAGTACCACCACATTGCTCTGCATCTCCTACCCCATATCTGTCTCAACATTGTCTCTGGGGGCACGTTGTCCGAACGAGAGGACATCACTACCGAAATCATGTCGATTTTGAACGACCAAGCACCCACATCGAATCCTCGTCTGATCGAGAAGCGCGACCTCTGTGCCCAGGTAATGTTTCTGGCATTGGTTGAGTCGATCCGGCCATTGGTTGGTCGATCCGGGCACTGTTCCATATCCGCAAATGCATTCGTGGCAACACCGGCAGAGGTTTCCGAGGAACGATTCGCCATCGACTGCTCGTCGCTGATCTATCTCTCATTATCTCATTCTGTCTTTGTCTCTGCCTCTGTCTCCAGTCCGTCTTCATGGTGGTCGACCACATGTCAACGTGGCTCCGAATCAGGCGACGGAATGCAGCCAAGCAAGGGGCCGTCCCACACCGGCGTGCGCGCAAAGGGAGCGAGTTCGATGATTCCACCAGTGCCTACGATGAAATGATGGCCAACGTCGATCAGTTCCTCAAGAGCATTCCGCAGTCCCTGATGGCCATGACAGCATATCGATGCAAGGCGTATGCCCGAGCGATCATGCACTTTGAGCGACACATGCGTATAGAGCGGGACGGCGCATCGAAGAGCACGCTGCAGGAAATGTACACTTATCTGCAAAAGATCTATGCCAAAATCGACGAGCCCGATGGAATGGAAGGCATTTCCAAGAAGGTGCTCCGACCCACACTGGAGCAGCAGATTCTCGAGCACGAGTCGGCTGGACGATGGACGTCGGCCCAGACATGTTACGAGCTATCGCTCAGAGAGAGCGACAGCTCAGAGAACATTAACCTTCACATTGGCCTCCTCAAGTGTCTGAAGAACATGGATCATCTCGGTAAGTTACCGCGCAACAATCCTGACGTTGCAGACACCTCGGTCCTACAGCTGGCTTGCCTTGGCTTTGTTGAGTGGCAAAGCGTTACAAAGCCAAATCACGGCGATTGACCGCCCCCCATCACTCTTGTTTGTACCAGAAACCATGATGACGCTCATCAATGGGTCATCGGCGAAGCACCCAGACTGGGAACCAGTGCTCAGCTCATACGGAGTCGAGGCTGCCTGGCGACTTGGCGATTGGGAATCGCTTGAGTCATTCTTGAGCAAGCCAACGCAGCATCGGTTTGACGTCTCGCTCGGCAGGCTGTTGCTTGCCGCCGTCAAGAAGGACACGCCAACATTTGATCGCGAACTAAAGGCCATCCGCAAGGAGATTGCCGGCCCCCTCTCAGCAGCCAGCATGGAGTCTTACAAGCGAGCCTATGAGCACATGGTCAAGCTCCACATGGTCCACGAAGTCAATACGCTCTACCAAATCACGCAGTCGGACCGGACGCAGCTGGAAGCCCAGGATCTCGAAAAGCTGATGTCCGAATGGCTTGTGCGAACCCAGATCACGTCGCCCACGTTCAGCATCCGCGAGTCGATTCTGCATCTGCGGCGGACACTGCTTGGAGAATGCAGGTGGGGCTCTCGAGCGGCGTCTGCGTGCCGTGCTGGACTATCCTTGACCCAAAGTCCTTGGCAGTTTGCTGGCACACTGAACTGGGCACTAATGCTGACACTGACCCTGCTGGTGCGATTGATGTTGCATGCGATCTCTCCGTTGGTATGTCGGCAGGCTCTTGGACGGAAAGTGCGACCGATCGCTCGTCAACCTTGAGCGCGGCAAGCTGTGGCTCCAGACAGCTCGAGAGTCCCGCAAAGCTGGCTACTTCCAGCCGGCATATGCTGCAATCCTCAACGCATCCGAGCTCGATGTACCCTTTGTGCATCTGGAGAAGGGCAAATTGCACTGGGTCAGGAAGGAGCCGCACAAGGCCATCTATGTTCTTCAACTTGGTCTCAATTCCATGAAGTCAGCGAATTCACGCGACGGGCTGCCGCACGCAGCTGATGTCATCGATCTCGACGACATCACAAGCCAGGCACCCGACTCTCGTTCGACCAAACGAACCATGGCAAAGGCAAGCGTGGTGGCTGATCTCGTGTTTACGGACACGACGGTTGACAACTCGGGTGCGCAGGATTCGGTTGCGATTTACGGCACCGTCCCGCCACGACCAATCGCAGCCAGCGACTCTTGATACTGCAGCCACAGCCTTAACATACGCCATCGTCTCGCATCCACTCAGACTCAGCTGCTTCTCAGCAAATGGTCTGAGGAAACGGGCACCATCTTGCCGGCCACCATCATCAAGCAGTATAACTCGATCATCCAGAAGCAACCAGAGTACGTTGCGACACCGCAGCCAATCGATTCAGGAAGTGGACTGCAGCGTCATTGCGTGTGGCCCACGAACAGCAGCCCATCATAGCCCACTAACATTGCTCTATGCGCGCAGGTGGGAAAAGAGCTACTTCTACCTCGGTCGGTACTACAACAAGTTGTATGAAAGCGAGAAAAGCAGTTCGTCAACGAGGTGGGCTTCGCGAGGCTGCATCACAAGACCTTGATCCAAGTATCCTTTCAGACTAGACGACACTGTTCCTTTGTTCGACATTCGTTCCAGCTGCCGATTCACGCTGCTTTTGCCGCCACTCTTGACTGCAGGTCTCACGGCCAAACCTCAGGCCACCTCGTCGACATTTGCAGATACTATGGCCGTGCATTGATGTGCGGCACAAAGTTCATCTACCAAACCCTCCCGCGACTTCTAACCCTATGGCTGGACTATGGCGAGCAGTCCAGGGCACGCGATGGCAGCGAGTGAGTCGAGTCCTGAATCCACCACCCGATTGACCCCATTCCGCACTCCGGGCACAGTTGATCGCTTGCTGCGAGCTATCCGTCTGTGCTGTCGGATTGAGCGACATGTGCTCGATTCTTGTTTGTCGCGATCTTACGATTGGCGTTTCTGCTCCTCAGGATGGCCAGGTCGTTTGAAGCAACGATCTCGAATCTCAACAAAGTCATTCAAGAGCTCCACATGGCTCTTCCGGCTTACCAGTTCTTGACGGCGTTGCCCCAGCTGATTTCGCGAATCTGCCACCGGAACGTGTCTGTCCATTCCATTCTCGAAGCCATCATCGTCAAAGTCGTCAGCACATACCCACACCAGGCGCTGTGGCACATTGTGTCCATGTCCAAGTCCATCGACAAGAATCGGTTTCAGCGCTGGGGAGAGCTTCTGAAGAGACTGAAGGTGAGCTACGCGACTGACTACTGCGGCCGCATCGCAATCTGTTGGGCCGCTGCTGAGTCACCGTTTGGTGCCCGCCCAAAACTAATGCGCTTCCACAGGAGGTGTCGCTCAACCAAAATACTGCCCCGAATCTGCAAGGAATCTTGGCGGTATGCATCCAACTTTGATGGTGTGATCGCGAGGCGAGCTGGTGGCCGAGCATTGTAACTCAATGTCTGCGTCTTGCATGTCGGGCCGACATCAGTCTTGGTGGTTGCTCGCATTGCCACCTGGCCTTAACGCCCCTTTGATTCCTCACTCCAGGGTAGCTTGAAGCTGACAGATCAGCTCCTGGGGCTCTGTAACCACACCATCGCCAAGGGAGAAAACACCCTCAGTATCTCAAGGCATTTCAGGGAGCTCCAGCGCTTGGTCCCGTTAAATGTGATGATTCCGCTTCAATCAACCCTCACAGTCACCCTGCCGACGAGCAACACTGTGCTCCATCATCATCAGCCCTTTCCAAATGAGTACCCCGTCATCGATTGTAAGTGATTGCTCGGCCATTCTTGTCGAGCCAGCTTGTTCAAGACCCCCAGCCGGAAATGCCAGATGTGTACCAGCGACTCTAATTCCGTGGCTGCAACATCGCCGTTTCCGTCCACCAGCCTTCCACGATGAAGTCGAGATCATGTCGTCGTTGCAGCGTCCCCGCAAAATCACGATGGGTGGATCAGATGGCAAGGCATATATTTTCCTATGCAAGCCCAAGGATGATCTCCGCAAGGACTGCCGGCTGATGGAGTTCAACACCATGATCAACAAACTGCTCAAGAAGAACCCAGACTCTCGCCGTCGTGGCTTGCGTATGTACCTGGCTATCCGAAGGCGGCCACATGCGCCCGCATCACCGCCAGGCAGGACCAAGCTGCCTGTTGGGTTGGGTTGGCATGGCTGTTGGCGTGGCTCTTGGCGTGGCTAACACTCTTGATCTGTCGTGCTGCTCCTCGTGCCAGACATTCGCACATACGCTGTCGTGCCTCTGAACGAGGAATGCGGCTTGATCGAGTGGGTCAACAACACCGTTGGATTTCGCCACATCGTATCCAAGTCATACAAGTCCAAGAACATCTGGATGGCGGTATGTGTATCCTGTGCAGTCCAGAGGACGGATATACATCCGGTATCATCCACACGGCACCTGCTTCGCGATTCCAATAGGCAGCCAGATGAAGCTTGATTCGCTCTGATCTCTCGCATGACGTGCTGACAAAACGGGGTTCGATTGGTGTTGGGGCCTCGGATGCGACGGAGCAGCCCGTGGAGGTCAAGAAAAAGCTGGACCAAAAAGACGTCGACATCGTCAAGGTGTTTACGAACGAAATCCTGCCGAGGTTGGTGCCAGCGTCGATCTCGATAGTGCCCAACGATAGCTGTGCTCACAGACCGTATGCTCTTTGTCGCAGACACCCGCCCGTCTTCTACGAGTGGTTCCTTGAAACATTTACTGAGCCAACGCGGTGGTTCTCGAGTCGGCTGGCCTATACAACCACCACAGCGGTCATGAGCATGGTTGGCTACGTAGTTGGGTCCGTGATTCGTGCATCTTGACAGTGATATTGTCGGGCGGCTGCTCTCGAGCCGACACACCCGACTATGACATGATACCAGTCCATCAGAGCACATGAGGCATGATTTGGCGACGAAATCTGACCGAGTTACTCTCGTTTCCTTGCAGACTTGGCGACAGGCACGGCGAAAACATCCTCTTTGATGAAACCTGCGGCGATCTGGTGCATGTGGACTTTAACTGTCTCTTTGAGAAAGTATGCAGCCACACATCGTCCGTCCAGACTGCACCGCACTGCACTGCACGGCTTGATGCTCGCGACTGACACTCGATCTGCTCTCTCGATTTGCCTGCTGAAATCCTCACAGGGCACCACCTTCGAGAAGCCCGAGAAGGTTCCCTTTCGACTAACCCACAACATGGTTGATGCCTTTGGCGTCACCGGCGTCGAGGGTATGTCATTCCGCTGGCTGCGCCGTGCCCTGGTTTGGCTCGCAGCGCCGGTTTCTGCACCAGCCGATGAAATTAAACCAGAGAGACAGAACGAAACTAACTCCCGTGAACGGACAGGGGCATTCCGCAAGAGCTGCGAGGTCACCATGGGCGTCCTCCGAGACAACCGAGACTCGCTCATGTCTGTTCTGGAGACCTTCATCCACGATCCGCTCTGCGAGTGGAGCAAGCGGCGGGGGTCGAGCACGGTCGAGGGTGAAAACCAGCTGGCGATAAGGAGCCTGCAGACAATCGACCGCAAGCTGCAAGGGCAGGCGCTGTCGACCCTGCCGCTGTCTGTCGAGGGCCAGGTACACGAGCTTATCAACCAAGCCACGGATCTGAACAACCTGGCGGCGATGTATGTTGGGTGGGCGTCGTTCATGTAATGGTACACCTTGCGCAGAAGAAAGAGGGACAACACCCGCTCTCGCCGCATCCGAGGTTGGATGGCCATGTGTCTCATGGAACAATGGAGGGTGCTGTGCAGAGCCTGCGATGACGCCTTCAAACGTGTGCAGAGCCCCCGCGAAGCACCACCCCGAGAAGATACCGGGTATCACATCGCCGCTCTCGTTGTCCCCGTCGCCATCCTCTTTGTCTCCATCGCCGCTCTCGTTGGCTTCAGCACTGTTCCTCCCCCCCCCTCCATGTCCAAACGCAAAGCCGCCGCTGGAGCTGCCGCCGGCCACGTCGATAAAAAGACCCCGTCCGTTCGCTCGTACTTTGCCCGCAACCAGACCGACGCAACAGCCGAAATGCCCTCAACCACAGTTCAGTGGGTCACCCATGAAACCCTGCTGATCGCCACCGCTGGCGACCAGACGCCAAGCTCCAAGATCGCTGCCTTTGATCTCGACGACACCTGGATTGTGCCCAAGAGCAAGCGTGTGCATTCCAAGGATGCCGACGACTGGAAGTGGATCTATGTTGGCTCGCCAGACAAGCTCCGGGCTCTGGTGAAAGAGGGCTTCCGCATCGTCGTTCTGACCAACCAAGGCGGCCTCACCAACGATGACAAGGAGGAGATCTTCAGGACCAAGGTCGAGAACATTGCTGCGACGCTCGACGGCGTCCCGTTGCTTCTCGTAGCTGCCAAGGGCCGTGATCACTTCCGCAAGCCTCGGCTTGGAATGTGGGAGTACTTTGCCACCCACTTGAACGGCGGTGTTGAGATCGATCTCAGCGCCAGCTACTATGTTGGCGATGCGGCAGGCCGGCCCAACGACTGGACTCCGGGCTTCAAGAAGGACTGGGCTGACACTGACCGCAAACTGGCCCTGAACATGCGAGTGGACTTCCATATCCCCGAGACCTTCTTTGGCAACCAGAAAACCCCTCCGCTGCCCCTGCTCGAATTCGATCCTGCCGTCTATCTGGAGTCGGTCGTCGACAAGGCGGCCCCTGAGCCGGCGCTTGCCCTGGATGCTGCCGCTCGCCAGCAGCAGCCAGATGTCGTTGTCTTTGTCGGCTTTCCTGCCTCGGGCAAGTCGCATGCGGCCCTGAAGCACTTTGTCCCGAATGGCTACGTGCATGTCAACCAGGACAACTGCAGGTCCCGAGCGGCCTGTCTCAAGCTTGCCGAGCAGTCGCTGCAGAACAAGTCCTCGATCGTCATCGACAACACAAATCCAGACCGGAAGGCGCGCGAAGGATACGTTGCGCTGGCAAAGAAATACGGCGCCTCCGTCCGCTGTCTCTGGTTCAGGGCCTCGCTCGACCTCTGCAACCACAACAACGCATATCGAGAGCATATCCAGAAGGCGGACCACAGCCATGTCCCCGATGTCGCCTTTGCGAGCTTCCGGTCCCGCTTCGAGGAGCCGCTCGTCGACGAGGGATTCGGCGAGGTGATTCCGATCGATTTTGTCCCTCAATTCGAGTCTGATGCAGAGAAGCAGAGCTGGCTGATGTTCCATTTCTAGCTGACCCGCAAGTGCACTTTGCACATGAGCAAACGGGACACCTTCACGATCCCACTTGTCAGCGTAGTATGTGATGGCATGCGTCAAGCAATGCCTTAAGAAATAATACAGATCACTTTGGCAGCCTCCGAGTAACGACCAATCGCTCTCCGGTCTCCACAATCGACATGCGCACTGATCTCGGACACACTCAATATGGAGGCAACGCTTCTCAGGCTATGGATGAGGGCGTAGCACCGCATCACAGAATGGTCATGGCCAGCGCGCGATGGTGTTGGGTAACAAGATATTCGATCAATCGTCGATAACCAGGGTGCTCTGTCAATGAGTAACTGCTATCGCTGCAGCACAATCGCAGCGAACAGGGTGCCGGAATCGGGGCTCTCTGGCACAGGTGCGACAATATCTCCCCACGCTCACATTCACATTCTGCTCGTGTGGTCTGTCGGGATGAACCTGATGCTCCGTTGTCGGCATGTGAAGAATGCGCCTGCTCTCGCCTCGCCTCGCTTCAGTGTCGCCGACTTTCATGGCGCCCGCCGCTGTCTTGCGCTCGCATGCTTCCCCGCTGGGCTGATCTGGAACCAGAAACAATCCTCTCCCATCCGCCTTCTCTCTGCTGGCCGCGCCCCCATCCGATCTGCCGCCATGCCCAAGGTGTCGACGGCTCTGCTGCCTCTGGCCTTTGCCGAGGGTGCTCGCGAGAGCCAGACGCTCAACGAGCCCTTGGTCCATCTCACATCCAGCCTCTGGGACCGCCTCGTTCAGGACGGCGCCCGACTTCGGCCGCCCAAGCGGAGCATGCCCTCGGGTAGGAATAGTGCGTCGCTGCATGAGCCACCGATCGCCGACCGGTGGATGGGCCAGTGGCAGCGATGAACGATGCTATCCTCTCGATTCTGCTGCTTGTCGCGAGCAGACCGCCGCGATCCACAACCAGCAAGTGCATGCAGTGGGCTATACTGATGAGCCCGTATTGTCTCGACCCCAGCCGATTCGATCTTCATATATGCCATCATCAAGGAAGCTCTTGGTGCCAGCGGAGCTGTGGGGGCCCCCAATGGCGCAGCCAGAATCCTGGCATCCATCCTAACCCTGGCCCAGAGGATTCCCGGAGAATCGGGCTTGGCCCACAACAACATATCGGTGAGCTCGAGTCTGTCGATATCCCCAGCAGTCTCGCGCAGATATGTTACCAACATCGGCGCTGGCTTTGGATGGCCACCCAAGTTCAGCTTTGCCTGCTGGAAGCCGCGCCTGACCTTGAATGTCCCGGCATCGATGTCGCTTTCTTCTCATCGCCATCCTGCCTTCTTCCGACGACCTGAATGCATGAACCGATTTCCGCCCCAGCACCCCACAATGTTTCTTCCCGATTCGTTTGTCGAGTGTCATGATCTCGCAGGTCACGTCAAGCGTTTGCTGCTTCCAGACCAGCACGCCCGACCCGAAAGCAGCCGTCTCTCGATCGAGCTCGAGCCAGCCGTCTTTGTCGAAATCGACAGGGTGATCCTGGGGGCACTGGACGACGCCTCGTATTCGGCAATCGAGTCGAGTGAGTTTCGAGTGGTCGCTACTGCCACATGTGTTATCTGCTTGAGTCGGTGGTGTGGTTGCGAGCGACAGAGCCTGACCTCCAGCCGAAACTTGCCCAGAATCGCTCCAATGGCTCCACAAAGTTCTTGCGGACGACTATGCCGTGCTGAGACAAGGCAGCACCTACCGAATCTCAATATCCGGAATGGTCTGTCGCTTCAAGGTGCTCATGATCACGCCCGTGATGCAGGGCGTCGTTAGCGCCGCAACCAAGCTTGTGGCGACATGCATCCCGGAGTACTCTATCGACAGCGACAGCAACTTGCCGGCCGTCCAACAGCACGACTCCCTGATCCACCGGCAAGACAGGCACGATGATATGGCTACGACCGACTGCACGCATCCTGCCCTCTATTTTCCACTGGCCGTCGCTGGCAAGGCCGGCATCACCCCTGATCAGGGCATCGATGGACTGTTTCAGATGTTCGGCAGCGGCTCGTCCATTCGCACGGTGACTTCCAAACAGCTGTCGCCGTACACTGCTCTGCCAGAACACCATCTGTTGGAGCCGCCGCCGGGGAGAGATGAAGACCCGGAGAGATTCGTCTATGCAAGTCTGGATGACCTTGTCGAACTTGGGATCTTTAGCGGCTCGGCCGTGCAGCTGATTCCGCGGCATCCGCAGAGCCATCCACGCCTTTGCAAGATTTTTGCTGCAGAGTTGCCAAGAGGGTAAGGCGCCGCCATAGTCCTCTGCTCATGGCCGGGTACGATGGGGAACCATTGCGACTCGCTGATATTGGCTCGCCATGCTCACCGCTGCGAGTGTCTGCAGGGCCATATACTTGCCTCCGACACTATATTTCAACTCTATCGATGACCTTGCCGACAAGGGTCTTGTTGGCATCCGCTCCCTCCCGCCATCGATGAGTGCTTCAGCCTATGACTCCAGCAATGTTGCCCAGAAGGTTACGCTGGCCCGAGTCTCGGAGCCAGCAACTACGGCCCAAAGCAACATACGGATATCCGATTATGCGATCCAAAAATACTTTCGGTCGAAGCATCGGCTGGTGACCGAAGGCGACGTCATTGGGATCCCGTTCAATTGTAGGCGTTCAATCTGCAGACGTCGTGTGGGCGAGCGTGCTAATGAGACAGCTCCATTCTGGTAGCTCTGTTCTAACTTTGCAGCCGTGCCTCACCTGTCTGCCAGTGCGAGACGCATCGCTGTCTTCCAGCGCCCTATTCAAAGGCAAAGGCGATGAAACTCGGTTCTTTGATGAACTCGACCCGTGAGTACCGCCATGCGTCCTGGGTGCCGATATGATCGACGTATATTCACCAACACATACTTTCCACTGTTTTCCAGTTACATGGAGCCCTCGTTTGGGCTGATTTACATCAAAGTCGTCAAAATCGAGTGCGAGAGCGGCTTGCCCGGAGCCTGGGTTGATCCAGACCGGACCATGGTCCTCGAGCAGGGACAGGTGCACACTAGAGTGCCGCCGGGACTCTTGGACTTTCTGCAACTCGGTAAGACTGTCGCGCCACGCCAGAGTGTGGATCGGCGGGGAAGCTGCAGACACGGATGTGTTCAATAGGCTAGCTGGACTGATTGTCTGTGTGGCATAATGCGGGTGCAGGTCTGCGCATTGAGTTTGGTGTCGAAGATTCACTCTACAAGAAAGTCAGCGAGCTGTTCATGTCGTTCCTCAAGTCAGACAAGCTTGCTTCCAAACTGGTGTGCTCTGTGCTCCTGCACGGTCCAAAGGGTGTCGGGAAGCACAGTCTTGTTCGCCAGGTGGCCGATTCACTTGGAGTGCATGTGCTGCAGGCAAGTAGCGTCAGCGCTGTCTCGATCGCTACTCGATGCAACGAGCGGACCGTGCCCACTCAACTGGACATGATCTCGACGATCGACTTGATGTGCTCATCACTTTATCCGCGACTCGTGCACGCTGAATATCCACGATGCAATCCAGGTTGATTGCTATGAGCTGGTGGGCGAGAAAGAAAAGGACATGGGCGCCCTGATGGACTTTTACTTTGAGAAAGCTATGGGATGCTCGCCATGCATCTTGATTCTCTCGGATCTTGCTGCCATATCCAAGAAGGACCCAAGCAAGCGCGCAGGCAAGCAAGGAATCATGGCATTGTGTGCCTTATGCGAATCTGTGCTCGGCATTACGCCAGAGGGCTGAGCGAAGATGCTGGCCTCGTTGCTTGTTCTCTTCTTGGCTCACCATGCATTCCTTCTGTGCCGTTAGAGAGTGCGCCGGTAGTCGGATTGCTCCAGAAGAACTTTGAAAAGATTCCTCGCTCCTACATCAACACAACCCATCCGACCTTTATTGTCGGGGTGGCCGATAGTCTCGACGATATTTCCGAGCCCGTGCAGGATTGCTTCCAGCACGTTTTGTCGATGAAGGTAGTGATGCGCCTCTGAGCCGTTGAAGCAAAGCTCGTCACTCGACCTGACGCATGAGCCTTGTTTCTATTTTATGTGTGGTTATCACAGGCCCAGGAGGAAGACGAACGGTTGGCCATCCTCAAGAGCCGGACAAGGGACATGAACCCCTCAATGGACATTGACTGGGCATATCTGGCTCGCCACACCGCTGGGCTGCTCGCTGGAGACCTTGTCAGTCTCGTGAGCGAGGCCAACACCGCCATGCTCAAGGAAGTCGACGAGTATTTGTGAGTTGCCGATCGAATCGAGCCAGTTACCGGCTGAGTATCTTGGTCGATACCGGCACGCTACTCGTTGGTCTGGCAGCCCCTGTTGTTCATTGAGCTCTGGCTGCATTCGTGATGATAAACCCGGTGCCCACGGGCTTCTTTGCTGGCCGCCCTCGCAACAATCCTGACACATGATGTAATGTACACTGTCCATGATCGTTAGAAAACGCACCAAGCAGAACATTGATCCCTTGTCTATCAGGCTCGCCCAGCCAGTTCTTGCGATGAAGCACTTTGTGGCTGGTCTGGACAAGATCCGAAAACAACACGCCGATAGCATCGGCGCACCAAAGGTACGGCTTGCTGCGAAACGCTCATGCAGAGAGCTCATGCGGGAGGCTCTGGGCTCATCTTTGCATTGCACTGGTCCCAACAGATCCCACAGGTCAAATGGGAGGATGTCGGTGGCCTGCAGCATGTCAAGGAAGCCCTGATCGACACGATTGATCTGCCGCTGAGGCACCCTCAACTCTTTGCCGAGGGAATGAAGAAGCGGTCCGGTAGGGACGAGTCAGTGCTTTGCCTCATCACAGCCTCAGGAGGCGGATGCTGTGTGCAACGACTGACGATGTCCTCGCACATAGGCATCCTGCTCTACGGCCCACCTGGAACAGGCAAGACCCTCGTCGCCAAGGCCATCGCCACGAACTTTTCGCTCAATTTTCTCTCGGTCAAGGGCCCGGAGCTGCTCAACATGTACATTGGCGAGTCCGAGGCTAACGTCCGACGGATCTTTGAGAAGGCCCGCAATGCGAAGCCGTGTGTCATATTCTTTGACGAGCTGGACTCGGTTGCTCCGAAGCGTGGCGACAAGGGCGACTCGGGCGGGGTCATGGACCGGATCGTCAGTCAGCTGCTGGCCGAGCTGGACGGCGTCGCCGGCGGAACTGGCGGAGATGTGTTTGTCATCGGGGCGACGAACCGCCCGGATCTTCTGGACTCGTCGCTGCTGCGACCCGGAAGGTGGGTCATAGCTGCTTTCATTCCCCATGCCAGCTTTCAGCGCTGATATCCATCAGCGTCGACATGTATCGCAGCTGTTGGGGGGCGTGCTCGAGACTTATTGAGTTGCGGGTACGGTTTGCTTCGTCTGCGGCATGCAAACGATCTAGATTCGACAAGATGCTCTACCTCGGAGTCAGCCCGACCCACGCGGACCAGCACCGAATTCTGGAGGCGCTCACTCGCAAGTAAGTGTCTGTCGACAGACGCTCCTCTCTCGCATCGTTCACGCTACACATGTTTGGTGGGAGGGCTTCTCTGGTCGGCTGACACTCAACCGCTCCCTTTATACTCGATGTTGGCTCTCTGATGCAGATTCGTCCTTACTCCGGACTTGGACCTTCGTGAGGTTGCGGATCGCCTCCCGATGAATCTCACAGGCGCAGACCTCTATGCACTTTGCTCGGATGCACAACTCAAGGCAATGACGAGGACTGTCCAGAGAGCAGAGAGTGAGATTGGTAAGTGTTGAGGAAGGAGTGAGTCAATGCAAGCGACTTGCACACAGGCGAAGCTCCCTTCCCGGATTCGTTCTGTTGCTGCTCTACTCTACCACTCCCCTCCACTGATGTGCAAGAGAGCTCTTTACTCTGCAACTTGATGGAGCTCGCCTCATTGGTGGCTTTCTTCCAGTTGATGCGGAGCAGCCGAAGCACAGGCTGTCATGCTTAACTGCCCCGATTTCTTCATTTTTGAGAACAGAGCGGATCAGTCGCTCGGAAGGCAGAGTGCTGTCGAACAGCGAGTATTTTGAAAAGTACGCATCGGCAGACGACCTTTGCGTCCAAGTAAGGCACGAAGACTTTGAAGCAGCCGCCGCTGATTTGACCCCAAGCGTCTCGGTCGCCGAACTCGGGCGGTATGAGGATATCCGGCGCAAGTTTGAAACCAGCCAAGACACCCAGCAACCACAGCCACAACAGCAACAGCAACAGCAACAGCGGCAGCATCGGAGTCAAGAACAGGCACATGAACAACATCAACAACATCAACAACATCAACAACATCAACAACAGCCGCAACAGTCGCAGCGAAAACAACAGCACGCGAGTGGGCCGGATTCTGCTGTCGGCTCAGCATCGGGTGGCGCTGACAAGAAACCGTCCGCTGACCGAAAGGGAAAAGGACGAGCATGAAGGTGGAAACGGGCCGGGAATGGGGTGGAATCTGTGGGATGGGATCTGTGGGGTGGGATCTGTGGGGTGGGGGAAGGGCAGCCGAGCAACATGGCGAGGCATTGGGTCCACCGAGTCATCGAAGCGTTTCCTTTGCGAAACAATCATACGTAGCCCCTCGGGTATGCACATGGCCCTGACGCCAAATACAGCATGATTTAGGGAGATGACTGCAGTCGATGGTTCTGAGTTTCGAGATGGGGGGCCATTCCTGTATGGATGTGACGGGCAATGCTAACAACCGTGACGGAGGCAAAAGAACATTCACAAGCCAGAACTCAGGACGACTACGACAATAGACGTAGCCAGGATGGCACGGTGCAGAGGCCGACAGGACGAAAAAAAGCATGTGGGACAGTGTATTTTGGTATTCTCAGTGCTCATTCTTTCGGCCTCAACTTTTGTTGATGTTGCTGTCTCCGGATTGCGCCGGGGGTCAGTGCGTTTGTTGGTACTTGAGAATCGACAAGCAAGCAAGCAAGCAAGCAAGGCATCACCAGCAAGAAGGCAAAGAGTCAGACGAGGATATCAAACACAGACACAAGACAAATATGTATGTTGAAGATGTGTACGCATGTGGATCTAGAAACAGACGGGTGATGGATGGGATGGGATTGGATTGGATTGGCGAGAGCCGGAAGCTGGAGGTGGGATGGATTTCGTTGGGAGTGGTGGGAGTGGGAGTGGGGTGTGTGGGAGAGGTGAGGGGGTATTGGGCTGGTCAACAAATTGCACTGCGCTTTCGAGCTCCGAGAAGCTGAAAAGCACCTGGAGCAACAACAAAGATCAAAAAGGGGATCCGCCAAAAGGCTGGGCGGAACGGAAAGGAATCAAATGAAAAGAAAAAAAAAAGTCAACCTGGACAGGGATTCCAAAGAGGAGAGCTGCAAGTCAAAGTCTTGAGAGGCGAGAGAGAGAGAATGCGGTTACAGCCGAACAAGAAGGCGGAGGCGATCGGAAGTGCAGAGTGTCGAGGCTGCCCATGAATCGATCCAGTGAAAGACCGTTCTCATCGGACCGGCATCGTGATGGGCGCGGCCGGGATCAGGATGTTGAGCTCCAGGCCCTTGTTACTGAGGAACTCTTCAATCTCCGGCTCAAAGTAGACGTGCTTGCCGTCGCCGTGAGACACCAGGCTGGCAAAGCGGTGCATCTTGTTGGCCAGGCCGAGCGTGCACACCAGCTCGATGACCCCGACAGGCGAGACCATGCTCTCCATGAAGCGGATCGACTCTGCCGGGGTGAAGTGTGTGCGCTTGATGCTCGCATATTGGCGGACCCATCGTGCGGCCATGTCCAAGCGCTCGTCGCCAAGCGACATGCGGGCGGCGGCAAGCTTGAGCGTCTCGATCGAGATGGCGGCGCGATGTGCAAGGAACGCAGCATGGCCCTGCAGCAGGACATTCTTGGACTCGGTGGCAAACACGAACCACATCAGGGCCTTCGCGCCATGCGACCACTCCGAGGCAGAGTTTGGGCCTGTACAGTCGTCCTTCTGGTGCACGGGGCGCAGCATGAACTGCCAGAGGGTAAAGCACAGGGAGCGCTTCAGCTCCTTATTGACCACTTGAGCAAGATAGGTGGGCTGGAAGCCCATGACTTCTTTCATCCATTTGTTGAGATTGCGGTGTCCTAGGGGCCAGCGTGGTTAACGAGAAATGGAAATCATGACGATTCCACGATGAGAGCCGATTCGGTGCACGACGGCAGGACACGAAGAAAGTGTGGGATTGTGCTTCCGGATCGGAGGGGCCAGCGCCACACCAGCTTGCAGCCGCATTCCACTGACCTGATGGGAATCCCTTCAGCCATCCTTGCTCCAGGGTATTGTTGTCATGCGAGACTTTGAGGGTCTTGATCATTTCCTTTGCCCAGGCCAGGCCCCGGCTGCTGTGTGCGTTCTGAGGAGATCCGTGGGCACCGGATCCTGTCGCCGAATGCTCCGAGCCATCGCTGTGGCCGGGAACCAGATCCTCGTTGTACAGCATCGGCTCGGGTGTGTGTCGGTACCGGCCTGGATACCACCCGTACTCATAGAGATACTGCTCGCCCAGGTCGATGGAGGTATTGTCGAGATCGAGGCCAAGTGAGTCCTAATCGATGGGCAGCATGGTCCACACACAGGAGGGGTTAGCGCCGCGGAGGCTCGGGCGACGGCATCGTGAGACATAGAAACCCCTACCCATGTCGCGGCAGGGGGCAACACCGCGGACAGCGACAGCAACAGCGATAGTCGACGGTGGATGCAATCGATCCAAAGGTATCTGTCAGCGATCTGTTGTGGTGCCAGGCGCATGAGGACATACCGAGAAAATGTTGGTCCAGCCGACACTGGCACAGATGGCAGCGATTTGCTGGTACGCATCTTCTCCGTAGAGCTCTCGCAGCGAAGCCTTGGCGTCCATCGTGACGGTCGCCGGGATGGTCGAGGCCTCGGATGCGAGGGTGAGGGCCTGGCTCTCCATATCGTCCAAGCGGTTGTCGAAGGGGCTGACGATGGGCCGGTCGTGGTCGGGGCCCTTGTCGTAGTATGGTCCGTTCATCAAATCGCCCAAGGCAGCGCTCCGTGCAGCGCAGTAAAAGCAGCGGTAGGCCAGGCTGCTGCGGATAAGGATGGCTCTGCGGAGCTGGATCGATATCGGCGATCGACCCATGTCAATGTTGGGGATATTGAGCAGCCTTGGTGAGTTGAACTGATAGACGCGTAGCGCTGGCGGCCATGTGGCCAGATAGATCAGATTTTCGTCGTTGAAGCCGATGAGCTTCTTGGTCAGATAGATAATACCCTGCGAGGCCGAGATAAGGGGACAAGCTGTCAGGATACACTCAGGCGACGGTTAGTTGCTCGTGGGTGGTAGCACCGATCAAGGAAATAGATCCGAGACACGATCTAATCGGGTACACCAAGATCCGATTGCGGCTCGACGATGCGGCTCGACGATGCGGCTCGATGATGTGGCTCGATGATGCGGCTCGATGATGCAGCTGGAACGTACCGGGTATTCCTTGCGGAGCACATCATTCGAAACGAGATGAGGCCGTAGCAGATCGCTCAGGCGAGGGCGCTCGTTGGTGGCCACGTAGAGGGCTGTGATGCCCGACGCAGACATGGAGGGAGAGAGAGGCGTAAAGGAAGGACATGGTGACGATGTGGACGTGGGCGTGTCGAGCGAGCATATATCGGAGCTGGCGGTCGGGAGGGCAACGGCAGTGGACTTTGTTCTATGAAGCAGATGGTGGCTGGAAGGAGGGAGCCGTCCGTGACCAAGCTGAGGAGTTGCCGGGGGCATCAAGCTCTGGGGCTTGGTCGACTGAGGTGACAGTGGCGAAAGCGGCGACTGAGGCGACTGAGGCGACTGAGAGTTTGACGACGACGACGATGATGATGACCACGATGTTGCCGAGATGTGTTGTGCGAGCAGCGAGAGCGGCGGTGAAGTCGCGGCCAGGTGCGAGGGACGCACATGAGACATGGACGATCGCGACTCTCGGCTGAGGACTGGCGACGACGGAACAGAGACGGTCTGCGGGCCGCTGGCGGGGGCGATAGGACGGCGGGCGTAGCGAACAAACTTTTGTCTCTTGAGCGAATCGGAGGAGCCGGGCACAGGAGGCAATGGAGCAGATGGTGGAGGCCCGATCGGAGGGAGTGCTGTAGAGAGCTCGGACATGGAGACAGAGCGCACCATGGGAGGGGCGCTGGCGGGGCCGCTGGATGAAAGGATACGAGTAAGAGACAGATTGAAGTGGGATGAAACGGGTCGGGACAGATTGGAATGCAATGCATCGGGCGAGTCGAATCGAGTCGGGTTGAGTGGGCGAAATGATCGTGCGGATGATTGTTGTATCGATGCATTACATTGAGGCGTCGCAGAGAAGTTCCAGGATCGGATCGAGGTCGCCCAGTCGGTCGAGAACCACAAGCATTTGGTGCCAGAGAGACGGTTTGGCAGGATGGATATGGAGACGAGAAGAGAGTCAGCAACGCTCATGATGCTCACGCCACCGGCACCGCACTTGACCAAACGACATGCCACGTACTCATCGTCGCTCTCGTCCTCGTATATGTCTGTCGGAGGAGGAAGTCGGCTGAAGGTCCGGGGTGCCGAGGGACGCACTTTGAAGGGGAAGCTGTCGGCCCCGGACCGTGGCTGGTGGTGAGCCGGGTCAGGGGTCGAAGCAGCGTTACTACTGCCACCGAGGTCGGAGAATGGATGGGCAGACGAGCCCTCGTAACTGCGAATGCGACGCATCGGAGAAATCTCGGCGGCCGAGGGACGGAGCAGCGGGCTCGAGTTGGGGTCGGTGGAGACCGAGACCTTTGGAGAGCCAGGGGTCTTCATGGTGGGCTGGTGGAAGCTGTGGCCGGGGGTGGGATGGATGCTGTGAACGGCGATGGAGGCGGTGACCAGAGCCGTTGTTGGCAAGATCGTGCTTGGACAGAGACAAGTTTTTTGGGGGTTGAGAGAGCGTTGAAGCAGACACGGACAACGACACGAACGACAGGGACAACGACAGGGGACGATCGACTTGGCGATCTGGATTGATAACAAGCGACCGCCGGCTTGCGACAATGACCAAGATCGAAGCAAAGATGACAACGACGAGCGCAGCGACGACCACCACGGAGCAAGAATGAGCAAGAGATGCGACGAGCCAGACAAGAGGGTGCACGAGGGGGCTATATAGGAGGAGGCTGGGTGGGGGGGAGGAGGGGTGAAGGAAAGAGTGAACCGGGTGGTCCGAGGCGGATACAGGACGCTCGATGCGACAGGCAGGGGGGGAGCGTGCTGGTGGGAACTGTGGCCCGGCTGTGCGAATTGGCAAACGGACGAATGGCCAATGGACGAGCAAGCGGCGAAGGCGAGCCTGTGGCACATGCATGGGGAAAGCCAGAGATGGATCAGGAGCAAAGGCCGAGCAAAGGCCGAGCGAAAGCGTCTGGCAAGCGAGGGCTTTGGGCAGCGACTGTGGGCAGCGACTGTGGGAAGCGACTGTGGGGAGCAATGGACGAGCCAAAGGGCCAATGGACCGGCCAAGGACCGGTCGAGCGAACGACCCAGCGAATGACCCGCGAACGGTCCAAGGACAATCTGCGAGACAGATGGGCGGCCATGGAGACCGAGCCAGATCTGCAGACGAGACGGATACAGTGCCGCGACAGCCACAAAGACAATGTCAAGACAATACCAAGACGACAATGACAGCACAATGCCAGCACAATGCCAGCACAATACCAAGACACCGCAGCCACGCGCCGACGCGTGGTGCCAGGGCGGCGCCGGCGGCTCGGCCGCGGTGCGCGCACTCTGGTGCGGGTGACACGCGTGCATGCTGCGCCTGTGCGATGTCCGTGCGACTCCTGCGGCACGCACGCGTCCAATCGACGGCCGTGGTGCCATCTGCGCAGCTCGCCGTTGCTGTGGCTGTGCTTGCTCGGGCTGCTGCACCACTTCCAGCAAAGCGCTGCGCTGTCGCGAGTGCCGGGCGGTTTCGGCCACACTCCCGCACTGGTTCTGCACGCAGCTTGTGCACGCCGAAAGGACCATGGCGAGCGATGACTGCCTCCACAAGATCCATCCTCGCCCGTCTCGTCTGCATCGCTCATGCCTCGACCGCGGTCTTGCTTGCTGCATGCCTTTCTCGACCAGCTCCAGCCCCAGAGCCGCATCGATGTCTCCGACGCGGAAGGCAAGACGAGAACGAAACCACTCCCGTCCATCCCCCACCACCCTGGCTCGATTCCCGGGCTGGTCTGGGGCAAGGGTGGGGCTCGCGTCTTTCCTGTTCTCCTGGTCGGCGCTTTGGCTCGGCTGTCTTGTGGATCAATGTCGGCAGCCGATCCGCGAGCCAACATCTGGTCCCAGCATCAACGGCCAACTTGCATGCCCATCGGGATACCGCATTGAAATGCCTCGGAGGATCCAAGTAGCATCAGCAGCAGCAGCGGCAAGTGCACCCTTTTTTCTCTCCGGCAGCCCAGAAAGCATTGGTTCTCAAAACACCCGTCGCCGCCCAGGCCAGCACGCCCGAACGATAGCGAGCATCCTCTGTGTGTCCCCTGGGCAGCACAAGCTTGGCGTTGTCGGATACAGCGGCGCTCGTTCGGCTGCGATGGTGCGGCTTTGCTGCCCAGAGTAACGGTGCCAGCGACAGCGAGCCTCCTTCCTCTCGCCGCCAATCTTCAGGCCCTGGCCCGCCGGAACAGAATGTGCGAGCACGGACGACGGCTTGCGGAACGAGAGCACCTCCACATTCCTTCAACAGTGGTGATGAATGGTGGTGTGTGACAGATTCAGGGCACGAAGCTGGGCAGGTCGAAGAGGAGGTCCTGCTGAAGCCAGCGGCGGATCTGGTTTGAAGCGGGATCAAAAATTTTCGACGCGCAGTCACTCTGATTCCCAGGCAGATGCAACTTGGCTGGACGGTATGCATGGGATGGTGCATCCCGGTGCCCATCTGTGTCTGCACTGCAGCTCGACAAGTGGATATATTGAACCAAAAAGAAGAAATCGACAGTCGAATACACAAGACATGCTGCCAACAGTATCCTCATAACCAGTCGTGGATGTCGAGAAGTGGACGGCACCCGCCAACACTCAAACAATCATGAATAAACTGAAAGGCTTCTATCGAAGCGGCATTACAACAAGGGTGAGCACACACATTTGAATCGTGTCGAGCAACCGATGGATGTTGATTGTGGCGGTCTCCAGAGAGACCACGGCGCAACTATTGCTGGGCTTGCACTGGCACGGGCTCTAGTTGATCGCAATCTTCTTGGCCTCGGGAGGAGGCGGCAGTGCCTTCTTGCCAATCTTGAGCTCGAGGACACCGTCGGTCATCTTGCCCTGGATGCTCTGGGCGTCCACAGTCGGGGGAAGCCGGATCTTGCGCTGGAACTGGCCGTACGAGCACTCGACCATGTGGTAGGTGTCCTTCTTTTCCTCGTGCGAGGAGCGGCGTTCGCCCTCGATCGTGAGCACATCGTCGAGCAGCGACACATGGACGTCATCCTGTGGTGGGAACATGTGCGGTTGTGAGTCGGAAGTGCTGTTTCGGCTGCAACAAGCACGGGCAAGCACGGACAGGTATGGACAGGTATGGACAGGTATGAACAAGCACCACTGCTGCGGATGGACATGCAACTCGACGCCTACCTTCTTGAGTCCGGGGAGGTCGGCCTTGACAACAAACTCGGTTTCGTTCTCGATGACATCCAGGCGCGGGGTTTTGTAGAATCCCCAGCCGCTGGGAGCCGGGCGCGACACCGACTGGCCCTCCGACTGGCTGCCGGACTGGTTGTCCGAGGACTGTTCAGGCTGCTTCTCGCCCTCCTGTGCAGATGCAGCGAGGCGGTCGTCGGCAATCAGCTGGTTCATCAGACGGTTCATGCGGCCGAACACGCGGCGCTCGTACTCAAAGGGATCTTGGAAGAACGGGTCCGAGTTGAAGAGGAAGAGGCTCATGGCGATGTTGAGAGGGAAGTGCTGAGCTGAGTGAGTGGGCTGAGTGAGTGGGCTGAGTGAGCTGAGAGACTTGCTTGCTTGAAGTTAGCGACGGACCTCCCTTGCCGAGGTGCCCGCGGCAATTTATATCTCGAGGGCCGTATGCCCCAAGGCACGCATCCGGTGCTGTGCGGAACGACTGCAAGTGGCAATATTTCGCACGCACGCACTCGCCCGAGGATCAACGCAGGTCCCCGAATGTGCTGGAAACGACGCGAACGCCGCCCAAGCCAGGATGGCTCTCCCCGTGATCCCATCGCCGCCAATCAGCGCTGCGATCCGGCCGCACAAGGAACGGCATCGAAACATGACCCTGGATCAAACAGCAACGATACCAACCAGGATACCAACCGCGAAACCAGCCAGGATGCCGACGCGCAGAGGGTGCTGGAGCGAGCGGGAAGGATGCAGAGCCTCTGGATGACGCACGATGCATGCATGCGGAGCACTCTCTGTGGAAGAGATTGATATGCACATTGCTGGTCGCCGTCGGCCTGCTGGGTGTCGGCGGGGCTGCAAGTGAGCGACTGTTCCAGACCATGACCGCGGGATGCATCCAAGTCGACTTGGCATCCGCATGCTGCACCCATGGTCGCGAATGTCATCTGTCCATGCAGCACTTTGGCTCGGTGCTGAGGTATATCGGCTGTGCTGATGCCGCTCAGACAAATCGCCCCGTCCTGTTCCCCTGGCACACGGCGTCAAGTGCGATCTGGACTGTATTGCAAGTAGGCACCACAGTTGCCGCGATGGTGGTGCATTCAAGCGGATCAATTCAGTCCACAAAAGCTCAAAAGATTTGCAATGACCTCCAGTAACAAAGATCAGGGGCTGAAGAATGAGGTCGCCATGCAAATGCAGTTGCTTCCTTCGTGTCAGAGTCGATGACATGTAACTAGATTTTGTTGCGGCTTGGTATTTTCTGGTTTTGCTGAATGAAGATGCGAGTGCGGCAAATCAGACTCAGTGGAACAGCTTCTTGAGGAGGTCGTGGGGCTTCTTGGATGAGGTTTTGACGGACAGATGGAATCTGGACGTACGTCTGTCCTCTTCGACTGCCCTGGCCTCCTCGGCAATCCTTCTCGCCTCCTCAAGCTTTCTGGCTTCGTCGATCTGTCTTGTCTGATCCTCGAGGAACGCTACTATCTCGGGACTCGCAAGGATGCTGGCACTTTGGGACTGGTGATTTGGATCGGGGGAGTCGGCAAGGTACTTGGCATATATGGTACGGGTCTGTGGAGTGTTGAGGTATATCGGCTGTGGAGATGCCAAGGTCAGCATGTGTGCCATCGAGCCGGAGCAGGCCTCATAAAGCCCCCAAAGGGCTCCCCAGAAGAAGGACTCGGCGTCCAATTCGCCTAAGATGAGCTACAGTGAGGCTCTCAAGGCCAACATCGCCAAGGCCACAGAGCACGTCCAGAGCCTCTCTGGAAACGAGAAGATGGCCGAGTGTGGCCGTATCCTCACCACCGGGCGAGTCCCAACAGGGACCTGAAGATCGTCCCCAGCGCTACCAAGCGACCGGCCTGGATATCGGGCCAAACCAATAACAGCAACATCACCAACGAACCCCTCCGCGAGAAGGTGAACCGAATGGAGTGGGTCTACGTCAAAGGGATCCAGCGACTCCCTTATGGACTCGTCAGAAAGACGTTCCATAGCATCAGCATCCCCAGCCGCGAGATCGTCGATATCGTTCCCGGAAAACAACGTCATCTCTGGGAACGAGATGTCGGCGATCTCTTGGCTTGGAATGCTGATGCTATGGAACGTCTTTCTGACGAGTCCATAAGGGAGTCGCTGGATCCCTTTGACGTAGACCCACTCCATTCGGTTCACCTTCTCGCGGAGGGGCTCATGGCGATGTTGCTGTTGTAGATGCGACCCGAGATCCAGGCCGGTCGCTTGGTGGCGCTGGGGACGATCTTCAGGTCCCTGTTGGGACTCGCCCGGTGGTGAGGATACGGCCACACTCGGCCATCTTCTCGTTTCCAGAGAGGCTCTGGACGTGCTCTGTGGCCTTGGCGATGTTGGCCTTGAGAGCCTCACTGTAGCTCATCTTAGGCGAATTGGACGCCGAGTCCTTCTTCTGGGGAGCCCTTTGGGGAGCTTTATGTGCCTGTTCGGCTTTGATCTTTTCGATGACGTCTTCAACCGATTTGAGGGTGTCTTGGATGATCTCGATAGCGCCGGTAGACAGCTTGGCTTTGTCGGTGCTCTTGGCGAGCTTGGTTTGGCGGGCCTTGAGGGTTTCAAGGGCCGACAGATCTTCGTCGTCGCTTTCGCCGCAGCTATCGCTCATGTTGCTGGTAAGGTCGATTTCGGGAGCGCCTGGTGTCAAGTCAGGCTTGATCCGTGCATAGGCAGCGGCGCATTTTCTGTTGAACCCCTCGATGATGGCTTGATCTGTGCTGTGGAGGAGCTCTTCCGCCCTGGCGGCGGTGCCTCTGGACATAGCGGCCCAGGCGTGGAAGCAGGTCATCTTGAAGTGTCCGTACTTCTCTTCGCATCCTCTGCTGCAGATGCGGTGGCCTTTCTCGTCGATTGTTGACGGTGCACCACAGTACACGCACTCGGGGGTGACGAGGAGGTGTCGGGTGGCCCAGAAGAAGAGTTCTGTAGGGACCTGTTCGATGGGGATCTGTTGGATCACCTTCGTTTTTCCTCGTCGTTTTGGCAGTTCCATGGAGCTACAGCGATAGTGTGTGCGTGGCCCTGGTCTGTATTGGTGTGGGTGGAGGGGAGGGGGGCTGGAGGGGGAGAGGGGGAGAGGGGGAGAGGGAGGACCAGATGTGGTCTGGGATCTTCACCTCAGGCGACATTCTTCGTTGGCCAACAGGCCCCTTGGCAGGCTTTTGTTCTTCTGGGATTTGGAACCATCGCTGGCAGTGGGCCAGTCGGCGGGGTGCGGTTTATTCTCTGGTGTGTGCTCGCGCTCGCCGAGGATCCTAGGGAAATCGAGATCAGGCGAGAGGGTTTGGGGACCATTGATCTGCTCGACCGGGAGACTTTTTTTTCTGTTTCTTCATCGTGCGCCACAGTGGCGGCGCGCTTGCCCCCCAGCATCTCGCTTCTGCTCGGCTGGTCACGGGCAACCTGAGCAAAATACGTTTCCCACGTGCGTGATCCTTGGCGCCACTCCAGGCATTGCTTTCGTCGACCCACCCCATCCTTCGTCCTCCATCCGCCAACTTCCATCTGCCCCATCAAGCAGCCGATAAGCATGGCCATCACCTGGTCTTCGTCGTATGCGCTGCCGCTTGCAATCGCCGGTGCAATCGCGGCGTACATGGTCCTTCGTCGGCCCCGCCATCTCCCAGATATTCCCGGCGACTACCAGTGGCCATTGGTCGGCAATCTGCCCTATCTCCTTCCGTGCGTGCCCTTGTCCATTGACTGCTTTGGATCACCTGTTGCTGCTGCATGCCATCGTATTTTGCGAGCTTCACTCCTTTGGTCAGCCTGTTCTTGTTCGCTCCCACAAGCTCGCTGACAATCCTGTCGCTCTGCTCCACACCATCCAGATTCAGCCGAAAGAGCAAGAGTCATCTCTATATGCGCCGGTGCATGCAGCTCTACGGCAAGGTTGACCAGGGATACATATTCGGCAACGTTTTCGTTAATTTCTCGGACGCCAATGTCGTTCGTGAACTCTTGCGTCAGGATGAAAACGGCGCTATTGTCCGAGGCGACATTGTTCAGAAAGCCTTCCGGTAAGCGATGCCAACTTGCATCGGAGTTGCGTGACGAGATGGATCGATGTCAATCACCCAACAGCATTCGGAGACTGCCGCTGAAAACTCCATATCCACATCTATATCACCCTCAACATCCACATCCATATCACCGCCAACATCATGCTCATATACTCGCCGTATCATCTCTACTTCGATTCTCTCACACCAACAATGGCGCTCGTTTTCAGCGGTGTCGGGAACTGGATTCTCTTTTTGATGCCGATGGACCGCCACTGGAAGCGTCACCGCAAGATGATCCAGCCAGGCTTTGGGCCAGCCCAGCTGCGACGCACCGCCGTCTCAACCAACGAGTTTCTGGATACGCTGCTCGAGCACTGGATCAGCACCGACGCCTCTGTCGTCGACTTCCACACGATCGCCTCCGCCGTGATCATGGACATTCTGTGAGTATCATTGGACCATCTGCTGATATTGCTGGGAGCCGTGTGATCTGCGCATGCACAGGCTGCAGCGGCTTGCTGACCACGGTCGCTTTGATATTCTTGATCGCCTTCGCGGTGGTCGCTTGGGCCGCAGGGGCGACGTCGGCTTCTCGTACCGGTTCAACATGGTCAAACACCTCGACGACCCAGAGAAGCTCAACGAGATCTTCCAGCCCTTTGATCGCCTCTTCCGCATCAGCTTCGAGCGATCGCGCTATCCAGCCTTTTTGTGGGAATGGTTCAATCTCGGGGACGACCAAATCAAGCCGCACATCGGGGCTCTGCACACCCTTGTCCTTGCCGTCTTGAACGAGCGCCGCGCGGCCGAAGCCTCGGTACTGAAAGCAGAAGCCCGGGACATTGTGGGCCGCCTGATCTGTGTCGACGACGAGGGAAGCGAGCAATTCACGGACGAGGAGATATGCGACGAGCTCCTGGGCTTTTTCTTTGCCGGACACGAGTAAGCAGCTTCCTCGGTCCAGGCAAATCGTGCGCCGATCATTGGCTTCTTCGATCGCATCCGGAGTGCCGGCTAACGCCAGTTTGGTATCGGATTCCCGCCAGAACGACTGCCAACACCCTGACCTTTGTCGTGGCTGAGCTCGCCCAAAACCCTGCCGTCGCCGAGCGACTCTACAACGAAATCCACAGCATCCTCGGCAGCGACGGAATTCCCAGCCATGACCAGCTGAGTGACTTCAAGTAAGCTCTCCATCGCGCCAAATGGCACTTGATGGCGCAACTGCCATCGACTCGGCTATGCTGCGATGCCGACAGAGTCCTCTCCCACGACATCTGACTTGTCCTCGATCCAGGTACCTCGACAAGGTCCTTAAGGAGACTCAGCGGCTGCATTCGGTTGTTCCCATCATCTTGCGATTCGCTGTCCGGGACACAACAGTCGCGGGCTACAAGATCCCGAAGGGTGTAAGTGTGCTGTCATGGCATACGCTATCATGGCATACGCTGTCGTGGCATACTCTGTCGTGGCATACGCTGTGTGGCATACTCTGTCGTGGCATACGCTGTCGTGGCATACGCAGTCGAGAACGCATTTGTTTCCCCCTATCACTCACTTTCGTGCCTGTTTCAACCACAGGCTCACATCGGTATAAGCATCGACCATATCCACCACAACCCCGAGTACTGGAAGGACCCAGACGTTTTCAACCCCGATCGCTGGGACGAACCCATTGTTCCCGGGAGCTTCATTCCCTTTGGCGACGGTCCGATGAACTGCATCGGCCAGAAGATGGCCGTGATCGAGAGCAAGGTCTTTATGATCCGTCTGGTGCAAAAGTTCCGGCTCCACATCGTCAACCCAGATCAGCTCGACCCGATCTACTCGATCACACTCGGATACAAGAATGGACTCGACATCCGACTGGAGAGACGTTGAGGACATCCCGCACTGCATGGTCCTTGAGGAGCATTGTGGCAGCTCGCCAGTGCCCACATCAATAGAACAGAACTAGATGAGCCGATCCTGTTGTCGCTGCCCGAGCCAGAGAATCGGCCCGCATCAAGCACACCGCCCAAAAATAGTGCATGCGCAGCGATGTGCGTGCATTCCATTGGCCCGCTGGACCAACAAACGGCTGTAATCGCCGAATGTTGTGCATCGAGCGTCCGGTTGGATGGTGTGTCGACCTGGCTCTGCCTCTGGATCTGCCTCTGGATCTGCATCTGGATGAACCGCTTGCTGCTGGGCCTCTGCTTCCAGCGCCGACCCCACCACAGCACCGCCCAGGCTCTCGCCCCTGGCCCACACCCCGAACTCGTCTCGGTGCTCTCAGCCCGGCTGTCGGCCATGATGACTCATTCTGCCATATCATACGAAAACAAGCTGATCCTGGCGCCGATGGTGCGGGTCGGCTCCACTCCGATGCGGCTGATGTCGCTCAAGTATGGTGCCGGTAAGCCGGTGGAGAGCGGATGGGATGGAAGCGACTGAGTCGTGCCTGGACGTTTGAGGGAGAGGCCAGAGCATCCCCGAGGGAGCCTCGATTGAGCTGGGTGCGCTATGGCATGGAATCGGCATCCAGCCCCGGATTCGGCAGCAGATGCCATTTGGCTCATGGTGCAGCATCGGTCCATGCGCTGCATGCGGATGTCGTCTCGGCACTGACATCCTGGTCCTCTCGGCACCGGCCGCATCATCCACAACCTGCGTCGTCTGCATCGGCCATGCCACTCCAAAGATCTCGTCTACAGCCCCGAGATTGTCGACAAGCGACTCATCCGAGCCACCCGCATCGTCAACGGTGAGAGCGCCAGAGCATACCCACGCTGTCGGGCACCGAAGACGGATCCGATGGATCCACATCAACCTGTGCTCGGCTCGGTCCCGCTGACCGACCCGCCTGCTTCTCCTCACCGCCATGCCACAGAGCTCCTCGGAACAGTTGACTTTGTCGACTCGATCGATCGGTCGCTGACGCTCCGGATCCACCACTCGGAGAAGGACAGGCTCGTTGTGCAGATGGGCACCGCTAACCCGGAGCTGGCGGTGCAGGCTGCGCTGAAAGTGTATGTTTCCGATGAGAGGAGTGTGCTGAGGGGGATGCATGCGGGTTGCAAGACGGAGCCGAATGCCAGAGAGGTGGATGGCGGCACCGACGGCCCCAGCTCAACCAGGAGGAGGACCAAGCAGATCGATCTTGCTGGAGAATACTCGTCAACGAGCCTGGACATGGTGCAAACATCGGAACCCGCATTGCTGCGATATCATTCTCTGGACTGGAATGGAATGGACTGGACTGGGCTGAGCTGACACATCGAATCTCATGGCAACTCCAGCGCCGGCGACTGTGCTGCAATCGATGTCAACTGCGGATGCCCCAAGCGGTTCTCGGTCATCTCCAACATGGGCGCTGCCCTGCTCACACAGCCCGAGCTCCTCTGCAGCGTAAGGCCCTGTCGCCAATGCGAGATGTGGGCACCGCAGCTATCGTCAACGAGAGTGTTGGATTTACCTCGCCGATGTGACTGAGCCGTGGTTGCCTCCGATGCTCAGATCTTGACGAACCTGGTCCAGAACGTGCCGCTGCCGATTACCTGCAAGATTCGGTGGGTGCACATGTCACATCGTGTGGATATTCCACATTGCGATGCTGGGCTGTTGCTCGTGCTGGGCACCTTGCCAGTCATGGTGGCTGCTGCAGCACAGGATGGGATATGGCTGTGGGCCAGGAAACTCACGGACATTGTCTGGACTGGACACATGCATCCGCACCAGGATGCTCCGGACACCGGAGGAGACGATCGAGTTGGCCAAGAGACTCGAGGCGACGGGGATCAAGGCCCTCGCCCTCCACTGCCGGACGAAGAAGATGACGGAGAAGGACAAGGGCCAGTGGTCGATCTTCAAGCCTGTGCGCGAAGCCCTGAGCATCCCGCTCATAGCGAACGGCGACTGCTTCAAGGCCGAAGATGTTGACAAGCTGAAGCGGCTGACAGGTACCAGCAGCAATTCAGGGCCGGGGGTGTGCCGCAGCGACCCCAGACGGAGACATGGTGCAGTGGGGAGCATGGTGTTGCGGATGCACACTGGCACAGCTGGCCGGGTAACATGGGATGCCACTGACGGATGAGCCTGGCTGATGGGATGGGATGGGTGAGTCTCACTGGTGGGATGGGATGGGTGAGCCTGGCTGATAGACTGGCAATGCCGACCGTCTCCGCAGGTGTTTCGTCCGTCATGGTTGCCCGGGGTGCCCAGAAGAACATCTCCATCTTCCGAGGGCCAGGCAATCAACTCGACCCGTGGGATGTGATGGTCGACTACTGCAAGACAGCCATCGAACTCGACATGCCCTTCCACAATGCCAAGTACACCCTGCTGACGATGTGGTCCAACGTGCGCAAGTCTCGTGGCGAGTCGCCGCAGCGGATCTCACGGACTCGCAGCATGCGGCAGGTCTGGTAAGTGCCCTGGAACGTTGGTTTCAGCCAGCAAGAACGAAAAGTGTTTATGAACCGGGGCGGGAAGGTTTCTCTGGCGGGTGCTGTTGCTGACAGTGCCTCAACTGTGGTTGCGGATGCAGCGAGGTCCTCGGCATCGAAGAGTTCTACGACCAGCAACTCCAAGCCCGCCATGAACTGGCCGAGAAGCTGCAGCGGCTCGATCTGCTGGCGGAGGAGCAGACAGGAGAGCTTGGTGCAGGTGAGTGCTCGGGCTCGGGCTCGTGGGCGGACTTGTGCTTTGGCTTCGATGCGAGTGCACCGGCAGTGGCCGATGATTGCCGATATCGCCTGCTGATGCCGCCTGCTGATACCGCTTTCTGATACCACTTGCTGATACTGCTTGCTGATACCGCTTGCTGATGCCTCTCGCCGCCAACGACAGACTGTCCTTACATCCCCAACGAAGCATATGCCCCGAGCGAAGCCAGCGACGACGCGGGCGATGGCTGGTTCTCGGACGAGGAGGGAGGCTTTGGAATTGGGGCGCTGGGAGACTCGGACGCTGCCGAGCCCACGCCATAGCAGCCATGTCGATGTTGCCAGTCGGTGCCCGTGTATCGCATCCACTTGCCGTTGTCGCCGTCAGTTCATCACATGGGCGAATATAATACATCATTCGATCAAGTTCTCATCAATGTTCGAATCTGAATGGATGGATCATTCGAGCCATGTCGGCATATACATGGATCCCAGATGTCAGCGACGCCATGTGTTTGTGGAACGACTCAAGCAGCGGGAAATCCTGCGACAACGGGGACTGGGATCAGGTCTCCTGTCCATATTCCCAGGAAGGGCAGCCATGGTGAATGATGAATGTGTATATATTCCCATCAAAAAAAGCAGAACGATGGAAACTGGGTGTCCCGGTTGATTATGTGGAGAAGTAGGGGGGGGGAACATCCTCGCTGTTTTACCGTCATAAATAAAGCTGATGATACAAAATGTCGTCTTGGCCAGAGCTGAGAAAAAAGCCCGAGAGACACGACACCTTCACCGTCCCCTAATATTCATCCAAGAGACAGGCTGAAGGAGTGAGGCAGGTAGATTCGGGGGTGGGGCGGCAGGCAGGGACAGAAAAGAATCGAGGGGAATGGGCCCCTCTGGCAAGCCATTTAGGGCAAATGGAGGGAAAGGGAGAGACTAAGAAAGTACAGAGAGAGAGAGCATGAGAGCGACACAAGAGCATCCAAATAGAGTCTATAAACAGATTTTTTAGTTCTCGTCGGTGACGCCGAGGATGGTGGTCTCGACGAGGACGCGGGTAACCTGGTAGGGATCGGCGTTGGAGGCGGGGCGGCGGTCCTCGAAGTAGCCGTAGCCGCACTGGGCGACCGACCGGGGGATGCGGATGGAGCAGCCGCGGTTGGCAACACCGTACGAGAAGGTGCTGATGCTGGCGGTCTCGTGCTTGCCGGTCAGGCGCTGCTCGTTGTCGGCACCGTAGACGGCAATGTGGGCCTGGTGGCGCTTGGAGAGCTTCTCGATGGCAGCCTCGATGTGGGCCATGCCACCCTCGACACGCATGGGGCCAGTCGAGTAGTTGGAGTGGAGACCAGCACCGTTCCAGTCACCCTTGATGGGCTTGGGGTGGAAGGAGACGACGATGCCAAAGTCCTCAGCAACGCGCTCGAGAAGGAAGCGGGCCATCCAGAGGTCTGTGAGGCATGGGGCAAAGAGTTGCACAGCCGGTCAGATCGAGTCGGGTCGGATTGGGTCGGATTGGGTCGGGAGACTCAGCGGCTGGCAGCAAAAGTGATAGGGTTCTGCGATACTTACGGTCACCCATCTCGATGCCGTGGCAGGGGCCGACCTGGAACTCCCACTGAGCGGGCATGACCTCAGCGTTGGTGCCAGCTGGAGAGTGAAACCGATACAGATGAGTGGGCGGGAACGTGGTGTAGCAAGTTCTCACGATTGCTGCACCAAGGGTGTGACTCGGGCAGGCATTGGCCAGCAATCCAGCGTAAGCTGGATAGTTCGGCCCGACGCAACTCAAGGAAGCTGGCACACTCACCAATCTTGACGCCGGCGTAGACGCAAGCCTTCCAGTGAGCCTCAACAATGTCGCGGCCGTAGATCTTGTTGGCACCGACGGCGCAGTAGTAAGGACCCTGGGGACCGGGGAAGCCGTTCTTGGGCCAGCCGAGGGGCTGATCATCGACGTCGAAGAGGGTGTACTCCTGCTCAAGACCGAACCAGGGCTCCTCGGCCTCGACCTTGGCCATGGCCTCGGCGCAGGCAGCGCGGTGGTTGGTGACGTTGGCGGTGCCGTCGCGGTTGTAGGTCTCGCAGAGGACGAGGATGTTGTCGCCGCGGGCGAAGGGATCCTTGAAGATGGCGCAGGGGCGGAGGTAGACATCCGAGTCGTGGCCCTCGGCCTGGCCGGTGGAGGAGCCGTCAAAGTTCCACTCCTTGAGCTGGCTGGGGGAGGTGGGGACAAAGTCCAGGGTCATGGACTTGCATCGGAGATCGCTGCCAGAGCCACCGATCCAGACTGCGAGAGGAAACGAGACAGGGCGACAGGTGAGCATGCGGCGATGGAGTTGGCATGAGGCGAAGTGGATGCACTAGGGGAGTGCGATTGTGGAGCATGGCTGGCTGTGGAGAGCCCCAGGAGGGCGACCAGCGGCAATGCAGTAAGACGGAGCTCCGAGTGGTTACCATAGGTGGCCTGGATCTTGCCGTTCTGGGGGAGATCGCTGTATCGGCTGAGGAGAGCAGAGGAAGGCATGGTGCAGATGGATGTGTGTGTGGGGGGGGGTGAGGCAGATGCTTCTGAAGAGGCAGTGGCTACGGCTCAGCTTTAGCAGGCAAAGGATGCAGACCAAGCGAGGAGCCCGGACGATCGGCCGTATTTATACACCGGCGCCGCGGTCATGAAGTCCCGAAGAAAATTTCAATGCGCCGATGCTATCTCCCGCGGACTCGCGTATCTATCTTGTCACGATGAGGCCGCCGATCCGCGGCCAGGAGTGGCGCCGCCGGGCTCGGCCTGGATCTGCGCTGGGTGACCTGCTGCTGCATCTCTGTGAAGCCTGCGCCGGCTGTGATAGCGTCTCGTGGTGGAGCTGCCGTCGTTGTGATAACATCGCTGGGCGGTGGTACGGACTGGAGTGGCGGCGCTTTGTGGGGCTGCTGCTGGCTGTGATTATCGCCGCGAGCCGGCGCCGGCAGCTGACGGCCCCACAAGCACTGGCGAGCACTGGCGAGCACTGGCAAGCACTGGCAAGCACCCACAAGCATTCCTGAGCAACCGGGCGGGCAAGGCCGTTGCTGTCTGTCGCAGACACTCGTGCCTTGGCCGACAACAGTGTCGCGGACAGCGCGAGCAGACCCAAATTGGAGTTCCCGAGAATCCCCGAGCGCCCCGCCGGCAGCCAATCGGAGGGCGCGGCCACGCGGCTGTGCGCCGTCGCAGACAAGGCCCCGCGCGGCTTATCTCTTGTGCGATGCCAACCCAGGCCACGACCAGGCCACGGCCACGGCGGGGCGGGACTGGCGTACTGGCGACGGCGGGCGAGCAGTCCATAAGCAGCAGGCATTTGGTCCACCCGGCCCGCTCGGTCTGCTGCATTCATGCTCGCCTGCAGCATGTCCGTCGTCCAGCACAACAGGCCGATCGTGCTTCTGTCCAGGCGACGGCAGCAGGTCCACCAGCTTCTCCATGTGCTGGTCGTTATCAGTGGCGGCCCTGGGCACATGTGCAACCCAACCGCCCTGCCACAGCCAGGTGGCCCCGTTGCTCGCTCGCACAAGCGGGCAGCTCGTGGCGGCCGACTCGGTCAGCGTCTATGATAACCCGCCCATGTGATCGAGCCCGATAAGATCGAAGGACAGCACCCCAGCCGCTTCTGGAGCACAGATGGGTCCACTGTGGAGATAAAGCAGCAGCGGCCACAGGGGCTGTCGTGGGAGAGGGCGAAATGAAGAGACAGGCGTCGTGCTTGGCCTATCGGCTGGGCGCGGGCCCTGGCTCGTCGGTGGCGGTCTGGCGGATGGATGCATGGATAGACGGACGGACGCATGAGTTCCGGGATCATGCCAGAGGGTTGTTGTTGTTGTTGCTGCTGCTGCTGCTGCTGCTGCTCTGGCGAGTCGCAGTGCACACGGCTCTTGTCCGCTTGGCCTTCATTCCACTTGCCTCGCTCGACTTTGGCTGCACTTGCTTGGTTCAACTCTCAGCTTTCTTCGCCCGACCAAACCCAATGCCCAGATGCAGCGCACTGCATCACAACACAGCACAATGCATCGCCGCCGCACCCTTGCCCATCGTCCGCGTGAGCAGCCGATCTCCCCTGCGAGGCGGCAATCACATGTCGGCGCGCACGCCGTGCTCATATCAGCCCCGCTCATGTTTCATGCTCCATCCACATGCAAGCCCGACACACCCAGGGCTGCTCCTGCCCTGGCCTCGCCTGGTCCTGTCGCTGGCCTGGCCGGGTGTTCTTTGCCTCGGCCAGCCGTCCGCGGAATAGAGTTGTCGCTGCCGGACCTGTCGCCGACCTTCCATCGGCAGCCGAAGCTTTGTCATCGGGTTTGGCCAGAAGGTTTTGCTTCTTTGATCTCGTGCAATATTCCATCGCCTCAGGTCGATGGATGCAAGGCAGCTCGCTGGCCAAAACTCGGCTCGAACACCCTGGGCCATAACACCAAGAAATGGCAGATCTCTTCGCTTTCTGTACACACCCGCCTCGACACTCACGCCGACACTCCACACGCCCGCTGCTCCACACAATAGCCCCGCCGGCGAGGGACATCAATGGCAGCATGTCCGTGGGATTGCCGTCGGTGTATGGTGTGCATCCAGATAGGAGGCTGCGCTATCTGCATGTTCCCCGCGCCGGGGGGGGGGCCTCGGTTCGCTTCGATTTGCTGCATATCCAGCCGGCCCTGGTGGCGCTGGGCGACTGCATCGGCGTGACCCATTCTCTCGCTCATCCCAGCATGGCAGCTTGGGCTGCAACGAACTGGTCGGGCTGCTCAGACTCGTCTGCCCCCAACCCAGAGAAGCAAGTCACTCTCGCCCAACTCACCGACGACGATGGCCGTGCTCTTGTCGACACAACATGGCTGTATTCACATATGCAAATCGTGCACGCTCGTCCCTGGCCTCGTTGGGGATCGACCTGACCCGGACAGAACCGACTGCCCAACAACTGACGGCAACGACAAGGAAAATACAGATGAGGCATGAGTGTGGGCGCGGCGTTGCGATAAGGGCACGATAGAAAGAGCGAGATTGAAAGCAAAGGAGACACGGAGAGAGGGAGGGAGAAGGGCCGGGAAGAGGGCCAGGAGAAGTTGGAGACGCAGACAGGCGCATTCAGTTCGCCGCCCGTTCGTCTTGTCGCAGATGCTGCTCTTGATGCTGGCTTGAGGCGAGGGAGCTCGCTACTGGCTGAATGAGTGGCCGGCCTTCATAACGTTGTCAAAGACAAAGATGGCTGCGGCGTTGGTCGGGAAGGAGCGCAGGAAGCACGGCAGGAAGCCTCGGTAAAAGCCCTTGATGCCCTCTGCAGTTCCATACCGCAAGCAATGTTCGATGGCGACGACGAATCCAAGTCGCGGCAAGCAAATTAGATGGCAACGACGCACCCGAAATGCAGTGGGTCAGAGTTGGCGGCAGTTAGCGGGTGCAACGCAGGACTGTGGCATCCGTCCGTCCGTCCGAAATACGCATTCGATTCAGAGGCGAGCTGTTTCATGCTCGCATCAAGCTCGTGACAAGGCAAGCCAGCAGTACCCAAACGATAACGCACCTGTGCGGAGGATATATCGGAAGCAGGCGGCCGTGCTGGGATATCGAAGGGGCTTGACCTCGGGCTGGGTCATGATTCTGGTCTTGACAACGTCTGTGAAGCAAGAGAAACCCAGTCAGCGGCACAAGCGGCAAGGATGGAGGCGAGCATGATCGAAGGCGTCAAGTACGACGGTTGATGCTGCAAGGGCTTCGAAGACTGGACGCAGCTCTGCCACAGCGAACTTGCGTTGTGGTTTCCAATACATATCCACTCACCAAACGGGAAGCTGACACACCAGAATGTTGTTGCTGCAAGGCCGCCGGCAAAGAATGGCACCAGCCGATCGTGCACCTTGTACTTCTTCAGCTCCGTAACATAGACCTGCGGGAGAGGGTCCACAGCCGGCGCAGGAACATCGAAACGGATTGGCATGGAGATGCAGCGGATGCAACTGCAGATAGGGGCACCCTTGATTTTAGAAACCATGCCCAAGGCGAATGGCGGCTTACCTCGTAACTTCCCCACAGGACCCAGAAGAAGCTGCGGAAGAGCATGCATGGAGCGAGACCCTTCCAAAGGCCGCGAATGCCATTGTCCCGGATCTACTCGGTCCGCAAGAGCATCGTTAACGAGTGAACAAGATCATCGGCGTCCAGTCCGCTTTCCGCTGTGCCCTTCACCTTGAATTGGGGGCCGATCACTCGAGGCGGATCTCGGTCCAGCGCGGCCCGCACTGAGACATCGATCGACGAGCATTCAAGCCTTACCAGCTGGCGGGCACAATCAATCGGTCCCGAATAAACCTTTGTCTTGGCATCGTATTGAACCTACAGGGCAGTCCATCGTTTCTGTCAGGATCACTGGCATCTCATGGCATCCCATGACATCCTAGGACATCCTAGGACATCCTGCGCGATCTTGTCTCGTCTGAGCCATGAACTTGCTCGGCTCTTGGATCCAGCGCTGCCGTCCCTGCGCTTGTAACTCTCGTCCGCCTCATCTGCTACACAGTTCAATCCTGGCCACCCCATCGTCCTGACCTGCAGTTTGCCCTTGAGGAGTTCGACAGGAGTCGCCACAAATGAAACCACAAGACCGGCCCCAAATCCAGCGAGGGCGTGCTCGGGCACAGTCAGGCGCTTGTTGCGATCGCCGCCTTGCAGCAGCAGCCGGAAGTTGGTCAGCGATCCCATTTGCACAGAGTCCATGAGTGCCCATCCGAGCAGGGGAGGTGTGGCTCCCTTGTAGAGGCCTCGGAACCCCTCCTGCAGATCAAAGCGGCACCATCAACAGTCGAGGAAGATGATTGAAGCCAAACGGACGTTGGAGGTTGCAGGAACGATACAAACGAATGAGATTGTCAGGGGACGGGCTGATGCAGAAGTGAGACATCCCGACTCTGCACGCTGTTGCCATTGCCATTGCTGTTGCTGTTGCTGTTGCTGCTGCTGTTGCTGTTGCTGTTGCCATTGCTGTTGCCTGGATGTGCCATCGACCGCACGACAGCACAGCACAGCACAACACAACACAGTGCCGATCTCATCGCCCGACAATACTCATCATCCATGCACGTTGCCACAAAAATTCACCTTCTTGACGGTCTCGACGAGGCAGTCCAGCGGACCCTTGAAGCGGCCAAAGCCTCCTTCGGTCTGCATGCGCACTTTGATGGTGTCTGGCCGGATCGACGATCCAAGGATGCGATTCAGCGAGTGCAGTGATCCAGGCCATTCGATGCCGGGGCGGAGAGAGAACGCTGCCGTCAGAGTCGAGATTCAACTGCCTCATGCCGGCCACCGACGCAGTCTGTAATCGGTGGGGGCTACTGATAGTCGGCCGGGGCTGGGTGCCAAACAGGATGGGCGGCCGAGAGAAGCGACGGTGGCCACTTACCAAACGGGTGCCCAACGGCGAGCTTGGTGGCGCCAGAGCACACACCGGCAATGAAGCCGATGTAGCGATCGAGCATCGTCGCCTGCGGCTGGGTGACGGATTTGGCCTCCATTTGTTGATCGAAATTCGAGCTGGGATGGGGGAAGACGGTGGGGGGGGGGAAGGACCGTGGAGCCAGCGACATCCAGCGACCCGACCGGGTATGAGCATGGCCGCAGTGGTCGTGATCTGCCCTCCCTTTCGAACTCTGCCCCACGCCCAGAACAGACAGGGCAAGGAAAGCCCGAGGTCACCGGCGTCGGACCGGACAAGACTCACCCAGAGATGAATGGGCCGGGCAGAAGACCAGCGATTCGGGCCAGGCCGTCGCATGGTATTTGTGACAGCGCGAGATGGCTGCGCTGTGGCTGGCCACGCTTCTATATTTGGCATGTCGGGCTCACGCGACCGGGTTTGGGGCGCTGGGCGACAGGGCCTTGCTGGCAAGAATGATGCACCACGCCGAGCCGAGGACCGGTCACAGTCGCTGTCTCCATCGTACTTCCTCACTACTCAACCGGCAGCGGTGCATCTTGATGCGCCATCAGGCCTGGCTCTGCAGCAGCTCGGCTTGCAGCTGCCTCCGTGCCTCCTCGATCGAAACCCCTGTGCCTCGCAAGATCGCCCTGGTGCGGGATGCCTGGTCGTCGTCGCTGCATCCAGCCGATACGCCAAAGCAGCAGTCGCCGCGGACGATCCAGGCTGCAGCCGTGCTGCGGTTTGGGGAGGCGGTTGCGCACGTCTCATCGATCGCAACCGCAGCATCTGAGCAGCAGGCTGTTCCGTCGCTGCGCGGCCGGTGCTGGTGCCGATGACGATGCCGCCCGGGATCGTCCGCGGTTTGAGCGCTGGCGAGGCATCGCTCCAACACAATCCGGACCGCATGCTCGTCGATTCGAAGTACGTGGGTATACTCGTGCAGGTCCTGTGCAAACAGATGCTCGGCCAGGTCCTGAATCTCGGCCGGGACGGAGGCGAGCGGTCCGAGCAGACTCGGCCTTGTGTCGTCCTGGGCTTGAGTCTCCCCTTCCGGGACAAACAGGCCCAGCTCCCGAAAGACCGACAGGAGCGAGGGTGCCGTGGGAGTCTCTCCAGCCCGGCGCAGAATCGGATGGTCGTCAAAGAATCGACCGGCTTGTAGGGACACCAGGCTGTCTTGGAGACGATCTTGCATGGTAGCAAGGTTCCCGCAACCACGGACCAGGGGGCTCAAATCTGCTGCTGGGCATGCCGAGAGCCGCTTACGGATTTGAACAAAATGGGCTGGGACTGAGAGCAGTCGGCTGAGGGTCAGTGTCGGAGCGAGCTCGTCGACAGAGAGATATTCGAAGACCTTGAAGAGAATCTCGACAGGCAGCTCGTCCAGGGATCGACGGGGCCGGCGGCAGACCTGGGAGTGAGTAACTGAGGCCGGCGGCTTCACAGCGGATGCCTGGCTCCAAGGCGTCGGGCATGCAATCGAAGGCATGGGAGAGTCGGGATCGGCAATGCCGGGATAGACGATGGAGGGACCGAGGAAGGAGGAAGCGCTGCGTTCACAGGTTCTGGAGCAACGCCTGCAGGCCTATTTTTACAGCGAGTATATTTTTGAAACGGGACACCTTCACACGCGAATGGCTTGTGTGGGTTTGTTCACGACACTGGAGGGCATTGATCACAACAATCGCACTCACCTCGTTCGGGCCAATGTTGCTGGCAACAGCTCGACACTCTGCATCGGGGAGGGGGCGATATCAAGCCACCAACGGCGTCTGACCCATGTTGCTGCACAGATATCGTCACTCCCCGCAGCGGGCCGAATGCCGATGTGAATATCGAATATTGAGCACTGTTCGCCAAAGCATTGCATAGCAGCAGCCATAGACATGCACACCATGCTGCCTTGAATCATGTCTCCCTTGGCCCCGGCCGCGGCAGGCTCTTCGTCAGCACCGGCATGCATCCAAATGTAGCAGCCCTTCGCTCGATCAGAGCCATTTTGCACAACTCGACCCTGCCCATCGCCAGCACCGGAGACTTGCTTGCTTTCTCCTTCGCCGACCCCAACGCCTTCCCTTCACCGACCCCGACGCTGCACCACAGCCCGCTGTCGTGGCTTCACAATCGCAACGAGCGCACTTGATCAGCCAAAGCCGTCTTTCTGTTTACTGCTCTTGCGGCTCGATTGCGTGCCTGCTTGCCCGTCAAGTTTCCAAGTGATCTCTTTCTCGCCGGCGATCGAATATGAATCCGTTTCTGGAAGACGAAAACGTCAATCCGTTTGCCGAGGCAAGTGCATTGCTTTCCCTTCCCTTCCGCGTCTGCGCTGGCTCGGTGGACTTGTCTGTGTTGGTTCATATGGCATGTGCATCCGTGGGAATGAAGCCCTGGATCGGCGATTGTATGAGCAGTTCTGAATTAGCCCGAGCGAGCCACTGCAGTCGACGCGTGTGATGGTGCTGGAGTGCGTTTGGTGATAGCGCCGACGCTTTTCCTGCTTGGTCAAGTATCCAGGTGTATCAACGTGGCATTCTGTGTCCATTCTGTTCATTCTGTTCATTCTGTCCATTCTGTTCATTCTGTTCATTCTGTCCACAGGAGGCCGCCCGAGTTCCGCTTCCGCCATCACGTCGCCCGACCCCGAGCGTTCCAGTCCAGGTCGGAGGCGGCGATGCCGGCGCAACGACAAGCGAGTACAAATATTCAGCCTCCTATGACACCAAGGAGGGCTTTTCCGACAGCCAGTGGGCCAGCCGTGCGCCAGCCTTCACTCCTCCGCCTGCAAAGTCGCAGAAAGAAATCGAGCTGGAGCAGCGCGAGCTGGCCATCAAGTACCGCGAGGACAAGGTGGGTTTCTACGCATCGCCACATATCAGGCCGAAATGAGGAGCTTCCGGTGCTTGTTTCGTGCAGGCAATCGCCAAGGGTACTTGCCGGTAGTCTGCCACCTCTGGCCCGTGGTGACATGGCTGAGGCATGGCACTATGCTAACAGTCCCGCTGCGGTGCTCCTGTGGATTGTTGTGCAGCTCAAAGAAAGAGAGGAGAAGATGGTGGACTTTCACGCACCCAACTGGCCACCCTTCAGACCGATCATTTACCACGACATTGAGAAGGACATTCCTCAGCGCGGCAAGCCACTCGTCAAGAGACTCTACGCCGCATGGATGAGTATGCATTGCATGCATTTGGCTTTGTGGGGTGGATGGGGTGCGCAAATCGGATTCCCGGCCAAGAGGACCCGCCTCGTCGATCCTGCCCGGTCGCTGACATCGTATTTGGCTCGTTCGTCCCAGTTGCAACGGCCACCTATCTGATGAACTGCATTGCGTCGTTCTCGATCCTGGTCACCAAGGGCGAGAGTGGCGGTGGCACATGTAAGCTTGCCGAACGCTCCCTTGCGGAATGAGACTCGAGTCACTGGTAGTCGTTGACGGTAGTATGCAATGCCAAGACCTGCATGTCTGTGTCTGGCTACATCCAGCAAGGCCAAATGTCGTCCACATACGAGCTGGATGCTCGCTGTCCGTCAACACATCTCGCTAACCACACATCCGTACTGCGTCTGATGATCCTGCTTGGTCCCACGACGCTCCAGTCGGTCTGTCGCTCATCATCCTGCTGGTCGGCACGCCCGTGTCGTTTGTCTTTTGGTACCGCCCGCTGTACACGGGCGTCAAGGCGGACCGCTCCATCAGCTTCTTCCTGTTCTTCTTCAACTACTCGTTCCACCTGGCCTTTGCAGCTCTGTTGGCTGTGGGCATTCCAGGCTGGGGTGGCGCGTACGTATCTGGATCTCGTCCCCCAAAGCATCTTTTGCGACAGCAAATGTGGTGCGAGGAGCCTGGAAACTCTTTCGTGGCTTGTTGTCCCAAGTTGGGCGAGCGAGACCAGTCGAGTTTTGCGGGGAGGGGAGGGAGGATCGTGCTGACAGTCTCCCGGCGACACAGCGGGGTGATTTACACACTCTCACAGATGGGCAACAACCTGCCCTCGGGCATCCTCTGCGCCATCTCGTCTGCATTTCTCATCGGCGAGGTTGTCTACGGCCTCTGGCAGATCAAAACGGTAAGTGAATCTGAGCTATTGACGCATGATTGGTCCGCCCAGTGGCATTTTAGCCAACCTGGGTTGGAAGATATCATCGCGACACATCCTGCCGTATATTGGCGTTGTGAGCGACCATCGAGAGCTGATTCTTCTCGATTTGCACAGGTGTCGGCCTTCTATCGATCCCGCGGCTTGACCATGGAGCAAGCTCAGCGCGAGGCCGTCGCAGGCGTTGCTAGCAGCCAAGTTGGCCAAGAATTTGCCAAGCAGGCCGTCAAGGGCACCCTCGCCAATGTCGTCTGAGCAAACGGCAAGCCACTTTTGGATGCATGCCCACAGTAGCGCTCGCGCCATGAAGCCTGAGAACGTGCAACGACGGCGAGCGCAGTGCGGACAAATGTTTCTGATGATCGAACGATAGTCGATCGGGAGAAAAGAGTAGGGGCTTATGTGGCTCCTATTGGGATATTTGTGTTTGGTTTACTCACAGGTTGAGCCGAGGGGAGCTCCACTTCCGCTCGGCGTCAACTCTGGTGCGGCTGCTGCTTGTGTCGTAAGCACTTCCCACATCTGCAAAGCGGAAATGTGCACTTTGTGTTTGAGGCGGATGATCTTCTTTCTGATCTCGAATATACGCACGCCCAAAGTGCGCTGGGGAGGACCGCCACTCACCACGCGGAAACATGAAAGGACCGTATTTATTGATCTGTTACGGAGGCCGCTCGCTCGCTCAGAATCGCCGTATACTTGGATTCTGCCGATTCTGCCTGCTTGTCATGTCTTGCTAAGCCACGACTTATATACAGAGGACTCGCGCGCAATCATATGGCTGGCAAAGGTGCGGCGACATCGAAAAGTTTCATTATCGACCCATGTCATCGATCGTCACGGCTCAAAGGTCGAACGGCGGTGCTGGCCATGACGCTGGCGATATCATAGACACGATGGCAACCACTGACGGCATGGGCCATTGAGAAACACGACTGCCGGTGTCGGTGACTGGCACGTTGGTGGTGCATTGGGGATTGCACAGCGATGCCATGCAGCGATGGTGATCGTGCATTGCGGGCCTGACGTTCGACCATGTGCGCGGGTGCGCTCAAAGCCCCAGGCTGGCTTCGATATTTTCACGCACGATGCGGTTGAACTCGTCACGATTGTCACGCCACATTTTGGAGGCCTCGATATTGGCTCCACTCTCGTCGTTGGGCTCTGGATACAGGTTGAAGGCGTGAAAGGATCAGTGGACTGCGGATTGCAACAGCGATCGGGATGCTGAGGACGAGGAACGCTTGGAGTGATGGGGCCCTCGTTCTTCAAGAGTCGATCGAGCCATGAGTGGTGCATGCGCCTGAACGGAAGCACATACCGGCCAGCATCGATACCACTGACAGAAGGATCTTTTCGACGCTCTGGACGGGACTCCAGCGTTCAGAAGAGTCCTCGTACATGTTGGGGTCGTCTCCGGGTGGATGGAGAATGGATATGCACACCGTTCCGTCCTTGTAAACTGTGGGAATGCAGCAGGGGAGAGTCAGGAAAACCAACCATCTGCGACCCCCCCCCTGGCGAATCAAGAATCAGGCAGGGAGTGAAGCATTCATGGATGGCGGTGTGCGTCAAGACGAACCACAAAGGCAGCACGGCATGCCCAGGGGAACTCACCATTGGGATGATACATCGGGCACGTAAACTTCATGACAGGCGGCGACAGTGGATAGTCCTTCGGGAAGGTCAGCGTCGCGGAGAAGATTCCACCCTCGTACGGCGTATCGTCAGGGCCGCTATGCGGGATGCAAAAGATGCAAAAGATGCAAAGGATGCAAAGGATGCAAAGGATGCAAAGGATGCAGATGGCGAGTCAGTCGAGCTGCTAAAACCCATCGACAACGGTTTGTCTCTGTGCTATCCAGCGGACACTGCTGCGTCTGTATCCGTGCTTGCGGCGGCCATTCAGGACCATTCAAGTCCGTCAGGATGACGTTCTTTGGCTGGCGCATCAGAACGGCAACCATGTGCGCTGCGATTCCACCGAGGAACGTACGCGATCAGGGCTTCCCAGAGAAAGTAGTTATCCTCGGAAATCGGGCCGGCGGTGATGCCTTCGGGGGCGCGCAGAGTGAGTTCTGGACGAGAGACCGGCCCACAGCGAAGGCGCATGTCGGCGAGAGGGGTCAGTGACATCCGGAGGCGGCGATACATGATCGTGACGTCGGATATGTGCAGCATCGGATGGGGGGGGCAGCAGGCGGTGTCTGATCCGGGATGAGCCTTGCTGCATTGAGCAATATCGCCGATCCAAATCCCCTCGCCAACACAACAGCGAAGGAAGAAGCGTCCTCAAGAGCCCGCCATCCGCGAGTCCACAGTGGCATGTCTACCTCGGTATTCTGTGGTAAGCCGCTTCAGGGCCGACAGGCCGGCGCTTCGGTTCATGATGCAGGACTGGGCGGGACTGGGCAGGCGACGAGCGAGCGAGATGGACAGGAAGGCCGAGCCGATCGAAGGCGAAAGCAACAGAGCGAATAAGGCGAGGCTGCCGACGACTGCGCGCACACATACAGCGTGTGTGGCCTGGATCACAGGGCACAGAACGTGTGCGACGCCGTGGCGGTCCGCACCGCGATTGTTTGTGTGCTCGTGGCCGCTGTGTTTGTCATGCCTGCTGCGCAGTGGGGGCGCGAGGACCGCGGCGTGTCCCGTGTGACATAGACACAGAATCACGCGCCGGACCGACGCGACCCCGAAGCAGTTGTCCGGACCGAGGGCATCCAGAAGCCAGCGCCTGCGACCGATGCGGGAGATGTTGGCAGTGCGGAGGTGCCGGCGAGCATGATCGACTATGACCGGGCATGATGCAGGCGCGATGCGATCGGCTGTGCAGGCAGGCGGTGGACCGAGTCTCGGCTCTGGTCGAGTAAGCAGCTCAAATAGTGCTGGGTGGATGGTTCCGCGAAGTGGGGGGATACTCGGTCTTGCTTGCATCCCCGTCGAGCAAGCGCCAATCTGCAGCCACATCCACCACCACCACCAGCGCACCCGTTCGGCGAGAATCGCAGCAACGACATGTCGCCGTCGCAGCAACGGGGACGTCGTCATGTGTGCCTGTGGGAATCACAACACCAGCATGTCCATCCTGGTGGGAACCACAACACCAGCATGTCCATCCGTTCAGAACCACAACACCACCTTGTCCGGATCGCCCTTGACGGCCGTCCAAAACGAGTCGTCCATGGCGTCTCTGTGTCTCGGCTCTGGCCCTTGCGGCACCCACCCGGCTCCCACAACCCCTCCCGAACTTGACCACCGCTCCCGGCCCAGCGTTTTTTTCGGCCTCTGCTCTTGCTTTCTCCGCCAGCGATCGCCCTTTGCGTCGGCCGTCTCTGCCTTTGCGCTCCCTCGTCGCATCGCTTTCTCGCACCTCTTGTTCGCCGAGCCTATTCGCGCCTTCCGCTGCACCTGCGTTGCCTCATTGCTTCCCCACACCTTTCCGACCACCGGCCTCCAACACAGATCGATAACACAATGCTCAAGAAAAAGCACAACTTTTCCAGCAGCGAGGCTGCCTCGGCTTCCCAGCCCTCCACTACCTCCAGCACCGCTGCCGAGTCTCCGGCGGCTGCCACCCCAACCCATGAGGGGCCCACCAAGAGACGCTTCTCGATGCTCACGCTCACTCGCAAGTCCTCCTCTCCCCAGCTCGGCTCGCCTCAACCCGCTTCGCCTCAGTCCAAGGGCACTCTTGGCAGAAAGCTCTCGTCCATCTTCCGGCTCAAGCCTGCCGATGGCACCTCCAAGGCCGAGGCATCCAGCCCAACCCAGTCCGAGGGCCGCCAGGGTGCCGACGCTGCCGCTGCTTCGCCGGACTCGCTCAGACAGGCCCTCAAGGAGAGACTTGTCGACCGTCTGCGCAAGGTCAAGAGTACCCTCGAGCTCCGGGCCAACGCCGAGGTCCACAGGAGCGAGCAGTCGCCCGTCTCGTCAAAGTTCACTCTCTCCCGCAGTGGCTCGCTGAACAAGACCACGTCCGACATGCACGCCGGTGCCGGCGAGGCCAGTATTACTCGCAAGCCGTCCTGGGTCGCCTCGATGAAGCGTTTTGGCGTCAAGTCCCGCCCTTCGCTGCCCCAGGTTCTCGGCACGGATGCGGATCAGGTTCAGGTCATCGTTGACTCTGACCTGACTTCCCAGCCCGCTGCAACGGCTGCTGTCGGATCGCCTGCTACTGAAGCAGAGAGCCCTTCGGGTGTCCAGGAGGTCGCTGCTCAGGACGATGCTGCTCGGGATGAGGCCATCGTCATCCACGACAGAACCGAGCCACCCGCTGCCGCTCCTGTGGAAACTCAGGTCGCCAAGGCCTCCAACGACGAGCCCAAGCCCACCACCGTCAAGCTGCCGGCCATCGACCTTGATGTGATTACGCCTTACCACGAGTGCTTTGCCGACGACATTGAATACGGCCCCCTTTTCTTCACCCGGGCTGTCGGCTCTGCTCCTGCCGGCCAGGTCTTTGCCTCGTCTTTCGATGTGTACGTTCCGGTCCCTGAAATTGTTGGGGACAGTAGTGCTGTCGAGGACACCGTTGATGTCGAAGCCACCGTTGATGTCGAAGCCGAGAAGGTCGAGAAGGCCGAGCCTGCCCCAGTTGCCGAAGTGGTCAGCGTACCTACCGAGCCCGTTGTCGAATCTGCTGTCGAACCCGCTGTTGTCGAACCTGCTGTTGAACCTGTTGCTGTCTCTGCCGAGCCTGCTGCCGAGCCTGCCGCCGAGCCTGCCGCAGAGACAGCTACCACTCAGGTCCCCATCACTGATGAGACTCCGGTGCCCGAGTCTGCTGCTGAAGCCAGCACGATCGAGTCTGCTCACCAGAGCGGCTCAGACGACGGTGCCTCCGAGTCCGCCGCCAGCACAACCCAAGGCGATTTGAAGATCTCGACCGCACCTCACGAGATACACGCCTCGAGCATCCCAGTGCCCTCGTCTCCTTCCAAAAAGACCCTCAAGAAAAAGGCCCAAAAATTGAGAAAGAAGCTCAACGCCATGAATGCGCCTGATGCTTCCAACTGAGCGCGTCCGCCAAAGTGCATTGCCGCTTTCGTTTTATTTTATATTTTGTGCTCTTTTCCGTCTCACCTCTTTCGCCGTGCATCGGCGCTTCTCTTTTGCCCAGTTCTGATTTTTTATCTCATGCACGGCTGGAACAACTTCCGTAGCACACCACCTTTCAAATGACGGGCGGTACTGACGCCGCAGGAGCGATCCGGCCATAGATGCGCGTCCTGCCAAGTGCAGTCTTCTCGATATTCTAATTATTATAATGGGGTTACCCGATGGCGGCCGGTGGCTCTTTCGCTCGCCCCCCCCCTCCATGCGGTATTTTGATGACTTTCGGCCCTTGCGGTCAGATACAGTGTATTTGTGACGACGCCGGAGCAGCCGAAATACAGCGTTCACAAAACTACACACCATCTACGTGCTTAGGAGGTTGGCCGTTTTCTATTAGATGGATCTACTGATTTTTCAGTGTTCTGAATATCGTGTGCATTTCAAGAGTAGTCCGGGTGCGCGGGAGTGTCCGACCATCGGGCTCACTCGAATGGGTTTTCGTTCTCGCTCTCCTGGATGTCGTGGCCGCCATCCGCATTATCATTCCTGACTTCCGGCGCCCCCCAGCGCGGCTTTGGATGGATGACAATCAGGTTCGGGCTGTTCTGCTGGGCTGCCTGGTAATAGGACAGCGGGCTTTTGCCTCGCTCGGCCTTGGTGGGGCTCGGCTCCGCGCTCTCTGCCGCCGAGAATGACGTCGATACCCGCTTGGGTGTGCTGTTTCTCGGACTGCCTGTTTGGGTTCGGAGGATCGACCCTTGAACAACACTGGATCCAGGCGATGTGCCCGACGCGGACATGTATGATGGCTTTGTGAGCTGATCGACACTTCCAAACTTGACAGGCGGTTTGGATCGCTCGAGTTGGTCAGACCGACCGGGCGACTCGAACCGACGGGCCATCGCACCATCCGGCTTGGGCTGCGGCTTGACCAGCTTCCTTCGCCACTCCCACTGTCGGCGCTCGTGCCAGTCCTTAATTTTCCTGTACCAAACAGTGTAAAACCACTCGACTTCATCGCTTTGCAGACCGCGTGCGAGCCTATCTGCAACTTCTGGATGCTTTCGGATGTTCTCTGGAAGTCTGGAGAGTGCCCGCGGTGAGCGCCACGATCAGCATTGTTTCCTGCTGTATGGCCGCATGACTTGCCTCAGCCTGCCTCTCGAATCCATGCTCCACTGATTCACTCCGTGCTTACCTGACTATCAAATCTGTAAACGGGGCCAAGTCGAGGGGATAGAGTCAATATCGTGAAATGGCTATGGGTCTGCGTTGCTTCATCCGTCTGCAGCCGCACACAATTCGATCAGGAGTGCGATGCCGGTGCCCGGCGAGTGCACACCACCGCACTTACCTATGACACAGTCGTTGACGAAGCGGAACCGCGTGTTCATCCGGTGAAACACAATGAACTGGCCCACAACAATGATGACGATCTGGCCCGCCAACAGGATGTTGTTGTACCACTGATAGGTTGCAAGGTTGGCGTCGAGGTTTCCGTATATGGATGCCTCTGCTCTTTGATATCCTTCGATCAGGTCCGGGGTGAGCAGGGTTCGCAGCAGACTGATCGTGGCGTTATCGGGCACAAAGGGCCCGACCAGCGTCGCTTCGTAGAATCTATTCTGGATGCCGTAGATGTAGTTCTGCAAGTACGGAATGCCGTGGCTGACCATGCTGCTGACATTCCCCATGGAAGGGTTCCACGTGCGATTGAAGCATGCCGACTGGTTCAGCAGCAAGCAACTCATCTCCAAGTCCCCGAACAACGTTGAACTATAAAGCTCAAAGGGCAGTGTTGGTGGACTATCTGTTGTGCGGAAGGGTTGGAGGAAATATCATTTTCTGTGAATATCGTGCCATCATGCCCCCTGGAGTCCTTGGAAACCGATAGACCGGGCAGCAGCACTGATGACGATGCAGCAGTACCCAATCTCCTGTCAGGCAGCTAGTCCAGAGCGCCTCTCAATGACGTTCAGCCACTCACTCGTTGGGTTTCCATATATCATATTCGTGTAGATCATGTAGAGATTTAGGAATTCATGGTCGTAGAATGCACGTATTTGAGGCTCGCTCCCCCAGGTGAATGTGTCCTGGATGAGCATCTCATTGGTGCAAGTGAAGGTTCGGATGTTGAACGTCATCATGTCGCCGAACTGATCGACTGTACCGAAGTTGACGCCCATTTGATTCACAGACTAGGATACGGATTTGTGTTGCCGTCTATGAGTGCGGATCTCTGTGCTGACGAACGAACGAACGAACGAACGAACGAACGAACGAACGAACGAACGAACGAACGAACGAACGAACGAACGAACGAACGAACGAACGAACGAACGAACGAACGAACGAACGAACGAACGAACGAACGAACGAACGAACGAACGAACGAACGACAAACTAATGCAACAATGGATCGTGCCCCTGCTACATCACACGCATTATCCTGGTCTACTGCGCTTCCACTCCATTGTGACTTACCAGCACATTGATGTAGTAGAACACCCCGGCGAGTGTGCATGTCACCAAGACATACAGACCGTATTGAAACCGCAGTCCCCATTTTCCAGAGGCAAACGACTGCTTCACACTTTCGCTGTCAACAGCCAGGTTGTTGGTGGTGTTAAAGAAAATGTCCTCACTCCGTTCAAGCTCGATCTTGTTGATGTGTTCTTTGATGATTTGAGCTGGAATCTCTTTGAAAAACGAGAGAGCCTTCCGCTGGAGCTTCAGGAACGACATTACGCCAAAGTCCAGAATTACCACAAGCGCAATGACGACCAATATATAGACTATCGTGAGCTCAGTGATTGTGTTTGCAGCTGCAAGAGGTATCAATACCGGAGAGTCAGTGCTTCCGAGTCAGTATTTTGCATCCGGACAAACAACTGTGCGCGACAGGCGCCAGGTCAGTGTCAGGGATGACAGAATCACTCTCAGCTACCTGTAGCGGCTGTGGCGCTTTGATACGCCTGAGTGACCAGGGAACAGCGATGCGTCAGCCTATTTTGAGCCATGTCACACGTTTGATAGCCATAACGAGGATCGAGAACTTACAAAGAAGCAGTCGTTCATGGAGTAGTCGTAATAGACATGAAGGTACCGGAAGTTGTCCATGACAAATCTGGTGGCGCCATTGTGACTCGGTGAGCTTGGGCCCATCACTCATCGCGTTTCAGAACGGCAGTGATGAGACGGCCCGACAACACCACCCCACGGGTTGTTATCGCTGCATCAGGCCCAACAAGCGCAGCTATACTCCATCACAATCGAACCTGAACGAGCTGTCATAGGATATGTTTGCAAAGGCCGAGAAGCTCTTGTAGCTGAGACTGATGATCAATACATGTCAGTGCAGTGTTGCGCACTGGGCATCAGCGAGTGAATAGCCCCAACACCCGGATATCAACAGCTCGGTGTCAATGCGATTGATACAGTGCACTCACTCGTATCCGCTGGACGCCAGTCTCTGCAAACATGTGAAATGCACCAACAGCGTTAGCATGCCGAGCACAGCGCCATCGCTCGCACATGCACACACTGTCTCAAACATCCTGCCACTGCGGTAGTGTTACCTTGGTCAAGTCGTACCCGCTCACTATCTCTTGAAATGGCTGGTTGACATACGGATACGCAGTGAGGTTGACTGCGATGGAGGGATCGTTGTACCATGAAAAAGTTGCTGGATCAATATCAGACCAAGAGAACAGCCAATCTGTCCAGTAGTTGTACTGATCCATTTCGGATCGCAGCAGAAGTTGTTGTTGATTGAATGTGGCTGTGTCGTTGGCAAGATATGCCGCTTGCAGTGCCCTCGCGCGATATGGAATCCAGGCACTGAACCTTTCACGAGAATGAAGTCTAAGTGCGAAACGCTGAGCATTAATTCATGAACGCCAATTCAACAAACTGCCCCATTCATAGCGGATGTAACACACACATACCCTTGCAGAATTTTGGTGCCGAATATGGTGTACTGCAGTAAGTGTGCACACAGGATCGAGTTGGTGACAGCCGCCGCCAAGCTCATCAGCCCCATGATGTTTGACGCAATCGTTAGCGACTTCATGTCGCGGTTACGCTTGATGATGAGCTGCGATCGCATTCGCATTCGCTCTTGCATGGCCTTGTAATCGTCCGCCGACGTCGTGCCGGTTGACGAGGGCGCCTGGCTTCGGGATTCGTGCTTGTCCATATTTCTGACTCTCTGCGCAACCGATGCTCGTTCTTCGGGGACACGACTGAGTCGAGAAGCTTGCGATTTCTGTGGACTGGAGCGTGGTTCCCTCTCCAGGGTCATGATGTTGTGCAAATCGTCGACAGATCCGTCAGCTTGCTCTTCGCCCTCGAGGAAATCGGCCTTTTCCACGAGTGCGTTTCCCTTCTCGATATCGTTGGTCACATCAAAGCAAAACTTTGCGTACATTCTCAGAAAATACTACGAGGGCGTATCGGGGTGGATTAGCGAGTCGCACGAATCGCCAAACACCGGTCGCTATGGAGACCCGTCCACTCCGGCGAGCATTACCTGGCTCTTCGGGAATCTGCGTAACCATCACATGGAATCGTGTTAGTGTCGCTCTGGAGCTCTGGAGATTACTCGATCATCGGTGGCGACTGGTAAGGCTGAGCAGCCTCATTGGTCCGAGTGTCGCCACAAAGTCGTCACAAAGGTGCGCTTACCGGCTGACCAGGGACAGATATGCATTATCCGCTTTCTGGGAGGTCGAGTACAGCCTCAGACCAACGCTCTCGACATCAAAGACAGTCGTTTTCTTGTCCACCACGGTTGACCAAAACTTGGTTATATATGCGTTCGCAATCTGGTGGTTGCGTGTAGCTGTCCGGTGGCTCTTTTGAAAATCGGCAAAGCTTGTGACATCCAGCTGGACTCCAGAGCCAAGAAACTCGGACTCGGCCATTTGCTGATTGATCTACCAGAGCGAGACGCGAGGCATTGTGTCAGCAACTCTACACGAGCGCCAAATCTATAGCAGTCTTTGATCGGCTCAGCCGCTGTGGAGTTGCATGCCGACACAATACGGACGGTCAAACGAGCAAGCTCGAAAGTGCAGATACTCAACCTGGTTCAAAAAGTGTATTTGACAGGAGACGTCGAACGAAGGATCCAGCGACTTGATGCGCTTCAGAGACCTCAGCGCCTCTTGGCGAGCGTTGGTCAGGTGGAACAGATATGTTGCGTATTGGAGGCGGATGTACGCTTCTTCCGGGAACTCCTGCAGTCCGCGCTGTTGCCCCATCCGATCACCACAGCGTCAGTAGAAGAACAGGCGCTTGACTGCAAATCTCACTCCAAGCACGACCGCACAATATGCCAAGCACGATCGCGGCACATGCGACAGCACTACGAGCCGGTCCGCCATCAAAACTAGGTGCTCGATCCAGCCCGAGAGCTCGCCAGAATCACATCCCCACCTTGAAGATACGCTTGACTTCGCCAAATTTGGCCATGTCAACCCTCCTTCTTCTGTTGTCGAGCGCCTCGACAATGAATCGGGCAGTCATCTCGACGTGCGGCCAGAACCTGAATATGATCGTGTCGTCCTCGTACTGGCTGGAGTGCACGTTCGAGTACATGTTTTCAAGGGCCCTGCGAGCCTCTTCCTGGACACGGATGTATATGAACTCTGTTTGGGAGTGGCATTTGTACAGATGGCTGCGTCAGTCCCATGATCCAGGGCAGGGTGCTGCACAACAGGACACTCAAGCATGATGCACTCACCGCAAAAGTACCATCCGGTAGCGTATCCGATGAGCACCACAATCACCATCAGGATCGTGTAAAACCACGGCAAAGACACTGATCCATAAGTTGAAACGCCGACGCCGATCAGACTCATAGCTCCTGCGAACATCGAGGCGCAGTAGTTGGCGGCGCGCTTGGAGCAAAGCACGAGTCGAGTGAGTACTGTGCATATCGAAGCGGTGGTCACAGACAAGCATCTGTGTGGTACTGCAACCAAGATGCCAGCACAACGACTTGCGAAATGATGACTGCCTACCAGCTGGTTGAAGCGAGCATTGAAGTATGGCTGGTAGAACATGATGGACAAGAACATGAATGTGCAGGTGCAATAGCCCACTGCAAACTGAATGATCGGACTCGGCACGAAGCGCCAGCAGCAAATCAAGATCGTCTTGAGAGCGATGTAGATGAGATCCACTCGGCCGTGCGACTTGTTCCGATTGCCCTTGAGGCACGGATTCATGTCCAAGTACCTGCGAGGCGTGTCGCCAGAGATGGACGGTGATAATGCGGGCTTAGAGCATAATCAAGGCGGATACGTTCGTTCGCGGACTGGATGCACTATCTCAGCTTGCCGAACCTGCAGAAATGGAGGGTTGTCTACTGCCCCCGCTTACACACTGCCCCCACTTACACACTGATCATCGCACACGATGTCGGAATGAACAGCAGCCCTGCTAGTCCCGAGAAGGAGAGAAACAGCAGCCGCTGGAAGTCGTAGCATCCCAGGTTCGAGACGATTTGTGTCTGTGAGCCGGAGCCTGTGCTCTGCCACTCGCATTGGATTGGAGTGACCAGGATGTTGATGATGGGGGAGTAGAAGAGCGTTGGCAGGACACTGGCGGATGAGATGAGGGTTGCGGAAATGCGCGTCAGTCGAGATTGATGGATATCGATACAGGTCCGTGTGTCCAAGGCTGCCCCCAACTTACCTCGCAGCCACTCTCAGGGTCGAGATGGGCCAGATTTTCTTGTGCTGTAGAGGCGACATGGCAATGCAAAGTGGAGCACGCAGTTAGATGAGGAGACGGATCACGCATTCCTCCTGGCTGACCATGGCAGCGGCGTTGTCGGTATGGCTCACCTGTCCTCTCTGGGACCATCAGCCGGACAGTTTATGGTTGCCGATGCGATGGCATGCGATGGCGAGGGATGGCATGCAGTGCATCAAGTTGTCGTTGGCACAGATTATCGGCGACGCGAGCCATGATCAATGAACAGGGATTGCCGTTAGCTCCACATACGCCTGTCGATGCGATTTCTCAAGCAGAGCACAGGCACTCTCGAAGTGGGTCTGATGGCAGATCCAAGCGCAGGTCGGGGTCAGTGCTTTCGCGGCAATACGCACCACCGTCCCCCAGGCAACGTATGCGACATTCGCCACGAAGAGAAAGCACGCGACCGTCGCACAGCAAAAGTAGATCTGGAACTGCGACGTTGTCAAGGTGCTGTAGGGAATCGAGGTCAGGGTGGTGATGAAGCTCGGGATGGGGTAGTACATGGCCGCGAGCGACGAGAAAAAGTACGTCAGCAACTGGATGTCCTCGCCGATGATGGAGGCCACTGCGAAGAGCGTGGAGGCTCGGTAGTTGCTGCAGTTGGGTTCGGGAAGTGAAAGTCGGGTGAGTTAGCGATCGATCGGAATGCCCGGTCCACCTGCGAGAACGGCAGTATCAGACTCGTATGCAGGGAGTGCACCCAGACTCACCCAACCACCATCAGGAAGAGCAGCTGGTACACAACTTCGTAAATCTCCTTCACTTTGGACTTTTTCGCAGTGATATCGATCAGCTCCCCACCGACGGACGACGAGTTGTCGGTGCTGTTGAAGTGGCTTCCGTCGGTCCGATGGCCGCTGGAGTGTCTTCCTTCTGAGGCCTCTCTGAAGCTCGTCGACCCTCGGTTCGGGGGCGAATGCGACGGATTATCATCGCCGGTCGCGTCGGCCATGTTCCCGAGCGAACTGCTGCTGCCGTCGCCGCCTGCATCCTGGTCGTCTTCATCTGCGGGCACGCTGCTGCGAGCGACCATGCTGTCCCGCTCCTTGCCCGGCTCCTTCTCCGGGATGGTGAAGTTGGTCATTCCTGGAGGGTTGCCTGCCGAGAAGCGTCTGGTGCTAAATGCTCCGATGCGCCGCTGGGAAGGTTTGGGCGAGGAGCCGATGTCGATGATGGGGCCATCTGTCGCTTGGTTCTGCCGACAGGCGAGGGGCTCTGTCCTGCTGCCGACGCAATTTCGCCGTATCTCGCTCTCCGGCCCGGCCAGTGCGCACACTCTCAATCGACACCGACCAGAACCCGATCATGAGCCTGCTGCCGGTCTCGTCTGGTTCGATTCGTGGATCTGATGTCTGCCCATCGTCTCCCACCACTCCAAGCAGGACCAGGTCTGCCCCATTCCTGCCGTGCCCAGGTGTCTGGTCCCGGATACGGAGGGATAGGACAGAACCACATCAATTGGGGGTGGCGAATATACTCAAAGTCATTCGTGATCGTTGCGGCTCATCATCGTGAGCCGTGCGTGTATTCGATGGTCAAAAGGTGGTCGATGCTTCCAGAAACAGCATTGCTTATTCATTGTGGGAGCGCTGCGTTGTAGGCTTCCGGGGGCAGATAAAGTCGGGGCATCCTTGGGATTTGCTGGAAAGAGTCGACACTCTTTACTAACGCAGGGCAGAGTGCACCGAACGTCGGAACCCGGGGCTCAGTCGCCAGCCCACCACGCCGGCACCCATCAGGAGGACGTTGCCGGCAACACAGAGATAGTAGGGTTGCTGGAACGACTGCTTGACGGTCTTGTGGCGAAAGGTCTTCATGGCCCACAGCCCACCGAGCCATCCGCCCAACAGCGCCGACAGCTGCAGATCGCGCTCACGGACTCGCCAGGCCTGCCGGTGGGCCTGCTGTTTGTCGTAGTAGAAGAGCGCAACGGCCGCACCATTGACCAGGACAAGGTATCCGCCAAGCAGAACCAGAAGGCTCGTTGGGGGCGAGAGCGTCCGATCGTCGGTGCTGGAGAAGCCACGCTTGGGCTGACGGAGGGTCTGAGCCAGCGACGAGGGACGAAGCCGTTGGGCGATATGAGCAGGGCGGAAGAGCGACGCAAAGACCATGGCGACTTGCTGCGAGTGTAAGAGAGGGAGAGTGTGCTCGGTGGTTGCTGATTTGACCGATCGAGGATTGCGGGCTGGCTCGTCACTCGGTTGCGGCAGTGGCTGCTGGAAATTGGCGAGATCAAGGCAGACCCGAAAAATCCGAGCATCGGCGCTGTTTCCTTCACCACATGCCTGGAAACTGCACTCAATTGCACCCCGCCTACCAGGCAGCACTGCTCCAGCAACCAAGCAGCACTGCTCCAGTGACCAAACCTCCTCCGCTTTCTCGACAGCATCGCGCTGGGCCGTTCAGATCTACCTTGACCTGGCAGTCGACATAGGCAATCCTCCTCAAAAAGCGCAGAGTACCTGTATTCATTATACACCGAGCCTCGCAGCTTCAATCAGCCATGCATGTACGATCGAGCTGATAAAATGGGAGGATGCGGGGCACAGGACCCAGGGCCGTCAGGGTCGCCAGACCGTTGGGTTGGGTTGGGGCATCTCGCTGGCCGCCGCGATCTAATCGGCCCGCTTTGTCCACCAGCCATCGTTGCCAAAGATCATTCCGCTCTCGACTGTGCTGATGGCGAGCATGAGGGCGCCGCTCACAAAGAAGGACTGGAGAATGATGCCGTGGCCGTGCTGGGAGAGCGTAGCGATGTTGTGGAGAGGGAGGGTGGCTACACGATAAGCCAGGCCAGCGATGCCGCCGGCAAGGAAGTGGCCGGGCAGCATCATGCTGTCGAGGTCGCCGGGGCGGTAGTTTGCCGGCGAGCTGGGATCGTAGGGCTTGTACGAGTTGTGAAAGGCCTTGATGAGCGGTGACCGCAGACCCTCGTACGTCAGAAAGAACACCGAGTGCCCGATGGTGGACTTGAGTACCAGCCGCGACGACTTTTTGGGATACCAGTCCGCCTCCTTGAAGGTCTCGGGGATGATCGGGGTTCCGAAGGGAATCGATGCAAGCCCGTGGATCAGGCCGGCCGAGGCGCCTGCAATTGCGGTCTGGAGGACAGGCGAAACGGACTTGACCTTGGCCCGAAGCGACTCGCTCTGGAATGTGTCTGTGACAGACTTGTAGGTGGCGTACCAGGCGGTGCCTGTGAGGATGATGGACATGGCGTGCGGAAGCGCTGGGTGTCGCTATCGAAGAGACTTGATCGCTGGTGATGCCGTGAGGCGGTGTGTTCCAGATCACCAGCGAAGAAACAGCGAATGGCGAGTGTCATGGCGTATTGCCTCCACGTGATGCACAGCCTGCGGCTGTGGAGAACGATCGAGCGATGCAAATGATGCAGATGATGCAAATGGTGCAAAAGATTCAAATGATGCAAATGGTGCAAATGGTGCAACATCGCTATGGGGCCAACTCATGACCCCATGCTGCCGAGTCGGTTCTCCCCATGCACCGATTCAGACTCGGAATGACTTTCAGCTTTGTAACCGTGACAGAAGGAATGCAGCGTGTTGAAGGAGTATCCAGGCAACCTCACCACATACATTGCATGTGGATGATCTCGGAGGAAGGGCGGGTGTGTCCGACTGAACCCGGATCGCTGCTCCATGTTCCCTGATGCCCACATCCAAGAGGCAAAGCAAAGCTCTCGTTCGCCCAGTCGCTCGCTAGTGTCGGCGAGTCGTATTCTTCTTGGACCACGGGAGCTTGATGCCGCTGCTAGCTCGTGAGCTGTGCAGCATCTCCTCGTTGCCGGTATATCCGCGGCTCGCCGAGCCACGGCTCATCATTTTCTCGTCATCCTGCAGTTTGCGAGCCAGTTCTTCATCGCGGGACGTATCCGCCTTGTACAGCATCGTTGTGGATGACGCCAATGTTGAAGGCGGCGAGCTCTCGTGAGCAAGCTGACGGGCAAGTTCCTCGTCGTGGCTAGTGTCCGGCAGCTCAGGCAGCTTTCCCGTCTTCTTGAGTGCCTCGAGCCGCTTGGCCGAGTCAAGATCCTCCATGGCAATCTTGCAGGCGTACTCGCGATCAATGTCTTCTTGGGATTTTAGTCTGTTCAAGGAAGGGATGGTGCTGGCGAGAGGGGCAGCTGCGATCGAGCCAGCCTGAGGCACGGCGCCGTGGGCCACTCCGAGCGGCAGAACGCCAACCAGGTTGACATCAGGCTTGGGTGGGCTACCGTAGAGCCCAAAGGTCGATGGGGCAGCCAGTTGCTGCTGCGGAAGCTGGGCGGGCACCTGGAGAGAGGATCCGACTGGATGAGCGACGTGGCGGACAAAGGCAACAGCCAGCCAGCCAACCAGCCAGCCAGCCAGATGCACAAGCGGCCATCGGGCGGGTCATGTTTGGTGCACCCAGAGGGGCGGCGCGACTGGTGGCGTTTCCTGTCGATTCGGACGCAGGGCCGGATGGATGGATGGATGGATGGATGGATGCTGGCCGGCAGAGAGGTGCTGCTGCTCGCTTTGGACGCCCACACGACTCGGGACGCTCGTCGAGGCGGCCGCACCCTGGCTCAGAGGCATTCTCCGTCTTTCTCGACGTGCGGTTCGTCACGCCATATCCATGCGCCAGGGACACGCTTACTCGCAAAGCGCAATGCTCGACTCACCTGCTGGATGGGGGCCTGCACTCCGGCCGAGAATGCAGGGGCGCCTAGCGAGCCAAGGTTTGCATAGGGGTCGAACTCTGAAAGCAGATCTTGATTATACTTGGCGGGCTGGACGAACTGGTTGGGCAAGGCGGCTGGAGCTTGAGCAAAGAACGCCTGGGGATTCGACGAGGCAGCATATACGGCTGGCGCACCAGCAACGGCAATGGACCCAGGCTGGGTCAAAAACGGATTATTCTGGAAACTTGGGCTGGTGGAAAGCGGCTGCTGAAGAGGCTGGCCGAGCCCCTGCGGCGCTGCGAGAGGCTGAACGGCCTGACTCTGGAAGGACAACGCGGACACGGACTGGGCTTGGGGCGACGGCTGGGGAGCAAACTGCTGTTGGAGCAGCATTGGCTGGGCTTGGTTGGCCGCGAGTTGCTGGAATGCCTGGTACTGCGGATCCAGGGCGGGGGAGAGCTGGTGTTGCTGCTGCTGGAAGGATTGTTGCTGGAAAGGCTGTTGTTGCTGGAAGGATTGTTGTTGGAAGGGCTGTTGTTGCTGGAAGGGCTGCGGCGGGACTTGGGACTGGAGAAAGGGATTGTATGTGTTCTGGTAGCTCATCTTGGGCAGATTAGCTGAAAGTGTTGGCTGGCAAGGGGGGGGGCGAAATGAGGCAGATGCGGAGGACGGTGAGGCAAGCGGGACGAGCCAAGACGAGGGAGGTTATATATCGAATGCCAAGGTATCACGTGATGATACCACGCAGCCCGGTATCATGCCGCACTGCTGGGGGGCGGTCCCAGACAGGCTTCATTGCAAGCGAACAGAGTTGCATCAGCCAAAGTTCCAAAGCCGGACGCAAGGAATATGGACAACATGGCTCGAGCATCTCGGTATCACGAAGCGGCATTCTGTGAGTCGAGCCAACCAGATCCGGATAGACTGGATCACCAACGAAGCAGTCGATGTCTCTGAATACAGTCGATAGAAAGAAACGGGACAGTCACTTTCTGGCTTCAGAGGCCTGAAACCCGCTGACTGACTGTAGGCCCCAGTGAGCAAGCCGTGCGATTCGAGATCATGTTCCTTGAGGCATTGATGTCTCGATCCCACAGCGTATGGCAGCTTGCACAGCTCCGGACAAAGTGTGGTTTCTCGATATCAAGATGCTCGGCGTTCTCGAGTCGCTTGGCTTCCCGACAGTGTGAGCATACCTGTGATGTGTTGAACTCGTCCACCGAGCACACATGGATCTTGGAGACGGATCGGTCTGGTAGGCGTCTCTGATGGTGGTGGAATTGCTCGAAATAATTGGCGAACCTGAGTCTCCTGGGACTGGATGCGTATCCCTTCCCCTGTTTCCACGAGGCATTCCCAAAGGCAATCACCACTTCGGTCTCCTTGGACATACTTGCTTGGCCATGAATGCGATGAGTGGGTGGGTGTATTCAGGTTCCAGAAAACACACTGTCCTGGTTAAAAACGGGGCTGTCCCATTTCATTTTGGAATCGCTGTAAGCATGTATTTCATTGTGGGTTTGCAATCGACAAGCCGGACACGAAGCATGTGGGCAAGACAGCATGAACAAAAATGCCGACACGATCCAGAGACGACCGGCAGCAGCCGTCAACGACACCGTCAAGAGCACATGGCACATTCGGTTGGTCTAAAGCAGAGAGGGAGGCGGCGGGCGATCGAGAACGAGCAAAGAACGAGATACGAAGGGTTTCTACTGCAAGGGGCGGATGTGGGGGGGGGGTCAGGTGGGTGGAGTCAAAAGTAGGCATTGGCGAGGACTTTAGGCCAGGAGGCAGAGGACAGAAAGGGCGACGGCAGAGAGAGAGACAGCCAGGCTCACGGCGGTGGCCGAAAGACCGCCGCTGGTGCTGGTCAGGGGAGTGTAGGTGATGCCGCTCTGCAGGACCACAGAGAGCGACATGTACTGCGGGATCTTTTCGTACGAGTTGGCGAGGCAGGACTCGGAGATGACCTTGACCATAGACGGGTTGTAGATCGAATTCGGGTCAACGGCACTCTGGTTGGTGCACTGCTGATAGATGAAGGCCGAGGTCAGGGACGGCGTCCAGGTCTTGCAGATGCATTCGGAGAAACTGAGGCCGAACGAGTCCAGGGTGCTCAGGGGCGGCTGCGAGGCGGGGGCAGTCTGGATGATGGGGATGGCCGACGCAGCAAAGCTACCGAGGCAGTTGGAGTTGGATTGCTTGAGCTCGGCGAGGGCGCTGAAGCAGGAAGGGTTGCCGACGGAGATGTTTTGGATGGGCTGCTGCTGGGCCAGGGCGACGGAGGCCAAGCCAAGGCACGACAGCAGCAGGACGAGGAGCCGGGGGAACATTGGCTGTGGATGGTGGTTGGCGATCGAGATCGTGCGTGGGCGAATAAGACAGCAAGCGAGCAGGTCGGCAAGCGAGCAAACGAGTTGGTCTTGGTTGGCAAGAGCGACGACGCGCAAAACAGAACCAACCCCCGAGCGAAGGACACCAAAGCCCACAAAAGAGCGAGCACGGGCGGCGACGCGGCTGGCGCGGCACAGTCACACAACCGCCGCATCGGTGCGCGCACCCCGTGTTTCGGCCAGCGTCGTGCGACATTGCCGTGCCCGTGCCCTTGTGCTGCAGTGCCACACTCTCAGGGGAGCCAAGAAGCCAGCCAGCCACGAAATGATGCAGGCCAGCAGCCAGGCCCCCCATGCAGCCATGCAGATCGAGGCACGGATCTGCGAGCAGAGGAAAGGCAGGCTGTATATTTGGAGCCGCGGCGTGGCATCAGAAGCATCAACAACAGCATCAGCATATGAGGTTCGCAGCATGCAGCGAGTGAGCCGGCGAGCAACCAACCAAAGCAAGAATACGACGACGAGAGTACGAGTATGAGGAATGATAGGCAAAGCATTAGTCTAAAATCAAGGGCCAAAACGGGAGGGCGTCGTCCAAAGCTGCATGCGGACCGGCTCGGCTCGGGGTTGGTTCTGTCGGACAGCAACCTGTCGCTTGGCGCCGATTTGTGTCGCTGCAGGTGTCGACTTGGCGGAGACATAAGGAACTGTTGTGAAGGTGCCGACCCGGCTTTGGGGAGAGGTGTGAGACGAGCCCGTACTCGTGCTCGGGAATCCCGTATACTGAGGGGGGCTGGTCACAGCCGGGTCGACTCGCGCTGGCGAAGGATACGGTTGCCTCGGGACGTTGGGATAGTACTGCTGCTGTGGATAATATGTGGGCTGCTGGTACATCTGCTGCTGCTGCTGCTGTGGATATGCGGGCTGCTGGTGCATCTGTTGTGTACCGGCAGACCTGGCATCGTTCCATTCGAATGAGCGCTTTGCATCCAGCGACATCTTGGGCATTGGCGGGGCATCTTCAAAGCTCGGAGCGTGCTTGGAGCCTCCCTCGGATTTCGATCGGTGGAGCGAAACGGATGACTTGGACCGACTGAGATTCACAGGATACGAGCCCGGTGCGGCAAACAGCCCAGCGGTGTGCTTGGTTGGCGATGGCGGATTGGATGTCGATGTACTTGCCATGGAGCGGTTGCTCTTTCGACTCAAGCTCAACTTGCGCAGCGGCGATCCCCGACTTTCTGACTTGCTACTGCTGATCGGCAGCTGAGTGCTCAAGAATGCAGGGAGCGAGGTTTGCGAAGCGCTTCGGGAACCTAGTGCTCGGTCGCTCTGGGACTCGGGATACACCGACACAGAAGACTGGCCGGTTGTAGTTCGCTGCAGGACTGGCGACTCGTGGAGCGAAGGCGGATAGGAACTATCACCATATGCGCTGGCGGCACTCGAAGAAGCATACGTGGCTGGCGGGACGTAGCGGCTGTTATCCATCGACGTGCTTGGGAGTCGAGGCGTGCTCGATCGCGAAGTGGCATAGAGGTCGCTCGGTGCTGGGCTGGAAAAGCCTGAGGACACATGGCCATTTCCAAGGGACTCGAACGAACACGATCCATGCGGCGACTCAAGCGGGCTCTCGGTCAGCTCCGAGCGCAAGTTGGACTTGCTGCCTTCGATTCTGAGGCTGAGATCCGGGGTCTCCATCAGCCCCACAATCGGCTCGCTGTTCCAGATGGACGACCGCGCAAAGGACTGGAAAAACTCGGTCGGATCATGGGTCTTGTTGGCGTTGTTGCGGGCTCCGCCCACGGACTTGGGAGGATCGGTTTGCTTCGGGGCTTCGTCCGCCGAGCATGCGATCGAGCTGTTTGAGGAAAGCGTCCGGGCCGACGACTCTCGGCTCGAATGGCTCTGGGTGGCGGCCTGCGCCGCCATGCCCGTAGCTGAGGCCGAAGACTTGCGACCGGCCGTTGGAGTGTGTGAACGGGGTGTCGGGACCTCCTCCTTGCTGTTCAGGCTGCCCTGAGTCGCGAGCGACGACGAGAGGTGGTCGGCCTCAGAGTTGTGCCAGAGCGAGGCTCGCGAAGGAGCCCTTGCGGTGTGGCCGGGCTGAGGCTCGAGCTCCGATCCAGGGGGCGGCTGCGGTGTATATCCGGCGACAGGGGTGACCTTGGAGAGTGCGGGATAGTGCCGACGACCAGGAGCAACTGCTGAGGTCGGGGAGAGCAGCGAGTTGGGGAGGGAGGGGTCATCGGCTTCGAGCTGCGACAATGCCGGCCGAACCAGTTTGCGCGATGCCGTGGCGGCCGACAAAGCATCCCCATCGAGAGGGCGCTCGCTGGAGGACGCTGACGGTTTGTTCCCGGGCGACAGGTCCAGAGAGGTAGACTGGAAGAGACATCGCGCCTGGGTTAGTCGCTGAATACAGCAAATGCTCACCAGCAAGAGCAGGCAGGGGCCGGCCGCAAACGCAGTAACATGAAGTGCGCGCTCATTCCGGCCGACGACCCAACCGAAGCCTGTGCCATTGCGAGATTGATCAAATGCAGCAGAGCAGGCTCCCAAGAGCAGGCCCTAAAAGCAGGCCCCAAGGGCAGGACAAGCACCGCGGCTGGGCGGCAGAGCACTTACGGAGCCGGCCGAGAATGTGGTAAAGTTGGACGTGGGCTTGCCAGAGTCCCACGAGGCAAAGACATCGGCGATCAGGTCAGCGGCGAGCGACGACGAACTCGGATCGAGGGCTGCAGACGAGGTCGAGGACGCAAGGCTCATAGTGGAAACATTCGCAAGAGACGACCCGGGCGGCCGGCCTGGCTTTGGCTTGGACGAGGGCTTGGTGCTCCGGGACGGCATGACCGGCGACGGCGGCAACTGGGAGGACTGCATTGCTGCAGGATGGTGTCAATCTGTAGGTATATCCTACGACGAATGAGATCAGGTACGAGACCACTTGGGCGTTGGGGCTGGCGCTATACCAGCGAGCGAGAGAGACAGCGTTCGAGGCAAAATGAAAGCAGACCGTCGCAGAGTGCGAGTCGAGGGCCAGGCCGTCCAGGCATCCTTAAATCTGCATGCCTCTCCTTGCCAGGCGCTGCGATTGTGCTGCCTCCCCCTCGCGCAGGCCCATGTCGCTTGTTGCAGGGCACAGCACACCGGGCTGGCTGCATCCGAGATGTGCAACTGGCGGGCGATGGTGCATGCTGGCGATTGCCTCGCGTGCACTGGTTGCGCCGGTGTAACGAAAAAGGAAAGCGACGACGCCTCTGCCAGCAACGAGCAAGGCAACGAGCAAGGCAGACCCTGGACCGCATTGGCTCGGCGGCTTTGTGGCTTCTCCCACCCTCTCTTGGCCCGACACGAACAGCGGGAAACGTGCAAGCGGGTGGGCTCGGTCGTGGGCTCGTTCGTGGCGATATTGGGGAGATGGTGATGTGCTGGCTGGTGGGCTGCGTTGATACGGCTCGACACCAGGGAAGGACCATGCTGGGCAGCAGGGACTCGAGGCGGCAGCACTGGCTGCCCGTCGGTATCGGGTCTGCGGGGCGTGGCTGACAGGACGGATTTACACAAACGATCGAGCCCATGGGGCACAGGGAACGGCAGGCTTGTTGGCACTTTCGATGGGTGGCCGAGGTCGGTCTCGCCAGCGACATCCGCGCAAGTCTGCTGCGATTTGTGCAAGAGGCCATCCAATCCTGATTCAGCAGTGAGGTCACTGCCAGGGGACACGCCCCCTCGCAGCCTCGGACAATAGCAACCGGCCCTCCTCTGAGTACCCACAGGTTGCGCCGGATGCGGCAGCGAGCCAACCCAAACACTTTTCGAACAGCGCTTGTCCTGCCATTTCTCCTTCCGGACCGTCTGAGGCATCCACAGAGCGTAGTCCGCATCCGCAAGAGTAGTCCGCATCAACCATCCAAAATCATCGGCTCAACGCAAGCCCGTCGTTCGCTCCACTTTCTGAACCGATACTCCAGCTCAGGGACCAACGGACGCATTTGAGGCCATGTCGGATCCGCACCTCTTTGCCATCCTAAGCCGCGGGCTCAGTCTCCAGAGCCAAATCTCGTTTATGGAGCCGGAGCCGGTAACACTGACCGCGAATTGCAATCTGTGGTCTGTCGTCCGCGGTCGCGAGTGCGCGACGTAGAGTCATTGCCAGACGGACTACTCTGACGATTTGCTATTTTTTGCCCAACGACTACCAACAATCGCCAGGCCATTCCTCAGGTTGGTGACTTGGAGGACGCCGGGCTCCCGCCGCTCCTCAAGACCTTCTCGTGGACCCGGGCGGCCCCATTCAAGGAGGAGCGCCATCACCGGGCCATCTCAGACTCGATCGGAAACAACTACAGCCCCTATGCGACCAACCTGAGCGTGCGACACATCTCGGTGTCGCAAAAGCGATCCATCTCCCAAGGTGAGCCCGCCTCGTCGGCGACAAGGACGATCAGATGCACGCGCTGGTGCGCCGCGAGGCCTTTCCCCTTGGCACCAGGCACGAGCTGATGGCTCTGATGGGGCTGATGGCTTTTGCAGTTACGTTGGTGGCTCTGTTGCTCATACCATTTCTGCCCTCGTTCCGGTCCTCGTGTCCGGTCCTCGTGTCCGGCGCCAGTTGATGAGAATCCCGAATCCTCCAAGCGGCCTCGCTCGGGCCGACGCGGGAGGCAAGTACCTCTCAACAGCGGGGAGAATAGGGGCACCTTCATGCAGTGATACGTGGGTCGTCTTTGCTTGCATGTGCAGCATCTCAGCCCAAGCTGACCATAGAGCCGTCCATCTCTGCCCCCGCAGACGCACAGAGAAGGACGCTCCCTACAAGGCGCCGTCGTCTCGACCCGTGTCGCCCGAATCCCGCATATCTATCATGTACCCCTCGATCGAGGAGCTTGGTCGCACACGCCCCGTCGAAACAGTGGTGCTGGATCCATACGATCTCGAGTCGTCCAACATTGCCAAGCAGCTCACTCCGGAGCAGCGCTACTGGTTCTATGTCCAGAAGGCCGTTCCCTCCGACGCAATCGCCCCCATGGAGGACTCGACCATCGTGGCCATGAGCCAACACATCCCACCCAGACTCCTGACTGCCGACCACCTCCAGGGAACCTACAGAGAAGTTCTGGACGAGATCCGAGAGTCGTACTATCTGGCCCTGAAGCAGTCGGTCGTCGACTACATCTTGCTCGATCCCAAGGAACAGCTTCGCCTGTCGATTCCGCCCTTTGCCACGGTGTATGTCCCCAGAATCGCACGGGCCCCGGTTCCGTGGCACGAAAGCGTCATCTCCACCAAGAGCTTCATCACGGACAACCTATTTATCACCAATCCGGTGATGGTGCGGCTCCTCGACATCTACAGCCAGTTCGAGGACTGCCGCCTGGTAGACATGGGCAACTTTACGCCGGCACAGCTCCCGATCACCATCGAGGAATTCCAGGCGATCCTCAAGAACCAGTGCCAGGCTTTCAAGAACAAGTTGCTCAATGAGTAAGTAGTGCGGCATATGTGACTGCCAAGACCGGGAGCTGCCAAGACCGGCGACTGCCAAGACCGGCAAAGCCGAGGATGCGCATGCAGCACGCTGGATCTGACCGGATGCTCATGTCGACCTTATCCAGGTGGATCCCAACAGTCGCAAACATGTTCTTCACCACAAAGGACCAGTGGTACAGCATTGCCTCGGCCTGTACGGACGCCGATCTGGGCTACAGACGCCTCGACAGCTTTTTCAAGTCTGTCTGTGCGCTCATGTCCAACCAGCTGTGGAACATGATGGAGCAGTCGCTGGACAGTCTCGAGGGATTCTTCTCGCAGTTTGTGAGCGCCAGCTCGGAGCTTTCCGTGTTCACGGTCAAGTTGAGCATCACCGGTGCCCAGATTCGATTCGATCCGCCTCTTTCAGAGCTTGAGGCCGTGGTGCTCACGGTGCTGGAAGAAATGGTCAATGCCATCAAAGAGATCCCCCGGGTCGAGTCCAAGCTGTTTACATCCCTGACCGGAGAGCCTCTGTATCTGCCCTCGATGGCCCTGGACGACGACCGCATTGCCGACGGTCGCTACATCAAGGGAATCATATCTAAGAACACAATCGCTCCGCAAAAGTACCTCCTGTCTCTCGAAAAGTACAAGACACTGCTGACACATAAGGCTGAGAAGAAGGTTGAGGATTTCCTGAGAGAGAAACACGAGCTTGAGGACTTTGAAATGGTGGGTTATCTCCCATGTCGATATACATACATGCTGTTGGCTGCAACAGCGGAGCGACGACCCAATGGTCGTGGCTGTACACTGGTGGACTGCATAATCTGCCGAGGACAAGCGCTTTGCATTATCGTTAGCTGCGCCGCCTTCCTAGGGGTCCGTTGGGCCATGATCAAGCCAATGTGTCGCGGCGCTGTTCTGACTCGCATCAGAGCGCCTCATACGCCTCAAAGCATCTACTAATACCGTTAGTCCCTCCTGTGTCTAACAGGAAATCAAGAAGCTCCTCAAGACCATTGAAGAGATCGGTGCAACGCCATCGATTGTTCGATTCAGCTTGATCTACCTTGAATGCGATGCCCTCAAGGCCGAGCTCACAGCCAAAGCCAACATCCTTGTCCAGCGGCTTGTGGACCAGGTCGCAGAGATGAGTCGCAAGGCTAATCTCGCGTAAGCAGAGAGGGCGAGCGCCGCGATCGGAATGGCGCTTCTGGCAGAGTCAAAGTGCGTCGTGGGCAACCAGCGCTGTCTTGTCAAGTTATGGTTCTCGAGAGACTAACCGCTTCGGACACTTTGCATCACAGCATCTGCGAGTCCTACGAAAAGATCAGCGCAAAGGTCATGAAGCTGCCGAGCGACACCGAGGAGCTCGTAGAGCTAATACAGTACATCGAGACGGCCAAGAGCAAGGACGTGCTGGCCCTGAAGGACGAGATCTCCAAGGGAAAAAAGCGCCTCGACTTTCTGCTCAACTATGCATTCTTGTCCGAGGAGGACATCAAGCTGAACGGCGTCACCTTCACGTGGCCCTCACGAATCATGCCGATCTTTGATCTCAGCAAGAAGCGCCTGATGCAGAAGAAGACCAAGGCACAGGAGGATCTCAAGGTCAAGATCGAGACAACCAACACCGAGATGGACGACTGCTTTGAGCAGGTGTCCAAATTCCAGGTCGGTAGCATCGAAGGCATGCTCACGAGACTACGACAAGAGTTGGGGGTCGCTGCCATGGCACCGAGGAAATTTTGACGTCCAATGGGCATCACAGCACCACTGCATCCTTCGACGCTATCTGTGTAGCCAGAATACTCGACTGACGTACATCCACCGCTGTCACAGGACTACGGCATCATGAGCGAGCTGCCCGAGTATCTCAAGAAACTCAAGAAGCTCGAGACACGACTTGGCGAGCTCGACGAGATCATTCGCGGAATCAACCAAGAGGAGGAGCTGCTCGAGTGGGAAAAGACGCCGTTTGCAAAGTACCAACAGACTATCGAGTTCCTGGACCCATACAAGAAGCTCTGGGAGACCACGGCGCAGTTCCAGTCCGAGTACAGCAAGTGGATGAACGGCCCCTTCAACGAGTTGAACGCCGAGCAGGTCGACGAGCAAGTGGGCGCTATGTGGCGAACCATGTTCAAGCTCACAAAGACCTTCTCGGAGCAGCCTGCGCCGCGCAAAATTGCCGAGTCGAGCAAAAACAAGCTTGACAAGTTCAAGGCGCATTTGCCGCTCATCACCATCCTTCGGAACCCCGGATTGCGCGAGCGGCACTGGCAGCTCATGGGCGAGATTGCAGGACAGCCCATCTACCCAGACGAAAACACCTCGCTTTCAAAGATGCTCGATCTGAATCTCACGCAGTACATCTCGCAGTTTGAGACCATATCCGATGCGGCGCTGAAAGAGTTTTCGCTCCAAAAGACACTGCAAAAGATGCGCGACGAGTGGGAGCCACTCGTCTTCAACTGCATCGACTACAAGGAGACCGGAACCAAGATCTTGTCTTCGCTCGAAGAGGTCCAGGCGCTCCTCGACGACCAGATCGTCAAGGTCCAGACAATGCGCGGCAGTCCGTTTGTCAAGCCCATCGAGGAGGAGGTCAAGAGGTGGGAGACAACTCTGACCACAGTCCAGGACATTATCGACGCGTGGCTCAAAATGCAGTCGACATGGCTGTATCTGGAGCCAATCTTCACCTCCGAGGATATCATGGCGCAGATGCCGACGGAGGGCAAGAAGTTCCGCATTGTCGATCGCACCTGGCGCGATATCATGTACAACACCTCGGAAGATCCAAAGATCCTGAATGTGGCCGATGTGCCGGGTCTGCTGACGCGCCTCAACGAAAGCAACGTCCTGCTCGAAGATATCCAAAAGGGGCTGAACGAGTATCTCGAGAAGAAGCGTCTCTTCTTTCCCCGATTCTTCTTCCTCTCCAACGATGAACTCCTGGAGATCCTTGCCGAGACAAAAGACCCGTTGCGCGTGCAGCCTCATCTCAAAAAGTGCTTTGAGGGCATTGCCAGCTTGACCTTTCAGGACAACACCCGCATTATCGCCATGTGCTCGAGCGAAAATGAACACGTTCGCCTCAAGGAGGTCATCGAGCCGGCGGCAGCAAAGGGTGCTGTCGAGAAGTGGCTTCTCCAGGTCGAGAAGGTCATGCAACTCTCTGTCCACCAGCAAATCGCAAATGCCATGAAGGCTTACACCGAAACGCCGCGAGAAAAATGGGTGCTCGAGTGGCCCGGCCAGGTCGTTATCTGTGCCAGTCAGATCTACTGGACCAAGGAGGTGATCGAATCGATCCGCCAGGGCGGGCCCGTCGGACTCAAGGCCTACAAGGAGCTCTGCACCCATCAACTCGACGACATTGTGGCTCTGGTCCGAGGTGATCTCAGCGCGATGGCGCGCATGACTCTGTCGGCCCTGGTGGTCATCGATGTCCATGCGCGCGATGTCGTCGCGGCCCTGGAGAGCGCTGGAGTCACCAACGAAAACGACTTTGAGTGGCTCTCGCAGCTGCGCTACTACTGGGAGGAAGAGCAGGTCAACGTGAGGATGATCAATGCCACTCTGCGATACGGCTATGAGTATCTGGGCAACTCCCCGCGCTTGGTGATCACCCACCTGACGGACCGCTGCTACCGCACACTGATTGGTGCTCTGGATCTCAACCTCGGAGGCGCACCCGAGGGCCCTGCAGGCACCGGCAAGACCGAATCGGTCAAGGATCTGGCCAAGGCGATTGCCAAGCAGTGCGTCGTGTTCAACTGCTCGGACGGTCTCGACTACATTGCCATGGGCAAGTTCTTCAAGGGTCTGGCCTCCTCTGGTGCTTGGGCATGCTTTGACGAGTTCAACCGCATCGACCTCGAGGTGCTCTCCGTCGTTGCACAGCAGATTCTGACCATCCAGCGCGCCGTCATTGCCAAGATGGAGAAGTTTGTCTTTGAGGGCACCACCATCTCTCTCAATGTAGGCTGCTCGGTGTTTATCACCATGAACCCCGGATATGCCGGCCGCAGTGAGCTGCCTGACAATCTCAAGGCGCTGTTCCGGCCCGTGGCTATGATGGTAAGCGTGTCGTGACTGGACGGAGTCGGTCAAGACCTTGATTTCGACACCAACATATTGGCTGGTGTCCGATACCGAGGGAATGCCTCTGCTGGCGTGTATCGAAGTGATGCAGCTGTGATTGCGGCGATGTGGCATCGGGGTCGCTGCCGAAGATTGAATGCCTGTGTGACAGCAACGGAATATCGGCGCCGGCAGTTGAGACAGGCCCGCAGATAGCCCGATATCAAGAAGCGGAGCTGTGTCCCTGTTGCACAGCCAGCGATCCCAAGTGCGCCTGTATGCTCAGCTATTATCCATGCTAATGCGCTTTCAACCGGATAGGTGCCGGACTATGCTCTGATTTCAGAAATCTCGCTCTACTCGTTTGGATTTATCGAGGCACGCACTCTTGCTCGCAAGATCGTCGCAACATACAAGCTGTGCTCCGAGCAGCTCTCCTCGCAGGATCACTACGACTACGGAATGAGGGCCGTCAAGGCCGTCTTGACGGCGGCAGGCAACCTCAAGCTGCGGTATCAGAGTGAAAACGAGCACATCATCATGCTGCGCTCCATCACCGACGTCAATCTGCCAAAGTTCCTGACCCAAGACATTCCGCTCTTCAAGGCCATTTCCGCCGACTTGTTCCCCAAGGTGGTTCTACCGACGCCGGATTACAGAAACCTGCTCGGAGCCTTGCAAGACAACATTGCGAAAATGAACCTGCAGTTTGTCGAGCCTTTTGTTGAGAAGATCATCCAAACATATGAGATGATGTGCATCCGACACGGATACATGCTCGTCGGCATGCCTTGGTCGGGCAAGACAACGGCAAACCGGGTCCTCTGTGCGGCGCTGTCGGATATGTGCGAGAAGGGCCTCAGCGAGAAGAAGGTGGCCTATCGCTTCATCAATCCAAAGTCCATCACCATGGGCCAGCTTTACGGCCAATTTGATCCCGTCACGCACGAATGGACCGATGGAATCCTGGCCAACACCTTCCGCGAGTTTGCCCAGCAAGGAACGGCGGAGCGTCGCTGGATCATCTTTGACGGCCCTGTCGACGCCATCTGGATCGAGAACATGAACACCGTTCTGGACGACAACAAAAAGCTTTGCCTGACCAGCGGCGAAATCATGCAGATGAGCGGCACCATGAGCATCCAGTTTGAAGTCATGGATCTCGCTGTGGCCTCGCCAGCAACGGTGTCGCGCTGCGGCATGATCTATCTCGAGCCCGACGTGCTCGGCTGGCGGCCACTGATGGTGTCCTGGCTGGTAACACTCCCAAGCGGCGTCGGAGAGGAAGAGAGGAGGATTTTGGAGGCGTTGTTCGACTGGGTCGTTCCGCCATGCCTCGCTATGATCCGCAGCGAATGCAAGGAGTTTGTCGCCACCTCGCCGATCAACATGGCCGTCTCGCTGATGAACTATGTGACGTGCCAGCTGGACGAATTCGCAGTCGAGCAAAAACAAGGAGAGGAGATTGCGCCCAATATCGCGAGCCTCTGGATCCACAATGCCTTCTTGTTTGCAGCCGTGTGGGCCCTTGGCGGCACCATTGACGGCGAGTCGAGGAAGAAGTTTGATGCTTTCTTCCGCCGACTTGTGGATGGAGGCGACAACAGCAACCCGATCCCAAAGAACGTCAAGATCGACAAGCCGATACCCGGAAACGGCCTTGTGTACGACTATGTGTTTCAGCCAGAGCGAAAGTTTGGTGGCTCGTGGAAACTCTGGGTCGAAACCATCCCCAAGTTTGAGATTCCGGCAAAGGCAAAGTTCAACCAAATCACTGTCCCGACAATCGACACGGCACGGTACTCGCATCTTCTGGATCTGCTGATCACCCACAATAAGCAGGTTCTCTTTGTCGGCCCGACGGGCACCGGCAAGAGTGTCTACGTCAACAACAAACTCCTCACGGGCCTGGCCCAGAACAAATACACACCAGTGTTCATCAACTTTTCGGCCCAGACGAGCGCAAACCAGACACAAGACATCATTCTCTCCAAGCTCGACAAGCGTCGCCGCGGTGTCTTTGGCCCGCCTCACGGACTGAAGGCCGTCATCTTTGTCGACGATCTCAACATGCCCGCCAGGGAAAAGTACGGTGCCCAGCCGCCGATCGAGCTGCTGCGCCAATGGATGGACCACCAGACCTGGTACGATCTCAAGGATACGAGCGCGATGCAGCTGATCGATATCCAGTTTGTGGCAGCGATGGGGCCGCCAGGCGGAGGACGCAATCCGATCACGCCTCGATTCCTCCGACACTTCACCACCGTCGGCATCACCACCTTCGACGAGGTCACGATGAAGGCGATCTTTTCGACAATCGTGGACTGGCACCTGACCTCGGGAGGGTTTCAGCCGGCCCTGCACGGGCTCAAGGGCCCACTGATCACCGCCACCATGGAAATCTACAACCAAGCCATCGAGAACTTGCTCCCGACCCCGCTCAAGTCACACTACCTGTTCAATCTGCGAGACTTTGCGCGGGTCATTCAGGGGCTGCTGCTGACCCATCCAGACAAGTTCCAGGAACCGCCCAAATTCATTCGTCTGTGGTGCCACGAGGTATACCGAGTCTTTTACGATCGTCTCGTTGACGACCAAGACCGGTCCTGGTTCTTCACGACCGCCAAGGACCAATGCTCGCGCCAGTTTGGCATCCGCTTCGAGGATGTATTTGGCCACCTGGACGTGGCCAGGAAAGGCAAGGTTGACGACGACGACATGCGCTCGCTGATGTTTGGCGACTACCTGGTGCCCGACGCCGCCGTCAAGTTCTATGACGAGGTGCAGAACGTGACGACCATTTCCGAGGTGATCCGAGGCCGACTGGACGAGTACAACCAGATGTCCAAGGCTCCGATGAACCTGGTCATCTTTCGGTTCGCAATCGAGCATGTCTCGCGTGTGGCCCGGATCTTGAAACAGCCTGCAGGCCATGCACTCTTGGTCGGAGTTGGTGGAAGCGGCCGACAGTCGCTCACAAAACTAGCGACCTATATGGCCGAATACCAGCTCTTCCAGGTCGAGATCGCCAAGAACTACGGCATGAACGAGTGGCGGGATGATATCAAGCGACTGCTCGTCAAGGTCGGCGGCGAGGGCAAGCAGGTCGTGTTTCTGTTCAGCGACACGCAGCTGCAGCTCGAAAGCTTCCTCGAGGACATCAACAACATGCTCAACACCGGCGAGGTCCCAAACATCTTTGCTGCCGACGAAAAGGCCGCCGTCATCGAGCAGGTGCGCGCGGCGCTGACCAGGGAGAACCCAAAGCTGGATGCCTCTCCCGCAGCGCTGTACAACCAGTTCATCAACCGCTGCAAGGAGAATCTGCACGTGGTGCTGTGCATGTCGCCGATCGGCGACGCCTTCCGCAACCGGTTGCGCATGTTCCCGTCGCTCGTGAACTGCTGCACGATCGACTGGTTCCAGGTGTGGCCCGAGGATGCGCTCGAGATTGTGGCCATGAAGTTCCTCGAGGAGGTCGAGCTGCCCGAGACGCTGCGGCGGAGCGTGGTGGTCATGTGCAAGGAGTTCCATGTGGGCGCTCGGCGCCTGTCGGAAAAGTTCTTCGAGGGCCTCCGGCGGCACAACTATGTGACGCCAACGAGCTATCTGGAACTGATCCAGACCTACAAGGGCCTGCTCGGGGTCAAGCGGAAGGAAGTCAACGGTCTCAAGTCGCGGTACGAAGTCGGTCTGGACCAGCTGGCCTCGGCGGCGCAGCAGGTCGGATCCATGCAGATCGAGCTCCACGACCTGCAGCCACAGCTCATCAAAACACAGAAAGAAACCGACGACATCATGCTTGTGATCCAGCGAGAGTCGATAGACGTCGAAAAGAAGCGGGCCCTCGTCAAGGTCGACGAGGAGGTGGCGAACAAGAAGGCGGGAGAGGCCAAGGCTATCAAGGACCAGTGCGACGCCGATCTGGCCGAAGCAATCCCAGCGCTCGAGTCGGCGATGGAGGCGCTCGATACGCTGAAGCCCCAAGACATCACGGTTGTCAAGTCGATGAAGAACCCTCCGGGGGCTGTCAAGCTGGTGATGGAGGCGGTCTGCGTCATGAAGCAGATCAAGCCTGCGCGCATCAAGGATCCCGGAGGCTCTGGCAAGATGGTTGAGGACTATTGGGGCCCGGCCCAAAAGATGCTCAGCGACAGCCATTTTCTGCAGTCCCTCAAGTCATACGACAAGGACAACATCGACCCCAAGGTGATCGCCAAGATCCGGTCGACATACATCAACAATCCCGACTTTGACCCCAACATCATCAAGAACTCGTCGTCCGCATGCGAGGGCCTGTGCAAGTGGGTGCGAGCCCTGGACAAGTACGAGGTTGTAGCCAAGGTTGTCGGCCCCAAGAAAGAGGCGCTTGCCAAGGCCGAGGCGGAGCTGGCCATCGAGATGGCCAAGCTCAACTCCAAGCGCGCCGAGCTGAAGGAAGTCGAGGACAAGATGGCGGCGCTCGAGGGCAACTTCAAGGCCATGACCGAGAAGAAGGCCGACCTCGAGAAACAGGTGGACTTGTGCTCCAAGAAGCTCGAGCGCGCCGAGAAGCTCATTGGCGGACTTGGTGGTGAGAAGGACCGGTGGAGTGAGGCGGCTCGGACCCTCAACATCACCTTCAACAACCTGATCGGCGACGTGCTGCTGTCATCCGGTGTAATTGCATATCTCGGGGCCTTTACGCTGGCGTACCGTCAGATGATGCTGGCCGAATGGAACAAGAAGTGTGCCGATAACCATATCCCGTGCACCTCCAACTTTTCGCTTGTTGCAACCCTTGGCGACCCGATCCAGCTGCGGCAGTGGAGTCTCTCTGGGCTCCCAAACGACAGCTTCTCGTGCGAAAACGGCATCATCTCGAGCAAGACACGCCGCTGGCCCTTATTTATCGACCCACAGGGACAGGCCAACAAATGGGTCAAGAACATGGAAAAGTCCAACCGCCTGGCGGTCATCAAGCTGTCGGACAGCGACTATGTCCGCACGCTCGAGAACTCGATCCAGTTCGGCACACCGGTGCTGCTGGAGAACATTGGCGAGGAAATCGACTCTGTCCTTGAGCCACTGCTGACGAAGCAGATATTCAAGCAGTCGGGCGTGCTCTGCATTCGACTCGGCGAGGCGGTGATCGAATACTCGCCGGACTTTAGGTTTTACATCACAACGAAGCTGCGCAACCCCCACTATCTGCCGGAAACCTCAACCAAGGTCACAATTGTCAACTTCATGATCACACCCGAGGGTCTGGAGGACCAGCTGCTCGGCATCGTCGCCGCCAAAGAACGGCCGGAGCTGGAAGAGGAGAAGAATCGACTCGTGATCGCCTCTGCCTCGAACAAGAAGCAGCTCAAGGAAATCGAGGACCAGATTCTCGAGATTCTGTCCAAAAGCCAAGGCAACTTGCTTGAAGACGAGTCAGCAATCAATGCCCTGACAAGTTCCAAGGTTCTCTCGAACGATATTGCGCAGAAACAGCAGATATCGGAGGAAACCGAGAAGCAGATCGATCTGACGCGGCAGGGATATCGGCCCATCGCAACCCACTCGTCCATTCTATTCTTTGTGATTGCCGAACTCGCAAACGTAAGTCGCCGGGTGGCGGTAGTGGAATCGGCTGCATTGGTTTCGCTGACTATGCTGAGGATTGATGCGCTCATCTGGACTGCAAACAGTGTCGGTAGTGCTGGCTGTCGGTGCGAAGCACAGAGTGGGTTGCGCAACGGCCTTGCAAACCACTGACTGTTCGAATACCGCCTTGGCCCTTCTCGCCTTGGCCCATCTCGCCTTGGCCCATCTCACCTCACCGCAGATCGAGCCCATGTACCAGTACTCGTTGACTTGGTTCATCAACCTCTTCCTCCAGGGCATCGCTGATTCGGAGAAATCGGACGATCTCGAGACCCGCATCGACAACCTCCGCGACTACTTTACATACTCGCTGTACTGCAACGTCTGCCGCTCGCTGTTCAAGAAAGACAAGCTTCTGTTTTCGTTGCTCCTGTGCATCGGCTTGATGAAGGGCCGCAATGAGATCGATCATGACGAGTGGATGTTCTTGCTGACCGGCGGTCTGTCGGTATCCGGCGAGATGCCGCCCAATCCATCGCCCGAGTGGCTGAGCGAAAAGTCGTGGACAGAGATATGCAAGTTCTCGCAGCTACCGGCGTTCACCACGTTCCGCGACAGCTTCGCCGATACAGTCGACCAGTGGCGGGAAGGCATGTACGACTCGCCCGAGCCCCACAACGAGCGGCTGCCTGGGGGCTGGGAAGAGAAACTCTCGGCCTTCCAAAAGTTGATTATGCTGCGAATCATTCGACCAGACAAGCTGGTTCCCGGCATCATGGAGTTTGTACGCGGCAAGATGGGGGTCCGGTATATCGAGCCCCCTCCCTTCGACCTTGCGGCATCCTATGTTGACTCGAGCAACAGCACTCCGTTGATCTTTATCCTATCTCCTGGGTCGGACCCCATGGCAGGGTGAGTTGAAGCGAGCAATGACGGAGGCGCCTCTGGTTGGGTTATTTCATCGTCTCCTGACTCTCGTGCTCGATGACTTGCCTGCAGCTTGCTCAAGTTTGCCGACGGAAAAGGAATGGGCGGCAACCGGTGCCAGAGCATTTCGCTGGGCCAGGGACAGGGCCCCGTCGCGGCGCAAATGATCCGCAACGCAGCCAAGACCGGAAGCTGGGTGGTGCTGCAGAACTGCCATCTAGCTGTTTCGTGGCTGCCGACGCTCGAGAAGATATGCGAGGAGCTGTCGCCGGACGTAACCCACCAAGAGTTCCGGCTGTGGCTCACCAGTTACCCGTCCGACCGGTTTCCGGTGACGTTGCTCCAGAACGGCGTCAAGATGACGAACGAGCCACCGGCTGGCTTGCGGGCCAACTTGCTGCGATCGTACACCTCTGATCCGATCAGCGACGAAGCCTTCTTCAAAGGCATCAAGAGGTCCGCTGAGGCCACATGGGAGAAGCTGCTGTTTGGACTGTGCTTCTTCCACGGACTTGTCCAGGAACGGCGCAACTTTGGACCGCTGGGATGGAACATCCCGTATGAATTCAACGAGTCGGATCTGCGGATGAGCGTCCGGCAGCTTCAGAAGGTACGTCCGTCGCTGTGGGTGTGGGCGAGCGGCACGACAGGCAACATGTGACATTCTCCCATGGCTTTCAAAGCGTCATTGACCGCTTTCCCTGGCCGTCTCCACCTCGGTTCGGTCCGGTAGTTCCTTAACGAGTACGAAGAAGTACCGTGGAAGGCGCTGCTCTATCTGGCTGGAGAATGCAACTACGGCGGCAGAGTCACCGATGATCGAGACCGCCGTGCGCTCATGTCGCTACTCTCTGGAATCTACACACCCGAGATCCTGGATGACGACTTTCGCTTGTCGCCGTCGGGGGTTTACTACGCCCCGCCCAAGGGCACATACGACTCGTACACGCAGTACATCAAGTCGCTGCCGATTATCCAGCACCCAGAGGTCTTTGGCATGCATGAGAACTCGGATATCGCCAAGGATGTGGCCGAGACGAACCTGCTGCTCTCGTCGGCGCTGAGCACCCAGGCCCGGGTGGCCGGAGGCGGCGGCAAGTCACAGGATGTGGTTTGTCGCGAGATCGCAAACGATATCCTCAGCAAGCTCTTGGACCAGTTTGACATTGAGGCGATCCAGAAGGCCTTCCCGGTTCGCTATGACGAAAGCATGAACACAGTCCTGATCCAGGAGCTGGTCCGCTTCAACAGGCTCCTGAAAATCATCCGCGAGAGTCTGCAAAACGTCCTCAAGGCACTGAAGGGACTAGTGGTCATGTCCAAGGAACTCGAAGAGCTCGTCAACAGTTTGATGGTTGGCAAGATCCCAGAGATGTGGGCGGGCAAGTCCTATCCATCGCTGAAGCCCTTGGTAAGGCTCTGGGCAAGCTTGGAGGGGCTGGATTTGGAGACTTGGCCAGCCGACAAACGTTCTCTGACATTGCTCCGAGCTTCTCCACTGAAGCGTCTGCCACCCTTGCACGCCATTGCTGACCCTTGGCGACGTTGGCTGTTTACAGGGAGCCTATGTTCACGACTTTGTGGCCAGACTCAAATTCTTCCAGAAGTGGGTCGAGGCTGGATCCGCTCCTCCGGTGTTTTGGATCTCGGGATTTTTCTTTACACAGTCGTTCTTGACAGGTACGTGGCTGGGCTGTGCCCATGAGCAATCTAGATCCTGCCATACTGCACGACTACTGCATCCCCTCTTGCGCTTACACATGGCTTGCTGCTGTCCCCATATCAAGGAACGCTGCAAAACTATGCGCGCAAGTACGGCATCCCCATCGACCTGCTGACGATGAACTTCAAAGTCATGAGGGAAGATGACTTTGCCGTCGGGCCCGAAGACGGCGTGTACATCCGCGGCATGTTCCTCGAAGGCGCCCGATGGGATCGCGAGAGCGGCTTCCTGGCCGAGCAGCTCCTGAAGCAGCTGAGCGACCCGGTGCCCATCATCCAGGTGATCCCGACCAACTCGGACGATGCCAAGAAGCACCGCGAGAGCACATACGAATGCCCCGTCTACAAGACCAGCATGCGACGGGGCACCTTGAGCACCACAGGGCACTCTACCAACTACGTCATGCCGCTGTACTTGCCCACAAACAAGAACCCAAAGCACTGGATCAACCGCGGCGTTGCGATCGTCGTGAGTACTCTTCGCTGGTGTTATGACGGCGGTCGGGATGTGGTGCATCGATGGCGGGACTGCTGCTGGTATCGTGCCGCAAGTCTGGGCGAACAGAAGGTCTACATGCTGACACTGAATCTGCCTCTGCCAGCTTCAACTGTCGGATGCATAGACTCCTCCTGCAAACTATTCCCTCGACAGCGACTGCACTCGGGCGCTCTCGGCAGCCTCGGCGATATACCCCTTGATGCAGAATACCCAAAACGAAACGGGACACCCTGTTTTCTGGGCCCCGAATACACCCCATTCATCATTCACTATGACCAAACAGTGTTCAAGGAGACGGAGATTGTGCTTGCCTCCTGGAATGTCCCCTGGAAGCAAGGCGAGAGATACGCTTCCAGTCAGCGGAGGCCGATGTATACTCGGTGTCTGATTCGAAGCAGGGAGACAGGATCTCTGCTGTTGGCTGTTGCGCTCGCGCATGCCGTTGCTGCTGCTGTTGATGATGTCGATGTCGATGTCTCGGTCGGTATCGCTCCCAGCCGTCCATGTCCATCGCAAGTGCTGACACCGATGATGCAATGTGCCGCTCGCGTTGCCGGACGGAGCGGTGCTTTTGGCGCTGCCTTTCGTTCCATTCGCTCCTCTGCCCTCATCCACTCTCCACCAGCGACCCGTCTGTCTGCCATGGCCTCTTCCAGCCCCGTCGTCCTCTCGGGCATGCTCAACCTGTCCCGCACGGTAACTCTTGCTGCCTCCCTCCTTCCGCACCAATCAGTACCCTTCGACTCTGCCGAGCAAGCGACGGCGCCTTGCCAGCCGACGCTCCATTCCCCTCCCCCAACGAGCACCGTCGGACACTCTTCCTGCTCGTCTGACTTTGGCTCTCGCCCTGGCTCTGGCTCTGGCTCTGGCTCTGGCTCTGGCTCTGGCTCTCGCCCTGGCTCCGGTTCCGACTCTAACTCTAACTCTGGCTCTGGCTCTGGTCCGTGCTTCGCCGGCCCGCTGTCCTTAACAGAACCGCAAGTATGTCGTCCTCGCGCAACCCCGAACCCCCGGCGATGTCGAAGCCGTCTACAACCACGTCTTTGGAGCCCACGGCGGCAAGCTGCACGAGCTGACAACGGTCGACAGCTCCGTCGCCTCGACGCTCGGCAACCTGACCCTGGCGGCGGTGGAGAACACCCCGCTGCTGATCATGCTCACCTCCCGCTTTGGCGACTCGAGCCCGGTGTTCATTCCCCTGACCTCGATCGACGCCCTCAAGGACGAGGTCGAGCTCCAGCAGGCCTGCACCTTTGCGATCGAGCTCACCGGCAACAAGGGCAGCATTGTCCTCCGGGCCGACTCGAGCACGCTCTACAACGAGTGGTTCAACCACATGGTCTTTTTCTTGGAGCAGGCTTGGGAGCTCCAAGGCCAGTCGGACGACCTCTATCTGGCCTCCAAGAACGGCAGACGCTTGTCGCGGGTCATCAGCTGGCGACCTCCTCCGGCCAAGCCGGCCCCTGCGTCGGCCGCCGTCTGAGTGCCCTTCTCGCCTTCTACTTTCTCGGTCTCTTTCACTCTGTCATTCCCTTTTGGTCCCCTTGTCTGGCACTGTTCGGTGGGCTGTGGTCTGCCAGCACCATTCGGGTAGTCCACACTTTACACATGAGCACTTGCCCAAATGTCGGTGTAGTATGCGTCTAACCAAGTCACTAGCAATAAAACAGATCACGTTGGAAGCCTCCGAGTGAAGACCTTGGGTCGCTCTCCGGTCTCCACAATCGGCATGCACACTGGTCTCGGAGTGCCAGCGGTGAATGGTGCTCTTGGAGACACTGAATATGGAGGCAGCCTTTCTCAGACTATGGATGACAGTAGCGCCGCATCACGGAATGGTCATGGCCAGCACGCGATGGTATTGGGAAGCAAATTGTTCGGTCAACGACCAAATAACCAGGGTGTTCCGTTTTTCGCTGTATTTGCTATAAGCCCATTTCGAGGCACTGAGCAGACAAGTCATCCGTCCTGTCATTGGCTGTTCGTGTGTGAATGTGCATCGGTGAGCAGCATGAAGCGAGTGCTCAGTCAGCAAATAGGTCGGGAAGCGAGTGCCCAGTGACTCGCGAAGGCCATTCGCCATCGCACACTTTCAGTGGATCGATCCCACTGGGAGCGATGTGTGTATATTCAGGTACTGCAAACTGATTGATGTTCGCACCCTCAGTGGTCTAGAGTGTCTCGCTGTTCACGACAATGACAATGATGAAATCACGAGGATTTTACAAAAGGGGAGTGCACTGAAGAAGGAGAAGGAAGAAAATGAGTAGAACAATAAAAAGCAACTGCAGCTCCGAGAGTAGCAATGAACGAGATGGATTGAAACACGGAAAAAAAAAGTCAGATAACCAAAAGGAGACAGCTAGGTATGGGACATGCGAACGGGCACAAGTGTCACATTTGGACAAATAAATTACAGAGGAGGTGGGTCGAGCGCCGGACGAGAATACGCAGATTAATTGGATCGGATGGATGGGAAGGACGAGCCGCAACGTGAGAATGTGTGCTGCAAATCGAAGGGAGAGTGGAGGGGGGGGGACACGGAGCCAAGCTGCGTGTTCAGCCTCCTCCTACTCCAGTCGAGGGATAAGCAACCAGGCTTGGTTTCCGATGGGGGACCGGGGTGTGGTTGCTTGTTCACGACTGAGCAGCCACGACCTGCTGCAGGAACACGAGCGGCACCAGGCCCATGCGACGGGACTCGGCGTGGACGCACTTGACCCAGCCGTCGGAAAAGATCTCGCGGACGAGGACGTGCTCGCCGACTTTGATTTCGATTGGGTAGTTGCCGACGCCACGAAAGTCGCTTGTGGCCACAAAGGGCAGGCCGCTGCCTTCGACCGGAACGGACATGGGCGAGGCCTTGATGTCGAACGGGTTTCTGGCCTCTGTTCCTGCGACGGAGCGGCCACGGGCGACGCTTGGCGAAAGGCGCGATCCGTTGGAGGGATGTCGCTGTGTGATCGAATATGATCGTGGATGTTGTTGGCCGGACTGGTGGATAGACAAGGCGTTGGTTGGGACTCTGTTCGGGCCGGCCGACTCGAGGGCAACTTGGTCGTACTGAGGCAGGGACTCCACGGCGGTCTGGGCCGAGTCCTGCAGGGCCTCCTCCATCTTGGATATGCTGCTGGTGGGGTTGTCACGCGGTGGGGATTCGGATAACGGGGCGCTGTTGAGCTGACTGCACTGGTCCGCATCGGTCTCGGCACCGGGGAACGACTCGAGGGTTCGATTGTCGGTGGGCGAGGCTTCGACAAATGGAGGTGGACAGGAGTCGCGGTCTTCCTCAAGCGTGGGAAGGGCCAGAACGGTCGTGGGATTGTTGCCTTTGTCGACCGAATCTTTCAGAGAGGCAGTACGGACGTCTTTTCGCTGGGACTGGCTCGAGGACAGCGATGAGGGGCGACTGACAGCGAATTCGTGTGTCGAGGGACCGGCCTGGCTTTGCGGCGAGGCTGGACGGGAAAACGATGAGGTATCTCGCAGGAGAGGGCTCGATGGGGTTGTGGGACGCGAGGGCACGGGAGTGTTGATGAGGGCCTGGATGTTGTGGCCGATGACGGTGAGGGGAAAGACGCCAATGGAGCCGGTGCTGAGATGGACAGCCTGACACCAGCCATCGACATAGACCTCGCTGCCGACGGGGAGGTGACGATGTGGAGCGATATGTTGGAGGAGGATGTTGGGGCGACGGGTGGCGTGGGATGGTGGGAGTCGGCGTCGTGGGGGGGGGAGCGAAAAGAGATGCTTGGGTGAGCCCAGGAATAAGACTGCCATCACGAGCACCGACCAAGAAACAACGCCGCCGAGACACCCTGGGCTGTCGCGCCGCTGACTATCGATAAGAACCAGGCACCCGTTGCGGCCAGCCGGCCTGTCCGAAGACCGACCGTCGCCCGCGAGTGGTGCCGGCCGAGATACCCGCCTCCACCGATCCCGAGACCGCACGCAAGAGGAGCGGGTGTCGGGCGAACGGCCAGGAGGACGAGGCCAGGTGCGTCCGGGGCAATCCAGCCGACGGAGTAAAGGTGGGCCAGCACTTACCGAATGTAAACCACATCGCCGACCTTCAGAGCCAGCTCTGAGGGATCCTTGGGCTCGAAGCCATACATGGCGAACTGCTGGGTCTTCATCAGCGGCGACGATTCGGCAACGGTGCTGCTGAACCGAGGCGTGGCCAGCGGCGTGGGGTGGAAGAAGGACTGGTAGCTGGGGTGAGCCGAGCGCGGAAGAGGGTTGGGCTCGCTCAGGGTGGTGCGGACGGATCGTGCCGAGTAGGCGATGGTTGCGCTTCGAGAGACTCCTCGGGACATGGGCACTCTGGACGGCTCGGCAACAGATACGCTGGGAGAGGGCTCGGCCGGAGCGGCCTGGAACGAGCCTGGGGCAGAGGCAGCGTAGGTCACCGGGATCGGCGGGACTGGAGGGACGCCAGCAGCCAGAGGCGGCGATGGCGACTCAATAGTGGGCTTTGAGCTGCGGCGGAAGTACTGGCTGATCTTGGTCTTGAGACTCCGGAAGCGAGTGACCGAGGCTTCGTCTGTGGACATTGCTGGAACGAAGCGGCTGAGAGGGAAATATGCAGCGAGGGCTTGGCGGACAGGACAGACAACTTGGGAATCAGGCGGACTGCGAGGCAGGTTGCGGAGGCAGACCGAAACGGCTGCAAAGGCAATTGGGAGAGGAGAGGGAGGGGATAGAGCGTTGGAGGAATAGGCGAGGTTCGATGGGCAAAAGAGCTCGGCAAGAGGAGCCTGGAGAGACGAGGGCGGTTATATGGAGACCAGCCAGGGTCCGGTGCAGTTGCGATGGATGCTGACGGAGAATGGCGGGCCTGGCGGAAGGATGGTTCTGGACGGGGTGGGGGAGGACGGAGCAGGAAGAAAAGATCACACAAGCGCAGCGCCGAGAGCACCGCAAGCAGAGCCGAGCAAGACAACGCAAAGGCAGAGCCAGAGTTGCCAGCAAGGGCGATGGACATGAGGTCACCCGCCCGCGCGCCGCGCTCTGTTCCACCGGGCTGAAGCGCTATTTGCGTTGTCGAGAGCAGCAAGCGTTGGATACCGCGGCACGGAGGTTGGAGCAGTCGGGCTATCGAACGACCCGGTCGTGGGAGATCATTTCCAATGACGGCGCCATAGCGACTTGCCAGGAACATCAGAGCAACAGCAACGACATCAGAGCAACAGCAACGACATCAGAGCAACTTGCCGACAACATCAGAGCAACAGCAACAGCAACGACAACGACGGCAAGGCCTGGATGATCCCTGTCGCGGCCACAGGTGTGACCCTCTACGCGTCCGCCCGTGCTCGCCCACGCACACACGCCCTCCACCTCCGCCGCGTCGAGGTGGTTCCAAGCCACCACCGATGTCGCACAGGCCCTGCGGCGCACGCTCATTGTTTGTGCCCACAGGCCCGACAGCAGGCCGCGCCAGCCGCCTGGCTGGGCCCATTTGGCAGCCAGATGGATTGCTGTGAAGCAATGACGCCCCTTGAGGCAATCCCAGACCGGATCGACAGCGATGCGGCAGCGGCTGCAAGATCTGGTTATATCTTGGAGGAGCTGGTGGTGGTGAGGATGTAGTGGTGGTGGTGAGGGTGACCGACGCAGCAAGAGCAGCAGTGGCGGCGGCGGCGGTGGTGGTGGTGGTGGTGGTGGTGGAGGAGGAGGAGGAGGAGCCATCGAGATGCCTGAACAGGGCGTTGCTCTCCCAGCCATGGGGGGAGCTCATATCGGTTTACCCGGCAGCTTTGGCTCCTCGCCGGTTACTTGCGGCTACTTGCGGCTACTTGGGGCTGATGGCGGTGGATCGATGGACTGATGGATGGGCTGCCGGATCGATGGATGGACTGGTCGACTGATGGGCTGCCGAGTGCATGGTATGTCGACACCATGAACGGTGCCCTATACAACAGCGACAACCGTAAGCAGCTGCCATGTATAGCGCGTCGCACAGAATGTTAACCCGCATCCTCGTCGGCCAGCACCAAGATCCGATTTGAAGCCGGTGGCTTGTCGTGCACGAGCTGTTTCCGTCGACCGATCAAGTTCGATTAGTCCTTGGCCCCCGGATGAAGCCAATGCCGACTCGGACCAAGAAACAAGCCGAGGTGATTTGTTTGATTGCAACCGGCCTGTTGGACGCTGGCTTTTACGAATGATGTGTGCATGGCAGGGAAATGGGAAGCAGCCCGCTCCATAACCGAACACAGCACATCTCGACTGTCTCCCCCCCCCAACAAGCTGTCCTGTCCGGCTGCCATCGCTGTAGTTTCATAGTATATTCTCTAGCTGATTCAGGAGGCCCAAGAGAGCCCGGCCGAGCACGACACCACAGGACACGAGACAGAACATCGGACAGGACAGACGACAAGAGGCAAGAGGCAAGCGGCAAGAGGCGAGGGGTAACAAAACGAACCGCAGGACAATCAGCAGTGCGAATCGCAGAAGGAACGAACGATTGATCGATCAAGGAAAGATAAAGGACAAGCCACGAGACAACACAGACAGCAAGGACCCTGGGCAGGAGCCTCGGAGGTTCGTGGGGGGGGATTGGAATTGATGAAGCTGAGCAAACGGCAAAACGGCTCTGCCCTGGCCTGGTCGGGTCGCCCGCTCCTGTGGCAGCAATCAAGGCATCGGCACGGGCAGGGGGCTGCCAGGGGGGCCGGTATCCGCCACCGACTATTTCAGATCCTCCGAGGCAAGGTACTCTTCCCACGAAACCAGCCCATCGTTGTTGAGGTCGGTCTTGGACAGGAGCTCGTCGACGTCGCGCTCGATCTGGTTGAGCGACCTCTTGTCGCCCTCGGCCACCTCGCGGAACGTGGTCAGGGCATTCCGGATCTCATGGCCGTCCAGGTGGCCGTCATGGTTCTGGTCGTGCAGGGCAAAGTAGTAGTATATGTCGTCCTTGGCATCGAACTTGGCATACGAGCCAGTCTTTTGTGCGGCCAAAAAGTCGGCGTGGGTCTTGGATTGCTCCGAGAATTGGTTCATCATGGCAAGGCGATGGGCTTCGAGATGATCGGCGGTGCCCTCGGCGCCGTTCCAGGGGCCGCGCTTCATGGCGAGGCCGCCAGAGGCGAGCAGGAGACAGCCACAGACGACAGCGAGACGCATCGGGACGAGCAGCAGAGCAGGGCTGGAGAGGGGAGAAGGGTCGCCGAGCAGGCAAAAGCCAGAGCGCGAACGAGGATGGCGGGCGACAATGATGGGCGGCGGCGATTGGCTGGCGGTGTGTGCGACGGCGATTGGCTGGGCATCTGGATCCAGTGTGCATTCCAGCCAGCGCACGCACACACAGGTCCCGACACCGGCCGACGCGCACCCGAGCGAGTCCGAGCCGCGCGCAGCAACAGACACAGCGGCAGACACAGAAGCAGACACGGGCAGCCAGCGTGCAGCCAGCCACGGCGCCCCTGCCGCCATTGTGCCCAGCGGGCCAATCGCTGCGGGCGCGTCACATGCGCGGCGCTGCGTGGTATTGCGCAAGCCGCCCTCGAGTCACTCCCGGTGACCTCGACCGGCTGGCTCCGGCCTTGTCAAGTTCGTCACAGACTCGTCAGGGGCCTTGTCGGGCCTTGTCCTTTCCCGGCTCCAGGCGCCGACCTCCTCGCCGACCATCCAGCTCCGGTCCTGCTCCGGTCCTGCCACAGCCCGGCGTCCCATCCATATAACCAGTCCGTCGATCGCTCGGCCATCGTCCATCTCTGTCCTCTCTTCCGTCCCGTCCCGTCTTGCCTCTGTTCTTCTCCCTCTCCGTCTTCCCCGCCTCCCAACCGAGCTGCGACCACCACCGCCTCTCTGCCATGCCCTCGAATCTGGATCAGTTCCTCGTCCTGGCCACACAACGGCTCCGCCCAGTTTCGGTAAATAGCGGCGTCTGCAGCCTAACCGCTGTACCAGCACGCTGCCCATCCAGGAAAAACACTCTCTAACGACATTGTCCCCGTCTCCATCTGCAGCTGCGTGCCCTCTACAGCATCGGCAACGGCTGTCTCGGCCGCAACTCGCTCCAAGTTGCCTCGCAGTTCCTGCATGAGGTATGCCATCTTCCCGTCTCTGTCCGCTGCCGCCTTGATCGACCTGCACTCTGCATAGCGCACCTTCCCCCCACCCACCGTTCGTCGGTATCTGGGATTCTGGTCCGCGCTCGACGCCGCCCGTTTGCGTCGCTTCCCGTCTGCTCGTCACCTCGAGTCTTGCCTGCTCATCATGAGGCGTCCACTCGCGTCGCTCCGGCCCGCGTGACCCTGTTTCATTGGTTCTGCAGGAGCTGCCAGCTCGGTTCATGGAGTCCCTCAGGATGCTCGCGCACCCATCCACACCCGCATACATCTCGAACCTGCCCTCCGTCCACGACATGTCCGAGCGCATCGTTGGCGACCTCTCGGCCCTGCTTGAGACCCCCAGGCCTGTCTCGCCGCGCGACGATGCCTCCTTTACCGACCTGATCCGGGCGCTCCAACAGAACCATGCCCAGACCCTCGGGCTGCTCGATCAGGTCTTCCTGGAGCTGCAAGAGGCAAACTCATCCGTTCCCAGACAGTGGGTATCCATCTCCATCCTGGTCATGTGCCACCGTCGCTGCGGCCAGGGCGTGCGAGTGGCCTGCTGGCGATGGTTGGAGCTGAGGCTCGTGACTCTGGCTCTGCCACCAATCGGTTCGACTATTAGTTGTCAGAGTGATAACGGGTACTCCGAGACGCTAACGTTTGTCTGGCCCTTCCATCCTGCAGCTCAAGACGAGGCGCGCGGCTCTCGAGAGAGACCCAGGCGTTCTTTGAGCGCTTTCACAAGCTCCAGATTGGCGCTGGCCTCTTGATGTCCGAGCAAATCTCCCTCCATGACCAGGGCCAAAACATCGTCACCAAGGTCTCCCCGCGGCGCATTGCCCAACAGGCTGCCGAAGACGCCCGCCAGGCCCTGATCGAGGAATTCCCTCACCTCATTTCCCCACAGACGCCCTCTGTCGTCATCACCGAAACGAGCCAAAAGTCCCTCAGCAACCTGGTCTATCTCGAGGATCATCTGCGCAGGATCCTCTTTGAGATCTTCAAGAACTCGCTGCTGGCCACCGCCCGCCACCAACGCCCAAGCACCGCCGCTGCCGCTCCTCTGCCGCCTCTCCGGCTTACCATTGCCGAGGGCAAAGAGGACATTACCTTCAAGCTTTCTGACGAGGGTGGCGGCATCCCCTTTGCATCTCTGGACCGCATCTGGGACTGCACACAACCCTCGACCCACCCTGGCCCGTCTTTGGACTACCTGCAGGCCCGCGGCCGTTGCGCTGTGCCCATGCTCGGCTTGCGCCATGGCCTGGCCCTCTCGCGCATCATCGCTCGCTATTTCGGCGGCGACCTGCAGGTCGTTTCCATGGACGGCTACGGAACCGACACCTATCTGTACTTGCTGAAGAAAGATTCCCAGCCAGAGGCGCTCGAGCCCACCGTCCAAGAGTCGCTCAAGTCCGATCTCTTCCCGTTCCCAAACCAAGTGGTGCCTGTCCCGCAGTACGCACGGCCTGCCAAGCCTGCCCCAGTAGCAGAGGATGCCTACACCAAGACCGGCTGGCTCCTGGACTACCTCAACTCGGCCGGCATCAGTTTGGACCACAGCCTCACGGAGCCGCTGTGAGCCCAAAGTACTTGAGCTGCTTCAGCGACATGATGACTTTGGTTCCAAGCGCGATACCGATGATTTGACGACAACGAATGTGTGCTCAGCGCGACGGCCGCTGCGAACGTGTTGCTGCTTTCTTGGTGTGCGAATGTGTTGCTGCTTTCTTGGTGCACGAACGTGTTGCTGCTTTCTTGGTGCACGAATGTGTTGCTGCTTTCTTGGTGCACGAATGTGTTGCTGCTTTCTTGCTGCACGAACGTGTTGCTGCTTTCTTGGTGCACGAATGTGGTACTACTTGCTTGGTGTACGAACGCACCGATTCCCCCTCCCATTTTTTGGATAAGCGTTCCTTTTTGTGTCCTAGTTTTGCTTTTGTCATCGATCTGCATGGTTTTCGGTGACTCTGCTGATTGTGTGTGTACATAGCCATCCAATCCAGGCATTTTCCGCCTGGCAAAACACCCCATTCCCACTTTGTTATATACCGAAACAAGAAAAAACAAATCGATTCCCCAAAAACAAACCCATGAATGAGCGAATGAAATACCACGGGGCAAAATCTGCCTTTCCCTTTCCGTCCTGCATTCAATATTCTTTGAACAAGGAGTGTCATATCGCTTGGGCCCGGCAAGTGCATGTGCAATAGACGCTGATCACTTCCGCAGCCTCCGAACAGAGGCCATGGCATCTGCCAGGTGCATCCCAGACAGGCCGTCACGTGAGGTGCCTCAAGCTGCCTCCTCCCACATCCTCCATCCTGGCCGTGCCCAGATTCCATCGCCTCTCCTGCTGCCGTCAAGCGTTCACGCCGCCCTTGGTCTCCCTCCACACCGCCGCCTGGCTCTGCATCGCCTATCCCCCCCCCGGATACTGCGCATCTCCCGATGGACTCGATCGAATCGAACGGCTTCTCGGCCATGGAGACCCTCAGTCCCAACACCTCCAGCACAATGCAGACCTCGACGCCGCTATCCACCACGCCTCCGTCCTCGGCTCGCTTTGCTGCCTCAGAACCAAACCACGCTTTCGGCAACTCGGCCGGCTCTGTCTCGCTGGCTGCGGCGTCTCTTTATCCTGCTGGATCGGCTCCGCCAGCCGATCCGACATCCATCCTCGGCTCTCTGGCCAGCCTCGATTCCGTCTCCAGCTCCAACGCCACTTTTGCCAACGGCTCTGTTCCGCATCCTGGACCTCCCGGCTCTTCGCCGTCATCGTCTGTGTCTTCGCCCGAGGCATCCCATCCCCCAGCTCCGACGCCAGGTCTCCATTCGTTCCAGCCGCCGACAGAACGAGGCGACCCCGTTGACTCATTGGAGACCACCCTGCTCGGCTTTTTGGACTCGCTGCTCAAGCTTGGCATCACGGTCTCGGACTTTCAGGTCGACTCCAACCCGGTCCTCATCAGCCGCCTGTAGGTACCGCCGCCCATCCAACATCACAGCACCAGACCAGCACCAGCGCCAGCGCGGCGCTCTCGGATGATGGATATGGCGGCTTGGTCCTTTCGACGATCTTGCATTCTGCATCCGCGATCAAATGGGCTTGATCTGGAATCGGTTCGCTGTCGTGCTGTGCCGTGCTGTGCTTGCTGACCGCCGTTCTTTCCCCCCCCCCGCATTCGTCGTGCAGGAACGAGGTCGTCTCCAACCTCGGGGAACTCAATAGCCTGAAAGACTCGATCGATATGCAGATCCCGATTGCCCTGCTGGAGTACCGATCGTTCTGCTCTCCGCCTTCCACCCCGTCCCTGCCGTTGCAATCAGCGACATCACCTTCTGAGAGCCCGTCCTCCTATCATCAGTCGTTCGCCACCGTCCAGCAACGCATCGTCAGCACACTCATCGATGTTCTCGTGCCCCTCCCCATTCGCATCCTCCTGCTCCACGATTTGCCCTCCGACAGATGCATCGAGGACGGAAACAACCCAGATCTGTACTCGCGCAACATTGTGCAGGACGTTGTCAGCAAGAACCAGCGGACCCACGGCAAAGTACAGATGCTCGAGGTACGGCCGCCCGTTTTCTGTGTCGTCCTTTGACCGGGTTGCTTGCGCTGGGCCATGGCTCTCATCAAAATGGCCGGTTGGCTCTGCCGGCTGCTGCAAACAGCTTTCATGGCCTCTGGCACCATGGGGATGGTCGCTTACCCGAGTTTCCGTTCATATCGCCACGGGTTTTATCGTCCTCCGCGGCCGCCAGACCTTCCATTCCGCTCTTGAGACTGAAATCCAGCACAACTTCCCTGAGTTGTTTACAGACTATCAGGCCGCCCGATCTCAACCACAGAGCCAACCCATCCAGCCGCCTCCATCGTCATTGCACACCTTTTCACCACCGGCGTCGTCATCGTCATCACTACAACCACAAATGGCTCCGCTGCCATCGTCATCGGTAGCTCCACCACCGCCATCACTCCAGTAGCCGTTCGTCACGCTGCCCGATATTGAGCTGCGTTGTTTCATCCAACTCCACTTCCAAACTCCTTGGCCCTCACAAGCTTGCTTCTATCGTGCCAGCCCACGCTCTCCTCCGAACCACGCCTTGACTTTCCCCGAGGGCATTGTCAATCGGTATTGCCCTTCGTCCTCGCGGAAACCAGTACATTCTGGCCTGAGACTCGGCCACGCCCTTCCAATCTATTCCCTCGGCTACGCTCTCACCGTCACGCATACTGCCCCTCCATCCCTCCATCCCTCCATCCCTCCATCCCTCCATCCCTCCATCCCTCCATCCCGAACATGGTTCCTCGACCCCTTCCCTCTGAGCCCGCATTTCAATAGAGACTGCGTGTCCGGGAGTTGCACCGTTCTCGAGAACAGGGACGGGAAGGGAAGGGAGGGTCAACTATGGATCAATATCACGACAAGTACGCACTCACTGCGACTGCCTTTGAAAGTGTATTGGATCGCACGACATCGCGCAGATGAGCCGTATTTCACCGATTGTCCGGCATCGATTGCGGCGGTGGGTGGAAGCAGGGCTCTTGGAAAACTGGGTCGGACGCCCTGCACCGTCCAGTTCGACCGAGGCTGCTCTGATTCGGAGGCAGTCTGTTGGCGAAGGAAAGAAGCCCGGCTGATTGCGGCTCAGGCACTGGCAGACCAGAGGAAGTGAGAGTGTGAGGGAGAGGAGGAGGCTGTGGCCACACAGCCTGATTCGGCTGTATGATTGTGGAAGTTGGCTCTGATGTGTGGTGCGGATCAACGGGGTGGGCCCGCCTGTGAGCATCGTTTGAATTTGTTGTCCAAGACCAGAAGCCGGCTCTCATCCAACATTCCGGGCACAGACTCGAGGAACTCATCCCCGGACGAAGCTGCACCCGACCAGGACGAAGCGCAGAGCACAGCGGGACTGCAGACAAATCACAGGGCAAGCATATCCGCTGCATCAAGGGGATCGCCAGCCTCGAGCGACGAGGCCAAGAGGACGGGAGGGGCGAGCGGCCAAAGAATGCTCGGCGGGCCGAATAGTTCCCACGAAGAGACCCGTGCTGCTTTCAACGGCCAAGGGGACATATCACTGATCTGCACTCGTTCCTGGCATCCGTCTCCACGCCACTCCCATTCATCCCGCACAGAGCAAGCAGCCACCGACAAAGCCACCCTCGCAGCATTTGAGCCATGTTTTGCATCGCGCGGCCCGGAAAGTCAGAGGAGCAGCGTGCCGAAGAGATTGCCAACTCCAAGCACAGCGCCCAGATCGACAAGCAGCTGAAAGAGGAATCCAAGTCAGCCGAGCACAGCATCAAGCTGCTATTACTGGGTGAGGCAGCTGGTCGAATGAAAAGAGCTCGTATTTTTCTTGTATATTTTTATGTGCTGTTGATCCTCTTCCCTCAAATGATAACCCGAACCATAACCTGCATTAACCTCGGCGGATGGATCAACCGAAACGCGCGATAATTGCAGGATCTGGCGAGTCGGGAAAATCAACTATCCTGAAGCAGTTCAAGCTCATTTACGGGACGGGATTCACAGAGACGGATATGGTGACCTACCGATCGGCCATCCTCGGAAACATTGTCGGGTCAATGAAGGTTCTCATTTCCGAGTCGTGCAGCGCCGGGATCGCGTTTGAGTCGCCCAATGCCGAAGTAAGTATTTGGGAAATGGATCTGCTGGGCTTGGATGATAACCATAGCGCGATGCAGACCCAGCGAGCCTCAGCGGCCGGGAAGTGAGTTTCGATGTTACAGACCACAGGCGATCGAGTCGCGCACTATCGACATTGTGGCAGCTGTTGCGTTATTGCATGTCCCACCCTGAGGAGCCGGCGACATTCGTCTTGGTGTTGTCGGCTTGTCTTGATCGCTGGACCCATCAGGAATTGACGACAGTGCGCTATTGAATCATCAGGAATATGCTCGGATGGTCTCAGACCTGCCATACGTGTTTATGAATACGGCCGGCCAGGAGATGATCTCGTCCGAGGTGCTCAAAGCCATGGAGACCTTGTGGGCCGACCCCGGGATCCAGATGTGCTATCAGCGGTCCCACGAGTTCCAGCTCCCAGACAGCTGTGCATAGTAAGCGGCTGCTCATGCTGGATGTTGGTGTTGGTGTTGGTGTTGGTGTTGGTGTTGGTGTTGGTGTTGGTGTTGGTGTTGGTGTTGGTGTTGGTGTTGGTGTTGGTGTTGGTGTTGGTGTTGGTGTTGGTGTTGGTGTTGGTGTTGGTGTTGGTGTTGGTGTTGGTGTTGGTGTTGGTGTTGGTGTTGGTGTTGGTGTTGGTGTTGGTGTTGAGTGTCATTGTTGCAGCTTCTGCGACGCCTGGATGGTGCAATGGATGGCATGGCCGGCTTCACTGTCGATACCAAATGTTGTGAGCCGCAACGCTGATGCCAATGACCGGGTTGTTCCTCACATCTCTGCTCTCTGCACCACTCTCTGCACCACGCTTTGTTTTGTTTCCATCCAGCTTCATGAACAAGGTCCGAGAGATCTGCTCGCCAAACTACACCATCACAAACGACGACGCCCTCCGTGTCCGGATCATGACCACCACCATCACCGAGAGCAAGTTCAACATCAACGGCGCCATCTATCGGGTCATTGATGTTGGTGGCCAGCGCAGCGAGCGGCGCAAGTGGATCCACTACTTTGACGATGTCCGGGCGGTTCTGTTTGTGTCGGCCGTGGGGTCGTATGACCAGACGATCTCTGAGGACCGGTCAACCAACCGAAGTGAGTTGTGCGATGTGCGATGTGCGATGTGTGATGTGCGATGTGCGATGTGTGATGTGCGATGTGCGATGTGCGATGTGCGATGTGCGATGTGCGATGTGCGATGTGCGATGTGCGATGTGCGATGTGCGATGTGCGATGTGCGATGTGCGATGTGCGATGTGCGATGCATGCATTGGGATATGAACGTGGTGTAGGAGTGTCGCTGCTGTTGCCTTGGATAGATGCCGTCCATGATCCACAGGACCGACACTCACTGACCCGCCCACTCACTCACTCGCGATGGAATGGCGGTGCAGTGATCGAGGCACTGGATGTGTTCCAGAAGGTGGCCAACAGCTCGGCGCTGTCGAACACAGCGTTTCTCGTTTTCCTCAACAAGATCGATTTGCTGGAAGAGAAGCTGAGCAACCCGAGCAAACCGTTCAACAAGTTTTTCCCAGACTTTCAAGGTTGTGACCACGAGATCACCGCCTTGCCATGGTTATATCTGCACTCACAATTCTGTGAATGTCTACCCTCCTCCTCCTCCTCCTCCTCCGTAAAAGCGTTTACCAACACTAGCATACACCTTCGCTCCCTCGGCTTTCTCTCCGCGTTGCAGGTCCGAACCAAGTGGACGCTATCCAAAACTACTTCATCACAAAATTCAAGGCCGCCAGCAACAATCCAAATCGCATCATGTACTTTTATCTCACCAAGGCCACCGACACGAACCAAACAAAAGTGACCCTGAAAGTCGTTGCGTCCATCACCCTGCAGATGAACTTTGCCAATTGTGGGCTGTAGCACTGTACTCGCGCCGGCCCTCCGGCAATCCAACTGTGGTGGATCTCCACTTCCTTGTCTCGTGTCCGATTGTATGCCCGAGCTGATATGGGCATTTGTACATAAATTCCACTATATCGTCCCTAATCTGAGCTGGAGAGTGGTTTGGGTATGTGAATATGCTCTTACCGTTTACGAAGTGATAATCTGCGGTGCTCTCTGTGGAGCAGAATATCAGCGTCGGTGTGAGTCAACTCACAGCTCGATAGCTCGCTCGCGATGTCGAGTGGGTTGGAATTTGATCGATACCCTGGCAGTCCGGGTATTCTGCGGACGCTGCCATCACAAACGATGCAGCAAAAATGAGATGCCCAGGTTGTGATCAACGATCGGATGATTGTTGCATCAAGCCACCGCACTCTGGCCGTGACCGTTCAGAAGTGGCTGTCTCCATCATCAGCGTGCTCGATAGCAGCATGATCACTGTGTGCAGGGTGATTGCGGAGACCCGAGTTGGTCAGTTTCATTGCAAATGGTCTGTTTGGACGGAGGCCTTCACAGACCACATGTTCGATTGAAATAGGAGTGGTGTGGGCTCGATCCGACCCAATCCGATGTGACGCAATCATGCCCCTCCCTCGCCCGACGACGACGTCACACTCTCCCGATCGGCCGGAGAAGTAGAGAGCTACTAGGGGCTTTGATCGCCTCGGATACGTCAGCGCCACTGCGGCCAGCTGCTGATTCAAAGCACAGGATGGCCATGCCTTGGACCAAGCCGGTCCCTGACGAACCAAATGCCTTCGTGACGACTGACCAGAGCCTCCGCAGTATTGCGAGTCCATTTCAGCGCCATCCCCTCCGTTCTCTTGATTTCTCACGCTCCCAGCCCCAAGGAGAAGGCAATGAGCCAGATATACCAACGATACACCAGCCGTCACAGATAGGGGGGTTATCGACAAAGGATTGAATGACGAATGGGGTTTTGTTCGTTCAAGAGGAATCTCTCGGAGGAAGAGGAGCTGCAGATCAAGAAAAGTGCTGCGATCGACAAGCAACTCAAAACAGACTGGAGAGAGGAAAAATGCTCGATCAAACTACTGCTGTTGGGTGAGTTGAGGATTATTCCACATTTTGTGCTCAAGGAGAGAGGACTGAGGGCAAGCGCCTAGAATCATCGATCCTATCCTGTGTATCGGCACGCTGCATCATCCTAGCGCTTGCTGATGGACCCTTGCTGGACCCTGGCCGAATCGTCGCGTAGGATCCGCCGAGTCGGGAAAATCGACCGTACTGAAGCAGTTCAAGCTCATATACGGGACGGGGTTTACGAGCGTCGATCTGATGACATATCGATCTGCCATCATGGGAAACGTGGTCGCCTCAATGAAAGCGCTCATCCAGGGATCGATAGATTTCGCGATCCTGGTCCATGTGAAGGATTCCAAGGTTCGGAGCGGGCACATCGAGGCTGCATCAGACGCACTCTGCTAACCACGACGAGTGGGAGCGAAGCAGCTTGGGCTGCTGAGCGGTGGAAGGGAGCGATGATATGCAGCCGATTCTGACCAGCCTTTGGTCCATTACAGGAGAAAATGGCAATGATCATGGACCTGCCGTACGTGTTTATGAATACGGCCGGCCAGGAGATGATCTCGTCCGAGGTGCTCAAAGCCATGGAGACTTTGTGGGCCGACCCCGGGATCCAGATGTGCTATCAGCGGTCCCACGAGTTCCAGCTCCCAGACAGCTGTGCATAGTAAGCGGCTGCTCATGCTGGGTGTTGGTGTTGGTGTTGGTGTTGGTGTTGGTGTTGGTGTTGGTGTTGGTGTTGGTGTTGGTGTTGGTGTTGGTGTTGGTGTTGGTGTTGGTGTTGGTGTTGGTGTTGGTGTTGGTGTTGGTGTTGGTGTTGGTGTTGGTGTTGGTGTTGGTGTTGGTGTTGGTGTTGGTGTTGGTGTTGGTGTTGGTGCTGGGTGTTGGTGCTTCTGCGACGACTGGATGGTGCAATGGATGGCATGGCCAGCTTCACTGTCAATGCCAAATGTTGTGAGCCGCAACGCTGATGCCAATGACCGGGTTGTTCCTCACATCTCTGCTCTCTGCACCACTCTCTGCCCCACGCTTTGTTTTGTTTCCATCCAGCTTCATGAACAAGGTCCGAGAGATCTGCTCGCCAAACTACACCATCACAAACGACGACGCCCTCCGTGTCCGGATCATGACCACCACCATCACCGAGAGCAAGTTCAACATCAACGGCGCCATCTATCGGGTCATTGATGTTGGTGGCCAGCGCAGCGAGCGGCGCAAGTGGATCCACTACTTTGACGATGTCCGGGCGGTTCTGTTTGTGTCGGCCGTGGGGTCGTATGACCAGACGATCTCTGAGGACCGGTCAACCAACCGAAGTGAGTTGTGCGATGTGCGATGTGCGATGTGCGATGTGCGATGTGCGATGTGCGATGTGCGATGTGCGATGTGCGATGTGCGATGTGCGATGTGCGATGTGCGATGCATGCATTGGGATATGAACGTGGTGTAGGAGTGTCGCTGCTGTCGCCTTGGATAGATGCCGTCCATGATCCACAGGACCGACACTCACTGACCCGCCCACTCACTCACTCGCGATGGAATGGCGGTGCAGTGATCGAGGCACTGGATGTGTTCCAGAAGGTGGCCAACAGCTCGGCGCTGTCGAACACAGCGTTTCTCGTTTTCCTCAACAAGATCGATTTGCTGGAAGAGAAGCTGAGCAACCCGAGCAAACCGTTCAACAAGTTTTTCCCAGACTTTCAAGGTTGTTGGCTCTTGCTCGCCCTCCCTCTCGTATATCCTCACCCACGGCCTCGACTGCACGTCTCTGGTGGCTACTCCTCTGTGCCACTCTGTTTGCTCGGTTGCTTCGTTATGAATCGCATGTACTTACCCAGGATTCATCCAATTCTTCCTGATGCGGCTCTGTGGATGATCGCCAGGCCAGCCGTCGCTCGACGCCGTTCGCAACTACTTTGTCGGTCGATTCAAGATGGTCAACAAGAACCCGGATCGGCCACTGTATTTCTATGTGACTACGGCAACGGATACGCAACAAACGATCATCACCCTCAAGGTCGTCGCCGACATTGTCATGCAAACGAACCTTCGCGAATGCGAGCTGTGAACGGCGGAGGCGATCATCAGTATCTGTGAGTTGATGAGAACAGCGAGTCTGCCACAGTCCACGACGAGGACAACCGTCTTCCGCGAGCAGAAAGTGAAATGAAAGATCTCTACACTCCACTTCTTTTCATTCAGCAGCGACAGAATTATAAAGTACCAATTGGCCAATATGAAAGGGCCAATATCAGCAATACCGTGGGTCGTGGTGGCATGGGCTTTCCGGGAAAGAGCTTTATTCGAGCGTATGGCGTTGGAGACATAGCAAGGGCACTGAAACGGCACAGACACATGGAGATGAAATGCAGGAGGTGGCCAAAGTGGCCACAAGACAGAGGCAGCAGTGCTGCTTGGGGCGTATGGTGAAAGACATAGGTTCACGTATTGCACAATATTCATCGGCGATATCAGCACTAGAGGAGAGGGAGAAGAGAGTTGACATGGTGTCGCTGCAGCAGTATTTCCATTCGTTGGTTGCTCCAGCGCAACCCGGTTATAGATGCTGCGCGCAGGTCGATGGGGACTCGGAGGCAGTATTGGGTGTCAGTCGCAGATGACACAGAGCACTTCGTCGCTTGCCACCATGGACTTGCGCATGACAATGCCATTCAACAGCTCGCAGAAGCGTTTTGATCCGCCGATGATCAAGCGCTGTCGCTGGGTTGAGCGTCTGTTCTCCTGTCTGGCAAACCCAGAGTGATCCGTGTCCAAGCTGCGGGCTCGATAGATGCCGCCCATCTTTCCCACCCGCCGGATATACTCGTTCACAGAAGGTTCGCTGAGTTGGTGCGGGAGCGGGAGGGACCATCCCACCGAGGGGTGGCGGAGCACAGACTCGACAGTCTTGGAATCAATCGCTGTTTGGTAGAGAATCTGGCCAGGGGCGCGGAAGGCGTGCTCGTTGACTTGCGAGTATCGCGGGCTGTGGTCACTCACGATGCAGCACTCTTCCTGGGAGCTGCACACATCCGAAAAGATATGAACGATGTTGATTTGATCCCGGAAAGCAGCGAGCCCGGCTTTGAGGGTATCGGCCCCAAAGACATCGTCAAGGCACTGGGCCGAGTGGATGATGGTAAGTTTGGTGTCGGTTCCACACCGGGGTTTGATGATCGTGACGGGAAACAGGCCAACGGCCTTTGTCCTCAGGTTCTTTCCTTTGGCCCAGCCGTCTTCGTAAAACTGATGAACAAGAACCAAGTCGTTGAGGTCGATCTGGAGCTCATCTGAGCGCTGTGGCTGATGCGAGCAGCGGGTCTGCGTTGCCCGAGACAGAGTGTCGTCGACGGCGGATTGCGAGTCCCGCAGTTGATGGGACGGAGAACGAGAAAGACAGTGGATATGGTGAGCCGACTAATGAGATAGCGGAGAGCATCAGGCAGATACACCCGGGACGATAAGCATGACTCGGTCGCTGATATGAAGCAGTATCAGGTACAGTTGCAATACATTGGATGGTTTGGGCCATCCTGCACGCGGATCAAGAATCAGCGGGATGATGTACCTGGATCGGGACGTTGAGGGGAAGGAACAGAAACTCGAGGAACTGCAGCGCCACGGACAGCGCTGTATCCTCGACAAACATGACCACTCGGTCGTGGCACCATGGAATTGAGCTTGACCATGACTTTTTCGAGTCGAGCGGCAGCTTTGGGTCGACGACGGGGACACCGAACGGGCCTCGGATCTTGTACTGGCGCAGACCTGCAGTCTGCACCTTCAGAAAGTTGGAAAGCACACCCTGGGGCTTGAGCTTGACCAAGATCTCGAACTGGGTCATGGAGCCTCGGATGGGAGTGTAGTACCGCCGCACATTTGTGCCATTGAGGTAGACCTCAAGCTCGATGAACTGGCCGGGCAGAAACTCTGTGGGTTCGTTGATACGGGTGTCCTGCGGGTACAGCAACGCAAACTGAAGCCGGAGGATGGTATACCGGATCGAAAAGATGTTGTCGGACTTGACATCGACGAGGGCATAGCGGCGGAACTCGTCGGGTGAAAACAATGGATGGCCTGCCTCAAAGGTGGTCGAGAGCAAAGCAAACTTTGGGCTTGACTCGAGTAGGGACTGAAGCTGCGGAGACGATGCAATGTCGGTCTTGCGAGCCTGCAGAATGCGCTGGTTCTGGAGCTTTGAGAGCTTGGGAATGATGGAGGAGCTGAGGGTGAAGTGGCCGGTGGAAGAGGAGCCGGACGAGTTGCTGTCGCTCGATTTCGGCAAGGTACCGGTGCTCATGCCGGGAGAGGAGCAAGTGCTCTTTGGCGAAGGGGTGAGAAGCGAGGGCGACTTTGAACGGAAGAGACCGGTATGGTTGGGATTCGAGGAAGTGCGGGGAGGAACAGGGAGAAGCATGGTTGCGGCCTGGTCCAGAGATGCTGATGCCTGGGAGATTTGGCTCTGATCATGGAGATTGCTGTTGAGCCTGTGTGTTGCGAGTGAGTGAGTGAGTGAGTGAGTGAGTGAGTGAGTCAGTCAGTCAGTCAGGCCAGCACTCGATCTGACCGGTGTGCGAAAGCAAGACGCACCAGAAGAAGTCGTTGGTGACGTTGGTTCCCAGGGCGTTGTATATGGTCTCGGCCATCTCTGGGTGCTTCCGGAGCCAACCAGAGACATTGCGGACATGGCGGCCCTCGGAGACAACCAGAATATGGCCATAGTCCAGAAGGAGGGAAAGCTCTGTCCAGGTGACCTTGAAGCCGGGGTCATCATCTTCACCGATGGTCGAGTCAGAGCCCGAGTCCGGGACCAGCGGGAGATATGGATCCAGACGCGGCGAGGTTGAGACCAAAGGAGGCGACGGATAGCGGTCAGGCGCCGAGATGGAGCTGGGGGCAGAGGCGTTCTTGTGGGCTTGCACGATCTTTGGGTACTGAGTAAGCGAGGTCTTTGATCGCATGTTGGCCAGGGCGGTGAGGAAGCCGGAGAAGCTGGGGAAACGGACAACAAGCCAGCAAACGAGGCGATCGAGAGCGAGCAGGATCGCGAGAGCTAGAAGGAAGCCGAGGCCAAGGCGAGTGGCGATGGTGTGTTCGATCGAGAGAAGGGTGCAGATGCGAGAAGACGAAAGATCTGTGAGGTCGGAGAGGAGATGGATCAGAGAAGCCAAAGCAGACATGGTGGAGAAAGAGGATACTTTGCCATGGCCGACGGGCAGGCGGCAAGTGGAGACGGCAAGTGGAGAGGGAGAGTGGAGGAGGAAAGAGACGTTGAGCAGATATGGCAGGGAGAGTCAGTCGACAGGAGGCGAAGCAGCGGAGGAGGAGTGGCGGATGGAGGGAAAGCAGTGTTTTGGGCAGATGAGCAGAAAGATGAGCAGAACAAGTGGGCGGAACAAGTGGGCGGAAAGTGTGAGAGCGGGAGACAATCTCCGACGGTCAAGGAGGGAGACATGAACAATCGTCACGATCGCCACAGCCCCAAAGGGAGGAAAGTGCAGAGTCCGATGATGCATCTTGCAGCGGCAAAGATGGCCATCCCAAGATGCGGCATTGGCGAATGCGAACAACATGGCGGCAGCGTCCACACTATCAGCGGCGACCGACATGGACGTGAACATGGACGTGAACATGGACGATTGTCCAAGCCAGATCCCTGGGAGAAACTGCGGCGGCCACTCACCCTGGGGCGACAGACCAGAGACCGATCTTGGAGCGGTGTTGGGGGCTGACAAGAGACAGAGCCTTCGTTGCGGCCGAGTTGATGGTCGTCGACGATGAAAGATGAACCCGTGCTCAGCAAAAGGGATGGGGGTTCCGCAAGAGCACTGTCCGGCGGGAAACAGAATGGCGTTCAGCGAGGACTAGCCAAAGAGAGCAGGAAACGGGGAACAGGACACAGGAACAGGAACAGGAACAGAGAATTGTGAGGAGGAGCAGAGAGGGGCGGAGAAGAAGGGGACAGGGAGCTGGACCGCCCAGAGCCGGACCAGGGCTTTTGAGCGAGAGGACGTCTCGACAGCGAGTCCAGAAGAAGCCGCCCGCCGTCTGAGAGGAGTCAGCACAGATGGGCCCACAGACAACCGGCCGACCAGGGGGTCAGCCGCACCCACATGGACGAGCGGGCGTTGGTGCTGGCTGTGTGGTGCGCCGAGGAATCGGACAGGTGGGCCGTGCTGGACCGGCGAACTGGGATGCGGGGCAGACGGCCGCTGCGATGGACGAAGCGGCGGCCGAGTGGGTGGGGGCCAGCGGTGTGTCTGGCCGATAAGGACACCGCTGCATGGCGACAGACCAGAGCGCATGCACACTGCAGACTTTGAGACGCTCTCATGGCATCGTTGAGGTGCTCTCATGGCCGGCTTGGATCGCATTCCGTGTCGCGGCCAGGTCTGTGCGACGTCGCGCAGTGCACACCGACCGCCAGGCACCGGCAGTTCACCCCGCCCACAGACACTGCATGCCGTTCAGCCGCACGCGCACAGGATGCCATATTTGGCAACTTCCCGCGCCATCCGGCCAATGGGCTGTCGCCGTCGCCGTGTGTGTGTGTGTGGCTGCCCTGGTCTCGCACCGCCGCCCTCGCCCTCGCCTCGCCGCCGCCTCGCCCGCGTCTCGCCCGGATCTCGTCTCGCTCGCGCCTCGCCGCCAGCCGCTTGCCCGTCTTGGCTGGCCCGTGTTTCCTGCGCTCGCCCTCTTTCTCATCCAGGGCACCTCCCGTCCTTCTGGCCTGCTGCCCCATCGTCATGTCGGCCGCCTCCGACTCTCTGCCCAGGGCAACCAGCAGTCCCGCCGCCGGCTCCAGCGCCAATACCAACACCATCCAGCGGGACAAGAATGGCTTCTTCCAGGTCCCCGCCGTCGCCGACCCCGCGTCCAACCCGCTTTCGCCCAAACTCGGTGCCGTTGCCGATCCCACTGCCGCCGATACCACTGCCTTCCCGTCGTCGGTCGTCGACGAGTCCATCATCGTCCCGGACTTTATCCGGGCCCTGTCGTCGATCCTAGAGGCTGACCAGTCGCCGTCGCCCCTGCCCGAGGACTTTATCTCGGTCGACGGCCTCAAGGCCTGGTCGCACTCGGTCAATCGTCCTTTGCAGGCCGTCCTGTGCGATTTCTTGAAATCCAGATTCATCGAGGCCAAGAAACCCTCCTCGGCCCGCGACCGCCAAATCTCCATCAGCCTGGTCTTCAAGGTTCTCGAGGGCAGGAGCCTCATTGCCAAGGCGGGCAAGACGCGCGACCCATATTGCATCATCTCCTATGGCCATCTGCCCGATGGCGACTCGTCCTCCAACGACCTCAAGAAGCCGCAGAAGGGCCGCGAGACCTTCCAGACGGATGTGCAAAAGTCCACCGTCAGCCCTGTCTGGAACGAGCACCTGACCGTCACCGCCAAGGACCTGACCTCCAAGATCGTGGTCCAGGTCTGGGACAAGAAGAAGGACTATTTCCTGGGTCAGGTCAAGCTCTCGATGCTCGAGCTCATCACGGCCTGTGCCAAGGATGGCTTTGTCTCAAAGTGGTTCCCGCTGCACTCCCGAAACTTCAAAAAGGACAAGGACAAGTACATTGGCGGCGAGGTGTTTTTGGAATGCAACCTTGCCGAGCAGGAGGTATGCCGTCGATGGTGTGTCCGCGTCGCTGTTTGCAGGCATAGCTGGGCTCCAGTCTTGGAGATTGCTAGTTCCCAATCTGCTCCCCCCCTGTACTCGTTGATCGATTGTGCCTAACGTCTCCTGTTCTCAATCACATTGCCATCGCCATCGCCATCGCCATCGCCATCGCCATCGCCATCGCCATCGCCATCGCCATCGCAGAGCATCGAGAACATCACCACCATCGTCTCTGGAGATCCAACTCTCTATCTTCAGTCGCAGCTGGTGGCGTGCAAGGTGCGGTACAAGTCGCTCTACAAGATCCTGCTCCGAAATGCATTGATCTTGGACATGCAGACCCTCCAGGCGAACCACCAAATCACAGAGGCGACAATCGAGCTCCTCACCGACGAAAGCCGGGCGCTCCTGACCACGATGGGCCGTCAGTGGGCCGTGGGCGAGGCCTTCCAGGTCATTGCCTATCTTGAGCTCCTGTTCCTTCGGTACAAGAGTTACGAGATCCCCACAAGTGCGCTCCTGCACGCCTACGAGACCCTCTACGATAGCATGAAGCGCAAAGAGGCCTGGCTCACGCCCTCCGACGTAGGTGCCGATGCAATCGCCCATCCCATGTTTTTTTTTGTGGCTGAGAACGCGGTCTTCTGCTATCGATTACATGGTGAACTTCCAAATCCGCTTGACGTACCTGTCGTTTGGATAGCCAACCCTCGGCTGATCTCGCACGTTCTTCATATCCACGCTTTCGATAGAGGCCCGATCTCGAGCAGCTCTTGGAGGACATGCACTCGTATTACCTCACCCAAATAACAAAGTACAAGGAGTTTTATCCCAAGAACCAGCCCCGCGGCGCCCTCGAGACCACCATCCTGATGCTCCGGATGATCCACAAAAACGCAATCTATCGGGAGCTGCACCCTGGGCTACCCGAGTCCTTCCGCGATGAGCTCCGCGGCATCATGACCGAGGCCGCCATCGCCCGATATCACAAGATGGAGGAGCTGACGCGGCCGTTTGATGAAAGCGACATTCACTCTGTCGTCGAAAGCATCACCAAGCTGGCTGAAATGCTCTCGGAGGAGATCGAGGCTGATGCGCGATACTTTACCAAGCCCTTCCACAGGTACAGGCACGCTCGGAGGGCTTGCATCTCCTGTGTGGACAGGCGCCATAGCGCTTGCATTTGTCCTCAGCATGAAATGACCAAACTCATCGTATCGCATCGTATCGGAACCGGTCAGGGAGCTGGATATCGTCCGTCTTACTGCCGAAACCTACCTCAAGTTCTTTATGCTGACGCTCGAGAGCCACGTCGAGGAAATTGAGAGCGACAACAGCGTCCAGCACGCCGCCAAGAGTGTCTTTGCCCTGTACAAGCGGCTCAAAGCCATGGACGTGCGGTTTGTCGCGCTGGCGCCCAAGTGAGTGGACTTGCCGTGCAGCCAAGGCGTTCGTCGAGCTGTGGGCTCGGAGGCTTTACTTTGCTGTGGATTCACCGGTAGTGTCGGCGTGCACACGACTGACAAGCCCTTCATCTGCCTGCCGTGTGCCTCACAGGCTGAAGAAGCTCTCCAAAAATGCCTCCTTTGATATCGAGCGCTGGTTTGCGCCTTTTGTCCATCGTTGGTTGCTGAACCTTAACGAGCGCACCCAGGAGTGGGTCTCCAACTCGGTCAAGTCCGACACATTCGAGCCCATTCAGCAGCCGCCTGTGAGCCTGAGCATCAACTCGTCCAACGACAGCCTCAACTCGGAAGTGCCCGTCCCCAAGCCCATGACCCACTCCTTCAGTGTCACCGATCTCTTCAGCGCCATGTATCAGGAACTCGAGTTCATCAACGACCTGGAGTGGACCAACATCGAGCAGCGCTCTCTGTTCTTCCAGAGCTTTGCCAGGACCGTCCACGACGCCATCGAGCAGTACTGCGATGCTGTTGTGCTTGGCGAGATCAAGGCCGACCAAAAGGGCTTTGCCTCGCAGTTCCTGGGCAAGATAGTGGGTCCCAAAGATATCGCAAACGAGGTACGGCGCCTCGAGTGGAGTGTTCATCAGCAGCCTGGCGCACGTTTCACTTGCATCAAACTGACCCCTCGGCTCTGTTGCTTCCGCCCCATTCGACTTGACGCACGCCGCACATGTGTTCGTGAAACCAGTCGTGTGTCAAGCTCTGCAACATTGAGTACGCCCTTGCCAAGCTCGAAGACATGTACGAGCTGATCTGCGTACCGGACCTGACCCAAACGCTCAAGAGCCACCGCCAGAGTGTCTTTGCCGAGCGCGGCAAGATTCACCCGAACCGCAACATCGGTGACACGCTCATGGGCGCCTTCTACATCCAGGTGTCCTACGCCGAGAACCTGCGGCCCTGCAACAAGAACGGCTTCTCCAACCCGTACCTCGTCATCCGTGTCCCCGATGGCACCAGGGTGCCAAGCACCATCATCGACGAAGTCATTTCCAACTCGCACAACCGCCACTCGCTCGCGAACCATCAGCGCCTCAGTTTCCAGCTCGAGAACAGTGGCGGGCCAGCGGCGCAGTACCCTCCGCCGCTCTCGAAGACGGCCGTGCTCTTTGATGAGCACGGCAAGGCCATCGTTGCCAACGGCGAGAAGCAGAACAAGGCCTCGGGCTCGAACGAGAAGATCTTGGTGGGCGTCGACTGCGAGCTGTGCCGAACGCGCACGATCAACGACACCCTGAACCCGGGCTGGGACGAGGCCTTCCAAGTGATGCTGCCGCCGACGCAAGTGCTCGAGGTCATGGTCGTGAGCGAGAACTTTTTGACGGTCGACGAGATCATCGGCAAGTCCACGGTCTCGCTGGATCGCAGCAGCACGCTGCGCAAGCAGCTGGCTGACCACCAGACCCACGACGTGTACGTCGAGCTCGAGCCGCAGGGCCGCGTGCTGATCCGGGTCACGCTCGAGGGCGAGGACGAGGACGTTGACTTTTGGTTCCGCAAGAGCCGCGAACGGCTGGTGCGAACCCGCGATGATGTGGTGCGGGTCCTCACTGCTCGCATCACGCCGTACGTGCGGCAGGTCCTCACCAAGGCCATCAAGGACCACGAGGCGGCCGCCATTCCCGCCAAGACCTTCATGTCGTCCCTGACCGAGAAAAAGCAGTACTCCAACGTGACCGGCACCGGCATCTCCATCGACCAGGTGATCACGACCTCGGAGGCCGATGCGGCGCTGTCGCCGCTCACGGACTATCTCAACAAGAACCTGGCGACGCTGTGCTCGGGTCTCTCGGCCGCCATGGCCCAGGATGTGATCCGCCGGACCTGGGACGAGACCTTGTCGATCTTTGAGCACCTGCTGGTGCCGCCGCTGTTTGGCCAGATTGAGAAGGACCGCAAGGTGCTGAACAGACGACAGATCTCCATCATCAGCTGGTCGATCTCGATCCTCAAGGACTTTTTCTTTGCCGATGCCGAGGGCCTCCCCCTGCCCGTGCTCGAGACCACCAAGTACGAGGACATTATGCTGCTTTGCAAGGTCTACAACCACGACCTCGAAGCGCTCAAGACCGAGTGCGAGTCACGCTTCCTCAAGGGCGACGGACTGGAGTGTCTGCTGCGCCTCTGCCGCTTCAAGATCGAGCGCGAGGAAGGCCAAGACCGCGATGACGGGCGGGTGTGGATGGATGTCCAGCTCGTCAAGCGGCGCGAGATGAAGCAGTAGGCGCTTTGGCTCGGGCGTCGATGGCTTCAAGCCGGAGGACCAAGGGGTGTGTGTGGGGCTGTTTGTTCGGTGTGCCGCTTGCCCCATGGCGGTCATACTACTATCATCGAGTGCTGCCTCGTCTGCAGTTTTTTGCGTTGTTATTCACTTGTCCTCGACATCCGTCTTGCTCTCCTATCCGCTTTCTTGCTCTCCTCATTCCCGCCTCTCATCCTCTTTTTCGTATCGCGCTGGGGGCCCGTTCTTGGTCTTGCGGCCCATATCTTCAATGCAGGGCCGTTGGGTGGCCCTCCGCTCTTGTGTCGCAGTTATCGCTCTCGTTTATTCAGACCGAATCGAGGGCACCCCCTTTTCAAAGCGCCAAATTGCTCGTGTGGATAGAATGGCCTGCGTCCAACAGGCAAATTGAGAATAAACGACCACTTGGGGAGTCGCTTGGCGGAGAGATCAGATTGCTGACTTGTCGATCGCTGCTGGGACACTACTGTTCGATCCAATGTGGGGGGACAGCGCTAAAGCCAAGCGATGCAGGATGGTGATTGAGCTCGCGGAGTCGGCACACGCTCCCGCATCGCTTGCCCAGCACCCAACACGCAAACGATGCGCTCGACTGATTCAAGTAGTGGAAGAGAGTATATTTACTTTGAAAGAAAAGTGGCGGGAGGGAAAGGCGGATGATGGAAAGTCGGGCCGAAGCCAAAAAGAGAGAGAGAGAGAGAGAGAGAGAGAGAGAGAGAGAGAGAGAGAAAGGCTTGGGACGACTTGCTTTACTGGTGGACGCCGGCGCGATCGAGAGCCATCAGTGTGCCAACAAAAGTGAGGATCTGAGTTTGGCGACAGAGACAAAGACAAAAATGAATGATTGGATCAGAGGCATGTCCAGATGGGTCCTGCTGCAGGAGCCGTCAGCTGTGCCCCCCACCGCCAGCAGCCGGTGTGCTCGCAGCGGCACTTGAATCGCTCGTACAATCGGCAAGCGCGGAAACGGCTCGAGTCAAGTCAGGCTGCGAGAGGCGCTGTCTTACCATCTTTGGCTTGACTTCAACGATATCCTCGGGCAGGACAAAGATGGTGGCACCTAGCTTGCGGGCGATCGAGATCGCATACTTGGCGTTGAGCTTGGCCTCGTCATCTGGTGTTGGGTGGGGTGATGCACAGCGGGATCACGCAGAGTGAGTTGATGAAGACGCTGGACGAGTTACCGGCCGCTTCGCTCGCGCAGGGACACAGCATCGGGCTTACCGGTGACGCCTCGAGTGACGAGGTCGTAGTTGACAATGCCCTTCTTGATGGCATTGAGCAGGTCCAGGAAGAAGATGCCGTTGCGCAGCTCAGGGTCCTTGAACTGGGACATGCTCGACGACTTTCCGCTTCGCTTGACGGTGGCATTGGCCCAGTTGATCATATCAGCGTCGGTGATGTCCTTGCCGTCCTTGGACAGCGACTTGAGGGTCTCGACAACGTGCTGGCGCATGAGCTGCCACACAAATCCTATTGTTACGGAGCAGGGGGACACGGAGGGCAACGAGCAGTGGTGGTTCGGGATGCGAGGGAAAGCTGTCAGCAAACCGGAGAGCGCGAGTGGGTGTATTTGGCTCCGGACTATCCTTGTGCACATGCAGGCCCTCTGCCACAGGCAAGGGCAGAATGTAGATGTCGACTCATCATGCACACTGATGCCAGATGTCGGCAGGCAGCAAGGCAGCATACCAAGAGTGAGTTTCTTGTTGCCGTCGGTGATGTCGCTGCCCTGGATGCCGACCAGCGAGAATTTCAGGGCCTTGCCGAGAACGACGACATAGTTGGTGTTCTCGACCTTCTTGAACTTGCTGGTGACGGGATACGGGGTGCGGTTGGTCTTTTTCCAGTCCACAATGCCGGGTTGCACCTTGTCGATGGCCTGGAGGAGAATAAGGCCATCCTGGAGATCGTCAAAGAGGTTGTTGACGAAGGGCTCGACACCGAGCGAGTTGAGCCAGAGAGCAAAGGCACGGGCCTCGCGGTCGCCCTCGGAGCCAAAGAGCCACTCGTCGAGGGCACCCATTTCGGCGTCGGTGAGAGGGGCGAGTCCGGGCTAAATCAGGAATGCAGGGTTGTTAGCCAGCATGCCAGGATGGCTGACGCTCCCTTCGAGATAGGAATGATCGGAAGCAAAATCATGCAAGATAATGGCGCAACGAAGGGGCCGCGAGTTTCAAGAGGCAAGATTCCGGGCCCAACCACAGGCGACCGCAGATACTCACATGGGTGTTGAAGAGATACGCAGTGAAGGCAAAGTTGAGCCTGCGTCATGAACAAAGTTGCAGCGTGGCACAGAGTGAGTGGCAAGCGAGCACTTGGGAAGCCTCTCGGTGGTAGCCGGTGAGGCGGGGGCACTTCAACAAAGGAAATAGAAAGACAGGCAGTCGTGACATACTTTTGGTTGCCGCCAACGAGGGTTTTCGGGGTGAGGTACTTGCGGCAGCCAAGCTTGTCAGCGTTGGCAAGAACCATCTCGGCACGCTCCAGGAGATCAGACTGCTGGAGCGGGGCGCGTGAGCAGAGCTCGGGGCTCAGTTGGTTGAGCAAGACGGTGTAGGCTTCGGCATCCTGGATTGGTGACGGAATGAGGAAACCCGGTTCAGCCGAGATCAAGCATACCCAAGCAAGCACCAAGCCGTTGATCAGCCAGGACTTGTTTGATGAGGGCAGCACACGAGTGGATTGTGGCGGCTGCCACACGTGTGTCATGATGGCATCCGCGACAGAGCTCGGCAGCCTACCTTGACGTCATTGCCAAAGTTCTTGACACGCTTGGGCCAACCGGCATTCTTGAGGTGATAGTTGACCCAGCGGAGCAGGATTTGCTCGGCAGGCAGCTTCAAAAAGTCTTCCATGGACTCGCCCTCCTCCAGCAGACGGAAGAGCTCAGGGTGGATCTTGATATCGATCATGTTGCTGAGGCCGATCTTGATGATCTGCCAGATGAGACCCAAGATCAGGTGCTCGCGGCCCTCCTGGAGATCCGAGGCGCCGATGTTGACGACGCTGCAGCCGATGGCCTTGGCCGAGTTGACGACGAGGTTGTTGTTTTCGGTCATCTGGAAAGTACTCAGCTTCTTGGTGCCGCCCAAGTTCAAGACTCGCTCATCGATGGTGTTGGGGACGGCATCGTTGATGAGCTTGGCCAGAACAAGGCCGTCTGAGAGACGGGGGACAGTCGAATGAGCATGCAGGTGCGAGTCGCTGTATGGCGGACTGCGGGTGCTCAGCATGTCCAAAGCCACTCAATGCATAGACCCCGACAGGAACAACCCATGGGGAACCCACCTTTGCACTCGCCAAAGATCTGCATGGTCTTGGGATCGAAGGGCAGACGGCTCTTGAGATCCTTGTCGCCCGAGAGCTGGGAGTTGATATGGTTGACGAACGACTCCTTCTCGTCCTCGTTGATGGTGTGGGTCGTGTTTTCAGAGTGGCCGTGCAGGGTGATCTTGGTCTTGTTCTCATGAGCAGCACCCACGCCTCTGGCATCGCGAAGGGAAGACACGGCCTGGTAGTTGACGGGAGGAGGAGGAGGATACTATGTTAGATGACATGCGAGCAAGCCCGCCGTGTGCCACATAGGGAGCGGGCGTCCAAGAGTCTGCGCGACACTCCTGGGATATCGGCTCGGGTCAGCGTCGATTCGCGCATACGACACGAGTGCGAGGCTGTTTAGGCTGTCCGCGGATATCCAGCACGCAATGCGATGTCGTGCTTCAATCACGCGGGTGGAGAGAGCTGCGAAGAGCATGCGGCCTCAGCCATTCTTGGCGCGTCCCGGGATGATCGAAGAGCAAATTACTGACCGTGAGCAGTCCCTCGAAGGAGACGAGACCCTCAGCGGTGGTGAGCTTGAGGTTGGCAAGCTTGTCGCAGACGGCCTGGAAGCTCTCACCGGTCTTTGTGGCGACTGTTGACAGATCGCGCTGGTGAATGGCACCTGCAGCCGCGTCCCGGATTGCCGCGATGGGCGGCATGCACGTTGGGAGAGGGACAGCCGTGTGGGGTTGGTGAGGTCGAGGGGATGGCAGTGTCCAGGGATCGATTGAAACGCGTAGCCATGGGCAGGCGATGCGATGGGACGCGCATAGAGGCATCAAAAGAGGAGGTCGTTAGCGCATACAATCCACGGGGCTGCAGAATGCGCTAAATCCGAATCATTCAAAGCGCGTCGGCAGGAGCAGGCTTGAGCGGCCAAACGCCGAGCAGCACTGGATTGCACCGGAACGCGCATCTGGTCGCCAAGAGATGATGCTCATCGAAAGAGCTGGAGCACAGCCACCACAGGAGAGTCGGCTGCCGATCAGAAGTCTCCTTCTCATGAACGAGCGCGATGGCGAGAGAGGGAGGGGGAACGGACGGGGAACGGACGGGGAACGGACGTACCTTGACCATCCTTGTCAAAGTTGGAGAATTGCTGGTGGAAGGCCGAGATCTCGGAGGCACTAAAGTGCGGGAACCGGGCGGCGAGAGCCTGGGCGTTGATCGAAACCATGCTGGAGCTGGATTCCTCGACGGCGGTTGGGAAGAAAGGCGTGAGTTTTTGCAGACGGTTGGGAACGAAGGTGGGGCTGGTGGAGGCCGCGGGAGCCTCGAAATCGCCCAGGCGCGCGGAGATGGAGGCCGGCAGGGGTGGCTTGGCCGGGTTCGATCCAGCCGAGGGCGAAACCAGGGGCGAAACCAAGGGCCGGCCCTGTGGACTGGGACGCTCGGGAACAACGAGGGGCCGGACGGCCGGCGGGGGAGCAGCGACGGGAGCAGCGGCAGCGGCGACAGGGGTCGGGGGGACTGGGGCAGCCGAGCGGTAGGCCTCGGGGATCGAGTACGAGACCGGGACAGGCTGGGCAGGCTGGGCAGGCTGCGATGGAGTGGATGCCGGCGACTGGTACGAGTCGGTCAGCGGCCGCGGCACAAACGTGGGCGGCGAGGGGCTGACGGGCGAGGCCTTGGGGGGCTTTGCAGGACTGGGACGGGTCGGCAGGACGGGCTGGGCCTTGGTCTGATACGCCGAAGGGATCGAGTGGACGGGGGCGGCGGCACTGAAGGCAGAAGCAGGAGCCGGCTGAGGAGTGGACTGGGAAGGCGAAGCCTGGGGAGCAGCGCCAAAGGCAGGAGCCGGAGTCGCCTGGGCCGCCTGGGCAGCCGGGGCAAATGGGTTGAACTGGGGCGGGAGTGACGCACCGGTCATGTACGGCTGGGGGCCCAGGGTCTTCTGCGAGGGCAGCGCCGGAATCGGCTTGCCAACGACACTGCTCTTCTGGCCGACGGCGGGGACGGCGTTGGCATAGTGGACATACGGAGCGGATCGGGCAGTGATGTCGACAGAGGCGTTGGTCGAGTACTTGTCGTCAACGGCGTCCCACTCAGAGTCGTCTCGTTCAGGGTCGTTCATGGCGGGCAGATGCGTGGATGGCGGGGAGCAGGAAGGGACAAGCGGGAGGCAGTTGCGGTTGCGGTTGCGGTTGCGGTTGCGGTTGCGGTTGCGGTTGCGGTTGTGGCCGAGGAGAAAGTGATGGCGGTTCGCAAGAGTTGACAGTGGTAGACCAGGAAAAGGATGAACTTGGACCGACAGCGATAAGACAGGCAGGCGAGTAATTAATATGCCAGGGAGCTGACAGACGGAGCAATTAATGTGCCCGATCGAGCGATGGATATGCCAGACGGGCAGCCGGGGCGATGGAGACGAAGGGCATGTCCTCCAGACAGCCGCCCGTCATATATCCCCAACAGAGGCGATCGAAGGCCGTGGACGGCGGGCGCCCATTGGCCGGGCGGTGCGCAGCATGGAGACTCGCATCCACCCCTGCGGTATCTCGGCGCTGCCCTCGCTGCTCCTCGCTGCTCCTCGCCGTCGCCCTCGCCTCTCGCCGCAAGCACAGCCACCCTCGCAAGGCCATGAAAGCGCCAAGGCGGTCTTGGCACTGGCCTTCAGGATGCGATTGGATGCGATTGGATGCGTGTTCCAAAACTGATCGGCGTCGCCATGCCCGCACCAACGACGCCAGAGCCAGGGCTGTCCCGGCAACCGGATGCTACGGCGCTTCGGAGGCGGTCGCCTTCACGAGATCCGCAGGGTCGGCTTCTCTCCGGGCATATTCGAATATGCTTCGAGCAGCCTCGAGGTCGAGGCCAGGAATGTGCTGAACCAGCACCTCGGGTGCGCTGCAGCAGACATAAACGTTGTTAGTCACATTCGACACTCTCCCTGATGCATTTGACATTCCATGCATGCACGCGACTCTATCGCTAACTCACCTGTTGACTAGTTCCTGCAGGGAACCCAATCGCGACGCCACCATCGAGATGGCCGCCATGTCGTTGACACCTGCCATCGAGAGCAGGAACTGGATGGCGTGATTCTTCTTGTCCGGCAGCGTCGGCGGCAGGAGCGTCGTGAGGTCGTGCGCCTTGTTCTCGGCCTCGGACAGACGATACAGATATCCAGCCGTTTGTTCTGCGGGCCCGGCCCAAGAGGCGCAAGTGCCAATATCGATCACAAGGTGCATCGTCAGTCGCAGGGCGCATCTTCAGTCACGGCCACTTTGGCCATGTCGCGGGCGGACCATAGTGCATATCGGGTAGAATCAATCTATCCTGAAGCCGGCCGCCCAAAGTCCGGCCAGACGTACCTATCGAATCGCTAAACATAATTGTTGTCCCCTGTCGGGTCAGCGACGTCAGAATACCTTCATATTGGCTGATTTTGGCCCTAGAGTTATTTCCGCCATCGAATTACAGGTGTTAGTCCACGCTGTGCATTAATGGCCTTGAGCTTCGTTGCTCTTGGCGCGGCCCTGGGCCATCCAGTGGATTCTTGCAGAGTCAGGACGAACAGGACCTAGCAGCAGCCGCCTTGCATCACGCACACTTACATGCTCTCAGTCTCCAGATTCTTGTGGCTCTCGATGATCAGAACCGGTCGAGAACAAATCTCCTTCAGCCTCGCCATTTGCTCCAGCAGTCGCTTTTTCTGATCGCCGAGCATCATCTCTGCCAAATCACAGACATGGTGCACCGTCGCTCATGATCAGCATTCGAGGCGGACGAGCTGTCCCAAACAATCGCACATGCAGAGCTCGAGCCAATGGCTTTGCCCTTACCGCTTTGCCCCTTGCGGATGACAATCATGCGGTTGCTGATGATGTAGTCGCCGAACGCGAGCTGACGGACGTCCACCTGCATTTTGTACCGGCCCCTGAGGACCGAGCATATCTGTCGCCAAGTGGGAAGGACAGGGTGAGGATCGGAGCTCCGCAAGCAAGTCGTTCTTGTGCGAATGGCTCTCAGCCCCGCGACCGGATTGGTACATGGACTCCTATCCATCCCACCCACTCTCAGCCCACTCCCACTCTCAGTCGAGTCCAGTCCAACTCACCGTGGATTTCATTTCCCTCGAGTCTGCCAAGATCGTGAAATTGACGCTTGACGATGGCTGTTCAACCTACAGATCGCAAACCAAGATGAAATCAGGGACTGCCCTCAGACCGCGCGTGCCAGACGAGATCCTCACCCCGATCAGAGTTGGGTGGATCGAAATCACTGTCCAAGCTCCAAAGTGATAGACTGTCGTTGCGTTTCATCGACGTTTTGGCTGTTCAGCTCGCCGTGACAGCTCTTTCCTCGAACTCGCAGGAAGCATCAGCACCAGCATCAACACCAGCACCGGCGCCAGTATCAATCTCTCCCACTTTTGTGCAATACCTGCTCCTTTCTGTTCTGCGAACCCGACAGAGCCACAGGTGTTTCGATTCGACCTGGGCTTGCTCGTTCTGCTTGGGTGACCGGGAGCGGCTGCACAACTGGCTTTGGCGCCGCTTGATGGCTGAGATCCGGCCGGCTTGTGCCGATCACATTGGCGATGGACCTGCTCTCGCTGTAGCTCGTAGAGGGTTGGCGGGGTTGCTCGGTGACAGGCGTATCGGCTACACCGATCTCGTCCAGGCTAAGAAAGTCATCGTCAAAGTCGATGCCTTCCAGAAGCTCATTGACACCCAGTCCAAACTCTGGCTGCCACTGAACCGAGGTCGAGCTGGGCAACACTTGGCTCGGCTGCGGCACAGCCTCCCAGGGCTTGAGGCGAGGTGGCTCGGGCCTCGCAGCAACGCTGGGTGCTGCCGTTTGCTCCCACGGCTTTCGGGCAACCCCTGAGCTCGCGTATGTCTGTGTCGTCGAAACCGTCCGCCCGGTTTCCCATGGCTTTTGGGATGGAGTGGGGTTGGGGCGCTGAGGCTCGGTGGGCCTGGCTTCCCAAGGTTTGCGCCGCGCGGATATATTGTTGGAGGGATGGATGCCTGCCGATATCTGTTTGGTAGCAGCCGGAGGTGCAGTCGATGCATTTTGAGCGGTTGTCGGACGCAAGGATGCCATTGCCGATCCTACCATGCTCGTTGCCCTTGATTCCGGATGCCGGAGGTTGCTCGATGATCCGACTGCCGATCCTGTCAATGTTCGTACAGGCGCCGTTGAAAAATCAGGTGTTGAGGCGATTACGGTCGCCGCTGCCGAAGCTGGCAGTGTCCTTGGTAACGATGCGGCTACTGCCGCGGGTGTCGAAACGGTCGCTAACGATGCTGTCGGTGCAACTGTCCCGGTGGGAATGGACATGGTCTTTGTCATGACACTGGATGCGCCTTGTGTGGCATTGAAACTGCTGGTGGCAGGGACTGGGAGCGCTGGCCGAACCCATAGGGAACTCGGCCTATGAGTAAGTTGAGGAGCCAGGCTGTTGTTGGCAGGCGTATGGCTTTGGTTGTTGAAAGCTCTAACGCTGCTTGGCTGCTCGATACTCTTGGCGTTATGGTGATTCCACTCGCGGATTTCGGTGTTCTTGCCGCCTGCCCCGTCCTCGTGACGCTCGGACATGTAGATGGCGCTGCCGTCGCTGTTGGCTACAAATCCCAAATCTCGGAGATCGTCGTCCCAGTCATCGTCGACATCGCATAGGAGCGCAGAGTAGTCGTTCTCGTCGTCGACACCCTCGTCTCGCTTGGTTGGAACGGGCGGGCTGACGGTGGGATTGGATCCATGTGCGTTGATTGACGGCTTGAGACAAACCGAGGCAGCGCCGGCATTCGCGGAGAGAGCGCGACATTCGGGGTTGGCAGGGACCGAAAGACCGCCACTGGCACTCGCAAGCCAAGGATAGACTTGTGCCCTGTCCACAACGGCGGCGGCAGTGTTGAAGACGCCCGGGATGGTTTCGTCTGGACCGGCGATCTGCGTCGGAACTTCGGCAGTGTCAAATGTGGAGTCTTCGATGTCGTCCATCGGACCTGCGAGCGATTGATCATCCTCCTCGGTGTTTTCCTGCAGATTGTCGTCGCTAACGACAAAATCGTCGATGCTGCCGCTGCTATCGATTTCGTGGTCGTCATCTTGATGGGGTTGGCTGTAGACATCTTGCTGGTGCGCGGTGCGGCGAAGCGGGCGCTCCTTGATCAAGAAGCCGCCGTAATTGATCCGCCCCAATCCGCCGCGGGTGGGGCTGAGGAGAGACCGGTGATAGAAGGCAATATCGCTTGGATTCGAAACTCGTCCTCTGCGGTCGCTGGCCGAGTCCCGAAGCGGACCCTTGGATCCACACGCTCTTTGATCATCGTCACCGGAGCTGGCCTCGGTTTCGTCGTCGGCAACCACAAAGCCTCCCAAATCTTGGTCCAAGTCCGAGCCGCTCTCGTCCGACGACCCAGATTCGTCCGCCTCTGCTTGCGAGAGCAAGTACTTTTTTGACTCGCTGAACTTGCTTGATTTGCTGCGGCGGACAGGTTTGGGAGCCCTGGGACACAGGTCCGGGTCGGCGGTGGGCGACCGGCGTCGACTGTCAAGGACAGGGCTGTTGCGTGCTTTGGGCGCCTTTCGCTTCGACCGCTGATAGCGGGCCATTCGCTCGTTCAGCGGTGTGCGCTTGGTCTTTGTTTGCAACTGATCGGCGTTGCTGGGATGTTCGGGGGATGCGCTTCTCTGCTTGCGCGCCCGTTCGCTGTCGCTGTCACCATCGCTCACGACTGTCTGGTGGAGTCGCTTTCGAGGAGCACTCGTCGAGGTCGAAGCGTGGGCGATGCTTGTAACTGCGTCGATATCGATGAAGCGTGGAATTCCGGCTGCCGAGACGCTGGCCCGCGGGATCTGGCTGGTCGACGGGCTGTCTATAACCACCTTTCCCTTCTTTCGGCGAACAAGCACGGGCCCCTGGCTCTGTGATGGAGACACTTGGTCGAAACCAGCACTGGCCTGGCGATCAACACCGGTCTTCGAATGTGTTGCTCGTTCAGAGGGTGGTATGACGGGGAGTGGGAGCCTGAAGGTGTCCGGTGCAACGGGATCGGCGGGAAGCGTGTCGGTATTCTCGTTGTGCATCATCAGCGTCGATGAAAGCGACGAGGTCGAGTTGCGGGTCCGCACAGGAGTCGAATTGCGGGGCCGCCATTCGCTCAGCGAGCACAGCCCCAAATCGACCTCGGCCGAGTCTGGTGGGATCCGTCCGAGTGACGAGCTCTGGTTGGTTCGAGCTGGAGACACGGCAATGGGAATAGGCTCAACCGGAAGGCTGCTGGTATCAAGTGTGACTGTGAACGATTCCGCCTCAAGCCCTCGAAGGAGTGACTCGTAAATGTTCTCGGTGGTCGGAGAAGCCTCGCCGTCTGCCCTTGGTTTCGCTGCAGCATCTATGTCGGCTCTGACGCCGTCAGACCGCCTCGGCTCAGAGACCAAGGCTACGTCTGCGGCTCGCTCAGTCTCGACGGAACTGAGAGACTCGCTATGTTGCCAGTCTTCAATATCGCGATCGGATCCAGTTTCGGCCTCGCTGATTGAGTCCATGAACCGACGGCCAGGTGGAGACTGGAAACAGTAGTCGCTTGCACTCCACACGGAACGGGATGTGTACGCGATTTGCTTCTCCTTTGTCTTGCGAGACCTGTCCAAAGCACGCAAAAGACTACGGTCGTCTCTGCGTCGGGGCGTTTCCGGAACAATTGGGCTTCCCGGGGCATCATCAACCTGTTTTGGCAGAGAGTCTGAGTGATTCGTCGAGGAAGGTCGAAGAAGGCCATCCGATTCGTTCTCGAGTTGATCAACAGAGAGAATGTCGATGGACTCAACACACTGCTCTGATCCGACGCTGGTCGAGAGAGCTGGGACCGTTTGGCGGCGATTATCGTTGCAGTCGTTGGAGTCGACGCAGTTATGTGTATCAACGTGGCGATGTGTTCGGTGCGAGCTGTCGGGCTCGACCGGTTGAATACGGTCTTCGGTTTGGCAGCCTTTGCCATTCTCAGCCGTATCAACGGTACAGGTGACATGTGTCCCATCAGTGAGGCCCATGGCTTCTGCGGCCTCTGCAGCTTCCGCGGCCTCTGCAGCTTCTGCGGCCCTGATCATCTCCATGTCATCGGCATATTCGGCACAATCGAAGCCATCCAGTTCCGCTGCAACTTTGCAATCCATAGCCTCCATGAGATCATCGCCGCTCCAAGAGACGTCGTAGTCAACCGCAGTCCATTCATCGACAGGGTCCTGCGCGTCAGCCGCATCGATTGAGTCCACTTGCGCTTCTGCCATGATCCCGTCATCGCTGAGGATTTCGTCAAAGACATTGTCGGAAGCTTCGCCCTCAACCCCATCCGAGGTGTAGTCGACGAGATCGACCGATTCCATCATCATCTGCGGACCATCTTCAGCTTCGAGAGCGATGCTCTCTGACAGAGACACAAACGATCGCGCATCGCCCTCTGGCACACAGTCGATATCGCCGAATGGATCCCCAGAATCCTCATCCATTAGATCAAGTGATTCGCAATTGGCTTGCAGGGGTATCTTCATTTCGGCTCCTCGATGCATTTTCGAGTCGGTAGTGCGATCGAGATCTGGCTCGCTTTCGGAAGTTGAACCAATCAACATAGGCGCGGGCGGCTTTGATGCGCCTGAACGACTTGGCGTTCTCAGATCCCGGCCGTTTCGACGAGAGATACCCTTGGAGACAGGTCGAAACGGCGAGCCGCTGTGGCGTCGACTCGACGAGGCAATCGGACGGGCGGACGGAGAAGTAACATCGACGCCCAGATCAGGACCAGAGTACTTGTTGTTTGAGGTTTTGGCAAGCTCGGGTGAGCGGTGAGAGGGGTGGAGAGGAGATGACCACGACAAATACGGATCGCCATCGTTTTCGCTGCCAGAATCGCTGAGGTTGATAAGATCCAAGCTCCGATGAACAGCAGGCGGGGGGCGAATGACGCTGTCGACTTCGACTTCGCTCTCATCTTCGGTATCGGCCACGATCGGCACTTTGGGCTGGAGACTGCTTGTCGAAGCTCTCTTGGACTTGGTCGGGGTCTTGGCGGTCTGTTGGCCAAGTCCTGTCCGGCTTCGGCTGCTGGTGTCATTGGTGCATAGAGAGATGTCGCTTAGATTGAGCGCTCTCTGCATCAGTGTTTTGTAGTTGTCGGGCTTGCCGTCCCTTTCGTCCTTGACAAGATTTTGCATCAGACTGATGAGCTTGGTGAACTGCACTGTCCGCTTAGAGCGACCCAGAACCCCTATCGAAGGAAGCAGGCGAGCGTGCCGATGGATGTATCGATTGAGGGGGATCTCCATAGCCTCTCCATCAGGGCAGTAGCCCGGCATAGCCAACAGCTCTTGCTCTTGCTCGACAGACAGAAAAGGTCCTTCAGGGCCCTGAGGTCCGGCTGACCGGCGCTTGGACCGACGCGATGTTCCTCCAGGCTCGACGACCATCGGAGGAATCTCGAGCTCCTTCTTGATGCATATGGGTCGCGTGCCAATCGGTAGCATGCGGCAGTGCTGCTCAGGATACATTTCGAGCTTCTTTCCCTGGCCATCGGTGATGAGCTTCTGCATGGCCTTGTACTTGTTCTGCGAGAGCTTGAAGGCATTTTGCTCGTGGCCTTCGGACATGAGCACCACGATTCGGCCGTCGCGCTTTCGCCCCGTTCGGCCCATTCGCTGGAGCATGCGAATGGGGGACGATTGCACATCAAAGCACACAATCAGATCCACGTCTCCAATGTCCAAGCCTTCTTCGCCAATGCAGGTGGCCACAAGGACGTTGTACTGCCCGGCCTGGAACTTGGATATAACCTGTATGTGGTGTTTCTGGAGTTAGCGTGCCATCGAGTAGCTACACAGAGCAGCGGGAGGGTGGGGCGCTCGAGTTGGCGGCGAAGGGCCTTTAGAGGAAGCGTCTTGATGAGTGTCGAGGAGACCTCGACAAACCACCTCCACATCACAAGGAAGACGGACGAGCGTTGCCAATGCTGATCTAGCACAGCCGGTGCCAGACCGATATCCCAGATCAATGAGACAACTTAGTCTCTGAGACCCAATATCTCCGTAGCAAACACAAAGCTAAAGAGCATCGACCATCCGAAATTACCTCGAGCTGTTCCTTTTGGGTGTAGCCCTTTCTCTCCTTCCCCTTGCTCTTGCCCTTCATGGCACTTTGCCCAACAAAGGACATGCACCGGACCATTGGTTCGTGCAGCTTGAGTGCCGCTGAGATCTCTTCGACACTCTCGCGGTACTGCGAAAAAATCATGACCCTGGTTTGGGCCTCGGCCGCAGAGATCTGCGGATTCTTTTGGACGTGTGCAGCGTGGTCGGAAAAGTGTTTAACGACCACGTCGATAAGCCGGTCGAGTTTCGGATGGCTGACAAACCCTTCGGCATCGAGTGCTGCGCCGACGCGATCCATTAGCGAGCGAAAGACTGGGTTGTTGATGATTTCTCTGCGTGCCCTGGAGACGCGATTGCCTGAGCTTTCGGCCTCGGAAATGTACTCTGTCAGCCGCGAGTGGAAGACCTTGATGCCGTGGTTCATCAGCAGGTTGAAGGAGCCGCACAGCGACATGGCAACGCCGAACATGCCTTCGATGGCCGAGGCCTTTCCAGGCGTCATATCTCCGCCAGCGCGGTTGTCGGCGCGGAAGCGGTCTCGGGCCTGCATGAGCTCGAAGCGCGAGACCACGGAGGGATCCGATTTGTAGAAAACCTTTGCATGGATCAGGTTTTTGAGATACTTCTGGGCGATGCCGCTGAAGTCATTGGCAATGCCCTGGATACTCTCGGATGGCTCGATGACCATGGGCTCAAGCGTGCGCACGTGGGTGTAGTTCTTGATGTCCAGGGACTCTTCGGTGCGGATCTCGATGCGGGAGATCATCAGGTTCTTGACGACCTCCTGTACTGCACGAGCCTCGCCGCCCGGCGTGGCAGTAAGGGCCAGAACCCGAAACTTGGGGTTCCGGCTCTGCAAATCCCGAACGACCTCGCAGTACGCGTAGTTGCCTGTAGCTCGATGGGCTTCGTCGACAACGAGCAGAGTAACGTCTTCGGCTGCGCAGGTGCCGCGATTGAGGTCGTTCTGCATGACGTTCGGAGTCAGGAAGAAGACTCTCTTGGATTTCCATCGCTCTCGCCGCAGCTCAGGAGCGATGACGCCGGTGAGAACATCGGTGTCGTCTCGCGGGAGTCCGACAATTGTGTAGCAGGCCTCGATCTGCTGGTTGACGAGGGGCTTCGTAGGGGCCATGAAGATAATCTTGCCTTTCGGGAACCAGAGATAGACTGCGGCAGATTGTTTTCATGGGCAGTCGGCATAGTCGTTAGTTGTCTCGGTCGGGATGGAGCGATTAGCCCAAATTCGATAGAGTCGATCGGTTCACAAACGCAACATCACAAACCGACCACTGCAGCGCCGGCATGACCGAGAAGGAGACAGACACCCGCTGCGATCACACTCACAGTTGTACATCACGACGGCAGCAATGAAGGTCTTGCCCAGACCGGTCGGGAGCGCCACCAGCGTATTGACGAAGAGGGCTTTGCTGACGATGTTGAGCTGGTAGTCGCGAATGCTCTTGTTGGTCGGGTAGATCCATGTTTTGATGGCCTCGGGATCGTATGGATGAAAGGTGGTCGGCTGCGACGGATGCTGGTCGTGGCTGGAAGCGAAACTCTGGTGGAGCCCGGGTGCGCTTGCCAATCGAGGGACATCGCTGTTCGGCCGTGAGCTGGCAGACGCCGAGTTTTGCGCAAGACTGGGTCGGGCATATGACGAGCCCGACGAGCTGGGTGTGGCCTTCAGGAAGAAGGGGTGGATCGGAACAGCAGCTTGAGTGCTTTGCGGAGGCCGAGCTGCGTTGCTAGGGATCGAGGCAGTTGAGACTGGAGTTCGAGCGACGCTCATGACGACGATCGCCCAGCAGCCGCAATCTGGAATCGGTGGATGGGTGAGCTGCGGCGGCAAATCAAATCAGTACCGCTGATACATATACGATGGGGGAGCCGAGTCCTTTGCCGAGTCGGCCGCCTGGATCAGACAGGGCTGCAGCGGTGTATGAGCAGCGCCTGAGCAGGCTTTTGGCCAGATGAGAGTGCAGTCCAAAGAACCGGTGGGAGCGAAGCGCAGATGAGCTGGTTCGGACAGACTTTGCAGATCGGGCAGAGAGCGGCCGTTATCTGACGGAACTATGAAGTTCGAGGCACCGACCCAATGCGAGGAACAAAAGGCGACCGGCTGAAGGCTGTCCGAGCAAGAGATCTGGCGGGGAGGGACAGCCAGGGAGTGTCCAGGACGGGGCTGGTCGATTTCGGGTGGTGGGCAGCCTTGGGCCGGCCGAGGAGATGCGAGGCAGAGGGCCGCCAAAGCCGAAGGGAGACGACTTTGCACCATGGTGCTGGAAACGAAAAATCGCCTCGCGCCAGCCGGTCAGCCAGAGACTCCCCAACCCATGCGACACACACCACCTGCGCCCAAGCCGACCGGCTCTGGTTCTCTGTATCTGGTGTATTGCGCTGCCGATTGGTGGATGCATAGCAGCATTGCCCATCAGATTTAAAACAAAAAACAGAGGGGTTGATGGACGGAATCGTGGTTGCGAGTCTCACAACCGATGACGGAGCAAGAATATGTGCTTGCCGATGCACCGTGCTCCAGACACAATCACTCATAGATCTCGCCGTCATCGTCCTCGTCATCGTCGTCGTCGCTCGCGCGCTTTCGCTTTGAGTGGGGTGTGCTGTCGTGGTCCCTGGTGACCGCCCGGATCTTGAACTTTGGTAGATCCGACGCCCTGTTGGCGGAGGGCTCCTGCGAGCTTCGTCGGTGCTTGGACGACTTTTTGCTGCTTCGGCTGGGAGCGACTCCCTCGCTCTCGTCACCGTCGTCGTCGATGCTGGGGGCAGTGGCGGTGTCTTGGCTGGGAACGTCCGGAACATCGAGGATGCCAGCGGATACCTGCGCGGCATAGGTGGAGTCAAAGACCGCTTCCATCTCTGAGGCGTCGGTATACACCTGGCTGCCCTCTTGGTTGTACGTTCTGGCATTGTTGAACATGAGCTTGAAGTCATCAACAAAGTCGTGCGGAAGCTTGTAGTAAGTAGAGTGGATGCGCGCTTTGATGATGTCCATGGCAATCGGCTGAGAGATGATCTTGTAATAGTCGGGATAGTGGGATCGCGAGGGCAGCTCCAGGAAAAGCGCCGAGCGCTGCACCGTGCCGTAGCTGCGCGGAGGAGAGAGAAGAGACATCGTCCGAATCAGGATACGAGTCAGAGTCAGGATACGAGTCAGAGTCAGAATACGAGTCAGAGGTTCGGAAGCTTGACGTGTGCCAAAGGATTCGCAGGGCTTGATGCTTCCACGCCGAGCATTGGCGACGTGAAAGTGGCAAGATACCGCCTCAAACAACGCACTGCCTCCGACGACGACACTTACCCATCCAGCTCATATTCACAGCCTTCGACGGCCTCATAGCACCTCATAAATAGCGCCGTCATGGCCTTGCGCTTGTTGGCCGGGATTGGATCGACTTCGTCATAGTCGATGCCCGTGATATCCTTCTTTCGCTTCTTGCGCTTGGGTGTGCTCTCTTCGACCTCGTCAAAGAGCGCTGAGCGGCTCTTTGAATGGCTGCTGCCTCCCTTTCGGCGGCCTGCACTGCGGGGCGAGTCCGTTGGCGTCTCGTCAAGCTCCTCGTCAACAACAACAGACTTGCGGCCCTTGTGGCGCGACCGCTTGGGTGTTTTGGTTTCGGCGACCGAGGAGTCGTCCGCGGCATCTGCGGCATCGGCAGCGTCGGCGGGATCCGCGGTATCGTCTCCGTCGTCGTCCTCTCGGCGCTTCTTTTCTTCTCGCCGTCGGCGGGCATCCTCCTTCTTCTGGATCAGCTCCTCGACGTCCTCGCCGGCATCGATGGCGTTGAGCCACTGCTCCTCGTTCAAACCGTCGTCGTAGCGAACTTCCTTGCGAGCACGGGCGCCCCGTCCAACCATCTCGGCTTCCTTTTCAGTCAGGTCGGTGGGGTCCATCAGGTAGACTGCGGGCAGCTCCTCGTCCGGCATCAATCGGGGTGGAGGTGGGCCGCTTCTTCCGGCCTCTGCCCAGTCGCGCCGGGCATTGATCTCACGTTCCTCATCCATCTTCTTGAAGAGCTCTACCTCGTCTGGCGAGCGAGCAATGATTTCGTTGAGCTCGTCGTCGCCAATGTCGGCCTCGTCGGTCTCGTCCTTGTCGTCCTCGTCTTCGTCGCCGCCAAAGAGAGACCGAAGCAGCTCTTCGCGCTCATTTTCGGAGGTTTTGTTGTCAAACTTGCCGGCCTGGATAACCTTGCCGTCGAGATCAAGCTTGTATTGGGCACGAGCCAGAATGTTTTCCTCGATGGACTTGGAGGTAATGAGTCGGAGAATGCGGACCTCCTTGGTCTGGCCAATTCGGTGGGCACGATCCTGGGCTTGGAGATCCTGATGAGGGTTCCTGGGGATCAACGCGATGCGGAGCAGAAACGAAAGGAGGGAAGGTGCCATGTGAGCGGGAGAGTGGCGGGAAAGAGGCGACAGGAGTGCACCAACGGCCTGATACCTACCAGTCCGAGTCAAAGATAACGACCGTGTCGGCAGTCTGCAAGTTCAGACCCAGACCACCGGCGCGGGTGCTGAGCAGGAAAATAAAGTACTCGCTGTCCGGGGCATTGAACTTTTTGAGCAGATCGCTGCGGTCGTCGGCTTTAATGCTGCCGTCGAGGCGCATATACTTCCAGCCACGGAAGTTGAGGAAATCCTCCATGATGTTCATGATGGCGGTCATCTGGAAAAAGATCAGGACGCGATGGCCGGTGCGCTTGTACTTGGGCAGGATGCGATCCAGCAGCTCAAATTTGCCAGAGACTCGCCAGATGTTGTTGTCGGTGTACTGCGATGGATTCATGAGCTCTTCGACTTCCGGAAAGACATACGGGTGGTTGCAGATCTTGCGGAACTGCATCACGATGTTGTTGAGAGCGCGGGTTCCGCCGCTCACTTTGGAGGAGCTGTGGACGATTGGCGACGATGAGTCACTGTGAAGGGGACAGCGCCGGATTTCCCATGCCACCAGAAATCAGCCTGACGTGAGCACGGTCAGGTCCCAAAACTTACGGTTCCGTATAGAGCGTTTTACGCGAGCGGACCTGCTCATACAGCCGCGACTGAAGCGCACTCAGCTTGCATTTGATGACATTCTCGACCTTATCCGGCAGCTCGGACTCGACGTCCTTCTTGAGTCGTCTGAGCAGGAAGGGGCGCAACACCTTGTGCAGGCGGCGGATGATGAGAAGCTGTTCTTCTTCGTTGAGCTCGATCTTGTCCTGTCCAGAGCCGGCCGCGGTCGAGAACGGCGAGTTGAACCACTCGTCAAAGGTCTTGACCGAGTTAAAGATCTTTGGGAGGACAAAGTTGAGAAGGGCCCAGAGCTCGGGAAGGTTGTTCTGGAGCGGAGAAGAGGCACGGTTTAGCATTCACTGCGCGGCTGCTGCTCAGACAGCACGACAACGACAACTGCACTGCATCGCGTTCCCGTCTGACCGAGGGAAATAACCATCTGATCCAATTCCGAACGCTGGACTCCAAACCGATCAGCCATTCCAACAATCCAGAGCCGCACGACACGCCGCCATCGGGCAAGTCCACGGCGACAGGGTCATACCTGTAGCGGCGTTCCCGTCAAGATCAAGCGATATCGTGAAACATAGTATTGCATCAAAGTGACAGAGAGTCGGCTGCTGGTGTTTTTCATGCGGTGGCCCTCATCGATGATCATGTGCACCCACTTAATCTTGGAGAGAATGATGCGGTCGCGGATGATGTACTCGTAGGTCGTCAGGAGCACGTTGAAGTTGCCAGCGCGCACTTCCATTGCCAGACGCTTCCGCTCCTGAGGACCGCCTTTGAAGCAGATCTTGCCGACACTCGGCGCCCACTTTTCAAACTCGAGGTTCCAGTTGGTGATGGTTGAGAGCGGGACGATGACGAGGAAGGGCCCGTTCTGCTTCTTCTTCTCGATGAGATAGGTGATGAGCGAGATGGTCTGGATGGTTTTGCCGAGACCCATCTCGTCGGCGAGGATGCCATTGAGACGGTTGTTGTACAGCGAAATCATCCACTGCAGACCCTTGAGCTGGTACTCCTTCAGCTTGCCACCGACAAGGATGGTGGGTTGGGCCGTGACGATCTCGTCGATTCTGTGGGCGGTCTTGTAGTAATCCATCTTGGACGAGTCGTCGAGCTCGCCATCGTCCATGTCCGGGACGGATTCGTTGGTGATGGCCTCCTGCTGGCTCCGGACGGCTTGGGTCAGGCTGTCGAGATATCCGTTGGTCTGGGTGAGCAGGTACGAAATGCGCTCGTTCTTCTCGCGATCGAGCAGCTCGAGATATTTCTCTTCGTTGTCTTCCTTGAGGGCCTTGAGACGCTCCTGCGAAACCCGTTGGATCCGCTTCTGCTCCTCCTTCTCGATGTTGACGTGCAGCTTGCCGACGAGGACACCGAGGCGGCCGAGCTTTTTCTGCTGCTGCTGATGGAATTCGAGCATCTCGCGGCCATGGCCCATCATCACATAGAGGGCGCGGCTTTGGTCCTCGCGCTCCTTCTTTTCGCGCTCGAGTCGCTGCTGACGCTCCTGCTTCTCGGTTTGTCGGGCCTCGCGCAGAGTCTGCTTCTTCATGCGACGATATGCCGAGCGATCGACCGAGGTCGTCAGGGTGGTGCCTCGCACCATACCTTGGACGAGCTTTTCTCGAACCTCGCGCTGTTTATCGAGGAGCTTGAGCGCCTTGAGTTCAATAAGGGCTTTCAGCTTGAGGCTGGTGTGAGGGTCCACCGACTCGAGCGAAGCGATTGCTTCGTTGGATAGATTCGATGGCAGCGACTCGAGCTCGCGAATGCGGTTCTGCACCCGCCCCCGGATTCGAGCCTCGCGCTCATGCTGGAGCTCGAGATAGTCGATGCCGATTGGGACCACTGGAGGGACAAGGGCTCGTTGCTTGATGGACAGAGGCAGGGTCGACGGGAGCGAGGAGCCGGCTACTGCTGTTTCGGACAGCGCAAGCCCGGGAGCCAGGGGGCCCTGGAGGGCAGTTGTGGGCTGGTGATAGGCAGTTTCGACAATCCTGCGGGTGATTGCTGCATTGGGAGCTGCTTCAGCCGAGGGGTCGGAGGAGTCGGGATACATGACGGCATTTTTGAGGTGCTCTGGAGGGACTTGGTTTGCAGCCAGGTGCCGGAATGCATTGATCTGATTCTTGAGCTGATCGGCTTGATCTGGGCGACCACAGTCAAGCACCGGCGGAGAAACGATGGCCAATGTCAGATGCGCACAAGCGTAGGGATCCAGGCAGCAGGTTCAGCTGGATCTGCGGTCTGGAATTAGCCACACAGCTGGTGCAGATGCTGTGCAGATGCTGTGCTCCCCAACTCGGAGCAAGCCGGGACGAACCTGGCGCAGGGACGCTGGCGGATGGGTGTGTCTGAGGCAGCCGCTGCTGCGTGTATTGGGCCTTGACGGTCTTGGATGCCTTCTGGTAGTAGCGAAGGATGTTGAGGAGATTGGCGAACTCGGGGTTGGCCTGTTCGGTGGCACCCTGATCCTTCATCTTTTGCGCAGCCTGATCCAGACCAAGATGGGCACGAAAGCGTCAGTGAGGAGAGTCGGGCGGTGCTGTATCCATGTGGGTGTGCGATAGCGGGCGCCCTGGCGAGTCAAGAGCAAGCAAGCAAGCAAGCAGGATGATTCCCGGGATCTGGTTGGAAATACTGACAACGATGATGGACCGGATGTACTCCTGCGAAACGCCCAGAGGAGCGAGCGGATCGGCCGGGACAGTCTGCTGCGGATGTGATTGCATGGCGGGCGCTTCGAGCTGGACAGTCGCTGGGAATACAGTCGATGCTCGGGAAGCGAGCGATCGGTTGGGACAAGGGCGCTGGCGGGCGATGGGGGTCGACTGCACGGCCAACGAAGGCAGGCAGCAGGGGACGGCGGCGACGGCGGACCGAGAAACAGGTACGACGGGACGCGGATACGCAGATCGGGATCTAGAGCGGGGATGCAGGAGGCGCCGAGCTCGGCCGGGAGGCTCTGCGTGCAGTTGATCAGCAGGATGATCGGCGACACGGCTGGTGGGTGGTCGGCAAAGGACCGGGGAGGAGAGAAAAGCGGCGGCGGCGACGAGCTCGGCAGCGAGACGCCGCTGCGACCGAGGAGCACCGCGGACCACACAGCAGCCGCCTCGCTGGCTTCTCGGTCGCAGCGGCGTCTCGGCTCGATCCAGGTCCGAGCGCCGCCCGCTGATTGGTGCGCAGTACACCAGCCGCCCTGGCTTTGGTCCGTTCTGAGAATCGGGCACTGGGAACTCGACAGCACCCTGGATCGGCCACATCCAGAGCCCGATGGCGATCGTTGTCAAGAGTGAGCGCTGGCTGGGGTTCCTGCGGTGGCTCAAGAGCCGCCGCGTGCCCAAGGCAAAGCTGGTCCTTGCCGACTTTGCAGGTGCGTCTGGCCAGCGACAGAATACAACGACGGTGAAGGCTCGAGGGCATCCGCGGCAGCATATGCTCGCGAACCAAATGTCACTGGCGAGCAATGGGTGCCCGCAGTGTCTCGAGCTGCAACTAACCGGCTGTATATTCGACACGGACCCGGCGGGTTCCTGCGAACGGCAGATTCCGGACGGGGGCTGATGGCCACCCGGGACATTGAGGCTGGCGAAGCCATCGTCGATATCCCCGAGTCGGTCCTGATCACCCGGAGTGTATTTCTGGATTCTTTGGCCAGAGAGGGAATCAGGTATAGACTGCACAGACTCGAATGCGCTGCTGGTCGAGTCTCTCGTACTTTGTGACAGCGCACAAGCGACACGGATGATTGAGAGTATCCCGATCTAATCCTATGGCTTGCCCTCGAACTGCACTCCAATTGGCAGAGCGGATCAGGAATGGCCCCTCTCTGAGCACCAGGCTCTCACCCTCTTCTTGGTCTCTCAGCGCCTGTTTCCAGAGGCAAAGTGGGCACCCTATGTCGCAATGCTTCCAACCGAGTTTGACTCTGTAGCCTCTCAGCTGCCCGAGGAGCTGGCTCGACTCTTGCCGAGCGACTTGCAAGGTGCGGTCGGAAAGATCGAGTGTCTCGCATGGGATGGGACTGGTTGGCTGAGCGGATCGATAATAGCCACACCTGCTCGTCGCCTGGATGGAGACGATACGGCCACGCTGATGCCACCACGATCGAACCAAAAGACAAGATCAAGGAACAGAGGCACAAGCTCAAGCAAGACTGGACTGCGGGTTGGGACTTTCTGAAGGTGATCGTCTCACACGGCGAGACCGCCCATGCCTTGCAGCTGTCGCTCTGTGCAAACCATTCCCATTCGAATCGCTCTAACGCCCCTGATTCGCCGCAAAGAACATAGATCGAGCCTCGGAATATGCCTCGATGGATGAGCGGCTTTTTGAATGGGCATGGCTGGCAGGTTAGTGCCGAGACGGCCGGGCGTCGCTGGTTCGAGGGACCTCGCTCGATGCGATTTCAACGTCGAAGCACGCAAACGAGGCCGATGCTGAAGCTGCTGCTTGGGACCAAAAGTCAGTACCAGATGCATCACGCTCGAGAGCACCAAGAACAAAACCATGGACTGCACAATCGCTCTGGCTCCGATGCTGGATTTCTTGAATCACTCGCTCGAGGCTCAGGTATCGATGCGTTGCGGATTTGGTCATCTCTGATGGGTTGGGTCGAGTGCCTTGACAAGATCAAGCGATGGAGATACATACTGGAGGTGACAGCTTTCGCCGGTGCTGATACCTGCCTGGTGTCGTGTGCAGGTCGAGACGGGCTTTGATCCGACAACGAGATCGTTCAAGATCACCACCCGCCGACCCTACCGGCGAGGCACCGAGGTCTTCATTTCTTACGGTCCGCACGACAACAGGTATCGTGGACTCGAGCTATCAGGGGTGCGGCGACGGATTCCCGAAGCATCCGCGTCCCAATAGCATTCATCTTCAGAAATGCCGAGTTTGTCCAGGGCCTCGACTGACGATTCGATTCTCGGACATTGCCCCTTAGCTTCCTCCTGGCCGAATATGGATTTATATTGAAGAACAATCCGTACAACCACATCTGTGTCGATCGAGAATTCGACAACATTGCGCTCCCAGGCGAGAGACCAGACTTTCGCAGCAATGTACTTCGGATCCTCGAGCAAGAGGGACTGAAAGGGTACGTGGTCTCGATGGCTGGGCTCTGGGTGTGGATGGATGGCTGCTGGTGTTGGAGTTGCGACTCGATCGGGGCTGATCGACAATGTCATGGATCTGGAATACCTGCAGGGACTACACCCTGCACGCCTCCGAGGCGTCGTACCGTCTGATGATGGCCCTCCGGCTGCGTGTGTCGACGACGGCTCGAGACTTTAAGGATGTGCTTCGGCGATGGTACCAGGTGCAGCGCGGGGAGCGTTCGACGGTCTCGCCAGAGAACGAGGCCGCTGCCCATGAGACGCTGCTCCAAATCATCGACCGACTGGAGGACCACTATCGGCTGAACGTCGATGAATGCCGAGCGATAGCTGCTGCGCGTCTGGAAAGAGCGGCGTTTGATTATGGCTCATGGTGCGTTGAGGAATTGCTCGGCGAGCATCTCGAGATGCTGCTGGCGTTGCGGAATACAATCTCGGCTCGGGGCTGAATCTCCATGAAAGCACGCGCCAGTCATGCCCCATGGCAGCGAACGGTGTCCGATTTGTGGCTGGCCCCGCAACCTTCCGAGACGGAGAGGCTCGAGGCTGCCCACAGACATGCCCCGAACCCACCGATGCGGGTGGGAGAGCAGAATGGTTTAGGCGCCACCGCAGACAGTGTGTCGAAGGCAATTGGGGCATCCAGCAGGTTCAGCCGGCGGAGACCCCGACTGCAGCATGGCGGGCGATTGGTGCGAAATTGCATTTGGGGGCAGCCACGGGCTCAGACGCCATGTCCAGCGACATGACGTGCTCGTTTGCGTGGATCCGAAACAACTCTCCAGCGCGGGACAGAGACACTGGGCAGAGCGGGAGGAGATTGAGACGACAGCACGGAAGTGGCAAAAAGTGCATGGTCCGGGAATCGAACCCGGGTCTGCCGCGTGGCAGGCGGCAATTCTACCACTGGACCAACCATGCGATGGGCGAAATATCCCGTTTACACTATACGTCCTCTCTAGTCTGTCGCCACAGCGACTTTCCAGGCAAACTCGATCATCCTCAACCGATAGACAAGATCCCGGGGCAGACGAGCTGTCTGAGCGCCAAAATCCCTCCTTCGCCTGAGCAGCGGGACAGCCACCGGACGACTGGTGCATCCCACAGCCGCTCGGCCGGAGCTCGCGGATCGAGCGCAAGGCGGGCTGGATCCCAGCCAGCGCCACTGCCGTCCCGCCTCGGTTGCAGATCCATCCATGCCAGGTGGTTGGCGGCTGCGTCCTTGCCAGAGACCTGCGTCGGCTCAGTTGCAAGTTATTTTTTTTCCTTGTCGTCCGCACAGATCCACCCATATCGACCCGTATCGCCGGTCGGTTCCCCCCCCCCTGGTTGGTCGACCCAATCGCACCCCGGCAAACACCACGTCGTTCCGGCTCGGTCCGCATCCCCCTCACCCTTCCAGAGACCCTTCGCCTCGTCTGGTTATAAAACGCACCCCCGCGCCTGCTCGAGGTTTCTGTCCTTGCTCCCGCCGAGCATTCATCCTCAGCAAGTCCTCGCCGAACCATGCCCACCAGCGAGCGCTTGGAGTTCTTTTATCAAGTCGTCAGCAGCATCATTCTGTCGAAACAGAATGCTGCGACCGGCCTGGTATGTGAGCTCCCTGACCAGTTCCACGGCCCCCTCGGCCGCCGATTCCGCCTGCATGTCCCTGCTTCGGCTCTTCAGCATAGTCCTGCACCATCGACCGACATCATAGCCTCGCAGAATGGTCCCAGATTGGTTGGCTGCTCTGCTTCCATGATACAATGAGAGCTCATATACGATGCCGTCGGCTGATTCCCCGATCTCTGCCGCTGGCGCATCATTCCCACACCAGATCCCGGCCTCTGTGGCCATAACCACCCATGGCGATTATCGCGATGCCTGGGTCAGAGATAACGTCTACTCGATCTACGCCGTGTGGGGTCTCGCGCTGGCTTATCGCCGCATCGATGACGACCAGGGCCGTGCATGTACGTGCTGGATCATTTTCGTTTTCACTCTGGAGCCGAATGGCCCTGTCTCGCAGCTGCAGGGCACCGGTTTGACGACGTTGGCTTTAGTCACAATGACGGCCTCGGCACCACAGATTTTGTGGGCCACGCTATTCTGCTTGGGCCGCGAGCTGCAATGAGCACAGCGACTCATCGTGGATGGGCGCCGTCGTCTGCACCCGACATTGGCCGATTGTGATCTCTGGCCGCGGCTTTGTTGCGGATGCAGCCTTGGATCGCAGAACTCCCGCTAACGATCATCCTCCGTCCGCTGCTGTCTGCACCCTGTTCGGCACAGACCAACTTGAGCACGCCACCATCAAGTGCATGCGTGGTCTCCTGTATGCCATGATCCGCCAGGCACACAAGGTCGAGCTCTTCAAGAATACTCAGTCGGTCAATGACGCTCTCCATGCCAAGTACGTTGACTCGGCAGCAGGAGTGTGCCGTCAAATCGTAGGCTGGTTGCAGTCGATGCTGGTGCTGCGCGATGGAACTAACCGGTATCTGCACTGCTCGTCCTGGTGGAATCTGTTTTGTTGCAGATACAACACCGCCACAGGCGACACCGTCGTCGGCGACCACGAATGGGGCCATTTGCAGATCGACGCCACCAGCATTTTCCTTCTCTCCCTCGCCCAGATGACGGCGAGCGGTCTGCAGATCATATTTACCATGGATGAGGTTCATTTTGTGCAGAACCTGGCCTTCTATATCGAGCGTGAGTATTATCCTAGCTTGTATGTCTACCGGAGGCATAGCGGACTGTAACATGCGTGATCTAACAATTGATGGTGCCCTGACTGCGTTGGTTCTTGTACTTTCTCAGGAGCATACAGGTGATCCATTCTGCATCGATTATCGGACCAGCAGCGTGTGTCTATCGACAGATCATCCATCTGTGCCGGTCGTTTCGAGCCAAGTGGCTGCATCTAACAACTGCTTATGGGCTCTATCTGCAGAACCCCAGACTATGGAATCTGGGAACGCGGCAACAAAATCAACCACGGCACACCCGAGCTCAACTCCTCCAGTATCGGAATGGCTGTCGCTGCTCTCCAGGCCATCAATAATCTCAACCTGTTTGGCTCGCGCGGTGGGCCTGCTTCGGTACGGTAGAGCCTGATGTTTCTTGCTGCTGGTGGCGCTGACGGCTGACAGCTTGCTGTTTTACTGGAATTGTCCCTACCGTCTTGTTCCTCTTGCTGTCTATCATCGCAATGAGACACAGTCTGGACTGTGTGCTGATAAACAGCCGGATCCTCGCTTACATCCGCTTTACAACGGACAACATTGATTGATACTTTGGACGCTGCGCCGTTTGACTCCCGCTTGCGCTCTCCAGGTTATCCACTCGCTCCCGGATGAGTTCACGCGTAACTACACGACGCTCTGTTCGGCGCTGCCGCGAGAATCCAACTCGAAGGAGATCGATGCTGCAATCCTCTCGGTTATCTCTTTCCCTGCCTTTGCCGTCGCCGACCAAAAGCTGGTCGACCACACTCGCAGCGAAATCGTCAAGAAGCTCCAGGGCCGCTATGGTTTGAAGCGCTTCTTGAGAGATGGCCACCAGACCGTTCTTGAAGACAAGACTCGGTATGTGCCGGCAGAGAAACACGACAGTGCGCCCTCTCTGCTCTGAATGACTGTCCTTGACATGGAGCTCAACGCAGGCAGGAGAGGCCTTCCGGACTGGGTGAAGCAATTCGGCACTGCACGGTCGATGTGCTATGCTCGGTGATACCTGTACCTGCGATAGAAGCCCCCATTAGCGATGCGCTATTCTGAGTCTCTAAACAATCGTGTCTTTCCTTTGGCTCTGACAGACTCCATTACGATCCCCATGAGCTCAAGATATTTGAAAACATCGAATGCGAATGGCCGCTGTTCTTCACCTATCTGATTCTGGATGCCCAGTTCCGCGAGGACCAAGCCGCCGTCGAGGAGTACCGCCGTTTGCTCCAGCCCCTTCTGGTCGACAGCTCGACTTTGGAGACCTTTTCTCCCGGCGAAACGCCAGGGTCACCATACCAGCGCCGCCCGCGCATGCTCCTCGTCCCGGAACTCTACATTGTTCCGAAGGAGGCCGTGGATGCCGAAAAGAACGAGCCCGGCTCTCAAGAACGCGTACCCAACGAGAACCTGCCTCTCGTCTGGGCACAGAGCCTCTATATCCTGGGAGAGCTGATTCATGAGAATTTGCTTTCACCCGCTGAGCTGGATCCGCTGGGCCGCCGATTCCTCCCGAGCCGATCCAAGAACAAGTCTGATGTCGTCGTGCAGGTGGTGCTGATTGCCGAGACGCTCGAGCTTCAGGCGACGCTTTCAACTTATGGTCTGGAGACCCAAACGGTTGAATCGTGCGCTCCCATCGTCATCTCGCCTCCGTCAGCCCTTCGAGATGCATTCACTGCTCTGGGCGAGAACTCCAAGCTGGTGAGTGACTGTGATCGAGTGGGTTGGCATGGTGCTCGTTCCAACGCATGACTTTGGTCGAGGTTTCAGTTGCTGATCAGAAAGTGGCAGAAGCCACCGTGTTGAGATGCTGAAGCTGTGGTTTGATACCCAAAGTGCCTGGGGCTTATCATCATGGAGAGCCTTGCAGCCGGTCCTAGCACTGACTGCGATTTGCGCTTCTATAGCAACTCAGCGGACGCCCAAAGCGACCCATGGGCTCCCTCAGCACCTCCAAGCTCTATCGCTGCCAAGGGCGCATATACGCCTTCCTCCCCCATTTCATGGATCGAGAAGAATTCTACCTCGTCAGCGACTACAACTACCTGATCAGCGTCTTTGAACAGGAGCTCAAGTTTGTCCAGAACAACTGGTGGGGGGCAGGGCGCCCGACCATGGTGGTGATGCTCACGCACGAGATGCTTGGCAATTTGGGCCCGACGCCTTCCGAGATCAGCGGCATCCGTTCTGGAGCCCCGCCGGGCAATCATGGCCACTGGCGCGTCGGAGGCCGTCACGATAAGCGCAATCTCTTGAACTTTATGATGTCGCTGCGCTCTGGCTCGTGTGCTGGCGTCCGGACCCGCCTGGGCCCGCTCTCAGAGATGATCAACACGGCTCGGATTGAGTCGTTGGACTTTCTCAAGGGCGACAACAGCACCTACGACAGCAAATGGCACCACATCCTCTGCGGCAAGCCCCATCCCCAGAGCGACATCCGCCGACTCCCTCTCTCGGAACAGGCAACTCACCAGAGCAGCGTCGAGAACTGGCACACAAAGTCTCCGGGAAGAAGAAGCGTGCGCCGACACAGCGGCGAGTTTCACCCGTCCAGCTTCCCGACAAAGTCGCCGCTCACCTCACCCTTCTACCGAGAGGAGCCCCTGCATATGTTGTACGACGAGTCCGGTGCGCCCGAGTCGTTCAAGCTCCGCGACCCAGTCTACAATTCTCCCACCAAGCTTGAGATGGGGCTGGCCTGTGCCGCCCCGCCGGCATCGTCCCTGGTCGAGACTCCGAGCACGGGCGATGGTGAACCAGCTGTCGCCAATCCTATTGCGCAGACGGACTCTGGTCAAGCTACTGCGCCGCAGGATGCCGCCGTTGATGGCATCTCCAGCGACTTGCTGACCCTGACCCTGGGCGATCCTTCGCAGTTTGACAACTCGGTCAAGCTGCTTCGAAACTCGGCCAACCTCTACGACCAGATTGATTTGCTGCACTACCTGCATTCATGCAAAGGGAGCGACCATGTTCTTGAGGACCTGGGCACCGTGCGCTCGCTCATCGAGGAGGTCTACCAAAAGGCCATGCACATGAAGCAGTGGAGCATTGTCCGCCAAGCGGCCGGCTTGCTGAATAAGACAGTCAACTCGCTGACAGTCAATGTGGCCGATTTGCTCATTCGCCAGCGGCCCGTGACCGTTGGCTTCGGCCCGAATGAGCACCCGATTGCCAATCCGCAAAGCCCGATCATCCTCTCTGAAGTGATCTACAAGAACTGGTAAGCAATGGTGGCATTCGGCTCGACCCAACATCTGATGAATCCAGCACTGGCGATGCAAGTCAGCACCCGAATGCGGGCGCGCGCAACGCATTCCAATGCCATCGTCCATGCCAAATCTTTCAGCATGCTAACACTGATGTCCACGGATTCGCATTGGCAGCGCGAGCGATGTCCGCGAGGCGCCTCTTGTCCAGGAGGTCCTGACGTACCTGGGCTCGTTCATTCGAAGCCAGCCGTCGCTGTTTGAAGGAATCATGCGCATTCGCGTGCACTACGTCATCATCGCCCTTCGCGAGGAAATCTCGCGCATGAAGGGATGTGACGAAGAGATGGCCGTGGAGCATCTCATGCAGGTGAGCATACATACACACGATGGATCATACGACTTGGGACGCTGTGGTGTCGGCCGTGAGGAATGCATCGCCGACTGCCCTGCGACCTTGCTCACTCGCAATATGCATTGAACCACAGCTGAGCCCCTTCGAGATGAAGTCGCTGCTGGGACAGGTGCTCAGCGCCTGCGAGCAAACTGGCAGCATTGTCCGCGAGGGTCCAACTTCGGCGGTTTCCAAGAGCATCCAAGTTCAGGCGTCGCGAGTCAGTGTCCCCAGCAATCTGAAGCTGTCATCCAGTGGCGTGCCCCTCCCAAGCCTCTTGACGATCACTGCCGAGAGTGCTGGATTCTCGGCGGGCCATTCTTCGCGCATCCGCATCACCTTGGACGGCCAGGAACAGAGCATCCCTGGACTTTTGGGCCGGGGCTTGAACGTCATTGTGCTGGATCCGCTCGACGGCACGATTCTCGAAACCGCCAACTTTGACACCCACATCTCGCCATCCGAGTCGGATGAGTTTGCGGAGATGGTTGAGTTTATGGAGCCTGGGCTGATCGTCGTTGTGTTGGCAAACGACGACTGCCAAGGCAACCTGACCGAGGCTGCCATTGTTGCTTGCGAAGCCCTCGGGGCAACCCAGATCCGGACCGTCAGCTACCGGGACTCGTACTGCCTCATTGGAGAGAAGGGCCCCGAGAGGGGTGCTGCGGTCGAAAGCCACCAAGAGGCCGACAACCGTGCCGTCGCAGTGCTCAACAAGGTGTATGATCTCGTGGCCCGCCGCAAGAAGGTCATGAACTCGATCGGATCGCAGAACTTTACAACGTCTTATCTCAGCTCCATGATGATGCCCAGCAACGGCAAGTGGCTGCGGCGCAGAAAGAACGACGGGGCCCTCAACCGCGTGCCCCCTGGCTTCTATCCCAAAGTGTGGGGGCTGCTGAGCAAGTGTCAGGGCATCTTGATCGGCAAGGAGTTCCTCCCACGCGACCCCACCGTCAGCGAGAAGACGCCCGAGGAATTCAACTTTGGTGGGTTTGCCTGTTTGTGGGCGGCTACAACAAGCACAGCTATGCTCGCATAGCTGGAATGGGCCGGGACACTGGCGGCTCTGAACCAACAAGCTCACCCATCTGCTCTGCCGATTCACTGTGGCTACTCCGTTAACTCTGTCTATTCCACCGATTCGTTTGGTCTGCTCACAGGCCTCCAAGTCGAGTCCCTGCTCGACCACATCCCGGACCCTGCCGAACGACAAATTGCGGTCGAGTGCGTCACCGTCATCCACCGCATCGGCGACCGCAATCCCGAGATCCAGATCAAGCCCGATGCCCTTGACCTCATGAAGGTAGTTCGGGCAGCGATCCAAAACTACTGGCAAGATTGGGCCAAGAAGAGCCCCAATCTCGAGGCCATGTCGGCGTTCACCGATGCCGTCGACGATATTCAAGAGTGCAACGACCTCCACTGCCCACGCCCCAGCGCCATCGCTCAGAGCAGCGAGGCCAAGGGCAATGGCGCCCCCGGACAGCCCCCACGCCGCTCCTCGCCTCCGCTGGAGAAGATGAAGGAGGGCGCCAAAATGCAGATCTCGCCCGATCTCACCTTTGAGCGCAACGAGCGCCTGGCCCGCCGCCTCTTCTTTGACCTCCCGCAAGACGGCAAGGACGGCACCATGGCCTATCTGGCAACGAGCTGCGTGCGCTTGCTCTTTGATGTCAAGTGGTCGTCGGAGCACTGAGCGCAAGCTGTGGAGATTTGGTGCGGCGCCTTGTTCGTGGCGATTCGGCCTGGACCACGATACGACAGCGATGGCCGCAAAGCGGTGAAAGCAGTCCGGCCTTGAATTAGCTGCAGCACTTGGCTTGGCTTTAGTCGCTGTCGATGTGGTGGGGTGTTTCTTCCTTTTCTCTTCCTGACTAGCTTGCGCAGTACCAGTTTGATATCTGTGCTGTTGAGTGAACAAGCAATGGCTCAACACGATCACTGCTTGAGCATGTGCAAGTGCCATCCATATCGGCGACGGCGAGCGGGCTAAGCTGATAGGTGCCGCAGTTTCCGGCCAGAGCGATGGAGGATCGAGGCTGGAGCACGGCCCAGAATCACCCGGTGTCTGCAAATATTACTCGGCTTCATCCACACTGCCTACGGATTCGGGATTGCCGCGATGCGACGCTGCAGACGGATATATATCGTGCACGACACTTTGCTCAGCCGAGCACTATATTGTAGATACTGGAACGGAAAATTACAGCGGCTGTTTGGACTGGGAATGCGACAAGGGCGGTGGCCAGAGGGTGTCATCTCGCAGACGATTTCAGCCACAGGCAATGAAACGACTTGAGAAAGGGGAGCATCAACGAGATCGGGCCAGAGCGATGCAGCGGCGTCGCCTCTAGATCAGGTTGCTGCGGCTGTCGGCGCGGCTGACCAGGCGCGGATCCTCGGGCTGGTTTCGGCCAGAGCTTGGGGACCGGGCATGCGTTGGCGGGGCGGGCTGCCGTCGAGAGGCATCGTCGCGCCGGGAGCTCATTTCGTACTGCTCGTGAGCGCCGGGGCTGCGGGGATTCGCCGAGGTCGGGGGGCGAGGGCCAGAGGGTCGACGGGACTGCGACGATGGCTGGCGCTGCTGCTGGACGCCGAATCCAGAGCTGGCGTCGGTATTGCCGGAGGGCTGACGCAAGTGTTGCGATGGAGCGTGGCTTGGGTTGGATGCGATGCCGTTAGAAGGCTGTCGTTGGTGCTGGACGGGTCGCGGGCCACCAGGGCCACTAACGGAGGAAGACTGCTGGAGACCACGAGGAGAGGCGGCGCTGTTCGAGGGACGACGCTGCTGCTGAGGAGACAGAGGCTGGCCGTTGGAGCCGTGGCGCCCATGGCCGGGGATCTGGGGCAGGTTGACCAGGCGGGCCTTGGCGATCTTGCCCTCGCGAGTGTTCTCGAATCCCTTGCCGCCCTTCTTCTTGCGGATGTAGTCGTACAGATCCTTGTATCTGGGCTCGTAATATTGCGAGGCTTGCTGTTGATGCTGGGGGAATAGGGTCAGGGTCCACAGGGGCTTGGTGAGGGCGGGGTTGAAGACGCGGTCCGAAAGGACAATGTCGCCCTCTTCGTTGGCAGTCTGCTGTCGGTGGTAGTCCTGGAGAACCATGTTGTCCTCGGAGACGAAGGCAGCACGTGGGGCAACGTATTTCCAGATGGCAAACCAAAAGAGTGCAGTGAAGATGGGCAGGATGCCGAGCATGATGTTCTGGGCCCGAGTGATGGCCACGCCGTCGGTCAGGGTCGAGGCGTTGGTCACGAAACTAAAGCAGATGAAGGTCACGAGCTGCCAGAAACCAAAGCATATGCTGAGAAGATTGAAGACCTTGGGCCACCACGTGCCACCGGTTTCGTTCTGGGTCTCGTAGACGTAGGTGAGCTGGTAGCGCATGACAAGATAGGCCAGGAAAAAGAGCACCCAGGCAAAGATGGTGGCCAGCGGGGCGACGATGCAATAGGCCGATCCCAGCAGGAAGACCAGGAGCAAGTTGCTGTAGACAAAGGTGCAGCTGAAAGTCGGCAGCTTGTTGAACTCTTCTTCCGATCGAGGGGTGTTGCGGAGGGTCAAGCGCTTGATGTAGCCCATAATCAGGCGCGCGGCCTGAATGATTTCGGTGGCGTATCCTGGGAAGCCGGCGGCGATCAGGACAATGTAGTAAGTGGAGCTCTGGTTGGACAGGGACAGTGAGACCGAGGCCGAGGCCGATGGTGAACAGTCGGTGAGTTTGGTGTGCATGCGCGAGACACGCTGGCAGCCCACTTCTTGCCGTATCTTGTGTCGACAGCGAGCGAGGCACGGCTGTTGCCGGCTGGAGATGGCTTACCGTGATGAATCCCATAGACGCTGCCTTGAGGGCAGTCTCCCAAGTATAGGCCGAGAGCGCGTCATCGCTGCCGCCGACAAAGCTGGTCACCGCCGTGACGAGCGAGCTCAGGGCCACCAGAAACACGACCTGGTAGACCTGGAAGGCAAAGAACTTGTGGAGGACCGACTTTTGCTTGCCCGTGTTGCTGCTGACGCCCTGGAAGTACGCCAGGAAGCCGAGGCCATAGTGCAGCGCAATGTTGAGACCAACGAGGACGGCGGGCGCCACAAAGGCCTTGAAGAAGACGTTGACCCACTCGTGGCTGGCGACATAGTCGCTGAGGGCGGGGAAGCGGCGGCTGAGGCTCTCGAGTGAGGTTGTGGTGCTCACAAATCCGACAATCACAGTCCAGAGCAAGATAAGGGCTGCGATGAGGAAGGACAAGAGCCGGTTCAGCCAGGGCATCACCAAGAGAGCCAGCGATGAGGGACAAGCGATGAGGGACAAGCGATGAGGGACAAGCGATGAGGGACAAGCGATGAGGGACTAGCGAGGACCAAAGCCTCGAGAGCGCGCGTGGTGGCTGCCAAGGATGCGTCCTCGTCTCGACAAGAAATTGCCAGATCTTACCGATCGTGATGCCGATCGCAGTGAGCTGACGGCTGCGACGGGCGACCCCGTTGAGACCAATATTCTCCCAGATGATGTCGTCAAAGTGAGGGCTCACTTTCAGGGACGGGGGATTGACCAGGCCGGTTCTGACGGTGATGGCGGCCGGGACGCGGTACCGGCGGGCGCACGAATGAGCGCCGACGGCGGTGTCAAAGAGGATAAAGCCGGACGCATCTTCCTTGAAGGCCGTATCGCCGAGACTGCGGATCTCGTAGATTTCCTCCTCCAACTCCTGCAGGCGCTTCTGGCAATACTCGATGGTCTTGACGCGGTGGCCGCCGAGGATGCCGATGTTGAAGAGCCCGCCCTCGAAGTGGTAGGGATCCTTTGGCGGCTTGTTGGCTTCGGCCAGTTTCAGATTGCGACAGACAGCGACTTCAAGCAGACTCATCAGACGCTGGTGTTCCAGGACGAGATCGGGCAGGATTTCCACCTTTCGCCCGACAATGGCCTGCCTGGGTGCTTGCTGGAGACCGAGGCGGCTGACGAATCCGATGAGAGCGTCGTCGGCTATCAGGGCTTCGGGCACGTTCGTGAGAAGCAGGGTTCGTTGGTTGTCGGCCTTGCGGAATTGGTCGGATTGGAACCACTCACGGCGGAACTCGACGTACGTGGTCCAGGTAGTGTAAATCAGGTCTGAGAATATGGGCGCGGGGTCAGAGCGAGCGCATTTGGCCAGGTTAAGAGATGCGAGGTGGAAGTGGGAGGGAGCGGATGAGAGGCACTCGAGTACATGGCCGGCCCGACCAACATATGGACGTGCACCTGCCTGTCGGCCTGCCGGCCTGCCCTGCCAATCGACGCAGCGATACTTACAAAAGCCAACAATGGTGTAAATGTAGGCGAGAGCGACATAGAGCCAGAACCAGTTGCGGGCATCTGGGTTCAGGTTCTGGAGCGAGAGCGTGACCAGCTGGGGGTTGGGGATCTTGTCGAGTGGGTTGGACGAGTTGGATGCGGCCGATGTGGTGATGTTCCCGGAGATGGTATCGTCAACGCTGAAGCCCGGAAGGCCAGTGATGCGAGGGGCATAGTAGTTGAAGATCATGAGCGGAACCGAGACGATGGCTGACATGGCAAAGAAGCGACCGCACAGGCGCAGGAAGGCCAGGAACATGACCGAATCAAGGCCGATTTTGTGGACAAGCCGGCGTTCATCGGTGCGAAGCGCAAGGGATATCCACGAGGTTGGGTTGCGGCTGTGGATGGGGTCGGGCCGTCGCTGCGGGTCCTTCAACAGCTCCAGACGAGGTTCGTAAACTCGCTTCTGAGTTGGGCGGAGCACGCTGAAGGCGGCCAGGATGCCGGCGGCAACGGCAACCTGAACGCCAAAGGAGACGGCAACACTCTTGAGGTCGGCGTCAGGCATCCGGGGAGATTGGGGTGGGGAGAAAGGAGGCCAATGAGCACCAGAGGAGTCCTTGGGACGAGGCGGAGGACGGCGGCTGGGGTGGTTGAAGATCGACAGCCAAAGGTTGGCGATTGAAGGGGGGAAAGGGCCGTGGGAAGCCAAGTGGGAAACGAAGTGGGAAACAGCACAGCCCGAGAGCCAGACCGAGAGCGCATCCACCCGAGAGCGCGCGAGAAGGGCCTCTCGGCGGGCGAGAGCGATGCCGAGACCGCGCTGCCCAGAAGGTTGCACGCGCGACTGGTGCAACCTGTGGTAGCACGGATTCCGTTTCGGGCAGCGCGAGGACACTGCCACAGAGAGCCTGCAATGAGTACAGAGACTGTGGTGCCCGCTCTGGCCAATCAGCGGGCAGCATGACATCGATCCCGGTTGGGGTATCATGGAGTTTGTCGCGCCAAGCATGAGGAGAAAGCGAGGGATGAGGAGAAAGCGAGAACGAGGAGAAAGAGGAGAGTGCTTGGTTGTGGCCGATGCTGTTGCGGCACACTGACGTTGGGCTCGGGTGGTCGCCGCCGGCCGTCTTTCCTCTCTTGCTCTCCTGGCTGTCGTCGACACCAGGGTGTCCAGCAAGGGGGTTGGGCTTTTCTTTCCAGATTCGCCAGATTCGCCAGTGCCGTCGTGGGGTCAAGCTTGCCGATTGCATCTCGAGACCAAACGCTATCTTGTGATTTCTCGGGATTTTACGGCTGCCGCTCGAGGAGACGCCTCGCACCGACAGACAGAGCCGACCACAGCCAAGGCGACGACCGCTGCGTGGGAGGAAAGGCTGCCCAAAGCAGAGCCGAGCCCACAGAGCCTTGGTGCATGACTCCCATACAGGCTGGCATGACCAGGCACCCGCCATGAGCACCTTCGATAGCGAATCCTGCCAAAGCACCACCGGCCAACGACGAAGCAGCAGCAGCGACATGGGACAACCCCCAGCCAGACCAGGACCCACCGTCGCGCACCACCCGGTGCTGCCACCACAGACAGGCCATTCTCCTCCACCGCAATTTGCGTTGTGGCGTCCCATTCCTTTCTCTCCCCGCAGTGACAAGGAGGCGCGCCGCCAGCCGCCTTGTGGGAGGCAGCGGCGCCGCACCGCGCACCAATCGCTGCACGCGGCGCTGCACATCCGCAGCCACGGGACCGCCGTGCCCTCCGCCCGCCCGCCTGCGATTGGCCCGCTGTTCATTGGTGGCCCGGGACACGCCTCTCCCGACGCGCCGCCGAGCGCGTCCAATCCAGCCGCCTGGGCCCAGCGACACTTGAGCCGGGCACGGGGCGCCCACCCTGGCCCTTTCCCCGCCAGCCCCTCACCATCGAGCCGTGGCTATAAGCCAGGCCGCTCCCTTCGGTTCCCATCTGCCCGGCTTCTGTTTCCCTGCCTGGCTCCTGTCTTCCTTCTGCGCCCCACTCCTCTGGCGACACCATGCCCGAGGCCTCTCGCAGGCGACACCATCCGGCCACCGCAAAGCTCGAGTCCGATGAACAGGAGGCCCTTGGCGTCTCCTCTGTGGACTCGGACGATGCTGAGCAGCTCGACGCCCACAGCGCCTATACCCAGTTCAGCAGCATCATCCCGACCACCGACGACCCCTCCATCCCGTGCTTCACCGTCCGGGCCCTGGTTCTGGCCATCTTCTTCAGCGTCCTCACTTCCACTGTCAACGTTGTGCTCTCCTTCCGCACGAACGCATTCTCCATCCCGGCCTATGTCGCTGTGGTGAGTCGCCGTGGCAGCTGTGTGTCGGTGCCGATTCAGCTCCGTGCCATTCAGCTCCATACCATGCAACTCCATCCCATTCAGCTCCATCCCACTCGGTTCCATCCATCTGGCACCTGATGTCATTCCTCCACCAAGGGCCACCGACTGAATCGCTCGCCTCCGTCCGCTCCTAACACGCCCGTCCCTCCAGATTATCTCCTACCCTATCGGCATTTTCCTGTCCAAGGTCGTTCCCGATGTCCGCTTCAGGTGTCTGGGATACGAGAACTCGCTCAACCCCGGCCCCTTCTCCATCAAGGAGCACGTCCTGATCTACATCATGTCCAACTCGGCCACTCCGTATGGCATCGACAACGTCGTCGGCCAGGTTGCCCCCATCTACCTCAACGACACCTCCATCCAGATCTGGCAGTCCATTCTCTGGATCCTCGCAACCCAGTGCCTCGGTCTCGGTCTCGCCGGCATGGCCCGTGAGTTCCTGATCAAGCCCGCTGCCATGTACTGGCCCGGCAACATGGGCATCCTGGCGCTCTTTGCTTCTTTCCACGACGCCCGGATGTCTGCCGCCGACTCTACCTCCAAGCACAAGATGTCGCGCTTCAAGTTCTTCTGGATCGCCTTTGGGGCCGCTATGGCCTGGTATTTCGTCCCAGGCTTCATCGCTCCGGCACTCCAGATGATCTGCATCCTCTGTTTCTTCCGCTCCGGCGCCAACAGCCTGGTCAACATCTTTGGCTCGGCCAGCCAGGGGGTGGGCATCCTCACCCTCACCCTCGACTGGTCCCAGTTCAACGGCTTTATATCTCCCCTGACCTCTCCGTTCTGGGCTAACTGTGTGCTCCTGATCGGCTACATCATTTGGGGCTGGATTGTTGTCCCTATCGCCTACGTCAACAACCTGTGGGACGCCAAGTTCATTGGATGTCCACAGCCCGGCCCCAACGGATGTGGCTTCCTGAATGGCAACGGTCTCTTCAACGGCTCCAACCTCGGTCAGCACCTGAGCGGCCACATTCTGCTCAATCCCACCACCTTTGAGCTCGACCTCAACGAGTATGCCACCGCCGCCCCCGTCCACCTCGGCATGACCTTCATCTTTGTCTATGCTGCCTCCTTCATCACCATTTCGGCATCGATCACACATGTGGCCCTCTGGTATGGCCGCGACATTGTACAACAGGCCCGTGTGGCCTTGAAGGAGGTGCGCTTCCAGTCGAGCCACGAGGACATCCACAACAGGCTCATGGCTGCCTACCCCGAAGTCAGCAATCTGGCCTATCTTTGCATCTTTCTCGTGTCCACGGCCCTGATGTTCGTCGTCGGTCTTGCCACCCCCTACAAGCTCCAGTGGTGGGGCATCATCCTGGCCATCGCGATCGGCATCATCTTCATCATTCCCCTCACCACCATCACTGCCCTCTCGGGCCAGTACATTGGTCTCAACGTCCTGACCGAGTTTGTCATTGGCCTGATGATCCCGGGTCAACTCGTCCCCGTCATGTCCTTCAAGTCCCTTGGCTACAACACCATGATCCAGGCCCAGACCCTCCTCAACGATCTCAAGATCGGCCACTACATGAAGGTGCCTCCCCGCGCCATGGTTACCGGCCAGGTCATCGGTGCCATTCTCTCTGCCCTGATCTGCGTCCCCGTCGCCACCTCCTTTACGCTCTCGCCGCTCTTTGGCAAAGGTGACTGGCGCGCCATTGGATACGGTGTGTTCTACTCTGCCGGCACCATCTGGGGAGCCATCGCCCCCGCCCGTTTCTTTGGCTACGGTGCTCTCTACCACGACGTTCTCTATGCTTTTCCTGTCGGCTTCCTACTCCCCATCCTTCCCTGGCTCGGCAACAAGGTCTACAAGCACCCTTACTGGCACCTGGTCAACATCCCCATCATGGCCAACTGGTTCGGCCCCCAGACCGGCAACATGAACACCATCCTGACCCCATTCATCGTCGCCTTCGTTTTCCAGTACTATCTCTTCCGCTACAAGAGCGAGTGGTGGCGCAAGTACAACTTTGTGCTCTCTGTTGCACTGGACTCGGGCGTCGGCATCGGCTCGGTCCTCATCGGCACTCTGGAGCTGCTCTTCCAACAAACCGACGGCAATGGCAATCCAGTTGGAGGTTTCCTGATGCCCACATGGTTCCTGAACCCCAACGGCCCTGCGGACTTTTACTGTTTTGATGTCGACTATTTTGGAAATCCAACAGCCAAGTAAATGCTGCAGGATACTAGCTTTGCCTGGTTGCGCGGCTCTTGGTTCTCGCTCGTCTTTTCCCTATGATCTCTTGGAGCATCCGACTCTTCCTTTCTATTTTTGCTATTTCAACTTCGTCGTCGTCGCGCCTTGAGCTTTGATGCTTATGCCTTTGGATATGCTGGACATTCGCGCCTCAGTTTTGGGATGTTGTGTAAGGGTGCGATATATATGACAAGCGATATGCGATATATATGATATATGCGATATGCGATATATATGATATATGCGATATGTGCAAAATGTGCAAAATGTGCGAGATTCTACGGCGTATAAATACCCGGATTCACTGACCCGATTATCACCCAGGTTACACAGTTCCAGTGCTTTGGTTTTCGAGGATGCTAGCCAAACCAACCCTTCACAGATATTGTCTAGAGGCGATACAGATTTGACGAGATATGGAGACCAGAGACGCGGAACTATATCTGAGTTGGCCGGTGTGCTTATTTGCACGACCAGATCTAATTTCGAATGCAAATGAAAAGTTATCTGACCCCAGTCGGTGCCATGAGTTCGTGGCCTCAGGAATGGTCGGACACATGAGTGAAAAAAAGATTGTCGCAGGTCAGTTTCTCTCCCCATCTCGGCTGGACACTCATTCACAACCGCATAGCACTCAGAAGAACACTGGTGCAGTGTGTAATGTTACTGTTCCGGGTCATGAGAAACACATCTTATGGTGCCATCGCCTGCTTCTTGCTGAGTGTCTTGAGGGTCAGTCCATCCTCCATCATCGGTTGAATGGACGCCTTGAAACTCTTATCACCGTCTTGGCCGAGCATTCACCCACCGTCGTTCCATGCTTCACCAACCTTTCACAGAGCCATCATACATGTCCAGAATGTTGCCGCCAAACTCGTCGCTGGATCTCTGGCGTGGGAACCAGACAACCAGACAACATGTCGACGGAGCTGTCGAGCGGAATGTCCGAACTGTTGCGCAGCAAGCGAAGCAGGGTATCCAGAGCGCAGCAGCATCTCGGACCAAGCACAAAACCGCCGTCCTCGTTCCCAACCCACTCACAGCATCCGCCAAGCCAATCCAAGCCAATCCAGCATGTCCCAAAAACGCACCCTCGGCTGTGATCTCACAGACAACAGTCCCGCCGCCAAGATCGTCCGCCTCGATACCAGTCCAGATGCTTTCGCCGAGACCGGTCCATTCGGCAACACCCAGCCCGGCCATCCCAGCCACGTTTGTGCCTTACTCGCCTTCCACGACATCCTCACGATCTTGGTCTGCAACGATGCCTTTGTCGCAACCATCGGCATTGCGACTCTGGCTCTCCTTCCTCGCCTGGCGCCACAGTACAAGGACATCCTCTCGCTCGTTTCCGAAGATGGAAGGCTCTGTGCTGTTCAGTCTCACATCGATGGCAGGCCAACGATACCCAACTCCAAAAGGATCGACTTCCGCGACGTTCTTAACCAGGCCGAAGAGTTCATCGATGCCAACGACTTCCTCCAGGGAGTTTTCTTCTTCCTCACACGCAGGAACGGATATCCGACGAGCTTTGAGGCATATCAGAAGGAGCTGCCTCTTTGGGAGGCAGCTGCCGGACCAGGAGTGAATCAGCACATAATCAGATACAAATGTCGTGATTTAGGGCTTCAGTATCCATTCTCCTCAGTTGAATATCTAAAGGTGATTCGAAATGAAACTTTCAAGTCCTCCGATGACCTTCGCTCCCTTAGCCCACAAGACGAATTCAAATTTCATGACAGTTCACTTTTGTTGGGCATAGAATGTGACGACTTTTGTAGTCCAGAATTTTGGAATGACCCGCCAAATGACACTGTGACTATCGTCCGATTTGATCATCACCCATATCACACCGACGAACAAGTGTCCAAGCTCCTCACACACGAAGTGTATATGCTGCAAAATGCGCTTCATTACCCACGCATCCGATTGGTCAACTGCGGAGTCTCGGTGTTTTCCCACTGGCCAGAGATCTCTCGTTGCATCAGAACTCTCATCATTGATGACTCGACCAACAGAGTCACGGACTTTTCTGGCTTTTCCGAGATACAGCAACTCGAGTCTCTGACGATTCGGTGCAACATTGCCACTCTCGAAGGAATGCCGGATACCTTGCCGAGTTTGACTCTGCTCGATTTGTCGGATTGTGAAAACATCCAGAGCCTCAACGGGCTGTCACATATACCAAGGATTTTTGAAGTGAAGCTCCCTCCACTCATCGAGAACATCGAACCTCTCTATCAATACTTTGGCCAGCTTGAGATGTTGGATCTGAGCCGTTGTTGTCAAATTACATCTCTTGTTGGGTTTCCTCCGTTGCCCAGACTGAATAAGCTCAGACTTCCAAGATCCATCCAAAGCTTGGATGGATTTCCGAGCCAACTTGACTCGCTCACAGACTTGAACATGTGGACATGCGATCGACTCGAGTCGGTCAAGCGACTACCACCGATGCCGGGATTGAGGAACTTCTGGCTTCCTCAATCGATCTGTCTGAAGAATGCTGTTGGTATCATTCATTGGTTTCAACAATCGCCCCAATGGAGGAGTTGTTCTGAGAAGGATCAACCACACACTGTCCGTCTAGCACTCCACCAATTCTGGACATTGCTGAGCCTGGTGGTCATCGATGCACTATCGGAGGCGAACCTATCAAACCAATGCCTCGATGTACACATGGAGAAACCAAGCGAGCTACTAGATCATTTCCTGAGGACATCAGAAGTCGAGAACTTCAACAAACCAATCGGTGACTCTCTCACGGCAAGAGACATGTCAGCAGAATTGAATATTCAGTTGCTTGGCATCGATCGAGGCAGAACATACATCGGATGTTACACTCAGAAACGTGACTCCATGCTGTCTGTGCTGGAGATTCCCACAGGCCTGGTGAACTGGAAATCTCCCTTGACGAAGATCACAGTCCACCCTCAATCCCTTGGAAGTTGTCATCGTGAGAGCAACTATATACTGCGCATCGACCAAACGGCAGAAACGATTGTCTGGACGGACAGTATTGCTGAGCATCTTGTGGGAATGCCACCAAGATTCGATTATCTAAAGCACTTGGTGGCCAACTGGAATAATCTCAAGTCCCTCAGGGGCATGCCCGACATGCCTTTACTCGAAAAACTCACCCTCAGGGCAGATGCTGAGGATCTTCAAGGACTGCCGCCAGTGCTTCCGTCCCTTGTGCATTTGGATCTACGTCATTGCCCTCAGCTAACGTCGCTCAAGGGAATGCCTGAGATGCCCAAATTGACAACGTTGATACTGGCTCCATCGATACGGAGCCTGGAATGGATGCCCAGGATCCTCTACTCGCTTCAACACATTGATCTCTCAAGCTGTTCAGAGCTTGCGTCGCTCAAGGAGATTCCCTATCTCCCCAACTTGAGAACGCTGATAACCCCCAAGGGACTGAAGATCTTGGACATACCCTTGAATCATATCGATTCGCTTGAGGAGCTCGATATGTCGCACTCGTCGAGACTCGAGTCACTTGATCGCTTTCCACACACACCCAAATTGAAGACGCTGTATTTGAGCTGCTCGTTTTTGAACCTCCGTGGGCTGCCAAGCTGTATGCCATCGCTTCAGATCCTCTCTATCTGGTGCCCCTTGCTCACGTCGCTCGAGGGGTTTCCTGAAACACCGAAACTTGAAGAGCTGGCTCTGACTTCATCGATAGCCAGCATGCGCGGTCTGCCGTCCGTTTTTCCCACCTTGAAGAAGCTTGTCGTTTATAATCAAGGGAGTTCAGCAAACGAGACAAGCCTCCAGGGATGCCCCCTCATGCCCAATCTCCGATATCTTGAGCTCCCTCGATCTATCCGATCCTTCCGGGGACTGCCTGAGTCCCTGATGAGCCTCCTGGAACTGCATCTATACTCATGCTCCAATTTGGAATCGATCGAAGGACTTCCGCGTATGCCTTTGCTCCAGAGGTTGAGTTGCAGTGACACGAGAGGACCAATATTCGATGAGTTGGTGGCCCGACTGAGGGTTGATTCACCGCGACTGACCGTATCAGGATGAAACCCTCGCTTCGTCACACTTTCATCGATCAGCCTCAGTCCAGATGGTGACGATAAATGGGCTGGATTTTTTTTTTGATAGTTGTATATTCAAGAATATTCAACATGCCATCAGTATCACAGGATACCCGGCAGTGGGCGTACAAGCAGGCTCACATACCCCTGTTGCGGCTCTCGCCGACTCTCCAGCCCACACGGCGGACCATGCGGGTGAACACTTCCTCCAAGAGGTCCCAGAGGGACTCACATGTCTCTAGGTCCCGCTCGGGGACCCTTTCTCTCTGGCCATGGGAGCTCCTCTCCGGGATCTCCTCAAAGCCCATCCACGACTTTGTTCGTTGGGGTCGCTGTCGTGGCCTGGTGGCCCTCAGCGGTCCAGTCGCTCTGTCACTGCCTGAAATTCTGATGGGTGTGAGGGAAGGGCTGCCTCTCCTGCTGGTCGTGGGAAGCGGTGTGTCCACCACTCTGTATAGGTAATCCGCAGTTGAGATGCGGTGCTCCATGTGATGTCGTGCGAACTGTACGGAACAGCAAGTTCAAGCAGAATGTTTGTGTCCGATGGAGCCGCTTCTGTTCGTTCTTTGGGATGGCTTCGAGGGCGAGGCCGTCTTCCATCATTAGCCGCAGGAATGTGCGGTATGCAATCGTCAGTGTCTTGGCCGTGAGGTTTCCAAGGGTCAGGCCCATCTTGGCCACGTTGGATGCTGCTCCTCTTGTCCTGGTCACCATTCGGTCCTGGCAGATCGTCGATGAAGGCGCTGAACATGAGTGGGCTCAGCACCGATCCCTGGATTAGTCCTTTCTGGAGCCATACTGGCTTGGATCTTCTGCCCTTGCTGACCATTTGGATGGATACCCGGTCAAACATGGCTTTGAGGAAGCCGAGGGCGATGCCGTTCATTCTTTGCTGCTTGAGCTTGGTCCAGAGTCGCTCGCGCCATACTGTGTCATAGGCGGCTTTGATGTCGAGGAACACCAGGGAGTACTCCTCACCGTTCATCTTGTGGTGCTTGATCAGGGTGTCCAGGGCGACGATCTGGTCAAGGGCTCCTCGTCTGGCTCGAAATCCGCCTTGGGCGACGTCCATGTCTCCTGCCTGTTCTGCCAGGAAGGGGAGCATGATCCTTTCCACGATCTTCCTGCAAGTCTGAGTGAGACCGATCGGGCGATACATGGCCGGGTCCAGGGTCGATCTCTTCTGTTTGTACACTGGGTGGATCAGCACGCTGTTCCATTCGCTTGGCACCACACTGGCCTTGAGCGCCGCCATGATGATCAGGCGGAGCCACTCGGCTATCACTGGTGCGACTGGTATGAGCATTTCGCTCTTGATCTTGTCGGACCCCGCTGCCTTGCGACATGGTGCCTTCTCGATGGTCTCTTGGATGTGCTCCAGCGATACTTCTGGGAGCCGGTTGTCGGGCGGCAGGAGGGTCGCCTCCGTGCTCAGGGGTGGTGGGGTTATACTTCTGTTGTACTCTGTCCCGCTGTCCTGCGAGGCAGAGGATACCTTGCCAAAGTGCACCACGAGTTTCTCGAGGGTCGGATCCGAGTTGTCAAAGAGATGGGATCCCTCTCTCCCCTTCCTCGTGCGCATCGCTCCGATGGTCTTGGTCATCTCGGAGCACTTCTGGGTGTCCATGGTGGCCATGGACTCCTTCCATGACCGTATGCCGTTCTTGCGCTTGAGCTGGGTGATGGCCTTTCTCGTGGACCGAAGCTGGCGGCGCAGGTCATCCAGTTCTTCCGTGTCGTACTCGGGGGTCTGCTTGATCATCCTGTTCAGGCATCGCCGCTCTCGTTCCAGGCGTCGGATTTCGGGCCCCTGTGTGCTCTCGATCCGACCAGGGCTGATGCTGGCACTTCCGATGGTCTCGCTGGCGATCAGGTCAATCGTGGTCTTGAATATGCTCCACGCGTCGTCTATGGACTTCTGGGCTATGGCTTCGCTGATGGCAATCTGGCTGCCCTGTTGGATGGGCGTGAGAGCCTGTTCCATCAGCCCGGTGCATCCGAGTTTGGCGGCGTTGAATGCGCGCGTGTATTTTCCCTTGACTTCGGGGTATCGGATCATACCGATCCGCCCTCCCCACGCTGCCTAGTGTCGGATCGAGGATAATGGTCTTGATACCGGGGAAGGCTGGTGGCTTGCTGCCTGCTTTCTCCGGTACCATGTGGCGAGGGATGACCTGGATCGCGCTCGCTCTACCCACCAACTATGGTTGCAGAACGAGTATCGATTGTAGTGTAGAGTTGTCGCTGTCGAGTCATCGGATGTTCTCTCGGTGGATCAACATCAACGATTCTTATGGGACAGCACTATTGTATATTGAATGTACTGGATGTATTGAATGTCAAATACAACACCACTGGACCGCTGCTGCTTCATCAAGTACACCTAACCTAATCCAGGGTTCGGTACCATGGTGTTTGGGGCGGGTGTTGGCGGCGAGGTTGCTTGGCTACTTGCAAGTTCAGTGTTGCGGCTTGGTTGTTTGGGAGTGGAGCTCGGAGGGACTCGGGAATCAGGGCCACTTGCCGAGTTCCTTGAGACTATTGATGGCAGCTTGGCAATCCTGGTCGGCAGACTTGCGATACCAGAAGACGGCGGTGTCAATGTCTTCGGGGACACCATGTCCATTCTTGTAGCAGAAACCGAGCCAATGTTGTCCGTATCGATTGCCTTGTTCGGCTGACTTGCAATACCACTCAACTGCCTTGGCGTAGTCCTGGGTGACTCCATATCCATCGAAGTAGCAAAAACCGACCATGAACTGCCCGTACGAGTTGCCTTGGTCGGCCGACTTACTGTACCACTCGAATGCCTTCTTGTAGTCCTCTGATACTCCCCAGCCACACAAGTAGCACTCTCCGATCCAGTTCTGGCTGTCACTGTGGCCTTCGTTGGCGAGTTGCTCAAAGATATTGGCCGCCTTCTTCCAGTCCTGAGGGGTCCCGAATCCATGGAACACACACACAGCCATGAGATGTCTGCAGAGCCATTCACGGTCCGATCCCAGCTGGCACAGCTCGAAGTACTTGTGGGCAACAGGTGAGGCATTATTGACGACTTTCCAAACCGACTCTAGACATTCGGCCTCCCCAAGCTTGAACTGATCCGATTTGTTATCACGGATAATCTTGATACCCTTCTGTTCGTCCTGCACGGTACCCCGGCCGAGGTAGTACATCCATCCGACCATGTGGGTGGCGATGGGTTTGAGAACCGAGTTGGTGGACTGGGAACTGACCTCCTGCCAGTGAGCAAGGGCAGCTCTGTCGCTCTGTTCGACACCGTGACCCAGAAATGAGCGCCATCCACGGAGGAACTCGATGTGGAGTCGACCGTCGTCACTGCCCTGGTCGACAGCCTTGGAATACCACTCGATGGCTGTATCGAAGTCTTGATCGACACCTTCGCCAATCTCGTAGCAACCGCCAAAGACAATTTGGGCCTTAGGGATCCCCCGTTCAGCAAGATTGCGATATAGCTCGGCGGACTTGGTGTGGTCTTGGTCGACACCCGTGCCGTCGTGATAGCAGCCAGCCAAGTGAAACTGAGCAATACTGTGATGTGCATTGGCCGCTTTTTCCATGAGGTGGAAGATTTGCTGCTGTTGAGCTACTCTCTCGGAAGGGTCCACCAACTGCTGACCACGGAGTTCAACTTGGAGGATCCTTGCCAGGAGATACGAGGCCGCAGCATCGCCCTGGTCGGCTTGAGCAACGAGCCAGAATCGGTTGCTTGAGCCTTGATCATCGCAGTGCAGGGAGAGGGCGATCGTGTCGCTCGGTGTGAGGCCGATCTGCAACTGTCCATCTGGATTGCACAGTCCTGCATTCTGGCACCAGTTGTTGAAGCGAGCTACTTTGGAGCTCAGGAGGGGCTGGGCACGCTTGCACGCTCGGAGGAGGGCCTTGATTGTGCTGTGATCAAGAGCGAGTTGGAAGCTGTCGTTGCAACAGATGATGGTGAAGATGTCTGGGCCATGGTTGAGTGAGAGCCGGGTGATATCGGGCATCGACGAGGCTGTTCTGGCTTCAGCTTGGGTTTGCTGAGCTGGAGATGACTCCGTGGTTGGAGCAGGCTCGTTCATGCTGGCCATGTTGACGGAGACAGGAGGGAGGCAATGGGTGATGGCGATGGACAGGAGACAGAGGCAGGTTGTGGCGAAGCAAGCCAAGCACTGGCAAGCCATACACTGGCCATTGAACACACACACACAAGCCTGGCTCGATCCGATGGTTTGCTGGCTGGAGTCGTTGTTGCTCACTGCACTGCCACAGGTACTGCCACATTCATGGAACACGAATCGATCATGGAACCGATATTGGAATCGAAGCTCGCATACTCGCCATCCGAGCCAAATACGACATCCGTTCCATCCAGTTCCACATCGACACCAACACTATGGCTCCATCCTGCTGCACCGAGCACCACAAGTTCGCCTCCAAGCATTCCTTCCCTCTTCGCAACATACTGACCGAGAGTATCAAGCAGGCCCTCAGCGAAGATGTCTGCCTCTCCCAACGAATGCAACTTCCTACCCGTTGCTTCCGCATACTTGCCGCCTCAGCGAACTGGGAATGGCAACAAAGGTAGAGCAGGCCATCGTATTGCATCACAAGGATTGGAACAGGCTCGATAGGCGTGTTTGCGAGGCTTCACCATGCTCCTACCAAGAGTGTCCTCGTTGCTCACACTCTTCAGCAGAATGTTGCGAGTTCCATTGATGTCTCGATCTGTCATCAGCACACATTTACCATCTGGACGCTCTAAAGCTGGCCTATCCAGGTCTATCCAAGTCTGACAATGCCCAGTGGAAAGCCTTGGTCGATGCTATCCCAGTCCCGCGTCCTGGCAACTGCCCCTCCTTCTGCCACATGGTCCTGACCCAGCTCCGTCAGCGCTATGCCACTGTCGGCCTCGAGTCTTTCCTGGCACACGCTGGATCAATACTGAGAAGTACGTTTACGACTTCCTCGACAGAATCATCAGTGAGTTCGTCGAGAGCCTGGCCTCCAATCTGGCCAAGTGCGCGGCCATGAAGGCCCGTTATGAGAAGGTCGAGAAATTCCGCCTCCGTTACCTCAGCAAGAAGCGATCCACCATCCGAGTCCTGCTACATGAGGAAGCGCCACTGGGGACCTGTCCAGTCCACATCCAGCTTCTGGAACCGGTCAACATTCGCGAGTTCCTCGGCGTCACTCCTCCTGGCGCACCAGACACTCCTGTGCAGCTTAAAGCAAAGGGGACAGTGAGAGTATAACCAGACTCACTGTCGCCTCATTCAACATAAATGGTCAAACAACCAGGGAGGGACGCCCAAGGCGAACATCCTCCTCAAGATATTGGCGAAGGAAAGAATCGATACAATCGCCTTCCAGGAAACGAAACTGAAACCAGGAGCTCAATGTCGGACTGTTACCGAACGTCGACACATAGCAGTGGAACCCCCAAAAGCCGCAGGACCCAGAGATCAAAGACCGATACAAGAAGGCAGTCGAGCAAGCCAGTCGCCAAGTCGAGCACGATATCTCGGTTGCCCTAGAAGCAATCTGCCGAGGCTCCGAGATCCCAATCAACCAAGTGGAAGCCCAGCAGGCAGAGGACCAGGCCTGGAACATCACCACCAACGCAATTAACACAGTCGCCGAGAGAGTCATAGGCAAAGCACACATCAGGATGATCTGTAAGCCAAACGATCAAACCAAGGAGAGCCGCAAGCTCACTAAGAGGCGGAGCAAGCTGAAGGCCCAGCTCAAACGACACACGACGAACTGGGTGAGGGCCGAGCAAGTCCAAAACCAACTCCATGCGGTCCGGCCGGATCTGAACCGGGCCATCCGAAAGTGCCGAAAAGCGAGCAACGAGAAACTGGCCGAGAAAATCAACCGGATGAACAACACCGAGCTGTCCAAAACGCTTGGGGCCATGCAGAAGCGCAAGGCCCGGGAAGGTGCCCACCGATTCGACAACTCTGACGAAGCGCTGGAGAGACTCGTCTGCCACTTCGGCAGAGTCTCGGCGGACTCAACGGCCACGGCGAACGGGTTCGATCGAACACTCGAGCCCCCTACACCGAGCCAAGAGCGTAGACGACTCCCCCCCAGCTACGAGCTCCCCATAATCAGCCCACGGGCAATCAAGGAGGCGATCATTACAACACCACGAAGGAAGGCCCTAGGATCGGACAGGATCAAGATCAAACTGCTCCAGCCCAACGCCCACAGAGTCTCGATATGGCTCTACCTCCTCATGGGAGCAGCCATCAAGGCGGCCGTGGTCCCAACTGAGTGGAGCACAGTGCTGATCCATCCCGTTTACAAGAACAAGGGATCGCCCCTCGACCCCGCAATGTACAGGCCGATTGGACTGACCCAGGTCTGCCGAAAGGTTGTCGAGCGAGCACTGTTGCCGTTGCTCAACCGAAAGCTCGGACTGATGGACATTGCCCAAGGTGGATTCCGGGCCGAGCGAGGCACCCTCGACCAGATCTTTGGCCTGGACACGCTCATCAAGGACCGCCAGCTGGCGGGCGAGGAGTACTCCCTGGTGTTCCTCGACATCAAGGCGGCCTACGACACTGTCTGGAGGGAGAAGCTCTGGGACAAGATTGAAGAGCGCACCCCATGTACGATCACCCTCAGGCTCTTGAAGGCCATGTTCGACGATGTGAAGATTCAAGTCGTCAACAAGAGCCGTCGGTCCAATCCAGTCTGGCTGCAGAAGGGACTGATCCAAGGATCGGTGCTGAGCCCGCTGATGTTCAGCGTGTTCATCGACGACCTCCCTGGGAAACTCCGGGCAGACGGTGGAACGACCCTAACCACCACCCGAGGACGAGCCGTCCAGGTCAACTCACTGTGGTTTGCCGACGATGGGGGTGCTCATCTGCCGCCCCAACCAGACCCAGCGCCTCCTCGACATCTGCGAGGCCCACAGCATCGAGAATCGATACCAGTTCTCGCCCCCGAAGTGCGAGGTGATGTTCACCGAACAGCACCCAGAGAAGGATGCCAAGGTGCACCTATACGGCAAGGAGCTGCCAGTCGCCAAGGAGTTCCGGTATCTCGGAGCCATCGTCGACATCAACGGCTTCAGGATGGACCGCCAGATCCAGAACCTCACCCACAAGGCTAGAGGTGCCGCCGACAAGCTGGTGAAGCACGGAATGAGTCTGGGTCAATACTCGGCCAAGACGGTGACGAGGGTGTTCAAGACCTTCGTTCGGCCCATGCTCGAGTATGGACTGACCCTCGAAGTGCTCACGAAGCAGCAAGCCGTGACACTCAGACGAGCACAGATGCACTGTCTGACCCGACTCTTCAGAGTGGTGCGGAACACGTCCTACGGAGCGATGCACCTCGGATGCGGACTCATCACCCTGCCCAACCGCCTCAAGCAGCTGGCCCTCCAGAACCGAGCCGTCTGGGAAGACCGTCTGGACCACAACGACAAGATGGTCTCGATGGTGTTGAGATATTCCCGCATCCAGCCCAGCCTGATGGATGCATCCCTCGGCTCCCAGTTCTACCTCGACGAGTACTGGCGGCAGCTGATCGTGCTGAAAGAGCAGTGCCAGCCGGACTACCCGATGAAGGAGCTGTTCAGGAATGGCTACTACCAGCTCCCAGGGCCACCAGTCAAGCTGCAGATTCACATCGAGGACGCGCAAGGCTTCGACAGGTCAAAGGAACTGACCTCGGCCCGCACCGTGACGACGACCATGTCGGGACTGTGGGCCGAGCGAGGGCCCAAGAGAGATCGATACTATCACAACATGATGGTAAGATGGACCCTCGGTGCCTTCCCCGGACACCCGTATGGCCACTATCAGCTGTGTGTCTCCTGCACGAAGAGCCGAGGAGAGTTCGTCGCGATGTGCCGGACCCACACCCAGAGCTGCGTCGGAAGAGGCGGCTCGTGGCAACGGATAGTGGACGAGCTCAAGCTGCGACACCCCGAGTGGCAAGAATGTGGCCACGAAAAGGTCGGCCCGATCGACAAGCTCCTGGACCTGACGAACGTAGTGGGTTACTACGAGCTGAATGGCATGAGAATGTTCAACTGGCATGACCCAGATGTCCATCTCCTGTGGCGAACACTTCGAAGGGTGTTCAAGACGCTGATCATCGCCAAGGCGGGGTGGAAACCCCCCAGGCGATAGGCGGCATGGCCGAAGCAGAGCGAGAGACGAGGGATGACGGCTCTCATCTCCCCCAGACTGCTCGATAGGTCTATACGAGTTTTATTTCTATTTTATTCTTACTTCTCCTCCCTTTTCCCCTTCTGTACTGCTAGGGCCGACCAGGCCTTGATAGCTTTCAATTGAAATACAAAAAAAAACTCCTTCAGTAGCCTGGCGGCTCTCACATGGTCAATTGGGAGACCAATGCCATTCTGGAAGCGAACTCCCAGTGCATACTGCGAGGGTAGATGACCATGCTTGGAAGCTCTCATGAACCACTTGGATGCGATGCCGTCGTTCTTCTCGACGCCATCTCCCTTTGCGTAGTGGTACGCCAGTTTTGCCATGGAAGTGATGCATCCAGTATTCGCAGCATTGACCAAGGCCACGATGAAGCTCCTCTGTGGCTGTGGGCCGGGTGGTCTGGGGTGCGTGGATGTGATGATCTCTTGGGCATTGCCAAGTGCGCTCTTCTTGGCAATCTGGGAGAACGATACAGATGGTGACTTGCGTTTGGGCATGATGGTGCAATGGAATGCGATGTGGGCGGAGCAGTGGGCGTAAATGGTGCTGGCCTCGTCCGAAGAGCGATGCTGGGCCAGGATGAACTCGGTGTTGTATGAGTCTCTGCCCATGCGAGAACAGTCGGTGCATTTCATCTGGCCGTCGGCTCCTCCGGACTTGCTGTTTACCGCTGCTGCCGCCGTCGTGCCAGTGACCCCTGGTCTTGAATGACACCCGAGTCGAGCAAGCCGACGATGGCCTCCAGGTTCGACAGCATCATGATGGCGCGGGACTTGTATGCGTCTCGGAACTGCGGGTTGATCCAGCTGCACACGCCCTTGCAGGTTGTGGTGGCATAGCGATAGATGCTCTCTTCCAAGACCTCGGCGTGGTCGGGCGTCTTTGCCTGGAGGGTCTGCAGGGCGATGCTACGCTGCGAGTCCATCGGGTGCTATTGCATATGCCGAGGATGAAACCCTTACTGCGTTTTTTCTGACACGCCCTTCGCAGCAGACCAATGTCAAGTCAAATCTGGATCATCGTGGCCGTTATCGCTCTGTGCTGCGTCTCCTCATCGCTCCTGACTGCAAGTGGAGGCTTTGTCTCTACCAGTACAACAAGACCCACTCGACAACACCATGGTCCTGCATCTACGTCCTGACCATCAAGATGTATACCGTTGCACGCATCAACCAGAACAACGCCGAGTGCATGTACAACACCGGCGGTAATGGCTGCCACTACTCCCCAGTGAATCCAGGTGCAGCCACAGGTGATGGCAGTCAGTCCGATGGATGAGTGTGCCAACATGATCCAAAACGTACCCACCCCGACCACGCTGGCTCCCCAGCAGACGCTGAATCTCGACATCTACACCTGTGGACCCAACTCGACGAACTCCAAGCTCTGGAACCGCACAGGATACGAGGCGGCGAACGACCCGTGTGATGTCATTTTGAAGAGTGACAATCGCTCGATCTTCAACATGCTCTTTGCACCAAGCACGACCACCATCAACTTGGCATATCCACCACATGCTGCGGCTACTTCTTGAGTTTGCTCACGATGGATGCTGGCGATACCATGCCGCCCGGTCCACTACCACCACCTCCCAGAATCGATGATCTGGTAAGCATAGTACCCGATGGCTGCAATCGACGAGATGCAGCAGCAACAGCAGAGACATGCAGCAACCAGGGCAATGATAGCTGTCGAGTCGAGAGCGGAAGATGTCTGGTCGGACGAGAACTGGCTCGATGTCTTGGTTGTGTTGCCTTGTGCGATTTGAGTGATGGCTTTGTTGTCGAGCATGCACTGCTGGTATGATTTGTTGGAGTTGGACTGAATGATGCCGATTGCTGTCGCGCAGGGTGCGAACTGGTTCTTATTGATGGCGGGAGGTTGAGACCGCTATCGGCCTGCTCGAGCGGTTGGGGACAATTGTGGACTCTATGGATCGGCTGACATGTATATTCAATGATAACGATCACAGCCAAGTATCCAAGTCGGTTCACTGGAACGGCATCTCTTGTGATGGAGGGTGTGTGGCTACCAACGAACGACAACCCAGTCAGTGGATCAATACACATGTACATCATGACGCCCAACTATGGAGCTGCCACTTGAGGTCTGGGGCGAGATCGCCTCGTTCCTCTACATCCGATCGTGCCTGACGCTGACGCACTTGCCATCGATTCCTCGCATTTCATCAATCCGCGTTGGAGGATATGATCTCCCAGTGCTGCATCAACACACGCGGACGCTCGTTGATCCAAGTGGTCATGCGACCGATCTCATTTATATGGCGTACGATAACGCCGTATAGTGCATTGCTTTGTCGTCTCCTCATGGATCACCATCCTGTCTACCACTGCCTGGTTCATCCTTACTGATTCAACCACATGCTCCAACTTACTGCAGTCACTGGCCTCACTGCATCTGCTCTGACCACGAATACCAGAAATAACGAAACCCCACGCGATCATCTGATGCGATCCCTTATGAGGACCAGAGTCGCAGCATTCCAAGAGGACCGAGATTACATTCACGAGCAAACTTCGGTCCAAGACTGCATTTCATGGCCGAGTCACTCAGCTCACTCTCATCGACCATCGACCCAGTTCTATCCCATAACCTGGGACAAGGACGACCCTCCCGTCGCATCTTTGTCCAGTACCCCTCCTCCTCCCAGGGAGTCACGACATTGCGCGCCCCTCCATACTTGAACCACAACACTCTGGTGGGAGCCTCGCGCAAGTGATCTTGGCCATGACCTCTGCAATCTGGAATCCATCTTGGTCGACCATCAAGCTGGTGTTGGTTCTGGTGTGCTGGGAGATGCAAGGGAGTGAGATAATGTGATGGAACTGGATGGAACGGATGTCGTATTTGGCTCGGATGGCGAGTATGCGAGCTTCGATTCCAATATCGGTTCCATGATCGATTCGTGTTCCATGAATGTGGCAGTACCTGTGGCAGTGCAGTGAGCAACAACGACTCCAGCCAGCAAACCATCGGATCGAGCCAGGCTTGTGTGTGTGTGTTCAATGGCCAGTGTATGGCTTGCCAGTGCTTGGCTTGCTTCGCCACAACCTGCCTCTGTCTCCTGTCCATCGCCATCACCCATTGCCTCCCTCCTGTCTCCGTCAACATGGCCAGCATGAACGAGCCTGCTCCAACCACGGAGTCATCTCCAGCTCAGCAAACCCAAGCTGAAGCCAGAACAGCCTCGTCGATGCCCGATATCACCCGGCTCTCACTCAACCATGGCCCAGACATCTTCACCATCATCTGTTGCAACGACAGCTTCCAACTCGCTCTTGATCACAGCACAATCAAGGCCCTCCTCCGAGCGTGCAAGCGTGCCCAGCCCCTCCTGAGCTCCAAAGTAGCTCGCTTCAACAACTGGTGCCAGAATGCAGGACTGTGCAATCCAGATGGACAGTTGCAGATCGGCCTCACACCGAGCGACACGATCGCCCTCTCCCTGCACTGCGATGATCAAGGCTCAAGCAACCGATTCTGGCTCGTTGCTCAAGCCGACCAGGGCGATGCTGCGGCCTCGTATCTCCTGGCAAGGATCCTCCAAGTTGAACTCCGTGGTCAGCAGTTGGTGGACCCTTCCGAGAGAGTAGCTCAACAGCAGCAAATCTTCCACCTCATGGAAAAAGCGGCCAATGCACATCACAGTATTGCTCAGTTTCACTTGGCTGGCTGCTATCACGACGGCACGGGTGTCGACCAAGACCACACCAAGTCCGCCGAGCTATATCGCAATCTTGCTGAACGGGGGATCCCTAAGGCCCAAATTGTCTTTGGCGGTTGCTACGAGATTGGCGAAGGTGTCGATCAAGACTTCGATACAGCCATCGAGTGGTATTCCAAGGCTGTCGACCAGGGCAGTGACGACGGTCGACTCCACATCGAGTTCCTCCGTGGATGGCGCTCATTTCTGGGTCACGGTGTCGAACAGAGCGACAGAGCTGCCCTTGCTCACTGGCAGGAGGTCAGTTCCCAGTCCACCAACTCGGTTCTCAAACCCATCGCCACCCACATGGTCGGATGGATGTACTACCTCGGCCGGGGTACCGTGCAGGACGAACAGAAGGGTATCAAGATTATCCGTGATAACAAATCGGATCAGTTCAAGCTTGGGGAGGCCGAATGTCTAGAGTCGGTTTGGAAAGTCGTCAATAATGCCTCACCTGTTGCCCACAAGTACTTCGAGCTGTGCCAGCTGGGATCGGACCGTGAATGGCTCTGCAGACATCTCATGGCTGTGTGTGTGTTCCATGGATTCGGGACCCCTCAGGACTGGAAGAAGGCGGCCAATATCTTTGAGCAACTCGCCAACGAAGGCCACAGTGACAGCCAGAACTGGATCGGAGAGTGCTACTTGTGTGGCTGGGGAGTATCAGAGGACTACAAGAAGGCATTCGAGTGGTACAGTAAGTCGGCCGACCAAGGCAACTCGTACGGGCAGTTCATGGTCGGTTTTTGCTACTTCGATGGATATGGAGTCACCCAGGACTACGCCAAGGCAGTTGAGTGGTATTGCAAGTCAGCCGAACAAGGCAATCGATACGGACAACATTGGCTCGGTTTCTGCTACAAGAATGGACATGGTGTCCCCGAAGACATTGACACCGCCGTCTTCTGGTATCGCAAGTCTGCCGACCAGGATTGCCAAGCTGCCATCAATAGTCTCAAGGAACTCGGCAAGTGGCCCTGATTCCCGAGTCCCTCCGAGCTCCACTCCCAAACAACCAAGCCGCAACACTGAACTTGCAAGTAGCCAAGCAACCTCGCCGCCAACACCCGCCCCAAACACCATGGTACCGAACCCTGGATTAGGTTAGGTGTACTTGATGAAGCAGCAGCGGTCCAGTGGTGTTGTATTTGACATTCAATACATCCAGTACATTCAATATACAATAGTGCTGTCCCATAAGAATCGTTGATGTTGATCCACCGAGAGAACATCCGATGACTCGACAGCGACAACTCTACACTACAATCGATACTCGTTCTGCAACCATAGTTGGTGGGTAGAGCGAGCGCGATCCAGGTCATCCCTCGTCACATGGTGCCGGGGAAGGCTGGTGGCTTGCTGTCTGCTTTCTTCGGTACCAAGACCATCCTCCCTCGATCCGACACCAGACAGCGTGCCCTGATCAGCATCGATGGACCGACAAAGAAATGGCAAAGGCGACGAATGGCCTGGATCCAAACGGACAGAGGTTCGCCTCTCCAGCCGCCAAAAGAAAGAAATGGCCACACTGCAGCTTCCTGGTCCACCCTCGATCCGACCCAGGGACGCCGGGGCACGCCAGCGTATGCGGTAAGACCATGCGAGGATGAAACCAGTCCACTGCAGTGCAGCCTGGCGACTGAGAGGGGACTTTTGGATCACGAAGGGCAAGCATCGCTCCCTCTCGATCCACACCTTCTGCCAGGACACGAGTGTCATCATGAATGATGTCATCGGCATCTATGCCCACCTCCATACCGGTGCCCATGACTTGCCCGGTTCTCCGACAAGGCCGATGCCACCATGGGTTACCTGTTCGAGTTTCCGGTGTGGAAGGAGCTGCCACTCTCGAACGTTCTTATCCAGATGCAAGAGAAGCCCGAGTTGATCCACTTGGCCAAATGACACGATCGAGATGCCAGACTTGTACCTTCCTCAAATAGTACCCAGTACAGCCAGTTCGGATCCAAATGAACCAGTATCTATATTCTCTGACACCAGAGGCGCGAAACCTGCTGATTCGTTGTCCGTGGTGGCCAAGGAGTGGGGGTCATACGGTCTTGGTTGGCAATCGAGTGGGCTTGCTTGGTATCGTGAGCCCGGACTTTAAAACATCTAATAGACCTCTGTGGCGATGACCTACTGGCACCGGTATGATGATTGTCGAGTCGAACGAGTCGCTTGGGAAGATGGCTGATGTTGCTTCCATGGAGTGCCTAATCGCGGGGTCGTGTATTCATGACAGATCCCAGGTGTGATCTCGTTGGGGGTCTGGATGGACTGGAGTTTGCAACAGTCATCATCACTCTCAAAGCTCCACCAGCGAGAATGCGGGAGAAGGCAGTGCCTCAGGATGTCCACGACAACTGGTGTCTGCTCTCGATTGGGTCCATGACCAAGTGCGGTGTGGACTGTCATAGATTGTGAGGGACTCGGATTCGCTTCGGGGTCGGCAGCCGCAAAGCAGGATCATCTCACACTGCAACATCAGAGCTGTCCTCCAGTACGAATATCACACACAATCTGATCGGATGAAGTGAGATGTCGGAAGTGGGAGATATAAGCTGGATTGGAAGAAAAACAAACCGAAACGCAGTGGAATGGAATGGAAAATATAGAGAGTAAAACCTGGAGAATTAACACATGACATTGGGCAACTCCATGCCGAGCGACCTTGAGAATCGGCCAAGGGTGTACTCGAACGAATTGTTGAACACAACACGACATCCCTTCGGAAGCCCGGAAATAATCTTTCGAAGTCTGAAATAGTCAGCATATCGGCCATACTTGCCATCCGAGAAAGAGCAACGTGATGGCCTCATACTTGAGTCCAAGTGCAGTGTCTTGAGAGAGGGAAGCTTGTCGACGAGTCCGCTGATTCTCCGTATCGATCGAGGGACGTAAAGAGCCTCGAGCTTGGGATACGAGGGAATGTCGTCCAGCGACATCAATTCGCAGCAAGCTTGCAAATCGAGGACTTTGAGGGAGTTTCTATTCACATGCAGATCGGCCAGGCTCACAAATTGAGCTGAGAGGACGAGATGATTGAGTTTTGGCATCCTTGGGAGTTGGCTCAAGATGTTGTGGGGTTTGTGCGAGGAGATCGTGAGCTTGGTGAGAGATGGGAACTCCTCGGGGATATTGACGAAGGTTTCAATGCCGGTTGAAATGTCGAGTTCGAGCAACATTGGCACATTTGGCAGTCCAGTGAGCGAGGTCAGTCGAATGAGTCCATGTTGACCCATGTAACCAAGGGGAGCTCCTTCGGAATGCCTTCCAGTGAGTCAATAAATTGAGCCGTTGAGTAGACTGTAACTTTGGCATCTCGGAGATTCCTATGAGCGACTTGAGTTCACTGTATTCCCTCAGGTCGAGTTTTGGAAAGGTGGGCAGCACTTCCGGTATACCTTCCAGGGACTCGATGAACTTGGGGAGCTGTAGTATGTCCAGCTTTGGCATCTCAGGCATTCCATTGAGTGACTTGAGTTCACTGCATCCACTCAGGTCGAGCCTTGTAAGCGAAGGCAGCTCCTTCGGCATGCCTTCCAAGCTGATCTGTGGACCAGGCCTCGTCTCCAGTTGAAATGTGTGACGGTCAGCTCTTGAATATTGGAGAGCCACTTGGGCCATCCAGACACCTTCAGAAACGACACATCCTCGAGTGTCAGTCCGTGTTCCCTTGCTCGACTTATCGCTGAGATGTCGAATGACAAAAGCCTGGAAACATAGGTGTCTCCATCTCTGCTCTCGTTGGGTCGAATCGTGATATCATTCACAGAATCGACCACTATCTGCCACTGAAATTCAAAGATTTGTCTTTCAGCGATCGCTATCACCTCCTCGACGGATGGCTGCTTGGATGTGTTTGGTCTTGCGCTCTCGGGGAAGTGGAAACTTGGATCGGTCACTTGGCAGTATCGGAACACTCGGTTGAAAAACTGACTGTCTCGATAGACTTCAGACCAGAGATCATTCTCCTTCTTCAGCATCGATGAGTTGGTTGGCATATGCCGATTTTGGCGAAGTTCATAGCAGAAGTGCCCTTGCGCCACTTTCAACTGATCGATGGAGGGATCGACACCCTCGAATAGGAATTCGGGTGTGATTTGCTTGTCTGCAAGCGACAACAGCCCCCATATCTTGTCAGTATCGAGGATGGCCCGAGTCTGGTTCGAGACTCTTAGGAGTTTTGCGAGCAAGGGCGGGCTTGCAGCGCGAATGAAGGCTTCATTTGTGATCAGGATGGTGAGCAGGCCGAAGCGAGCGAGGTCCTCCTCGGTCTCGTCAGGCACCGTGGTTGTCTCGTACAATCGATCCAGAAAGAAACAAGGCAGTCACTCTCTGGCATAAGAGGCCTGAAGTCTGCCGAACTTCCACAGCCTCCAGTGTCCAAGCCGTGAGATTGTTTCCCGTCCTGGTTGGCAATCTCTTTGTTTTTGGTTGGTTTGGGAAGCATGGTCTTGAATACACTCGGTCGATCTCCTGTGGCGATGATCGACTGGCATACCGAGATCATGTTCCTTGAGGCATTGATGTCTCGATCCCACAGCGTATGGCAGCTTGTACAGCTCCGGACAAAGTGTGGTTTCTCGATATCAAGATACTCGGCCTTCTCGAGTCGCTTGGCTTCCCGACAATGTGAGCACACCTGGGATGTGTTGAACTCGTTCACCGAGCACACCTGGACGTCTCTGGTGATGGGTGAACTGCTCGAAATACCGAGCGAACCTGAGTCTCCGTGGGCTGGAAGCATATCCCTTCCCTTGCTTCCACGAGGCATCGTAATGCAGAATGGTCATGGCCAGCGCGCGATGGCATTGGGTAACAAAATATTTGATCAATGATCAAAAACAGGGTGTCCCGTTTTTTATTGGATCAACTGTATCAGTGTATTTATAGCGATGATGAGGATGATGTTGTTGTTGTCCCAGCCGCTGTCTCTGTTCCCCCCGAGCTCAACGGCGCGACGTTTGACTTGACCTCTGACTCTGACGACGACTTCACTGAATAAAGAGATTGAATTGATCCATGTACACTGTGTGTTGGGACATGGATGTGCTGTGGTTTGGGTGTCCTTGTGCCGCAACGCCTTGAAGGATGGATGACAGGTCGAATCCTTGTATGTTTCCACGTGATCAGGCTGGATCCGATTCGAGCCACGATAAGACGGTTCTCGCCGGATCGAACCAAACCAAACCCAGGGCATCGCCACACACGCAAAAAATCAGGGCCAGTGATCAAGCACCCAAGTCAACGCGATCGACTGGAATACCACCAAAGACCTCTTACTACTTTGACTACGAGAGCGACGATGTCGACCCATGGGAATGCCGAATGCGGTGTGAACGCTGTGTGGCCACCAAAATCGATGGTCGACGCTGCACCCGCACGACATGCATTGGTGTCAAATACTGCTACTCCTGTCTGGCGACGGTGAAAAACCTGCGCATCGACGACTCCACCATCCCAGGCGCAGGAAAGGGGTTGTTTGCGTACAAGCATGTGCCCGCGAGTGTGTATGATGACGAAGAGCGAGAACGACTCGATAATGCAGTCCTGTTCAAGAGAGGCCAAGTGATCATCGAGTACGATGGGCAGCCCATCCCTGGCCAAGAGAGGCGAACCCGATACGGGAACACCAACGCCCCATACCTCGTTGAACGCCGAATCGGGCTCAACGTGGGTCGATACGAAGACGGTGCATGCCGGAGAGGAATCGGAACGCTCGCCAACCACTCAGACGACAGCAGCGATGTTAACGCAAAGCTCGCCCAGGATAGGGGAGTCGGTGTGGTGCTGAAGGCACTGCGGGACATTCACAATGGAGAAGAAATCTTTATTGACTATGGTGGTGCATTTGGCCTGGACAAAGAGGACGCCGTGTTTGGTACGAAGCGCAAGACCAACACACGCGAGCGACTTGCACGGAGCAAGATATGATCGCGGATGTCGGGCCTGGCACTCAGTCTTCAGAGATCCAAGCGGGCATCTCCCTGCCAGGAGCAATGTAGTACACCAAGAGTGCGATCACGGCTTGGTTGAATCCGCCATTTTCCACAGATGCCATGGTCGTTGGATCGACAGTGATGTTTTCTGCCAGGTTGACCACAATGCTCTCTTTGGCGCAGATCTCATCCCCCACGAGGCGGAATGTACTGGGCCACGAGTCGACACTGACGATCGTCTTGATTCGCCCCATGTCGAACAGCACATCTACCATGGCTCGGTGGTCGAGTTGGATTGGAGTGATCGACGCAAGCGCTGGGATGTGGGTGGTCTTGATCAGGAATTGCGAGCTGCTCTTGAGTCCTTCGCCCAGAATGCAGGTGGCACCAGCGTCCAGGGCCTCGGTCACAAGCTCCTTGACAGGGGCATCGCTGGGAGGATTGATCTGCGAGACCAGCCTCTCACCCGGGACGCTCACAATGCGCGAGCCCAATGCACGCTGGATCAGACGCAGGAGCAGGCGCTTGCCAGAGGTTTGATCGTTGCCCACCAGAAAGAGCGCTGACTCGGACGTACGAGATTTGGCGGTGAGGCACGTTGCCAGGAAGCGCAAGAGCAGGTGGTACTCTCTGTCACTGCTCTTGCCCAGTATCGAGCGAATCAAGTCCTTCAGCTTGTGGACTTTGCCATCGACGCCACAATAAAAGTCGTCAACCACGTACGAGACTGGAAGCGAGTGGGTGAAGCAGTCACCAGCATTGACCCGACGAGCCTTGAGGCCAGGCAGCTCCATCACAATCCCATTGGCGAAGAGGATGCTGTTGGTCGAAGCGTTGGCGTGGGTGATGGCGAAGGTGTCGATGTTGTATTTTTCGTGCTGGAACGCCAATGCAAATCTGTACTTGTCTTTGATGATGTCTGGGATGTGCCCCAGAGTGAACTTGATCTCCTTGACCACTTCCTTGGCATGGGTGAGCTTGTTCGAGCTGGCGTACCTTGCTCGAACCACTTCGACCCATCCCTGGAAGGCACCCCGTGGATCGGTGAGAAGCTTGGTCACGGCGTAGTCCATGTCCACATGCCTCCAGAGGAGCCCATCAAAGAACCAGATCTTGTGGGTCTTGGTTGCATCGGGCTCGGCGTGAAGGAATTGGTGATGAACCATGCCTCGGAGGATGTGGGTGATCGATGGAAGCGAGCCCAGGGCAGCCATCTTGATGGAGATGTTCAGGATGCTGTCATTTGGGAAGAGCACGACACCATCATCCAGAATGTCTCTGCCCAGGCCCACAAACACCTCGATCAGCTCGTCGAACATTGTTGCACTCTGGCTCTGGCACTTGATATTTGTTTGGCGCATCTTGACGCATGTCGCATGGGTATGGGTGTGGGGGAGCACGATACATTTTGCACTTTATTCAGGGGGAAACGGGACACTTGCCCACACCTGCATCGAACCACCCAAAATGCGAGCCTCGCCAGACGCGCACTGAGATCCAGGGCACACCACCAACCTATGGCCCTGATGGATACGCGATTTTTGTGCTGGGGCTCGTGACCACGGGAATCGAACCTGCGACCACCGGCATCGACACGGTTGGATCCGATTCGGACCAGCACGAGAAGGGCGGATCCAGCCAGAGTACACGAGACCATGGGCCAATCAGGACGCGGGATCCTCGGCACGCAACCAGATGGTACAAGGGTGATACTGATTCACACGACCAGACAGTGACAATGGCCCACTCAGAACAAGCAGAATCCACTTGTACTGCCATCACCGAGTTTGCAGCCTATCCGTCGGGCAAGCCACGCCCGATTTGGCATCCGCTGCGCTCGTGTGTCGCGTATCTGAAACTCTGTCACTCCCGTGATACCGGGTGGCGTGGCGCGGGTCCCGCCTGCTCTTTTTTTTCGCTCGTCGCCCGTTTTCTCCAACTTCCCCCACCGTCTCCCGTCCTTCGCCATCACACCCCCGACTCTCCTATTCCCCTGCCCCCCCCATTCAGCATGGCCAGCAAACCGATCATTCGCCCCCCTCCCGAACGCCCGTCCTGGTACATCTCGCCCAGCGACATCACCGACCGCTCGGCCAACCCCATCGGCCGCGGTGGCTTTGGCGAGGTCTTCACCGGCACCTACTTTGGCTCCAAGGTCGCCATCAAGCAGCTCCTCGGCACTTGCAACAAGCGAGAGCTTGCCGAGTACAACCATGAAATCGATATCTGGCGGAAGCTCAGCCACCCACACATCCTACCGCTGCTCGGCGCTTGCGACAAAGACGATGACGGCAATCCGGCTTCTCCCTTCATGGTCTCGCCGTTCATGCCCAACGGCACCCTTCGCAACCATGTTACCAACAACGCTGTCCCACTCGAGGAGAAACTCCGTCTCCTCTTCCAAGCTGCCTCGGCTCTGGCATACCTCCATTCCCGCCGCATCATCCACGGCGATCTCAAGGCCCTGAACATCCTCTTGGACGGCTTGAACAACGCCGTCGTCACGGACTTTGGCATGTCCCGCACCAAACACACCTCTGCCTCGATGGACCGCAACCGAGCCAAGGGCCCCACCGGCGGCACTGACGGTTACATTGCGCCCGAGATGCTCGACGACGATGATTCCAGCGGTATCACCCTGAAGACCGACGTCTACGCCTTTGCCATCACAATGTACGAAGTCCTCAACGATGCCAAACCCGTCTGGGTCACCAGCAACGGACAAGCAATGCTCAGCCGCGCTATCGAACGCATCTCTTGCAACGGCAAGCGTCCCAAGCGTCTCGATGGCATCCCCGACGACATCTGGTCCCTCATCGAACGCTGCTGGGCTCAAGAACCCGCCGCCCGCCCTGCCTTCCCCGAGATCCTTGCCGTCCTCCAGCCTTACAACCATGCCGCCGTCCCAGCTTCCGCCATACCCCCTCCCGCCGCCGCCAAGTCCCCTTCCGTCAACCGGGTTGTCAGCCATTTCACCACTCTCAGCGTGAACAACCGCTCCCCGTCCCAGTCCAGTCGTCCCGCCGAGCTCAAGTTTGATGGTATCGACGATGTCGTCCACATCCCTGGCTCCATCGTCTCTGGCGCCAAACAAGGTGATCCCAGTGCTTGTCTCGAAGCCGCCAAGTTGGTCTCGGAGGGTCTCCCTGCCCGCCACCAAGATTGGAAGCTCGCTGGCCAGCTTTACAAGGCCGCTGCCGACCGCGGCAAACTCGAAGCATCGTTCCAGCTGGCCTGGCTCGCGTTCCTCGGCGAGGGAATGGCCAAGAACGACCGCAGCGCCTTCTGGTTCTGGCAGGAAGTCAGCACCAAGTCGAATGACCCGGTTCTCAAGCCCATCGCCACCCACATGGTCGGGTGGATGCACTACCTCGGCCGAGGCACCGTGCAGGACAAGCAGAAGGGAATCAAGATCATCCGAGAGAACGAATCGGATGAGTTCAAGCTCGGCGAGGACAATTGTCTGGCATCGATTTGGAACAACATCAAATCCGACTCACCCGCAGCCTGCAAGTTCTTCGAGCTGTGCCAGCTGGGATCGGACCGTGACTGGTTGTGCAGTCATCTCATGGCTGTGTGTCTGTACTATGGATTCGGAACCACCGAGGACAAGAAGAAGGCGGCCGGCATATTCGAGCAACTCGCCAACGAAGGCCACAGTGACAGCCAGTACTGGATCGGAAAGTGCTACCACTGGGGCGAGGGAGTATCGAAGGACTACGGGAAGGCATTCGAGTGGCTCAGCAAATCGGCCGACCAAGGCAACTCATATGGGCAGTGGAGGATTGGTTATTGTTACGACAGTGGAATTGGAGTCACCGAGGATAAAGCCCAAGCAGCCGAGTGGTATCGCAAGTCGGCCGAGCAGGGCAATCAATACGGACAGAACAACCTCGGAGTCTGCTACAGGAATGGCTGGGGTGTCCCCAAGAACATCGACACTGCCGTTTTCTGGTTCCGCAAGTCCGCCGACCAGGATTGCCAAGTTGCCGTCGACAAACTCAGGGATCTCGGCAAGTGGCCCTGATCTCCGAGTTACTCTGAGTTCCACTCTCAATCAACCATGTTGTAACACTGAACTTGCAAGCAGCCAAGCAACCGCGCCGCCAACACCTGCCCCTAACACCATGGTACCAAACAGTGGACTTGCAAAGTGATTCCGATGAATCGACAGTGGCCGAGTGTTGTATTTGACATTCAATACATCCAGTACATTCAATATACAATAGTGCTGTCCCATAAGAATCGCTGATGTTGATCGACCGAGAGAATCATCCGATCACTCGACAACGACAACTCGACATTCACAATCGATACTCGTTCTGCAACTATAGATGGTGGAAATTGTTAGCCCGATCCAGACCATCCATGGTTGCAGAACAAGTATCGATTGTGAATGTCGAGTTGTCGTTGTCGAGTGATCGGATGATTCTCTCGGTCGATCAACATCAGCGATTCTTATGGGACAGCACTATTGTATATTGGATGTATTGGATGTATTCAATATCAAATACAACATCACTCGGCCATTGCCGCTTCATCGGAACCACTTTGCAAGTCCACTGTTTGGTACCATGGTGTTAGGGGCGGGTGTTGGCGGCGAGGTTGCTTGGCTACTTGCAAGTTCAGTGTTGCGGCTTGGTTGTTTGGGAGTGGAGCTCGGAGGGACTCGGGAATCAGGGCCACTTGCCGAGTTCCTTGAGACTATTGATGGCAGCTTGGCAATCCTGGTCGGCAGACTTGCGATACCAGAAGACGGCGGTGTCAATGTCTTCGGGGACACCATGTCCATTCTTGTAGCAGAAACCGAGCCAATGTTGTCCGTATCGATTGCCTTGTTCGGCTGACTTGCAATACCACTCAACTGCCTTGGCGTAGTCCTGGGTGACTCCATATCCATCGAAGTAGCAAAAACCGACCATGAACTGCCCGTACGAGTTGCCTTGGTCGGCCGACTTACTGTACCACTCGAATGCCTTCTTGTAGTCCTCTGATACTCCCCAGCCACACAAGTAGCACTCTCCGATCCAGTTCTGGCTGTCACTGTGGCCTTCGTTGGCGAGTTGCTCGAATATGCCGGCCGCCTTCTTCTTGTCCTCGGTGGTTCCGAATCCATAGTACAGACACACAGCCATGAGATGACTGCACAACCAGTCACGGTCCGATCCCAGCTGGCACAGCTCGAAGAACTTGCAGGCTGCGGGTGAGTCGGATTTGATGTTGTTCCAAATCGATGCCAGACAATTGTCCTCGCCGAGCTTGAACTCATCCGATTCGTTCTCTCGGATGATCTTGATTCCCTTCTGCTTGTCCTGCACGGTGCCTCGGCCGAGGTAGTGCATCCACCCGACCATGTGGGTGGCGATGGGCTTGAGAACCGGGTCATTCGACTTGGTGCTGACTTCCTGCCAGAACCAGAAGGCGCTGCGGTCGTTCTTGGCCATTCCCTCGCCGAGGAACGCGAGCCAGGCCAGCTGGAACGATGCTTCGAGTTTGCCGCGGTCGGCAGCGGCCTTGTAAAGCTGGCCAGCGAGCTTCCAATCTTGGTGGCGGGCAGGGAGACCCTCCGAGACCAACTTGGCGGCTTCGAGACAAGCACTGGGATCACCTTGTTTGGCGCCAGAGACGATGGAGCCAGGGATGTGGACGACATCGTCGATACCATCAAACTTGAGCTCGGCGGGACGACTGGACTGGGACGGGGAGCGGTTGTTCACGCTGAGAGTGGTGAAATGGCTGACAACCCGGTTGACGGAAGGGGACTTGGCGGCGGCGGGAGGGGGTATGGCGGAAGCTGGGACGGCGGCATGGTTGTAAGGCTGGAGGACGGCAAGGATCTCGGGGAAGGCAGGGCGGGCGGCGGGTTCTTGAGCCCAGCAGCGTTCGATGAGGGACCAGATGGCGTCGGGGATGCCGGGGAGACGCTTGGGACGCTTGTGTTGGAGCAGCTGTGACAGGATCTGGAATGGCTGCATGGGAGTATTGTCCTTGGTGATCCAGACCTTGCCATTGTTCAGCACTTCGTACATGGTGATAGCAAATGCAAAGACATCGGTCTTCTTCGAGCTACCGGCTGGCTCATCACCGGCGAGCATCTCGGGGGCCATTTAGCCATGAGTGCCACCAGAGATATCTGTGGGCTTGGCACGTGCGGCTGATGCAGCAGTGTGCTTGGTGCGGGAGAGGCCAAAGTCGGTGATGACCGAGTTGAACGATGAATCGAGGAGGATATTCTCGGCTTTGAGGTCACCGTGAACGATGTTGTTGCCGTGGAGGTACGACATGCCTGCGGCGACTTGGTAGAGGAGGCGGAGCTTTTCTTCGACGGAACGGGGGTTGCTTGCGTCCGAGACATACTTGAGGAGGGTGCCGTTGGGCAAGAACGGCGACACCATATACGGGCGGATGGAATTGCCGCTGGCATCCTGGTCGCAGGCACCGAGGAGAGGCAGGATATGCGGATGACTCAGGCGATGCCAGACTCCGATTTCCCGAGAAAAGTACACGAGGGTGTCGTCGTCAAAGTGGGCATGGAGTCGTTTGGCGGCGACCTTGGTGCCATAGTACGAGGCTATGAACACCTCGCCAAAACCACCACTGGCGATGGGTTGGGCTGACCAGTCGGTAACGGCATCGTTGGGGATAAACCAGGACTGCCTATCGCTGGCAGGGGGTTCGGCGGTAGAGGAAACAGAGGCTTTGCTTGCCATGGTGAACGGGGGAGGCAGCGGGATAGGAGAGAAGCAGGCGGGTGGTGGCGAAAGGTGGGAGACGGCGAGGGAAGAGGGAGAAAATGGGCGACGAGCGAAGAAAAAGCAGGCAGGACCCGAGCCACGCCACCCGGTATCATTGGCGGTGACACGGTTTCAGATGCGCGACACATCAGCGCAGCGAAGGCCTAATCGGGCAAGCACATGTGAAAAACACGTCACGCGGGGTCACCAAGAGAATCGGGCTTCGCGTGGACTGTCATTGGGACGAGGATTGTCCCCAAAGAGGAGAATGAGGTTCCTCATGTGGTTTCCACCATTTCCCCAGGATCCTTCTTGGCACCGCCTCCGACTGGGGGGGATTTAAAGTCGGCTTTTGCTCTTTCGACATCCCCCTGTAAGGAGTGAACAAGCGCAAGGACGAAGACCAAGTGCTTGGTATGAGCTTTATTAGCTTTTAGCCCCGAACACCAAAGAACAAGTTTTGTTCGAACTGGTGTTCAACATAGGCTCAGACATGCAGGGCTATTTATAGACCGGGAGAAGGTCGAGGGGCAAAAGTGGGCGAGAAGGGTGGAGCATCACAGAGAAGCGAGAAGGGGGTGCGAGAGTGGCTGGTGTGCAAGCGAGAGAGGCTTGGCACAGCCCGGGGACATGTGCCGAGCGGTGGGGGAGGCAGGAAACCAGTAGACGCGGGTGGCAACGGCGCGTGCTCATGCATGGGGGCAAACAAACACGTGGGGACTCATGATTGGTGCGGAGGGCGAGAGCATGCGGGACAATCTCATTGGTCCGTTGTGATGCTGGTCATCACACTATCTCCTCCTTAAACTACGGCGTGTTCCATCTTGAGTTCTCCTGGGGCCAGGCTTGTCTGGGTAGCGTCGGTGGTACTCCGCGGCCACCGTTGGGGCAAAGACAATGTCGGCGGGCTCCCAACTTCGATCGGTGACCGGGTAGCCTTTCCAATCGATGAGATAGTGCAGCTTTCCGCGCACGAACTTGGAGTCTAAGATCTCTTCGACCTCCCACTCCAAGTTCCCATCGATGACCACCGCAGGGGGCGGCGCTTGCACCCGACCCGGAAACGAGTTCTTCTTGTAGGGCTCAAGAAGAGACACATGGAACACCGGGTGCACCTTTATGTCCTTTGGCAAGTCCAGGCGGAAAGCCAATGTCCCGACGGCCTCGAGGATGGTGAATGGTCCAATCCTCTGGTAATCCAGCTTCTTGCTTGGGCGAGTGGTGCTGATGTTACGAGTCAGCACCCAGACTTGATCGCCCGGACGCAAGTCGGGAGCCTGGGACCTCCGGAGATCTGAGAAGTGCTTGTAGTCAGACTTTGCCTTCTCAAGATTCTCCTTCAACAGTGCCAGGTTCCGCTGGAGATGTTCAACCCTCTCCGTGGCAGAGGGAACATCAGGGCCGCCAGCGACAACGGGGACTTCGAACCTTGGGTGGAACCCATAGGTTGCCAAGAATGGCGAGGCATGTGTTGACGAGTTCTCGAGGTTATTGTAAGAGAACTCGGCCAACGGCAGCAGCTCGGCCCAGTCATCTTGCTGATACGACGTGTAACAGCGCAGGTATTGGTTGATGACCTGGTTGACCCTCTCAGTCTGTCCATCGGTCTGGGGATGGAAGGCCGTGGACAGACTGGTTTGGATCCCGAGCTGCGTGCAGAGTGCCTTCCAGAACCGAGAGGTGAACTGACTTCCTCGGTCTGAAACCACTGTGTCGGGGAGGCCATGGAGACGAAAGACATTGTCGAGGAACAGTGACGCAGTCTCCTCCGCCGACGGCAGTGAACGCCAGGACATAAAGTGTGCCATCTTTGTGAGGCTGCATACCACCACAAAGATGCAGGTGTGACCCTTGGACTTTGGCAGATCAGTGATAAAGTCCATGGTCAGTGTCCCCCAGGGTCGATCGGCTGTCTGGAGTGGCTGTCAGGGTTCAAACCGCACTTTCCCACGGCTGGAACCAGGTGTGACACGCTTCCCGATCCAGCATGCCTGCCCGCGTTTGGGGTACACGAGCGCGTCTGTCCAGTCCCGTTTATTGTTCCCACAGTCATGTACCATGAGAAACCAGATAAATAAACCACTTCCCTCGCCCGGCCCTTCCCAGGCGAGTGAACCTCTCCCAAGCTTCTTGCCCAGTCTCCACGACCCCGTTCCTCGCTCCACGACCCCGTCCTTCCCAGTCCCAGACCCTAACATGGTAGCATCGGACATTAAGAACTCCGACGACCTCATCCGTGCCTTCGGGCAGCTCTCCTTGGATGAGCAGGCCTCGGCCCTCACTGCCCTCCGAATCAGAATGAGCGCTGCCGCACCCAGCGCCATCGCCCCTGCCCCTGCCCCTGCCTTCTCAGTGAGGCCCAAGATCCCACTCCCCGAACCCTTCACCGGTGTTCGGAAGGCTGGAGTAGTCGAGGAGTTCATCCTCTCGATGAACGAGTACATCGACTACTACCAGCTCGACGATGACGTTGCCGTCCGCAACATCACCATGAACCTCCGTGGCACCGCCAAGTCCTGGTGGCGCCTCTACGCCCAGAGGTACCCCGGGGAGGCAGCCAACATGACCCCCGAGATTCTGTAGCCAAGGCCACTATATTTTTCCAGATGATCTCCAGCAGAGCAGGGCGAGGGGGCGGCCTTATATGTCCAGCAGCCTGACGCGTTGACGCGCCCAGAGTCATACAGGAGCGCGCACCATTTCCTTATCCGTTCCCCAGCTACACACACACACACAGTAACCCAGGACTACTCCCTCGATACACTACAATCTTTCCCACGGTGCTACAGCAGTCAGTTCTCATCCGTTCTGGATGAAATCGGTATCGTAAGAAAGCTCTCGCTCACGGCTATACCTCGATTATCCTCAATCGTGTCACACCCCCCCTAAATTTGAAATCAAATTTCTAACTACATACTACTCCCTACACCCACCTCCTTCTCTCTCCAGTATTCCCCTATCACATCATCCGCGATGTTGTCTTCGTATTCCCAAGTGGCATCTTCAAGGGGATATCCTTCCCACAGTACCAGGTACTGTTGCTTCCTGCGGTATTTTCTGTCGTTGACCAACTTCTCCACCTTGAATATTGGTTCGACGTCCGAGATTGCAGGTGGTCTTGTGTAAGTCGCTCTTGAAGCGAAGTCGTCCGGCGTCTCAATAAACTTCCGCAGGAGTTTGCGGTGGAATGTCGGGTGTATGTGGCTTAGTGTAGGGGGTAGCTCCAGGGTGTGGTTGAGTCCTTCGATCTCCGTAATCTTGAACGGACCCAGCCGACGCGGGATGATTTGGTCTGGCCTGAACTTGTGGGCCTCCCAGTTGATACCTTCGCGCTCAAGGAGGACCATGTCTCCAACCTTGAGCTCCTCCCCCGCCTGTCTTCTCTCGTTCCCGCTCCGGGTTTGATGATCCTGAGCCTCCTGGAGTTGTTGTGTTGCAATCCTTCGTATGGCTTCGAGGTCCTCCAGGAGACTCCAGGTTGCCACTCGATCATCGGTGGCATGCTCGTTGCCGGGCATCGTCCTTGGGTGTACCCCGAATGCCAAATAGAATGGGGAGAATCCGGTGGAGGTGTGCACCGAGTCGTTGTGTCCAAACTCCAGCAGGTGCACCACCTCGTCCCAATTATCGCCCTTGTAGTTGGCGAATGGGACCAGTCTTTGCTTGAGGTCCTTGACCGTTGCTTCGGCTTGGCCATTGGCCTGTTGGTGCCGGGCCGTCGTAAGCTTCTGGGAAATCTTAAGCGTGGTCAGGACTTTTATCCAAAAGTTCGATGTGAAAAGGGAGTCTCGGTCCGAGATTAGCTCCGTCGGGAGTCCGAAGGAGACGACCCAGTATTGAATAAACAACAATGCCACGTCCTCGGCCGTGGACTTGGTTGTGCACGGAACGAACCGTGCCAGCTTGGTGAGTCGATCCACCAGGATCAGACACTTGTCGTTGCCTTTCTTCGACAGTGGCATAAAGGCAAAGTCCATGGACACCGAGCTGAATCGTTCCTCAGGGATGGGCAACGGATGCAGCAGGCCGTCGAGGAGGTGGTTGCGGGGTTTGGACTTCTGGCACACCTCGCATGCTGCAACATAGCGGGTCACATCCGCTCGCAACGTGGGCCACCAGAACTGGCGCGAAATCTTTTCGAGCGTCCGTAGCTGTCCAACATGGCCCACAGTGATGACGTCGTGGTGCTCTTGAAGGATCCGTGTTCGTATCGACTCCACCTTCGGGACGTAGAGTCGATCGTGGTCGTAAAAGATCAGGCCATCCACTCTTGTAAGACGCTCCAGTGGTGCGTCCTTGGAGCGGCCATCTACATCCTGACCATCGAGATACTTCTGCAGTGTCATTGCCAATTCATCGTTCCCCAGAGCGTCTCCTACTTCGTCACGGAGGGAAGAGGCAGAGAGACTGGTCGTGACCGGCCTCACATCGACTGCAGCTGTGTCCGAGTCAATCTTCCCCCTACACTTGGAGCAGAGGGGCCTGTGGCATGGCGCTCGACTGAGTACATCTGCGATTGTGTTTCGAGATCCGGGGACATGTTCAATAGTGAAGTCATAATCTTGAAAATCCAGGATCCACCGGGCCTGGCGTCGATTGATATTGGCTTGGGTGTTGAGCCAGATGAGTGCCTTATGGTCCGTAACCACATGGAACTGGCAACCCATCAGATATGGCCGACCATGTTTGACTAAATCATGCAATGCCAGCAGTTCATGCTCGTACGTCGAGTAGTTGCGTTCAGTGTTCGTCCACTTCCTGGACCAATACAGGATGGGGTGAAGCCCATCGTCGAATCGTTGCAAGATCACCCCACCCCCCGCATAGCGGGAGGCGTCAGAGTGGACCTCGACCGGCAGTTGGGTGTCGTAGAATCTCAGGACCGGGTATGACGATATGTGGTGCTGAAGCACCCTTACCGCGGTCTGTTCCTGTTCGGTCCATATCCATCCGGTGTTCTTCGGAAGTAGCCCTGTCAATGGCAGACATATCTCGGCGTATCCGGGGATGAAGTCCTTCACCCAGTTGGTGAGTCCCAGGAAGGCTTGCACATCCGTGATCGAGGACAGCTGGCCAAAGTCCAGGACAGCGTTGGCCTTGTCCTTCGTGATACTCAGCCCATGTCTGGACACCTCATGTCCACAGAACGGGACCGATTCCTGAGCGAAGCTGCACTTCATCAACTTGGCATAGAGGCCGTTCTCCTTAAACTTCTTGAGAACTCGTTCCAGGTGGGCTGCATGCTCTTCTAAAGTGTCCGAGTAGACAAGGACATCGTCGACATAGGCGACCATAAACTTGTCGTAGAACTCGTGAAATATGCGGTTCATCATCGTCATGAAGCAGGCCGGGGAGTTGGTAAGCCCCATCGGCATTACTAGGTATTCAAATGTTCCATATCTTGTCCGAAAGGCCGTCTTCGCAATGCTGCCTTCATCCATGCGGACCGTGTTGAACCCGTCGCGAACATCGAGTCCGCTGAAGAATCTTTTGTTTGCCAAGCGGTCCCGCATCTCCGCAATGAACGGAAGCGGAGTGCGGTTCTTGACCGTGTTGGCGTTCAATGCCCTGTAGTCCACACACATACGTAATGTGCCGTCAGCCTTTTTGACAAAGAGTACCGGAGCACCGTAGTTGGATGTCGAGGGGCGGATATGCCCCTTCTCGAGCAACTCGTCCAGCTTGGCCTTCAGCACCGTCAACTCCTCGGGACTCAAGTGGAAGATGGGTCTGTACGGTGGAGGCTTCCTCGAATCGATCAGCTCGATGTGCTGATCTTCCGGCCGAGGCGGGGGCAGACCTTTGGGGTCCTCGAATACGTCCATGTATCTCTCCAGGACAGATCGGATGGCTGGCGGAAGCTTGGCCAGGTATTCCTCCTTCTGTTCCGCCAGCGACTTATCGTTCGGGTTTCTGTTAATCTGGGTGACCTCGGATTGGCTTACCAAGACGACTCCAACCTGCACTTCATCTTCTTTGAGTTCTCTCTGGAGCTGCTTGAAGGATACCGCTTCGATGTGGATCGCCCTAACTCGTTGATCCTTCACGGCTGGCAGGCTGGTCCAAACATGTCGGGTGTTACGCCGATCCACGAAAGTGATCCTTGTCCGACCCTCCTGGGTCCTCTGATCCAGGACGCGGACCTCCTCATCGAATGGATTGCCCAGGATGAGGTCATCTTTAATGTCGGCGACAACACAATTGATGAGCCTCGTGTACGATCCACATCGGAGGCTGATGACCGTGGCTGTTGTCGAGACAGAAGTGCGATCGTCCGCAAATCGTAGCTGTATATCGCAGGGGATCATCTTGCATCCTAGACTCTGGGCTAGGGCTTGCTTGATAACGTTGCCCTTGGCTCCAGAGTCTCGCAGGAACCGGATGCGCTTTTGAATGCCGGTTGGTCCCCCAGCAGCACCCACGAAGTGGAAGCAAGCGCTCTCTGATATGGCGTTCATTGCTCCTTCGTGCGGTGGCTCTCTTCGCTTCCCGACCACTCTCGTCAGGTCGATTGAACTTGGTAGTGTCTTTATTTGGCAAGCGTAGACATCACCCTCATGTACCTCGGCATCTGCGCTCCCATGCGGACCTCTCGTGACTTCCTGGCCACGGGTCTGCTCTCCTTGAACTTGTTCAACCTTGACTGGAGAGCGGCAACCCGTTAGTCCAGGCTTGTCACGATTGTCCGGAGCAGCAGGTCCGAATACGTACTGAGGGGAGTCATCGCTTCCAACATGAGACTGTCTTGGCTCGGTGGCATTGGGAGGTTCCAATCGGTAGCTGTGGGAGGCGTTCGTTTGCTCGTAGGGGTCGTAGGTCGCCGTGACTTGTCGCACGGGGATTCTCTGACGGGTCTTGTTCCTCTCCTTCTCCGGGCAACGGGCGGCTACATGCCCAGCATTGGCTTTGCGGCAGTAGAAACACCCTTTGTTTCGTATAAGGAACTCTCTCTCTCGTGAGGAGAGGTACGAGCCACTACCTCTTGGTCCCCTATGGATAGCATCGATGTCCATGGGGACTACTTGCGGGAGCGGCGGCGGAGGCGGGGGCTGATAAGCCGTTGCAGCTTGTTTGTCCCAGATGCTGCCGAGACGAAGCGTCTCTCGGATCAGTGCTGGAATGTCCTCGCGGAGCTCCGTCTCGTAGTTAGGCAGCATCTGGACATACGGCCTCACTGAGTCGTGAAGGCCGCCCACGAAGTAGCCGGTCTTCGAAAAGGTGGTCAATTTTGTTGCGGCTGCGGAGAGCTCCAGGAATCGCTCGATATACTTGGAGAGGCTTCGAAGCTTCTTTGCTTGGCAAAAGGCTTTAAGTTCCTGTTCAGCCTTTGTGGCTGAGTCCGCAGGAATGAATGTTGCCACTATGATGTCCCGCAGGCTCTGCCACGAGTCTAACGAGGACCTCATGGCAGCGTTGTCCTGCGAGAACCACCATGTGTGAGCTTTGTCTTGGAAGTGGGTCGCGGCAGCCTGGACCTGGGCTGGTCCGACATAGTAGTCCTCCGCATACGAGAAAACCTGATCCATTGAAACAAGGAAGGCATTCACAGTGCCGGCCTCGCGGCTGCCTTTGAAAGGCGGCAC